CCTCTCACCGGATACGAGGTTTTCCCCTATCCCAAGGAAATACCGACGAGGAGGAACCGCCCGTCTATCGAAGAAATGAGGGAAGGCGGAGTCGGGGAAACCAGACAACCCTCGGACGCGGAACAACTGCTGGCCGGAGTGTTCGACACCGGCCTGGATCGCCTCCTCCTAGTGCTCGACTTCGTACGGACGAAAGAGAGGATAACCGAAGTAGCCGCAGAACTCGCCGCATTAATTCGGAGGCTCGAAGAAATAGCTCTTGGACTCGATCCGAGCTCGATGCATGGGACGCTCTAGACGATCCGGGAAATTACGACGACGCTGACCCCTACTACCGACCTGACGAAGGGGGCGGGGATTATCAAGGCCCCTTTGATTATTAAACGGACTAATAACAGGGCATAGGAAGAAGAAAGGGGGGGTAAGGAAGTTGAGGAACTCCTTCCCCTGACACAAATTACATCCGAAACGATGTAAAACTACAATCGTCCGCAACGACGTAAAACTAGGATCGTCCCTCAAGACGTTAAACTGTACGACCTCGTCCGAAAGAGACGTTAAACTACCGCGCGTCCGGAATGACGTCTAAACTATCGGACCTGCATGTCTTAAAACTGTGAAAAGACAAGAAGGCAGGGGAAGTACCTGACCATTAGTCCTAGGTTCAAATGATGGTACGAATCAAGGACAACAGCGGGCATAATTCCACGTACGACCTACGGCGGAATCCTTTCACATCCTCGCTGTCAAGGAGTAATCTGACAGATGCATCGAGCGTCCCATTTGGATCCTCAGTTTTACAGGGTTTTTTTCCGCATTAGGGAACCCTCTACATGACATATACTCTACTCGTAGGTGTCGACAAGCAGGCCCTTCGCCTTGGTACAGCGAAGTGCCCATACATAACCGGTTGCAAGTCCGAGTCAAGAAATTATGATGCATAACTCGTATCGTGAACCCTCACAGTCAAGGTCTGACTGGTGTTTTGGGACGTCCCACTTTGGATCTCCCGTTTTACAGGATCGTTTCCGCATTAGGGGATCCTACAGCTGGCGCATGAGATGATGTAGAGAGCGGGCCGCCTCTACCTCACAAGTCTTCCTAATGATGCGAGGCCACAAAATCACATCCGGAACGATGTAAAACTACCAAAGGCTTGGTCCGCAATGACTATAAACTACTAGGGTCCGCAATGACGTTAAACTAGTCTTCGTCCGAAATGACGGAAAACTACCCACCGTCCGAGATGACGTTAAACTACCATTGACCAAAGGAGCGTGGTTGCATTCTGGCGAAGCGCGGAAGGACTCGCGTCACAGAACCCTGCCTATAAAAGGTCGAAGCGCTTCCGATATTCACTCGCTTTTCGGTAAAAGAATATCGGGTCGTCTTGGTTCAAATCCAAGCGAGGGGTCTGGGGACATGGAAGAGCAAGCATCTCTTCATGGAGCGCTCAGTCTAGTCCTGGAGTCGAAGTACAAGAAATTCCGCTCCAAGACCTAGTCAGGAGGCAACTAGGACACGTGCCTCGAGTCGAAGATCTAGTGGGAGGGACTAGATCACGCGACTCTCGTCTGGCCCACATAGCGGAAGAACGACAAGAGCGGGCCACTCATCCGAAGTCTATTCCGCCTCTCGTCCGCGACGACGTAAAACTAGGTCCGCGTCCGGGATGACGTTAAACTAAGCATTGTTTTTCCACAATATTTGTGGCGAAACAACGTCCGCGATGACGCTAAACTATTGTCCCTTTCCACATAGGGATTGTTCGAGGCCAATGGTATCTCGACGTCCGCAACGACGGTAAACTACGGGCATCCGAAACGATGTAAAACTACTGTCCCTTCGTTCTAGGGATTGTGCGTGGCGATCTTGACAAGATACCGCGCGTCCGCGACGACGTTAAACTAGTGCCCCTGGACCTAGGGGTTGTCATTGATGTCCATTCCCCTGGACACCAATGCGTCCGCAATGACGGAAAACTATTTGCTCCTTACCGAATAGGAGTTGTGGATTGACCGCCATGGTGTCAATCGGTCCGCAATGACATTAAACTACGTGCTCCTTACCGTATAGGAGTTGTGATTCATCACTCTGGTGCTGAATCGTCCGCAACGACGTTAAACTACTTGTCCCTTTTAGTATAGGGATCATCGGTCGACATCATTCTTGACGAGAATATGTCGACAAATGTCCGAAATGACATTAAACTACCCTCATCCTCGGAGGAAAAGCCTATCGTGACTCGAGGGACACAGTCAGACGATAGTCCGCCTATCGCACGGCGTTAAACTGCAAGGCCGCCTAATGCACGGCGTTAAACTGCAGGTCCGCCTACCTCACGGCGTTAAACTGAGCGGCCTCATAACCTTGAGGCGTCACAAGTTATCCGGTTTGATATAGTATAAACCGTCCATCATGCCTCAGTGGAATCTGGAGCGGGTAAAGTCTGGTCTATGGCCCTATGCACATCACCGATGGAAATTCCGGCGTGCAGAAACATCTTTCCCCACAGATATTCCATGTTGATGATGAAGGACGTCCGCAAAGACGTTAAACTACGGATCGTCCGAAACGACGATAAACTACGGACCGTCCCGCATGACGTTTTAAACTGCCAGTCGTGGATAAATCTCGCAACCCGACAAGTATATCAGCTGTGGTCTTGATGTCTATTCGTGCAAGCGAACGGGCAGACTTGGAAAAGGAGTCAGACTCCTCCTTATTCCTCGCTGCACCCTTCAAGTCTAATTCTCTTCACATCCTTGCCTCGAACCCAACACTACACGTGGTATTCCCCACCATAGGCCCACGTTTGTGAAAAACAAACTCTGGACGCCGTAAACTGCCTCACCGGAGATGAGTCCACCGTATGGGGACAATACTGCTTGGGATTTGGCTGCAACCTCACCGGAGATGAGCTCACCGTATGGGAGCGATACTGCTTGGGGCGTCATGACTGGTAGCCTGGAGAAGTAGGCCTAAGCCTTCGTAAAGCGATCAACCTACTTGTCCATGGGCGCCATCCACTGTCGTCGAGAGAAACAACAAATCATGAGGATAGACGACTATCCTGGAAACACTGAGGTTTGGCCCTCGGAGAAGGAAGAAGAAGAACCTGATGACACGAATCAGAACCCACATGCTAGAGTTTCTATTCATCCACACACCACTCGCATCTATACGCCTTTCTTGACACCTGTCCGGCGTCGACCGGACTGACATCCTGGCCTGAGAACCCAGGAAAGATCACAACAACCGAAGGGTGAAGGAAGAACATCCTACAGAGCGGAGGTTTGGTACCCTCGCGACTCGACAAACAAACAGCTCAACGGAGATGGAAAACTCCTAGAGGATCAAACGACGTAAGTCGGTCTTCCTCCCAGAAAACGAAGTCATGTCCCGGAAGTCGCATCCGGAGACCGTTTTTGGATCAAGAAAGCAAATCGTATATGGAGTGGCGATGAAGCGCAAGGCGCTGTCCTACCAGGCGAATAGGACGTAGAAAGGGGGTATTGTTATGATCACGTTCTATCGGGCCTACACGGGGTCTATACCGATACGATCATCACAAATATCACGCGGCCTCACAAGTTGAGGCGTACACCAAGGTACAGATATTAACCTTGGTCATCCACTCCCAACGGATCACCTTATCGTTGGTCGAGTATCACGGGCCTATTGTATTAGCGGGCATGGAACGCCGCCTTATAAATTACTCACACGCAGGGCATGAACCTCCTAGTCTCTCCTGGCCGGAAGGAGACCAACGGAGAAGCACAAGAGTAGTCGTTATTGAGAGAGACGACTTAGAGAATACCTACAGATACATATTCGGTATTCTCACGCCCTACTTCCCAAAGTAGTATAAAAGGCCCATAGAATAGGCTGAGGATCTTCAGTCTATTCTCTTTGTTCACTGTGGTCTTCCTACCACAGTACTTTGTTCACTGTGGTCTTCCTACCACAGTATCTTCGTTCTTAGGCAGTCTTCATACTGCCTACTTCGTTCTACTGCAGTCTTCCTACTGCAGTCTTCATTGCTACATCGCAATACACTTCTGGCTCCTGTACTACACGTACAGTCGAGACCACCGTTCCACACATCCTCCACGAGTGACCTAGGGAAGAACCTCCTACTCTTGGGGTTACCGACGAGCAGTCGTAACAAGACCAAGCACTACAACAAAAACTCAGATTTAGCACAGGCACTGGACTTTACAGGCACTAGACTTTATAGACACTAAACTTTGTGAACACTAAACTTTACAGACACATCAGACCAAGCACTGTAACAAAAACTCAGATTAAGCATGGTTGCGCCGTCGCAACGCGACGGGTGAAAAGCTAGTCTCTATATAGAGGGCGACAGTAGGGGTCCGGTGGCAACTAGCCGTTGGCTAATCCCACGCGACAAACCACGCGAGACCACTGTCCCATAGGCTTCGGGACGCGAAACGGAGCGTGTCGGAGCTTGAAACGGAGTTGGTCAGCGCGCGCGTGCCCGGGGCTGCTGCGAGCCTTGCGATACCTGATCTCTGCCATCAACCATCATCATCTCTGTCCCAGACCCTCATCTGTGCTCTCCTCTGCTTTATTCCTCACTGGCTTTTCTCTCAAACTCTACTCTGCTCTACTGGGTGTCTTTGAGCACGGATTCTGCTTAGAAAAAGCCTACAGGGTGTGAAGTCTACCAGCACGGCCTTAGTTTGCTGTAGCCAAAAGCAGTCTTTTCATAGCTGCCTGGACCTCTCTCATCCTGCGGTGTTTCAGTTGCTCAGGTACCTTTTACCACAATCTCACAGTCACAACGACCTGCTTTGCAGACAACGAGTGACATCGAGTTGTCAAAGAGCATTGGGAATCCTCTTCCCCTGGCACTGTCTTGCGGCAATTTCTTCAGGTGAACTGTGAGGGGGCATTCAGCGAGTGCTTAGCTTGGCAACCACTCTTGGCTCTTGGTTTTGTTTGCAGGTGTTTTTTTTATTTAGCTTTTCACAATGAGTGTTCCACCTTTGTAAGTCTGTGTTGCTTGCATCATGTCCATTGTGCTCAATTCTTTTTTTAGGCCTCCTAATGAGGGTGTGGTGGAAGTCTGGATGCCTGCATTGGCACCTTTGTGAGTATTTTTGGCTTGCTTGGATACTGTTTCAGTGCTAAAATTCTCTTTAGAGATGATGATGAGGATGATCTCTATATGACACCCCCACCTGAGACTGTACATAAGTATGTGACTTACTTTTTGCTTATTGGTTGTGTGTACTCATATTTGCTATAGTGAGAATGCCAATAACAGTGAAGATGAGGATGATCTGTATATGACTCCTCCACCTGAGGATCTCAATGGGTATGTGGTTTTATTTAATCTTTTTATGGTCATTGGCTAAAAAGAAGAAACTATAGACATGTTGAAAACCAAGAGGCTATTGAAGAGGCTGCCCATGTGGATGTGACTATGACAAGGTATGCAGTTTTTGTTAAATCACACAAAATTTGTTTATTAATTTTAGGGTTTATAAGAACTCCTCCTAGGACTCCTGAGCATGAGCGCCAGACTGTGCGGGAGCAAGAGCGTGCTGAAAGGCTTCAGATGACTTCTCCTACTCTTCGGCGCGAGCGTTCTGCATTACGAGGCTCTATTCGTCAGCCTGTTTTTGAGGATCTCTCTAGACCTTCCCATCCTGCTACTTCTAATTCTGCTCAGCCTCCTATTTCTCTTGCACCACCCATTCAGCTTCACCAGCCTGCCACACTTGCTCCTCCTGTCCAGTCATACTATTCTGCAGTTGCTGCTCCCTCTGCTCCAACATATTATCCTGCTCAATATGTTCCTCCCCACTTTTATCCTGCTCCCATGTTCCAACACTCTGTCTATCATGGTGCTACGGCTTACCAAATTCCTGGACAGTATCCTATCTATGCTCCTCCTCCAATGCCTGCACCACCACCTCATTATTGGCCTGTGAATGTTTCTGCCTATCCTAATCTTCCACGACACTTGATTGGGAATCATGATAGACAGGCTCGCACACGTCTTGCAGCAGCTAGCCATCCTGATTATGAGCATCGTATGATGGAGAATTTTGAAAGGACTCATGCAGAACGTAGACGTCGTCGTAGAGAAAGCACAAGGCCTGAACCCAATAACCCTCCTCATCCTACATCTTCTATAAGACAACAGGAAGAGAATAATCATTATGCAATTCTTGACCAGCGACATCAGCAAGATATTCAGCAGCAGCAGCACCTTCATCATCAGCTTGATCTTGCAGAGCAGGCACATCATCTAGACCTTGAAGAGCAGGCACATCAGCATAACCTTGCTATCCAACAAAATAATCAAGCTGTAGTGGCTCATCAGGCTCTCCAAAATCTGCCTCTAGGTCGCCGTCCATATCAAGAGCCTATTGCACGTCACAGCCTTGGTCTTATGAATATAGAATGTGCTCACTGTCTTGCACTCCATTTCTCTTCTGAACGTCTTACCAACTCCAGTCGTATCCACCCTCGCTTTGGCATGTGCTGCTTACAGGGTCAGATCAGATTGCCTGCATTTTTACAACCTCCCCCAACCTTGCGCCGACTGCTTTGGGAAGGTGGTTCAGTTCCAAAATTTTTTAGAGATCATATCAGGCAGTACAACAGTGCATTTGCATTCACTTCTATTGCTGCCAAGCTATCAGATCATGTTACCTCTACCTCTGGGCCTTATTCATTTAAAATTCATGGGGAACTGTCTCATAAGATGGGAAGCTTGCTACCACCTAACAACATCAAACCCTCCTATGCTCAGCTTTATGTTATTGATCCTCAGGCTGCACTTAATGAGCGCAACAACAATAATGCCAACTTGAGATCTGAAATCATGAATGACTTGCAGGATATGTTTCATACACACAATCCTTATGTTCCTTTGTATCGTCATGCCTATCAAATCCTGGCAGAAAAGAACCCTGGAGAGAATGACAAGATTTCAGCTCGCATCACAGTCTTGCCTAATGCCGATCATCGTCGCTATAATGAGCCTACTGTTGATGAGGTTGCTGCTATTATACCTGGGAATGGAGATGAGGAAGTGGATTTGCACAGAGATATTGTTGTCCGCTATAACCATGGAGGTCTAAAGCACTTTAGCCATCTTCACCCTCACTACAGTCCCCTACATTATGTGACATTGTTTCCACATGGCGAACAAGGCTTTCATCCCAATATTCCTGCTCATCCTGGACCTAATGGCCAAATGCTCTCATCCAAGGTGTCTCAGCGCTGTTATTATGCATATCGTCTTATGCGCCGTTTGCTTGAACCTGAAACTATCTTCAGAGCTGGCAAGCTATTTCAGCAATATGTGGTTGATGCTTGGGCATCTATTGAGTCTAGCAACCTTTTCTGGATCAGGAACCATCAGAAGGAGATTAGGGCAGACAAGTACCAGTCACTGTTTGATGCCATTCATGCAGAAGCAGGTATCAACCTAGGCCAACAAGGAAGGCGCATAGTTCTTCCCTCCACTCATGCAGGCAGTCCACGTTATATGTATCAGCTTTTCCAAGACTCTATGGCTATCACTCGCCATTGTCATAAGCCAGACATCTTCCTTACCATGACTGCAAATCCTAATTGGCCAGAGATTCAAAAAGAGCTCTTGAAATATGATGATGGTACAACTCAGAATCCTTCTGATCGTCCTGATTTGGTGGCACGTGTCTTTGCACAAAAGATGAAGGCTTTGCTCAAGGAGATCAAAGAGGGCCTGTTTGGAGGGGTTGCTGGCATGGTATATACCATTGAGTTTCAAAAGCGTGGGCTTCCTCACATGCACCTTCTCCTTTTCTTGAAGCAAGAACACAAAATTCAGAGTGCTGAAGATGTGGATCGAATTGTCTCTGCCCAGCTCCCTGATCCTGCCACCCATCCTATGCTATATGAGTCTGTCACCAAATACATGCTTCATGGACGTTGTGGCCCTGAATTCCCTCAAGCACGTTGCATGGAGGAAAAGAATATTGGCGGCACAAAGGTCAAGGTCTGTAGCAAGCATTATCGCAAGGACTTCAATGAGCACACCCTTTATGGTGAAGATGGCTATCCTACATATGCTAGACCAAACAATGGGCGCACTTTCACTCGAGGCGCTATGCAGTTTGACAATCGCGATGTTGTTCCTCATAATCCCTATCTTCTTGCCAAATATAACTGCCACATCAATGTAGAGGTCTGCGCTTCTATCAAGGCCATCAAATACATTCACAAGTATATCTACAAAGGTCCTGATCGTGCCACTATTGAAATTGGAGATATTGATGAGATTAAGGACTATGTGGATGCTCGCTATATTGGACCTATGGAGGCTTGCTGGAACATCCTTGAATTCCCAAGGCATCTGGAGTTTCCTTCAGTCTATCGTCTTCCTGTTCATCTTCCTAATCAGCAGCAGGTCTATTTTGATTCTGATGACAATCCTGAAGAACTTCTCAATAGTAACAAGTCCCAAAAGACAGAGTTGACTGAATGGTTCATTGCCAACCAAAAGTATCCTGCTGCCCATGCTTACACTTATCAAGACTTTCCTCCCTTCTATGTCTGGAATCAAAAGAATAGAGCATGGACACCACGTATTCAACACTCAACTATTGGCAGAATGTACTATGTTCATCCCTCAGCAGGAGAGCGCTTTTACCTCAGGACCTTGCTTACTATTGTTAAGGGTGCCAAGGACTGGAAGGACATTCGCACTTATCAAGGCATTGAGTATCCAACCTTTCGTGAGGCCTGCTTTGCACGTGGCCTTTTGGAGGATGATGGAGAGTGGGATATGGCCTTGGCTGAAGCAGCAGACATGCAGACTGGATCTCAACTTAGATCCCTCTTTGCCACCATCCTTTGCTTCTGCATTCCTTCACAACCTCTTATTCTTTGGAACCGCTACAAGGACAAAATCTGTGATGATCTGCATGTGCGTCTTACTGCCATGGGCTTTCCTGATCCTACTCAAGAGGATGTCTTTGATTATGGCCTCTATCTTCTGGACAAAGTCCTTACTGGAATGGGAAAGCGCCTCATTGACTATCCTCCTATGCCTTTGCCTCTGCAAGATTGGAACCAAGCTGCAAATGTGCTTCTTCAGAATGAGCTCAACCATGATTATGTGGCTCTTTGGGAACAGGTCAGTTACCATGCATCCTTCAAAGTTGACCTTGAGCTGACCTTGCACTTCAGGTGGAGACTAATCTATTGACCTTCAATGCTGAGCAGAGGAATGCCTATGATGCTGTTATGCAGTCAGTCCAGTCCAACCAAGGCCAAGTCTTCTTTCTGCACAGTGCTGGAGGTGGTGGAAAGACCTATGTTTGCAACACCATTGCTGCCTCTGTCCGCTCTCAAGGCAAGGCTGCTCTTTGTGTTGCTTCTTCTGGCATTGCCTCCTTGCTTCTGGATGGTGGTCGCACTGCTCACTCTCGCTTCAAAATCCCCATTGAGGGTCTCAATGAGCGCTCCTCTTGCTCTTGGGAGAAAAACTCTGACTTTGATGGTCTTATTCATCAGACTGGGGTGGTCATTTGGGATGAGGCACCAATGCAGCATCGCTATGGAATTGAAGCCGTTGATCGCACTCTTCAGGATCTCATGGACAACCCTGCTCCTTTTGGTGGTGTTACTGTGCTGTTTGTTGGAGACTTTCGTCAGACCTTGCCTGTGGTTCCCAAAGGAAGCAGAGAGCAGATTGTGGCTGCATCTTTGCGCAAGTCCTCACTCTGGAATCACATCCAACTTCTCACTCTTAAACAAAACATGCGCCTAGACCAGACTCCTGAGAGCAATGCCTTTGCTCAATGGCTCCTCAATGTTGGTTCTGGCCATAACCTTGGTGAAGACAAGTCTATTGAACTTCCTCCCAACATGCATCTTGATAACAACACTAAGCAGTCCTTGATTGACTTTATCTATCCTGATATCTCTGATCAGCACCCCAAACCAGACCACTTCTTCCTTGACCGTATGATTCTTTCTGGGCGCAATGACACTGTTGCTGAGATCAACAAGGAGATTCTGGCCAAGTTTCCTGGAGAAGACAAGCTCCTAACCAGCATTGACTCTGTCAAGGACATAGAGGGTTATCCTATAGAGTTTTTGAACTCTATCAATATCTCTGGCCTTCCTCTTGCTCACCTCCATGTCAAAAGAGGTTGTCCTCTCATTCTTTTGCGCAACATTGATCCCTCTCATGGCCTATGCAATGGCACTCGACTCATCTTACTTGAGGCAAGGACACGTGTCTTAAAATGCCGCATCTTGGGTGGAGCACATGCTGGAAGGATTGTGTTTATCCCTAGATTAACCCTGGAGCCATCTGGAGAAGCCTGCCCTATTCCTTTGAAGCGCAGACAATTCCCTGTCCATGTTGCCTTTGCTATGACCATCAACAAATCACAAGGACAGTCTGTCAAGTTTGTTGGATTGGATTTGGAGCGGCCTGTATTTTCCCATGGCCAACTTTATGTTGCACTGTCACGCTGCACATCAGGAGATAGAATCAAGGTGTTATTCCCACCAGACTCACAAGGGACCAAAACCACCAATATAGTGTACCCTGAGGTATTACAAGGCATTTTGGATAATCAATAGTATGTCTTGGATCATAATCATTGTGACATGGCTAACAATTATAATAGGACTTGAACAAGGACTGTAGTATAAAACTTATATAGAAACTTCTTACACTTTGACTCTCAATCCCCACTCTAACTTTTTATATGTATGCTTGAAATAAAACTGCTACTCTAACTTGGCTGCTTGACTAAAACCCAACCACAAACTAAGCACTATAACACAAACATAGATTAAGCACTGTCACACAACCTCAGACTAAGCACTGCAACAAAAACTCGGATTAAGCATGGTTGCGCCGTCGCAACGCGACGGGTGAGAAGCTAGTCTAAAGAGAGTGGAAGGGCAGTATCTCGCGTGGCAACACGTGAAAACCACGTGAGCACCCGAGCGCGAAGCGCGAGGGGCCAAACCTGACAAACTGCGGCGATAGCCGCGGCGAGCGCGAAGCGCGAGGCTAAAACAATTACTTTATTGGCCAAATTATTAATTTCTCTTCTCCTGATTAAAGCATTTTCTGCACCAAAAATCCAAAAAGGGAACCTGACAAAATATGACAAAATTTATAGAGCACAAGACAATACATTCTGACTCTAACCATCAATGTACCTTATATTCCCAACTCAATACCTGCTAAATCTATGCATTCTGTGTATGGGAGCATATGTACTATCGTTGCACCGGAGTTGCAAACGGGATGGGAGGTTCAAAATCGAGCTCCTCACAGCATTTTTTGACAGCACCTTTCAAAAAAATTCAAAATTGTTCATGTAAGTACTCTTCAAGTAGTGTAGTTTTTTTAAGAACAGAAATTGGGTGCAGTAGTGAGGAAGCAATGGATAATGGTTTTCAGGACAGTGTTCTCTAAAAGATGCTCAAGATCTCTCAGATCCTTGAGCTCAATTGCCAAAAGAAAAAATCGGGAAGATGAACAGGTACTACTGAAAACATATAGACAAATTTATTTGACTTTGAAGACTCCAATGCTCTTCACCAAATTGTTTTTGACGGGCAGTGTTCGATGGCAGACAGAGTGACAAGGAGCCTCGGGTCGCGTAATGCTTGGTCATCTTTTTAAAACGCCGCTTCGCAGGTTGCCCCGCAACCAGAGTTCAAATTTGAATGTGACGACGTGTGACCCGATCGTCGGAAAGATTTGCAACTCCCAAGTTTTGCTCATTTTCGGACACACCTTCTCAATCATATCACAACAATTCTTTCAGTTCACTCTAAAATATAAAAAAATAACAGAACACATTTTAAGAAGCTTCCACAGGTATGATAAAAAATTGGAGCGAAAGGTAGCTTGATTGAAGATGTTACGAAGAAATCTTTTTTTTTTTTTGCAACTCCGGTGCAATGATAGTAATGGGAGCACACACAATAAGAGCACATACAACAAGAGCACATCCAGTAAGAGCACACATGATAGGAGTATGGGAGCATACACAATAGAAGCATACACAACAGAAGGACACACAATGGGAGCATATGCAATGGGAGCACATACAACAAAGAGTACAAGCAATAGGAGCCTATGCAATAGGGGCATATATAATCAAAGCACACACAACTAGAGCACATTTAATAGGAGCCTACCACACATAATAAAAGCACACCCAACCAAAGCACATCTAACAGAAGCACATGTGATGGGAATATACACAATGGGAGTATACACAATAGAAGCACACATAATGGGAGCATACTATATGTAATAGGAGCACATATAATAGGAGCACACCTAACTAGAGCATATCTGATAGGAACACATAGGATGGGAGTACATACAATGGGAGCACACATGATGGAAGCACATCTAACTAGAGCATATTTAACAAAAGCACACCGCATACAACACAAGCACATCCAATAAGAGCATACCTAATAAGAGCATACCCAATGAAAGCATACCCAATAAGAGCACACCCAATGAGAGCATACCCAATGAGAGCATACCCAATAAGAGCACACTCAACAAGAGCATACCTAATGAGAGCACACTCAATGAGAGCACATTCAACAAGAGCACATCCAATAGAAGCATATACAATAGTAGTGTACCCAATAGGAGCACACCTAATTCAAGCACACATAATGAGAGCACATATGACAGAAGCACACACAATAAGAGCATATACAATAAATGCATATAAAATGAGAGCACATGTAATAGGTAATCAAGTCACAAGTATATAGCCAACAATAGATTACACACAGACTACATACAGACCACACTCAGACTGTAGGTAGCCTATAATCAATGCATAGTTTGCAACTAACACAGAATATTTCAATCCTCATAGTCATTTAAAACTAAACTACAAAACTCAGATTCAACCCTAACCCCAAGAAATACTATTAAGCACTGCGTGAAAGTCGCGAAGCGACGGGTCGGAACTCGTTCCCAGGAATTGCTGGCAATTCCCGGTATTTGTCAGCAATTGTTGACAATGTCCGACCACAATTGTCGCAAATTGCCGCAATTGGGTGCAACCCATCCAGCCACCAATTTACCAATTCCATTCTACAGAACTCACAAATTTTCAACCCCTCAAAAACTCTTTCTAGATACTCAATAATTGTCAACATTTGCCAACAATCTCTGAGTCTACAATACAGCCCTCAATCAAACAATATCCAACAATTGCTAACAATCAGCTAGGGCCATGGGTGGCATAGCAAAGTATATCCCAATATGACTTAAAAATAGAGTAGCAAGGTATAACAATATCTGACAAGATCCAACAAGATCCAAAAAAGCTTAAAAAGTGGATGTGATATCGAGATTGGGCAGGATCAAAAGGTAATTATGATAGTAGACAATTGTTGACAATTGTTGGCAACAAGATCAAGGACAGATTGCTAGCAATTGTGGCATTTATATGAAATCTGCCAGTAATTGTTACAAAATGTTAGATATTGCTGATCAGACCCTAAAGAGTTTGATTTTTGTCTGAGAAATCCCTTCATACTTTAAGAATATGAAAAAATTGGATTCTGTATTTAAAGAAGCTTGGGCAGGTACAGTAAAAATTTGGGGGAAAAATAATATCAATTGAAGGTGTTATGAAGAAACCTTTTTTTTTGCAACTCTGGTGCACTGATAGTACACGGAATGATTATCTTATATGTAAGGTTAGCTAGCCAAATGACACATATTTGGCTAAGACAAACAAAGACTATGGGAGCCCGACCTGCGGATATGATATGCAAGTCACTGTAAGATGATGCCCGATGGCATCAGCTCTAGCGACAAAGGTACCTCTTCCGTGCATTGGAATCGATATTTGAGAGGACTGACATTTCGCAGACTGTTGTGATAAATTTATGGTAATTGAGTCGTTCTATGGCTATACTTTGTCACGTAAAATCCAACATTATTCCAACCCTTTTTGTACGATAGTCCATCGTCCCCATGCACTCTGGGCAGAGGGGGATATGTGTCAGGGGTGACACCCGGGCCGAAATCGTACACGAAAGGACGGCTCTGTGTCGCGCCAAACAGGCGTGAGCTCTCCAGGATGACCGAGTAGACCGGAGACGAATCATTTCCGGGCGCGTGGACACTCCACCCAGTCTTAGGACTGCGAACGTCCCAAAATGCCACGACACTGTGTCTGGCTGTTCCGGCTGCTATGTGGCTTGATGATCCCCCGCCGCACGAAACAGAGTAGACGGGCTCGAATGACCACGGATCGGAGAGGGATAGAACAGGGAAGAGGGGAGCAGGGCTGTTGTTGAGGCGGGGGACGCAGGTGGGTGATCGCAGATCGTGCACGTGCACGAAGCCGTCATACCACCCTGAGACTAAAATATTATCGGATGCACCCCAGGGAAACCCAGGCGGGGTGCTTGAGATGCCATATACAGCGGACGACCTCTCAGACTCGAAGTCCTTAACAGAGGACCAGAGGATGGAGGAGGGCGTTGCGGAGATCTCAGAGTTTGTTATGGTGTGCACGGCGAGAGGGTTATCCGATGATGTGCCAAATGCAGCGTAGGGGGTCGATGATTGAGTTGAGAGGTACGCCGCCCAGCCGCGTTCCCCCAGCTCGATCATGTGTGGGGAGGGAGTGGGGAACGATAAGTTGAGAAGGCCTGCCGTGCCATTCTCAGTCAGTGAGAGAAGTAGATCGGATGTGATCGAGAGGGATTCAATGATGTCTCCGTGATGGTAATGAAATGGTGTCCGTAGGACGGGATCGATGGTGACTTCCTTCCTGCCATCTTGCATAGGTGGCAAGTAAATGCGTTCTAAGGCGCCGTGAACAAAACCAACGAATAGCGTGCGATCACCCCTGTCGGGGAGAAACACGACGGCCGTGATATCGTGCTTAGAGGAATCTGGGGGGCGAAGAAGCGAGTACGAGCACTCAAATCGCATGCCGGGAGTGATGCCGTCACCCCCAGAAGTGGTAAAAGCGTATGAGTATAGTATATGGCCAGCGGCGACCACTAGTCTGGAGTTGTTAATCGCTAATAATGGTTGGAGTTTGCCATGCCATGGACGTGATAAAGGCCGGGCGGCAAATGTGGTCCGCGCCCAAGCTTTGTCCGACAAGGTGTGGTACTTGATCTGCGCACCCGGACACCATTGGGACAAGGCCTTGGCCATGCTGTAGGAGGGGCGGGGATATAGTCTGATGTGACTCTTCCACCCATATTCATGCACCTAGCGTGCATGTCCCATGGCTCAGTTCGGAAGAGCTCAGCGCTTGGGCGTGAGGGACTCACTAGACGGCGGAGAAGATGACACGCCTCTGACAACGCAACGAGACCCTTCACATCGAGATCTTTGATGACTATCAGGAGGATGTCGGCGGGTAGCGCCAAGAAGTACATGAAGGAAAGAAACGAGGGGTGGGGAAGGCGTCTGGAAGTGCGCGTCAGCGCGATACAAGTACGCGCTTGTAAATCAGACGTTATGTTAGGCAGCGATATGTCGGGGCTGGGCAGTTGTGTTTGAGATCACACAAATTCAGGAAAATGCAGAACAATCGAGGAGACACTGAACGGACTGTTTGGTGGAGTCGACAGAAAGAATGGTGGAGCATTTTTCTGCCGCCGATCGCGCAGACTGTTCCCGTGTTCGGCCCGCTGACAGCCCTCGGCAGCTCTAGCTACGCGCAGGGACGGCACGTTCAACGACCACCGCTTTTCTACTACATACGCACCCTCCTTGATTATCACACGTTCCTAGGAACGTCTTCGAACATTTTGGCCAGCGATGCGCAGGGACGTACGGATATTGCTCGTCGGGGACGGTAAGAAATCATCTTGCTTTTGAACGCACTGGTCGTTGAAACTCAGTCGCGTCCGACAGAGGGCGTTGGAAAGAGCACTATAGTGACGTCGCTCATCAAGGAGTCGTTTGTTGCGCAAGTGAGCATTTCATGCGGAGAAGGCTCGTCGGTCTGTCTCATCGTGTGTCAGGTTCAGCACATAGTTCCCGAGGTTACGATCCCACCGGAGGTCACCCCAGAGAATGTAACTACGTACATTGTCGATTCCGGCGGTGAGCATCGCAATTGATTCAACCTGATGAATACCCATGCGTCATCATCGTAGTTGGCCCCCAGGATAAGCAACATCTCGAGACGGAGATACGCAAGGCTCATGTCATCTGTGTCGTCTATTCTATCGACAACCCAAACTCATTCGACCGCATCCCGACATACTGGCTTCCATATTTCCGTCAACTAGGAGTGAATGTACTGCCGTTAATCACCCTCCTACGACATCAACGGACTGACTCATGTTCAGATCCCAGTCATTCTCGTCGGTAACAAGATAGACTTGCGTGGAGGTGAGGTGACGAATGAAGCTTTGGAAGCAGAAATCATACCTATCATGAATGAATTCAAGGTGGGTCGCACATCATAGCAGACCGTCAGCTGAATAAACAGTCGTCGCTCAGGAAGTTGAGACATGTGTAGAATGCTCTGCCAAAATGCCTCTGAATGTATCAGAGGTCTTCTATTTCGCCCAAAAAGCCGTCCTTCATCCTACTGCTCCTCTATATGACTCTCGAGATCATGTGCGCTCCTTGTTCTTGCTTCCGATAGACCGTTATTGTTGATGTGGTCAGCGCACAGGTCCTGAAACCTGCTTGCGTGGATGCGCTTAGACGAATTTTCAAGCTTTGTGATGCAAACAAAGATGGATTACTTGACGCCGCAGAGCTGAATGAATTCCAGGTTTGTCCTGTTTCATTCTACATCATCAGGCTGACATTGACAGCCTCTTCCCGAGGGAAGCGTAAATGTTTTGACGCTCCACTACAGCTGCAGGAGCTAGAAGGAATCAAGGAGATGGTTCGAGAGCATGCCGAAAATGGAGTACGAGACGATGGTTTGACAGAAGCTGGCTTCTTGTATCTGCACACCATATTCATTCAACGGGGTCGCTTGGAAACCACCTGGACAGTACTACGAAAATTCGGATATGCGGAAGATTTGCGGCTAATGGAAAGCTTTCTTTTCCCAAAGTAAGCCAATGAATCTAGTAAATAATTGAAGTTGTCTGACGCAGAACTACTCGAAGATTCGAGGTACCGCCAGACTGTTCTGTCGAATTGAGTCCGTTAGGGTACCAATTCTTCACTGATATCTTTGAGACCTTCGACAAGGTAGGCAAGCATGACGCCTATTGTCAATATGGGACTTACACTTCTACAGGATCAAGATGGCGCTTTGAAGAGATCGGAACTGGACGACCTGTTTAGCACGTCACCCGAGAATCCTTGGGCTCGCCAAAATTTCCCGGACACGACCATCGCGGACGGCACTGGTGCCGTAACGTTGCAAGGCTGGCTTGCGCAATGGAGGTCCGGACGTTTTTATATATATAACAAGCTCTCGTTTACTGACGGTCTGGTCCGATGTCGCAGTATGACGACCTTGCTCGACCACAAAACCACACTAGCATACCTAGCATACCTGGGATACCCAGATGAACCAAGGACAGATGCGCTGCTGATCACTCGGCCCCGTAAGCATGACCGCAAGAAGGGCAAGTTAACAAGAAATGTGTTCCTGTGCTACGTATGTGGCGCTGCGGGTTCTGGCAAAACGTCACTGCTTCGCGCCTTCGCCGGGAAGCCATTTCAGGAGATATACGAGCCCACGAAAAAGATGTTCAGCGTGGTAAACTCGGTCGACATTGACGGCTCCGAGAAATACCTAGTTGTGGGTGGATCTTTCGCACTTTCTTGCGGGCGATCTGATCCAGCGGCGCGATTCAGTTGCAGGAATTTGGGTCCAAGTACGAGGCGGAGACGCTTCGGAACTCCAAGAAAACGGACCTGGCTGATGTCATCGTGTATGTTCATGATTCGAGCGACACAAATTCATTTTCGTATATCAGCAATCTACGGGTATGTCTCTAATTGTTTGAGTCATGGTTGCTCCCGCTTCTCACTGTCAGAGTTAGCAACAATATAGCCTAGATCATATACCCACGCTATTTGTTGCTACGAAGTCGGATCTTGACCTCGCACAGCAGGTGAGCTGATTCCAGGCCTGATGCTTCGTGCATGTTGTTCAAAAATAGTGTACATAGAGACATGAGGTTCAACCTGATGTATACTGCCGGCGTCTCAGCCTGCAAGTCCCAGTGGCTGTTAGCGTAAAGACCGGTCAAATCGCAGACGTATTCCACGCGGTCTGCAGCATTGCGATCCATCCGTACGTACATATCGCCAAATCACCACCCCTTTACGCAGGGTCTGATTTCCTCTGTTCCCAGAAACTCTTCTATACCAGGAGGCGCCGATCGTGCGTTGTCATCAGCAGCACGATTGCGGACTTACGTTCTGGTGTCGGCGTTGGTTGGAGGTTTGTCGTTTGGGCTGGCATTTACTTACCGAACATTGTTGAGGCCGGGAGGACCACTTGGGGGATGGGCAGGGCATTTTCTGGGTTGGATCGGAGGCTCACGGTGAGACCTATGATATAGGATTTGAGGTAGATGCTGTAGTCGTTCGCCCTGTGTAGTGACCGTATTTAATACTAATGTCGGTGAGGTCCGAGGAGAGAAAGGTGCGGACGGAGTGTGCCGAGAGCCGAGGCGTGGTGATTTCATCTGGGCGTGCGTTGAAAGCGTGGGGCTCTGTGGCAGAACCGTTCAAAACAAACGTGCTATATACCGTGACCTTTCTTTCACAGACACCCTGACAAGTTTCTCCTTGCAATCCTTTCATCTGCCTCAAGCCCTGCTGAAAGCAAAGCCTTGATCGCCGCAAAGAATCTGCTCCAACCGGACCTGCAATCTATCGCAGTCATCTTGAGTTTCACAAATTAGTTTCATAATGGACGAAGACATGGACTTCGACGGGGTTCCAGCAGCCCATCAGCAAAGTTTTGTTACACAGGGGTACAATGATGCCCAGATACCCTCGGGTGTGGACGACGGGCGAAAGATGCTGTGCGTCCCAGCTCTGCTCTGCTCTATTCCCTCTGTCCCCGATTCACAGGGGCTGACGTTGAGACTTGTATCTTCAGAGACCTTGTTTTCGTCCAAGATTGTACAGGAAGTCAAGGCAGCTATATATCATCAGCGACGAAGAATATCGAACTCATATGCGAAAATATCTTCGAATCCGGGAAACTTCAAAATCGGGAGGATCTTCGAGTCGGTCTCGTCGCCTATCGGGATCATCCTCCACAGGATCATAGTTACGTGACCAAGAACTTCGGATTTTCGTCTGATATCAGCAAGGTGCATAAAGACCTGTCTAGTCTTTATGCATCGGGTGGAGGCGATGGCCCTGAAGCGGTCACAGCGGGATTGTTCGAGGCACTGCATATGGATTGGAGACCGCAGGCCAGTAAGATGGTCATCCTCATTGCGGACGCACCGCCGCATGGAATTGGGGAGTATGGCGATGGTATGTTAACACGACTGGAAGATCGGATTGGTGCTTCTTATCTGGATGGCAGGTTTCGACGAGGGATCGCCAGACGGTCACGATCCTCTCCAGCTCGCACGAGAGATGGCGGCTCATGGAATCATCCTCGTAGGTGACTGGTACAAGGCTTTTCATCCTGCTGACCAGTCTCATCGTACAGTTTTTTGTCGCTTGCGAGCCGGCATTGAGCAATTACTCTGTAGGTTGTCTCACCCGACCGCATCACACGTCTGACTGAATCTGTGTACAGTATGCAACCGACTTCTTCCAGGCGCTCACAAATATCACATCTGGCATCATGTTGCCGCTTACGACAGCAGATTTGCTCGCACATGCTATCGTAGGTCTTGTCCTCGAGAACCTTGACATGGAGCGCTTGGTCCGCGAGGTGGGCCAAGCGGTCGCGCAGCGGATATTGGGCAATAATGAGAGCGTGGACGATGTTGCTCGGGAGCTGCACGAGAAGCTGCTTCTCCGGAACGAGAACACGAAGAAAATTGTCATCGAGTCTATCTACAAGGACTCTGATGAAGCGAGATCGAATGTCAACGTATTCAGTCAGGCAGCTTCCCTCACCGAGGCGCGACCTCATCTACGAAGAGTAAGCCTTCATCCGGTAGCATTTCGCATTGGCAACAGTTCATTGTGACTTCATTTTCAGGTGACTGGCTCGCGGTTCACTGATAAATACCTCCACGTTCGGATGAATAATAGCAAATCATCCTACTCGCACACAACTGCTGTCCCAATTCGGTCAACCGAGCCTAAGCCGTTTGCCAGCACGTCGACGGCACACTCGCCCCCGAGAAAGGTCGTCACAGACTTCGCTGCATTTGGTGCGCCGAAGACTGCTAGCGTCTTCGGCACGGCTGTCGCGTCGACCCCGTTCTCACTGGCGGGCAACAAGGCGGCGTTTGGTAGCCTGCGGAATCCAGCTGGGCGCGGGATGGAGGACGAGGATGAAGATGAGGACGAGGAAAATGATGGACGCCAGAGAGTATTTTTGAAGGAAGACTCCATCACACTAGAACAGGTATGTAAAACCATCACATCCTTCACGCCTACGCTCATCATATCCGCAGGCCCGACGCATTGCGATGCAAAGCGCATGGCGGAGTACGCGAGCCTGAGCGTGTTGGCTGCGTCAATACCATTGTCAAATGCGTGGACCTGTGTCTCATACTCATCCATGATTTCGCAGCCGTATGTTTCTTTGTGATTCATACGCATTATGTTCGTTTAGCATCCATCCCATAGTGCGGAATGTATAATAATGAGCAGGAATAAATTGAATACCGAATGTAGATGATTGTCACGGACGTATTCACAGATATGATGCGATGCATAAGTTCGCGAAGAGTAGTCTGAGCGGTATGATACGAACGAATAGCTATGTCCGTGACGCCTTGTCCCTCTTCCGCTTTTTCTTGGAAGTCGCATCGATGTCCTTTGCGACTCCTTCATCTTTCCGACGGGTTTGACCCTTTGTACTTTGATATGCTGGTTGATCCTCTTCGACCATAAGCTCTCTATTCTCCACCTTTTGATGCCTCCTTTCTTCGGGTATGTTTTCTTCCTCCTCTGGTGCCCGTTTCTTCCGTTTCTCCTTCTTGGTCTGTCGCATCTCCTCTTGAATGCCATCGGCACCAGCCATTTCTTCCTCAACATGCTGTTCGCATCGGGCCTCCTCCTTAGCCTTCCGCTTGTCCATTCTCATCATTTTCCTTTCCAACTTTTCTGCTTGTTTCGCCTCCCTTCTCCGTCGCTTCTTCTCACTCCTCTCTGCCTCATCTTCTGACTCTTCCTGCTCGACCTCTTTCACTTTCCGCTTCTTTTTCTTCTCTGGCCTTCCGGCTGTGCGCTCGCCTTCTGAACCTGTGTATTCCTTTTCCGCCTGTTTACCCTTGTCGCCTGCTGTAGCACCTACGGGCCGTTCGATTTGTCTGACCACCACTGTCTCTGTTTTGATCATCTCTGTCTCCACATCATCTGGGCCTATGACAGGGCCTTTGAAGAATCGAGAGTATAGGCCGCGTCTGGCTGCTTCTTTTTTTGCGAGAGCCATGAGGCTGAGACGAGAGGTGGAGGTGGAATCGGAGGAGGGAGTCGCTGTGCCCGAGGACGCGGGGGTACCGATTAAGGGGCGGCGATTGGACAGTATGCCCGTCGTTGTGCGCTTGAGTTCAAATGTCCGGGTGCCTTCTTCCTATGCGAGATGAGATGCATCTCGTGAAGTGTGTGAACTGCTCACCTCCATGTCTTCATCATCGCTCGAGATCTTGACCTTGATAGCGGTCGCCGCTGCCGCAAATAAGCTGGGTGGCAGGCATGTATCACTACGTCGTTGGGACAGAATGCAATGGAGATCACTCAACTGGTCCCAGAAGGGAAACGCTTCGTCTCTGTCCTTGCCTAGACCTGCCAGGTTTTTCTTTTGAGGGATGGCCAGAGGGCGGGAGATTGCGCCACGGCGAAGGCCTGTTCCAGTACCCGACCATCCTTGAGCAACAAGGTACGAGTGCCCGTCGAGAGGCATCGTTCGCAGGACCCAAAGTATACGCCGTGGTATTACACGGCGATTTTATTCTGTTGCGGTAAATATGTGGTTTTCCAAGAGAACACAATGTCGGTGTACCCAAGCTCGAGAACAGTGGCCCGGATTTCTCAGTGATGATAGGACTGAAGCCGTTGGGAGGAGAGGTCCGTGCGTGAGGAATTGATGAGAGACCGGCAAAGGCCGAGAGGGTGTATAATACGGCGGTGGGGCGAGGGTGCGCGGTCGTTGACTATTGTCTGCTTGCCTGGCCCTGCTATATATTCACCGGCGATGGCTGCCATCCCTGGCTTTTCCATGCTTTCGTCGCCTCGAGACACCAACATGCTTGGCTTCCCGTCCCTCTCCCCCGATGACCCCTCAGATCAGGCCAACGCACCCGGCGCTGATCCTGCTTCCTCTCTTCGTCAAGCTGCTCTCCTGACTCTCAGATCGCGCCGTAAGCCGCACACTGGCTCTGATCTCTTGCCTGGGCTGCCTTCCCGTCCTACGCGGGCCACAGCATCGTCCATCGTGCTCGACTACGGTCAGGATGAGCCTTCTTCTGCCCCGCCCTCTTCTGTTGCCCCGCCTGCTGCTCGGGCCCCATCTGCCTTGCCTGCTCCGGTGTCAGCGCATGTACCTTTGTCAGCACCACCACACATGCCAGTGCAGAAAGTGGCACCCTCCATACACGCAGCACAAGAAGATATCACTATGAGGGAGGAAGGCGAGATCAGCGACAACGAAGGCCCTCCATCGCCTCCTCAACCCCCACCTCACAGGTCGCCTCCCAAGGAGACGGCAAGTGTCTTGAAGCACTCAAGAAATATGCCTCCCAGTGGACTTGTTTCCGCCTCGCCACACTCAACATTCTTGCATCCCGCATCGATATCTCAGCCTCCAATGGCAAAGACGGATCAGACTTTTTCTCAGCCTCCGACTCCTCGCACCCCTCCAAGACCATCTCTCGTCGAACGATTGGCTCCGGTATCCCCGACTAGCATCAAATCAGACACTTTTCAACTCGAAAATCCTGCTTATCTTGTCGATGTCAATCACGTTCGGCCTGGCCTGAACAGTTCGTAGAATCTTGCCCATGACAACATTCATTTTCGCTGACCATGTCCTCCACAGTGACACTGGAGCAATACACGGCTGCCAAGGATATCGTCCTTGATCTTCTAGGATGGGGTGTTGCTCCTGAATATCTCGTAGATTGTGGCTTCTCTCGCGAGATCGTCTATTACGTCTTTTCTGAACTCAATCTCCGCCTTCCATCCAACTTTGACACCACCGGCATCTTACCGTATCCCCCAACGCCAGAGATGGTCGCATCTTGGCTCGGGGTTCCCTATGATGTCGTCGAGCAATCATCGGGGAAGCCCGTCTCCCTTCGCTCACGCGGTTCTATAAGTCATCCTCTACCGCAGAAACCGCCTATCGTTTCGCCTCAAGGTCTGCTCATTTTACCCTTTCTGAGGATCAGGGTCCTGAATTTTGTATGCAGGGAGTGTGGTGACACCGACATTCAAGCCTCAATTAACAGTCACAACGTCATCGGCAACGGTTCCTGAACCGCCTTCGGGGACCTCTCTAGCGGATATGGAGCAGCAGCGACGGCAAGAATTGCTCGCGCGCAAAGCTGTCCAGGCCTCAAGAAAGCGCAAGGAGTCTAGTGTATCCGGGACGTCCTCTAGTATGGCATCTGCCAATGAGCCATCTCCTATGGACTTTGAGGAACAGCCATCAACTCAGCCTTTGGCCCCTGCTTCCAGTGTCGAAGATTTTTTGAAAAGCATCGAGCCAGTATTTATTGGCTCTGCCAGTAGCAATAATTTCGGCACCGAATCTAGTTCCTTCATCAGAGCTAGCCCTGACGCAATGGACGTGGATGATGCGATTCCAGGACTCGGCGGCGGATCTTATCTGGAGCATTATCCCAAATCTAGCCCCTCCCTTGGAGTCGCATCGCCTGAAAAAAGTCAACGGCCTCGTTCAGTGTCTCGGAGTTCCATGGATTTTTCAGACGTCGCGAGCTCCTCAGACGAGTCCAAGTCGAAGGGTTCAGTCCTGAAGCGGAAGGCCAGCGTACCGCCCAAACAACCGAACTCGACCTACTCCGAGGATAGTAGCAATGGGACACCAGTTCCACCCGAGAGTCAACCAGTCGCTCCGTTCAGACGCGGAACTAAGCGCCCAGTAGCAGCTGATTTCGTTGACCTCGACTTGACCAACGCTTCTCGTCACAAGTCCAACGGCTATGGACATAACGGTGCGCAGCACCCCAATCCCCATGTTCGGCGGAAGATGAATGCTGCAGCCATGGGAGGATTCGCAAGTGTTAGTAGTATGCGAAGGTGTGTCATTGATCTCAGCGATAGCGAGGACGACGAAGAGGCAGAGGAAGGAGAGGAGTTGGAGCACCATGTGGCTTCATATACGATCAGACCCGCCAGTGCAGCGGGGTCAACGGCAGGTGCAGCAGCGTCTGGCGATCCCACCAAACTTGAGCTAGAAATAAAGAGAATTCGCGAGGAGATCAGAGCGAGGGAGGATTCAAGGCAGAAGAGGTTGGCAAAGGTAAGCCCATTAAGGAGGTGGTGCCCGATGAAAGCAGACGTGTTTATTTCCTGTTCATAGAACCTCAGTTCTTCTACACCATCTGCCATCGCGACTCCACTCGTTACGCCGGCGTCTCCGACTTTACTCCCTGTTATGGCTCCTGATCTCCTTATGGTGAAGCAAGAACCTACAGAACTGCCTGGCCTCACTGCGGCAGCTTCTACGAACGCGACAGCAACGTTGTTTCCTGCCAGCGTGGTATCGGATCAGAAACTAGCCTCGACAGAGCTGAAAGGGGAAACAGACATGAGCAATCCTCCAAATGGTGAGTGTTATCCTCACCGAAGACACCGTGTTCTGTGGAAACCCTATGTTTTTATTTCTGCACGTCCACGCCGCCAGCCTTCATATAGGAAGGCTACCCCTCTTGAACGATGTTCTCGACCAGATCGTCTGTGTATCTCAGCATTGCGCAGCTCCAAGACATCGATCACATGTTTTCACTTGGTTTAGGAAGATGTCGTGCAGTTCTAACAATAGTCTCTTTGGCAGCTTCGTCTCCTTCATCCCAGCTAGCTGGCCAAGCTCTGACGAGCCCTCCATCGCAGTCCAACGGTGACTCGGTGATGTCCACACCTGCTGGTCATACTTTTTCCTATCATTCTCAAAGGCCATCATCTCGCTGACTCTTTGGGTGTTTTTTTCCCCCTATCTTACCACTGCGACCCCTCTCGTTCATGTCTATCTTCTGCTTCTTTCATATCGGGTCGCGAATTTTATGTCGTCGTTGTGCCACATATCCCCTTCCTTTTCCATATCTTTTTGCAGACAACTCATCGCTGCCTGCCACAAATGGCATTGTCCACGGAACCACTGGCGAGCAAGGCGAGTATCCGGTTAACCTCATCATTCTCATGCTGAGCTTTCCACCACGGAATCCGTTGTTCTCTCTGATAACCTTTCTCCTGTCTTCGTTTCTCTCTGGCTATGGACTGTGCTTCTTTTATTACTTCTCGACTTCGCTTTACATCTCTTCGCTTCCTCGTGTTTTTTTTCGGACCAGCAGTTCTCACGGCCGAAGCTCGGCAAGAACAAGTGGCAAGGATCCCTTTCTTCCCCTACGCCTACTTCCGATCCAATTTCTTCTAATGTCTGCTTTTCTGTTTTCTCTTGGCTGCGCTCTCGTTTCAACTTCTGTCAACCTCTATCAAACGTATTCTTGGTTTTCGCATTCGTTATCGTTCGTTGTTCCCTTCGCTTTCGATGTATCTCTAGGTGTCTCCAAGCGCGAGCACGTCGTCATCAATATCCTCTCCCTGTGCACTGTCTCCGTTTTCCCAGGAAAACGGCTTCGGTCATAGAAGCGTCGACGTTGCGACGTCGGCCCAGGTGCGTGCCCGCTCACATCCCTTTCTGGAAGCCTCAGCCCTAGATGCTCTCTTCCTTGGAGTCTTATGCATGTGCTAACAGTAGCGATGGGGGTGACATCTTTGTTCAACAGGATCCACAACCTTGGACGTCGGCTAACGCGACGCACGCCCCAGTACCCCCGCGATATAAGGCCTATGAGCCGATTCTTTCTTCTTACCCTCTTCTCAGTGAACACTCACTCGCCTCGCAGCAGTCGCCACAAGCGTCAAGCACCCGCTCTTGGCTACGGGTTCCGGACCTCGAGTCCCTCAAGCTTCGGACTGCTTTGAGATCGATTGCTGCCGCGGGGTCGCAGGGTCAACGTGTTTGTCAATACGAAGTACCGGGAGGCGGCGAATGTCGCGACGTTAAATGTGGCGACCTGCACATCGACCGGATCGCGGTCGAGCCCAGTGGTGCGCCCTATCCACATTATGTCTGACCTCCCCTTTTTCGTGATCTTATCGCATGTGTCCCGCTCGCTACTGTTGGTTTGGTTGCAGATGAGGATACGGCCAACTTTTTTCAAGCGGCGCTCCCAGGCAACGTGCGGGCGGCGAACCCGTTGGAATTGTATCATGCTCTGCGGCATGCACGGGCGCAAATGGGAACTTCAACATTCGACGAGCGCGTCGGTGCTGTGTGGGCCAGTCTTGTTGAAGCCCACGACCGGTAACGATGAAGTGCCGACCTGGTAGTGATGCCCGACGTGGAGCTCGCAGCCACGAACGTAGTTTGTGTGCAGGCTCAGTCGGAGGCGCGCGCCGCGCAGAGGAGGAATCGACGTCAAAAAAAAAAAAAAGAACGAGTCGCAAGACGCGATTGGGGCGACGTCGTCGTGTGATGATGTCTTTTTCGATGGTCAAAAACATGTTGCGTGTGCGTGCGGTGATGTCGACGGGGAAGAGCGCCGTGAGCGCCATCGGGAAGCCTGGGGGCGTCGGCTCCTGAGTGCAGTCGGATGAGACATGGATGTGTAGCGAGAACGGGCCCAATGTAGATACATAGGACTGTGTAGACGAGCTGTGTGGGCGGCGAAGGAATAATTTGTTTGTTATTCGTGGAAGCCTTTGGGAGCGTGTTCCGGTTGGCAAGTGCAGGGGCGTAGAGCGGCGGATGTGGACGGGAGGAATTGGGGCGATAGGGAAGTGCGCGGAGCTGGAAAGGCGAAAGGGGTGATGTGCTTAGAAATAGGACGTGTCCGGATTAGGTGGATATGAAACCTAAAGGGCGGGTGTACGGACGGGGACTGGGGCCAGATGTTTGCGCGTGTTAGGGAGCGAGTGCCTGGGAGTACCTGGATATAGATAAGCGGGGTGTCTGGAAAAGGGAGGCCGTCGCTGCCCTCTCGAGCTCCCCCTCATCTTCCACTTGCCTCTTTCGACCCCTGCCTATTCCGGACGTCCTCCCCCGCATCCCTCCTGCGAGCCCCCTCCCCGCCCATATCCTCCCTCCCTCCCTCCCTCCCTCCTCCTTCCCTCGTTCGCCCTCTTTCCTCTCACAGCATACACGTATGGCCTTTCGTCCATTTTCTCCTCCCAGCGACGCGTTTGCTGACCTCGACTCCCTCCCCTCTCCCTATTCCAACACCGCGGCATCAAATCGCCCTCCTTCCCTTTCCGGCACTGCCAGTCCACAACTAGCCCGCACACGTCGTCACCGCTTAAACATGCCCGCAGACCCCTCCGCCGTGGCCCCGCCCCCGCCCCCCGCCCAAGACCAGTTCATCACTGACCAGGACGTCGCCGACAGCGGCGCTGAAGACGACGAAGACTCCGACAAGCCAAAGTCGGACAAGAAGGCAGGGCGGCGGAAGATCAAGATTGAATTTATCCAGGATAAATCGAGAAGACACATCACGTTCTCAAAAAGGAAGGCTGGTGAGTCTCCGTCCCCACTCCTTGAGATTCCAGATCCGTCCTGAGTAGGCCATTCCGTCGCGCGTCCTCAGGCATCATGAAAAAGGTATCTTCCCTCGCCGACTCCCCTCTTACCCTTTTCTCCCTCTAATCACCATCCCCCCTTCCTCATCAGGCCTACGAGCTCTCCACCCTCACCGGCACCCAGGTCCTTCTGCTCGTTGTTTCCGAGACTGGTCTTGTGTACACCTTCACCACCGCCAAGCTCCAGCCCCTCGTCACCCAGCCAGAGGGCAAGAACCTCATCCAGGCTTGCCTCAATGCACCCCCCGGCACCCTCCCCTCCTCCATGCCCATCGGCCAGCCCCTAGGCAGGAATCCCACCATGGGCGTCCCCGCCCACCACAGCAACGTCCCTGGCGGTCTTGCTATCGGGGGCGGGGGAAAGGAAGAGGAGGGCGAGCAGGAGGACGAGGGCGATTCCCGCGGCAACAAGCGCCGCCGTCATTCTACCACCACGCAGTCCGGCGGTCGTCACGGCCGCAGTGGGAGCGGTGCAGGCGTCGCGAACGCCCCACCCTCCCCACATAGTCCCGTTCAGGCGATGCCACCCTCCCTCTCCATCCCCCACCCACAGCAAGGGAACCAACACTCTCAGCAGCAGCAACAGCAACAGCAGCCCCCACAGATCGCCCTCGGGCCTTCGCCGACGACGACCTCGCCACAACAGCCGACCTCGCCGCACTACACACACGCCAGCCCGACACACTACAACGCGCCAAACCAGGACATGTATGGCACGCAGCCAGGCCTGATGGCTCCACCGCCTGGTCCCCCCGCGTATCCGTTTGGTACACAGGCCGGTCAGGGGGCACCGACGCACTGGACGCACGGGCCTGGCGCTGTGCAGGGGGGCTACAGGAGATAGTGGTAGGTGAGTGCGACATGGCAGGGGTAGGAGGGGCGGGGTTCGTTTGGCGCGGTTGAGAGAAAGATTAAGATATGAAGAGTTTCTCAAGCGACTTCTGGCGGCCCTCCTACCCCTCTGTGCGCGTGTTGTCGTAGGCGCTCCCTTTCTGGACGTCCTCCCTTTCCGCTGTGCCACACCGTCATTCTCGTCATCAATGGAATAAATCATACAAACGTGGTCGTGTCTCATGTCTAGTGTTTGTTTATCTGGCTATCTGTGTCTGTTCGTCTCGTCTCGTCTGTCTCGGCTTGTACCTATACAAGATCCCTTCTCTCTTTTTTCTCTTTCTCTCCGTCGTCGGGCCATGACGCCGCCACTGTATACACGTTGGCCGGCCATCACTTTCTCTCTTCTCTCTCCATGCTTTCCCACCCGATGATCTCCATACGTGTACATGTACTACATACGGTCGGCGAGCCAGCCTCTTGCCTTTTCTTGACAGAGTTTTTAACTTTAGCGCTTCTTATTCCTTTTTTTTTTCCCGCGAACCGCGTCCGACAGGACGTCCATTTCAGTTACGCGAGGGCGAGCTTGAAAGTTATTGTTCTCGTTCTCGTTCTGCGTTCTTGTGACCACACTTTGTACTTGTTACAGGCTCGCTTCGTACGCTCCTTGACATGTCTTCATTTTCTTTTCTTGTCTTTTCATTTCGAAGCCGTCGGCCCTTCGACTGCCTCCTTCGCGCCCGCCATGGTCCGGACCCTCGTACGTACATACGACGGCAGCGTCAGGGTTTTTTCTTGCATTCCTCGCTCTCTGTTCAGGGTCGGTCGTTTGAGGAGGTCAGGCGGATCTGGAGGGCCCTGCGCTCGTGGTGCATATGACCGCACGGTTCGCGTAAACGACTACGACTGGGTACTACTGCTGCAATTAAACAGTTCGTGTATATACGATCCCGCGCGTGTCAACCGGCCTCTATTGTAAGACTTGCGCGCGCGCGTATCGGCCGTCGAACCTGTCGCGCTTGTCGATACGTGCGCGGGAGAAGACGCGCCGGTGGACGACAGACTGGGACGGGCTTGGACTCGGACAGCATCGCTTACGCGCGCTACGACAGGCTGTTACGACGTGCGATGCATAATGCATGACGTCACGAGGACGCCCCGAGTTTCCATTTCCGCGTTTACGGTTTCGCTCTCGTGTCGGCTCTCGCGTTGGCTCGTTTCCCCCATTTCGAATTCGCCTGACCTCAGAAGCGGACTCGGACTCGGATCGGACTCAGACTTGGCGTCGGTATCACAAAGAAGCCCTAAAGGCCGCGAGGCCTCGAGCCCGACGCGGTTGCGGTCGATGTCGGTAGACCAATACGGTGGTGAATACAATGACCAGGTCATGTGTAAGTGGGGTTTGTGGGCCATTCGGCGTCTGCATTGTTGGTTGAACAACGACGGCCATAAACAGGAGGAACGGTACGACATATCAATATTAGCCCGAGTCAGGGACGTGTGGAGCGAGGCGAGGCGAGACGAGACGAGAAAAGACGGAAAACAAAGGGAAGGTTAAAAGCGAGAACAACAGCGTGAATCGTGAATCGCGTACAAACAGCGGTCGGTTAGTCGAGGGCAGGCTCTTTCTTAAATATATAAGCCCGTGGAGGGGTCCAATAAGTAAATGAAGTAGATAAGTACTGGGCGGTCGTGGTGCGCTGCGGCCCGAGAGACGAGAAAACAAGGTCCGAACAGAGCAGAGCCAGAGATTTTTTTGGACCGAGCAAGGAAGCAGAACGTGGCCTTTAGGGGATAGCGTGTGATGCTGGGTCTCGTCGTAGCGCAGATCATGGATGCGGTCGGCAGCGCACGGACGTTCGACGGCATTGCGGTTGCGCACTTTTGTTCTAGAAATGTAGCAGCGGTCGCGTTGATGGTACACTGTTTTTTGTTTTTGATTCTTCTCGGATCATCGACGGGTGCCAGCTCGAAAGCATGCGAACGCGCAGGCTACATGGCACTAGGATGATGACCGCTGGTGGGCGTCGAGGCCTTGGGAGATCGAAAATCGGAACCGGGTACTCATGCCGCACCGGGTCTCCGACACTGATTCAGCAGAGCTGGGAGAAGTCCCGCAAAGACGCTCAGAAGCATTCCAGGGGGGGAAAGCGCATGTCCAGGTCCGTCCGCAAAACTCTTGTCGGTGGGTATCTTCGGGACGAGGGGAGGGGGTAGGGAGGGAGGGGCCGGTGTGCCGTGGCGAGGCAGGACGGGCACGGTGCACCGCGAGGGTTCGCGTTCGAGAAGGAAAAGCTGGCGTCGTTTGAGGGCGATGGAAGGGCCGTCGAGTCAGCGAGAATTCAAGAGGGATCCGAGGATGGAAGGTGACGAGTATGAAAGCGGACAAGCGTGTAGGCATGGATGGCTGTCCATCAGGCGCGGGAAGCCGGGTGTTGCGAAGGATTTGGAGCCCACCAGCGACGGCGAGAGCCAACGGCCATGCCCGCTCGCGGAGCTCTGAGCGCGAAAGCGGACAGCGAAGCCGAGGGACGCGTTGCAGCTCCGACGAACTCAAACCTAACCTAGGGTGGGAGAGAAGACTGGGCTGGAGATGAGCGCCTGGTAGTCACCCGCTGACTGACGGGGATGGAGATTTGCTAGGGGGATGAGGAAGCGGACGAGTGGATGAGGGAGGACGCATAACGCGATGCACAGCTTTGGAGGCGTGCGCCGAGCGTCCGGGGCGATAACGAGAGGGAATGGGGCAGCTACGTGATGGGCATCGCGTGTGCGGGGCGGGTTGGGGGAGCAGTCTGGTTCGGCCGGGTGCGAGGGCAGCGAATGTGGCTGGTGTGGCATGATGATGGGCGAGGCGCGTTCCCACCGTGGACATTGCCATCGTCCGAGCGCCCGAGAAGCCACGCCTCCTGGGCCCAGTCACCCCGGCGCCGGCTCTCATTGGTCGGTGCGGGGAAGATCCGGACAGAGGTGCGCCGCAGCAGGCGACTGCGATTGAGTAGCCTCGAGCGAGGCGCTCAGAGAAGACAAGACGGTGGAACTGAATGCAGAGCGTGTGCTCATGCTGTGCGTGCAGCAGGCGACTTGGCCCTCGTCATTCGCAGACGCAGTCACGGCATCGAGCGCCTCGTTGCGGGGCCAGGCAGGACAAGGTGTGGGTGTGTGTGGGGCCAGGCAGGAGAGGAGTGGGGATCGAGCGCCATTAGGTGCAGGGAAAGGGAAGGGTCCAGGGCTGGATCGGACGTGAAGTGGCTACTGATAGACCGACCGCCAGTCAGATGCCCTCCCGTCCTCGCCCGCACACGTCCCACGTTCAGACCGCTCTCGCCTTCCCCAGGAGTTTCCCCTTTGGGCCCTGCCTTCTCTCCCGCTCTAGCACGCTGCTTCTTCACACCTTCCTCATCTCCGACGACCTTCCTCCCCGCACTAGCAGATCCCACACCCTGTCTCGCCCACGCCCTGCCCCGTCTATTCACGGCTTCCACGCGCAGAACACGCGTATCGTCCGGCTCAACCGCTGCGACGGCGGCGCAACCTCCGTCTCTGACCCCCCTCCCTCACCGTTCTCGCCAACCCCAAACGCCGCACCCGTCCGGCTGCTCGTGCGTCCCCGCGCAGTCAAAGACGGCGACGACGGCAGCGGGGGTGCGCGCCCGCGGTCTTTGCGGCGCGCCCGCCGCTGTGCGCGCTGTTGCTCCTGGTACTCGTCCCATTTCGTACACGCTTGCTCAAAGTCCTTGCGCTCCTGCGTGAGCTCCATCTCGGGCAGCGGCCAGTGGAACGCCGCGTGAATGCGCGAGTCGAGCGACATGCTATCGTGCATGTCTCTGAAAACAGCGTCAGCCAAAAACAGCGGTAGGCGATGGATGGGCAAGCACTTACAGCTCGAACCGAGTCACCAGGTCGTCGAACTCCACGCGCGACATGCTCAATAGCTCCCTCTTCATCCACCCATCTTCTGTCTCCACCCCTGGCCCCGTCGGCACCGACCCCGCCCCAGACCCCGAGGATCGCTTCCGCTCTCCTTCCGAAGCGGCCTCGCACGCTCGCGCGCGCGCCTTCTCCCGTACCCGCGCGCGCTGCTGGAAATTCTCAACCCACTCCCACATGTTCTCCGCGCACGCGACGATTTCCGACACGCGCGTCGAGAGGTGCAGGTTCAGGCTCTTCAGGTCAAAGTCCAGCCGCCGATTTGGTAGCTGATTTGCGCGCAGCGAAGCAAACTTGTATTGCTGGTCCGAGAGCTGCCCTTGTGTGGGCGTGGCGTCGAACGATGTGCGCGGCAAGGGCGGCAAGGGCGGCGCGGACGAGGGGGCGAGGACGGGGACGGGGACGTGCGACTGCGTCGCCGTGCGCGAGTGTGAGGACGTCACGCTCAGCACGGAATCCAGTGCGGCCTTGTGCTGCACCGGAGCGAACGCGGATGCACGGGTGTTATCGAGGACGACGTAGTGCTGCACGTGGTTCAGAATCTCACGTCCGTTGATATGCGTCGACGTAAGCTTCATGCTCGGTCGCCCCCGAGGGAACTTCAGCTTCAGCTGCTGTGGGGACCCGGTGGGTGACCGGTGCGGCGACGTAGCGGGGCTCCGATCCCTGGACACGGTCAAGAACGTCATCGTCGCGCGGGGCGTGGGCGCGGACGCAAGCGAAGAGGAAGATGCGAGGCCGAACGAAGGCGGAAGCGGGTGCGGTCGAGGGGTGTCGCGCGAGGTATGAGAGAGGAAACTGTACGCATCGGAATCGTCCGAGTCGAAGTCGCTATCGGAGGTGTCGCCCAAGGGACGTACAGATGAGCGCTTCGTTGGGTGGGTTGAAGAGGGTGGTGGAAACATAAACATGATCGGCGAGTGGGTCCGTACATCTAGCACGGGCAGCCAAAAAAGACAAAACTATGAGCCATCGGGCCTATGACTGTTGACATCACACATTACCTTTGAAATACAACGGGAGGGAGTTGGCCAACAACGAGAGCGGAGAGAGGTTGATGAATCTCGCAGCGTGCATTTCTGTATAAATATACTCGAGCAGTGAGTGGTCACGCGGGTTGGCGGGTATCTTGGGCACAGAACGCAACAGGAAGGGAGAAAACGGCGGATTCGAGGCGATGTGTGGCGGGGGTTCGATACCTTGGGGAACAGACGGCAAGCCCGACGGTGAGAGCGTGGGGGACGCAACGGAGGAGGCGGGAGTGTTGGGCATCTGGAACGACGACGCGGAAGTCGCAAAGGTGGAAAGCGTGGAGAGGGAGGTCGAGTGCACAGGGCTGGAGTGACACGTCTGGATAGGCGGGCGTTCGGAGGCGGCATGGCCCTCGGACGACCGGGGTGGCGTCGGGAGGTATGGCGGGGAAGGAGGTCTGGAGGGAGATGGTGAGTCGGTCTTGCCCGGGAAAAACAAGTCCTCTTCGATCATCTACATCGCAGGGCGGTTCAGAGACCCGCGCCGAGTGAGAGTCAAAATATGTACCTCGAAGGCAGCGCCTGGTTTCATCACCCGGGTGATTTCTTCCAGGAGAGCATCCCACTGAGAACGATGAGACATGGATCGGAAAAAGGTCCACAAAGCACTGACCTTGTCCTCTGGAATGCCATGAGCGATCCGTTTGATGTGTCTGCGAGGAGGTGAAGTGAGGTGACGACCGATAAACGACAAGGGGAAAGGGCCTACACATAATCAAACTCCTCGTTTGGAAAGGGGAGACCTTCGAGGCTGCGGGACGGTGTGAGAAAGGACGGACATGCGGAAATGAGAGGATGATCACCAGTTGACCTGAACCCATGTGATGCGGGAAGACAGATCGGATGAGCGCAGAAGGGACAGATCGGGGTGAAGCGGGACGAGGTCGATTCCTGGACGGAGAGACGCCGGTCAGGCACGTAAACGAGGGGGGTGAATGAACGAAGACGGACCGACGAATTCACAGTCCTGGGAGGGAGGGTGGAATGAGCGAACGAGGGACGTCTACGAGAGGAAACGGGGCACGCACCCTCCAGAGTCTGGCGGCATCCAAGATCCAGCTTCCAGACCCTTGGAGAGAAGTGAGAGGAGGAGGAGGAGACGGGGCTCTGGAGAGGCTCACCGCAGCCGATGTCGAGGCTAGAAAGCGAAGCAGATGAGCCAGTGCGCGTGGTCGGGTGAAGGAGAGGCGGGCGACATACACTTTTGTGGGGGGCGGATCGAAGACGTGCCACGTCACGCTGCCGCAGAGTTGTTTGCAGAACGCGGTCTCCCACACGTCACTGCGATCCACGATCAGCACGAGCCGCGGCACAGGGCCCGCAGACCGATTCGGGCACGATGCCCACGGCGGCCACTCACTGATCCAGCACCAGCCTCTCGTAGTTTCGAGGATACGGCGCTTCCCGCGCAGCGTACCCGTGGTGCTTCTTCCCTCCTCGCACAACGAACTGCGCCTCCCGCGCCCCCACGTTCCGCCTCAGCTCCTCCAGGATCGCTCGGTCGGCCGTCGAGAACTGCGCGTCGCCCTTTTGCCCCGACTCCAATGATATTACCTTGGGGCTGGGGTCCGTCGGGATCACGGGCGATGTCTTTCGTGACGGCCGCTTCATCGATCGCCTCCGCATCGGCAGAAAGTCCACGAACGGCTGCGCGAAGAACGACGACGTCGAGCGACGGTGGGGATCCATGGTGGTCAGACGAATCGAGGCGCTCTGTGAGGAAATCAACGCACGGGAAGAACAGAAGCAGGAGAAGAGGGCGAAGTCACGGCGATCGGGACGGTCAGCGGCTTCGATGAGGTGTTCCCCGGCGCGGTCGACGGGCGCTGCGTCGCTGCGAGTTTCGAACGGGCGGGGTTGCGCAGTGGGCGCGGCGGCGGGGCGTGGGGATGGGCGTGCTGAGCGTGGGCACGGCCTTGAACAATGGGATCGTGTGACTCCGGGGAATTTTGCGCGGAGAGGCTCGTGGTGCGTTTCCGGGGGAATTTAAACTTACGTGCGGACCTTGGGCTGGCGAGGGACAGCAGGGAAGAGCTGGGTTTCAGCTGAAAAGGGCTCGGTGGGTCCAAGCATGGCTCCGTTGCTGTCGCCGAGGCATGGATGCGGGCCTTGTACTCGTCGGCGTCGGACGGCCGTGCCCGAGGGGGTTGTGAGGACGTCCGGATGCGGACGGGATGCGGCGCAAGCATGGGAGAGCGTCGTGGCGACGGAAGGCCTCCCTCCTCGCAGGGTGATGGGAGAGTGGACGGGCGGTCTATTACGGGGGGCGATGCGAAATATGGCGAGCATGGACGGGACAGAGGTTTTGTTCCAGCTTTCTGCGCCCAGCACGTGAGCTAATCGCTATTTCTACTCGTTAGATCGGGGGTCCGTCCTCGTCCGCCGCCTAATTTCATTATTACGGCCGCTCGCTCCCCGCCTAAGCCATCGATGGGAACGTCTTTTGGGAACGCAAGGGCTGTTTTCTGGTCAACAGGACAGCATCTCGCAGCAATGGTCACACGAAGAGGCGTAAACATATGCAGAGGTCGGCTGAGGTCGCGCGACATGGACATGTGCAGCGTCCTGCAGTGTTGTCGCGGTTGCGGGGTCGGCTCTGGGAATTTACAGGCACCCATCGCTTCCGCCAAGCCTCCGGTCCAACAAACTACGCTTCTCTTCGCGTCCTCAAAAACTCCTACTTCTCTCAGCAGCTCTCAGCCCACCAGAGCCCACCACCGCCTTTCTTGTGCCGTCGCGTTCTCAGCACCTCTTAGTCTGACGTCGCTAACACCGCCAGCCCCTCTTCGCTCGCTTCCTATCGACGCCTCTGCATCCATCCGATTCGGCCTGCATCACGCACTGATCACACAGCCATATTGACATCATCTTTTGTCAAGCCATGTCCGAGTCGCGCGTGGATGCCTTCTCTCAAATATGTACATAACGCTGCGCTCGCATGACACAACCTCTACACGCCGGAGCGTAAGTCATGGTCGGAGCATGGATCAAGTCGGACACCGGGCCTGCAGGTTCTCACGATATACTCAGATTGATCGCGCATCATTGGCGGTCGAGCTGTCGACATCGTCTAGAAGAGCACGGGGGTTGGAGTGTGGGATGTGCTGCTTTGCCGGAGGCTCCTAGAGGCTCCCACTTTCCTTTGTTTTCGCTCGATCGTGTCCAGTCGTGTCCCTTCGCGATCCTGTCAGGGCAATGCACTAGCGCGGTGCGAGATGTAATTTGCCACCGTGCGCAGCGGCACGGGAGCTCACGGGGCGTCCCCAGCGGCGAGCACGAGCCAGGACGGGGCCGATGCACGCTCTGACAGGGTGTTTTTTTCATGCCTGTCGATTTAGATTTTTGCCGCTCTTCCAGAAGAATTCGGTGCTCGGTGCAATCCTGTGCGATCACAGCTGTCTATGCACAAATTCGGCACACCTCATTAGATTTGGACGATGTGGGGGTAGAACAATTGAAGACAGAAGGAATAGAAATGAAAAAAAGGATAGAATCGGGTTGGTCCAGGGCTTGTGGAGGCATCGGCGCCGCTTCTGCCAACACATCTCGGTTTGCATGATCGCGCGAGGGCGATTCGAAGATCCAGCTGTCGATGTGTGTTGGTGCTGCAAAGACCCGCCGTCAGATAATTTGGGCCATACGCAATCATGTTGATTCGATATAATCATTTTGCATGACACGGTCATCGTCAACAGACTCGTTTTCTGCTATCTATGATGGCGATGAGAGAATCGTCTTTCTTCCAGCCTATTCCAGAGAATTCGAAAGACGTCTCCTAGGGTTCCCAATTGCAAGTCTGGTGGCTGAGCGCTGAACGGCGACTGCGTCTGCGAGTGGGCGGCCTAATTCGCCTCTTCGTCTGTACCCCCGCGTTCCTAACCACTCTTCCCCAATAGTATCCTGATCAACCATGCCTTTGAACTATTCCAAGTGGGATCAGCTCGAGGTGAGCATGGCGTTGCATCGCCAGGATTTGGCGGATTCGCACAGATCGATTGGGGACTGACTGGATCGCATCGCTGCGTACAGCTCTCCGACGACTCTGACATCGAGGGCCACCCCAATGTCGACAAACGTTCTCTGATCCGGTACGCTATCCGTCTCATCTATCACGGCCCTTTGCCCTCTACCCCGTCTCGCATGGTCGTGTCTCGCATCTCGATCGCATCGCGTCCTGACCCCGCCCGCGCAGATGGAAGCAGCGCGACATTCACGAGAAGCGCGACCAGCGCAACGCGCGGATCGCCTACCTCGAAGCCGAGATCGCATGCGACGACGTCCTGCTCGCGCGGCTCCGCGCGCTCAGCGTCGAGCTCGCGCAGGGCGGCGGCGCGCCGCGCTTCTCCGCAGAGGTCGAGCGCCTACGCACGAACCCGTCGCCCGAGGCGCCCAAGTCGAACGCGCCGAAGCCCGTCTCGTACGACGCCATGATCCTGAATCTCCTCGAGCAGGTCGCCGCGCAGGCCAGGGAGAAGGCCGCGGGCGATCAGGAGAAGCTCGGCCGGCTTTTGGAGGACGGCGTGGGCGGTCATGTGCAGAAGCTCGGGGAGGAGATCGCGAAGCTGAAAAAGGAGCTGGACGAGCTATACAAGGAGAAGACGAAGCATATCACGACGGAGGACATCCATGAAGGTTTTGACTCGAAGGTGCATCATGATAGTTTCACTCATCATCGTGACATTCAAATCTCCTTTCTATGTATTCTCGCATTGCTTGTGGCGCATCGATCCAGTACGTTCCAGCTGCCCCTGCTCCCGAGCCCGTAGTCAAGTCCAAGGCCACGACCAAAACACAAACCAAAACCAACATCGAAGTTCTGAACCCTGCAGCGTCCTCCTCTCCACCCATCCCATCCACGACCACACCAGACACCGACGAGCTTGACGAGCCTGACGACGAGCTGCCGGAGATGACGCCCGCGCTCGAGGCGTTCGCGCAACTCCCACTGTGGGACTTTGAGGCGTCGTGGGCGTTTATCCAGGGCCACCGCGAGGTGGTCGTGAATGGCGCGTCTGACGCGCTCCTTCTCGCGGCATTCAGAAACCAGACCGACGGCAAGACAAAGCTCGCGAAGCAGTGCGTGCACCAGAGCTTGTTGCTGCAATACGGCGACAAGCTCGGCACGGATGGGCTCCGCCTATTCTTCCAACGGTGCGTCGCGCTTTCACGTGTTTCTGAATTTCCATTCTTTTTTCGCCTGCGTCGTTTCGCGGAAGCACGGATGTTGACGCCTCGGCTATCGGGCTGTGCAGGATGATTCAAGGAGGACAGGCCGCGCACGCGATCTTCCGAAAGGACGTCGAGGACACGTATGCGCACATCCAGCGGCGCGTCGAGGCGACCCGCGCGGAGGAGGACACGACAGGCGCCGAGCAGATCCAGCTCGTTGCGGAGAATCCAGAGACGTCGATCTCGTTCAATGTACCGGACGGGCCGCCGCCGGAGAACATCACGCTCGAGGGCCCCGGGACGGAGGGCATGGATATCGAAGACGTGCGGCGCGCGCTGCAGATGCGCTGGGACCTGTTCAGCGCGCTGTCCCCCGACCTCCAGGAAGCGCTCAAGGGCGGCGAGCTCGAGGGAGTGAATCGCGTGCTTGGGAAGATGCCCGTGCCGGAGGCCGAGGAGGCGGTGAAGATGATGGATATGGGAGGCATCTTGAATTTTGCGGAAGAGGGGATCAGAGACTTGACGGGGAATGCGCAGGAAGAGGAGGATGAGGATGAGGATGAGGATGAGGATGAAGCAAATTACGATGATCCGAGTGAAGGGGATGTCAAGGGAAAAGGAAAAGCGCGAGCGTAGATTTGATGGAGTGGGTTGAGCAGTCTTCCTTATTAAATGCCTCTTATATCCCCCCCTTTGTATCATGACTTGAATGCCTTGCAATTTGTATCGTTGCCTGTTCTACTACTGCGTCGAATCAATGAACCTAAATTCTCTGTATGAATAGGGCTTGTTTGCTCGCCGCACAGCGTCCTTCCACCATGCAAGAGCCTCTCGACGTCGCGTCCCATAAGGTATCATTTGACGTATGCATCGAACCAAACCTTTTGTTGACGAGGGAATCCTAGAGGCGAAACTCGAAGCAGCCCTTGTATAGTACGCAATTCAACACCTATGTCACCACCCACGCTAGCCCACAATCAGTGCGCCGGCTCGACGTGGCCCTCATGCTTCTCCCCCTTGTGCTCCACATCGACGTCCCCAATATCCGACCCATCGTCTCCCATCCTGCTGAACACAAAATCAGACGCCAGCCGCGCGCTGTATTCCCTTCTGAGCCGCTCGTCCCCGATCCCTGCAACGTCCTCGCGCACGCTCTGCAGAGTGCTCAAGATCTCGCCCAGGTCGAACCCGGCCCCGAGGCGTGGGACGTCGCGTGGGAGGTGTATTTCCGGCACCGAGGGCCTCGAGGCGGGATCGAACGAGGCAGGGAAGTCGAATGACGGGGGATTATGACTGTCATCGCTTGGGAAATCCTGCGAGCGGCTTTCAGTAAAGTCTGAAAGGGCATCGTACCCTTCGGTGTCAGTGTCCGCGAAGGTGGCCATGGTAGACAACGCGTCGTCGTCCTCGGCGCCCAGATCGGAAGTGGAGGGGAGTGCGTGGTAAGTGAGGCCAGGGACGGCGAGTGACGCGTTGCGGGAGGGAATTAGTGCGGGTACTGGTACGGCAGCGGGGCGTGCGGGGGCAGAGATGAACGCACTGAAATCGTCGTCGAAGCCGGGGTTAGATAGCGATCCTGGGGTTACGCTCTGGTGCGGGGTTGCGCCGAGATCCGTGCGCGTCCATGGGTCGTGGAAGGCCTTCTGATCCAAATCCTGTTCTCGAACCTGCATTTCCACCTTTCCATGATCATCGTCGCCCTGCATTCCCATGTCCATGTCCATGTCCATATCCTGCATCGCCTCTCGTTCGTGCAAATCCTCGTTCTCGACGAGCCATCGCTCGAGCTCGGCCATCTCCCGTCGCATGCGGCTCTCGCGCGTCTGGGCCCCGTTTTCGATCAGCTCGGACGCAAGCAGCGCCGCGAGGCCGTCTTCCTCTGATGGGAGCACGTCGAGTAGCGTAGGTGTATGACTCGCGCGTTTCGTAGTAGCGGTAGACGACGTTCGTACCATCGAGGGCCACATGATTGTGCTGAGCGCATCGATGACTCGCGAGATGCCAGGGGCTGCATCGTGGTCGTGGTCGTGATCATGGTCGTAGTCGTGGTCGTGGTCATCATCTAAATGGATAGCTGCAGAAGGGGAGGGGGAAAAATTGCGCTCGCCATCGATGTATTCGAATCCGTGCTCGGCCAAGAACTGGTCGGGCCCTTCGGTGGGGTCGTCGGGGTGCGGTGGGTGTGTGCCGAGGGCGATGGCGAGGGTGACTTCGGGATCATGTGGTGCAATCGCTCTGGAGAGGGAGAGGACGTGTTCGGCATAAGGCTGCAAATCAGTCAAGAGGGGCAATCAATCGAACATCGTGAAGAACAAGAGGTGAAAGACGCACGTCACCGCGCTGCCAGACGTAGATGACGGCAAGGGCATCCTGGGCAGAGTGCGGGGTGAAATCGCGTTGGGCAACGATGTGAAAGTGGACGTCGGCGGAATAGTATTTGTTGGTGATGGTCCATGGGATAGATTCGGATTCGGGAGGAGGGAGATCGGCGTGGTCGATTTGTTTGATGCCTGGCACTAAGGCTCAGACAGGAATGAGCAGTGACCTGTCGCGGAACATACGTTGAACGATATTCGTGGCCTGCTCGAGGCTGGAAGCAACGACGAGGATGCGGCTAGCATCGGTCGCCATGCTCGATAGGCTCTGCAAGTGTTCTCCAGGACATCGCGAGCACTCCGTCCAAAGCTATCCATCGGGGACTCGCGGAGATGCCGGCACGGGATCGGCACGGCCCTCGGCCTGGACCGATGCATTTCCTCCGTTTGGATGGCAAGGTTGCTTTCTTCTCGCTCGTCCCAGTGGATCACCAACAGCACATTGATATATTGCAAGCTCTCTTCTTGTCCATCGCATGTCTCAATGCTCGCGGCGATATGTTCTGCGCTCTTCTGATGTTCTACAATGTCAATCCCCAGGCTTTTTAATCGACACTCTGAAATGGACACGGACTCGCCTTCGGGACCTAACTTGGTCCTGTCCTTTGTCTGTCTGTCAACATAGCTTCCGTCTGCACGAATCGTCGTACATAGGCGCACAGAGACCACAGCATCCTTGAGCGCCGTTATGGCACTGCGCCACTTTGGGCAACCGCTGCATGCAATTCCGACTGGATTAGGGTTCGGTGTCTCGCTCTTCCCGTTCAGACATGCTTTGCGGCCGTTCCTTTCTTGTCCTTTCGACTTCCATGTCATGTTGACTTATCGTGCTCTCCGTCCGTCTCCTCCTCATGTATAAAGCCCTCCACGTCCTCTTCCGTCTCCTCCTCGGTTCTCCTTCCCTCTCCTTCTTCTCAGATCCTCTCTCCCTCTTTCCGCTTCCCCAATGGCGGATCAGAACTTCGCGAAGGTTGCGTGCGTCCTCTTCTCCCGTTCCGCGCCCCGTCTCTTCACGATCGTCTCGCTTCTCATTAGGCACGGCCCCATCTTCATCGGCACGGTTATCAACATCATCCTTTATGGTATCTCGATTGCACAAACATACATCTACTTCAGCACCTATAAAAAGTCAGTTTCGTGCTTCGAATGACCCATACTGATCGTCCTGACTGCGTGCGTAGGGACCCATTGTGGATGAAACTGGTTGTAAGTGTCTCTCGCAGTAGTCCGTCCCGCATACGTTGATCCCGCCATAGGTCCTGCTTGTCCTTGTGGCAGACACCTTGAATAGTGTATTTGACATCCAATATACCTACGATTCTCTTGTCAATCATTACAGTGTGTTCTTTTCATCTACTTCCTACCACCCTCGTCCGAACCCTCCCTAGATGACCCCGCTGCTATTCAAAAGGCCAACTGGGGTAAGAGACTTTGAGCTGTGGACACGCCTTTCCTCGTGCTCATAGTAGTCGCTAGTGTTCGCCACAGGTAGAAGGCATTGCTTCTCAAGACCGATGACACCTTTCACTGATGAGCATATTCCCCCCAAGATCCAGCCATGACAGTACGCATATCGTCTTTTTTGTGTTGTGTCGAACTGGCCATAGATCATGTGTAGTCTATTATAGGAACCATTGTTCAGCTTTTCTTTTCTTGGAGAGTCAAGGTCATCACCGGCAGCAGGATTGCGACCACTTTGCTAGTCATCGGCTCTATCATATCTTGCCGTAGGTTTGCTCCGCTAGGCCTATTCAAGCGCTAACCTAATGGCTCGTTCTAGTCGGCGGTATAGCAACCTCGATCGCCATCGGCTTCGTGCCGGAGTGGTTGGAATTTCAGAAGTTCCAGATTCCTGTCATTATTTGGCTCACTATTTCGGCATTGGTCGATACATCTATCACCACCATTCTCGTTTGGCATTTAGTCCGTCTTCTATCATCTCTCATCCACTGGTCAGCGTGCTTATCGTGATCCTTGTCTACAGCGTCAACATAAGCATGGCTTCAAAAAGTCCGATGATGTCCTCGACAAGATCATTCGATGTGGGCCTTACACTATTCTCTTACTTTCTGTTCATAAACATTCCTTGATAGTGACCGTGCAAACGGGGTTGGTCACCTCTGTTTGGGCCATCATTGACTTGGCAGTCTACCTCGGGATCGTAAGTTTCGTCACCAGCACGCCAGAGCATCCAAACTCACCTCACCTTGATTGAACAGACAAGCGGAACGTGCGTGACCTTCGCTTTTCTCGACAGCCAGAGGTTGAGAACGTCAAATCTATCTCAGGCATCTTATCTTCAATTTCGCCCTGTCGAAACTCTATAGTAACTCCCTGCTCTCGAGTTTGAACTCCCGCCAGGGTTGGAAATATTCCGCCTCTACAATAAACGACAGCGATAATGGGATCAACAGTCTACGTGTATGTGGTCCCTTGCTTTCGCCTCGTGCGAGTTTTTGATGAGACGAATCTGACCTCACAGACCGAAGTCGTCAACTTTGGTGGCTCCGTCAGGCCGGAGGTCAGTGTAATTCTCTTCAAAGAGGATGAGCCTTGTGGACTAACTATAAATCCACTCTACTGGCAACTGGATCACTCTACAGGTCTTCATCGATGTCGAGTCACACGAGATGGTGAACACGGACGACAAGTACGGCGGAAGCAAGGCTTTCGCCGACTCTCGTGGCAGTATTGCCGCTGGTGAGGACTCTGCTCCGATCAAGGCACCGCACCCCGTTGTGAAGGCTTCGTAGATCCATCTTCAAAGTTTGTCCTGAGGAACATTGATTTGTGTGCGCCTTGACTCCTCCTGTCCTATCCTTTTTACATTATACCTTCTCGCTTTCGCCGGCTTTTTTTTATTGTCTGTTCTTGTATACCGTGTAGGCCAAGAGTTGATCGTGTCGTTAGCGTTGTCGGCGGCGTTGTAGTTATCATTGTTGTATCATTGGTTGTTTCACCTCTGAACGTGTTTATTTCTCTCTGACTGCTATTTTTCGTTTACAGTCAGAGTCATTTATCTTTGTAGGTTTGGGGCGAGCCACACAATACGGTTCAGCCCTTTGAGGTACGCGGGCGCTAACGCGGACTGTGAACCGGGATTCCGAGGCTGATCGCTGTCTATAACAAGCTCGGAGAAGCTGCGGTGTGTTTTGCCTCTTTCATGTGCTTATCGTTATCTTGCATCATTGCACTTGACGCTGTGTAGGCATGCATGAATCTTACAGATCGAACCCGCCCGCATTGTACATCTTTCAGCCAACCCCGATCGAACCCTCGGTGACATGTCGACAACGCAAATTGCATGGAAGCCAGTGCTCTGAGGCTCTTGTGGATCTACAAGTAGAGGTCGTATGCGCCGCTCAATCGCCTGCGATCACTTAGGGGGCTAGCAAGATCTAGCGGATCATGCGCTCAATTGGCCGTGGATGTCGTCTTGGACTAGATCACTGGAAGGTTCTTTGTATCTTGATCCTCGCTTGCCTCGCAGAACTGTCTCTCCCAGCTTCGCCTGACGTCCTTTACTCCGTTGCACGGGTGTCGGTGCTTTTGCTGGTGCTGGACTGTCGGGTCGGCGCCTTCTCCCATTCATGCGTGAAGTCGTGGTTGGTAGGTCGCTCCGCGGACGATACCTATTTTGGCAGAGCGTTGTGAGTTTCTATTGCGGTCTGTGCGGCTTCCGAATGCTTCGTGTTAGGTCATCTGCCATCGAGCATTTGTGGGGCATCACCGGGAAGACCTTAGATCTCCCTTGCAAGCTATTCCGAGGCTGCATTCACTCTGCCAACGAGCCTGCGGCAGACGTGAAAATCAAGAGCAGATACTTAGCATGCGATGTCCGTTCGCATCTCGGCAATAGTTGGATTATTCCTCGTTTAATGCGGATGGGATCTGGCTGCATGCTTTCGAAGCAAAGGTCATCAATGCAGATACAGTGTGTCCCATGCTCATGATCGTCTGCCTTTTGCCCAAATGAGATGTACCGTTCTGGGCATGTCCGTTCAGTTCTTTGTCCTCATTGGACTCTCATTTCGTGCTTCGCATGTTTCATACTTCACAGATCTCTTCTCATCGTCTGCCCTCTAATCGTGATCCCCGAGCTTCCCAAAATCGCCGCGTTCCGCGTTTCCAAGGCGTGCGGGTCCTGTACACGGTACATGCCGTTTCTCCATATTCGCCGCCAAAGCTAACTGGATATCCGTCAGTTGCCGTCCTCGGAAAGCACATCATAATACCGTGATGGGGGTGTGCGTCCGGACCTGCCCTTCAGAGTACTTGAGCTGAAACAGCTGGGACCGCACGAGGATGCCGGAAAGACAGGATTGGGCAGGGCAAGACACAGTTACTTATACGGCTCTGAGGGTGAGGCGTGGATGTGCTCTGGCGACCCCACCCTCGCAACTTGATCTCCCGTCGCGGTAGTTCATCTGGATCCTCATTTAGGATCTCCCCCTCCATCCCATATCGCTCGGGACGCCTCGCCACGCTCCGCTTCATGTCCGCCTCCCCCAATTTCGCTTTGGTTGCGTAGGTTCTCTCACGTGCCCCAGTCCTGACTATCATCCACATTTCATCGCAAAGCGCTCATGTTCGTCGGTCCAATAACAGCCATGGTCCGATCTTCATCGGGACCACGATCAATATTATCCTCTATGGGGTCTCCATCGCGCAGACGTACATGTATTTCACATCGTATAAGGGGTGCGTAGTTTTATTAGTCTCCCATTTCCGTGTTCCTTCCCGGAGATGGGTGGTCGGGCTGGTGTTAAATATGACATTGATAGAGTTTATCATTATGGCAGGGATCGATTGTGGATGAAGCTTGTCGTGCGTTCGGTCTTCAGTCCGAGTGCTTGCTCTATTAGGCCTCCCCCTCACCGTCTTTGACTCTTAGGTTTTGTTTATATTTCTTGCCGACACGCTGAACAGTGTGCTGGACATCGAGTATACATACGACTCACTCGTCAATCACTACAGTGCGTAATTTTGATTGGTGTATTGGCAGCTATTGAGAATGGTTTGTAGATGACCCGGCCGCGATACAGAAGGCGAACTGGGGTACAGACATCATATACATTCAACCCTACCATATTCTAAACATGACTCCTCGATTTCACAGTTTTTGCCACAGGTGCTTGCATCTTTCGTCGCGCTGGTGACAAGTCTCTGATCTGATTTCGTTGATTTCGTCTGGTAGATCCCGCCATGACGGTAAATACAACTGCCTTCCATGCACATTTCTTCTCACTAACAACGGTGTGCTCAGGCGATCATTGGGACCACTGTACAGCTCTTCTTTACATGGAGAGTGAAGGTCCTTACAGGTAGCAACATCGCTGTGGCAGCGCTGATCTTTGGCTCCTTCATCTCCCTCCGTGTGTTTGCCTTTCCTATTATCACTTTCACTTTCAGAGGCAATTTAACGCGCCATTGTTCGTCCTGAACAGTTGGCGGCCTGGCGACGGCCGCCGCCATCAGCAGAGTGCCAGAATGGCTACAGTTTCAGAAATTCAAGGCCCCAGTCATTGTTTGGCTAGGGACATCCGCTTTGGTCGACATGGCTATTACTGTCTCCTTGACATGGCACCTGGTGTGTATTAGAAATTTCCTTCTGTAATCATGCAACGGCTCAGTTCTGCATAGCGGAAATACAAGGGAGGCTTCAAGGGGTCAAATGATATACTGAACAGGATCATTCGACGTGAGTCTCTTGTTTCGTTCATATATAGCATGACGGCGCTCATATCCCAGGACGGCAGTTACGGTGCAAACGGGGCTCATAACTTCCATCTGGGCCATCATAGATTTATCAGTATACCTTGGCCGCGTCAGCACCTCATTTCTCTATTAATTTTGATTCTTCCTAATTATTGTTTCGTTGCTATTGATTCCTTGCCTACAGGCGAATGGAGTGTATGTATTAGTTCTTCCAAAACCTCCGACATGAATTGATGATTCAGTCACAGTCATCTTGCTTTCAACTTTCCTCTGGCCAAATTATACAGCAACTCGCTTTTGTCCAGCTTGAATTCCCGAATCGGATGGGATTATTCCACGAGCGACGAAGATCACGGTCATACTATCAGCATGGGCAGGCGGGTACGTCGTCTGCATCACCGATATCTGTGCTCAAATTTAATCAGGATGAAACTCGCAGCCTGACTTCCTAACACTAGCGAGTAGCAGAGTACGTCCAGAGGTGAGTCGTCACGCGCGATTAAACGAAAGTCACCAATGTTCAAACGCCGGGGAGTACAGGTCTTCATCGACGTCGAGTCAGAGTCCCATGAGATGGGCACTGTGGATCGTGGCCACAAGGTCACCGTGCCGGAACTTACGAAGTCGAGCTCTTCGAGCTCCAGCAAACTTCAAGAAAAGAATGCAATATCGGACGATGTAGTATGAAGTTCTGTGGTTGGCATGGTCGAGCAGTGCTGCGACCTCGGCTTGCTTCTTCGTTCGCCGACCGTGGCTGTGGAAAATCCCCTGTACGATTTACTATAAAGTATGAGATTGTAATGACCAGCACAATTTACCACCTGGAGGGTAGACGGTCAAAGTACCAGAAAGAAATTTACCCAGTCACGAGCAAAGACTGGCGCGTGATGTACTAATTTGGCTGCCGTATGTAAGGAGATGTCAAGGCGGCCAACTAGTGACCAACCGTGGTCATCGAGTTTCCTCATCTAAACAATGAAACGACGCCAACGTCGCGTGAATACTGTACACGACTTTGCGGCACTCCGCCTGCATCCAGATGGGTCGCGCGTACTATCTCAGCCCTACGCGTCTACATCCAGCGCACCACAGTTAGCCACCGGAGAAATCGCTGCCAGTACCGCGCTCCATACGCGTCGCACAACATACACCGCACAGGATGCGCGGGGAAACTGGTACGCGAAGGATGCAGCTGGGATGTGGAAGGTCAAAAAGAGGAGGTATGTCTCTGACGATGACGGAGAAGACGAGGGAGCGGGACTGGCCGAACGAGACGAAGCGCAAGCAGCGAATAGTACTGAGCAAAAAACGGCCAGAGGGGTCGGCAAAATAGCCACTAAGAGGAGACGATTTATCGACAATCTTGATTTCTTGAGTGGTGGCTCGGCCCCAGGATCTACAAGTGTAGGGGCGCAGCTGCCTGTGCCGTCGTCGGTATGTTTGGTCGAAACATAGCTCTCGCATTTGACATATTTTTGTTCGACCGCATCGTATTGCTCAGGATCTATTGAAGTGCATACACCATTTCGCCAGCCTATACTACACATCTCAGTCTCAGCTCTCCGACGTAACTCGCGACTTCAGGTATGCACGGCAGGCAAAAAATCAGAATCAATTAGTGGAGGGCAAGGGCGGGCAGAAAGGGCGCGGTAGAGATGTGGATGTGGATGTGGATGTGGATGTGGATGTGGATGTGGATGTGGATGTGGATGTGGATGTGGATGATGATGAACAGTCGTCTGAAATTGGAGACGACAGTGAAGAGGAGATCGACGTAGACGAGTCCGCAAGATCGAAAAGAAGGCGGAAACGGCGAACGCGGAAAGAATTAAAGCGCGATATGTATAAAATTTTCGACGGCTCAGCGTTGATGGTGATAGGTTTGATCATAGTGCCTCGTCAAGTCATCAAGCACGCTCACCTTCTCATAGGAATGTTGCTTCAAGAACATGTTGCTCAGATGCTCAAGCCAACTGAGTCGCCCAGATCAGATGATGCCATGAAGACATTTCAACCACAATCTGATGACGAGGAAGAGGAAGAAGGCCAGGAAGAGGAAGAGCAGGAGGAGGATAAGAGGCAAGTTGAAGAAGCGAGCACTAACAGCAGCGGGGGTGGTACGACGGATGATTCTGATGCGTAGAGAATTCTATAAGCGACAGCTTCGTGAGTCTCGCACTATGCTGGCTGATCTCAAAGAGGCAGGAAAGCAGATGAATAGCAACAGATCAGAGGCGAACAGAGGATAAAAGACGACTACCGCAGAGTACCGTCTTCCCACCGTTTCAATATATTATTCTGGAGAACGCCCATGTCTTCACCCTCGAATATCCGTAGTCTCTCCAATCGCCTGTCTCTCAGCCGGTTCTTAGGAAGCATGCCTGATACTGCCTGTCGGATAATCTGCATGTGCTGCATGAGCAAACTGGAAAGACCAAGTGATGACAACGCACTTCATCCGGCTTCTTCGCCATCATATCCTTGTACTGAATCTCCTTCAGTCCACCAGGGAACATGGTATGGCGACGGTAGACGATTTGTTCGTGCTTCTTGCCTGTTACCTTGATTTTACGAGCGTTGGTGACGACAACGTAGTCACCACAGTCGACTGTTGAACGATACGATGCGAAACCATGAGAAAGCCCCGATTGGTAGAGATAGTGACGGACCTCCTGGATCATAGATAGGTTTATGCTTTCCCATCAAGACAAGAGCAATGCGCTCAGCGAGTTTCCCAAGAATACGTTCGTTGGCGTCGACGTGGTGCCATACTCGTGCATATGCGAGTGCGGTCTATGAGGTTTACGCGTAGTCGTGAGCGCTGAAAATTCATGATGAGAAATACAAAGAGGACATACGCTTCCAATCGCTTGCGACATACTGTGTATGCGCTTGGAGTTAACGTTGTGAGTTTAAAGTTGGAGAGGTTGAAGGTGGAATTGGAAAACCTAACCCTAGAATCAGTTTATCTCAGACCCGCTCAACGAGTCAACCCTGCCAAAAAAAACCGAACGTTCATGCATGAGGCGTTAGGACGACTATTATCAATCGATTTCACACTCTGCTGAGTTCTACATCGCTATTTCCCTGAGAATCGAGACCCGAGGCTCGAGTTCCTGTCAGACTCTTTCCTCAACGTCTCGTCGGGACAAGCTGGTGAGTCATCTCTTCATTTTCTGGATTCATAAGCAGCGTTTGTGAGCTCTCGAAGAAGGCTCGCGAAAAGGCAGGGTGACGGCGCATCCCCGAGGGCTATTAGGGCCCATTCTCAGAGTTCGAACATAGACAACTGAAACCGTGCAAAGCAGTACGCAAGATGTCTCTAAAATTGCGCAACATGACACTCACAGGGCCCCCGACGTGTCGAAGCTCCCGAATCCCGGCTCTTCGTGCCCCTTTCAGCCCGTAGACAATTCAATTGACCTATAGTATCGGTTCATTCATTTCCCACCTACGGGAGAGACAGACATAGGCGTGTCTGGGGCCCCACCTTTCTCCGCAAAAGAGTCTTACAGATCTCATTCTTTCAAAGGCATGAATCAGAACATGTTTTGTCATCCAAGATGTTCATGAAGGAATCACAAATGAGGCTTCACAGTGATATAAAAGGCTCATCGAGGTCGTACCGTTCCCACAAGCATTCTAGTCGACCCCTTACTAAACTCTCACCAGCTCAAGCAATGGCCACTGCCGCAGTCCTCACTCCTCATGATGTCAATACCACCCTCAACTACTTCAATCTCGTAGGGGACGGGGCTCCGTTCAATTACACGTATACCCCACCAGAAGGCCAGCCGACCACTAACATTCAACCCGATCCTCATCCAGCCGTCGTACACGATATCCGTGGCAAAGAGGATACTGTCTCACTCGACACGACTGGGTTCGAGTTCATCAAGCATGTCAGCGAGGAGAAGAAGTTTGTTGACGAGGAAGCGATCACGACGCGTTATTATAAAGAGGTAGAGGAACTTCTCAAGAAGCATACTGGTGCGAAGAGGATTTTCATTTTCGACCATACTATCAGGTGCGTTTGTTTTCTTGCTCTGTGTTCGTTGCATGAAGATTAAACAACTCTCATATGTAGACGTCCGATCGTAGAAGGTTCCGCTCAAGACCAGCCACTTCGCGGGCCTGTGGTGAGCATGGCATAATACATTTTCATTTTACATTCGAACTCAACCCTCTCCTCAGACTCGTGTACATGTCGACCAGACGTACGTCGCCGGAGAGAAGCGTGTGCACCACCATCTTCCTGATGAGGCCGAGCGTCTTCTCAAGTCCCGTGTCCGTATCATCAATGTCTGGCGGCCTATCGAGAACCCCGTCGCTCATCATCCTCTTGCTGTCGCTGATTGGCGTTCTATCAAACCTGACGTTGACCTCGTCTCCACCCGGCACATCTACCGTGACCGCGAGGGCTCGACGTTCAGCGTTAAGTACAACCCTGAGCACCGCTGGTACTACCTCGGTGACCAGACGCCAGAAGAGGTCATCTTGATCAAGTGCTTCGACACAGACGATAGCAAGGCCAGGTTGACCCCACACACCGCATTTCTGGACTCGTCGAGTCCCAAGGACGCACCGCAGAGGCAGTCTATCGAGGTTAGGTGCTTGGTATTTGATGCGGAGTAGAGGATGATCAAGGAGAGCTATCTCATTTCATGTTACGAGTTTTCGATTGTTAGTAACATTGTTGAGTCCGTATCGTATGTCGTTGTATGCTCTATGAACACGGTGCTATTCCGTCATGTGTAATTTCATCGTTCCTGGTATGCATTGGTCTCTCAATACTCAAAGCAAGGAACTGGCAACACAATGCCGGAGAGAACCTGAAGGCCTGATGAGTGAGTCTGCATATCGTCCCCAAAGATGCTTCATTCCCGTGTAGGTAACATGCGAAAGCCTGTCGAAACGCCGTCGTGCTGATTTGACTTGATAGTATGCGATAGATCTCTGAATGTTGATCGCTGATCAAGATCTGATGCAAGAGGCTCAAGGTCAAGAAATACATTATCTCCGTCGGAGTGGAGGACACGATAGTAACAAGGATGTCAAGATGTCGCAGGCGCACCGAACTGTAGGAAAACATCGAATAATACACTGCACAATCTCATACATTTACCAACGTCTCGAGGGCAACATCGAATCTATGCACCAACCACCTGAGAGAGGAGCGTGCCGTCTAATCCATTCGCATACTGAAACTGGTCAGAGTTTTCATACTACGATCGAAAGTCAATAAACCAAACATCAAAGTCTCAGATACTACGCGTACCTCGTACATATCAAGAGCGACTTGGCAGCTCTCTCGCACAACCACGGGGACATCTTCCTTATTGATGTACTCTTTGAGGTACGGTAGAACCTCTGGCGTCGCAATTCCACCAAGGGCTTCAGCAGCTTCATGCCGAACCATATCCGACTCGGAAGAGCTCTGTAGAACTTGAAGGAGGGCAGGGACGGAATGTGGCGAGAGTAATTGGCCGAATACAAATGCGATTTCATGCCTAGATAGTTCGATTGTCCTATTGAACATCCCACGTAAACAGGGAGATGAGATTCAGAACGTACTTGAAGAGCGCACTGTCGTCTGTGAAGCCAGAGGCAAGTGCATCGACGGCTTCCGCTGTACCGATGTTTCGCAATGCGAACATAGCACGATATCGCTCGAAAAGCGGGAGCTTTGTATCTACAAGCTGCGACTGTAGCCGCGAGATACTGGCTTCAGATAGATCTTCTGATTTTGGCTTTCCGGACAAGAGCCCAGAAGTAGGGGGTGCAGGATCAATAGATGTAAACGTCCTTGGATCGATATGAGACACTAAGAGGGGGGGCATTGAACGAGTATGATGGTGCTCACTGAATCGCCTGCGCGGATTGATGTCGCCGTCCCTCTTCAGAGTTGTCCCATTCTATTCTTGCGAGCGCAATCTCGCACGTCTCGCGTACTGCTCGCTCTGGATCGCGGATGTACTTCTTCAGAATGGGGAGTGATGAAGTAGAAGAGATTGCGCCCATGGCCTCCGCTGCCTAAGGCAGGAGCAGGGTCCGGAGTGAGCTTAAGATGTTCTTCGACATGGAGAAGGGTCGCTGACCTCATGTCGAACCATTGGATCTTCAGTTGCATCTGCTAACACCCTCTCAAGCGTAGGAAGTGCTGCTTCGTGCTCGATCTGACCCAAACAATACGCCAATTCATGTTTCAGCAAAGCAGATGGATCCTGAAATCCTTGGGTCTGTTATAAGCGCATTCTGAGATGTGCAGCAGGCGAGCAGAATATGTGCACACCTTTTGAAATGATGCGTATCGCGTCTTCGTTCTTGAGCGCCTTGAGCGTGAACAGCGCTCTGAACCTGTTGTGTAGGGGGATACCCCCAGACTTGTTTAGAAGGGTGTCCTCGAGGTTCTCAAGGTCAGAGTCGGATACAACGAGTCCGGCAGACATGGTTAACCAGGAAGATGGGCACACTGCAGAACGGAGCAGAAGGGTTATTTTCCTAAATTTGAGTAATTGGTAATTGAAAGAGCAAAGAGATTGGTTCCAAAAGAGGAAATCCTACACTTACCTCCCGCCATAAGACATGCCAAAATCCAAAAGACAGAAGTCCGGTGCGTTTATCTACTTTCAACTTCCACTACGCAGGCTAATCAACTCTGTGGCACCTAAGTGACCTTGAGCAAGGTCGCAAAAAAAACCAAAGAGCAGAAAGGTGCTCAAATCACCGATGTGCGTGCAATTTGTAATGTCTTGGGTGCTGAGAGCTCAATTTTCAGGAAAGTAGCTTCAAGCTCATGTCGAAAAATGGAAATACTGCTGGCTTTTCGAAGTCGGTAGTATGCGCAATGCGCATCTGCAAACCGTCCGCAATCTGTGGAAGGAGTATGTTCATCGTCCTTACAACTTGTCGCGCACGAGGGAATCTAATAGTTGCTCAGCTCTGCTCGCATATTCTTCGGACGGGGGGCAGTGATGGCAAAAGCATTGGGGAAGACGGTAGAGGAGGAGCATCGGCCAGGTTTGACGAAGCTGACAACAGTGCGTGTTTTTTTATACCTACCACTTGTTCATTCATTCATCCGCTTCGGAAACAGCAAATAAAAGGGCAAGTCGGTCTACTCTTCACCGACACAGAGCCCGCAGAAGTCATCGAGTGGTTCAAAGACTTTCGGCAACCTGAATTCGCACGGCAAGGCAACCGCGCGACGCGAACCATCATCATTCCCGCTGGGCCTGTCATGCAGCATCATTCAGACCCACCGGAGCCTTTCCCACATAACGAGGAACCGCAGCTGCGAAGATTGGGTCTGACGACAACGATGAAAAAAGGGGTCCCGATGCTAGACAACCCACACAAGTTATGCGAGAAGGGCAAGACGCTCACGAGCGAACAAGCACAGCTTCTGAAGCTGATCGGGGAGAAAATGGTGGAGTTCAAGGTGGGCCTGAAAGCAAGGTGGGACTCTGCGACTGGGGAGGTTGTGCAGATCGACGATCCTGCTTTCAATCTCGACGAAGGCGGGGACGATGTTGTAGCGGATGAGGAGGGCGATGCTGAGATGAGCGAGTAGATACCTCGTATTTTCGTATGTCCATTGTATTACCTAGCGGCAGCAGACGTGCTGCCCTATTAATCCTGATGCCTATGTACTACGCACGTTAGGAGCTTGATTTATGAGACCATCGGGCTAGAAGGTTGTGAAGCGTGGCGTGTATTGTGTGAACTCATGGACAGGAACACCCTCTCGGTACAGTCAACCAATTGATTGCTCAGGATGAGAGAGATTGTGAGACCATCGAGAGGCTTACTACACATGCATTTCCCCTGACCGCGCAGACGTGGTATTTAAAGACACCCCTGCATTCTCCGGCGAACCTCTACTTAAAGGAACCACCTGGACATGTGGTTCCCCCACATCTCTCTCTTTGGGCTCGCTGCCCAAATACCATTTCAATCTTCCAACCCACCTTTGGAATCAGCGAGGACTATGAGCACTATCAAAGAGTTCAAGTTGAGGACCGGGGATGACGTCTTCACTCCGAAGGACCTGGTTGAACTGGCCCGTCCAGGCGCAGGTGTAGCGAATCTCGCGGGCGATTTGGCTCTCATCCCAGTCTCCAAATACTCCTTCGATACCAAAAAGTATGTCAAAATCCCTTTTCAGCGTTGGTCCATATGCTCACGCATCAAACGTATCCTTCCGGTGGGAAGGAACTCCAAGTCGATCTTCATTGCCCCCCTTGAATCCACGGTCTCACCAATCGAAATCCCACTCATCAAGAGCGGGGAGGCCTTCTGGCTCTCACCCTACATCGTCGGACATGTCACTCCCGATGATGGCGAAAAGACTTCCTCCCTATATGCCATAAACGTCAGGTTCACCCCGGAAGGCGCCGTGCAGAGTCTGATTCAGGAGGATCCTGTCCTTGTTGGCACCTTCCCCACGTCCACAGCTTCGAACTTCCGCTACCAGCAACAGACGGGTGTCCTGGTTTTCTCGGACAATGTACACGAGGATGGGAATTTAACTGCCGTTCGTGAAAATGATGAGGCGTGGTCGAACAGAGGCAACACAGCTCTCGTATATGATGAGACATATGAGAGGCACTGGGATACCTGGGCTGGTCCGAAGAAGTCGTCTCTGTTCACTGTCAAAGTCTTCCAGGACCCTGGCAGGAGCTGGCATTTCGAGAACAAGTTTTATAATGTGCTACATGGAACGGGTCACGTTCGTAAATTTCTTTTTAGCGCGTTTCCTTCTCAGCACTGACTGCCACCTCAAAGCATGCTCCTGTCGAGCCTTTCGGTGGAACGGACGACTTCGATATCTCTCGCGACCACATCATATACACTACGAAGGACCCTAAGCTTCCAGAGGCATGGCACACCAAACAAAACGTGAGAGCCGTCGCGAGCTTCGATCAGGCCGTAGAGCGAGCTGATCTCCTTTCGAACAGGTGTACATTGTGGATTTCTTGGGAAATGAGAAGCCACGCGAGTTGACATCCGGGAAGCAGGGAGCTGTCCACAGCCCGGTGTTCAATCATAAGGGTGACAAGGCAGCTTGGCTCGAGTTGGACGAGGACGGTTACGAATCAGACCGGTGAGAGGAACGCCGTGTGTCTTCAAATGGCTGAACTGACTATTTGAGCGCGGCGCGTACGAAGTGCTAAAATTGTCATTTATGATTTGGTGAAGGATGTTCGATTCACGATCACACAGTCTTGGGATCGTTCCCCCGACTCAATAGCCGTGAGAAGCTTTTGACATCGTGTCATATTGCGTCGTTGACCAACTGAATACTACATAGTTCTCTACTGAGGCGGAAGCAGACTTTATCTACCTCACCGCAGGGGACCATGCTCGCAACAAAGTCTACGTTCTCCCTATACCGCCCACACCCTCGTTCCATACTACGGATCCCGACCTTCTACCATTCTACAAGACACCTGTAGAACTCACCCACGATAGTGCCGCTACAGGTCTTCAGACCCTTCCTTATGGCCGCTTGATTTTCAGCCGTTCATCTGTCACTGGGCCGAACGATGTCTTCATTCTTCGTGACCTCAGGAACCTGGAAGCTGAGCTGACGAAGCGCAAATACAGTGTCGACGTCGATGCGCCTCTAGAGTGGAAGGGCGAACCTGTACAGGTGACACACTTCACAGACGATGCGCTGAAAGGCAAAGAGTTGCGTAAGGGCGAGTCCTTCTATTTCGACGGCGCGGAAGGGAAAAAGGTTCAGGGATGGGTTTATAAGCCGAAAGGGTTCAAGGAAGGCGAGGAGAAGAAGTGGCCCGTTCTATTGCTCATTCATGGAGGTTCGTATATGCTTTCTATTCCTGTCAAGTCACGCGAAACCAGCTAAACGGTTTCTTTTTCGTCCAGGCCCCCAGGGTGTGTGGGATGACCGTTGGTCGACACGGTGGAACCCCAACATCTTCGCGCAGCAGGGTTACTTCACAGTCGCGATCAATCCTACTGGATCCACAACTTTCGGACAAGGTTCGTGTTGATTGGCATTCATATATAGTAATTGGCCCCTTACTGTAATAATAGCCTTCACCGACGCGATTGCCGGAGATTGGGGAGGCAAACCCTTTGTTGATCTCCAGCAAGGATTCAAGTATGTTTTGCAGCAATACCCTGAGATTGACCCCGATCGTGCCGCCGCTGCTGGGGCGAGCTGGGGAGGATACGCGATCAAGTACGCAGCATCCTCTTCGTCCGTATCTCACATACTCAGTTGCATATTGTAACAGCTGGATTCAAGGCCATCCTGAATTTGGCTTCAATTTCAAGGCCTTGGTTTGTCATGATGGCGTATTCGATGCGACGTACAATGGCTACTCCACGGACGAGCTCTTCTTTGTACGTTCCGCATTTCTAATACCTGATGTTCTCGAATGCTCACCATACGTAGTTCAATCATGAGTGGGGAGGACGCCCCTGGGATGACAACGCGAAGAAGGTTCTGGACAAGTTCAACCCGACGAATTTTGTGCACAAATGGTCTACGCCCCAGCTCGTGATCCACGGAAGCAAAGACTATCGCTTGCCAGAAACGGATGGGATCGGGGCTTTCCATGCGCTACGACAGTGCGTATCATCGCATCACCTTACTTGTTTTCGGTCTTTCATCTGGGTCACGTATCTGTCAGGCGCGGCGTGCCTAGCCGTTTGGTGATTTTCCCTGACGAAAACCACTGGGTGCTCAACCACGGAAATAGGTGACACTAATTGGCTTGCTCTCTGCCGATGTATCACTGATTCCACTCTTGTTCTCAGCCTCAAGTGGCATTACGAAGTGCTCAGGTGGTTGGATTTATATACCGGAAAGCACGAAGATGATGAGCAGGTTGAAGTTCAGAAGTTACCGAACTAATCATTGATGTGGGAAGATGTCTAATCTGAATAATCAAGCTTTGTAGTGTTTGCCATTTTGTTGAAAAACAGGTATCGATATTACGCGTAGTGCAAGCGGCGCAGAATGCAGCGACAACCTCGCAACCTGGAGTGAATGAGCATCGAGGGACTGGCTCCTCAGTGAGAAGTGTAATGCAGGGCTGTAATCTGGGCAATGCGCCAGGAGGTTTTGTGATGCCTCAATTGTCTTCATCTGGTTTTCGACGTTTCGTCTATGCTCGAGTAAGGTTTCGCAAGCGCGGGCAACAAGCCACCGTTCAGCTCAGAATTTCTTGGATTGTTCATAGTGCAATACAGTTGACAAGTCTGGCTGATACATAGACGACGAGTGAATGTCAGAACCACCGACGGTGCTTGAACGGCGCGTCTTTGAATATATTACGTAATATGTTCGACGCGTCGAGTTTGAAGATCGCGTTTCGATCGCCTCAGTTGAATCTTGAATGAATGCAACGATGGCCGGACATGCGGACAACCTGGCCGACGGACTCAACGAATTTTCGCATACGCTCCTGACCACTGTGCGATCCTCCTCTCTTCTAATCCAACATGTGACCTTCCTGATCGCGTCTTTTCCACAGGCGCGAGCAATCCAGGAGACACGTTCTCAGGTTGCACACTTCGAAATCGAGCTTCGCCAGGTCAGACACGAGCGGGACGAAGCTATCGCATCGATGCATGAACTCGAAAGAAGGGTGCAAGACATGCAGAGCAGAATGGAAAGTTTGAAGGCGGCGGTATGTGGGAACGCTTGCAGCTCTACGGTCGCTCTGATGCACTCTACCATACCATATCGATCAGATTGTCCACGAGGCAGGGCTTGTATCACAAGCTCGTGCTGACACCGAGCGGTGGAAGGAGCAGTGTGTCCGCTCGGGCGACGCCTCCCGACGTGAGGTAGAAGACTGGAAAGCTCAGTGGAAACGAGCGGAGGAGGAACGCTCGCGTTTACAAGCGCGTCTGAATGAGTTCGAGTCACCTATCGTATGCATCGTTCTTTTTACATGCATCTCTCGCTTCCCCTGCATACCCATCTTTGTACGCGCTCCATCCAGACCAAGTCAGGCAATGCACCGTCTACCCCAAGACTAGACCCCAATGTCCCCACCGCCTCGACAATGGTGGTACGTTCTTCCTCAGCATCATCGAAGTACGTTACCTCCTCTCGTGCCACCACCGTGACCGCCGCCAAAAAGAATCGAATTTCGAACGCCACTCCCTCCGCGCAAACGCCTGGCGCGAAACCGAAACCATCTGCCACTCCTGCCGCCCCAAAACGGACGGCCTCTGGAGCGCCAGTCAAGACACGAGTGATACGACATGTCCAAGCGGTCGTGGATGTACCAATTAAGGAAGAAAATGACGAACAAGTGCAGGTATCAAGCTCAGTGCCAGGTCCAGCCTCTAGCACCGTCCAGCGCTCGCGCCCTGCCACTGGTTCAGCGACTACAACACCCCGATCAAAGAAAACTCAGCCTGAATCCAATCGTCGCGAATCGGAATCAGAGAACGACGATGAAAATGACGAATCAGAGGGAGAGTCCTCAGATGATTCTGAGGAAGAGTCTGAGTACGTAGATAACGCGATGGCACGGAAGAGGCGGCGGCCATCATACCCAGTCAATCGCAGGCGTGGACTATTCCATGATGATGATGATGATGATGATATAGATGAGCTAGCGCTTGGTGTTGATGTATGTGATGCTCCACGTTTCTTGTGTCTCCTTGTTCTTTGCTGACCATTGACAAACAAATCTAATAGGAAGATCCTGCCGAGGTTTATAGGGCACGCGAAATCGCTCGGAAAGTCCAACAGCTGAAAAACAACCCGAGCACTCCTGCAACACGAAGGACTGGTACAACGACGGCAACCCCTTCGACCGCGCAAAAACGAAAACAGAGGCCGTCAGAGGCTGGCAGCGTCACCGCCTCGGCTAGAAAACGGCGGTGATGTGTTTCGAAGTGACTTCTGATGGTCATTTTTGTATAGCATGATGGTTGGTTCTCCACATTGAAGATTCGCTCACTGCAATGACATTGCTATGATTCCATCTTCTCAATCATAGGATACACTGGATGCCGATGTGAGAGGACTGATGAGTAAATGATGATCACCTCGTGCGTGGGAAGTTTCTCAGGAAAGCATATATCAGTCAATTGTTGAAGTTGAATAGGCATGTATCACCTTGTATCACCACAGCTTATGATTGCCATCGCTCAACGAGGTGATCTGAGTCTCGATTGTATGAGTGCGTCAATCAATCTCTCCTTCATAGGGTATCAGCCGCCTTCTGTGGAAGACCCTGTTCAGATCCAATTGTTTAAGGTACGAGTACAGGAATCGTTATGAGCTTCGGCTTACAGTATGGCTATGGACGTGTGAGCATGTCTTATATAAAGAAACATAGTTGAATCATACAAGCCATCCCCGTGTGTATGATGAACGGAAGTAGTGCTCTGCTCCTAACCCCAGCCGCTTTATATGCTGGGAACTATCTTGCAGCGGTGTAAGTTCCTGGAGCTCTGTCTACATAGGATGATGACTGATAAGTTTCTATGGATTCTTTTGTTTGGATATTCAGTCTGTATGGCATCACTACCATCCAGGTATATTTATACTACAAGGCGTACCTAAATGACTCTCGTTGGATCAAGATTCTGGTGCGAACTACTGTTTCTCATGCTCTTGGTCATTAACCAATATAGCATTTAGGTGGCTCTTCTATGGTGCTCTATTCTCCCGTTGTATCTCTGTTTGGAGAAGCTAATGGTGCTGTTGGAGGATGATTGACAGCATGCATACCGTTCTTGCTGCGTATGGAGTGTTCGAAGATTTGGTCAACCTAGAGAGGGATCCTCTTCCGGTGTTCTTCAACCGAGTCCCATGGCGAGATGATTTCACCTCAACTAATATCTGTTTGCTGAATATATACTTAGGTCTATTTCGGTCAGTTAAGCTGGAAGTTTCTATCTGCCTACATCCAGATCATCTGACACAAATATCCAGACCACTGTTTTGTTGACAGTGCGTAGTGTATATCCTTGACGTAACCTACCTCTACTGATAACTACATCTTCTCATCAGAGCCTCAGCGACACCGCAGTCAGATGGTAAGTCAGTCTTATTTTCATACCGCCCACGCTGATATATTCCTACCTCATCTCAGTTTCTACCTTCGCAGGATTTGGAAATGTGAGCTGAAAGAATGGCACGTCCATAAACTGATTCACCATGTACATGTCTAGTGAGCGACTCCAACAGGATGCTCGCAGCCCTAATAGTGAGTGCTTTTTCGTGTGAAAGTCTAGCTTTGACTGAACCCTTACTCGCTACTAGGCTGTCCCTGTCACTGTGAGCTTGGGCGAGTACTCGTTTCGCCTATGCAAGGACAGTGGAGCTAACAACAGCATGAAATGCAGCATTTGGGCTTTGTCAGTTACACTTTCGCAGCGGCCGAGTATCCTGGTTGACAGTTTCACCTATCTAGACACATCTATCCAGCTGTAAGATCTTCGATTGTCGAGATATACTGGATTGATTGATTATACGACATCCATTTCAGCTATTGCTTGAAGGAAACCTTTGAAATTCTGACTCAAAAAGTATGTCCAATGAATCTTTTGTTTGATGTTGATTGAATATCCAACCCTAGACTGGCATATACGGCGTGCTCGTCTCAAGCTGTGCTTCAGACTGGATCATCACAGTCGCAACTTCAGTTTTACTATGGAGAGAGCATTCTTCGTTCAAGAGGTAAGCATTGAATTCTACCGTGTCAAAGACTTGGTTGTCCAAAGATCCGCAGAACGAACTCGCTCATCAATACGATGATCATGTACATCGTAACTACAGGTTTGTTTCCTAGGTCAAGATTTACATCCGCACTTCTCAACTTTGAGTGTCTGACTTAATTGCTGGATATAGCATCTTTGTCCTGGTGACGGTGGCCGTGGTTAGTTTCTTGTGCCTTACCTTATGTTGCCTACTCTGACTCTCATACTCAACTCAGTACGCCGCCATACCAGGATTCTTCTTTGTCGGAATGTACATCGTTCTCAGCAAATGTCCGCTATCTCAACTGGTTTGAGGAGCAACCTCACATACTGAATACCCACATCACAGTGTATCTCAATTCTTTCCTCGCCACTTTGAACAGCAGGCAAAGCCTTAATGATCAAAGGCAGAACGATCCTATGTTCTTCCCGCCTCTATCTACAAATGCCCGGCGCTGTGGAGAAGCATCACAACACAACGGATTGAAAAGCACGATCCGTGGGCAGGTAGATTAACTCCAATTTCAACCATTGTACATGCTGATTTTCTCTAGGATCTCATGGTTCAAGTGGATACTGAGATGGATAGGGTTGTCGACCCTGTTCCTGTAAGCATTCATCCTCATCTCTTCCACTCTACCGCGTCTGATCACAAGTTGTTATCACCTAGATGCGGCCCCAAGAATGGAGGACCATCGTGAAAGTGATTTGATCGAAGGCATTCTATTTATCCAGATGTCAATTGCGAGTTGCAGGATGGCGACTAATTCTACCTCCTTTCGGTGAAAATTCAATGGAATGAGCTCGGTTTTGACTCCAAGGGGTGTACTGTGTATGATGCGAATTGAGTTTTAGAGAATCACCTGGTGGTAACTTTCTCAAGGGTGGTTCATTGGCTGACAACGCGCATAAAGAATTGATGCACACTAACTGTCCGACAAGACTCGGCTACAGACAAGTTTTCAAAGCGTGAATCCCAATGAATGAGCTATGAAGTTTCATTCAGCACACTGTCGAGTCTTCAAAGACATGTCAATGGATGACATGTCATCGCCTAGATGGCGAGGAGACTGATACACCATGTGTGTATATTGTATAATACACATCGACATTACATCAATTTGCCACTAGGGTGGCCATTCCCGTTACTGGACGAAGTGCCGGTTTTCTTGAGATGTCGTCCAGTGGCGAAGAGTACGCTGTCAAGGATCGAGGCCACAGTGAGAACTCCACCCACGATGGCGCACGTCCTAGGCAGCAACGTCAATGTGGGGACAACATAGGCATCTAATGGCAACGCACGAGGTGACGAAGTGGGCAAAGGATTGCCGCGTTTCTTCGTGAACCACCAAGATCGGGGATATTTCGTAGTTGAAGAAAGCACCTGTTGGGAAAAACACATCAGACTCGAGTAGTGAAGACCACTTTTTAATGGCGAACGCGAACCTGGAATGCCTGAAGTGCCATGCTGAATGTGAACTCCCTCATTCTGGCCACCCTGGGAACCAGTAGTAATGTCCCGCTCGAAGTGAGTCACGCTGTATTGGTGGGTGTTGACGGTTTGTCCATCTAGGGTACGGAATTGCGTGGAAACAACTTTGAGGAAGTATTGGAACATGTACTGTGCTTTCGCAGTCTGGGCGTATTCATGTTATGATTACAAATTGAGAAATAAAGGAGGCAAAGACATACCCTCGCCTGATATCCATCCAACGGGTTGCCAGAGAGCCCCATCCGCTCCTTCATCTCCTTGCCTTTCTGCATTTTGTTCACATCGTACTCATCGTCTGCTGTGAAGGTAAACTCATGTACTGTGTGGCTGAAGTCGTGGCGGTTGCCATCGTTCTTGAGATATGGTACAAGCTCGTAGATATTGGAAGCCGAGGACTGGAACGATTTGCCGGGTGAAAGATGAATATTACCGATAACTTTATTGACCCGAACGCGTCCCGCGACGTTGCAGCCCTCTGTGGATTGCTCTTGCAGACGTTCTGACCAATGTTCTTGAACGCACTAACGTGAGAGTCAGTACAGGGCGTGCTATTCGGGAGAAGCACAAGTCTCACTTGCTCAATGGCGTCCGGGTTCCCAAAACTCCAACCTTTCTGCACATATGACTCCCGCACACTATCGCAACTGTTGCAGCAGCCACTTTGGGGAGGGAGCCCACCATAGCAAGAACCGCAGTATCCGTCCTGGCGCTGCTCGTTGATCTTGTCTATTTCATTCCGCAGTTCCGCAGAGTGCGCATTGACCAATGCGCCGGTAGGTGAAAGTCGAGACTTTACAATATTGTGAGTGATATCCCGTTGTGTCTCGCCCGAAATGTCCATGACATCCAGAGAAAGGACTATTACGACGACAGCAGATCGTCAGTATGCAATTCGGAGACAGAGCGAATCAATGCGAGCGAGTATCTCGACTTGTGATGATCGGTGGCCATGGAAAGCGTACAAGAGCAAACTATGACTTACGGTAGCATGGTACCCTCGGAAATGTCACATTCATCCGTACCGTCAACCGCTCTCCTCGGCTCTTATCAACAACGACCGATGTGTCCATGTTAACGCGACGATAGTCGAAAAACTCCATTGTTGAAAACGCCAAAATAATGGCAGCGGAAAGGATCGTCACTGAAACCTCACTTCAACTCATGAGCAATTGGCGCAGGTAATCGTACTGACATAGCGCGCCGGTACGCGTCTTGACCTTCACATCCTCCATTGTCTATGCACGTTGTATTCATATATAGATCGCCGTTGGCAAGCGTGCAAGTAATTGAGCTGACCTTGCCGAAGGCATCGATGCCCTTGAGGGCGCCAAATAGTCCCTTGGCCATACTGAGAACCACAAGGCGTGGACGAGAGAAAGAGAGACCTTGAGAGCGAGTCCGCGAAAAGGAAAATGGCCAGCAAATAGAAAGTAAGAAAGATAGACGTGGCCTTATGGCTCGCAGGATAGAGTAAAACGAATGCTACGTGTCCAGGTCCGTTCACCTGCATGTTCGCGCCGTTACATCATCACATGCTTTCGACTTTCCGCCCGCGTGCATCTTGGTAGCGTGTCCGACCATTATCCTCTGAATCACCGATCTGCCGAAATATATTGCCGTTGACGAGTAGACCGCAAGAACGTCCAGGTATAGATAAATACTCATGTGCATACCGCCTACTGAAGTCCTATGCGGTCCACGCCTTGCTTCACCTTTCCGATGAGACTCCTCACCCCGTCTCTGATCCCATCCGCCTGGACGCCCACGTTGTCCCCGCTGGTCCTGTATACCCCTGCCCCTCCGGGACCACCGATACTGACATTGACACTCCCTAGGTTCAAATTCAATGCCGGAGCATTTGAAGCTGACTCCGGTGGCGGTTCATAAATCGAAGAAGGGAAGCCTGCCGCTGCAGAGCTGACCATGTCAAGGAAACTGAAAAAGGAGCTCAGTGCTCGCAATAGAACAAAACGAACGAGGCAAATTACCTCGATGAGTTATGAATGCAGCTTCCTCCCAGCAGGAAACGAGCTCCCCCGGTACCAATAGCTGTGCCATCCTGGTTAAGGAGAGCAATCGCCCTCGCTTCCTCATATGTTGTGCCGCCAATCATGAAGATTATCACATCTTGCGGTCTGTGAGCCGATTAAGCTTCATTGCAACCAAGAACGAAGATAGGAGAGCGCGCCTCTGTAAACCAGCGTTCGGACCCGCTGATTCTAGGAATGGATAGCTTGTGTCTTTTAAACGCCCTCTGAAAAGATTCTCCAGCGTCTGTGACAGATGGGGAGTGTGCTGCATGTACACATTCTCTACACCCTACAGGCAGTAGTCAGACGCGTTGTCCTCAACGATAAAGCTTGTTACCTTTAATCCTTTCAAGGCGGAGCGACCCATCGCAAGTAAAGACTCAGTAGAGAACAAATCATCTTGCCGCTGATCCGAACCAGCTATATTGAGCACTACGTAGACCAGCTAATGTTGTGTTGAGGGAATAAACCTATCATGAAAACTAAGCAAGAACGTACACGAGCATCTTCCCGCCGGACGCCGTTTTGCAATGCGAGGTTGATAAGTGATGCGATGTTGCTTGCCTGCGTCTTTTGATACCGCAGAGCATACAGAATGACAAGGCGAAGTTTCGCCCTGGGAGAAACAGCGTTATCTGTGATGAACGTTTGCACACTCTAAACTTGCCGTCAGCGTTGTAGGCGATTTTCGTGAAGAGAACAGATGCTGTCAACCTTGATATCCGCCCCTGCCGACGTTGCAAGGCCTTGCTCAACCTCACCAATTTCCAACAACTTCTCTTTCCCGACAAGTCGACTCAGCTCACCGACTAGAGCCACATGCTTGCTCACGTTCCCACCAAGCTTCCTAAATTCGGGATACTCCTCCACGAAACGCTTCATATCTGTAATGGAATTTATAGTTGCAGGGTTCTGGGCAAGGGAGCGTGCCTGATAAGACTGCACGTAGGACTTGAGAGAAGTCCCGAGGTCGCCGAAAGTGGCTAGATGATGAGCTTGGAAAAACGGGTCCGTCGAAGTCGTTAATGTGATTTCCTAGTCCTATGAGCAACAGAATTTATGAAAATGTCGAGATGACTCACAGAAAGCTCCGGTCGAATATCTGGCACTTGGGTCATATCGACACGGCCATTTTGTATTCCAAAAAGCTCGTGCACCATAGCCTGGTAAGTCCATTGTGAAAGGATGGGCGTCACTGGGTCATTTCGTCTGTCGAGGATCAGGAGCAATGGCGGGACTTGTGTCAGCCGAAAATCGAATAGTTGGGATTCCGATTGAACGCAGTGCTATTCGATTGTGAACGGTCCCGAATCATTCGATCGTTCATGGCCTGCGTACCTGAACTTCAACGGCCAACTTCTTCGCCATAGCACTCATCTTCTCGTACCGAATCACGGGCTTCTTCTTCAAGCTAAGCAACACTGATATGAGACCCTGAACAGTGTATCGCAACGCTTTGGGGTCCCATGTGTTTGGCGACGAACCGAACAGTGGCTTCGAAGAGGAAGGAGGGTGGTTCAGCGAGAACAGAGAGGGAAGGAGGGGTGCATAATCTGCGAAATATTCCTTGGAATATGTATCAGACTAAACCTAACAGAGCGAGGCTATGGGCTCACCTGCACTTCCCTGACGACTTCGAATTCATCCGCATCAGCTAGACGCTCGATGGCAGTCTTGCTAAGTATGTTACTGAAGTCTGCGGAATGTATACAGAAATGTCACGGAGATGCTGAAGCGCAAAGATTCACCCACTAACACAGGTAGTATTCTCCATAGTTCGGCTCCCGAAGTTCAGCCTCTAAAGCATCCAAGCTTTCATCACAATTCCGCAAAAAGCATACACACTTCATGTGGGGCATCCGGTCTCGCTTCTTGTTGTCTATGCGGTCTGTAAGATAGACTTGATGGGACAGCAATGTTGATTGAGTTGAAGCCAGGGATACAATGGGCGTCTGAAAATCGGTTGGTCTTCGACATGCATTCACTGGAATATTACTGACCGTGTGTGTATCCAACAAGAACACCTTCATCGCTGAAGGGACCGATACCATCTTCGTGATGTATGTATCGACAGCCTTTACGACATCCATCTCTAATTAGGATTATGTCTCAGTGTACACGAGTATTTCGCGAAGTTTGCTTTGGTGGTAAGAGGATAGACTGCAAGGGAGGGATACAACGTCTTTGGAAGTACGATCGCAAGGTGTATGCAAAGTATGTAATCAGCATGACCTCATGACATAACAAAACGCTGAAGCTACTAGCGCGACGATCCAAACGTTCAATGATGAGGTATATAGTATAGAAGAGGTCTAAGTCTTGAAATTCTCAATACGCTATTGTACGCTGGCACAGACCAAACAGAACATACAGTCGTAAACATCCTCAGGCAGACTGTGAGTAGGTCCACGCATTATGCCATTGTTGAACCCAAATGCCCGGCGCGAGCTCATCTCTCTAGGACTGTCTCGTACATGGACCTGGTAAATACACAATCTCCGTCCCGCCTCACCTTGTTGATCTGGAGGGCAATCCATTCTCTACCCTCCTTGTCGCGCATACAGTTTGCTTACCACGAATCCATGCTGCTCCAAATCAGATGGCCATTCTCATTCAAGACGTGCAGCGAGAAGCCTGTATCCAGTTGCTCAAGACCTAGCTCTGACAGGCACTTCGAGATCCGCATGATACGAAGTTTATTGTGCCAGGCCACTGAGGTTACGTTGATCGTCAGTGGTGAGCAATGATACCAGCGGCCCATGTTGCGATGACATACCGGCAAAATTCTGGTATCTGGACAGGTAATCCGTGGGATCGGTGAGCGATCAACGAGACCTGTCTGCACAGACAAGAGTCGCATGCCGTAAAAGCCCAGCATTAACTTGCAAGGCTGGACAACGCGGTCCAAAATGGTCTGATCGGATTTCATAGACGCGACCTCGTGAGGCATCAAGCGCCGGGACTCAAAATTGACACCATCTTCTTGGATAGGAAGTCTGCAGGAGTCGATATCGCGATTAACATATCAATCAAGTTGAGAATAATGAAATAGGTCCGTACAGCCATTGAATATAGACATGCCTTCGCTCTAGGTCGTCATATGCGCGTCTCTAGCTATATGTGTAGGATATCTATTATCTATATCAAGGTACATTCGATTGAAAGACTCGAAACACTCCGCTCGTGAAGGTCGTCGACAAGTAAGGCATCTAATTGACAACGAAGCACGCCAGAGTGAACTTGGATGTGGCTCCTGGATATCTGTGCAAGAGATCATGTATGTCTTTTGGGATCAATGACATGGGTATTGAACATTGAAGGTTTTGAGCCGGGATAGCAGCTAAGATGATCGAATTGCACTCTGCCACTGCAGGGTAGCACACGGTAGCACCAGGTGAAACCAGGTGGAACCATGATGGTCCGCACTCTGCAGTATTACTCAGTGCCTGGCTGCCTCGGAAAACGCCGCGGTCGCTTGTGCAGAAATTTCAGCGTGCCCCACGAAATCGATATTCTTTAATCATCATCCAGGTGGCAGGACTACAGTACCAGCATGACACCTGGCGACCCTGACATTACCATGTTGCACTCTGAGATTTTTGACTCAAAACCAGACTGCTCCTTATTTTCAATCATCTGTCTCAAATTCAAAGCGGTGTCCGAGGATAAGTATTGGAAGACTCAGAACTCCTTTCATCAAGCAGGAGATTTACTCGTTCCGAGCAGGTAAGTGCTCGGCGTTGACAGAAGGTATGAAGTTTGTCCGTATCTCTGATGCAGGGTTCGAGGTGTGCGTGATCAATCCATGTTCTCGTGGTTTCATGTCTTGTGAGTCCTTGTTGTCTTTGAGAATATATAGTGCTGAGGTTTCCACCGACAGCATGTTCTCGGCTCGCTATGGGAGCAGTCGGCTCGAACTCGTGTTCTCCGAGGATATCATCTCAGGGCGTGCGATTAACACGGCGCATCTATCAACTTACGTGTCCGATGTCCTTGCCCTCTCGAAGATCCTATCTTCAAGCTTGGTTGTCGCCAGCTCGTACCGGCTTGTCCGATTCTTCCTTGGCAAATTTTATTGGCTTTTCTTCTCGCTCTGTTAGAAGGCGCACATCTCCCGTATGGCTTTGCGATGCTTCTCATCATGCCATCTTAGACCCGCTTTCCATTACGTTCGACGCGTTGATTCCAAGGTAAGTCGAGAAGCCTTTACAGTAAAGTAGTAGAATCCGATGCTCACGAACCCTGTTCTTGCGAAAAGAAGACCTGATTTGTTCGCGTCCGGGTTCGCTACACTCGTCTCGACTCCACAAAATGTGCCGAAAAGTGCGTCATCTCAGGTCCCCTCATAATCTGCTCTGGCTTCTCACAGTTCTTGGAAAGACGACATATATCTTGGATTACCGGTGGAGGCTCGTGGATGCCGACTTCGGGGCCTCGTGATCCGGACAATTCGACCTTAGTAATAGATAGGCTTCACTTCACGCTCCGTGAGATTGTGCTCGCTGTTCTCTCACACTGTGGAAACACTACAGGCCCTCATGCGCAAACAATGCCAGCGCCAGCGTCTCTGCATGACCACCAGATCCAGAAAACTGTTCCTCTTCGAGCCAGTCTGAATCATCGCGGTCTTATCTCGTCTCTCACATCAAGCATCCCATGCCCGGTGAAACAACTATGCTTGCTGTTCTAGATCTGAATGACTCGTTGTCTGGACTCGCTTGGTCACTTTGGGCGCTGTCAGTTGATGAACGCCCCTATGCGGCGTCTTTCGAAAGTTCGGATCGTGCACTTCGGTGTTTTTCTGGGCGGCGTCGAGATCTGTATGCCCCTGTGAACAAGTACAACAGCTCCTAGCAGAACAGAACTCCTAGCTGCTATCACCTCGCGGACTACGCTGTAGCGTTGTAGGTATTAGGCTGGTCGGGGCGCGATCATAGTCACGAGTCCCATATCGCAGTTCGCGGGTGTCTATACACGCCCACAGGGGAGTCATGTGGCCCCTCTTTGTTCAGGCCTGTGCACAGTAGATCCGCATAGGGGCTTTGCCTCGCGTTCATCTCACCTGTAACAGCCTCCCACAAAGGTGATATGTAGCTTCCGAGCTCGGACTTCCCCACGTCGCAGGTCACGATCACACGGAGGTGGTCAGGTGGGGTGCGAGGATTCTGGCCTGATCTTCAAATGCGATCATCTGCGCTACTCGATGGCGAGAATGTTCTTTGTCGTGGCATTAGGGTGCGATGATCAGTGATCGTTCATGATGAAAGAAGGTGCGAGATTCAAAGACCCCCGCCCGACGTCATCCTAACTCGTTCTCTCGCCGTAGACAAAGCAGCGGAACCGGGATTGATTCCGTGCCGTCTGTTGTAGCTCGGAGATGCGTCCGTGGCGCGTCCTCTCGCGAGCACATGCTCCATATTGCTCTCCATGCGAAAGCTTGACAACGGTAGGATGTTTGCCGAGAAACCAGGCGGCACTAAGACCTGCTTTTCTAGACTTTCTGTTCGGTCAAGTACTACATCATGCATAATTCGCCCAACCGAGAACTATCTTCTGTAAGCAGAACCCTCCTCGATGCTGTGTCAAATTCGCAACCATCCCAACCTATGGACCTTTGGCCTAGACATGGCCGTATGAGGCACAACTGAGGAGGTTGTAGGCCATCATCATGTCAAGACCTTCTCAAATTCCCTTCTCCTCGATGTACAATTGGCCCGGCTTGAGGACAACGGTGGGGCCTGTTCCCGGACATGGACCCTCCTTCGTCTCCATTCCTCGAAATAAATCGGCCCCACTGAGCCCAGACCTTGTGTAGGGCTTACTTGACCGTGCGCGTTAATATGGCAGCATGTCCTGCGCCAACGTGCTGGATGTCCGTGTAGTGGTGCTATGACATGTAGATGGCATTTGTGTGCAGGCATGGCCTCTGTCGAGATCTGGATGACAGGCAGAATTGTATTGTCTCGGACTGGTATTCTTGATAGCATAGTGCAGGATAGTAGCGTCCGTTCTCCGACGCTTTGGGTCGAACAGCTCGACAGGTGTTTTACATATGCCGGGCCCACGCCATTTTGATTCCATTTCTGGGGAACGATTAAACAATTGCACACGAGTTCCTGCGAGGCCCCACAGGGCGCCTTGCCTTGCCTCGCCTCGCCGCGTCTCACGTCACCTCACGGCCTCATCACGGATCTCATTGGACAAGCAGATGCGACTCGCACGCGGATTGGCTGCACAGTATGCGGAACCGTGATTTTTCGGGGTCCTCCGTGATGGATCAGATCAATCTTATCAGCTCAAAGCGCTGCGCATGCATGTGGGGAAGTCAGTGTGCACAGGTATATTGCACCGGCGTGCTTTTTCATCTAATAGTGTTCCCGCATATCGGTAAGGAGCAATCTGTAGTGGAGACCCGGCCGGGGTCGGGCAATCGATGTGTAGAGCTTGTGGTCTGCCACGAGCAGGCGGAGGTGCCGCGCCGGGCCTGGAAATCATCATCGAGGTGCACTAGGGTGCACTGTGGCGATCCACACAGCTCACGCGGCCACGCCTGGACGACCTGTGATAGTTCTGTGGACATATGTTTGACTTTCATTGATCTATCTACGAAACCGGGCGCCCCGCTGACAAGCCTCGACGAGTTGACGGCGGACGCATCAAGTATCACATGTCAACCGATGTCGGGCGACGCGTGCACCCGCGTGCGTTGCGACTGTTGCAACGGAACCTTTTTGCTTGCGTGGTCCCGCATCTGGATCGCTGGGTCGCGAACTGGTCGAGAGCGCTCACGCCGCGGCCGCGTCAAAAGCAAAAAAAAAACAGCGTTTCAGCGTTTCAGAGATTTCGATTAGCGTGCGTCGGGGCCTTTAACGCCTTTACAAATTCATAAGCGGTCGTCGCCTTCTTGCAGCCTACCCACCGCACAACGCGCGCCCGCCAATCGTGCAAGGGAGCGCAAATGCGGCTTGTGGGTGCAGTCGAAGCGCCAGGACGGGAAGCGCGAGAAACGGACGCTCGAGGAAGCGCACCCCAGTGGCTGGAAGCAGGCCCGATAAGCCTTCCGGCTGTCCTGAGCGATGCTTCGATCGCGCATCGACCAATGACTCCAGATTGACGCAGCCGCCACCGCGGAAGAATTCGAACCTCGCGGGCGCCCGGTCCGTCTCCCAATTGGCGCGCGCGCGCACGCCTGTGAAATCCAGCGCGGGAAGGACAGGAATATCGACGGTGGTGGGCAACAGGGGCGCAGCTCGCGTCGAGCTCGATGAAGCGGGTTGAGGCTGCGGAACAGCGGCCGAACCGGGCTCGCCGACGTGATCCACAACAGGTCTACCTGCAAGGGCAACAGGTATTCCATACGTGCTGTTGTGTCCTACACAGTATTACACGCCAATGCGCATTCGATCTGACGCTGCGGCGTACCTGTGGACATATGTGGGCGCGCGGGAACGCCCGGGCGCCTTGTTCGTGTTAGGCGCTGTGGAGGGCTCCGTTAAGGCTGCGCGTTCGCCAGTGCACACGCACTCACGTCGAGCCTGAGAACTTACCCGCGGCTATCGCGGCATCCGACCTGGTTCCGACGTAGCATGGGTGCGATCTGCCATGGCATGCCACCGTGCGTTGCACCAAAGGACTGAAACCCTCCGTACCTGCATAAATCATGAGCCTGAGGGGTGGGCACGGTGCGGCGAGAGAGGGAGGGGATATGTCGGACTTCCGAACATATAAGTAACTCGCTTTAGAGACGTGGTGGCGCAGGCAAAGACTCGGATTCGTGGATTCCGCGGACCGCGACCGAAATAGGTCCGCACGAGTACGGTGGGCCGGGGAGAGATGCAGGCTCTTAGAAGCGGGCCTGTTCCCGCAGCGGCGCCAGCGAGCGAATGAAGCTTCGACTCTGAGCTTCGAAGGTCGGCCTTCGTCGAGCGCTCCGGGCATCAGTACTGGCAACTGCCTGGCGCTGACTGGCATCGGTGAATAGACCACCCCGACGGGCTATCACGTTTGTGGTTTGTGCTGGACGTGGATCGCCAAATCGCGGTGCGTTGCTGGCAGCGACGTGGTGTGCGGGGAGAGCTGTCGGGGGCGCACGGCATCGGGCGGGACAGGTGCGCAGAGGCTGATGAGTGCCGGCAGTGTGGGGGATTAACGGGAATGAATGGACGCGGGTATCTCCGTATGCCACGCTGCTTCCATGTATGCGGGGGAGGGGAAGGGCACAGTAGTGGTGCGGGTGTGGGATCGCGTGCGTGCGATCCTGCTCGCGCTCGCATCGGGTATGCAGGGATGCGGACGCGGGTAAGCTCGCAACTGTGGCGGTGTGGACATCAAGATCATGATGCTGTTGCTGGCAGTGGGGAACCTGGGGAGGCGGGGGAACAGGCTGAGATGGCTATAGCAGTCGCGCTCGGCCGGATGCCGAGACGCGTGCATTTGGACTTACTTGGCCTCAAACGTGATGTCGGCGTCAGTTTTGAGATGGGGAAGCCGAGTCTGGATACGGCAGTGCCACAAGGACCTATCTGCCCCTGTTGGCTTACTGGTAAATGTAATTCGTCCTTGCGGCGTCGATGGGACAAAGGAAAGAAGATAATCATATCCTGATGCAGGGTACCGCCGACTTATGGACAGGTCAGCATCCTGTGTCATTGTCCGCGTGGAGAGAGGCGGTCCGGTAAAGTACATGGGGAACACGGTTCCAAGTCTAGGGCCTTACAGAGGACCATTTCGAATCCGCACATGCGGGATTCTTCTGCGAAGAAGGGACATCGGGAGATGCGATTCCGAGTCGGGAAGACTGAGAAAGCTGACGGAAGCTGGCGAATCAAGAGGGGGGCCAGAGATATTTGACGCTGCAGCGATGACCGACGTGTTAGGGCATGATATCATCGGACGACCGTGGTTGACGATGATGGACCCATAGTGTCTGTTCCGGGCGGGAGTCTGAATGTTGAAACACTGGAGCACGGAGGCGCGCGCGACCGCCGAGATGAGATAGATGTGTGGGTCAGCGATCGACTGGGAGCATGCGTCGCTGAGCGTCCGGACTGCTCCCGAGCGGGATAGCATGCAACTCCATTGACACTGGCGGCGATCGAGGGTCGGGCGCGACTCGGGGGCAAATTTTCGACACGCAAAGAGACCCACGTCGGCGAATCGGCCGGGAGATCAGTGTTGGGCATCACTTACTCACGCAGGTTCCCCCGCCGCGCGAAGCCGCTGGGCGCTGTTGGCGGGGGCTATATATGATTAGACGCTACCAGTGTGCGGTGTATGCATGAAGGAGCGTCGGCCTGTGCTGGATGCTGCGAACGGCGACCCAGAGACGATGAGGATGGGTGGGTGGAACGGCAGATGCGTCCAGGTATAGCAGAGGGATGGCAGGGCGGGCCCGCCAAAGACGGTGTTCTGCGGGCGCTGATTTGCTGGCCGGGATGAGAAGACGTGCCTTTGAGTCCCCATAAGTCCACACGCGATCTCGGGAAAGAGCGAAGATCGCAGCGCTTGCTTGGGAGGGAGAGCCGAGGACATAAGCAAGTAAGACGGATTGGGTGATAGGCGGGTGTCCGAATTGACGCGCTGTCAACGATGGGACCAATACAGTTTCGGCAACTCAAGGGCTGGAATTTGGTGGTGGAATGCCGCCCGGCGGATGATGGTGATGGCGGGGCCGGCTCGTGCGTCTAGATTGGTGAGCAACGAACAACAAGAGGGGGAGGGGTGATGGCGATGTGAGGTGACACATGGATGCAGGAGTTTGATGGCAATGTTGGCTGTTGAGGTCATATCGATATGGAAGTGAGGCAAAACATGCTAGATCTGCGTTTATGTACAGGCGTGGACGGAGCTGCGATAAAATGAAGGACACAAGGAAAGGAATGAAGCTGCGACGGACGACGGAGAGTCGTCGGAGTGCGCGGTGGGAGAGTCGGGACTGCTGACAGAAGGAGACGAAGGAGGCGGACTCGGACGGAGGCAAATGAGCGGCGGCGGGGAGGGACGCGGACGAGGTGGGAGATGCGGGGGAGCGGGGGATGCCGAGGGCGATAAGGGCAGATGGCAACAAGCACATGGAAGTCGCGGGGTCGCGGATATGAGGCGAGGGAAAAAGGAATGTGTTTTTCCGGGCGAGGCGAGGCGGGTTCTGGCGCTATGAAATATGTAAGACGGGTGGCGACGGGTGTGTGATGTAATCGGATGGGAGGGCAGGAGGATCTGTAGCGTGGGTGGCGGCTGGGGTGATGGATCGTGGCTGGAAGGTGGCGGGCGCAGGACAAGGAGATGGAGGGTGACCCGAGACGAGACAGCTGCGCTTTGAGACGAGGAAAGGCGAGGCGAAGCTGGCTGGCTGGGCGGGGAGGACGGAGGGTCTAGAGCGGAGTGGCGGACGAGCCGAGTTGCCGCGGGGAAATTGGGGGCTATTGGGGGGTCGGAGGCGAGGCAGAACATCGGGCGAGCCGGGACGAAACAGGAACGGGAGAGGATTGGTGGGGCTTGTTCGTTGGGTCCCGACCCCGTGGCGCCCTCAGCAGCGGTGGACCGGTGGGCCATCCATCAATAAATACCCAGCCCGTCGTCCTCCCTCTCTTCCTTTCCCGTCCACATTCCCTCCTCCCATCCCGTCCCCGACGCCACACACATCCACACGCACCCCTCCCTCCACAACAATGGATCACCTCGACACCTCCTGGTGTCCCGTCTGCGCTCGCCAGATCCTCCCAAAGCGCTACACCGTCCCCGTCCCTCTCCCCGTCCCCCAACAGCCCACGCCCGCCCCGCCTCCGTCGTCCCCAACCTCCCCTTCTCGTGAGTCGCAAACAACATCCCGTCTCTCCCCTTCTTTCTCACTCGTCCCTCAGCCCCGAAAAACCACACAGAGGACGCGCACCCCGTCCGCCACGCGCGCACCAAGAACGGCACCATTCGCGCCAGGACCGCCGGTGGCCTCGCTCGCGGAACAGGGCGTGTCAAGCCTAACGGCACCATCAAGCGTTCAGACTCCAAGAAGAACCCCGCTCCCGCTGCACCGCCTGCCGCGGCACAACCCACACCCGCCGTTCCGGTGAAACACCGCACGGTCATCGACCAGAACCCCACCCCGCTGTATTGCTCTGACGAGTGTCGCTTGGCCGACCTCAACACCATCCACGGTGGCTTCCCCATCAACTACAACCCAGACCGCGACGCGCCCGACTCCCCCACCTTGCCCCCCGTCCCCCACAATTCGCTTACCGGCATTCCCTCGCCCGTCAGCGAGATCGATGACAGCGCCTCGAGCACTTCCACCTCCGTCGATTCGGATGACAACATCCTTGGTGACACCGTCGACTACGCCTCCATCTCCCCCAGCGTCGCAGCCCTTGCGCGCATGTACAACTTCCCTCCCCTTCCCGTCCGACTCGCAGTCTTCGACGAAGAGGAAGACACAACTCCTCCTTCCGATCCCGCAGAGGAGTACCAGAGTGGAGTCATGATGGCTGCGCGTCGCATCAAGGCTGCGCTCTGCCCTGAGCCTCCAAAGAGATCGTCATACCCCTTCAACAACCAGGCCCCGTCACGTGAGCGCAAGCCCATTCCGGGTTGGACGGATGGCTCCGATGCTTGGAGGTCCTCTGTCTACTCCATCTCGTCCGTCGACTCCGCCAACAAGCAGGCTGTGGGGAGCGAGGAACGCGCATCTGCCTACAGGTCCTTCCCCGCCTCGCCGCATCGTTCCGTTGGCGTCTACTCCACCCTTAGCGAAAACACTACGCCAGTGGCCTCTCACGCACCCGCCCCTGCCGATTTCAATGCGAGCATGCGCTCCAAGACCCAGGAGGAGGTGTCTTCAAATTACCCGCTCACTTTCGTGAGGAGAACCGACTCGCGAACGTCTCTGTCCGGAGCTTCCCCGCAGTCCCTCCCCATGGCGCGCCGCAAGGAGCACAGTCTAGTGATGCCGGGGGCTGAGGGGATGTTACTGGTCCCGAACGTGAAACTTCGATCGCATTCGGCTGCGTCGTCGCACTCGGGCGGCACGTCGTCTGTCTCGAGTTGCCGATCGGGCTCAACGCGCAGCCTTGTGAAGAGCCCCCTCAGCCGTCGAGGGAGCCAGTTCAGCGAGGAGGGCACGATTCCAGAGCTGCCGGAGCCTGGCGAAGTGGGCTCTTTGCCCGCGCCGAAGAGGCCTGTCATTGAAAGTGAGTCTCACGGTTTGTGCGTGACCGATCTGGTTCTAACCTTGATTCTTCGTAGCGCGCTCGTGGTCCTACGACAATGTGATGACTTACCCGATCATGCCCATGCCGAAGCGCAAGGAGATTCGCTTCGAGAAGCAGGTCATCAACGGCAAGACGCAGATCGTCGAAGTCGAGGTGGAGGTGCAGCCCTCCATGAAGCGGCTGTTCCTCTTCCCTGGCAAGGAGGTCGTTCGGCGCTAGTCGTCGCGACCCGGGCTTTCGTTCTCATCTGGTTACCCCAGCCTCGCATTGCATTGTTCCCCACAGCATACCACATGCCCATATGATACCATCGACGACGACACGACGCCGACGATCCTAATCACGACATCACTTATTTGTCTCTATCTTACGACATCACGACATCGCTTGCTCATATCATCCTCCCTCACCCCTAATGGGTCGTCCGTGTCACCTCGTTCGTCAGGAACATCCCCTCCACGCGTCGCGAGCCCCCTTGCATTGCAGTTCTCGTATCCTCTCCCAAAAGTTCGTTGCGTCTCGTCTCGTTTTTGTCCCGTTCGTTTGCTTTGTAAATTTGTGTACTATCATCGCTTACCCGTCTGCGTCCATCGTTTCCTTCCGTGTACGAGTAGTTACTACCCTACCCCTACCCTACCCTACCCTACCCCTACCCTCGTGGACTTTTCTTCATCTTATTCCCGGGTCCCCGTCATTGCTCCCTTCGTGTGTCGTCTGGATCCCATTCGAGCGCACTCTCTCGCTTTCCACTCTATCGCCTCCTCGCTATCGTGCTTTCGCATTGGGATGCCGCATGCATCCGCGGGGGTTGTCCCTCGCCTCCCTTCCATTGAGATTATTTTTCGTTCGTGTGTCTTTCTTTTTCGTGGATTTCATACGGTTTGGTTATGGGTTATCGTCGCGCGCGCTCGTTATTCAATCTCAAGTTTACTTTATTCGGGTCGTGCCATGTGTGTGTTCAAGGAAGATATCCTTTGTATTCCAGTACATATCCTATACCACTGCCAATGAATTGCGGTTATCGTGCATCTCCAGGGATCTGTTGCGCGATCGGCCTCGGCTGAGGTCATTGTTTGAGGTTTGTCAGAGACCGCTCGGTGTCTGTGTTTATTACAAAGCCAGACGTCTGCGTGGTTGATCGTCTCAGGACGCAGTCGGCCTGCTATTCGGATTGGAGCAGCCAGACGTGGATGGACGGGAACCAGGGCGCAAACGTTGTTCTGCTCTGGCGGGTCGCGATGTTCTGGATTCGGCTCGGGTCCTCGGTACGAGCAAGGTGGGCGGTGGTGCCCGTCGGATGTCAGGATACGTCAACGGCGGCGTTCGCGAACTCCTTTCCTTCCCGCATCCGTCCTTCCCTGTCCTTCTCTGCCCCTTGAGCGCTTGAGCGCGCGCGCGACAGGCCACGGTCAGTGCCCGCCAATCACGGGGGCGCACTCGCTCGCCCGTTCGGGAACGCTCCTCCCGCCTGGGTCTCGCTCGTCGGTCTCGCTCGTCGGTCTCTGACTCTCTGCTGGACGGGAGCCGCGGTGCCCGATTCCCGATCGTCGTCTCTTCCTCTGCTGCAAATGCGCACCTTGGAGGGCTTTCGGCACACACAGCGCGCACGCCCCCCCTACCCACTCGAATCGCTATGGCCATGGGGAGCGCAGGAGCGGCGTATCTCTCGCTACTAGCCAGTCACGACCGGGCCTAGCCCTGCGCAGTTTTGCCTGCCCATGGCGAGTCGGCCGTCGCTGGTCGTGGCTGGTCTCGATTGCGCCAGCAGCCAATGACCGTGCCACACGAATATCAAATGCGCCAGGGCCCACCCACATCAGCGCCCGCCCCTGCACGGGGTCGGTCGTGACGCGAAGGCGCGACGTCGTACAGGGTGTTTGCAAATAAACCAACAATTCTTGCAAATTTCGGCAGAGCGAAAAGGGTCGCAGATCGTGGCACCGAATCTGCACTCATGCGCTACTATGGCGGTTTGCAATTGCGCAGTGGTCTGGAGCCGCCGCCGCGCGCGGCAGGGGGCTCGCGCTGGCTCTCATTGGGCACGCTTATGGGGGGACGATCCCTCGCTTGCCGTTTAGAGGCTTTGGGATTCTTCTAGCAGGTCGCTCTGCGAGATCTTCTACGTTGGATTGGATTCTAAAACCGAATCTGGATCAGGAGTCTCGAGTAGGTCTTGGGCCTCAGGCTGTCTCAGGTCGGCCTGGAGGGCGGATGTGAGCGACCAATGGGGCCGATATTGGCTCGAGGGTCGTAGGGCCAACGCGCAAGTGAGGACGTATTGTTTTTACGTTGGTGGAGTGGCCTCGGGCGTTGGGACGAGGCCGACGCTGGCCGACGTTCCTGGGGCCGTGCGCGTGAGCCTCGGCTCGTTGCTGGCCGCGTCCAGTTCGGCCGTCTGCTTTCAGAGGTCGTCTCCGACCAGCTCCGACCTCGACGAGGTTCTCGTGGCCTGTTGTAGGCTCTTGTTGGCATGCCGGGGTGCTCGGCTCTTGACGGTGATGAGATTCCTGGTCATCCAAGGCACGTCGGACAGTCTCTGCGGCACGAGTCTGACGGAATCGACTCGTACAGGATCAAATTACGCTGCTCGCCCCACCTCTATCTCCCGGGCTGTTCGCCCATTGGCGTGCAGCCGTGTCCCGATCCTCTTGGTGCAAGGACGGCGATCTCAATTCGCGCGTCGGTTCGTAGATGCGGGCACCTCGAGAGCCTGTGCGGACTTTGACGATGGGCTCGGCCTTTGAGCGTCAAGCCCGCGAAGGGCGGTGTCTCAGAGGGCGGAAGCCCTATCCCAGTCGGTATATGCGCAACTTGACGCCCCGATTTTGTCGTTCCGACATGAACAGAGCCATGGGGTGCTCTATCTTTGTTATTGGTCGCTGCCGCGCCCTGTGCGCGTCGTCTGGCACGGGGCGCAACTTGTCGGGATCGCGAATTTCAACGCGTCGGTATCGCTGTGGGTGCCAGCAGAGTTGCTTCCGCGCGCGTCCCGTCATTGGCTGACGGACATTTGTAGGTTGGACGACGCAGACCAATCTTGCGTGATGTCGATCGGCGGCGGGATCAAATTGGCCAGCACTTGGAATCAGACGTTGTTTGGGGCCTGCGGCTTCTTTCCGCGATCGGTGTCGACTTGTCTCTATCTCTGGTACTTCACCTCACTTCACCTGCACTCGTGCGCAGATATCTTTGTTATTCGACTATCGCCCCGCTCCTTCACACTAGTATCCTGGGCCTCTTGCGTGTGCGATTTCAAAGATGTCACTCGATCCCGCGCCTGGCTCTCTTGCGTGGTCGAGTAAAACGATCTTCCCCGTCATCGGATGCAAATCTATACAAACAACTTTCTGAGATGGGAGGTCAGGCCGAACAGGTCGGTGCGCCGGCTCGGACGTGCGTTCCTAATGAGCTCATGTACGACGTCGGTGGAGGCAATCGGCCTCGAACAGTGCTGTATCGGACTATACATCCTGTGAGACATTTTTGTGCTAGGTAGGCGCGCCTCTTGACTTGCGTCATGGTCATGGGGGCGCTGTGCACCGCTCACACAACTCCATCGAGGCATCCGAAGCCGAAGCTTGGAACTGTTGCATACCACCTATGACGGATGGCTGACGCACCGTCCCGCACTGCCCATCCAACCCGAACTCGCCTGACATCAGTTGACGTCTCCGACTCTGCCTCGACCGGGCTCGACCGGCGCTTCGCGACTCCTGAGTCCCTCCAAGGCAGGCATTCCGATTCGTATCGCCTTTCGGCGCGCGTGCACTCCCTTTTTACGCACGGCCGGTCAGCAGTCGCCATAGTGCCTCTCCTGTCTCTCCTGCCGCTCCCCATCGTGCTCTGCGCGACACATATCAACTGGCTGATCAGAGGGGGTCGACCGTGGCAGGCACTGATCTCTCTTGATCCGCGTCGCAGACACGTTCGACGTTCGTGGTGGCACACTGGCGGCACGCGGCCGGGCAGGGCCTCTGATCTCGGGCGACGGATTTCAACTCGACGCGGTCACGACTTTTGGAGCGGGAGACGTACGCGCTTCGCGCAGCTTCGCGAGACGTCCTGTATGTTCTTCTGGTGTGGGGCCCCGCATTCGGTCGATCGGAAGCGTCATCATCGACGAAACGATGACGGCAGGTTGGCTGCTGCGACACAGGGGCTCCCATACCATATCCGGACGCTGGGGCAGCATCGGAATACGGAACTGACCCGGATGGGCTTCGGGCGGACTCACGTAGGCTCACGTCGCTCGTCGTCGATGCCTGTACGGATGCCGAGACGCGATAAGTGTCGGCGGTTGGGTAAGTGTCGTGTCGTTGGACGCCGTGGGCCGGCGGGACGAGCCTATGCCATGTCTGGCAGTACCAGGACTATGTAAGGTCTCCGTGCGCCCGTCCAAAACGAGCACTGAATTGGGATGCGTAAAGGTGCGTAACGCATTCATTCATCCATTCATTCATTCATTCATTCACTCAAGTGCGGCACGCGTCCGCCCGTCATCACCAGATCGCTCGCGCGCGGCAGATCCGTTTTCGCCCCATCATATCTACGGGTTGGCAGGCACGGGACCAGATTGGGTGACCTTCCTGGCCTGCGCGCTCGGGTGACGGTGACGGTGGGAAGTCGAGTCAGGTCGGCGTCACTCGGGCGCAGGCTCGCAGGCTCGCAGGCCTGGAGGCATCTCCGCGGTGGTACCGTAATTCGTTACGATGATGCGCGCTAAGACGTACATACGCCCCGCGTCACGACCCGCCCGTGTCTTCTACCGTCCGGAGGGGCTGGCGGAACCACGTACGCACTTCCTTAATGTGGGGAAGGGCGTGAAAGGCGCTGGGGTCCGATCGTCATGCTGCTTCGCGGTCCGTCGTTTCATGAATGCCGCGTGCGCACGCTTTCCTTTCCCCACACTACCGCTCGCTCGCGAAATGAATGGGATAGGAGAAGTCGCACGGCGCGCGCCGGTAACTGGCGAGAGAAAACAAGCACATAGGCTCGTACAGTAAGTGCGGCCGAACACACTGGATCTTCTGCGTCCGAAGCCCCATTCAATAGGGGCTCCGTTCGGGCTGGCATTCCCGCCGTGCCTAGAGACCATCGGCCGCCCCTCGACGGCCACAGACCAGCCTCCATGCCCCGCATCAGCGCGCAGTCGCACACCTATCAACTTCAAACCGCATCGGCAAGTTTCAAGTCGCCGCGCGCCGCGCGTGGGACCTCATTAGCTCGGCCATGGTTGAGCAGTGACGACGAGCGGGTCACGCGATGCGCATGCAGACGTGACCTGGCTCGGGCTCAGCAGGGCAAGATGACGTTCTGTGGGAAGCCGTGAGGGCATTTTCTAGACGCTACTCGCATGGACTCGCGAGACGGTAGGCTTCATTCCAGAACGCGGTACGACGGGCGGCTGGCCAGCAGTCACCGGACCTTGCGTCGACGTCGCTGCAGGCAGCCGTGGCCAGCGGAGGTGTGTCGGCGCCATGTGTCATCGACGAGGCGCACAAAGGAACGCGCTGCACGTCGTCCACGGGAGAAGTGCGCGATCACTTGAGCTGTCCGGTGCAGCTCGTTTCGCGACTCGGCCCACGCGCCGGCTCGGGAATGGGAGGAGCTGCGCCAGAGAGGACGACGGGCGCGTTCGCGGGGCTAGGTTCTGGACGTGCAGGCGTCTGTGGGACGGTTGGCTTGTTGTGTGCGTGTGTGCATGCGCGCGCTGCCTGGGGTCGTGCATGAGGTCACGAAGTGAGACATCGCATCTGCCATGAACGTGCGAGTTGGAGCGAGGCGAGGCGAGGCGAGGCGAAGTGGGTGGGTGGCCCAACAGGCGCCAGGGCGCGCGCCTCGCGCGACGCTGCGTGCATTCTAGTGCACGACGACGTGCACGGAACGCACCGCGGCGGAGACTCGAGGAGACTCGCACCTGGATCGAGGGGGCGTACACGCAGTTTGTCTGGTAAGTCCCGAGAATGGACGTGTCTATCCCGCTGGGATTGCCCTCAACGCAGCATCTGGCGTGCATGCACGTTGATCGTGTCGAAATCCAGAGCGAGCGACGGCAAAGCGGGCGAAGCAGACGCAGAAGCTGAAGTATAACGGATGCCGCTTGAGCTCGGGTCCATTCCAACGACGATGGATGGCGACGACGACGGAGCGGCGCGAGGGCCGCACGACGTCGCCCTCAAACGGCATCCTCGCCGCCATATCCAGCAGCGCGCCACTGGTCCCGCTTCCCGCACCGTGTCCCCTGTCGACCGCCACAGGCTCGCATCGTCGTCGTCGACAGAAGCGCACGCGCACGCGGTAGCCCGCGCTGTCACTTCCCCGCATTGCTCAGCCGCCCCTGGCCCGTCGCCCCGATCTGGAAGGGTCAAAGCTCGATATGGCCTGGCAGCGGGACGACAGGCGCGTCGCGTCCGACATGGGCCCATGCTCCGAGTCTGGAGGATCGCCCTTTGTCTGACAGACAGGGACCCGTTCGCGGTGGGCGAGCGGCTGGGCTGTTGGACCCTGGAGGGAAGTGCGCCGCCCGAAGCAGCGTCTGGGTTGCCGGACGGGGAGTTATTGCGGCGCGCGGCTGTCTGCTTGTCTGCTTGTCTGCTGTCGCCCGGCGTCCAAGCGTCACTCGCGATGGCCCAGAGAGCGAGCGACGCTTCCAGACTTCCACGTTTCTCCCGCGTCTTGCTTAGTTCCCCGGTCGGCCGCCCTTCTGTTTCGCGCCCTGTCTCTCGGACGTCGATGTGCCTCGGAAGGCCGCCGCGCCGCTCTGCGTTGCGTTGCTTGCTTCTGGCCTCGGACGCCATACCTGCCTACCTGCCTCTGGAAAGTCTGGACGACACTCGGACCGCCCGAGCCCGAGCCACTGGTCCCCGCGCGCGCAGATCGTCGCGGGTAAAAAACCCATGTACTACGGTGCACGAGCAGGCACCTCGTCTCCGCACCGCACCGTCTCAGTCATCCGGAACGCCGGCACCCGACTCGCACGCGCACGCGCACGCGGGCCGTCCCCTCTGTGCGAAACGCACATCGTGACGCGCGACGCGCTCTGTTGGACGGCCAGCGAGCGAGGCCCACGACTGCCATTGCCGGCCCATTCGAATTCGACCCGCGCGCGACGTGAGCGCGTCGCGTCGCGTCGAGCGCAGACGCGCACCGTACTGTACGCCGGCGAGTCCTCGTTCTCTCCGACGACCCACACCCGCTTCCACCCCGAGCGCGACGCCCCCGGCGCCCGCACCGAGTCCGCGGCGGCCCAGGTGCAGACCCGCGCGCCCGCGCCCGCTCTGCGCCCGCAGGCTACCGCCCGCGGTGCCTGTGCACATGGCGCGCGCGTCCATAGAACAGGAAGGTCGAAGCGCAATGAAGGGCCGCTGATATCACAGTACATCGATAACACTACTACTGCATCAGAGCGGACGCGATCGCGGACCGACGGGATCCGAGCCGTGCGAGTCCCTTCAGAGAGCTTCACGGTCTCAATCAAGTTCTCGCGAGGCACCGCGCACTGTGTATCGGATGCCATGTGGGGTATTGAGGATGCGGGTGACGGCTTGTTACGAGGGCTTCTGAACCGCTCGAGCAGACGTTCTCATTGCGACGATCTATGTATAGTGAGATTCTAATGTACGCGTAGGCGTCCGACCGCGTCCGTGCGCACGCACATGCACATGCCTGAGCCTGAGCCTGAGCCTGAGCCCGCAAATAGATCAAAGGAGGGTGGGATATCGCGGGCGGCGCGTCGGCCTCCTCCGAGTCCGATCCTTCCGACAGCGCGCGGCCGGGTGGGGAGAGGGGCCGTGAAATCTGGCGGGGCCGCGCAGTCTGTAGACTGTAAAGTATCCATTGCGCGCAAAATCGTGCGGCACGGGCACGGGCAGGGCACGGCGCACCTCGCTCGTCTCGGCGCGCCCGCCCTCGAGAGCGCACGAATCGACGCTCGCGGGGCCACGATCGATGTCGATGCGGGAGAGCCCTCGAGCCCCCCTCGCGAACAAAAAGACGGCGCCCCGCCCGAACTGAGACTCGCCGACGCCGCGCACCGACCCGCGGGGCGCCCCGCTCTGTGCTTTTCCATCGTCCACGCCCGCGCGCGCTCACCCTCGCCCTCGCGCGAGGGGGCCGCGACGCGGGCTTACTTTGCGCGCGCGCCGTTCCCGCGCTTCCCGCGCTTTTGGCTTCAGACGACGTGCATTATCGACCGGCCCGACTGCAGCCCAGGACCCCCGTCGAGCCCGTCCGCCAGCACAGCGCGCGTGCGGACCCCGCCGTCGCCGTCTCCCTCCGCCTGCCCTTCCCGCGTCCATCCCCGCTCGCGCTGTGTCCGTGTCCGTGTCCGTGTCCACGTCCGCGTCAGTGTCAGTGTCAGTGTCCGCCGTGGCTCGCCCTGCGCCGTCGCCGCCGCCTCGTCCGCCTCGTCCGCCTCCTCGCCCCACCCGTCGTCCTTCTTACCCACGTCCCGCCGCGCACACTCGCCGCGCACGCTCATCGCGATGTCCGCCCCCCCGCGTTCCCCCGACGGACCCGCGTCCGTGTCCGTGTCCGCGTCCGGGCTGCCGATCGCGCCCGCGACGGCGGCGCGCACGATCTCCGAGTACTGCCGCGAGCGCTCGGTCTCGGTCGGGGACACGCGGCGGCGGAGCATGAGCACGCTGGCGCGTCGGTGCGGTTCGTTCGATTCGGGAGGATGGTTCGGGAGGGAGGTGCGCGTCAGCGACGCGTCGGCGGAACGGGGGACGACGGGGGACTCACAGACGACACGCCTATGCGCGCGCACGGAAAAAAAAGGGAGGAGGCCGAGCGGTCAGCGGGACGCTCGTGTTTTTTTTTGGGGGGGGGGGGGGGGGGCCGTGTCGAGGCGACTCACCAGGACGTTGGGGAGCAGGAACGCGAAGAAGGAGCCGAGGCCGTTCTGTTCGCGGTTCGGGCTGCGGGACACGGGATACGGGGGTACGGCGTGAGCGGTCGGAAGCGAAGACGCGGAGACGCGGAGACGCGCGAGGAAGGGAGGAGAGAGAGGGGGAGACACGCACGCGAAGTACGTCGCGGCGGAGAGGACGTTGAGCGCGCTCATGGTAAAAAAAACAAGGAACCCTGGGTAAGATGCGATGCGATGCGATGGTGCGTCAGAACGCGAGGGTCCATCCGACCCGCGAACGGGCTGCCACGCGGGCTCACCTTGCCTGAGGAACGTGCGGCCGAGGCTACCCTGCGCGCTGCGGTTCCACAGCACATGCTGCACGGGCGGCGTGGTCACGAAAAGGCGAGCAAAATCAGCACGAGGACGATGACGGCGCGACGGGAGAGAAACGGGACGCGACGCACGAGGACGATGATGGACATGGTGAGGAGGTCGAAGAGGAAGGCGACGAGCTGTGCGGGCCGGGCGGGGGTCGCCATAACCTGTTTAGCTTACGCCGCGCACCGGGAGCGGCGGGACAGACTCACAAAGGAGAGCTGCGGGGGCGAGGGCGAGGGCGGGGGCGGGGTGGGTAAGTTCGAACTGGTCAATGAGGGCGCGTGGCTGTAGCGGGGAGCGGGGCGGGACTCACGGCGAGGCGGACGGCGCCAAACTTGGGGTGGGCGCCGGTGCTAAGATTGATGTCGCTGAGGTCGGAGGTGGGGAAGCAGCCGATCCCGCTGATGAGATCGAAGAGCCCGGGGATGACTGGCGGGGGGTGGATCAGTCTGCGGAGACGCGAGGCGAGGCGGGGTGGGGAGGGGCGGTGCTTACATACGAGGGTGTCTGTGAAGACCCAGAGCTGGATGCCGACCATGGCTGCGAGGGAGGCACAGAGAAGGATGAGGACGGGGCGGCGACGACCGGTGAACGCGTAGGCGCGGAGCATGAGGACGACTGGGTGGGGGTGGGGGGTAGGGGGTGAGATACACGCGGGGAAAACACGTGCGGAGAGCGCACCTTGAGCGGAGAGTTGCTAGGGCCGGAAAAACACGATGAATGCGGGGAAGCGGGGGAGCAGAGGGGCGGGACTCACGAGGGGGACGAGGGAGGTGTAGAGGGGGATGACGATGCGTTTGCATGTTGCGTAGTCGTGGTCGTAGACCCAGCCCCATATGTGGAAGGGGTAGAGGAGGAGGGGGTAGTACCTACACATGAGGTAGGCGGCCTTGACGGAGGTCCAGCGAGCATGGTGGATCTAGGCGGTGATAAGCGGGGGACAGGATGCGGCGGCGGCGGGGGGGACGCACAAGCTCGACTTCTTCGCCGAGGCTGAGAGAAGGGGGATGGGGTGAGCGTGGGAAGCAGAGGAGGGAGGGAGGGAGGGGTCACTTACGAGATGAGCCAGTCGTAGACGAAGACCGCGTCTGTGGAAGAGAATGAGAGACGAGACGAGACGGGCGTGGGGCGGGGGCGGGGACTCACATACGGCTGATGGCGGGCGGGGGAGATGAGCAGCGAGCAGGGTGGGAAAGCGGGGGGCGACTCACAGAGGACGCTGTATCTGCACCTGCGGGGAGAGGGAGGTGAGGGGGATGCGGCGAACGAGACGAACGACGGGGACGGACTGGGAGATCGCGACGGTTGCAATCTCTGCTGTTCGGAGGATTGAGTCTGGCATCGGGGTGCATGGAGGGGGCGGGGTGTGTGCCGCGCAGGGGCAGGGCACAGAGGGAGCGGGGAGGGGCGCTGGGGAGGAGCGCTGGGGTGAGGAGGACAGGGCGATAAGGATTATGAAGGGACGGCTGGGCGACGGCGGATCAGGACCTGCTCAGATCCTCCCCGCGATCCACGTCCTGGCAGCCGCCCTCCGCCGACACCGTCCGCCTTTTAAATAGCACACACGCATGTATCCTATTCTGTCCGCCGCCCCTCGCTTGCTCGTCCCGCTCCCCGTCCTCCGCCGCCGCCTCGGCGCGTCCTGCGCGACAGCGGCAGCATGCACGCACTCGTCTATTCAGATCCCACCTAGTCTCCGTTGCTGACAAACACAGAAGGCGGTCGTTCTGCGTCAACGTCTGCTTCCGGGTGGTAGTACCGATTTCGGCATTTGCTGCTCTGAAATGATGATCTTTGCGCGGAATATGTCACCCAACCTGACTCATGAGGGGGAAATGCTTGTTAGCTAGATAGAGATAAGCTTTTGCTTGGTGCAATAGGTGAGTTGGAACAAGCAGTTTTATTTTGCTCCAGTCACTAGTTCTAGTCCTGGCCAAAACACCATCCATTGTGTTCAAAAAATTTACATAACTGTTATGTTATGCTTCTTCTACCTTTTTATGTTAATTGAATCTCTTTCCAAGCATCAAGGCTACCCATAAATGATATTTTGAGCTTTCTCTCAACCTGCATATGAGCAAGCTGAGTTTGAAAAGATATCAAATTCAGGCCGAAATGCCTACTACCCACAAGAGTGTGTGATTTAAAAGTAGCCTAGATCCCACTTTCTATCTCATCACCCTTATGCAAATCTCTTCCACCACTGTATGTACCTCTTATAACCCAACATAATCTGCTTTACTATTGCTATCTGATACTATCTAGTATTCTCCACAATATACAAAGAAGGTGGTGGTAGTTAAGGGTCAAGAAGAAATGTGCCTCTACAACATACTAAGCCACCTATACAAGCCCATCCCAAACTCACACATAGACATATCCTATCAAAGTCACAAAGCATTTGTATATATACCATGGATACTGCCTTATTATTATTTGCTTTTCTAGTGCCTCACCAGCCTATCTTATAAGTGTTTCATGTCTATTACCTACCTATCCCTTGCTTACTTCTACTGCTTCTCTATTGCTGTACCACTAGCACAATAACTCATACTTGCCCAGGCATAGGCCTCTTTCTTATAACCCAAGCACATCTCTCTAGCTCATACATACATGCCTAGCACTTTCAATATAATTGTGCCTCCATTCCTAATTCCACCACACCCAGGCTTGCCTAGGTCCTGCTAGAATACTCACACACATGCACATATGCCAAATACCAAGCTTCAAACTTAAAGTCTTACTATTTGGCTTTGTCTACCACCGCTGCCACTGCCACTGCTACAACTGCCACTGCAGCATCATGTAACATTGCTAGCATGTCTCAATGCTGTCAGTAATTCTATATGGGTCCATATGGGTCCATGCATTACTGTACTATATTGCAGATCTTTATGCAGAAACATAGTCAGTCCAAGCTTCAGGTCTCCAAGCCCAGCCATGTCACAAGCAAGCATGCTGTACTGGTATGTATACCTATGTATGCCTACATATACTCAAGTGAGGATCCACGGCCAACCACCCATCATGCCGTATGCTGCTGTGCGCGCTCGTGTGGGAGCACAGCACGTGCCGCCGCATTGCCCGCGTCGATCAGCCAGCCGACGCCCCGACTCGACTCGACTCGGCTCGATACCCTCAGCAGCCGCAGCCGGAGCCGCAGCCGGGTGCTTTGAACGTTGAATAGGACGTACTACACCCGGGTCCACGTCGCGCGCGCGCGCCCCCGACTCAGGTCCCCGTCGCGCGCACGTGACCGCGCTCGACGCATCCTCCCCGCATCCTCCCCGCATCCCCCTCCTCGCATTTGTAAGTGACTTGCTGGAGCTCACTGGCGGAGTGTCGTTAATCATGTACGTACAGCAAGCGGGCCCCGCGTATATATTTACTTATGCACGCACGTACATGAGTTTTTACGGCACGCGACACAGCCGACTCGTAGTTGTCGCCAGAGCTGACGTCTGCCTGTCAATCCACTGCGTACAACGCACCGCGTGCTCGCTCATCGGTCCATTGGCTGGAGCGCCTCGACTCTCGGGCGAGCGTGAGCGTGAATTATATTATGTTGGCGGCGCCATGGGGACTGCTTACTAGCGCCCACGCGTGTGTCTATGGCTACAAGAAAAAGGCGTGCGGCGTGTGGAGAGGGCGAATGACAACGATGTAGGACGGTGATGACGGCGAGGGGGGGCGGGGACGGCGACAGCGGGCGAAAAGATGGGAGAGACGACACGCCTTCGCGGAGCACGATACAAGCACCAGCGCAAGAAAGAAAGAGAGAGAGAGAGGAAGAAAAGAAAAGAAAAGATTTCATGTCCGCAGCCCCTGCACGATCGGAACATCTACTGGCACCATCTCCATATCCTCGTCCTCGTCCTCCTCGCTGACCTCCGCACCCTCCACACCCTCCACCCCACCTCCGTCCCCACCACCACCACCTCCGCCCCCGTCCTCGTGCCCGTCCGCATCGACGTCCGTATCCGCATCCGCCTCGCCATCCACGTCCATCCCCCCGCCCCGCAGGTCCTCCTCCAGCGTGTCCTCCGCGATCTCCGCCAGCTGCGCAGCCAGCAGCGCCAACTGCGCCTGCAGCGCCGCGCGGTCCTCGTTCGTCAGCGTTGTCGGCACCGGCACCGTTTGCGACTGCGACTGCACGGTCGACAGCGGAGGCGCCGGGGCCACAGACGCGGGCGGCCATCCACCCAGCACGTCCACCCCGCTCGCAATGACCGGCGGCGGAGCGCCCGCCGCGGCGATCGACGACGACGTCGCGTTTGCATCTGCGTCTGCGGGCGCGGGGTCAGGAGCGCGCGCGCCGTCCGCGGCCTGCAGCAGCGACCCAAAGTTGATGGCCTTGAGGATATTCTGCGCCGCCTCCCACGCGTCGCTCCCCTCGCCCACGTCCTCCTCGCTCGCCGCATGCGCACCGACATGGGCGTGGGCATGGGCGTGGGCATGGGCGAGGTCGTGAGCCGAGGCGGTGCCCGACGGGGGCGGGTACCCTGGGTACAAGCCGCCGCTCCCGTAGCCTTGCTGTCCGAGTTGCGCGAACGGGTAGATGTAGTTCGAGTATGGTGGCTGCGTCTGTGATGGGGCGGTGCCTGGTGTGAGGGAGTTGGCATGCTGGGGCGCGGGGTGGGGTGCGAGGGGTGCGTGCGTGAATGGGGGAGCTGAAGGGTTGCTTTGTTGTTGTTGCTGCTGCTGCTGTTGTTGTTGTTGCTGCTGCTGCTGTTGTTGTTGCTGGTGATGATGGTGTTGCTGCTGCTGCTGTTGCTGCTGTTGCTGCTGCTGCTGCTGTTGCGAGATACCGCTCGTCTGCGGACGACGAGTCGTTTTTCGTGAAGCCTATATACACCGGCCAAATTGAGAACCACAAAGGAGAACCACACATGCGAGCATACTCACCGGGCCGTCCCAGCTCAGATTCAGTCTGTACTTCCCGCCGTCGCTCTTCTCGAGCCGGCCGCGCTTGTACGCCTTCTGCAGCGCCTGGCTCGCAGACGGGCGGAAGTTCGTCTGCAGAGGGTAGTGCGCGGCCATCCAGGTGAACACCGCCTTGGGCGCGCACCCCTCGGGGTCGCCCAGGTCTCCGAGGGCCTCGACGATCATGTCCTCATAGCTTGGGAGATCGTCCGGAGCGGGCGCGGTCGGGTCCGGCGGGGGTAGCGGGAGCGGGTGGCGCGTGAGGGGCGCGGTGGTGAAGGGCGAGCTATGCCGGTTTTGTGCGGATGGCGGAGGAAGGTACGGGTGCGAGGGCGGGTACGAGGGCGGGTAGGGGTAAGGGGGGTGGTGTGACGGCGGATGCGACGGCGGGAATTGGCCGGGGTAGGTGGGAGGGGGGTAGTAGGGCGCGTGTGGGTATGCAGGTGGGTGGTGAGCCTGGGGGAACGCGTACGGCGCGTGCGGGTACGGGCCCTGTATTGACAGAGGTCGGGGAGGCTGGGACGAGGAGGGGATCGGCGCAGGGATACCAGCGGGCCCGCAGTTGGGCGGCGGGGCAGAGCCAGGATGAGGAGATTGGCTGTTTTGCGGCGTCGGATTTGCCGGGGCGGGCGTCGGTGAACCAGCGCCGTTTTGCGAGGGCGCGGTGCCCACCAACGAGCCCATAGGTGGCGCATCGGTGCGCGACGGTGGGCCGTCTGCGGGGGTGGAAGAGCTAGACGAGGTCACGGCGCCCGAGGTGGGAGGATTTTGGGTGGTCGATGCGGAGGCCTGGAGGGCGGCGATGGACGCCTTCAGGTCCGGTGGCCACAACGAGTGCTGGACGTGCGGCGGGATGTTGGCATCGAAGGCGAGGCAGAGCTCGATGAGCTGGGATGGGGAGAGGAGGGCGAGGTAGGTGCGCTTGAGGGCGTGTCGGTCGGCATCGGGGGGTGCGCCTGGCTGAGCGAAAACGAGGAGGGACGGGTGGGGGATGTGCGGGGGTGGGAGGTCGGTCGCTGCGGCGGCGAGGGGGTGTGGGTGAGGGTGGGGAGGATAGAGAGGATGTTGTGGAAGGGCAGGGGCGGCGTCGAGGGATGTGTGCATCGCTCAGCTGCACAGTTTTGCATGACAAGGTTCGCATTCAAACTCCTCCAGCCTCGTCGCCGTCAATGTCGTCCTCCACGTTCCACCCCCTTCCGACATCGTCTCGTCTCTTTCCTCACTCGCCCCTCGCTTTCATCACAGCGACGTCCGTATCATTTTCCGTTGGGCTGCTACCGCATTTGCATCGCTTTCAGAGTCATATTTTAAACAGTAAATGTGGACCGCTGTGGAATAAATGCACTCTTCCTCGCAACTCGCAGCACAACGAGCGTCGGGAGCTCGCCGCTCTGTAAATATCCCGCACATGGCGCTGGGCTCGGTATCCGTGGCATATGGCTTATGGCAGAGCAGGCTTTGCACCAGCATCCGCCTCTACCTCCTTCTCAGTGAGTTCCTGCTCCGCCGGCGAGAGCGTGAAAAACGCAGCCTTCTGTCGTTCCAACCATCGCCGTGGCTAAGCCGACGCAAGGACCCCTCTCAGCATCATGATTCGCAAGCGGACGGAAACTGTAAGCGGCGTACGGGCATGAAGACGTGCTCCTTCTCGCCAAAGTCGGCGAAGAACACGGCGTAGACGAGCGCACCTGCACGCAGGATCAATTATGATGTAGCTAGGGGAGAACGAGAACGCGCACTAGGGATGAGGACGAGCCGGAGGGTGGTGGACAACGTGTAGACCCATGACGGGCGTGGGTCGAAGCGGTAGTCTTCTAGGCGGAATCCTTGTGGTTTTTGGCTCGCAAATCTCCTATGAACGCGAGCAGCCGCAAGAGAGCGGGAAATTATGTTGGACGGAGAGGCATGTGTGGATGTTCTGAACATCGAGGTTCGGAGCAGAGGTCGGGTGGCGCGCGTGTTCGGCTTCCGGAGTTTCTCTTGCACCACCACCACCACTGGCCTTGAACGATGATATGGATACTGTGCGGTTCGGAGCGGGTAGCGACATAGGGGTCTTCGGTCGCACTCTCCAGCTCCAACTCGGCGGTCGGGACGACGAGCGGAAGATCATGAGAACCCTCACCTGACTGACTGGCCCTCACGTCCATTTATAAACTCTTCGAGCAGACCCATTCCCACCGCCTCGTGAAATACACTACAGACGACGGCGCCGCGATCCATGGCCGATCCGAATGCAACGAGCACTCCGGGCTACACGTTTTCTACCGGTGCGTACTCCGAGCCCGGCGACGTCTCGCCGCTCTATCCGAACCACAAGAAAGAGGTTGCGGAGGAGCTGATCAAGATCGCGAATGCGCTCGTGAACCCGCGCGGAAGAGGCATCTATGCGACAGACGAGACCCCCGAGGGGATGGAGGCGAGGCTCTTAGCCGCCGCCGGAGAAGAAACCAAGCACGAGTCGTTGTCGGTCGAGGAGAAGCGAGAGCAAAGAAGGCGTTGGAGAGAGTGTCTATACGAGACTCTGCCCTCCGGTATGCACATGCCTCATCCGGAGCACGCATTATCTGACCTCACTGACTTTATCCTCTTCCTCAGAATACATCTCCGGCGTGATCCTCTACTCCGAAACGCTCCTGGAGTTCCAGCTTGCTCCCCTTTTACAGCAGCGCGGTATCATACCCGGCATGCGCGCCGACACCGACTCGCACCCACACCCGCTCTCTCCCTCCGAGCCCATGACCCAAGGCCACGACGACCTCCTCCCGCGCCTCCTCGCCGCGCGCTCCGCCGGCGCGCGCTTCACCAAATGGCGCGCCCCGATCCTCTGCGACGCGCACGCGCTCCCCACCGACGCCGCGCTCGCCGCGCAGGCCGAGGGCCTCGCGCGCTTCGCGGCCGTGAGTCAGCAGGCGGGGCTCGTGCCGATCGTCGAGCCCGACGTCGACTTTGGCGCGGACGCGGACCTACGGCGGAGCGTCGAGGTGCACGCGCGGGCCATCAGCCTCATCTACGCGCGCTGCGCGGCGTACGGGGTGTTGTTGGAGGGCACGCTGCTTAAGCCGTCGTTCGCGCAGCCCGGGCTGAAGCACCCGTCGCGGGCGACAACGAGCGCGGGCGAGATCGCGCGCGCGACAGCCACCACACTCGCGCGCTCGGTGCCTGTTGGGGTCGCGGGCGTCGTATTTCTCTCCGGTATGCATCGAGCGCTTTCCGTCTCGAGACGGCCTCACCAAACAATCTTATAGGCGGACTGTCTGACGCTGACGCGGCGCTGTACCTGCACGAGATTAATCAAGTCGTCAACACGGCTCAGCCGCCTTCCGCACTCGCGCGCTTGCCGCCGTTGACGTTCTCGTTCGGCCGCGGGCTGCAGGGCGACGCGATGCAGAAATGGGTGCGTGGAGACGAGAAGGGGGCGAAAGACGCGTTTGAGGCGAGGGCAAAGACGTGCTCGAGCGCAGCGAAGGGCGAGTTGAAGCTATGACTGAGTCGAATGCGATGTAAGAAAATGTACCATTAGATCGATGGAGGATCGCCGCCTCGTATATGTACACTAGAAGGAGTTTCCCCTCTACGCAGGAATTGTATAACATTCATAGCTCGTACAAATCTATTGTATACTTCTTTCCCTGGGGCAATCGTGTCGTGCCCTCACATGCTCTAGCTAGGGTGACAACCTCTCTATTGTCCACTCTGGCGACTCGTCTGTCGAGCCTTCTTTGCGGAGGTACCGCACGCGATCGTGAAGGCGAGAAGGCTTTCCAGCCCAGAACTCGACCTCGCTGGAACCAGGGGTCAGCGAGACGATTCGCAGCGAGATCAGCAAGCGATGGGCGCCGGAGAGGTATCTTACGTCGGGATGACCCTCCAGCCTCCCCAGAACTCAGGCAGCGGGATATCACCATCGGGATCGTCTTGCTTGACGCCGAAGCGCTTCTCAACATCCTCGACGTGGTGATGCAGCTCGTCCTCGCCGACGACGGCGCTCTGCCTGCTCGCCCAGGCGCCGATGCGGCTGCCGAGGGGGCGGCTGCGGAAGTAGGCCTCGCTCTCCTCCCTGGAGAGCTTCTCGACGTGACCGAGGACGCGGACCTGCTTGTGGACCTCGCGCCAGTAGAAGGCGAGGGCGGCGCGCGGGTTCTCTGCGAGCTCGCGCGACTTGCGCGAGGCGTAGTTGGTGTAGAAGACGAAGCCGCGGTGGTCGAGCTGCTTGAAGAGGACGACGCGGGCGGAGGGGACGCCCGCGGCGGTCGCGGTGGAGAGGGACATGGCCTCGGGCTCGTGGACCTTGCCCTGCACGGACGTGAACCAGGCGCGGAACTGGTCGAGCGGGCTCGGGGCGACGGAGGCGGGGGAGAGGTGGTCGGGGGTGATGTACTGCTCGTGTGCGAGGACTTGGATCTTGTCCGCGGTCTCCTGGAGGTAGGTCTCTGGGTCCACGGCGTCCATCTTGAGGGTGCGGCGCTGGGGGAGAGGGCGCGGTGGGCGGGGAAGGAACGAGGAGGAGAGTCGTCGGGGGAGAGTCATGCTCGGCGCTCACACCATCGCGTACCATCGCGTGTCATCGCGTGCCCTCGGATCGCTCCCATCTCCGCACCTCCGTCATCCTTTTCTTTCCTCGACGTTGAGCCCCACATGTTCGTTGGACACAAGTCGAGTGCGTTTGGCCTATTCAACAAAACGATTCTCTTCTGTTGAGGCCCGCACTGGAGACTAGCGAGCGTGATCTCCACATGTATGCTCTTCATCGCAGTCTATTTTGGACCGCCTCATAAAATTTCACTCCATTCAAGTCTGCTGCGCCACGCACGATCCCGGTCCAATCCGTTTTCGCCCTCATCCACCTGCAGACAAGCCCTCTTTTGACCCCATTTCCTTGGCTATAAGAATACGCATATCGCGCTTTTTCAAGCGCTTGGCCCAGTTTTCCTCTTTTTCACGAGGAGATCGATGCCATCATCATGTCATTTGACGCCGCCACTATCTCCCCTTTGCAGTGCAGCTGCCCAATTTCCCATGGGAAATCCCATGTCTGACCTCACCATCGGCGGCGCTACAATCTCTACCTCCGCGCCCGCGATTTGGCCACTGAGCTTCCTATTGCTTCCTACTACGCACTTACGCCAACTTTCCTGCCAAATAATGCCATTTTAGTCTTCGTTCGATCCTCTCGGAGACCCTCCAAGTGGCGCTGCCTGTACCTAGCAGATCCGAAGCATTCGTTCTTACACAAGTCTCAAAAGTAGGCGCCGTTTTCTCTTGTCCTCCTCTCTTTTTGTGCATCTCCATTCTACGCTTCATCTGCGAGCTTGAGGCCGCTCCTTCAAGATCGGCTCTTATCAGCTTTTACCATGCGCATGCAGGCCACTCACGTCGCAATCTGAGGCGACTCCTGACAGCTACCCATATGTGCCGATTTTTTGCGGCGATTGCACGGCTACTTTGTCACTCGACTAGGCACTTGCCACCAATGGTGACTACTTGTGGTCCTACGCGTGGGCGTGCGGCGAATCATGCCGCGACGGAGCCTGTGCACGATAGATTCATCTGCTCGAGCGCTCATGTCGCTGTCCGAACCATGCTGCGACCTGCTGCAATGCAGGAAGCTGTGCTACCACATGCACGCGGGAGCTGTGGTGTTGCTACGACTACGACGTCATTTTTCGTACCTCTTCGTCTCAATCTCTCGTCAACTGACCAGGCGTGTCTTCTGTCGAGGTCAGTACTGGCGACCAGATGATGACCAGTCATCGATCTGCCCGCAGTGTACAGCGTGGGATCGTCACTTCCCGATACTTCTACTACGCACACGGAACACAAGACCGCGATGCCACGCTGCCCATATGTTGCCGCATGACGTCTCCAAATGTCCGTCTGTCCGTCGAACTGCGTGATGCATTGCAAACCACTGGCAGCAACTAGCAGCGCCAAATTCACCCTGCCCGTATCATACCGTCTATCCCTTTCTAGGCTTGCACTCCTGACATCGATGGTGGACATATGCTCCCATCCATCCGACGCATGCTTGTCTTGCGTAGTCTCCTGCGCATTATGTACATACTTACTCTTACTTGCTCACCCTGTGCGCAGACATCTCCCTAGCCTACCTCCGCTTCGGATATATTTTCTTGGCGCTTGCCAATCAAAACTGTTTGATGGACACGGTCAATCATTGATTTATGCACTTTTACTTCATATTTGTTTGCTCATGTGCACGAGTGCTCATGCTCTTGTCGCTTCTGCCGAGCGATAAAGTCCACTCAAAGCCGGGGGTTCGCATAAGTTCGCATTCGCCTTGTGCCTTTCGGAGCCCCTGAGGATCCTGGGGATACACGCTGATACACGACTGTCGGAGGATTGGACCGATCAAAATTGCCTGGAGTGATCTGGACGACTTGATCTAAATGGCCTCGTTGAGGATACCCGGCGAGGCCGACTCTGGGCATGCGAGCAAAAACCTGCTGCCAGACCGGTTGCGACGACGATTATATCTTGGCTGGTGACCGTCGTTCCACTAGCCAGGCATCCAACCTCTGAGCGGATGCGCACACTATGCCCACGTCTCTTCCTCATTTGCGGACATGTGTAGTACATGTGTTGGGGTTGCGTTCATTGCCTGCAGTCCCACAATGAAGTGCGTTGGGCATACCCGTCATCGGGCCATCCACCCGTTTGAAATATTCTCTGTTAGACCGAATTCTATGCCAAGCTTCGAAAATTGGCCCCCAATCAGCAGTTTCTTCTAGCGCACCGCAAGAGCAAATCTGCATATGGATATCATCGTCAGCTATCAGATTCACTCTGTAGAAGTCTGCAGGGCCATATCAGACACTACCATAACTCGCTCGGCGCTCAAAATGTTCAGTTCCTCTTCTCCGCCTTGTATCTAGAACATTAGAATGCTGAGCGCATTTATAAACCCTTGAAACCACCCATCATATTAAATATTAAGGATCGAGCCCTTCTCCCCAGGCCAGGGCAATCTGAGAAGATAGTAAAATTTTGTCAAGAAATGGCCGCACCTGCATGACAGGACGCCGAGCGCGCCGCAGTTGGCCGCAAGTAGCAGGAAGATCTCACGGAATCTCACTGGCCGACTGTCTGCGATCGCTCGTCGCAGGGTGGGTTGCGCCGTGCTGCCGGGAAAGACCACCGCGATCTGTCTCGGAGCCGCCGGCCAGTAACCGGAAATGGGGGCTCTAGCGGCGGCGGCTGGCAAGCTCGTGTGTCCAAGCGTCCAGCGATGGTCTGAGCTGATTTGCCTGAGAGCGTAAGAGTGCGTACACGAGAAGATTCGCCGCGAGACGCGTTCTGGAGAAGTTGTAACGGCGGGGTTTTTGGCGTTTAAGCCTGTTTCTGGATCTGTAAGAGACAAGTCCGTCGATCGGATACCGCTCACTGCGTGTGCCTATCTCGAAGTCTGGCCATGGGTGCCAGGTACGACCTGCCCTGTGCTGACGCTCTGCTTCAATGCGGCTGCAGCCTTACCAGGTTCGATGCCGTACAAAGAATGATGGAATGCCAGAGTGCCCAATGAGTGAGAATCTCAGGCCCAAGATGAGGGGGACAAGGCGGATGAACGCTGTGGATGCGCTTCCAGCGGTGTGCGGAAAAGATTAGCGCGCAAGTGGAAGGTTACAACAGAAGATTTGTCACTAAAAGACGTCTGTGCGGACTACACGAGTGCATTGAAGAATTCTGTGAATGGTGATAGTTGACCGGATGGGCGCCGTGGAAAGAGTCGGGATACCCTGTGAGAACGAAGTAAGACAGAAGTCACAGGAAGTTGATACGCGGGTGGTCAAGAGGATAAAAATGAGGGCATCACGGCATAGACGAGCACATTTGCTACATTTCTGATAGCTTGAGAAGTCGCAGGGCCAGAGTCCGTTTATGCACCTTCGAGTACGCCCTCAAGAGGAGAATCACACCCGGTACATCGGGGCTAGCATTGAAGGCAGAAAGCCGAGCGGCGACTCATGGGTGCAGACAAACGGTCATTGGGGGAATCATCGATCCGGGGAAGAGAACAAGATTTCCAGTCGCCATGGGCCCATATTGCCGATATTTATACAAAACTATCCGTCGACGTACATAGCAGAAGGAGACCTGGAGAAACCGGCCGGGAAAGGCCGGAGAGACGGTGTTTCGGATCTGAGATTTGGCCGGAATTGAAGCCCCGCCCAGGAGTTGTATGTATACCCGCCCATGATATTACTTAACGCTGTATATTTCTCCCCTCGTCTCACCTCTTCGCTCCTCTCCTCGTCGTTCATAGCGTAGACGGAGCAGCCCTCCCGGCGCGCCAACCTTCAAGATGCACTCTGTCTCCGATCTCACCACATTCTGTCGGAAGACAACCGGGGACGTGCCTCCAAAACTGGTGGTGAGCACCTGTGTTCTTCGGCGCATATTATAGCGTAACCGTTCTTGCATCCAGGGTGCGTCAACGACTGTCGTCGGCTCGAAGATGTATCTATTTGTCAGTCTCATCATTTACACCTCGAATCCGTGTGTCTCTGTTCTGAACGGTACTCATTTGCAGGGTGGTCGGCTGGTGACAGAGCGCAAAATGGTTGCGGATTTATTCGTGTTTGACTTGGAGATGTTGCATTGGGAGAAAATCACTTCTACCCAAGACGAAGATACCCCGGGGCCACGGTATTTTCACTCCGCAGATACCTGTATGTAATCACGTAAACTTGGGCCATTCGATCCGCTAACGAATTCACCTCCTGATCAGGGAACCAGTATCTCATCATTTTCGGCGGCATGGGCGTTAGACCGGACGCTGAAAGTCCCGAGGATCTCTGCGTCCTTAATGATGTCCGCTTGTACGACCTTTCGACACGGAGATGGATGCCTTCCACATGGTCACACAAGGCGCCCGAAGGAGCCAACACTCCGATCCCAAAAGCGCGTTATGCCCATCTGTCCTCCGTGTCTGGTGATCGTCTCTTCATTATCGGAGGTCAAGATCTCACAAACGTTTGGTTGGACGATGTCTACGTATACGACCTCAATTTGAGGGAATGGGTGCAGAAACGTAGCTACCCTCGTCACTGTGGTACCTATCGTAGCGTCGCCGTTTCTGCCACTCACCGGGTTCGACTTCCTCAAGAGGAGCTGAGAAACTCTTCGGGTGCGGGCCCATCGAAGCTTACCTTTCGAACGGACACCACCAGGCCACCACCCTCTCCAACCGCTTACACTTCCTCAGAATCGTTCACCCACCTTCCATACTCGGCACAGGCTACCGACGAGTTCCCCAACGATGTATTTCTGTATAGCAACTACAACGTGCGTTCCAACATCTATTTGTTAGCGTCGCTACTCACCAGATATTTTCAATAGTTTACAGACGTCAAACGCGAACTCGAAGTCTTCACTCCACTCCCGGATAACGACTTCAGTATCGCCGACAAGTCTTCTGCGATGACCGGGTCTTCATTTCCTCCCGGCCTTCGCTTCCCGACTGGGGCTATCCTGGGAACGCATTTGATCATAGCGGGCACCTACCTTGCGCACACCTACCAGTCCTTCTCTGTTTGGGCGTTGTGTCTAATCACTATGGTATGGACACGCGTTGACCCGGGAAGCACGCTCGCTACTGGATCCTGGTTCCGAAGCTGCTTGTGGGCGGAAGCTAACAAGTTTCTTATCTTCGGTAATCGACACGGCAATCTCGTTGACGATTACAACCGTCGACTGCTCAGTTGGGATCACGTTGCGGTCATTGATTTGGAGGCATTCGGTATCTACCAACCCCCGCGCTTGGAGTTGGATATACGCATGCAGGAGATGGGGTTAGTAGCTCTCGAAGAGGGCGTCCTTGCTGACTTCGAGATCGTATGCGACGACGATCGGAGGGTCAAGTGTTCCCGGAAAGTACTCGAAGACCGTTGGCCTTGGTTCAAGGAACAGCGTCAGATCTTCCTTCAGGCTGCAACCAAGGCTCTTGACACTTTACCTATGTCTTCCCATAATATTCCTAAACCTGAAATACCCCCCGCAGCAGACCAGGAACCTAGACCTGATCCTCGTCTGTCGCCGCGCACGCTACTTCTCTCTGAACCATACCCCATCACCTTAGCTTTGGTGCAGTACTTTTATTCCTTATCCTTGCTCACGCCCTTGCAACATGCACCCGCTGTGCTCAGCGCTCTGTTGGTGTTGGCGACCAATTACAACATTCCTCACCTGCAAACTCTTGTCAAGCATGCCATGCACCGAGCATTGTCGAATGCGACGTCAGTGGGTGTTTATGAAGTAGCTACCCTCTGCAGTTGTCGAAGTTTACAAATTCGGTAAGCTCTATTTTCAAACGAGGTGGCGATTACTGACGCATTGACCCGATACAGGGCGCTCAAAACGGTCATGGTGAAACTGATACTTTCGATCGCTTCGTTGATGTACTAAACCTCCATCTCAGGTCTATAACCAACGGCGTCCGTCGGCACGATCAAGGCAGGACAATAACGGCGGTGGTTCTAGCAGACCATCCGAAAGTACTGGTAGTAGTGGTGGCGGGGGAGGCCCCAGTGATGTTCCTTCTACCGCGCGTCCGCGAGGCATGTCGGACGCGTGGATGCAGCAGCCGTCCGGTTCAAGGACTGTAGGTTTAGCACAGAAAGGTCAGACTGCCCATTACGGTAGGGTACTCGCTTCTGCTATGACCTCGTAAGATTAAATAAACGTTGGTGTAGATGAAATGTCGCTCCCTCAAAGTTTGGCGCCGCCCGTTTCGGCCGTTCCGCTATGGCTGAAGCGAGGCCATCAAAATCGAACGATGAGCATCGTGTCACTAGGAACCGATTCCGAGTTGGCGGAGATGGGAGATCTTCTCGCGCCTGCTTTAGAAGAACTAGAGCTTGGCGCAGACATGGCCGAACATCGAGAACAAGATTTCGCTCCTGCTGATGAGCAGGTGGATCCAATCATTGATTCGTTTGTTCCATCTCCACCACAGCAATCCCGCAGAGAGAGAAGCCATCTCCACCTCGACACACATGCAATGCCGTTACCTCCTCGGTTATCCCCACCGCCATTGATGCTATCGTCTTCTAGCTCGGAATCCGATCATCTCGACGACCAGTCTGGGCGCAATTTCCTTTCACCAAGCTCCTTCTACTCGCCATATAATTCTCGACCCCATAGACCATATAGAGACAGCGATACGCCATCTCTGCTCTCTTCGACCTCGCGCAGCTCCCTTACCAGCTCTACCACACGTAGCACAAACACATCGTACCTCAGCTCTCCGCCACATAGCCCCTCGTTCGCGATGTCACATGTCATCGATTTCCACTCTGCCAATCCGCACGTCGTCAGCCCCCAGATGACCGGTCCTAATCTCGCCGTCATCGACGAGCTTGACAACAATTACTACAACAATCGACGCACGTCTACGAGCTCAGTGGAGAGCAAGCATCAGCTGCAATTCGCCCGCCCAGACCTCGATCGAGAGTTGGACTCACCGCTATATTACGTAGAGCCGACGATACCTCATAGCTCTGCATGGATTCACACTCACACTCCCAATATCGAGAACCTCCGCATCCAATCACGCTCGCCCGTCGAGACAATCACAGCGCCGTCGTCTCAGCGTAATTATCTGCCCACCCCAGAACCTCAGTTGTCTTCACCGACGACAAAATCTGGTAACTCCAGCCCCTCGATTTCACGTTTCTTTGGGGGACGTTCGGGAGCAGGGTCAGACAAACCTTCGAAGGCGTCGAGTCGAGCGAGTGTATCGTCCAAGGACTCCAAGGAGGAGGAGAAAATGCGCAAGGCTGAGGAGAAGAACCGTAAGGCCGAGGCGAAGAAACGCAAGGAGGCCGAGTCTCGGGCGAGACTAGAACGACTGGCAGAAGAGCTCAAGGCCAAGTCTGAGAAGAAGAAGAGTGACAACGTGTCAGTGTACACTAATAAATCCGACGAGAAGAAAAGGAAGGCATCTGCATGGGAGGAAGAGAGCGGCATGTACAGCGGTTTGATCTCCTAGGGGAACAGTGTACTCTTTTTTATTCTCGGGCTGCTGCTGTTGTTATTGTTTTAGTACGCGGTTGTCCTGACGGGCTGACGTCGTAGCCTCCTGTTTGTCCTCGTCCATGTTGTGTGTTCTTTCCACCGGAGCTTCTATTTATATCTTCACTATTGTCTGTAGCCGCTATCTGGACGATCTAGAAATCTTTATTTCATCGTTCCTTCGTTCGCATTTCGCACACTCTTTTGATATACGTAGTTGACCATTCTTTATCTTGTCTCAGTTGACACAAATTACAGGTCTAATGTTGGGATTTTTCTCTCGCAGAGTGTGATAGTCGAATAACGTCAAAACATGGAAGGCATATCCGAGACAAGTCGATTGATGAAGAAGGAAAATTCGTACATAACGTGTCATGAGGGCGTATACAGATGATGAATGATATCAGCCATATGCAATGGCAATCAACGAGAGATGGTGATGCAATCCACGTCCTCTTGTTCTCAGAAGAGCGGTTCAACGGGGTCCGGATAGCCTTGTAGATGCTCGAAGCCGTCATCTGATGCGGGCGGGGGCGCAGCATCGATTCCCAACAGCACAGCTGCGACATCCGCCTCGGAGTTACCCATCGAAAGATGCGACGAGGTATCGGGCTGAGTCTGTGGGGGCTGTTCAGGTTGTGTGTGAGCGACATGATCAGGTTGCGTCGGTATTGATACAGGGTCTCGTCGCTCGGGGTGATCATGGGCAACATCTTGCGGTTGTGGCTCTGGTGGATGGATGATGTGGTTAACTGCAATAAAAATGATGAGAAGATGGATGAGGGCTATTTTTATGGGGAGAACGTACACTCTTTCGCATGTGCTATACAGAAACACAGTGTAAGCAAGGTTCAGATGCCAGTGAGGATAGAGGCACTGACCGTGTTCACCCTGATGATGACAGCTACTGCCATCGGGACAATCCTTCCTAATTGTTACGCTCTCATCAAGGAACCCTTTCTTCCGCTCACGAATCCACCAGTCCTTGAGTCCCCAGAGTAGAACCTCCGTCGCACATAGCCTGCAGATCCGCTCGCGCGGACCGTCAGCGCCGGGGTCTATACCGGCCGCAACACTATGGACGTCGGCGAAGAGGTCCAGTTCGATCAATGGCACGAATTTGCGAGGTTGCGACTGGATATGCTCGATTATCTAAGTTGGTATAGAAAATTATTGTCACGACACGATAGACATCTAGACAAAACTACGAACCTCGCGATAAATATACCTTGGCGTAATACGGTTAGCTGTCAGGTAGTCCAGCATAATGTCTACCTCGACGGTATTCCCGTCAAAACATTCGTATACTTCGGCAGACTGGATGAGGTCTCCGATGTCTGACATCCCATGCGGATGTTGGGACATCAGCGAAGCTGCAATACACCGTCCTTGAACGCCGATGCCGCAAAATGACACTTGGCACATGTCACATTTAGTGGTCGTTGGTGCTCGCAGAGCCAAGAGATTCTCGCTAGCAATGACAGATGTAGATTCAGACTTAGCGTTCACAAAGCCTCAGAAAAAATGTCACCAATTGCCACAGTATCCGTGACCGGGAGGAGAGCCGTCATCGACGTGCCATGCGTTGTCGGGATCCGTAGCGGGATCAGGGATTGGCTGACTGCATCTCCAGCCGTATCGATTTCCGGGCAGACAGTGGGGACATGGACGCGCAAATTCGACAGTTTGAGGAATAGTCGGCTCAGGTGATACTTCTCGAGGAGACGGGATCTGTGATAATTGATCGTCAGATAAATTATAAGATATGAGAGCAGTATCTTACCCTGAACGATTGACCAGGCCGATAGATTTCGTCTGCTTGTTGCTTTTCGCTCTGGGATCGACCTCGCGATGGATCGGCGCGTAAGAGAACGTCGACCATAACTTGGAGCGGACGAGATGGAGATACAGTTGTCGATGCACCTCTGCATGCTGGACAATTCGTCCCACCGTTCTAATGCACATCGAAAGGTCAGTCACACGATAGTAACCAACTGTGATGAAGTTGACGGTATGGTAGATACAGCGACGCATAGCGGCCAGCTGAACGAGCTCATTTGGGACGACGATTCGTGTCTCAGTCAGCTCACACTTCCGTAAGGCAGGATGCAATGCAGCAGGCGCGGCTACGGACATGGTATAGCAGCAGGCGATAACTCACCCGAACCCACAACGCGCAGCAACTAAAACCACTATTGAATTGAAGGAATACGGACGTATATGATATATTACTCACCTCCCACAGAAATAATGCTGACATGGGCTCACGATTACGGGTCTATACAAGAGTGCGGAGCAACACCCGCACTGGAGCTCCTGCTCGAGGTCATCTGCAAGAGCCTGGCCAGATATAATGACGGGCTGTTCTTTCTCGGGAGAAATGCCTTCATCGAATGGCGCGCTTTCCTTCACTCTCTTCCTGCTGTCGTCCTCCATACCCTCGAAAGTCAATGAAGCCCTCCGTTTCAGGCTGGTAGAGGGTTCTTGGCCAGGAACAGATCCGTCTTGATTTGCAGATTGCTCCGCAGGCGATGCAAGTCTAAGAAGGCGTTGAAGACTCTGTAATGGATCTTGCGACATGTGTAGCAAGATGTTTGCGTACAGTGGCGGACAAGGTGGTTTAAATGTAGCTTTGGTGTGCTGAGTGGCGGCACCAAGCCGTTTTGGATGTCATCATGATCACACGCCCAGCAAGTCACTATAGGACCTGTCACTCTTCTCGAGATTTCGGTTCAAACACGCGTCAAGTACACGGAAATAGTACATTCGATATAAGTATGTAGTTCAAACATAACAGGTACATAGGCATACCCTACTAACAGTAGGGTTCGCACTAATCAAGACAATCCCCATAGTAATCCCTCTCAACGGAAAGAAAACGACGAAGCCGGGATGCATAGCCGCATCCCACATTTTCATCATGCGAGGTGCGCAAAGCCAATTTTTGGGTAACTTGAATCGAAAACAGTATACACGTTTTGTAGGAACACGTCACCGAGGATCCAGAATTCTATTGAATATCATGAGGATGCATCTATATCTTGATACTAGGGATGATGCTTACGATTGGTGAGGGCTGAGTTTGAGGCGATGCCTCCAATGCAAGTCGAGGAGCCTAGAGCAACAGGTCCTAGGTTGAATGTTCTGGGGTCAATATTGAAGTATCTGCCGAACTTGAGGGCGATGGTTGAGTTGAAATCACAGGGAACTATGCACAATCGGTGACATACAATCAGCGAGCCTTTCCTGATAGTTGCCTGTAAGAGTGAGCTTACTCGTGTAGACGCCTTCACCGTACTGAGGTGCTGACTGAGCGCCAGCAATGCTACTGTACACAGCCGCGACGTTGTCGGGGTCGCCAATGATCGATGTGCTGCCAGTGTCTATGATCACCTCGATGGATGTGACCACTTCTGTGTTGTCCACTGTTAGAGAGTCCAGCTGACATTGCCAGTATCCCTAAACCAAGCGCAAGATACATCAGCTTCTCAATCTTTAACTAAAATATGTCAAGCGTACCTCTGCTGTAACCTCAACGTAAGTGAGAGGACCTTTTACCAGTTGACTGTTGATACCTCCCAGGAACAGCTCTGAGTTATCATGTGCCAACTTAAAGCTGAACACAGGCATCGTCATCTGGCTCTGGGAAATGAGCGTCTGGAACACGGGACTGGCATTCAAATCGGATATGGCCTGGAATGCCATGCCTAATACTCCGTCGGCAGGAGATTCCTCGCTGAGAGGATATGCCATTGCAGCACCAAGTGCCTGCGATGTTGCCTGTATGGTGCGGCTGTCTAAATATGCGAGAACGAGAGTCTGAGAAGAACGTACATTCAACCCAGCAACTGAAACGGTGTCCGTATACTGTTGGCCGCTGATAGACGAGCTATTACCGGTATCCCACGTGAATGTCTTCCCCAGATTGACAGACGTTGAGCTCGAGCCAGGAGCGTATCTTGCGTGCGCGCCGCAATTAGTATCACAGGATGGACCTGGAAGAATGAGGTCGCTGCTGCCGGTGTCGAACTCCACTGTCTCGTCCATGATATCATAAGACGCAGTCAGACAGTGGAAAGAAGCGACAGATCACCGACCTGTGTACGTCTGTGCGGGGACTCCGACAGAGATAGAACCATACCAAACTTGAGATCGGTCATTTGTGAGAGGCACGCCTCTTCCTGCCCGTTTGACCTTTTTCTGAATCGCAGATGCTAAGGGATGGTTTAAACCAATGTTCTTTTTGTATGCCGAGAACCCCTTCTCAATTTTGCTGCCAATCAAGTGTATGTAAGTGTCAAGTCGCACTGAGATGCACGGAAGGGGGAAACGCGAAACTATACACACAAGACGGAGCGGTTGATTTGTGCCTGCAAAGCCGTGGTGTTCACGGACCCATCAGCACGCCGAAGATTGGAGTGCTTCGCGATGGGGATGGCAGTGCCAACGAGAGGGGTACCGACGAGCGGCGAGGCATTGACCAGGAAGGGGAGGGCGACGATAACAGATGCGATGGAGAAATGCATTGCAACGGAACGGTGTGAGACGAGACGCCTGAAGAACTTGATTGAATGCAGCACAAGTCATGCCTATATATATGCGTCCCCTTACTTTGTGGGCCATCAGTCGGAATAAATCGAAGTCCTTCGAGGCATTGAGGCGGTGAGGGAAATCTAGTGATGACCATTCGATACGTATTCCCCATTTGTGCAAGGTCCTGCTTGACCGCTTGAACCATTGAGGGGAAGTCATGCGCAAGACGTGCGGCCACAAGACGACTGCGACGCATCGGGCGGAAGAATCTCAATAATTTTGTGTTGAATTGAGAATTGTCAGGCTCCATGATTCATTGAGCAAAGGAGTGGCCGTCCATGAACATCACGCAAGAGCTATGTATGATGTTTACTTCGCCGCCGACGTGAATGGTCAATGCAATAATGCTGCCTATTACTGTAAGGGTGCGTCAGCTAGATCGAACGCTAGTCATTGTCGCTGCGTAGGCATAGGTGCAAGGTTGCTCACTTTTGGAAACTGACTCCTTCTAGCTCCTCGCATGACGATCATCGGTCTGCGATTACTGGAAACCCATTTGCGAGAGCTGTCCATTGAAAAACATAATGCCAAGACTCGCTTCATACTCAGTCCAGGTCGTAAGAGATTGCAGCACGAGACAACGAGTCTTTTCAGGGACGAAAACATGGTCAATCGGCTGCCGCACTCAAGATCCATGCATCTTTTAGGCAGTGATTTTACGCATCGTGATCGAACAAGGTTGAGCGCGTGCAGTAGCAGGTTGACAATGTCGTTTGAGGCAAAATAGCCAATCGTGAGAAATGTTGTCCTGTGATTTTCGTAGATAAGCTAAGGCGAGCACGAGGATGCTGGACATGTACGACATATTCTTAAGACTTCGACGAGGGTAGCAGAACCACAGGCACTTCACCGTATGTTCACGGCCGCCGTCAAGCCTCGTACAGCCTCAACCCTTGAGCGTGATTATGCACAGCATGGCAAGCCATATGCATCGGAAAAACTTAAGACAATCTGCTTTGAACATCTTGAACCTGACTGCCCAGGCCTCGGATCGTCATGGCAGGGCGTCATTACTGCGTCATCTGGCGGGACCCGATGGGACATATTGCGAACAGCGACCTTCGGTCGAATAGCGCTCGAAACGAGGCCGCTCAGCCCCATTTCTCCTCTGCGACGGTGCTTTCATGGATACACATCAGGTTCAATAATGCCGAAGTCCAAGAGTCTTCAAGAATCTCGAGCTCATCACAGTTTCCAAAACTGAAACTGTTGCCAGGTCTCAAGGGGCGATATGCTCATCCGACAATTCCAAAAGAGGATTGTTAGATGGACGCCGTCGAGGATAGGGAATAGCGAGTGACATTTTGTGCAGTTCGGTATAATGAGCAATTCGAGCTGGTCTACAGACGCAATAGGTTCAAAAACTCGCCTGAAGCACGACTCTTACGCCTTTGTCCTCCCTCTAGCTGCCAGTCGGTATTGCGTCATAACTTTGACTCATAGGAAGAAAGCCTCTATAAAGAGATTGAAGCATGATGCATTTGATTGAAAATGCCGAGGAAGAAGTTGAGCTGTGGAGTTTGGACGAAGCTACTGCACAACGATGGTCGACTTGGACTCGACAGCCTATGACGGCGCACCGGAAGTAAAAATGACATCGGCATCACCGGTCTCTTCCGTAAGAGAACTTCAGTCGGCATTCGCTCATCCTCCTTGGCCTCCCTCCCATTTTCAATCCTTCATCCTCCGCAAAAAGCAGCATGGCCTCGCGCATCAGTCGCCGCACTTTCGCTACCGCATTGCGTTCGGCATCGCGTCCAGCATTTCAGCAGTCTGGGCATGCCGCCGCTCGCCGGGGAATGTCCAGCTCTGGTGCGCACGAGCACGGCAGCTCAAGCAGTGACACTCCTTGGATGGTGCATCTCCAAATAGTTGCTCATAAATATGCGATCTAATTCTGTCTATGTTTTGATTCATGCGCACACAGATCGCTTCGGGCGTTGTATTCATTCCTACGGTATGCTACGTGGCTCCTCTTCTATTCCGAGTGTACTTGCCAACATAACGCCGGATGTAGATACTGTACCTCCTGTCGCCGTATTCCAAGGCGGCGCCTCATCAAGCGCATGCTGCATCAGGTCATGGTGAACCGCACACTCCCGACGAGACTGTCGTCTCGCAAAAGGCGGAGTCAGAGCCAGAGCCCGCGCCAGAGGTGCGTTTGCGCATTTGGGATACTTATCGTCAGGCCAATTGCATCATTTTAACGTGGGCACGTAGGCAGCCTCGGGAGAGGTTGTGAAAGACGATGAGGGCACCGCCGTCCCCGTCGAAGAAATCAAAGAGTCTATCGTGCGCGCTGTTGTACGTCATCCTCTGAACATCGTTCGCCTGAAGTTGGTTTTCTCACATTGAGTTGCGCTCACCCCCATTTATTGGAAAAAATACAGACCGACGACTCTCCCAAGGAAGCCATTCAAGCGGAGGCGACGGGATCTGTCCCCGCCGAGTCTTCCACCCCGTACGATAATGGCGCACCTGGGCAGACGTCTGACGCGGAGAGCGAATGGGAGCAGGTTGACAAGTCTGAGGGGGGTGCGAAGACGGGGACAGTGCAGGGTGAGGGTGCATCGGGCCCGACGGACTTGGGGGACGCCAGGGAGAAGAGCAAACAGGTGCGTCCAAATTTGAAATCTTTAACGGACGGAGAGTCGTGGAGATCGCGTGCTGAGTTGATTCGCGATGCACAGGGTCAGCAACCTAAGCAGGCGGCAGAAGACCATTAAGCACACTGCCCAGTATGATTCTGTTTGAGTGTACTGTCGTTCGGAAATATTCACCAATGCATGTCTCTGTTGCGTCTTGTGCTGCAATCAATTGTTCCACTTGAACTAAGTTGAACACGAGTGTGCGAAGAAGGGGGGAGCTATAATACTATCAAACATTCTGGCCCACCTCAAATGGAGTCGGCAGAAAACTCGGGATCATGATGCATGATGCATTGATCCTTGTGGTTGCTTCGGCAACTGGTCACCAGTCATGAGTGAAACCACGATGGATTTGTCCTGCCACAACCATAGCAAATGGGTCTACCGCATAGGACCCCTGAAAATAGGTGGGTAGGGCACAACCCTTATCCGGACGAAAATTTGGGAAAATAGGGCGAAAAGGCTCAGTCGAATCTGGACAAAAATGCCTGTCCGCGGAGGTAGCTGGAGGTAGGCCTGAGTGGACTTCCGGACGTTTGGGGTCGCTGTTCATCAGGACCTGATGCTGGGCCCGACCGGAAGGTTTGCTCCATGGCTGAGCGGAAAAAATGGCCGGGCGGTTGCGTAGATTTTCTCCAGAATACAAAGTTCGATTACAAGCGAGAGCATTTTTGAATGAGGTCCTCGAAGACGTATGCACTGATGGCGCTGCGCGGCTTCAGTGCTACTTCGCAGCGTGCCGTTGCTATCATGTGACTGGTGCTTCTTATTAGTAATCATCTTGAGCGCACGCATTCCCTTTTTGAAAGCTCTTTGCGAGCCCAAACACTGCTGTCATTGACTGCTTTGCCTAAAATACTCAGTAGTGCTCCAATAGGAGTGCACCAATTTTTTAAGGAATCAGGATGATGCTGCTAGCGACAAGGGCTCGCAGGATGGGTTTGTGAATGGTATTCTCACATTGGACTCGAGTTTGAAAGCTTCTATAGTTCATTTTCAAGTAAATTCTAACGAAATGATGGTCTCGGAAGGCCTGATCCTAGCAATCAAAAAATTACAATATGAAGGCCAGATCTTAGCATCCGACCAATTTTGAGCCCTCGGAATGCCTGATGTTCACATCCACTCGCATCCGGCCATTTTGGGCGGAAAAGGCTCAAAACCACAGGCAAATCCGGGGATTTTAGGTCAAATTTGAATTTTTTGTCCGAAATTTTTTTGGTATTTGCCAACATTCTGCCTGTGTCCTACCCACCTATTTTCAGGGGTCCTGTCTACATAGATGCAAATGTAAGTACTGTACTGTCGCAATCAATTCTTCGGGTATTTAATTACGCTGGATTTTGCCCACTCCCGATGTCACGTGCAATCGGCGCCAACGCGACGGTCTTTCTCTAGTCTCTCTCAGTGCTCTCACACTGCTCTCACCAGGCCTTTCTGCTCTTTTTGCTGTCCTATGATGTCCCTGATTTGACTTGTCCAGAAAAATGTCATATAGCTAAACATAACCATCCGATAGAGAAATGTACAGGCGGCTGAGGATTTGAGGGACTCGGCTTCGGGAAAAGTTTGCTAGGCACTTCGACTTGTAAGTGATGGAAGGTCATCGAAATCTTGATGGATTGCGACCTGTTGCGACCTGTTGCGACCCGCTGATCATCGATTTGCAAGTTGCTGTGATATCTACGTTTTGAAATCCACCAGGGTCTGGTTTCTGATGCACCCATCATAGCCCATCATCAACTATCACCAAGGACGGAAGACACCGGCTAGCCAAATTGGAAAGGGTACGTTTTTGATTTCCTCGCGCGTAGTATAAAGAGGGGGTCAACTTCACCTGAATTCCTCAGCTCCTGCTCCCTTCGCATTCATTTGGTACTGGTTGGTGAGTCATCTCCCTTGTCTCCTCCTTTCGCTTGTGATGTTGATCATGCCTTTCCGACAGCCATTTACTTTTTATTCCCTAACGAGTCACTCTTTGCTTTCGCGCCCAAATTAATCTTAATCTCCCCAATTACATTCGTCTCATTCATCTGAATCCTTTATTCGAATCATTCTTGTCAAAATGCACTCTTCTTCTTTGATCGCTGCTCTTCTGTTCGTCGCGGCCGCTTCCCCCGCGATCGCGGTTCCCATCTCGTATGTCTCTTGTTCTTAGCTATCCGTGGGCCTTGTCTCACATGTCTGCTTATTTCTTATAGTCAAACTAAGGCTCATGCTCGTGCAGAGGAACTCGATGCTCGCAAGTTGGGCCTTGGCTCGATCGTCAAGGAACTTGGTCTTGGTGCCCTCAGTGGTGGAGCTCTCTCCGCCTTGAACCACTTCGTCGGTGGTGACTCGTCTTCCAGCCGTCGCGACGTCAGTGCCGAGGATGTCGCAGAGCTTATGGAGGCTCTTCAAAAGTGGGCTCTCAGCTTTAATTTGACATCTCCCGCCTGCTCATCCTTGCCTGTCCCACAGTGAGTCCGGTGACGGTGACATCGAAGCTCGTAAGCTTTCTCTTGGTACTATCGCAAAGGAGCTCGGCACCGGCGCTGTCACCAGTGGCGCCGTCGCTGCTCTCGCCCATTTCCTTGGTGACGGAAGCAAGACCAACAAGCGCACGCTTGAGGAGCTCGAGGCTCGTGGCCTTGGCAGCCTTGTGGGGAAGCTGATTCCCTCTGCTGAGGAGAGCCTCAGCAAGGTCCTCAAGAACAGCATTGTAGGCGGTCTTGCCTCAGGTGGAGTCCTCGCCGCTGGAAATGCTGCTGCCGGTAACAACAAGTACGTCTCCTTTGGTACGGTTTATTGACACGATGTGCTGAATATCACTGTCAGGCGCGAAGTTTCTGAGCTTGAGGCTCGTGGCCTTGGCAGCCTTGTGGGGAAGCTGATTCCCTCTGCTGAGGAGAGCCTCAGCAAGGTCCTCAAGAACAGCATCGTAGGTGGTCTTGCCTCAGGTGGAGTCCTCGCCGCTGGAAATGCCGTCGGCGGCAACAACAGGTAAGCCTCCCTTGGTACGTTTATTGACACGATGTGCTGAATATCACTATCAGGCGCGAAGTTTCTGAGCTTGAGGCTCGTGCCAGCATTGGTAGCGCCTTGGGCAAGATTCTCCCGCAAGCTACCGACGACATTGCTACTGTTCTCAAGAACAGCATCATCGGTGGTCTCACTGGTGGTGCCGCTGTCGCTGCTGGAAACGCCGTTCTCGGCAACAAGCAACGCGACGTTGATCAGACCCTTCCCTTCGACACTATCGACATCAACCAGCTCAAAGACATCCTTCGCGCCTCTGTTGGTCCTGCCATCTCCCCTGTCTCCAACGAGAAGCGCCTGGTCGACGATGATGAACTTGTCTCGCTCAAGAACATCATTGACAATCTCACTGTCGCTGGACCCTCCGTCGTCACCCCCCTGGACGCCCGCGCATTGGGCGCTACTGGCAAGGGCATCCTGGGTACCGTCGCCGGTCTCGCCGCTTCGTCCTCGGTTGAGCCCATCATCAAGAAGATCAAGGGTCTTTTCGGTCGTGAACTGGAGTGCGTTGAACCTCTTCACTTTTCTGCATTCCTCGACTGACGGGCCCACCTACTTTGTAGCACTGACTCCTTGATCGCTCTTAACTTGCTGGCCAGCCGGGAGCTGAACGAGCTTGATTAAATGACGAATGAGTGTTAACGAATTTTTTTGACGACCAGTAAACTATCGGGCACTTTATTATTATTATGGGCATGTTATATCGTTATTTTATAGGGTTCTTTGTGTTCCTCCTATTTCGTAGTTGGAACGAATACAAAGGGTGCCTTCAGGAGCTGAAAAAAGTCTGATAACTTGTGAGATCTATGGACCTCGGTCGTCTTCGCAGAGTGGGACAGCATCGTTTACTTGAGGCACGCGAAAGCCTAGGAAAGCCCTGAGCGGATATCATGCATGGCACAAGGAACGGACACAATAAACGAACGACAGACGAAGAAACAAACTGCAATTCAGCATATACGCTTTAATGCCCAAAACAACTTGAAAGCATGTTGTAACCTTGCGCGTACATGAGTGCAACTGACGTATCAAAACTTCTTGGTCGTGGTGGTGTTGGAGTGGGCTTATATGCGGCGCTATTACAAGCCATCGAGGCTATTTGCAACAGGTGTGATGCGATACATTCTGCAAAGACCCCATAAGGAAACCTCGGCGCAACGAGGAGAGCGCTCACCTTCCAGCGGTTTGGCTGAAGATTTTCACCTTAGACGCGAAAGACTCACCAAAAAGTATCCATTTAGAGCCTTTCACCTTTCTTAAAGTGCCACCGAAGATGAAGCACAGCTCACTAACAAATATACATTTGCTCGGCTGGAAATAATAGATGCCTGAAGTGTATGCATAAAGTGCGTCTTAGGTCTCAGTCAAACCATAGTAAACCCTACGTGAGACGAATCACGAAGAACATCCAGATGAAGGCGATCACGACTGCAATGATGCTAGCCAGAGTGATACACGTCGTGCCCATGCTCTTCCCTCTATGGTCCCGCAGCCGCACGCGCTCCTTCTTCATCACGTCGAAGTTGGCGCCGATCTTCTCTTCCGCATCGCTCATGATGGCCTGGTCCCGTGCAAGCACCTCCGAGAAGTGCACGGCATTTCGCCGCAGCTGACCTGCCATCTGGGCGAGCTGCGCGGAGAGCTCGTGCTGGATCACCGACGAGTTCTGGAGGAATGCCGGGGATGGAGTCGTTGCGGCTTTAGTAGACGAGGGAAGGAAGAGAGTACTGCCGGAATTTGTGAGTGTCGGCTCTGATAGAACGATGGGGTCATCATCAGCGGGACTCAGCAGCAAATCCTGCTCTGGAGGTGGTGCGAGCGGCGCGCCATCTGTTGATATGGCCGATGCAGGCGTGACAGGCTGTTCAATCCCTCTAGCAGATAGTAGAGGTAAGGGGATGCTAGGAAGCAAGGGTGAGGGGCGTGGCGAAGGCGTGGACAGACGCTAGAGGGTACATTAGGTTAGTTGAACAAGCGACTTGAGACATACTCACTCCACTCAAGCTTTCGGCAGTGCTTTCCAGTCGGTCTAAAGTTCTTCTGAGGTCATCATTCCGCTGCCGAGACTTGCTGCACACATTACAGATCCATGATGAATATCGATGTGGACGACTTCAACAGCAGTATGAAACGCACGAGGATAAGTCCATCTCGTTGAAGGACGCCAAGTTGCTCAGTAATTTACGCGCGAACTTGATTTTCTTCAGTGAAGGTAGGGTTGAGCTGACATGCATCCCCTGGAGAACCGCACATACATGCCTGCAACATACTCTGCGACTTCACCCATGCTTCCTGCCCACCGACATAGTTCGAGTCTGGCTGTGCGACGGATGTTTCGAGCCTCTTAACAAGCCGCCCTAGGTTGATCCTATCATGTAGCATCTGATCGTTAGAGTGGATGTTCATTGTTTGGTACAAGTGCTATTATCGAGGCGAGCCTGGCGGGAGTAAGTCGTCGTGACGTGGTGTGGAACCAGCCCAATGGCCACTGGGGTAGGTTAGGGTTTGCTACTGTTCCCTTAAATAAAATCAGTCATGAATGTCAATGGGGTGAAAGATAAGTAAAGGACTTGGTCAGTACTTACGGGGATCGTGCTTCAATATATATCTGTCTCCACGGCGATATTGCTGAGACATAGGGGTCAAGTTGTCAACATCCCATTCAAACATAGGCAGACGATGGCGCGTACACAGGAGTGAAGTCGAGGGTCTTCAGTCGTAGGAGCAAAGGTCTAAGAAGACTTCGATTCATGGGAGTTTAAGGACGTTGACTATGCCAACTGAAGTGCTACGCAACATCAGGAATCAAATTCTTAACTCAGTAATTGCTGATCATGTGCGGTTCAAGACAAGATGAAAAACGTCCACTCGACATAGAAGTAGTAACAACTGAGTGGAGTTTGTATGAGTGACATCGAAGAGCAAGTGAGGATGAGAGAGCGACGCAGAAAGACGAGGGTGAACACACGAGTGGAGAGAGACATGAATAGTGATACATGGTGACGTTGCGAGAGTACAATCATGACGAGCTACAATAAAGGACACAGCAATACCTGTAGATACATACTCGGTTGCGAGCATGTCCGACAGTCTAGTGAGCCTATCAAGTCATATGGAACCTAGACGTCAAGGCCATCGGGTTGAGCGAACAAAGGAAATAAACAAAACTAGACAAAACCAAACTAGAAGTCCACTGAATCAAGGCCTGGACGTTTAAGTCACTATTTATGAGTGCGAAAGGATAATGTGGAAGAAAGAGACGAATAAGTTAAAAAGTATTGGCATTGGGGAACCTGGCCTTGATAATGGGCCAGAGCCAGAACATCTGTGTCGCATAAGTGGTATCCGACGACTCCGTCTTGCCAGACCCACCAGTAAGGAGGCCACCGAACTCGCCCGTGCCGGTAGCGATCATCGACCCGGAGTCTCCGCCCTTGAAAAACGCGCCTGAGTCGTTGTCGTACGGGAGGATTATCCATTCAATCAAGTCTCGGTGAGTCTGGTTGGTGAAGTACTCACGCGCATAGGAGAAGGATCCAGTGGCACAACCAATTGTGGTGAGGGTGGTAAGGCCTCACTTAATAACGTAGAGGCAGTTTTCGCGGTCGTGGTCCTTCGTGTCGGGATGGCGCATGTGATACTCGGCGAGAATGGCACCAAGCTTGAGGAGGCGTTCGGCTGGGTACTTGAAGCTGGACTGCCCGTCCGTGCGGGAATACATCGTGTTTGCGAGCTTGGCGGCCTCGATCTCCGTCCCTAATTGTAAACAGTTAGATCAGACACCTTGATTGAAGAAGATCAGCATGTACCCAAGTCAATAACGTTTCCCTTGAAGTTAGGCAGAAATCTGGCTTTATCGAGTTTGCCGATGCAAACGTCCTTGGTGAATCCATGCGGAGCGGTACCAGCAGTGATAGCAGGTGACCAGACGACATAGCCGATCACACGCTGGCTCGGCTTACCGAAGTCCTTATTCGTCTGCTTGTAGAGCTCCTGAAGCTCGTGGATCGCGACTGTCGTCTCGTCCAGCAGCTCCCGAGTCTTCTGCAGATCCTTCTTCGCCTTCTCAGCTGCAGGGGTATCGCCCTCCACCCACTCCTCTAACCTCCTAATCAACTCCTCGTGGATCTCTGCCCGAGTGCCCAGGTTTCCGATCTGTATCTAGACGGACTTGAGATAGTAGTCCTACGCCTTGGTGCCCATGAGGAGGACTTTTTTATGAGGCCTGCTGGGGTTGTAGTCGGAATTATACTCATCTGCTGGGAAGAGAACGTGGCGGGCCGTAACACCGTAAAAGTTATCGCCTTCTTGAAAGTAAAATCCCATAGTGCCCTGCAAGTGGGGCGTCTTCGCTGCAGCGATAGGAAGTCCAAGCGCAGTGGCGAGAGGATCAATCACATGCCTGGTTGCATCTAGATCCAAGGCAGGTTCGTAGAGCTCTGCACCAACTGAGCGTCTGAACACCGAATCTCGGAATTCGATGTCGACGTCTGCAATACCCTCGTCCTTGAGGAGTGCGAGTATGGTGTTGGCTGAGTGGAATGCATCCTCACCAGCGATACTATCGGGAACAACCCCAACCCAGATCACGACGGGACTGATAGTAGCAGGCGTTTGTTGGTTTGGGACCGTGCAGAAACGGACAACGTCGATGGTCGAAAAGCAGACCTGCTACTTGTCGAGAAGGTCACGAACCTTGGAACCAACATCCTCCCGCTTATCGCAAAGCTTGTGGTTGTAGACTGGACAGAGGTGCTTCAAGGGACGATACACTTCTGGCCCCTTAGGTATGACGAAGGGATCTTTCGGCGTGCGGTAGACCAGCTTGGGAGGGGAACGGGAAATCTCTGCATAGTATAAGGCCGCCTCAATCTTAGAGATAGCGTATGGAGGGAGCCGGAAGAGACACCTAAGGGGTTTTCGTCGTAGAGACTGAGGTCTGTTAAGTCCGTGTCGGTTGGGAGGAAGGTAGGGCCCTGACTGTTCTGTCTGGCTAAGGCTATACACTCTTCGAGAAATGCTGAAGAAATCGCTAGATGAGCACACGAGCGTGTCAGAAGAAAAGGATGGTAGTAAAACGCCAGAGAACTCGCGTGTCATGGTTCCTGACACGTGGGAATCAGCCCAATGGCCACTGGAGTTTGGAGTTTGCCACATCCATCTGACTACAGGCACTTTGGTTATGTCTGCACAAGCTTCCACTCTCACTGGACCCGGCCCTGAGGAATCCGTAGAGTCATCTAATTCTCGACGGCCGGTGTACCAGACAGAGACGACAGGAACTTACTGGGGCGACGTCCGTGAGGCTGCTAAGGTGGGTGCACCTTTTACACCACCTCCACCTCACTATACTTTTAGTGTTGGACGCGATAGCAGACTATCATCTAATCACGCTGCAAAGGAAGAGAATATCGTTCGATGACGTCTCTCGCATAGGCGAGATTCCGTGCGCACGAACGAGTCTGCTAAACGGGATTGCCAGTGGGGTAGGCATCGGGTTTATTCGTGGGTTTAACGTCCGTGAGTAAATTTGTATCTGCCAGATTATCCGAGTGGCAAGTCTTTCTGATTCGTCATTTGGGACATGTGCAGGTCCGTTCGCCGCTTGCAATTGGGCGGTAGGAACGTTCATGCTGGTCTCTCTTGGCACCTGGTGCGTTGCTCACTTGACATCGCGTGAACTGTTCATTAGATCCCCGATGCGATTGGTGCACGTTCTTGCATGCAGGACCATATGCCAAAACAACATACAACAGGAACGGCGGAAGATACAGCAGGTTGTCGAGGAACTCCCAAAGCGCATGATTAAGAAGCAGGATGCAGACTCCAAAGGATCGTCGTAACGCGCAGCTTCTAGAAATCGGATGTCTATCATCACAAGAACGTTCGGTTTGACATCTTTGCCCAAAGACTATACAGATGTACAGCTTCTAGTAATACATATACTCTGCTCTATAACACCAGGTGCCGCTCACGATAGAACGTGATAAGGCACTCATTTGTTACTCCAGGTGTCTACATCTGGATTCCAGACAGTCGCGTCGTAGTTCTCGACGAGTTTAGGGTCATTCTGAGAGGTGATTAATTGACGACGTTTATCGCGGTGAAGTCCAAGTGCGCTCACCCTAAACTTCTCCTGAAACTCTGTGAAGCCCCCACGGAGGACGAGGACATCGTGAGGTTTGTCTTGCCCTTCTTTCTGCAGGTTATCGCGTGTTTCTGCGTATATCTGACCGGGCTCAAACTAAGTGCCTGCATTGGAGCTCTTAAATCGTTTTCACACGTACCCGTGCAGCCTTAGGCCCACTACACACACATACCAGATATCGAGATCATTGAGTAGAAGTTGATATTATTTCGAGCTAGCACTCACCGCTGCTGTGAGAGGGCGCAGTGGAAGATGACTGTAGGGACGTCTTTCGTCTGTTTTACGAGCTCATCGACACCAGAATGAAATTCGTTGGAGGGCAAGTTGTGGCTATGCTTGATGTTCCCGCCAACATAGTCATCGTCGCGGACATCGACAACGAGATAATCTTTGCGGGGAACCTTGTCGCTCTTGATGAGTTCTGAGAGCTCCTGTGAGCCTGCCAGTCGTCAGCGATCTCGCCAAAATTCCATAAAAACGCAACTGCAACGTACGTCTGGTGAGATGTAAGTGATGGGCATCTTGAGAGGTGAGGCACGTTGGATTGATGCTATTTGACGAGATATGTGTCCGAAGGTGTGCTTGAACGTGCTTTGAGTGCAGCGGGATAGCATCATCTCGGTTCGGCCCGAGCTCATAGCTTATTACCAGGATCGGCCAGACTCGGACCCGGGTTCCCACGACGTTGGGGGAAAAGGACGCGTCTACAACCGTTGACCAGCTCACCACCGCCATCTTCTTCCTCCATACAACCTCTTACGCTCCACGCCATGCCTCTCCCTCAGCCCGTTCCCCCCTCATGGAAGGTATGTTGCGCGTTTCTTTGCGCTTTTTTTCTGACCTCTTCTAAATGTCCCTTCCGATTTTCTTCTATGTTTTCAGGACCTTGGCAAGTCCTCCAACGACCTTCTTAGCAAGGACTACAACATCCACGGCACTTCTCTTGAGGTGAAAACCGCCACCCCCTCCAACGTCACCTTTAAAGTTGCTGGTGCCCGTGACACAAAATCTGGCAACATTCACGGTGACATCGAGGCCAAGTTCACCGACAAGCCCCACGGTCTCGCCCTCACCCAGGCCTGGACTACCTCTAATGCCCTCCGCACCACCATCGAGCTCGAGAACCAGATTGCCAAGGGCCTCAAGCTTGATCTCAACACCACCCTTCTTCCCGACAAGGGTACCAAGGGCGCGCTCCTCAACGCGACCTACAAGCAACCCGGTCTCCACTCTCGCGCCGTCCTTGACGTGTTCAAGGTATCTTATCATCATCTCCCATACTTTGATGTCCTGTACAGTATACTGATGAGTCTGTTTTTTTGTTACTATCAGGGCCCGACCTTCACCGCTGATGCCGTTCTCGGCCGCGATGGTTTCCTCGTCGGTGCTGAGGCTTCTTACAACGTCACCGAAGGCAAGGTTACCCGCTACGCTGGTGCTGTCGGCTTCAGCGCGCCCGAGTACGCTGTCACTCTCCATGGTCTCAGCAACCTGTCGACCTTCGCTGCGAGCTACTACCACCGCGTCAGCCCCAATGTTGAGGCTGGAGCCAAGGCTATTTATGACACTAAGGCTACCACTTCGGGTGTCAGCCTTGAGGTCGGCACCAAGGCGTACGTCCCACCCTTCTTTCATGTTCGGTCGGAACAGTAACGTACTGACTTTTGTTTGGTCGTGTATAGTGTCCTCGACCAGGCTGCGTTTGTCAAGGCGAAGATTAACAACTCTGGTGTCCTTGCTCTTGGTCTGTATCTTAAGATTTTGGTTCAAACCGTTGTTGTTCTTACATTGTACCTCAGGATACACTCAAACCCTCCGTCCCGGTGTCAAGGCTTCCTTCGGTCTTGCGCTTGACACTCAGCGTCTGAACGAGGCAACTCCTTCCGGCGCTGCACACAAGGTAAGCATTTGTATTCTTTCGAAAATATAAGAGAACTGAATCGTTATGACTTGGCAGGTCGGCGCGAGCTTTGTCTTTGAGGCCTAAATGATGTAGCTGGGGATATGGGGTTTGGCGGTCTTGCTCCAAAATGTGTTATCTTGCATTAATCCCAATGAAATAATGTTTGTCCGAACGACTTCTGACGAGCCGCAAACGCCACTTGTTCTCGACGTTTGAACGTAGAGAATGCCGCAAGAACTTGTACATGATGCAGATGTTGTGCAAAATCCAAGTCGTAGATAGGCTCGTACATTCATCACGAGTGATATGGTGCAACAATAGGTTCAACATTCCAACGACGATGGATTCTACAATTCTTCTCCAGCTTCTTTTCTCTTCGACGAACGGCTATAACGAGTAACAAGTAAAAAGTCCCGTGCTAGGGCAAGCAAAACGCTAGAAAGTATGGGGACGTGAGGGCGGATCAAAGTGATATCGGGTGGGATCAGGCCCCACGGGAGACCTTGTCTAGAACTGTAATCGATGAGGAGGGACGTAAGTGATTCAGCGCCGTCGGGCAGAGGCGTTGTGAGTGGGGGGACATACCACTTTCGTGCGCGACCTCGCTGAAGTCGGTGCCCTGGATTTCAGCCGCGATGCCGACGAGCGCGCGCCTGAGCGCGTCCTTCGAGGATGCGAACAACATCTTCTGCTTGACTTTGGCGTCATCGGGGGACCTGCAGTGATACGATTGAGGAGACGGCGCACGCGGGCACGCGATCCGAAATCATGAAGATCAGCAAGCATTCACCAGATAAACCCACTGCCCACCCGCCCATCGCTGCGTAACCCACTGCCATTGGACTCACAAGCAGATATATGGGCAAAAGCAACGACGAGGAGTCGAACAATAAATAAAATGATATGACGCACCACGAGTAGAAGCAGATCTTGTTCCTCTTTCCAGCGCCCTCCTTCTCGAACTCGAAATCGTACACGGCCCACCGACACTCAAATTCGGGCAAGTCAGATATGAACTCGTCGTACGAGGACGACGTCGACGACTTCTCGACAATGATCTCGGTGTTGTCTTTGCTAACGGTGTAAACGATGTACTTCGTCTTCTTGCCCAATTTGAGCTCCTGGAACGCGCTCAGGCATTCGGGATTCACGGCGACACCAGAGGCCTGCCGGATGCTGATCGGTCAGTACAAAGACAGAAACAGATGAATCCGGAATGAGCGGCTTGCCATTGTGTGTTGTTACGATATGTAGGGGCGCAAGGGGGGTATGGGATTAAACGAGTTGGATGGAGGAGCAGGCAAGGATATACTATCAAGATGGGCGACCGCGGCGATTGCCACCACACACTTAACTCCGACGACACTGCCAATCTCGGCTGCGGCCAAGCGACGGCACATGCGCCTCATCAACTTAGCACTCTGAAACTGACACAACTGATTGATGTTACTAACATTGGTCTATATGATACACGGTTGATCAGGAGTACAACAACATAACAAGAGTCTTTTGACGGACCCCAATGGTCCGTTCCAGCACAATCGTCAGTCAACCAGGATGCTACAACTGTCACTCAAACACCTTGTCCAGCCACGCCTCATAATCATATTCCGGTTCTCCTGCGCCGTTTCGCGTAGCTGGCATCGCCTCCCGCAGGTAGTCGATAGCGCTCGCTGGGATGTGTGCTAACCGGAGATCCAGCTCGGTGACATATGGCTACGCAGTCGTCACAAGTAAGCAGTCCGCGTGGGCCAAGATGCACAAGATATTTACCTTGTTAGCTGCAACACCTTGGAAGACCTCCCGCAGCTGGTCGAGCGAGGTCTGGTCTTCTGTGATATCCACCTGTACATGACGAAATGAATCAGGAGTTCAAAGTAGGCTCGAGGGAAACCGCCCACGAGAAGATTGATAAAGGCTTCGAATGTAACCGCGCCATAGTCTTGTACCAACTGATCGTAAATGATGTCCATGTCTTCGTCCTGTGTTAAAGTTGTTATTCAAGCAGCCATTGAGAAGATGGAGATCCTACCGTATACACGATGCCCAAACTGGCTAGCGCAGCAGTCATCTCAGACTGGTTGAGTGTGTTTGACTCGTCGCGATCAAAGTATCGGAACGTGCTCTCAAATTGCTCCAATTGAGCAGGAGTAAGGTTGGTCATATTCCTGGACACAATCTAGTGTGCCGTGTAGCTCGTAAACGATCTAACGTTTGAACACACAAGAAGCAACAAGGACGTACCTGATTATCAATAAATGCGATCTTCTTTGCAATACCCTGCACGACGAGCTCCAGCTCGAACTCCAGATCTTGACACGTGAAGATCGTATAATCATTCTCTTCGACTTTCGCAGCGATGCACTCGGCTTCTGCGCTCTCTACTTTGGCTAGTGCTTCCGAAAGCGCAGGTATTCGAGTTTGTAAGCGGTCGACCTGGTGCTGTTGATCCTATTTTCACCAACATAGTCTGACTGAATAGTGGTTATAAATCTGACAAAGGGTGCGAACCTCCAGTGGCCCATCAATAGCAGACAGCTCTGTAGACACTGCATGAAGGCGCATTTGGAAATCATTGGCCAGGGTAGCGAATTTCTTTCTGAGAGACTCTTTGATTCTGAAAGGTGGTTGTAAGACATAGCGCAGGCACCTTAGTCAAGTGTGAACTTACTCTCGAATCTCAGCATTGATTGCCCGAGATCGCTTGGCTTCAGAAGCCAACAATTTATTCCAAGCGTCATCAACATCCTGCAAGTGACCAGGAAGTTGTGCGTGTAAGGCGTCATTCGTAGACTTTGTGTGCATGAAAACACACCGATAACGCGACTCCGTGTGGTGCGATGTACTCTCGAAGCCGGTACGTCTTGAGCTTCGTTTGCACGTTTCCAAAAAGGGTTGTTACATCCTGTTTTTCTGTGACCCATGCGCGCTTTTTGGTCTGCTTGTACATCGCAAAATTGGCCAGATGTTCCTTTGCGTCTGCATATGTGCCAGCAAACTTAACAACTGCCCAATGTTCTTGAATCTCCCTCAGAGCGTGAAGAAGCTGATACGGAAGATATTTGACCTGATGGCATCAAGTAGTGTATAAACGGGACATACGGCTCGGACACGCCGTTCATAATCATTTCGGCTGACCCAGATAGACTGCATCAATTCGGCAAATTTCTCGAGACGGCGAGACACTGTTTCAGCCTGATCTGGTATTGCATTGTCAGTCCCAGGGCAGACGATGCAGACAGAGGGGACGATGATAAAGTGTTTACCTACCCATGGACGAGAAAGCATGGAAGAAACTGGCAATGTATGTCATCACACTGCGTTCGTCGGGACGACTTGAATCACATAAATCAGCAACTTCCAAAAGTTGCTGAATTCATGGTAGTTTAGTTGGCTGTTGCCAGTCTTCAGTTCTAATATGGTCAAGGAACGCACAGGTATACCGAGATGCTCAGCAGCTACATCGAATGCTAGTTGAGTATTTCCATGGCGGTCGCTCTACAAGTTTTAGGAAATTGACATGTGCTGGAGCAAAGTAGGCCTCACCTTGTCGAGTTTATCATAATCTAGGAGATCGGGTCTATGGCAATGTATCAATGCACATCTGAGAATGAGATGGCGTATTCAGCATCAAATATGCCTCATGGATGATCCAGGAGATAACGAACAGTGCAAGGCCGTCAGACCAACTTGACGAAAAATCCAGGACATCTACTTCTTTGTACGGAGCGGTCTTGCGTTGACACCAAAGAAGAAGACCTTCCTTTGCCGATAGACCCTCCTCGCTATGGGATCATGATAAAACATCGCAAAGGTAATCATGAGTGGGCACAAGAATAACGGACCTGATGCCTGCAATGGTGAAGCGGAGAATGAGGGTCCATATCATGCCCAGTATGAGTTTGAGATTCCCATCGATAATGTCTACGCAGGAAAAAGACGGTATGGTGAGAATGAGAATGGAGAGATGTACGGATGTGGGATTATACATACCTTCTGGCCCAATGTTAGTTAACTTCACGCCACGGGAGGTAATAAATTCTAAGGCTTTGTTCACGTTCTCCGCCTTTTGCACACGCATACGGGGTGTTCGATTGTAGCGACCCAGAGAAACATCGCCTAAGATATCATATTGTCATTTAGAATCATACCGAACAGTTGAAAGCACTCCAACCTCACCCATGATCTCCTACTCAGATGATCAGCTCGGTGAGCACGATCTCCAAGTCAGATACACTCACCATAAGCTGAATGAGCCGCACGCCATCTGACAGATCTCTCACGAGAGAAATCATTGGGGGATATCCATTGGATTCTAGCTTGGTGTTTAGCCTTGATAGTCAATTGATCACTACTCAGTACACGCATTCACAAAGGAGGGACCTGTGGCTGGCACCATTTACAAAACGTCCGCTCTTGAGTATCGCTCGAAAGAGCGTTGAGGGAGTCCATGCCTACGGCAGGTGAATGATATGTGAGGGTCAGAGCTGAACGTTGAGTACAGAAAATCCGTAATTATTGGAGACAGTTCGGATGGTGCTTGGCAGGCGCGTGTTGGGACTCCGCTCGACGCGTCGAGCCTCACATCTTCTTTTCCACCACCATCTACCCGCCTCCCAACATAACATATCATGACTACACAATTCGACAGAATCTACCATGGTCTCTTCCAAAAGCCCGGCAGTAAGCTTTCGCTTCAACTAGTCATCCCGTGTACCCGTGATTGAAGCGACACTGTATGTTATGTTTCCAGAATTTCGTGTGGCCAACAGCGGGATGGCTTGGAGAGAGGAGGAAAAGGACGAGGTGACTTCGATGCCAAATTCAGACATCAAATGGGCACAGTGGCTGCGCGTTGCGAGAGGATTCCAGCTGAGAGTCGGTCTTAAGGACCGCCGAAGGGAAACATTCGACGGTTTCGAGCGTGAAGTCGGTACCTTCAACACTAATTGAACGCGAGCTAATTCCAACTTGGTCCTTTCCAGGATCATGACAAACTTGCTAGTATCCTCAAGCAACACTTTGGCGTCACTCTTGAACCACAGGAGGTCTCTGTCAAGGGATGGAACTGGGGTGTGACAGATTTCCGAGGTACGTTCCTACTATCAAGCTAGTGCCCTATTTCATCTGACTTTACAACTAACAGGCAGTGACCTTGCATTCCTTGTATCTAACAAAACATCATTCGAATTGCCACTGCAACATGTGGCAAACTCAAACATTGCTGGGCGAACCGAAGTTTCACTCGAATTTACTAATCCAGCCAGCTCGAGCAAGAAGCCAGTTAAGGGCGCTCCCGATGAGATGGTTGAGATACGCTTTTTCGTTCCAGGTACGAGTCATCGTGTCCGAGGATCAGATGCAGGGTCGCAGAAGTCGGACAATGAGGAGGAAGACGGGGAGGAATTGAGTGCGGCGCAGGCCTTCCATGATACTGTGAAGGAGAAGGCAGAGCTTGGGCAAGTAGCAGGCGATATGATTCTCAGCTTCGAGGAGGTCTTAGTGCTCACACCAAGAGGTCGATACGATGTCGACATGTTCCCCGAATTCCTGCGCCTTCGTGGTAAGACATATGATTACAAGATCGTCTACACCAGCATTTCAAGACTATTCCTACTACCGAAGGATGATTTGCATGTCCTTTTCATCGTATGTATTACAGGTATCATGAAGTGTCCTTCACTCATCACAATCTCTTCTAGTTGGCTCTGAGCACTCCGATCCGACAGGGTCAGACTCGCTACCAATATCTTGTCATGCAGTTCAGTCGAGAAGAAGAAATTACAGCTGAATTGAACATGAAAGAGTGAGTTATTCTTGAAGATGGCAATATTTCAAGCTAGAAGACTGAGTGCGTTCAGTGAGGAAATCGCGAAGCATGATCGACTCAAGAAACACTACGAAGATCCTACTTTCGAGGTCGTGTCCAGTGTTTTCCGTGGACTCTCTGAGAAGAAGATCATCAGCGCTGGTAGCTTTCAAAGGTGAGCTTCGATGAATTTGACCAGAAGTCTACCATCATAACACATGTGTATATCCTCGCCACCAGTCGCAATGGACACCCAGGCATCAAAGCCAACTTGAAGGCTATTCAAGGCGACCTCTTCATGCTCGAAAAATACATCTTCTTTGTATCGAAACAACCAGTTCTCATCGAGCTTTCCGATATCCATCAAGTCGTCTTTTCCCGTGTTGGTTCAGCCATGGGCGCTGCGGCCGCGCGAACATTCGACTTGAAGATCGTTACAAAGAGTGGACCAGAGTATACGTTCACATCAATCAACAAGGAGGAGCACGAGCCCACGGAAAAATACTTGAAGGACAAAAAAGTGCGCGTCAAAAATGAAATGGTGCCAGACGGAGATATCCTCCTTGCTGGAGGTGATTCGGACGAGGAGATGCAGAGCGTTGCCAGTGATGACGATGAGGAGGTACATGTGAAACGTACTGGCGATGACGATGACGATAGTGAGGAAGGTGAGCTATATGTTTCACTAGCCGAGATTCGGCAGCAACCCTGTTGAGGCTGTTGCTTATCTATGATGCATGATGCCTAGACGAAGATTTCCAAGCCTCGTCGTCAGACGCAGGCTCGCCCTCTGATTCCGACTCAGACTCCGAAGGCGGCGCGACGGCATCCGACGCGAGCGGCGATCGCGAGTTCACCAAGCCGAAGGGAAAGTCAAAGGCTCAGCCCAAGGCTACAAAAACCTCGGCGAAAAATAACAAATCTCCTGTCAATGGTGACAAACCGAAGAAGAAACCGGCTCCGAAGCCAAAGAAGAAGGATGACGACGGGAGTGATGCTGCTATGTCAGTCGATGAGGAGGCTCCGAAGCCGAAGCCAAAACCGAGAAAACCTGCACCGAAACCCAAGGCAAAGGACGGAGAACCAGATGAACCGGTCAAGAAGAAACAGAAGTTGTCTGCGGACTGAGTATGGTTCATTACGTTCGTTCCCTCATGATTTTCTCGACTGTATATATGCGTCGCGTCTCCCCCCGCCTGCTTGATTGCTGGATGCCTTGTTATTCAGATATATAATATTCCACCAATGGTGAAGCGTGCTAGTACCGAATACATTACGAAGGAGCTACAGTGAGATAGATGTGAAGGATAACGAGCGGATAGTAGACTGGGGTGTTGAAACATACAAAAGGTCTAAAGAGCGTGTGAAGGTGTGAGATGAGTATATGATCAACATAAAAACATTCCGGGTCACCGCTTTGATAGCAGCGACCCAGGTTCGAATACAGCTGCCATTGGCGTGTTCATCGCAGACAGCGGCGCTGATACAGCGACCAAAGGTTGAGCAGGACGTTGACCTTTACGAGTCCCCGCTCGTGCAAGTTTGCTGCCTCCGGAAGATGCTGAAGCGCTCGCGCTCGCACCCTGACTCGTAATGATGTGCCGCTCTTGGTTGATCATGTAGGACTGCAAAAGCCGCATCATGGTCAGTTTGCTGCTCAGCGGTGATGCGATACAATTTGAGAATGGTGCACTCACACGAGCCAAAAGGATCTTTTGCAACCAATTCTCACCGTCCTTATCTCCGCAAGAGAAGACGTGCACGTAATCGGCAGTATTTTCAAAGAAGTGGAGGTTGTCCGTGGACTTCGCGGCAAAGACAAAGGTTTTCGGCGCCTTGTGTGGACGAGTCATCTGGTAGGCGTCAAAATTAGACAGCGAGCAAACAAAGGTCGCGTCTTTCCCCTGAATAATTACGTTAGGATATACCGACAGTCTTGGCACAGAAGACGTACAGTATCACGCTTGGAGAGCCACAAACTATGCTCCCGCAATTCTAACCAACGCTTGTTCCACTTGCCCTTTTTACTCTCGTATTCGACATAACCACTGCACACAGGAGAGCTAGTCGGCATGGCCTAAATCGGGGGTAAATCAGAGACACGTTGCCATGAAGGTATGTAAGCGAAACGCACGGATGGATGCAGTACAGCTGCCATATGAGTCTTTCGCGTTATGAGGGCATTCACAGTCCTATCTTTGTCCCAAGAGTTGATGACATCAGAAACGATCTCGAAGTTTCGGATGGGCCGCTCTGAAGACACGATCAGCGCTCATTCTACGTGAAGAAAGATGGCAACTGACCCATGCCGAAATCCTGAGCAACTTCGTAGAGCATCCAGCTACCAGATCCAACCCACTGCTCCAACTGTCCTTGGCGATCCAGCATGTCGAGCACCTCCTTGGCAGTCGTGCTCGGTCCGATCTCTACCATGTTGAACCGCTGCATATCACCGATGAATATACGCTGCTGCCAAGCCACCTGGGTTTTCACCTCGCGTGAAGTCACTTGGAATCCCAAGGATGCCGAGTTGACTGCCAAAGTATTCAGAACCTCAGCAGGGGGCATCGGAGGCACCGGCGGCCGCTGTGTCCTATCGTGCTCAGCCGAGGTACGAGTAGAAGATGTACCAGGCCGTGTCCCATCCCCGTTTGAAGGGTGTGAACGGAGGGATTTCTGGCGGTGGGGCGCGGCGTCGGTCGTAGAAGCTCTGGGAGGTATAGCGGCCTTTGCTAAACGCGATTCGTTTTGAATTGTCCGCGACGTTGTCGCACTTCTGCCCAAATACTGGTACCCAGTTCCCGAAGAGCCTGATGCGAGGGGTGCAGGAGCGCCATCAGGCATGTTAGCTCGACGAAAAGACTTCATCGGCCGTAAGGTCCTCGATTGCGAATTGTTCTGAGATTGTGTCTCTTCGGCCGTGGCGACTGAAGCATGGCCAGGAGCATAGGCAGGAGATTTTGGTGGGCTTTCGGCTTGCGACATGTACCTGCGACTGGAAGGAGTAGGAGGAGGGCCTGATGGATGCAAGTTGAGCAATCGCTTGTTGAGATCATCGATCATGGGGCTTTGCATATTGCCGGGTAACGTCTTGGTGCGAGGGCGCGTCATCCGCGAGGGTGCAGTGGGGACCGTGGCATCCTGCGAAGGAGATATGCCCGAAGTAGTAAGATCGGTCGGACGAGCGGCGAAGCTCGAGTCCCATGAAGGGCGGCGGGGTGTGTGACGAGAAACATCCAAATGAGCGTCTGAAGGCCGTCGACCTCGTTCTTGCTGTTGCTGTCTGAGGGCTCGCTCGCGCCGGCGCTGATCGTTCTCGTTGCGGACCTGTCTTCGGATCGTTCGCTGTGCAGTGAGTGCAGTCGGTATCCGCTGGGCTAGCGGAACGTCATCGTCACTCGTGTTTGGGTCTTGCACAGGCATAGCGCCGGTCGAGCGTTGGGTGCGAGATCCCTGAGGATGATCAGACTCATCGTCGGAACTAGAAGTCTCAGTATCACTTGTGGAGGACGCGGACGTAGAATCACGGTCACGGCGATCATCTCTTTGCTCGTCGTCCCCATTGCGTCGGCCGCTTCCACTAGCTCCATCCCCACTATGCCCACCGCCTGCTCCACTGGAACTTCCATCGCCGTACCCTCTCTGTTCCCTGCCACCGTCGCCGCGCCGATCTCCCCAGTTCTCATCGTGGTCTCTCTCCCGGCGGTGATGGTTTGTATGTTCGTCTCCTCCATCGATGGGCTCGCTGATATGGCCATATGAGGCCTCATCTTCATAACTCGAGTGCCATTCTTCATCCTCGCCACTAGATCCCTGAGATGGCCTGTCACCTGCCATTGAGTACAACGAGCCACGAACAGTGCCTGCCGAGCTTGGTTCGAAGTCTTCAGAACTAGGAAATTCACCTGGCATATGAGAGCTGAGAAAGATGGTGTTGTGGGGTGTGTAGCCTGGATCAGGCGACAAAGATGCTGACCTGGCACTGGCGGATTGAGACGATGAATGATGGGAAGTCTCAAGGTCAGCAACAAGTTCGAGCTCTTCAGAGAAAACCCGAGCATGGCTGTGAGATGAATGATCAGAAGATGACCCGCTTGCCGATAGATCATCGCTTGATCGTGGCAGCGAAGGAAGGGAAGTAGGAGGAGAGAATGTAGATGTCGAAGAAGCAGAAGAGGATCGTGAATGTGTCGGCGAAGACAGAGCCTCCACTATATCCCAAAAGGAATCGAACATCACGGTGTTGCTGTTGTGAAGACTGTGTTGAGCGGTGTCCTCGAGGGAGTCGGGCGATTGAACGAAGCGAGTGCTCCCTTCAGTCCGCGCGTGCGAAGAGGAATCTTCGCAAGATGTCCACGCTGCGCTCGGCAGCTCCGCCGAATGAACATTTAGCTCCTCACTGTGAACTCGCTCCGAGTTAATGTGAAGTGTGTCTAAATCGGGATGCGACAGGTCCCGACTCCGCTCTACGGCAAACACCCGCTTCGGGGCTTCGAGTTCATTGGAACTGCGGTCCATGTCCATGTCCCAAGGCTCGGCAGGAAGCCGAGCGGCCAAGGATCCCTTGCGCGCCTGGTGAAATACCGGGCGATGAGATAACATATGAAATAGTTTCGTTAAGTTGACGCACCTTGATGGGATAGGCCGCATTAGATTGGGAAAGGGTACGTAAAGAAGGGAGTGATGGACGTGTGACAAACGCCGGCCGTGTGTGGGCGGGACGCCGATGACGAGCGGTCGCGTGAACAGGAAAATGGGACGTTTTTGTGGAAATGAAAGGAAGGGTCTCTCTCAACGAGGGTGATGACGGACTGCTGTAGAGGCGGCGCCGTGGTTCCTCAGAATTGGGAGTTACCGCGAGAGGAGAACGAGATTTCGCAAGCGGAGATAATCCGGTGGTAACCAAGTCCAGCGATGGGCGGGACAGCGTTGGCACGTCAAATGAGGCTGACGGGAGGGGGGTAGAATTGATGGGGGCAGGTGACAGGTTCGCGAAAGGGTCCTCATCTAGAAGATAGTCTGGAGGTGGGGACGATGAGGTCGAGTCGCTGTGAGATGGTTCTGTAGATGGAGTGGATGATATTTGGCGCGCTAGGTTCGATGATACAGATTCTGAGCGCGAACGCGAAGTGGGGCTAGTAGGCGTATGAACAGAGACGAAAGAGGAAGGCTGTAAGAAGTTGGGTATAAAGATAGACTGCAGAGAGCGCCGCTTCTTGGTCATATTGTCCTCTCGGTAAGGGGTCTTCCTGCGGGGGAAACGCGCCTCCAATGTATACAACGGTTCGTAGGTCGTGTCTGATTCGCCAAGGGGTGGCGGAGGAAAGGAAGGCGATCGTATGGAGGGGCTTAAGAGAAGAGAATCAATAACCTGAAGCAAAATCAAATAAGGATCAGCACTCCGGCGTGGTGTTACATGTCACTGGCGCGCAACGTGTTGCTTGTGCTGTGAGGTTATTTAACGTAGAGAAACGCGTGATACGAACGCGTGCCATCTACCAATCGGCCAACTGAACCGGACACTCACGAGTGAGAGCTCAAGCACTCCAAAATAGTCCTCTGTGTGGACTGACAAGGAATGTTGTGTGCAGAACGCGATGAGCAAGTCAGGAACGTGGGGAGACCTTGCAGGATCAGCGAGATGAGAGAAAGGAAGAAGGGAAGAGGAAGAGACCGGGCGGTTGAATTTGTCGGGAGACGGGGATATTATAGGACGGGCGTGCATTTGCTGAGCGAGCATGGCGATTTGGAAAGAAATGAGGGAGACGGACGTGAGCTTGAGGGTTCTTGCCGGAACAGGGTCCTAATGGATGGCGACAATCGGTTCCGTGGACCCTGGGCCGCGACCGCCTGCTGATATAATACCCTGGTCCACAGCGTCCCTCCCTGACAACCAATCATGCCCGAGATCATCTATGGACATTCTCCTCTTGTCCCCAGCACTTCTCCAGCTCGCTGTCATCACATGGCGCTTGATTGCAGACGATTGCAGTCATGTGTCCAGTAGACAGCCCAATCATACTGACCGCACAAGCACTAGTGTTTTTGCCCAGTGAACCTTGTGGCATCGGCCGACACGGCCAAACAGGTTTACGTCAGACTTGCATGGCTCAGATTTTAGAAATTTTTAGGGTGCTCGATGCAGCTCATTACTCAAGTACTCGAGCTCTTTACTGTGTCGTAGACGTCTGTCATTACGTTCGGTTTGATTCCTGTTATTCTCGTCCAAGACAAACAGATATTGGCTGCTCGGGCTCTTGTCCTAGCTCTATGGAGGAATGAGAGGCAAAAATCAAGCTTACAAGCCAATCAGAGGCCTTGAGCGTCCCAATCTGGCAACTACCAGCCTTGCCGAAAAAGATCAGTTTCCAATTTCTTTCTGTGCCTCACGAGCCTGTGAATCAAGCAGCGTGCAGGCCTCAATCCGGCCTGTAGTGCAGCATGAGTTCCACGCTGAGTATGCCGATGCTGGACGATGTCCTCCATCTCGCTTGTTCTCCGCAGTCGAGTCTCGGACTTCTCATCGATAGCAATGTACACATACTGGTCTCTTTACGTGTGTTCGAGGCTCTCATAAACACCGCCACAGTTGCATCTTATGTCTCACACCGGCGCTCTAGACGAGCCGGAGTATCCCATGAGCCTTAGCAGCAGAGAAACCAATACGGGTACTCAACTATACACAACCTGCTTTGGAAGAGAGGGAGCGAAATAGGACAGGCTATGAGAACGGTGTACGCTCAAGGGAATGTCCCAGAGCCCACCGAAGGTTCTATTCAGACCATCAATGTCTGATTTCCCAAGCCAGCGCTTTGACCAGTGCCTAGTAATGAATGAACAGCAACAAAGGCGAAGATTTCTGAAAGCAGAATCTGCGATGGGATAGGCTGCTGACAATTTCATAAATGCGCAGTCTACCGAAGAATAAGCGAGAGTGAACAGGCCTCAGCTGAATTATACTCATTTGCCTTTCCCCTTACATTTGCGCTTTCGATCTGTTAGATCTTGTTTGTCGTTGAAGAAACCTCCAGTCTTCAACGCCTCCCTGGCCACCCGTCCAATCACCCTCCATCGCTCTCCACCTAGCTTCACGCCGCCATACCACCGCCAAACTATGACGATTGTATCATGGCACTCACCCTTCTCCAGAATGTCAGCGAGAAATTCGCCTGCGCCTTTCTCCCCGCCGTCATCTTGACGATACAGCGTTTTCCCCGAGCTCACGTCAGACTTCACTGGTGAGGCTATGCGGCACGCGTACATGCAATGCGTTGCGCGTTTGAGCCGAGATGTCGATTGATGCAGATGCGAGGTCAGCGCGGGGAGATCTGACAGCGAGTGTAGGCGAGTGCAGTGCGCGACGAATGTAGATTTCCGCACTTCGACTGTCGATGACATCGATATAGGAGACGGCCAGTCTGATAAAGATACATAGGTCGTTGCAGCTCAGAGTCACATAGTCAGATCCACTCACCCTCGTGTTCAGAGGATGAACTAGCAGCCCTAAATTGCTGCCAGCGTCTGCCAAGGATGTGCGGTCGCGTGTAGTGGCCTATTGAAGACCTCATGCAAGTCTGTATAAGCATATGGTTCCAGATAGTCCATTCAATTGTATCACCTCGTCATCAGAGGATTACAGGGGATTTGAAGTAACATACTTGACACTCGACGTCGAATCGAAGGTGTGTTAGATGTGACGTGATGAGCAGATTCGAAAAGCCCTGAACATCGAGCGTTGATTTGATCGCCAAGCAGCTCGTGAACTTGAAGTCAATGACACAAGATGAGACTATGATGGACATACACGGTACCATAACTCATGTTTACCTTATGATGGTCGATGCAGCGGCCGCCGGCCAGTGACGAAGTCGAGGAGAGTGAATTGTTCAAACTCAGCGGTCTCCAAATTGAGTAACTGTCCTTGACGTCGAGCATCATGCCGCCTCGAGAACTACCAGGATTCTACTTTGATGAAGCTAAAAATCGCTATTTTCCATCATCTTCAAAGCCAAAACCTACAGGAAAAGAGCCCATCTCAAGGCCGCTAAGTGCGTATCCATCTGGAAGGGTCAAAAACAAGTCAACCCGGCTGGTCTCCAACTCTGGCCATCTGCAACATGTTTTTCATGACCTACGCTCGTCGTGCTCATCTCGAAGAAGAGAGCAGAGTAAAAGGCATGTCTTCAATAGCGAAGAAGTCCCGGTATCCCTGATGATTGATGCGTACAGGAACATCCTGACGTCACAGATAGAGGCTGCATCTGCGCCTTGCAACTGTATCCACATTCCCACAGTGTGCGAGGATGTCACTGCCTTCCATGTAATGCCAACCGCGGTATATTTCAACTTCGTGCACTCATGAATTTGCGCTTCGCATAGATCTCAATGCAAAATGGGTACCTTAGGAGCGCAATGGGAGATTCTTTTGGCCTGTTATCTTCTTGGGATTCCCCTGTGACTGATCGAATAGCAGACATCTCCAATCACTTGTCTGACTGGACAGCCCTTTACAGCTTGGGATCTCCAGTATGTATACCGCTGATCTTTTTTTTCCTCTGAATAATCTGTCTTGTTCCGGATAGGTTTCCTCGATCTGCATGTCAAAATCAATCACTGCGTAGGTATTCTTTAAGTGCTCAAAAGGTCAAAATGGTTCTTATTGCATACCAAGTGCCACATCGTTTGGCCCACGGTGTAAGATTGTGGTGCAAGACTCTGCACGTCTTGCCAGGGATGAGTCAGTCGAAACATCTTATAACCAGCGATCTTGCCTGCTTCATTGAATGGTATCTCGTGTGACTCCAGCATCACTGTCTTAACGCCAGACAAAAAACTTATCTACGATGTCTGGACCTGTGACCTAGCAGATCGCGCAATCGTCCTCGGTAAGTCATACCTGACACGGATTTAATCCTAATGGTTTATCTCCGTGCAACTCGAACTGGCTGGTAGGTATGCACAATCGCGCTATGTATTTAGGCGACATCGAGAACCCAGACAAATTTCGAGCACTCGATGTAAACAGCGATGTGCTGGCCTTGCACCAAAAACAGGTTCGCAAACTTCTTGCTTCAGAGTCCCAATTTCTGTGCGTTATTGAGGCAGATGTTCTCAGAATCTTGTCTATACAGGCGCAAGAAATGGGTCAATCAGAAGATTCGATATGCGAGAAGGGTCATCTGGACATCCCGTGTTCGACGATAAGTTTACACCGGAATCAGCCAATTCAGTCATCTATATGAATGGCATAAACGAGTCTCAGCTACTGATCAGCACAATCCGTGGAGAGGTAAGAGCTTCTCAATCTACTTCCTCATTTTGAGCTGTGGCCTAACTCTTCTCTGTATAGATCAGTCTTCACGATTTGCGCTTTTCGCGTGGGATGCAGTCTATCATGACGTATAGTGGTCACGTGGGGTCTTACAGACATAATCTTGTCAGTAGTTTTGAGTGTATCTTTTACTGCTGTTAAATCTTATCTTCGTCTTTGCACAAACAGCCACACGCAATAAGTCCATGCCAATCTTACCTTTTTGCAGCAGGTCAAGACAATCGCATCAGAGCTTGGTCGTTGGTCACCGGCGCACAACTGTCGTCCCCTATTCCGGTGTACACTCCCTCGCGACGCAAGGCCCACGCAAACCCACTGGCCGCTCATTTCGAAGGAGATGTCACAGCATTACAGGTTCTAGAGACAGGCAAAGAGACCGTCTTGTTCGCGACATCTGGGCAACGTCTACATATATTCCCCTTGGGACAATGTTCAAATTCAGAATAGAGAGCGTATAAATGTTTCCCCTGATCTCCTCAAAGAGACCTTGTTGCATCACTCCTGATACCACTCGTTTGACAGCCTCGTATGTACGGGCTGGAAGACTGTCATTCCTGATAATCAGAAACATTCCATGTTCATGTCTACCTGTGGGAGACATCTATTCATGACAGAATTGCATGGGGATAGATGAAGAAGGCATGATTGCATTCGACTTGCGAGGCCAAGACAAGACGAAGCACTACTTTTACGAGTGAGATTCTGACAAAGGAAAAAAATTTGAAGGTGACCAAACTGTCGTACGCATTCCTGGCCGAGCTGGACAGCTCGAGGCCCAAAATCTGTGGCCCTTCTTTAAAGTCACCAACTGATCTAGGCACAGTGTACCGAGATGAGAATCCATCAGAAGAGGCGAATACTTCCTGCATCGCTGTCACACTCAACACATATAGCGCCTTGTAGGCTTGCTGGTCTAGGCAAATCGCAACGATCAGATCGGTGAACAGCTATTTGTGGATACGAAAGACATGATGAGAGGGATATACTCCATAAGAGGCATTCATGAGACAAGGGCATTTTCCAGAGTAAGCGAAGATATTCCCAGCCGGCTCTTGCCAGGATGGAAGCATAGAGGAAAGGGTCGCGCCTATCGTTGGGCCTCGCGATAGATGATCAAACTTGGAGGTCAATACCTCGATTTCCGTCAAAACCTCTCGGGGTGCTCAAGATGCATGGACTGAGGCAGCCCATGGAGACGGGGAAATGATTTCGCCCAAGTCAAATAGCATAGAGCAAGAACAGACGCCTGATAGTCAAGTCCACAAGGTTCGCAATGGATGGTTCCCTCACAGTGGATATTCTCTCAGACCAAAAGGAGATCTGTGTTCTGGATTAGAAAACTTCCTATGAACAGACGCCATAAAAGCCCAGGAAATGGCTGGTTCAACAAGATCCACCACAGCCAGATGATTATCACATGTTGGCGTGTTACGGGTGGAAAATGGATAGCCAGGGATAGCCCCATTCAAGATTGAAGGGAAGGACGCAGCGTGCGTCGATATCCCAGACTCGGAATTTTCAGGGTCAAAGATGCTGGTGTAAGTACCGGAACAGAAGGAGCCACATCCGACATATGATCCATCCAAGAGTAATCAAAACGAACCTGAAGGAGAGTTAGATCCACATATGAAACCATAAAGGCAAGACTCCCTGTACAACAAACATGTTCAGATACAGTGCAGTGCATGCATGCATCGCATCGATACATATATCGATAGCATAGCGCATGTCAGAGTATCAGGTCGAGAGATCTAAATGGAACGCCCGGATTTAGAGTCATCAGGAGGGAGTTGGGGGCCGGAGTCGTCAGGGACTCTGAGGAGGACGTGCATTCGAGCTGCCCGTTTGAATCTAACTTGGATTGCTAAAGAAGTCGAAGGTATTGACGAAGAGGCAAGCAAGTGGATGTCCACATTCATAAAGACTATAGAGTCTAAGAGACCTACATCGGGGGAACGTCGTTTTCAAGTTCCTGCGGATGACCAGGCCGAATATAGGACAGAGAAAAGATGTCAGTGGATGTATCTGGTTGAGCTTCTTCGGCCTGATTATCCGTCTGAGTCGCTGCGGCGTCAGATGCAGCTCCATACGAATATTGTAGCCCAACGTAACAGACCTTCAATAGCATCATCCGGTTCGTCGTAGAGATGCTTGAGCATCTTCGACTGTTTTGCGCGTCGACCCTGATCCGCTGGCAAGAAGCTAGCGCTGACTGGATGAGGGCCGCAGATGTCGGATTGTTGGTGAATTGATGAGTGCGACGTGCGTATAACAGTGTTCCTGTTCTGTTAGGAGCCATATTGCCAAGAAACGACGAGTGCGTTGGTTGTGATGAAGTAGTCAAGTCGTTGCTTATTGCCCAAGGCAATGTCTGGAGGATTCGAGGTCCGCGGCCGTGTCGTCCGCGACAATATCCGGAAGTTCAGCTCCTCTGCTCCACACTGCTCCACGACAACGCTGTCAAAGAACTGGCGAATTTGCTATGTTTAAGAGAAGAACGGAAAAGTTCAATAGTGATCCCCGCGAGCGTTCAGATACGTAAATGAAGAAAGTACGTAGAAATACAGTGTCCGTCCCCAGCCTCAAGCCGAAGGAGTTGTTCGTAGCCCTAAGCTACAGTTACAGATGTTACCCATGCAGATCCAATACTGAGATAAACCAACATATAGCCTATTCCATGAGCGATGGCGCTCCATACAAGAATCAGTATAGATCAACATAAAAATCGCTTCTATCACCTTTCCCATCCCGTGTGCTTTTGTACAATCAATGGCGACGCAGGAGGTTACCAAGTTCCATTAATCCTGCCAATGGCCCACAGAGTACCCCCGCCTCCAACAGGCAGAAGAAGGGCCCACGCTGCGATGTCCCACACGAGCCGTCGCCCAAGCCGCTTTCGTTGTAATGTGCGCTCCTTGCGCTGCAGCAGCTCATCAGCGTCAGCTCGATCTAGCGATGCCCGGTCAAAGTTGACTGCAGACGGGGTGTGGACTGCAGAAGGAATCACGATTGAGAGGGGGCGCTTGAAGTGATGCATCGTTACATGCAATACAGCTTTTGGGTGCGTTGAATTCAATAATCGATGAATGCAGTGAAAACTCAGAAGCTGGCATACCTGGAAGGATATACGTACTTGCAAGCGCAAGTACTAGAATGATATCGCTCAATATAGCGGACGGGTGCGCAGGAAGGAGAGAGAGAACGGGAATAAGCAAATAGATAATAAGCTTAGGTATCGGTAGATTTGTCGCACGGCGGAGGGACAGTGTGATGGGGAGAGGCGGGGTAGTAACAACCAGAGGTGGTATGGCCAACACAAGAACAACGGTATTTGACACAGCCATCAGAGGATTCGGCGCGCGAGCGAAAATGTCCTGTATTTGAGACTTGTGAAGACTAGTATCTCCTAGCATTTGTAAGAAAGTGATGAGGGGCACTTACCGGGGGAATCGGGGCGGCGGCAAAGAAACAAAGAGGGAGCGTGAGGGCAACGGCGAGACCTATTGAAACAATTGATAGAAGTTTAAAAGAGTGACGTTTTTTCTTGGTGGTTGACAGGGGGTGGGCGCTGCCCTGAAGAGAAGCATATAGAGGGAGAGTCCAAGTTGTGACGAACGAGAAGGCAATAGTAGCTGTTCAGTATCCAATTAGACGGCCATGGTCATGAAAATGTAAGAAACACGCAACTGGTTCCCTGCCAGAGTATCCCTGTTCGAAGCCGTCCAGAACTGACATCCAATGTGCCTTGCGCGTGAGCGAACGAGATGCTTCCTAGCCAAACAATGTACGCGGCAACGGATACCCATGTAGCATACGCTACGCGCTTAGCCGCCAGAGAGGGCGCTAAGCAGAGAGGCAAGATGACCAAAGACAACAAGATGCTAAAGACTATCCGAGAGGATAATGGCATCTTAGTGGGGGAAAGAGGCAGCAGTGCATCAACCGATGCTTATCGAAGCGTAACAGAATGTTATTAGGGTATGCATGTCCGCGGAAGAGATCCTCACCTCGCAGATACACGGTGGCCAAGAGCACCCTCAGGAGCCCCGTCCCAATCCTCACCAAAGACCTCAAGAACACCCGACGGCGCTCCTTCCCTCTCCCTCTCGCGAAGGCATCCAATACAATTTCCTCCAAATCCGGATTATGAACGTATTTTGCTAACATATAGCACAGATGTCTTGAGCATGCTGCAAAGAGCGCGAAGGCCAAGAGCACCGGAATTGATCGATTGAGTGGTGTACCCGTGTAGGGAATAAACATCGAACCGAGCTTCAGGAATGGCGTGAGGAGGTAGAGGAGTATAAGACTGGGAGAGAGAGGAGGAACTGATGATGTCCTGATGCGATCGAGATGAGAACCAAAGTCGTCTGCGAGATCATCGTCCGAGGAGAAGTCAAGAGGGGCGGTGGAAGGTTCGTCGTCGTCGTCGTTCTGAACAAAAATGAGGGTCGCGTTGGAGAGGGTGTCGCGTAGAAGGGGTGAAGAAGGGCTTCCATGATCGCTTGAGGACAGCGAGTTAAGGGATGAACGTCTGCTGGACGACATGGGTGGCAATGACGAGAATCGCAGCAAGGACAAGAGCGCACTGTTACCAACTCTCACTACACCAACCCTCCGGCGACGGCCTGCTGCGGTCTGTCCGGCTGCCTCCGGCATGCTATCGCCCTCTTTCTGCACATCGACACCCTGCTTGTGTTCTAAAGCCCAAAAGCAGTTGTATTGACAGTCGACTGACTAGTCACAATATGCGGGCTAACTAATACGAGAGAAGAACAAATTTTAAAGTAAGAAACCCGAATCACTCCTACTGAAGATCCAGACCCACGAAGCGTTCGACGCTTGGAACCAGTGTATGATAATTTACAGAGAGAGAAATCATGATCATCGCCACGTCGTTACTCTATACAATCTCGTCGACAGCCGCACCTGCGATTGGCTTCTGTCGTTCTGCATTCAAGGCGTGAGCGTGATGCTTGCGTGCCGCAGCGTTCCTGAGCCAAAGAAATCGCAAAGTCAACATTAATATGATGACATAAGACCGAACGAGTACGCTTACGGTCGATTTAGAATACTTTCGTCTCCAAGGAAGATGAGTGCGTCGTAGACAAATGCGCCAACCAATCCACCAGCTATTGGCCCTAGGATGGGGCACCATAGCCAGTACTGATCGCGGAAGTTGAAGACTATGTTTGACCTTCTGAGCATGGTTTCGAAGAGCAACAATGATTGAGACAAACCTTCTCGACCGTAGCCGACCATGGCTGTCATGATCCGGGGACCTAAATCACGAGCCGGGTTGATCGCATAGCCTTGCATCCATGTGAGCTCCCGCAACAGAGCAGACAGCGATCCACTCACCTGTCTGCATTCCGAAGGCTGTGCCGACCCCTAAGATGAAGATGAAAATGACCAATGGTACCAAGCCCGCAGGAGGAGGCCCGTTCCGTTTATCCGATACTGCAAAGACGACAAGCACCAGGGCGAATGTGCCGACAAACTACGAACCCGTGTCAGATCCGGCAACCCTGATGATCGGGCGAACTGTACCGACTTGATCGAAGAAACTATTAGCCGCGGGCATATAGTCCAACTGAGAAACAGAGATGGATTTTAGTTCTCAAAAAAGTGGCACCTTGAAACGCTACTTACGGCGTATGTCGCAAACAGGCTTGCTGTCCCAGGAACAGAGAGTGCCTTCCGCCCTCCCTCGAAGATGTAGATGGCATGGAAGTAATTTGCGAAAACAATGAGCGAGCCGATCCAGGCGCCCAAGATTTGCGCAAAAATGTATATGGGAACTTTTTTCCACGGGAAGTCCCTGAAGACAGCTAAGGCAAGTGTCACCTGCGCGGCGGGAAACAAAATCGATGAGACATGTCATGGATCATTGTTGAGATGAGCTAATGCGGATGAGGGAGTGGGAAGGGTCGGAGAGCCTTACCACGGGATTGATATGTCCGCCTGTCACACCCCCAGATACCCACACACCGAGCGCGGCGCCTGACAGGTGCGCGTCATCAGAACGAAGGGTCGAGACAAGTGAGGAGAGAGGGATGCAACGTACCACATGCCCAGCCAAAATTGAGAGATAGGTAGTCGCCCTTGGGAGTTGCAGATACGGCTGTGTTGGAGCTGAGGACCACCTGGCAGTCGACGCCATTGCCAAACAAGATGAGAATCATGGTCCCCAGCATCTCTGCAGCGGGCTCCCGGAGATGCTCACTGTACGACTCGTTAGGTGCAGTTCGGATAGCTTGGAATGTGTACTCACCGAACCCTGGACCAACGATTGGGATACTTCGTATAATATTCGTGGAGAGCCTCAAAGTCTTCAGGACTTTCGTCGACGTCCTCGAGATGCTTCACTTCCTTGGACATTGCATCGCTGGAGCGTCGACGTCCAAATGACTTCAAGACGGGGAGGGACATGATGCTGGTCGTCAAAAATGGTGCAATAGTACAACAAAGGCGGCACGGAACCCAGGAAAGAGAAGGAGGAGGAAACAGTCGACCGAGAGGGACTGCAGAGCCTACGGAAAGAAGCCGACCTTTTATACCCGAAAGACATTCCAAGAACAGTCATCCGCTGGATCAGCCCTATACCGTGGCAAAGAGGGAGGCGCATGAGATACATGTTCCTCGAATAGGCCGCACAGAATAGAATAGATTGAGCTGCCGATATCGACCCCGATCTCAAAAGCCCTTGCATGGAGGAACAAGTCCTGCCTCTTCCCGATTCCGTTTCAGCTACGCTTTCACCGTCCGCCAAACACGTTGGATAGAAGCCCGAGTGTGTATGCTGTTACACCCTGCCTCTCTCGGAAGAACGGTCAGGCTGCAATCGCGATCATGCAGCATTACGCATCCGAGCTGAGCAGGAGAGCGCTTCGAGGATGATCGAGTTTGAGGATCCGGTGTCAGCCTGACCTGGGAGGGAAATTGCTCTCGGATAAGACCGTGGTATGTAAATGCTATTTCGGCGTGCCACGTACAGGATATCACAAAGAATGTTTCTGGGCCAGGGCGCCCGGACCCAGAATCCTGCGCTTCCGGGTCATATCTGCAACGGGAACTTGACGCTTTACGTGAAAATATCAGCAGAATTACCCATTAATGCAACCGTCTAAAGGAGATACCACCAGTCTTCCCAATTCCCCACAATGCCATCCTGGGGACGGATAAGTATGGCCATTTTGAGTTATGGCGTACCACAAGCTCCTATAACATGTGCTTATGCTGCACACATTCCTGGATGTGAACAAAATCAAGGGATAGCTCTTCGAGGAAGACGGAAACAGGCGGGAAGGAAAAGTTCCTGGTAACTTACCGTTTAAGGACCAGGTGACCAGGTTGACAATTTACGCTCGCCAAGAACCTCCGCTGTCACAGTTATTTGCAGCTTACCTGTCACAGAGCGCAGAGTCTTCCCAAACGCATCGCCCTATCACTTGTATAGGTCTGCTCTGTGTGACAGTATCCTGTCTTGAATGACATGGACAGACAACCGTTCAATGCGATTATATCACAGGCTGCGGGGAGCAGACGGATTCTATAGCCCCAGGCCGGTGAGAACTCAGAACTATGTACCAGATGATGCTCGGAAGGCTGTGTAGCAGACCTGCTGACCTTGGTCAAGCCCGTTGAATGCAAGAGTTCGGGTAGCGAATAAGTAGCTCGAATCTGTCACACGACGCACGACATCTGCTGATATCATGGTCTCGTCACGCTGGCTTCTGCCCTGTTTTTAACGTGTCCACGCCGGGAGGATCGCATCAAGTACGCCCAATGGAGACCCGTGGAACGTTTCAAACATAGGATGGCTTATCTGTGAATACAGTGTAAGCTGCCATTTTATTGTAGGGGTATAGGCATACTGATTCGACTTCGAACATGCAGGGACGCGGTCCAAGCACAGTTTGCTTTGGCGCTATGCGATTGCAGTCATTCCAGCTGCTGAGTAGCTGCGGACAAATAGATGAATTTGTAAACCCACGACGCCGGCACCGTAGTGCCCAAGCACACGGCACGAAAACAAGTAGATGGGGGAGCGACATTGCACATTGAATATTTCCTGCCAGGTCCCGTTTGAATGAAATATGAAAACTTAAAAGGTCTGTATGCAACAGCTTCTTCGTGTCGTGTTCAAGGGTTTGATGAACAGATCGCCGGACTACTCGTGACTAGGGCATCACAGACGGGCAGGATTCCCCAGGGAATGAAGTAGGTGAACTGTACATCACGCAAGAGCGCACGCCATTTCTGCACGTTCCCGAGATGGTTAAGAGACAGCCCGTTGTTGTCAACCGTTGCGTCGCATTGTATGCAAGAAAACGAATGTGACACAACAACCCTGGAAGCTTGAGATGAGACATCTTGCTAATAAAAAATCCCGAAAAATTTACCTCGATAAGGATGCATGGAATGCACTGTTCGGTGCTGCTTTCCACAAACCATCTGCTGTCACGGGCTGGCGACAATGGACGGACGGCAACGTGCTTGCCCATGCAATACCGGCCCTTCGGAACGGTCTAGTGATGATCCCAAGGAGAGGTGAGTAGAAGCATCCGAGCATGGGTGGAATTCAATCTCCTAATCAGAACTGAGAGCCCCCGCGCTGCCGAACAAGTATGCCTTCCTGAATAGGGTAACGTGGTTCGAGCGTTGATATAGATACCAGAGGAAGGTAGTCGTGTTAGAAGTGACCAACGGTCAACTTGCGTAGTCTTCCAGAAAGCTCGATCAGCATGTGATAGAACAAAGAGATCGAGAGTAATATTGCCACAAGGACTACAGTGATTCATTGAGTTTAATAAGACTTCCTGGAACGAGAACAGATATGTCAGACAGCGGAACGAGCCTCGCAACACACATATAATTCGTCCCAAGGACAATGCGCGGGTCAGTTTAGCTTCAAATGATATTCTCCCCGAGAGATTAAAAAGGCAAGGGCGAGGAGCTAAGTGACAAGCACCTAGCAGCGTCGATGTCTCTGAGCACTGAGCACAATGTGCGCTGCTGAATGCTCTCGGGTTTCATTGAAGGAAAAAGGTGGTATTGCCACTGCCGTGCCCTCTTGCACATGTTCTTCATATGAATCTTTCAAACTGGTTGTTATGCAAAGTAGACATCACCGCATTAGATCAGACGCAGTCGAGTTTTCAGCGGAGAAGGAACCAGCTCCTTGGGCAACATCGATCCAACCTGTAGGATCACATCAGCTTGCACCGGCGAATTGCATCAAGAGGAACATACTGTCCGCATGATGTTCTCACCACCGACCTCCCAACCAGTCTCAGCGAGAGGCAGCATACAGTCGCGTACAAGTCTCTCTGCCGATATCCCTAGACCGAATCGCTCTCCAGTGTACTTCCTCCACGTGAGAAGGCCGGTTAACAATTTCCGCTGACGCGATAGAACTCGCCGGCGCGCTGGGATAGCCTCTGGATCGAAAGACGCATTGTTCTGAGCCAGATATTGTTGCGTCAAGGCCTCCCACTCGGTTACAGCGCGTTGAAAACATGCACACACAGCCTTGAGCAAAACCTGAATGCCAGGATTCATAAGAGTGATGAAAGTCGAGATTGAATATGGTTAGATATATTCCTCACCTGGAATTTGATGTGGTTCTTTTCCACGGACAGTTCTATCTCCTCGGCCAAGTCCACGGCTCGGCGAACATCTTTCGCAGAGTAGGGATCCATGCCTCCGCCTTGAATGATCATACTTAGCCTGGGAATGACGACGGTTGATATCATGGCAGACACAAGGTCTCCATCGGGACCCAGCTCAGCCTTATCGTCGCCCTCGAAAGTGTTGCGAAGCTGCGGTCGGGCATACTCGTATAAAGCTTTATACCACGCAAAGCTGTCCAAGCTATGTGTACTCTGCTGATCGTTGTTATAAAAGGAGAAACTGCTAGTTGATAATCAGTACATACCTCGAAAGGGATCCATCCAATTAATTCTAGTCTCGCCCAAAACTCCCAGGCGCCAACTAGGGCCAACCCACCCCACGCACCAGAATATATGTCCCTAAACTGCTCCCGCCATTCACCAAACCATTTACTGAGGCCAAGATTGGGATCCTTGAAGTCGCCCGCCCGCACATCTGATAACACATCGTTGCATTTTTGTGATAGTTTCTCGAGCGCCAACTGGTAATCGGCAGCGTCAGATGGAGGCAAGCTTGCATCGGTGGAATATCCGTCTTCGGACTCAGTAGTAAAGCGCCTGCCAGACCCCCGACGTCGAGACCGACGGGTGGCACGGGCATATTGACGATCACGCCGAGCGGCCGTAGGATTAGACCGTGGCACTACACGTCCCAATTCGTCCAGTTCTTCTGCTTCTGTATGCGGGTCGACGGGTGGAGATCCTAAGAACGAAGATAGATCGTCTAGATCGTCTGCATGCCGTCGTCCGCTGACCATGTCGTATCTTTCTTTGAATAGTGATACTTGTTCTTCCTCGAGCCTCTCCAGTTGAGGGAACTAATCAAGGCGGAATTAGCCCCTCTTGAGAAGATGGACGACATAGAAAACAAAAACCTTCTCCTCGAGGAATGTGGCCACTGTTTCTATCCAATCCCTGAAAGCTGCGAACCAACTTCTCTTCAGCTCAGCTTTTGTGATCAGCTGTCGCATCTCGTTCTCGCGTTCGTTGAGCAGATCGCGTTCGGCTGATAAGGCTGTCATCGTACTGGTGTTTTGACCATGAGACTGTGTTAAAGAAGTCATAGCTTGAGTGAGACGAGCGACCGCAGAATCCAGCGTAGGGATTGGTGTCAGCGGCGGTACTGCAGAGACTATGAATTGAAGCTTCATTTCTAGTGATACTGAACGCACTTGGAGCTGCCTTGTATACCTGTTTCATAGGAGCTAGGGCAGTCTCGTCTTCAGCCTTCATCCCTCCTCTACGAAGCTGTGCTTGTTCCCACTCCTCCATCTCGTCATCTACTTCCTCCCTAGCTATGACTGTGAGCGAACTTATGGTTTGACTGCACAGAAGAGACGAACGCGTCTTCAATCAATTCTTTCATCTCATCTCTGCGCTTGCTCGCTTCGGCTTTCTTGGACTTCTTTCCAAGGGCGATCCGTTCCTGTGCGCTCGTAAAGTCCGCAAATTCTGGAATATTTATCAGTAGCTAGTCCATTTAGGTGTCTTTGATGAGACATACCATCATCACCTTCTCCGAGTTCATCTTCCTCGCGCACTAAGCGACTTTCTGGATGCGGCCCTTGATACTCACCGCCTTGTCCAGTAAGGGATAATGAAATGAAGTCTTCGTCCGGATGTTTGACACTGCGCAACCGATCGCGTTTCGCCTTCGCAGCAAGAATGGACGATTCGGATGGAATTGTGGTTTCACTGATACCTATAGTACACAGATCAGGGTTAATATTCCATTAATAGAAACCAAGCGATTGTGCCATTATTCACCCAGAGTGTCGTTCACCTCCAAGGGGTCGACATCCGTCATCGATACATCATAGCGTTCGGCTGGTGGTAGGGAAGCGCGAGCACCCGGAGTTTGAGCTTTAAGTTCAGATAGATATGCTTGGTCATATATAGGCCCTCCACCAGGGCGGGGGGAGATTGAAGCTTGATCTAAATTGGATGGGAGATTCCTGCTGAGCAGAGTGAGTTGTGAATTGGGGTGTTTTCCGGAACTTACCCCAGAGATGCTGGATATTGACCAAGAACCAATTTTCGGCTGAGGTTTGATTTCTTGACCTTAAAGACCTCTTCTCCTTCCTATGAGTCTTTAAAACAGGTGGTGGCTAGGCATAAAAGGTGACACGAACCTCTCTATCGCCTCCAAAACTGAGCGCTGTTTTCGGCTTCGAGCCTCGCTTGGCCTTATTCTTCAACTTCGTGGACAGTACGCTCATTGACGGCTCGTTTGAATTTATTTCTGTGGTCTGTTGAGGTGCCTCTGGAGAGCCATCTCTGGCTCTTTGAACATGCTTCGCCTTGTTGCGCTTAAAAATGATAGGTGTGTCTGCCATCGTTGACCTCTCGACGTTGTGGCGTATGTGCTGGAGACGCGCGTGACCGTGAAGCGCGTGACACGGGTGATTGAAGCGTGAATGTATTCCCACGGTAATCAAACCCAGCGTTTCACGCGTTCACCATGTCGCGTCCTCGTCCACGCCCCCGTCCGCGCCCCACTAACCGCCAAGCCAATCCTACTCAGTCGAGTAGCTCGTCAGCATCTACGCAAATCTTGGAAGCTTTAACGCAAACCACCTCCCTCAACCAGACTAAGAGCGCCCGGGATATTGAGCTCGACCAGGAAGACCAATTCTTCATTCGTAACCGTAATCGAACAGCAAAGGAATGGAAAAAATTAGAAGATATCGACAAAGGTGCGTCAAGGTTTCCCATCGCTTTATAAATCAAGTAACGCAGTTTCAAGAGCGAGAAGAATCACAGCCAACTACTCAGAACCCGGATGATGATTCTCCTCCTGCTTCCCCTCGAAAGAGATATAGGCGCAGAAAGCTTCCAGACAGTCACAACAGTGACCTACCCGAGTGGACAAGACAGGAAAGCGCTCCGTGAGTGTCTCTCCCTCTATCGAAAGTATAGTCATGTCGGCCATGCATTGCGCCTGGTTTAACCTTGCTGTCGGAGGCTTGATGATCGAGCCAGGTTGTTCCATCCTCAGGCGGTCATCGATTAGGTGTGAAATCTACGTTCAGTGAGCGTATGCCACCATACACGTCATTATGCGCCCTCAGTCATTCGAGGACCTCTTGTTGAATAGCCATTGTCCTGAATATCTTCTTTTCAAACAGTATCATTGTATCCGATGACGATGACGACCTGGAAGTAGTCGAAGGCTTTTCGTCGAATGCAGTCAATGGCAAATCTCATGGCACAGATCAGGCTGGCAACAAACGACTACGCAGCCGATCTCGATCCTTGACCCCCCCTCCACAGCTCACTGTTCAGCAGAGACAACACGCGCGAAATGTTGTCAGGTCGGTCTCGACATATACTTTGATACACAGTCGGTTAAAATCTTCCATAGACAGACGCTTAAGTCGGAACCCCGTCCTGCCTCCCCCACGCAGGGTTTCGCAGATCAGTCTGTAGAAATTTCGGAAATAGACATGGATCCAGAACTTCTGTCGATAACACGCGATGTTGAGAAAAAGGCTCGTGGCATCACTCCCGACTTCGCGGGCGGACCTAAGGCTGTCAAAATCAAAGTCAAGTGGCGTCCTCATCCCCTGGATCAGGATGGAGAGTCAGGCAGTTGGGTATTCGACATGAACAGGGTATGTCTCCACGCATCCCGCTCGTTTCTCTATCTGACCTCGTTATCATTAGCATGATTCTTTCCGGACAGTATATGACGATCTGGCAGACGAAGCAGGTATACTCGTGGATAGTCTCGTACTCAGCTACGAGGGTGGACGCGTATTTGCGTCAGCAACTCCGCATAGTCTCAAGATATGGGCAGACGCAGAATTGGGCAAGCATAATCATATTGACGATGCCTTTTTTCTGTGCTCACGATGAATGCTGATCCAGAGGCATCTGAGAAGGTCACATTCGAGTACATCCGCGAGCAGCGGATGCACAATCGCGCGGTGCCTTCGATACAGCCGGCCAATAAGGACCGTTCTGCTTCAATTAATCCAGCTGAAGACCTTGACTCCGATTCTGGGATCGAGTCGATCTCACAAGAGGTAGAGAACGAAGACGAGACATTTAGATTGGTTGTCCGCTCTGCATCAACAAAGGACATCACTCTCACTGTGCGACCCACGACAACGTGTGGTGCGATCGTCAAGGCCTTTTTGCGACGTGCTGGTATACCCGATAAAGACCCTGGCAGGAAGAGTAGGAGAAAGAGCGGTGCTGGTGGCCCAAGCCTTATGATCGATGGGGAGAAGATGGGACCGGAGACACCGATCTCAGAGGGCGACCTTGAGGACGGCGATCAAGTGGAGGTCGTTGGCCTCTAAGCATTGGCCGGCTATATTTATGGTGTTGAAGGTTCCATCGTGGCCTCGAAGCATGTTGTGATACATCCATCCTCCTGATGGTTTTAATTTTGTTTGGATTCTGTGATATGGTAAGGTTCGCGATAGGAACGAATCGAAGTACACGGTAATTATTTTAGGATCATACCATAGTATACGCATCGAACCAAGGGTAACCAATGGATAGTTATCAACTCTGGTGAGATTCGAGAGTCAGCGTTCGAGCCGAGACGATAAGCACCAGAAAGATTCGCCCAGTATCACTGCCACCCTTCGCCAGCATTACGAACTAGTATTCTCGCGTTGTTGACGAAGGCTCTGATGAGTTCATCAAACGCTGACTGTTCATGCTCAGTGACATTTTCATCGTTGCGTTTCGCGGCAGTTGCAAGGAGTAAAGCAGGCCGAGCAAATTCGAGCTCCAATTCGTGAAGGATTTCCGGCTAAGATGGCCCTGTGTTCATTGGTGATTTTCGGATAGAAAATTACACATATCGTACCTGTTGACTTTGTGCAGCCTGAGATGTTACCTGTGTGAGGTCAATCCTGAATTCCTCGTGAGAGTAACTCATCCGGTCTTTTCGGCGTTTTAGGGTCGCTGTGCCTATAGGGTGTTTTACTGGAATAGTTTTAGCCGCTCTACACAGAGGATGATCATTACCGATAGAAGGGTACTCGCCTGGCACTTCGACGTTTACACTTATACGCCAATCCGCGGCGCGTTTTGGGCTGTAGATATCCAGATTCCCGAGCCTCACTTTTCTCAAGCACTCGATGACCTCGTTGGTCTTTTCGTTTCGGGTCACCCGAATCTTGTCTCTGTCACCAGAACCTTCCGAAGAATAGAATGAATCTACTAGGCGGAGATGATCATAGGCGAGTGTGGTGGATGGGTGGCCAGGTTGACTGGAAGCCGTTCTGAGTTCATTGAGCAATTTATTGAAGTGTTTATGTTGCGACTTCAAGACGGAGTAAGTCAGAAGATGGCTTCGACGGGACATGAGGCGTACTGCAGACATATTTGATTCAAAACGACAATCTATCTCTTGTGGCGTAAGGACTACCACCGCGCTGATCAGTTACGAGTGACCCCAATGTCGACGTCAATGTTGCCACTCACTAGTCTCGACCAGAACAGGGAGCGCGATTCTGCGCCCGGTTCCCTTGTCCTTCAACACACCTATCTTGGCCTCCACCTCCACCTGACCCTGCAAGTCCGGCGCGCGAGTCATAATCATATGATGTACGAAGTCGGCCACTTCACGAATGAACTCATCCAACGGTTCCACTCCGAGGATGGATACGGACAACGGCGGCAATGACATCGAGGTGTGTCCGTTTCCGTTGGGTCTGTCGGGGGAGGGCGAAGTGCGCAGGCGTTTTTGTGGTCGTTGATATTCGGCTTCCTGTTCTGAACCAGAGGCGTAGCGTGCTCGATCTCTGGTATTCATGTCGAACAAATGATAAAAGGCGCGTACAGATCGTGGATGAGAGATGGTGGCGGAAGACTTGCTTTTGGACTGCTACTTCAGGAAAGCCGAGTTAACTTGATCACCGTAACTGTATCTGACACGTGGCGTCCAACTTATTCGAGAATCAGTTCAGGTTCGGGCTTCGAGGCAATGCGTGAAAACGCAAGGCAACATAGGGAAGCAGATTAATAGCCGCATGGTATGTACCCAGACTCGCGATCACGATCACGTCCGAGGAGATTCCAAGGCCGGACTGCTGGTGCTGGCATGGTCGTGCCCATGCTCCAAGACAGAACCGATAAAATACGGTATAAACATGCCCAATAAGATGAAAATGATCCGAGACTTTTTCCCCTCTTCTTCCGCAGACACCCCAGGTAACGCGTGGTGGGAGACAGGTTGTAGAACAGTGGCAACGTATAGAAAGCTTCCACCCTGCAGACAATTTACATTCGAAGTTTTATTGATGAAGATAGAAGAAGCTCACCGAAATGAGGAGAGCAATGCCAACGTTGTGGGCTTGACTGATTCCCAGAAACGCGAACGCGCTGTAAGCGACGACTGCCCCTACAGGCGTGGAACAACTGAAGACAAAAAGATGCTTCTTGCATTCCACGCGAGGCAGTGAAGTCGAAAGCAAAGTTGTAGAGTATGCAAGAGCGGTGGGCGCTATGTCCATAACGTCAATCAGGGTCCCTGCCAAAATTTATCATAGTTGACACTAGCCTTTATGAATCGCAAGCGCTAGAAAGACCAAGAACGACAGATCAGAAGAGACCGATGAATCGCCTGACGACACTGCTGAGACGCCGAGAGCGAGCCCATCTGCTAAACCATGTATGACTAGTCCAATGGTGAGCGGATACGCGGGCTGCTTGGTATCGCTCTCAACGGTGCCGCGACGAGGCGAAACATCGCGAGAACGACTCGGGATACCTTGTTCATTCTCGAGCTCGCCCAGTTCAACATCGAAGGACACATCATCTACGACGTGTCGTGGCTTCAAAGACTGGTCGCTCGGTGCCTCATGCACGTGGGACGATCCGAGCTGCTCCACGACGAGCATGAGCGAAAACCCAGCAAGGAGCGAAAGCGCTATGGTGCCCGTAGGTAGCTGAGAGCTCGACTCCGCCAAAACTTCTATGCCTCTACGATTTCCGCAGTAATTTGAACGCGTCATGCACACCGATGCTGATACCTTCGACGTACTCTGGAATTATGACGCCTAGTGCGGTTCCAAGTAGAAGGCCAGTCCCAAGACTTGACAACCGAGACAAATGTTTTCCTATCATTATCAATCAGATGCCTGGCGCAACTGGAACCGCAAACACGTACTGGAATAGGAGAATGACAATGGCAGCATCCCAACACCAAACGAGGTCAGAGCTAGGAGGCCAGACATAGCCAGCAATGCTAAGAATGCGCTCATGATGCCTTGATGTTGGAGGTATACGGCGGGCGTGGTTCAACGTCGCCTTGCAGCTGACGAAGGAGTGTCGTATTCGAAGCGTTCGTCGGCCTAACACGAATTTGTTGAGACAGACATCAATGGACGGGGCTGGACGGCGGCCTTCAAGGTACGACAACGGGCAACGCGGCTCCGATGCAGATCTGCATGGCGGTGCTGGCCATACTGCGCACGCAATCAGATAAGATGCAGAACACAGCGCTCATCGCTCTCTCATCGCTATGAGGCATCGGTACAAAAGCAAGCAGCTCTTTGAAGAGCCCTCCACGAATCAAAGGAAAAGTAAGAGGACCCAAGACTACAGAATTCACCGGCATATCTCAAATTCCATGTTTATACAGAGAAATCGACTAGATCCACCATATCGCCTTTGAACGGACAATGCACTCATTCAAGGTCTATCGACCGTCAGCTCTCAAATGTCTACGAGAGACCGAGGCACGCACAGATTTGTCGGGGCCAAAAGCGTCCCTTCAAACGGCCGCAACCAAACGCGTAGACGAGATATCCACCGCCTTCATACCCTTCTCCAGCTCCTCCAACCTTCGCTTCTCCTCCTCCAACATCTTCGCCTGTATCCTCAGCCTATTCGGCACGATGCGCCTCCGCGGGGACGCGATCTCGAACGCAAGCCTATCGACCCCGAGCGCCCTCAACGTTTTCCTCTCCACCAAGCTGTAGTCGTCCGGGTTCTGCCTGTGGAACTGGAACGGCTCCCGGAGCGCGACGGGCGGGTTCGTGATCACGCGCGGGACGCGCAGGTGGTTCTTCGATGCCGAATGCAGCATGAGCGGGTGGAGCAGCACGACGTCACCGACGTCGCCCGTGAGCTCGACGAATGTGCTGCACGTCTGGACTGCCTTGAGGTGCGACCAGTAGCCGGGGTCGTCCGCGGGGTCGGCGTACGTGGAGTCCGCCGGCGTGAAGGAGAGCGGCGTCGGGCGGACGCCCTCGGGGTGCGCGGCAAGGTGGCGGGCGATCTTGTCGAGCCCGTCGGTGCAGATGTACGTGCCGCCCCCGCGCGGCTTGATCGCGGAGAAAATGGGAATCACCAGCAGAGCCTGCTCGGGCGAGTCGAGGAAATGCACCTGCGTGATTCTGCTTAGCGACGTCCGCCCGCTCGAGAGAATGGTAGCAACGGGCAGGCGCGTACGAAGAAATCGCCGTCGACGTGCCAGATCCCCAGGTCCTTCGGATCGACGCCCTTATCGTCGCCCTCGAGCTCGTCCGTGCCGAGATTGACGATGAACGAGTCGCCCCACGCGCTGGACTCTTCGTCGATGCGCTCCTCGCCGCCCAACAGTTCTTTCATGGCCCCCCACGCCTGATCTACACATAAGCCAGAACCGGCGCCCTCCAAGAAGGGGGGAAGCTTACTTTGGGCGCAAACGACGCGACGGTCTCTCGTCTGTGCGCCGGCATGTGGATGCGCTCCCTGTCCCAGGTAGACTTGTCGTCCGGGTCCATGCCCAGTCGGGCCCAGATATCCTTCGTCCACTCGGCGGCCTTCTGAGGCGTGAAGGCGCCCTTGATAACGATGTACCCGTGCTCCAGGAAATGGTCCACTTGCTCCTCTGTCCAGTTCCGTATCGAAGGCGGCCGAATCGCGACAGCATTAGCGTATCCGTATTCGCGAAGCATCCAGGTGAAAGGTGTTTACGCGTGAGATGCTCATACTTTGCGCCCATGATGGCTGCGTCTGACGAGCGTTTGCAGAGATATTACGCTAAAGTTCGAACTGGACGGGTGCAGAACAGGATCGTGAGTGCGCCCGACGTGCAAACCTCTATGATTATATGGCCATGCGGTGGAAGCTCGGGGAGCCATAACTTGTCTGGGCCCGTTGTGCGCAGTCAGCTGGCCCGTTTTCCCCACACCAGTGCTAAGAATAATCCGTGCGTCGTCGACATTGGGAAACGCGGAGCCCCTACGATCACCTGGGAGGGGCAAACCTGGGTGCTCTGAGGAATTCCCTCGAGATCGCACGCGAATCGCCTCTGAATCCTAATCTGAGCGCGAGCACCTGCCGCTGCGCCACTCCGAGGAATTACTCAGGCTAAGGCACGGTTGGCGTCTCGACGATGAGCCGAAGGCAAGATCGTCCGTCACGTATTCTGCCCACGGGCGGAGACGGGCAGCCATGGGTGCCTGTGCGTAGGGCGCCCAGACGAGTCAAAATAGATCAGTAATGGATCCCATCCACCAAGATCGGACCCTCTCTGCAAAGCGTTAGATCACTGTTAGATCTCAGGGTGACAGCACGAAGGAGACACCCAAAGTCCGAATCAGAGCGGCGGAGATGCGACGAGAGGCTAAGCGGTCATAGGACATCTCGGGGCGCGCTGCCTGGACGATCGGGCTAAGACAAGACGGAGGGCGCACGCGGGCTTCCGCATCTGTTGATCAGTCGGAGAGGGTGCAGCTGCATGCGGTGATGGTTTTGGAATAGATTTGGATTCGGCGGCATACGTATCGTACATACATGGATTGACACACGAGCGGCAGACCTGTATGTGGATCAACGAAGCTCGTGTCATGGGAGCGGTTGTGCGACAGGCGTCGGCGAAGCACTTACAGCGGCAGATGCGGAAAGCAGTTATATGTACAAGACTGAGGCGCACGGATTCAGCTGGCCGCGATGATAAACTCGTCATCGAACGGGTCCTGGATGACTGCACGAGAGAGCGGGCAACGCAAGTGAGTAGGCGAGACGGCGGCGAGACGGCGTGCTTGATGAGAGCGAAAGAGAGAGGAGGAGGGAGAGAGGACGTGAAAGACGCACTCTTCTTCAACGCCTCGGACAGCTGCCCATCGATGAAGTCCTCCTTCTGCCTGCTCTCGGACACCTTGCCCTCAACCCAGTCCGACACAAACGCGTGCTTCTTCGAGCCACCGAGGTTCTCTTTCCGCCTGGACTTCGAGTCGCGCGCGCTGGTGGAGTGCCCAGCGCCGCTCGGGAGACGGCGCTTGGTCGCGGCGGAGGCGCGGGCGAAGATGGCGTGCGTCTGTGAGCCCACGGCGGGACCGATGGAGATGTTGGGGATGTTGGCGGTCTCTTCTCCCGGCTGTGTGTCGGAGGACGCAGAGGAGGCGGGAGAGTCTGGTTCGATGGGCGAGTTCATGATGGACGTGGAGTGCACGCAGCCGGGTGGCGCCAAACCAGCCGCCGCGCCTCGAGCCTCGACTCCGTCCCAGCCTTCCGATTCTTCCCTTCCGTCCCAACTCCTTGTCCTCAACCACCCGCATGACCTCCACGACACTCTGAACGCCCTGCCCCCTTGCACTACAACGCACACACAACGCCGCCTCCTAACTTATTTTCTTTGCGCCCGCCATGTCCGCCATACCCAGAAGCAGGCTCCCCATGCGCATCATCGCGCTCCCCCTCACGAGCGCAGTTCGCGGACAGAAGCGCGCGCGCGCGTCCGACACCCCCGAACCCCTGATTTACTTCCATTTCCAGCAGCCGCCGCCTTCAAAAGACCGCAAGGCGAACTTGCTGGGCAGGGTCACAGGCAAAGCCGCAGAGGTCTGGGCCGGCTTCGGGCAGGCGCCAGAGAACACCTGGAAGGTCAGTCGACACCACGGCCACACCTCGCTTCGCGCCCTCGCTCGCTCGCAACACTGCCTCTTCGCGAACGCTCGTGTAGAATGTCTCGAAGGCTGCGTCGCGCGACGCGCCTCCGTCTGTGCCGTGATTAAAACGCGTCTTCTGACCACATGACATGCTTAGTTCAAGGTATTCCGGTATGGGGAGCGATTGGTCGACCGAATGGACTTTGAAGAGCTCGCGCTCAACGGACTGGACCCCTCCATGGGCCCGAAGCTCTCCGAACTGACGAAGAGCGGTGATGAAGAGAAACCCATCTCGGTGAGAGCCTGAGCCGACGGTCTCGCAGTGCCAACGTACCCACATCCCACTCCTCACCGCAGATCCCGCTCATACATCCTAAATTGCTGGGGACGTCGCCCCTGGCGCACATAGAAAAGCTGGTGGCGAAGCGGACACCGCGCCACCGCAGAGGATTTTACATGTGGATGCTGTTAGCACCGCTCACCACGCCGTTCATGATCATCCGTGCGTCCACCCGCCGTCTCCCCGTGTAGCCCGCCCGACAGCCCGCTCAACCTCGTCCGCAGCCGTGGTACCGAACCTACCCTTCTTTTTCTGCGTCTGGCGATCCTGGTCGCACTACAGAGGTGAGCTCGGCTTCGCGCGCGCATGAGAACTCATCCAAGACGTCTGATCGACGCCGCAGCCTACCAGGCGTCGGGCTACCTAGAGTCGCTCCTTCGAGAAGGCGCCATCGTGCCTCACTCGAGCCCTCATCTCGATGAAATATACGCTGCGCACCCGCCACCGCTTCGCTCGACGGCAGGCGAGGCCCGCGAATCGCCTTCCCACGACCCCATGCCCGAGTCCGAGACCGACCCTGCTCACCAATCGCGCCCCGCCAGTGGGGCCGCGCGCGCGGGTGGTGGTGGTGGCGGCGGCGGCGGCGGCGGCGACACGACCGCTCAGGTGATCCTCGCGCGCGAGGCTGTGCCGCCGATCCTGTCCCTGTTCGATCTGCCGCCATCTGCGGCGTCGGACATGCACCGCGCCATCGAACAGGCGGGCGTTCGCCTGCGCCGGGGGGTGTACAAATGAATCCGAGACCGGGAGCGGGCGTGCTCGGGTGAAGACTCCGACGCCGTGCAACCAGTGCCTCGATCGCGAGTCGGACATTCAAACGCTGCGTGTGGTGAGACATGGACAAGGCGTACAAGGCGTTGGGCACTCGCGACTCGTGGAAGGAGTAAAATATTCATTCACTCATTGGACGGGTGTCCTCTATCATGCGATGTCGATCACACAGAGGGTTCGCGCCATAATGCATGCCATGCCTGATCAGCGTGTTCTCGGCTCGACGCGGTTCTGATTGACAGTCGGTGTTCGAAGAAGCGCTGTGAGATGAAAATCGGTCGAGTGCTGCCCCGCGCGAGAATTTGATACGCGGCCTGGCGAGGCGACACCGGTCAGGTCATCGGGGTTGCAGATTTGGGAGCCTCGAGGCGCGGGACGCACAGAGGCTGGTCGCGAGTTGTGACCGCAGCGCGGAGCCCCTATCGGTGTCCGCCTCGGAGTAGGTGGAGGAGATCGGCGGGGGTGCGCATGTGGAGGCTGGGGGAAAGATGAGGCGCGGGCGGACAGGACGAGCGGGGTGGGTCGAGTGGTGTCGGACTATTAGGGCGGGTTCTGTTCGCGGGACTCGGGTGCGGGGATCGGACGGCTGGGGGCTGACGTGGGCGGCGAAGGGAAAGTAACGCGAGCGGTGGCGGTCGAAGGCTGATCTGGAAAACATCGGGATCGCGAATCTCGGGAACGCCCAGTGCGCTCCGTGTGCAGCATGTGCCGGTCGCAGGGCTCGGGCGGGGACTGGGCAGGGTTGCGTCCTCGGGATCGTGTGGCTGTTCGGTCGGTGCGACGGGTCGGGTGGGGCGGGGCGGGGACCGGCGATGGGCGGCGGGCGGCGGGCGGCGGGCGAGATGGCGAGTTGGGGTCTGTTGAGGTCTGTTGAGGTCAGAGGGCGCTGCCGGCGGCCAAGTAACGCTGGAGCGAGCCAAGTTACCATAAGTAGTGCAGTGGACGGAAGCAAATATATATAATATTATTCGTCGGCCGAGGTGGTGGAGATAAGGTTCGGCGATCGATCTGCAAGAGGGATGGCCCATGGCCTGGAGCCAGCCGCCACCGAGTCATTTCCCTGGGTACTTATTGTATCAGCATGCACCCTTGTGCGGCGCAGACTCGACGGGGGCAGAGATCCGTCAAAGAGGGGGGGCGATCCAGGGTGACCTCGTCTGTGCCCCCGCGCTGCAAGTATGTTCCGAAGGGGGGGGGGATGGTCAGGGACGGGGTGGAAAAGAGGCGAGCCGAGGGAGCGGGGACGGCTAGCGTCGCAGTGCTTAGGTTATGGACGCACGGGCATAAAGACAGCCGCCGTGGCCCGCTGGCCGTCGAGGAAAATGCCCCTATTTTGAGCGCACGGGCTGCAGCGCACTGACAGTTTCCGAGCCCTGCTGTCGCTCTTTCCTCCACCCGCATTCATCCATCGCAATCGGGCCCATGTCCTCGCCCAGTCCCCGTCACAGAGCGCGCCCCCAGTGCCCTCCCCAGCACATCTTCCACCGCGTGTACGACGACATGGAACCCCACGATCATCCCCCGCCCCCCCTTCAGGCAAGTCACGCTCCCACTCCCCCCCACCTCTCGCTCTCGCTCTCTCTCATCATGCATCATGCGCTTCCCCATCCTCCTCCCCCTCCTCCTCCCTCCACAGCCCCCCAGCGCCTCCCTCATCCACATCCTGCCCGTTGAGCTCCTCACCCGCATCTTCTGTCTCGGCTACGAGCACGTCGTCGATCCAGATCGCCCCTTCAAGCGCCGCCCCCGCGAGCACGGCACAAACTTCGAGGTCCTCGTCTCCCACGTCTGCCACCACTGGCGCACCATCGCCCTCCAGACGCCCTCCCTCTGGACCAGCATCCGCATGCGCAAGCCCGTCCACCTCGAGCGCAGCCAGCAGTTCATCCTCCGCTCCCGCTCCCGCCCCCTCGACATCTTCATCGACACCGTCTCCCTCCCCGACCACGTCCCCGGCCACACCCTCTCCCGCACGGAGTTCCACCCCGCCTTCGACGTCGTCGACCCCCACTCCGCCCGCTGGCGCTCCCTCATCCTCAAGGTCTCCGACCTCGTCTGCAAGGCCGGCGCCCGCGACCGCCTCCACGCGACCGGCCCCGTCCCCAACCTCGAGAGCGTGCAGCTCTGGCACCTCGAAAAGTGGGACTCGCTCCAGAACCTCGCAGCCCAGACCGCCAGGGCCCCCGTCCCCGTCCTCTGCAGCGACGCGACCGCCATAAAAGACCTCTCCCTCGTCGGCGTCAACCTCGCCTGGGCCCTCCACGCGACGCCCTACCTCGCCGGCCTCCGCTCCCTCGAGCTCAAGCTCCACGCCGAGCCCACCCGCCCCACCTGCGACCAGTGGGAGGCCATCCTCCGCGCCTCCCCCGACCTCGAGCGCCTCGCCCTGCACTACAGCGGCCCGCGCGAGGACGTCCAGTGGTCCACCGACCCGATCCCCCTCCCGCGCCTCGCCGAGCTCTCCATCCACGACCTCGACCCGGACATGCTCTGCCTCATCATGCGCAACATGGCCGTCCCCGCGCTGCGCGCGCTCGAGCTCGAGCTCACGCAGCAGGACGACACGGACTTTTCCGCGTTCATGGGCGCCCTCGTCGACGACGGCGTCCCGCACGTCCCCGAACTGCGCCACCTCCGCGTCGCCGCCCTCGACTGCTCGACCCAGTCCTGGCACACGTTCCTCAAGTCCGTCCCGAAGCTCACCCACCTCGAGATCGACTTTCGGCGCATGCAGGACGAGCTCTTTCACACGCTCTCGCTCACAGACGCGCACGCGTGCAACGGCAACCCCAGCGCCCTTTCCATCCACAGCGAACCACCGGCAGAGGCGGACTCTGCTCCCGCCCCCGAGTCCCAGGACCCCGGAAAAGAGACGCAGTCGCGGGCGGACTACGTTCTGCTGCCCGCGCTTGAGACGCTCAAGATCGCGGGCCTGTCCGGCGACTACATCAGGGACTTTCTCGAGTTCCGCGCGGTGAACGGCCGCCCCATCGCGCACGTCCTGCTGCACAGATACGCGCGCGACGAGGACACGGACGCGCTGCGCGAGAACCAGAACAGCCATGTCGACTACTTTCTGTACTCGGACGAAGACGACGACGGCGAGGACGACGACGCGCTGACGGAGTTTGACGAGGAGGGAGAAGATCCGTACGGAGAAGAGGAAGCGGGGGAGGACGGGGAAGAGGAAGAGGAAGAAGAAGAAGCAGCAGCAGTTCAAGCCCCACCGGCCTCGAGCACGCCGTGACTGCGACTCGCGACTCGCGCTCCTGGGCGAACACACGAACCATCATCTCACGCGACGACGTTGACGAATGACTTTACGATAGCCGTATTTCGATGTATCATATTTTCCGCCGCTGCGGTCCCGTTTCTTGTCGCGACGATCTATGGGCTTGTTACGAGCAGCATGTAGCGTATTCGTCCCCGCCTGTGTCACCGCCGGCTCTTCGACTCGACTACCCCACCCAACCATCCTATATACCCAGGCAGAGATCAGCAGCCCGCATGTGTATCTTTTCTTTTCTTTTGTGCTTAGTTCCTACCCCCCCACCACCCTCATTCCACATCCAATTTCCCGCAACCGCCCGGCGAGCACTTGACACACCGATCTTTACATGGCTAGTGAGTACAGTACAGTACGTGACAGACAGACAGACAAGCAATGTTGTTGAACGTCGTGTTTGGCCAATTGATGCAGAAGCGGTCTGGCCGATCACGATTCACGATTGGGTGTGCGTTGTGGGCGCGGTGTCCAGAAGAAGCCGCGCTCGCTTCACAGCGAGGATCGGCGTTCGCAGATAGAAGGGCTTCGGACTTCCGCGCCGCGACCACGTGGCCTCGCGCGGACGGACGGGCGTACGGCGGCCGTGCGCGCGCGCTTGCCATCGGCGTCGGCTGCTGCTGCGTGCACCGCCATCACAGCTCTCCCCCTCGCTCCTCGCTCCTCCGCCACCCCACTCCACAGCACACAGCCTGCGCGCAACGACGCCGCGCGATGGCCATCCCCCTGTTTTCAGCCTTTGCGGGCGACCCGCACACGCGCCACTGGCTCCTCGTCGTGCGTTCCTGCACGCGCATGCGATGACCGTGCCGCGACTGACAAACGACGCCGCGTCGCAGGTGCTCTATCCGCTGCTGTGGGCGTCCGACGCGGGCCTGCAGCGGCACCGCGCGGAGGACAGCGGGCTCGGCGCGGGCGCCCCGCTCGACCTCGCGCTCGTCGAGGGCCTCAAGCTCGCGCTTGCGCTCGCGGAGGTGTGGCGGCGCGGGGGCCGCGCGCGGGGTGCCGCGGGCCGCGAGAGGGACGGGAGTCTGGAGGAGGCGCAGCCGTTGAGGGACCTTGGTGGGGAGGAGAGCGACGACGTGCTCGTGGTGGGAGGAGGAGGGGCCGGTCTGGGGCGCGGAGGGGACGTGGGTGGGGAGGGGCTGCGCGCGGGGACGTGGGTGTCGATGGTGGTGATCGCGTGGGCGGCGGCGCTGTGGGCGGCGCAGACTTACCTCGTGCGCGTCTCCCTGCTCTCCGAGCCCCGGCCTTGGCGATATGAACTGAACCCGCGTCTTTGCTTCTCGATGGGCGCAGTTTGCGATCGCGCTGCGGCTTTTTGATGCGGTCACGGTGCATGTCGCCGTCGCGTGCTCGACGGCGCTGACGCTGTATGGGCTGTATGCGTTCGCGGCGCGCCCGGCGACGGCGCTGCAGTGTCAGGGTGTCGCGTTGCAGGTGAGCTCTCAACGTGGTCAGTGTGGATACGGGGTGACCGAGTGTGTAGCTCGCTGGATTGCTCATCGTAGGGGTACGTCCCGCCAGTCCAGAGTAGATGTCCATAGCTCACCCGGCGCTAAAGAACGGATTGTCGATCTCCAACCCCATGTCCGATGCGTGGTTCATTCTGGTTTCCCTTGCCGTGTTCACGGCGCTCACGGTCGTCTATCTCAACTTTGTGAGTCCGTCCGCGTCGCGCCGCGCTCGTCGTGCCCCGTTGCTCATCGTGCGTCAGATCTACCGCCTGCATGATATCGCGGCTTTGAACAGCATCAATATCACCCTGTTCGCCTCTGGACTTGTTATTCACTCGGCGATCACTGTGCTGCAACTGGCGTCTCCGTCTTCGTTTATGCTGCCGCACCCTTCTCGGTTTGAGTTCTCGCTCCATCACATCGCGATGCTCCTAGTCCGCGCCGGGCTCGACTGGTCTGCGCTCTCGCTCATATACCGTTTGTGTCCCCTTTCCTGCCGTCGAAGACGTGTTACTGAATTCGATGCGGTGCGTACGCAGAGTACGACGCGGTCTTCGAGCGCGTGCTCGCCGCGTTCGGGCTGGCGCTCCTGTTTTTGATGACCTCCCTCTTCACGATGACGCCCTCCGCCGGGCTCCTCTTCGGCTGCGGCGTCGCATCGTGGGCCTCAGTCCTATACGTCCTCCGCGAATCCGACGCCGAAGACGACACGCACACACAGGTCCGTCCACCGCCCTCCCTCCCCCGCGCATTCCTACACCGTTTCTCCTCACATCGGGAACAACAGGACCGAGCGCCGCACGGCCGCGCGCGGCGCATCGTCGGCGGCGCGGTCTTCGCCGCGCTGATACTGAGCTCCGCGTACGGGACGTCGCAGATCACGTCGACGCCGTCGATCCGCCCGCTCTCCGTCGCAGACGTCATCGCCGCGCCGCCGCAGCCCGCCTGCGCGCGCAGGCCGCTCGCGTTCGCGCCGCTCCACTCGCCGGACGCGCGCGCGTACCGCGAGTTCGACGACGTGCTGCTCGTCGTGTTCTTCAGCCACGCGCGGTACGACGTGAACCTGGACTACTACCGCGCGGTGTATGCGGAGTATTTTCCGAACGTCAGTCCCCCTCGCTCGAGTCGCACGTCGGACTGCGATCCTGATATTTTATTGCGCGTGCGTGCATAGATGCTGTTTATCGGCCCTGGGAGCCGCGAGGACGCGGGGTTCAGGCACTCCTATGACGTGCTCGTGGACTCGTACGAATCCGACGAGGATCTGTCCGATCCTGGCTTCTACAAGATGGCCGGCCGCGTACGTCCTCCCCACCCCCCACCACCCGCTCTCTTCCCAGCACGTTCCTGACCCAAACGCGGATGGACGCAGATGGCGCACCACATGCTGTACACCGCGCTGCAGGAGCACCCGTGCTACGCCGGCTACCTCTGGGCGCCGTTCGACACCTTGCTCAACGTCCCGCGTCTGCAGCAGTTCGACCAAAACCTGTTCTGGTACCACTCGCCGTTCGCGCGGTACGTGCCGAACGCCGCGCTCGGCTCGGAGGAGGCGAACGCGGAGAGGGGCCGCCACGCGCCGCCTGCGAATATCTCGCCGGATCCGTATCTGAATCTGACCGAGGGCTGGAGGGGGTGGGGCCCGGATTGGTGGTGAGCGCGGATTTTTTTTTTTTTTTTGAATTTGACTGCCGATCATGACGTTCGTTTTGTGTCGCTGTGCGTGTAGGTGGGGGTAGGTCGCTCGCATTTCGAGGAAACCAAGGCTTTTTTGCTGACCGACCTGCGCGACCCCAGCGATCCGCACGTCGGCGTGTCCGTGTGCATGCGCGCGTTCGAAAAGGTGCCGGAGGCGCAGCGCGCGCGGCTCGCGGCGTACATGAACGACACGACGCGGCTCGTCGGCGGGTCCGCGGACACGATGTACATCCCGGGGCGCCATCGCGCGCGCTTTGCGGACACGCTCGGGCTGTTCCTCGAGACAGACTGTTTCCTGGAGATCGCGACGCCGACGGCGCTCCACCTCGTCGTCCCGCCCGACGAGGACATCCTCTTCGTCGACCATGTACGCGCGCCGTTTCTCGCCCTCCTCGTGTGCGGTGAGCTGGGCTGAGCTGACTGCTTTCTGCCCACGCGACGCAGTGGTGGATCTGGGAGCCGCCGCTGAACGCGACGTTCGTGCGCCAGAAGTGGGCGCAGGGGATGGAGGTGGACACGTTCCACACCTTCCACTGGGGCGACAAGGACGAGTCTGGTGAGTGGCGGGGCAACCCCGCGCACATCACAGACGTGCGCCGGCTGCTGCAGGAGTCTGCGGCGAGGCAGGAGATCGCGTTTCCCGGGCCCAGCTCGACGACGTGACCTCCGATCGGGCTCGCCGTCAAAATCATCCTATCGTCGGACTGGAGAAGTTGATGTGCTCCTATATGCGCGCGGAGGACTTCGCGACATAGAAAAAAATATCATACAAGCCTCGTAACTACTGCATTGCTTATTCTACAGCGTTTCGAACTGCCCGGGCCAGTACATCGGGCCGCCTCTGTTCTCCTTGTACCACTCCGTATCATGCGCGAGCAAGACCCTCACGCGCTCCAACTTCAGCAACTCCCGTATCCTCGCAATATGCTCCTCCGCGGCAGCCTTGTCCTTGTGCGCGCAGACCACCACACCCAGCTCGCGATCGACTCGCTCCACGATGCCCGCCTCCCCCGCCACGATCCGCCAGTCGTGCGCAGAGTCTCCCGCGAGGTAGACCCACCCGCCGTCCGGCGACGTCCGCACCAGCGCGTTAACGTGCCCGGGGAGGTGCCCGGGCGCGTCGACGATATACACGCTCCCGTCGCCGAAATAGTCGAGCGCGCGCGGGAACGGGCCGACGGGCCGCCACTCGGGGCCTGTGGGGTCGAGGAACGCAGTGCGCGCGGAAGGGAGGAGGTCGGCGGCGAACAGCGCGTCCGGGTCGTGTGGGTACCCGGTCTGCAGCAGCGTGCGCGCGCCGGCGCCGACGAGGAAAGTGGCGTTGGAGAAGGGCCGGGGGTCGCCGGCGTGGTCCCAGTGGACGTGGGAAAGGCAGACGTGCGTGACGGCGGTGGGCGCGAGGCCGCCGTTTTGCAGCGACTCGGCGGCGTCGGTGGTCATTGTCAGTGGCTGGAAGAGCGATATGCGGCGAATGACCGCCGGGGGATAGTTGTGATGGTCCTTGCGGTATCCGAGGTCAAAAAGAAGGACGTGCTCGGATGCGGAGTGGCGTAGGAGGAAACAGAGCGCCGGGACGACGAGCTTATCTTCGTCTGGGGGGCACGGGTCGAGGAAGAGGTGGGAGGGGAGTGAGAGCTCGCCCGCGTCGACCGCAGATACGTTAAAGAACGCCTGGTTTGAAAGAGAGGTGGGAAGGCTGGCGGTCATCGGTGCGATATGATGTATCGTCTGGACGCTACGTGCTTTGGCTGGATATATATACTTCCTCATTTACGTCCCTCCCACACATGCAACCAGGTGATGTCCAAGTACGGGAAACCATTACTAAGTTCTGACAGGACGACGCAGTCTTTCAGATGAAGCATTCGCTGGCTCATTCTAGGCGACGAGCTTCACATTGCTGAGAGCTGAAGTCCATGTTCGGGAACTCAGCCTCGATATATGCCTTTGCTGATCAGGGAACGATGAACGCTGAAGCCGCATAGACGACAGCCAACGAAAAAGGGTATCTTTGAGCCCATCGAAAGCAATCACAGGGTTTTTTTGAACCACGCTGCTGTCTGTTCAAGAGCTCCCTCGTATGCTGCCTTGATCTCGGGGAGTTCCTGATTAGGTCGTACAGCGAACCCATGGGCCGTTCCTGCATCGTGAACAGGTAAGTCTATGTGCAAGGGCTCCCAATCAGTTTTTCGCGAGACGACGAACTTTTCCAGTCTTTGAATTCATAGTCCACGAAGGTGTCCTTTCCTTTGCGTCCGGCCAAAATGGCTTCGGCTTGAAGACGAACTTTTGGGCCAAACACCATGTCGTCTAGAGAGATATGTTGTCGTGAGCACGCAATTTCGAAGAGGTGATGGCATGAATTTACCTTCAGCGCATACCCAGGAAGTAGGAATCTTGGGCGTAGCCCCAGCAATGAGTAAACACATAGACCGAGGACGACACGAGCGAATGTACCTTTATGGCACTGATTTGGCTTTCGGTGCTGCGACCCGGATGACAGATAACTGCGCTTTCAATGAGAGTGGTCGAAGCCAACCGGATGGCTATCGAACCGCCGAAACAGTAGCTGCACAAAACTGCTTGAGTTCAAGAAATGACGATAATATAAAGAGACGATAAATACCCAACGACGCCGATTTTGTCATACTTTTTCTTCTCCTTCACTTTGTCGATGAACTATGGAATGAAGAGAAGTAGCGAGGCATGATGAGCATATGTTCACGGAGAATGGCCATAGTCAACACACCGATTTCACTCTGGAATCCACCACTGAGTCTCTGTTGGCCCACAACTGCGGTATACGTCTCAACAAGAGCCAGACCAGACGTAGTTTACTGCCCCAGGACATTGTGACCCCAGCTCTGTCGGCTGTCAAGGGCTCCAACTCTTCCACCGTAGCGATAGGTGCGCCTAAGGATGGCCGATATGATCTCTCAATACACGAATCGAACGCATGAAGAAATATAAACACACACCATCGAAGACGTCGGGAACCCAAACATCGACGCCTACTTTCTCCGAGAGCAGGTCTGCTATGATACGAGGGTTTTTGATAGCCAAGCCAAAGATATCCGTTAAGAGGATGATGGCGTGTTTCGATGCGTCCGTTCCCGATGAAGATGTAGGTGCAGAGCAATAGTATGCCGTGCCGATCATCGAGCCCGTGGGGTCTCCGGGAAGGATGTATCCTTTGAAGCAGTTTTCGCAGCTCATGCTGACGGGTTGCACAGGCTGGCCTGGTGATTCTGTGTGAGGTTGGTACTAGAGGGCTAGTTCAAGTTGTGCGGCTGCTTTTTGAACAGGAGCGACTGGGCATCGCCGACGGCTGCTCCGTCGGGAGAAAGGGAAGTTACCAGGCACCTGCCGTGCGGTGACACGTCGGTCAAAGGCTTGACGGCAATGGTAATTAGGCTCACATGGACGTGATATTTAGGGAAGAGAGGTAGAGGGCTCCGCGACTTCATTGCACAAAGAAGATGTCCTGGGATGTCTGATGTAAGTAGAGTAAACTTGACGCTGAACTCGTCCGCGCCAGGTTGACAGTCCGACAGGCGCCGATCGGATGCCGGGAGTCCTGGCCGCGTGAGAGTAAATCAAACTTCATGACTTGCGTTCAGAATTCTTTGCACTGGGTTTCGGTGTCCCAGATAGCCAGACCCTCACCAGTTTCCTTCGATATGACACAAGATAATTGGTAATTATCAGAGAAATTGAGAGTGCGAACACTGCACCAAAGGCTGTTTTAGGTAACACACGGCGGCAGCCGCCATTACAGTGGGCAGGCTTCAACCTCTTCCTCCAACTCCCAAAGCCAAGAAGCCTTTCACCATGCTTGACCGTTTGATGCGATTGAGAGCCGTTATATGAAGTAGAATTTGCATCATTCAATGACCTTTGTGATATATCTGGCCTGACTGCATGATCATGCTGATTTTGGCTTATTAGAGCTTTGTTTTGTTCAAAATCGGTAATTCAGAAACACAGACGACTGCTGAGCTTAGTTCGCAAGGAAAATGGTATCTACTGGCGCGTTTGAATCGAAGTATAAACCTCACAGTTTTCTCGCAGATTTTGAACCAACGGGCTGGGATAGCGAATCCCTTGTCCCCTGCACATACTACTCACATAGTTTCCTGTCCTTCAATGAGCCATAATACATATTTGTCCCTCGAGCGCTCACCCCTTCGTGCATTTGAGATCAGTTTGGATCGCGTTCGGTTTCATTTTGCGGCAGGCTACACTCAAAGCCGTTGGCACGCCCGATTATATCTGGGCGCATTGAAGCGACTGAAGCACATCATCCAATCGGCAGCGGCGCCATTGCGACGGGCCACTTCCAACGCCTCCAACAACGACCGCCTTGTATCTGTGTACCTTGGAATCACGCTTGACCTCATCGAGAGCCCTCTAGGCTAGAAGTTCATTCTCTTGCATGGGTTTCAACCACGTGGCTGCCCTCTCATAATTTTATCGATGATCTGTTAATCAAGGATCATTAAGGGTACACAACGCTTGGCGATTGACACTCTGCACTTGTTCGAGCTCGTTGAACCCGTTTAAAGGTGTCGCAAAGTATACCCCACTCAACTCGCCTTTCGAAGCTTTTCTTGGACTCGAATGAAAGGACGAGGGTTGCGCTTTCGCTCGAGTTTAGCTGCCGCGCTAATCCAGCACCTCGCGATAGCATGTATCGAAGTGGGCTACGACACAACGGCGGGAAAGGTGCCATGCTGGCTTATGACGTTTTTCTAGATTGTATTTCTGTTCCTGGAATCACTTTGATCGGCGTTACCTTTTGAAGAGTAGCTGGACGAGCGTGCAGGCTGTTTCTCACAAGGAGAAGGCTCTGGACACGCTAAGAGCAATGGCTCCACAGTCAGATGCTGAGTACAATTTGAGATCCCAGCGGGAACACGATTATCGTGATGTGACGGATGCGCAGCTCGCGACAGCGCTTGTTTGCGGAACAAAGAAGACCGAAAGAATATATGGACCTCCATGTGCCTGCGGACGACTGTCCTTAGATGTGTCGCGAGGTTGTTTTTATATCCCCCGGAGCGGCCAGAAGATCCGATTTGGGGAGACGCGAGATATGGCATTATGCCGTTTTCTAATTGAAGTGTGGGGCATCGATACATGTATATTCGAGACCGTATTTGAATTTTATACAACAAGCGACGACGAGGCGGGACCATGGACCTCTCGTAGGAGAAAATAGGAGCATCCTGGAATGGAAGGTCCGGAAGAGTGCGAAAACCAACTGGCGACAAGCGACCTTGGACCGCCGAGAAGTCCCTACCATTGTTTGATCCAAAACCGACGGCATTATTCTGTGCTCAAGGATGGATTTCGGACAAAACAGGAATATCAGTGAATGCATCTCATCAGAAGGATATTTCTTACCGTATTTGCACCCCGACATAGAGACCCCTTGCACGATGCCACGAGGCGGAAAGACACTTTCCGGACATGTGTCCGGACTTCAGGGCGGGCTCTCGCAGACAAATAACAAGATGAGGACAATGGCGGCACCATGCCCTCGGCTTGAAATCAACTGCAACCCACAACGTAAGTGCTTCGGGAAAATACGCAAGGTCGTCGCGGACCCGTGGAATTCCCTCAGAACTCATACGCGGAGGGCACAGCTGACCGGTATATCAAGGTGAAGGGACGCGCCTTCACCCCCCTCACTTGCTCTCGTCCACCATCGCGATAGCACCTTTTGGCTCCCTCTCGCTTCCCCTGCAATATCAAGAGTTATAATTCTCATCACCAACACCCTACACCAGAAGATGCCATGCAACACCTCTGCGTCCGGATCTTGCATCCGAAGTTCGAGCACCTTCGGTGAGGCCTTCGATATATCAGTGGCGATGCATTTGGTCCACTTACATGGGGTTCCTCAAATCATCTACAGATTCGGCCACTGGACTCGCTGGCCCAGAATTCGAGGCGGCTGAACCTCCCACCGATATGTTCTCACAAACTTCAAGTGTGAGTTTGTATCATGCCTTGAGATATCCGCTGTGCCACTCACTTTGTCGATCTCGTACCATACGCAGGTTGACTTCGTTCAGCAACTGCTCCCCGTCCGCCTCGATTCACATGTGAACAGCGCCAGCGCTTTCCCATCCGTCGAGTCTCCTCCCCCGTCCGGCCAGGTATGGGCCGCACCGCTCTACGCCCAACCACCTCCGCGAACGACCTACCTCGGGCCCTCTTCCGTGGTAGAGAAGTACCAGGATCGTGCTGGCCCATCGCGCACCGCACCCCCCCGCATCCCACGGAGAAATCCTCTAGATTTCATCTCTCATTGCTCTTCCCTCACCGGCGCCATGCCGCGCTACGAATCGACGCCGGGCCCGCCACTTCGCTCACCCGAGGTGTTTGAGCCACTTGCATCTCCTGTGGCCCAGAAGACCGAACCGGAAGAGGCAGAGGCAGAGGAGCCGCCACGGAAAAGGGTGAGGGTCTCGGCTTCAGCAGTGGGAGGAAGTGGAGAGCAGGGACGGACTGCGAAGCTTCGGGCAATCTTGCCCAAGCCTCACCACTCGAGGGCAGTGGAATTCAAAGTCGGATGGGAGCCCGTAGTCATCGTACAGGTGAAGGATGCCTTCCAAGCAACTAACAGTACATCAACGACGTCCACCCACCGGGTGGAAACCTCGGTAGGAGAAGCAGTCCCTGAAACTGTACATTAGCTGATTGGAGGGCTTTCCTGATAGCCTGCAGATGGACAGGACGCGGTGCAGGGGAACGAGGCCGCCTGGGACCCTCGACGGTGCCGCCTATGTGGGGAGCTACAATCGCGCAAGGAAGACATGGAGCGCCATCTGAACACCAAACAGCATGGCGGCTCCAGGGTCTCTTGCAACATATGCGGCAAGTTTCTGAGCCGCGATGATGCTCTCAGGCGGCACAAGAAAGATAAACATGGAGTCCCGCTCCCACCGCGCCGGATGCCTACGAGCAGGCAAGCGTGAGGGTCGAGCTCGGTCGAGCTGGAGGTCTCTGAGGATGGGTGGAGGTGCGTACCATCTTCTCTGATCTTATTACATCCCACTCGTTTCCCGTGTCGCCATCGATCTTTGTTGCCCTTCCTTCTTCTTGCCTAACTGGACGGTTCACCCCTATTCACCTGTCTCTTCCTTCGTGTGCTTGCCGCTCGGATCGATGCGGCTCCTGTTGCTTTCGGTGCAGAGACGAGAACGTCCTGACGTTGTTTCTTGCAGGTACCATTATTGTCCGTCCGGCTGCACGTGGTGGGAACGCAAGGGTATGCGCGACTATCAGCGAGGAAGGTCGGCACCGCTTTCCGAGAGGCTGACCCGCGTTCTTGGGTGGATGCTCGTACAGTGCCTACGGGCTCTGCCAATGCGACGCGCGGAGACTAGCATATGCATGCAGCGAGCTAGACCGACATACCGCAACCTTCATCTCTGATTCACATCGGAGTAGTGTTACTTTCGAGTTGTATGAACTTGCATAAGCTCTTGGCTTCAGACTTCTCATACCTGTTTTCCGTGTCGTGAAAAATGTTATATAGCCGCGAATCGGTACAATTGAGCAATGTTTCATGAATTTCCAGAAATTGTTCAGAAATATCCAATATATTACGTGATAGATCTCACACTGCATCTAGCAGTGGCCTGCAGCCCAAACCCGCATCCACACCTCCCTCCCCTTCCTCTATACCACATCTCCTCAAAATTCGGCGGGCGTTACTCGCCTCGCATTGGCCACCTCGGTATGGACAACATTCCTCAACTGGGCACGGCTGCAGATCTGGAGATGCGAGCTGCTCGAATAGCAGATCCTAGCTTAGGTGCGTACTCGCCTTCTGGCTCGCGACTTCGTGCTCATTCTGTTCATCAGATTTGAAAACCAAACATGCTGTGGCTTGCGAGCTACGAGAAATGATTGACACGGTCCGGGATGCTGATGCTGGTCGCGTCTACCCTCACATGATTCCAGTTCTACTCGAGATCCTGCGCTCCAGCGAGATTGCATTCCACAAAGACGCCCCCGAATACCAATTCCGTCGTGTTCTTCTCGAGATTCTCCATCGTGTTACGACCTCTGACGGGACGCGAACGCAGGCCCTTCCCCTTGTAAAGGGCATGTTAGACCTCCTGCGTCGCGACAATGAAGAGAACGGCGTGACTTGTTGCAAAACCATCATCGACATCATACGCGCGTTTCGCATTTTGACAGAAGAATTCGTGGCCGAGTTTGTGTCAATATTGCTGGAGGTATTTCAGAATGTCAAGGGCCTCGTTGTAGAGCTGCTCTCCGAGGATTCTCCTTCGCTCGATACGAACATCGTTTTGCCAAGCATGAAGAGTTTCAAAGTTCTCGCTGAGATGGGTATGGTGCTAGTGACCTTCTCGCAAACACACCGCCAATACGTGTCACCTCTTGTCAAGGGCACGCTCCCACTGACATTCGAGGTGTTAGCCTTGGAAGCCCCGGCACAGAAGAAAGCGCGCGAGGATTTCGAGGCAATGGGTGGATTCTGGGCTGGGATATCTCCAACCATTCGGAACGTGCAAGCCTATACGGATTTTATCACTTCACAGATCAAGGTATGCGCTCATAATTGACAAGACTGCTCTTCGAAAGCGCTTACATATTATAATTAGATGGTGTCTTACCTTGCTTACATCCTTCGAAACTTGGGAGATCAGTACGACGTCTACGGTGACAATTTGTTGCTTTCTTCCTTGCGGTTGCTTCAGGACATCCCGGCAAGTGCCATCGTGGCTAGAAGAGTCCGTCCCGCATGTTCTTCTCGTCTAGTACACCGCTAACGACCTGCATCAGGACTTTCTCGTTGTGTTCAGGCACTTGCTCGGCACGCCTTACCGACGTGCTTTGCTTTCCCAGATCGACAAGCTATTTGACGAGAACGTGCTCTTAGGTTCTAGTGTAGGGAGTAGAGAGACGCTACGGTCGGTCCTTCTAGTTTCCATTAACGTGATCTGGCTGACCTGTTTGAAGTGCGTCCGCATTTGCTGCTGTAGCAGATCTGGTGCACCATTTGCGAAACGACCTCACGCCACGGCAGCTCGCGCACATCATCAATGTGTTCACACGACTCATCCATAATCCCTGTCTATCGAACAACGTGCACACACTGGCAGCAAAGATGCTGTTCAACCTAGTGGAAACCGTAGCCGTGAAGGAAACGCCACAAGAAGCGGCGAGGATCTTGTCAAACCTTCTAGAAACATGCGTGGACAAGCTGGACAGTGTTCTTGGCGTTTTGGAAGAGGTTAACGCGCGATTGGAGAGGAGTAAGAAAGGTACTCCGGAGACGGGGAAGATCTATCTTGTTGAGAAGGCGCGACCAGTGGGAGCCGCCAGCTATGCAGTTGAGAAGCCAGAGGATGTTCTCGCAGGTGAGCAAAAGATTCTAGCATTCCTGTTCGTATGATAACGACAAACCTATCACAGAATCGAGGCTTCTATTTCGCTCGTTCATGCACGGCTTCCGTGCTTGCCTTTCGAGCTTACGAAAGATCGACGCCCCTGTTCCCGATGGAGCTTTGATACTTCGCCTCTTCGATGGTTGTATCCGCTGTATGAGCCTGTACGACACCGATGCGCGCGAAGCATCTGAGTCTATGGACTGGCTTGCGGGTGCTCTTTGCGAGGTCAACATACACATTTTCCAAAACGTGTGGTCGCAGAAAATCGGCATGTTCTTCCTCGCTTCGCAGAAGCGTCCTCCTCTTCTACATATTTGTCAAATCCTGTTCAGTCGGGAAAGCACCTCGCCGACTCTTGTCGCCATTGTCCTTCGTCACCTCGCGGATAATCTCCCACTGCTTGGAGAGTACGACGATACGACCGCGGTTGTCACGATCAGGTTATACAAACTAGCCTTTGGGGCTGTCGCTCTTTACCCTCAGCACAATGAGCCTATCCTCGCGTCACATCTGGCGAAACTCATCATGGAATGCTTCCCCTTAGCTTCTAAGGCGCCCAAACCTACAAACTATTATCACCTGCTCCGTGGTCTCTTCCGTGCGATTGGAGGTGGCGGAGGACGCTTTGAACTCTTGTACAAGGAAGTTCTTCCCTTACTCCCTGAAATGCTCGAGAACCTCAACAAGCAACTGATCCTCTCCGAAGGCTATAGTCGAGAAATGATCGTCGAGCTTTGCCTAACCGTTCCGTTGCGTCTAACACATCTTTTGCCCCACCTATCTTACCTTATGAAGCCACTTGCTCTCGCTCTACGCGGCAGTCCTGATCTCGTCGCCCAAGGGCTGCGCACGCTAGAGCTGTGCATTGACAACCTAACTCCCGACTTCCTCGATCCCACGCTCAATACAGTCCTGAGGGAATTGATGGAAGCGCTTCAAGGCCATTTGAAACCTTTACCCGCTAACCATCACCATGCTCACACGACACTCCGTATATTGGGCAAACTAGGCGGCAGGAATCGTCGTCTGTTGGACAGAGAACCAGAGTTGAAGTTTAATCATCATACGGATCCCGCGAAGGTACTGATCTCGTTCGGTGGCAAGTATGAAGGTTTAGAGCTAGGACCGATGTCCATCTTGGCATTGCGTGCATTGAAGAAGCAATCGCCCTATCGAACCCACGCATACCACTACCTCGAGAACTGCGTGACAATACTGTGGCATGATGTGCGTACATGTATCGACCTTTTTCTTCGGAGTCTTTTCGCTGAAAACGATGTCGAATGCTAGGGTTTACGAGGACGTGACCGGGAGGAGATTTTCATGCGCTGTATGGAAGGCCTTTTCGATGCTATCCATCTCCAGGAAGTGCAGGACCAAGCCGAGACCTATATTCGCCAGCTCGCCCATCACGTATTCACCATGGAGCTTCGGCGGGGTGTCAGCCAGGACGTCGTGTCGCATCGCTGGCCGAGCAGCCTATTTGCTTCTTTCCTTGATGCATTGGCGAATGGACTTGCGCGCGATGTCCCAGCAGAAGCCAAGAAGGCTAGCGAATTCGTCAATTCCATCATCCAGGACCTCATCGCGAGAAATGCCAACCCTGACATCTCGTCTCACGAAATTATACTCACGTTACACCAGATCGCCAGCCGATTCAGTGCATTATGCTTAGATGAGTCATGGACACGCAAAAAGGCAGGGTATACCGGTCTAACCCTTATCCTCAATATCCCCGACTTCGGCATCAAGTGGATCAACGATCGAGAGGTTGATCTCGTTCGCACCTTGCTACATGTTCTAAAGGACATGCCCGACGACTTACCTAACGATATTGAAGATATCCTAGGCATCTTGGTTAGAGTTCTGCGCTTGAGCAACAGCTATCTCATGCAGGGCGAGGGAGTGACCAATCGTAACAAGATCATTCATCTCATGGGTATCTTCTTCACAGAGTTGTCCAACCCGAATGCTATTGTTCGACGCGCCTCAGAGACCTCAATAGATCTCCTTGCGACACTAAGTGGCAAACCGGTGGTGGATTTACTCCTCCCACACCGTGATCGCATGCTCACTGCCATTTACACCAAACCTCTTCGCGCGCTCCCTTTTCCCATGCAAATCGGCATGATCGAGGCCATGCGTTATTGTATCAGCCTCGACCCGCGCCTTCCAGAGTTGAATGATGAATTGCTCCGACTCCTCCATGAGGCTTTAGCATTAGCAGACGCAGATGAGGGCGGGCTCCTTGGGCGTGGAGACGCACGGCGGGCTAGCCGAGACATCATCAAACTACGGGTTGCATGCATCCGACTGTTGACAGCCTCGATGCCCATGACCGACTTCTTTTCAAAACAACATCAGACACGGCAAAAGTGAGTGCATCAATACCATACAAAGCTTGTACTGACAATGTGACAGAGTCACCAGTGTATATTTCAAATCACTGTACTCGCCGTCGAAGGAAGTGAAAGAAGTCGCCCATGAAGGCCTTAGAATGGTTCTCACTCACCAAAGTCGTCTGCCAAAAGAGCTGTTACAGACAGGTCTGCGCCCAATCTTGCTTAACCTTGCTGATCCGAAGCGCCTCACCGTCCCTGGACTGGAAGGACTGGCGAGACTATTAGAACTCTTGACGACATATTTTAAGGTGGAAATTGGTCACAAACTCTTGGAGCATTTTCGCGTTGTCGCCGATCCTCAGGTGCTACAAGCCTCGTCAAGAGTCCCCTTGGCGGATAATGAAGGGATAATGAAACTTGTTCGGCTCGCTAACATTTTTCATCTGCTCCCTTCCACTGCTAACATCTTCTTGGAGAACCTCATCAATGCCATAGTACAGGTAGAAGCTCAGCTTCACTTCTCCAATCCTAGCCCCTTTTCGGAGCCCTTGGGAAAGTATGTAGATCGCTACTACATCGAAGCCACAGAGTTCTTCATGAAACACTTGCACATGCCACGGCATCTGAGAACCTTCCGGAGCGTTTTGCAGGCCCGTATTGCCCCAAATCTACTGCGAGAGCTGTCATCGAGGACGTCTGTGATCATCTCGGGATGTATTCTTGGGGAAAATCGCGGCTTGCTCATGCCGGGTCTTCAACTTTGCTCAGACCTTGCCGATATCAGTCCTACGTGGCTCCTGGATAAAGACAACTATGTCATCGACGCATTGCTCCATGTTTGGCGCTCTGAGATACCCCCTTCTGAAGAGGATGCATCTGCGATCTCTGATGCTGTACACCGACACTCGATCATCCTGTCACTCTTTCAAAAAGCAGTTGAAGCAACACCTCGAGTCGATCTTCTGTTTGAGATCATGACCATATTTACTCGTAATCTGCCTATGGACCTTGTCCGCGTCACACGATTCCTGTACCGTCAAGTGGCGTTCAGCAAAGATATCTTCTACCAGCGAAGTGTTCTCCTCCGTTTCTTGACATGGTTTTCAGATCCTTCCCCTGGCTGGGCGCGCAAGATGCACTTCATCCGTGTGATAATTACACCAATGTTGCTGACTTGTGCTCAATCGACAGCGAAGGAGGGATTGCTTGACGAAGACATGATCACACAAATTCACAGGCGTATATGGCAACCGATGATCGACAATCGAACGTTTGCAGATGCAGATGATACTTTCAACATCGAGCTACTTCACCTTACCACTGTCATCGTTCAGTACTATCCCGATCTACTTGAGGTTGCCCGCAAGGATATCATCAAATGTGCATGGCACTACATCACTAGCGAGGACGTAGTTGTGAAGCAGGTCTCGTATCTTCTCGCTGCCCGCTTTTTTGATACTTTTGAGACCCCCCAAAAGTTCATCCTCAGGGCTTGGACTGGGCTACTCAGGCCACCGCATCATGAGGGAAGGAATCTGGTCCGCCAGGCACTCGACACGTTGGCGCCAGCGTTACCTCGGTCGACAGCGCAAGAATCTGGATATCCTCAATGGGCCAAGACAACCCGACGCTTATTGGCGGAAGAGAGTAGCGGACAATCCCAGATGATGACTGTTTATCAGCTTGTCGTCCGCCAGTCAGCCTTGTTCTATCCCGTTCGCGCACTTTTCATTCCACATATGGTCAATTCCCTTCCGAAACTTGGTTTGCAAGGGTCAGCATCCGGTGAATCACGCCTATTAACCATCGACATCATGCAGACCATTGTGAATTGGGAACAAAAGGCAACAGAAGAACTTTCGTCTTCCAATAGTGTAGGTTCAATCTGGATCACGCCTCTGGGATTCCGTGAAAGTGTCGTCAGCTACTTGGTTCGCCTTGCCACGTCAGCCCACGATGTCCAGTCTCGTAATGCCTTAGTTCCTCGCGCGCTGGCCTTGCTGCGGACAATTGTGGGGCCCAACGGGTGGAGCGACGTCACGGTCAAGCTCAACTATTTCTCTCGCGCTCTCGAGCAGGTGAGGTTCTTTGTGAATCAGTGGGATCGAATCTGACTATACCGCAGACTGAGCTCAGCAGCGATATTGCCATCAGCCAAGCCCTCGGTGCTGCGAAGGTTTTACAGGTAGTCGCGGCCGACAAAGACGATTCCTGGTTCGCTGACACCGATAATGCCGCCATCCTTTCGCGTCTGGTACGCAAGGGAATGGTCGCTGATGACGCGAATCTCCATGACGCACTGCATCCGGTCTTCCATCGGTTGATCAAGCTGTTTCCCCTGCCAAAGGAGGATGAGGATCAGCAAGGTGATATGGCAGACTTCCACAATTTCGTCCATTCTGCGATAGGCGAAGGGTTGCGAAATACCACTGGCTGGCGTGGGACCTTATTGATGTTGAAGTCAGTGGTGGAAACTGTGCCCGAGCGCATCGAGTCCTTCGGCGCCTCTCTGATGAAGCTCCTCAGCAAATTAGCCAAGGAACACCTTCAAGCACAAGCTCCATCGAACAATTATGACCACAATACACGTCTCTTGACGTCAATCCTAGACATCTGCCAGCTCTCGGCCTCATTTCTCGGCGATCAACGAAGGTGGCTCATCCTCACACTCATGACATTGGTTGAAAAATCAAAGAGTCTCTCCCTCTGCAAATACATGCTTGACATAGCTCGTGATTGGGCGTTGCATAGACGCGAGCCATATCCAACAATGAAAGAGAAGGCGTCAGTTCTTCAGAAGATGGCCGCTTTTGAAACTCGTGGTGATGCCTTGTACAGCTCCCACTTGGAGCTAATCTATCAGATTTACACGGAACCTACTCTCCGCCGGAGCGAATTGACCACAAAATTGGAACAATCCTTTTTGCTGGGGTGCCGTGCACGAGACCCTGTCATGAGGGAAAAATTTATAGATCTCCTTGATGTCAGCGTCCCCCGAGCATTGATCAGTCGGTTATCATATATCCTAGGCGTTCAAAGCTGGGAAGCGTTGGCCGATAGCCCTTGGATTTACCTCGCTCTTCATCTTCTGCTAGGATCTGTGGATGTGGACAGCCCCATGGTACCAGAGCGAAAGGCTCTTTCCTCGCTCGGTTCAGCGATGCCTTTTGCTCAGCGTCGAATCCAAGATTTTATCCGACCTATGCAGCGTCTCCTGTATCTCGACCCTGCCGTTGCACACAGCACATGGGTGTCAATATTCCCTGTCGCCTGGGCGTCACTCTCTCGCCGAGAGCAGATGGACATCACACATCATACCATCAGCCTTCTAAGCAAAGACTATCAAATCAGACAAGCGGATCTCCGACCAAACGCGGTACAGACACTCTTAACAGCTGCCAACGCTTGTTCGCCGCCGATGATGCTTCCGCCTCACCTTGTCAAGTATTTGGCCAAGACACATGGCGCATGGTATGCTGGTTTTGAGATTTTGCAATCAATGAACCGTGCCATTGAAGATGACCCCTCCGTTCGTGACACCGTGTACGACTCATTGGCAGAGTTATATGCGGAAATGGCAGAGGATGATCTCTTCTATGGTCTGTGGCGTCGGCGCTGCTTGCACCTGGAAACAAACATCGGGATTTCATTTGAGCAAAACGGCATGTGGGAGCAGGCCGCGACAATGTACGAGAATGCGCAGACCAAGTCACGATCAGGCAACTTGCCTTTCTCGGAGCAGGAATACTGCTTCTGGGAGGACCATTGGATCTTATCGGCCGAAAAACTTCAGCAATGGGACATTTTGTGCGAGTTTGCTCGCAGCGAGGGCAATCAGGAATTGGCGTTGGAGGGCGCATGGCGAATTAAAGACTGGGCCGAAAATAGGGAAACGCTAGAGGAGCAAGTCAACTCCCTACCAGAGGTCGCCACACCACGTCGTCGCGTCTTCGAAGCTTTCATCGCGTTGCTCAAAATGCCTGCCGCTGTCGATAAAAACACTGAATTCACCAAGATTCTCGAGGATGCCATGCAGTTATCGCTCCGGAAATGGGTCGCCCTACCTCCTCAACTTACCTTGGCCCACGTCCCATTAATGCAACATTTCCAGCAGTTCGTGGAACTACAAGAGGCCGTACAGATCTTCGGGTCTCTTTCTACTACCACCGCGCAAAACCTGGAGAAGAAATCATCTGATTTGAAGATGGTGCTGCAAGCATGGCGTGAGCGACTCCCCAATCGAAGCGACGATATCAGCATCTGGAGTGACTTGGTTGCCTGGAGGCAGAACGTGTTCAATGCTATCAACAAAGCCTATGTCCCTCTGATAGGTGGGTCGACACAAGGCGGAGCTGCTGCTAGCAACGCAAACACCTTTGGTTACCGGGGATATCATGAGACAGCGTGGATTATCAATAGGTTTGCTCATGTTGCCCGAAAACACGATCTTCTCGAGGTCTGCTTCAGCCTACTGAACAAGATCTACACCCTCCCCAACATCGAGATCTCTGAAGCTTTTCTGAAGCTCCGCGAACAAGCACGGTGTCATTACCAGAAGCCGCACGACCTTCAAGCCGGCCTGGAGGTGATCAACAATACCAATCTGATGTACTTTTCCATCGCGCAGAAGGCGGAGTTTTATACGCTGAAGGGAATGTTCCACGCTCGCTCCAACCGAAATGAAGACGCGAATCAAGCCTTTGGCCAAGCCGTTCAGCTGGACATGTGCCAGGCAAAGTCTTGGGCGGAATGGGGAAAGTTCAACGACAAAATGTTCAAGGAAATTCCCAACGACATGAACCACGCAGCGAGCGCTGTCAGCTGCTACCTCCAAGCGGCAGGTCTCTACAAGGACGGGAAGAGTCGACCTCTTCTGGCTCGTGTCCTTTGGCTCCTCAGTGTCGACGACAACAACTACACAATTTCTAGGGCATTTGACACATACAAGGGCGAGGCTGCATTCTGGTTCTGGATTTCTTTCATTCCTCAGCTGTGCTTGTCGATATCGCAACGTGAAGTCAAACAAGCACGCTATATCCTCTTGGCCCTGGCGAAATTATACCCCCAGGTGTGTTTCTCTCAGTTTTTGCCGGCTCGTTTCTCACATTGTTTTCCCTCGCCAGGCTCTGTTCTTCCAGCTTCGTACTACGCGAGAAGACATGAACTTTGTAAGAAAACAGCAAGCCGCAGCCATTGCGGCTGCCAGGATGAATGCTAACAACGGTCGACTTCAATCTTCCCCCACCAATAACGATGCCTTGAGACGCGTCGACTCTGGCCAGACGCAAGAAACCCATCCTGCTGATCCAACATCTGCGAACCACGGATCTGGAATTGGAGCTGCCGCTCAAGCTCCTACAAATACCCCTTCAGCTCCACAGAATACAGAGGTCCCCGGGCCCCAACGACAGTCGTGGGAAACTATCGACGAGGTCGTCCAGATTCTCAAGACTGCATTCCCTCTCCTGATTTTGAGTATGGAAACGATGGTTGACCAAATACATCAGCGATTCAAAGCCACAGCAGAAGAGGAGATTTATCGACTTGTGTGCATGTTGCTTCTGGACGCGATGCAGGTAAGTTGCTTTCAACCTTACTCGGAGGCTACCGAGCTTACCAACAATGCAAACAGCAATACGCGATGCGAATCAATATTCTCGACGACGACGGTCAATTGAGTCCCGCCACGGTCGCCTACCTGAACAGAATGACGAGCAATTTGACCGGTCAGGCTCGGGTATGTACAACGAAACTCATGATTCTCCTGTGGCTTATATTCACCACAACCACAGGCTGATTACGAAGAAGACTTCCTAAAGAGCAAGCCAACACACCACGAGTACATCCGTCGACTGCAACAATGGCGGGACCGGTATGAGAAGTACCTCGACTCCCGACCTCGAATACAGCCGCTCGACTTGCTCAGTCATTATCTGACGGAGTTCCAATACGCCAAATTTGACGACATCGAGATCCCTGGGCAATATACAGAGGTACGTGAGCTGTGGCTATGCGAGACAGCTTGTCCAGATCTGATCTCGGATCCTAGGACAAGGGTAGCAACCAGAACTTTGCCAAGATCCTCAAGTTTGGACCCAAGTTTGAAAACTGCCGGTCTCACGGGTACTGCTGGAGACGTTTTACGATTCATGGTACGGACAACTCTCGTGTATCTTTCAACGTCCAGTTGCCTTCGGGTAGACATATTCGACGAGAGGAGAGGGTCTTGCAGATCTTCCGGACATTCAACAAGTGGGTGTCCTTTTGAATTCAGTCATTCAACTTTGTCATTGATTAAACCTGAACCAGTATCCTGAGCCGTAAGAAGGAGTCTCGGAAGCGGAACCTAACGTTTCACATCCCAGCTGCCATCGCCTGCAGCACGAACCTGCGCCTGCTCCAGAATGATTCATCCTACGTCACATTTGGGGATATCTACGATCAGTTCTGCGAGAGCGCCAACATCGCGCGAGAGGACCCTATCCTGGTTCCCGGCGAGAAGGTCAAGACGGTGCTGCGCGACTTCAAGGAGGAGAATCAACGGATGGTCCGTTTTGATCGGCATGTCATCTCGTTCATCTCTGACCCTTCATCATCATTCAGCCCTCCCGGCACGAATTTTTCACGCTCAAAAAGCACATCCTGGACGATGTCATGACGCACATGGTGCCGGAGACGGTGATCACGCAGGTGCGTACACGGGGAATGCAGGACGTCTGCACGGAGCTCATCCTTGTCTATCTCCCGCCGCGCAGTACATGATCCGTACGATGGACGGCCCGAGCGAGCTCTGGCGGATGCGCAAGCAGTTCGCGCTCCAGGTCGCCGCGACGAGCTTCATGACGTACATCCTGTGCTTGACGAGCCGCCTTCCCGCGCGGTTCCACATCTCGCGCCGGACGGGCCTGATCTCCATGAGCGAGGTCTTGCCAGGCGCGTACCCACTCACTCTTGGACCAGCCGCGAGATACTGACGGCACGGACGCCACCCACAGGCGTCGCGAGCAACGCGCCCGTGTTCGCGTCCAACGACGTCGTGCCGTTCCGCTTTACGCCGAACATGCAGCACTTCGTCGGGCCCATCTACACCGAGGGCATCCTCACCTCGGCGCTCATGGCCATGGGCCGGAGCCTCACCGAGCCAGAGGTATGCTACGTCCCCACCCTGCTCTTTCCCCGTTCTCCCTGCACCGCCCGCTGACCGCTGGCCCCGCGCGCACAGTTCGACCTCGAGCAGCAGCTGTGCCTGTTCGCGCGCGACGAGGTGATGACGTGGCTCCACGGGCGCCACAAGCCGTGGATGTTCGACCTCTCCTTCCGGCAGAACGTCGCGCAGAACATCGACGGCGTCGTCAAGCGCGCCGAGACGATGGCGTGCAAGGTCGAGCGCGAGACGGTGCGTGTCCCGCTCGCTTCTCCCCCGTAGCTCCTGCCCGCTGACCTGGCGCCCTTGTTTCCGCGGCACCCTCTTTTGTTTGCACTCTTCACTTTTCACTTTCACTTTTCACTTTCACTTTCACTTTCACTTTCATTTCCACTTTTTTACAAAAAAATCTTGAAAAAAAAATCACTTTCACTTTCAATTTCATCCCCGCCTTCCATTTCCATCGCCAACTTTCTTCCGTCTCTTTTATTCGCCGCGTCTTCCCTTCCCTCCACAGGCCCTCAACCCGAACACCCTCGGCACGATGCAGACCCCCGTCGTGCAGACCGTCGTCAACCTGATCGCGACCGCGACCGACCCGTTCAACCTGATGAAGATGACCGAGGTGTACATCCCCTGGTTCTGAGCGCCCCGCCCGCCCGCCAGCCGCCGCCCCCTCCAACGTTCACCGACCACGTCGGCCGCGTCGGCGCGTCGTCGCCTGTCTGTGCGCCCATCTGACTTTATGTCTGCACGTCTGTCTGTTTCTGTTTCGGCTTCTGTCTGCTTGTGTCTGTGTCGTTGCTGTCTGCCCGTCTGCCCGTCTGCCCGTCTGCCTGTCGTCGCCATCGTTATCCCAAGCACCACGCCTTGTCCCTGTCCGCTCACGTACTGACCTGCCGCACCACCATCATCACCACCACCACCATCGTCATCACCGTCACCGTCACCGTCATCTTGTATCAGAGCATCCTATAATGTACACCCCTTGCCTATTTCCCTCCCCCATCTTTCCATCTCTCCTCTCTGTTCTCCCTCTATTCTCTCTCTATTCTCTCCTCTGTTCTCTCTCTCTCTGTGTTTGTCTGCACTACGTACGTACCATGTACCATGTATCATACTCCATACTCCATACTCCATTCCCGCTCCGCTCTCCCGACCGCTTGAATACACAACAAATTCACGCCACGCCACGCCACCCACGCACGCGTCCACCATGCACTGGGCACCGCCGATCTCCATCAAAGCAAGCGACTTCAGATATATACAGCAAAACCCCGCGACGCACCGCACCGCAACGCCTATATGCATGCACGTGCATCACGGCAGCGCCACTGCAGCGCCGCGCCGCGGGATCAAAACAAGGAAGAACCTCGGTACGTGAGTAAGCAAGTAAGCGAGTAAGCGAGTAGGTAGGTAGGCAGGTAGGCAGGCAGGCAAGTAAGCAAGTAGGCAAGTAGGCGGGTAGACGGGTAGACGGGTAGACGGGTAGACACAGGTAGGTAGGCAAGGTCGTCCAGCGACGACCGCGCGAGCATAGAGTAATGAAAAAATGAAAAAATGAAAAAATGAAAGAAAAAAGAAAAAAATGAAAGACGGAGCGGGCGGGCGGGCGGGTGGGTGGGCTCTACACCGAGTAGTACACATGATATACACATGATATACACTGCGATGTGATGTGATGCGATGCGGCGGATGCGCGCGTTGGAGGCGGATAAAGTGGGCAGTGACATGTATGAATGTATGTATGTGTGTATGTATGTATGTATATATGTATGTATGTATTGTGTTGAATGAATGTAATAATGAATCGAATTCGGGAATGGCGGAACGAGGCGGCGACGCGAGCACGCACGGGCGACAGATCGAGACGCGCGCATGGGCACAGCCGCCACGGACGTCGCGACGGACCCGGAGGCACTCGACGATCCGCAAAACAAATGAACGAGCGTGAAGCGCGGATCGCGAGCAAGAGAGGAGTCGACGGGTGCGACAGTGCGACAGTACGACAGTACATGCGACAGCGCGAAATGGAGGACCAGACGAGACGTGCACAGACACAGACACGGACAGCCGCCATTCACACAGCACAGCAGCAACGACTACATGCGGATCCCACAAAAAGGTGACGATGACAGTGGCAGGTACGATGACAGTGGCGGAGACGATGCCGATGACGCACGATGCGCGATGGGGGGCCGAAGCTGAAACTCCAAGCTCCAAGCGCGGGGCACGGTAATCGCTCCCTACCGCACCCAGCACCCATCACCCATCACCCATCAACCCCCAATCCAAACGCGTGCCCAAACGCGTGCGAAACGCAGACGCCTCGGACGCCTCTCCTCGGACTCGAACACTGGCGCTGGAACGGCAAGGCAAGGGGCGACGATGCGGCGATAGCAATAGCGACAAGAGAGCGTGGACGCCGCGGACGGGCGCACTGGGGCAGGGGGTGCACGATCGCGCAGCGAAAGAAAGAGCATCGACGACTAGTGTGGGAGTGCCAGTGCCAGTGCCAGTGCCAGTGCCGGTGGGAGCGGGGGGCAGTGGTGGGAGCAGAAGTGGAAGCAGAAGTGGGTGCAGAAGCGCGACCGGGGGCGGTAGAAGTGGGTGCAGAAGCGAGAGTGGGAGTGCAAGCGAGGGTGAGAGTGCAAGCGAAGGTGGGAGTGAGTCCAGGACCAGCGCGCGCGTCCGCCCACGGAGCGCCGCCATCCTCCCCGCCGACCTCCCAAATGACAAACATCACCAAGGCTAATCGCGGTCGTCCCATCCGCATCCGAGGCGGCTGGGAGCACGCGGGGCCCAAGTAGAGAACTCGGCGAAAAATGGAGCGGCAGAAGAAAAGAGGGCGAGGGGTCGGCGGGCACCGCGCAACAGTCAAGTGCGGAAGCCACTTCCAGAACCGAAGACGCACAGAAGGGAACGGAGGGGCGGAAAGGTTTAGAAGGGAAGGGAAGCGAGGGAATGAATGAATGGACGGGCGACCGTATACAGACCGAGAGCGTATGTTAGCACAGATAGGGAGAACAATTTTGGCGAGCAAGCGAGCGAGCGAGCAAAGAAAAAAGAAAAACACGGGCAGCCCTGGACAACACGGAAAATGAACAGCAAGCGACAGCAGCACCAAAAAGAACAGCCAAAAAAAAAAAAAAAAGAGCTCGAGAGCTCGAGAGCAACGGAACGAGCACGCATCGCATCACCGCAGCCGCGGCGGCACCGCCAAGAGGCTGCCGACGAAGACGAGCGAGGCGAGCGCGGCGAGCGCCATGCTCCGCGTTACGATCTCCCATTGCGCGCGCGTGACGACCGGGCTCAGCACCTTGGTGAGCGGGCCAAACGCGGGCACCGCGCGCGTGCGGCGCTCCTGCGCGAGCACGACCTCGGGCTCGGGGCGCACGTACGCCGCCTTGCAGCGCGGCTCGTCGGGCTCGTCCGGCGACACGAGCGGTGGCGGCACGCGCTTGCACTTGTACTGCGCGCGCTCGAGCATCGTCGTCGGCGAGAGCTCGGCGCAGCGCGGCGGGTGGCCCTCCTCGAGCGCGCGCGGGCTCATCATTTCCTTTTCGTCCTTTTCGTACGCGCGTGCGGCATGCGGCAGCGCGGCAGACGACGGGACGGCGGACGAGCCGCATATGCACGGGGCGCGGGCGTCCTCGCGCGGGGGGAGCGCGTCAAAGTCAAACGAGTCGAGGCTGCCGATCTCGGCGCGCGAGGCCAAGCTGGAGGCGTCGTCGTCGAACGGGCGAATGAAGCCCGCGGTGGCGGCGATGCCGCACGCGCGGGCGGAGCGGCACTCGGCCGTGTGCACGTCGCGGTCTGCGGTGCCGAAGCGGTACGCGCCTCCAAAGGGCTCGCTCGTCGCGTTTTTGAGCAAAAACGGCGGAAAGGGGCCGGTGTGCGTCGCGGGGCCTTCTGGGGCGGGGTCCTCGTCGTAATACGCAGGCGAGATGACGATCCTGTGCGCCGCGTCGTCCGATGAGGTCGAGAGAGAGGCGGTCGAGGCGGAGTAGTCCGAGGCGTTGTCGTAGGGCGTCGAGAGCGAGGTGGTCGGGGACGACGACGTGGCCCGCCTCGCGTGGTGAGGCGCCGTGACGGCGGGTGGAGGGCGCGCTGGGATCGTGATCGTCGGCCGGCGTGGCTGCGAAAGCGGAAAGGGTACGCCGGGCAGCGAGGAGGCGGGAGGAGGGCCCGGATATGCGTACGGCAGGATGGTAGCGGGCGCGAACTTTGAGGAGATCGGTGCGGATATGGACATCATGGGGCGGGTGTGGGCGTCGTTCGCGCCGAGGGGTCTGGGAGCGGAGATGCGGGGACGAGCGAGCTCGAACTTGCGCAGCTGGCGGAGGTCGCCGAATATGTAGACCATCATGCAGACCTGTGCGGGCCGATCAGTGTGGAGGACGGAGGGGAGAGGATCGACGCACCCCGTGAAGACTGGCCAACAAGATGGTGAGACCGAGCCACATGCCGGGGAGGGCGAGGAGCCTGAGCCAACGGGCTCTGCCGTTGGCAAAGTTGACGGCGAGAGGTGCGACGGAGCCAAGGAGCATGATGACGATGCCGCCAACCATGCCGCAGTAGGCGCGATTTGTGCCGACGTTGTTGTATGCGGCGAGAACGAAGCGATCGAGGGAGTCCTTGAGCATCTTGTGAACCTCCGCGGCGACCTGAGCGAAGAGGATGGGCTCTGGGATGGGGGAGGCGAACTGGCCGGTGTGGAAGGGGGTAAGGATGTCGGAGGGGATGTTGAGCTCGTAGTCCGCGTTTGGGGTGAAGAAGGTCTGTTTGGCGCGGAGGTAGAGGAGGGTGAGGTTGGAGGAGGGCTGGGGTGGGGTGGAGAAGCGATACTGCTCTTTGCCGACGAGGATGGGTTTTGGAGGCTTGTTCTGCGCTGCCCACTGGTCGTAGCGGGCGGTGTAGTCCTTCAGCCAGAGCATGAAGTAGCTGGAGGGGGCGGGTGAGCATGGGCAGGGAATGGGAGGGGAGGGGGGGGGAAGGGGGACGGACAGGTTCTCGGGGCAGCCCTCGACGAAGAGCAGCCATTCCTCAAAGTCCTTGAGGCCTGGGAGGAGTTGAGCGAGAAGGAGCGCGAGCGCGAAGAAGCAAACGCACCGAGGGGAGGCAAGTGCTTCCTGTTGAGGACATCCTCAAGTTGGACCTTGAAGATGGGGGTGACTCGGGGGAAGCGTCAGACGCGGGCGCGGGAGACTCGAGGTGGAACGAGACGCACCTTGGCAGGAGCGGACTTTGCCGACGGCGGGAGGAGGGTTGCAGAGGCGGTGCTGGGGGCGGATGAGAGATTGACATTGGGGGGAGAGAGGGAGAGGGACTGACCGGGAGGGAGAGGAGGGCCTTGAGGGTGAGCGTGAACGTCCTTGGCTGTTTCTCGCGCGGGGCTGTGCGCACGGACGACGGTCTCCTCGCGGCCATGTATGCTGCGAGTCGTGGTCGTGGGAGGAGGAGAGGAGGAGGGGGAGAGGGAGAGGTGGCGGGAGAGAGGGCGCGGCATGGCAGCTTTAGAGCAGCGTGGAAGGATGCGCGCAGAGCTGTCGCCCCGGCTTCCCCATTTCCAAATCCCTCCCTTCGCTGTCATCCTCCAAACTCCGCATCCGTCCTCGCTCCTGCCTATCCCCATATCCGGCTCCCCATCGCCCCGCCGCCACACCAGCCGCACATCCCCTCCCTGATCCACTCAGCGTGCAGATCCGCCCTGCTTCCGCCCCGACTCCCACCCTCCCCACCGCCCATCCCCATCCTCCTCCTCCTCCCCGCCTCTTCTGATAAATCCCCGCGCCTCCAAATCAATCCTAGCCCCGCGCCTCCTCTCCACCGCGGGTCCCCGTGCGTCCCTCCCTCCCCCGCCCAAACCAAGGTAAATCCTCACACACGCCCAGTGATCCCGACCAGACATCCATACACGCCCGTCGCCCGAGAACCGCCTCCAAAATCAAATCAACGCACCGCGCTATAACTACATGCGCATGGCCCGTGGCGCGCTCCGCGGGACGCCCTCCCTCGACCCACCCACCCGCCCTCGAGTCGTCCTAAAGCCCCACCCAGCCACCTAGAACGCCCCTCGAGCCGCCTCAACTTTACTCGGCTCACCGCGGGCGGACCGAGCAGGCATTAGCGGATCCCCGACGCCGCGATCCGCGCACGTACCGCTACCATTACCATAATCTATCACTACCACCCTATCGCACCCCGAGACGGGACCAATCTCAGTCACTGATCCTCGATCCCGTGCCCCCGATCCTGCCGACCCAATCACCGTCCCCCGCTGCATCTCATCGTCTCACACCGTCTCTCACCGTCGAGCCCCCGAATAAATAAATCACAATGTTGTCAACGTAGCTCCATCCTACACGCATAATCAACACGATGGCCTCCTCTCCCTCGTCCACTCGACGCGCGAGCGCTAATCCGCCAATTAAAACAGATCGCTAACCATCGCTAACCATCGCTAACTGAGACTTTAAATTAAGCCTCCGAGGCACAATCCAGTAGAACACAGCACTAGCACAGCGACGATCAAACCCGCGCATCCCTCGCGCACCTCGCGCACCCCGCGCCAAGCCCCCATTGAGCCATCGAGCACCCTCGGGCCCTTCCTCCGCTCGAAAGAAACAGCCAAACAATCCGACGCGCTAGCTAAAGAAGTCCAGAACGCGAAGCACCGCACGCAACTCCTGCAAGCGAGCGTCGACAGCCTTCGAACGGACCTTCGAACAGCCCTCGCCCATCGTCGCCCAATCGCTCGCCCCGAGCGCGCAGAGCCCCGATTCAGGCTAAAGCACTAACTTTAGCTCTACACAGCAGGCGCTCCGAGCGCGCTAAACGCGTCTTCGATCATTGCTCGATGCCCAGTGCGGTCGATTTCCTTTTTCGCGCGCGCTGCGATCGGCGGCGCGACGCACGCACGAGTGCTCGTTGCTGCAGCGACTGCATTGGGGCTCGTCAGTCCGGTGTTGCTGTAGTAGGCGTTGGCCCGCTGCGGGCGAGAGCTCTGGTGCCCGGCCGTGTGGGCGTACAACTGCGAGCTCCAACGTCGGTTCGGGAGCTCCGTGCAGAGCGAGGTGGGACGCGAATGTAGCGGCCGGCCGAGGGGAGGGGACGGGAGGGTGTGTGTGTGTGTGTGAGAATCGAGATAGCGCGCGCTGACGACATCGCATGGCTTGGCGTGTCAGGCATGGAAGCCGACGCGAAAGGGGGTAAAGACGACGAAGCTTCCAGGCTCGGGCATCGGGGACGGAGCGAGGCGCGCGCAACGAGCCTGTGCGAGGATGGACCCGCGACTCGAGAGAGCAGAGACAGCGACAGAGACAGAGACGCGGTGATGGATGGAGCCACGGGGGGCTGCTCGATCCGCTTTCGGGATTCATTCGCGTTGGCGGTGCCCGCCGGCGGTCGGACCCTGCCAGAGCGCCAGAGCGCGTGCGCCTCGGGCGCAGGAGGGGAGGGGGGCAGAGGCGGCGGGTTCGCGATGGACACGTACTACCTAAGCGCTGCGCGCCCCGCCTCGACATGAGGACCAATAACCCAAGCTCCAGCCACGTAAGAAGTCGACCGCGAAGTGGCTAGCTGGAGGGCGCCAGACACTGCGATAGAATAGGATACAGCACATAGGAGACTCCGACGGGGGGGTTCCATGCCCAGCGATTCATGCGCCCCTCCGAGCGGTGCCATTACATAACTGTCAAATATAAACCTGTCGCTCGGCTTCTCCAGGCGCACTGTACTGTAGACAGCCGGATCGCTCGCCGCCGGCCACCGCGCACGGATAGCGTCGTGTACGTAGAGAAATCGCTCGCGCGCCGCGCGCATCCAGACAGAGCCGCAATGCCGTCTGCGTGGTCGAGGGCGCAGAACGCAGAACGCGCGCCATCCCTCGAGGCTTCTGCGCCCACAGCGCACAGCGCACGCCCGGCTCCGGACGATCCGCGCGCGACCAGATCCTGCCATGGCGTGTGCATACATACTGATAGATTGCGTCCCGCCCCTACGATCCTTCAGATGACCGAGCGGGCAGCTTTTAAAGCAGACAGGCGTGCTCGCGCCGCCCCCAGCACGCACGCATACCATACCAGCGCCGATGGATCGCGGCGATACGTGGAGATTCGGAACATTTCGATTTAGGCGGGTTTGGAGAGCTGGGGCGGCCGTGTTGCTGTTATTCCGAGCGCAGCACCTCAGGGAACGACGTGCTGCCGGCGATGCGCTGGGATGTGGACATAGCGAGGCGGTGTCAGAGCCCGGTGTGCCGACCAAACAGAAGACAAGTCGCGGATGCGAGGACTGCTGAGTCATACGCGCGAAAAGCCAAAATTACGCAACACACACGTGGGGAGATCGCCATTTGCAAAGGCAAAAAAAGTCGATCTGCAAATCACTATCGCCTCCGGCCTGCCTCAGCGCTCCAGCTTGTGCACTCCCGCATCGATCTCTGCGATGCGCACCCACGTCGAGCGCCCCCGCATCATGCCCACCACGATCATCAAGGTCGAGCAGGAGGAGATCGACTCGGGGAACTTCCGCCTCCTCGAGCTCACCCACTTCGACGCTGCGGAGGACGCACCCAAAACGCTCTCGGCGGGCAACCCGTACATCCCCCCGGCAGAGGGCTGCCCCATCAACGGGCTCCCCACCGAGCTCCTCACTTACATCTTCGAGATCGGCGCGGAGAGCGACGCGCGGAAGCGGGCCGAGGACGACGAAGAGGACAGCGATGACGACGAGGACGAGCTCGAGCTCGAAATAGAATCGTTGAATTCTGAGGACGAGAGCGAGGACGGGGAGGAGGAGCATCGGCCTGACCTCGAGTTCCAGGTGCTTGTGTCTCACGTGTGTCGGCGATGGCGCGAGGTCGCGCTGCAGACCCCAAATCTGTGGGTGCATCTGACGTTCAACGAGGGCCCGCCGTTCGACAAGTCCAAGGCATGGATCGAGCGCTCCCAAGGCTGTCCGCTCTTCATCGCCATCAACTGCGCCGGAGACAGCGACGTCGAGGACTTTGAAGACGACGACGACGACGACGACGAAGAGGAGGAGGAGGAGGCAGACGACGAGCAGAACTTTGCACACGAGGGCGAGGCGGCAGCCGAGGGCGCACTGTCGATGACCGCAGCGACCCATCGCTCGTCGAAACTAAAAGGCCCGCCGGGCCCTCCGTTCTCCCCGCAGGACCTCGCGACCATTCAGACCCTCATCATGCCCGAGGTCGGGCGGTGGTTCGTGTTCGAGCTCATCGTCGAGGACTACCTCATCATGCACCGCACGCTGCAGTCCCTCGCCGCCGCGCCCCCCGCGCCGGAGCTGCGGCACCTGCACCTGTACCACTACGAGGACTGCGAGGACTACGACACGTTCCGCCACCCGATGCTCGCCGCACCGACGGTGCCCTTCGGCGGGCACGCGCCGCGCATGACGCACTGCGCGTTCTGGGGCGTGCACCTCGACTGGGGCCGCTGCGACTTCCTCGCCGGCCTCGAGGAGCTCGAGCTCGCGTACCACACCAAGGACGTGCGCCCATCCTACGCCGACTTCGCGCGCATGCTCGTGCGCTCGCCGAACCTCGAGACGCTCACCCTCTGCCTCTCCGGCCCCGCGGGCGACCCGCGCGACTGGCCGAGCGAGCGCATCGAGCTGCCCTCCGTGCGCAGCCTCGTGCTCTCCTTCCTCGAGCCCGCGTACGCCGGCGCGCTCCTCGAGCGCCTCGTCTTCCCGGGCCTCGTCGACCTCGCGCTCGACTTTGACCAGGACGACTACTCCCCGCTCGTCGCGCAGATGGCCGCGCCGCTGCCCGGCCACGCGCGCTCGATGCTGCGCTCGCTCGAGGGCGTCAAGCTCTCCGGCCTCCCGTGCACCCAGGCCGCGATCGAGACGCTGTATGCCGCGATGCCGAACGTGAAGATGCTCAACATCAACTGCAACCACCTCGACACCGCCTTCTTCGAAAAACTGATCGCCGGACCGTCCGAGCACGCTCAGCCGTCGCCGTCGTCGCCGTCGGCGGCGGCGGTGGCAGCAGCGGCGACGTCGACGGCGGAGTCGCCCGCGCAGGGGGGCATGTTCCTCCCGCACTTGCACACGATCTCCACCACAGGCATACCGGGATCGCAGATGCGCAAGTTCATCGAGGCGCGGCAGGCGCAGCGGTTCAAGGGGGTGTATATGGAGCTCGAGGACGACGTGGAAAGCGAGGACGAGAACTGGCTGCGGAAAAACGTAGACCACTTTGCGTTTTTCGAAGGGTCAGAGGACGAGGACGAGGACGAGGACGTGGATGTGGACGTGGACATGGACGAGGACGAGGACGAGAATGGGGACATGTCGCTTTTTGACCTTGCCGAGGAAGATGAGATCTTCGCTGACTGGGCGGGCATGTCGTGAAAAAGTGCCAGTCGACCTTGTTCTGGAGATCGTCTATAGCTTGTATATGTGTTTATGCGGTCATTGTGATACTCTCTCACTCAGCGATCACACTATGATGAGATCAGAAAGTCAAAAGCTGCAGCGATATTAAAAGTACACCGTACAAAACACAACGAGAATAAGCAAAGTAGATCAAAAAAAAAAAAGGAAAAGGGGCGTAGAAGTATCTTTTCGCAGGTCCCGAATAAAGATCAGAGTGCTCGATCGCCGGGACGTGTGCGTCCCTCTCCCCTCCAGTCCGACGGTCACGACACCTTTGACACCCCGTCCGACCGATACTGCCGCTGCGCGACGCCCAGCACAATCTCCGGCAGCTCCTCATCCTCGTCCCACTCGCTAGTAATGCTCCCCGCCTTGCCCTTCAGCGGCCCGCCCTGCAGCCGCCGGGGCGTGGGCATGGTGATGAGCACGGAGACCTGCATGGTCTCGGGTTCCTGCTCCATCGGGCCATTGGGCTGCAGGGAGCTCAGCCCTGGCGTACGGAGCGAGAGGGGGATGGGGGACGGGGGCACTGGGGCGAATGGGTTGCGGAAAATTCGGCGGATGAAGGGCGGTCGTGGGCCGTCTAGGGGCACAGCGTTTGAGTTTGGCGTCTGGGTGCCGGCACTGGACGACTCTAGGGGTGTGGACGGGTGATTGCGAGCGGAGGGGGGCTTAAAAGAAGTGGGGAGGACCGAGACGGGCTGGCGGTCGAAAACAAAACAAAAGGATTCGATAGCGGCCCAGACACCAATTTACCAGTGCCGCAAAAAGATGCGGTCCAATCGACGCAGGGCCACCCCACCGGGTGTCAAGGAAAATGCAAGCGAGAGGGGCCGTGGTATAGAAGAGGGCGCCTTGAGCGAGCCTGCTGCGCGATCAGACGGTGCGATGGGAACGCACCATGATATCTTCCCATCCGTCGCCCGCGGGCGGCGCGATCCACGAATCCCATAACCTAGGCTTTTCGCCAAAGTCGCGCCTGTGGCCCATGGGTCCCCGCGCATTGGGCACCATGGCGCCTGACAGGATTGCCTCCTCGACGCGCCGCCGGAAGCGGCGGCGGAGGATGAATGAGCGGAGGATGATCGCGCACGAGACGAACAGCAGCAGGAACAGTGTCGCGAGGAAAGTGAAGCTGCCGGGCGTAGATATGCCGACGTCAGCTCATCCCCGTCGACTGCGCAAAAACTCGATCGAGACGGGGCGTGCGTACAGATACAAAGAGGAGGAGGTGCCGTTCCCACCCGTATTGGTCGGCGTGTTGGTAGCCTGGGCGGGATCATTTGTGAAAAAGCTCGGGAATGAGTGGGTGGCCGTCTGGGTGGACGACGGGGGGGACGTCGACATGATGGCGACGAGCAGAGAGGAGAGAGAGCGAGAAGGGGGACACTGACCCAGCAGTGACTAAAACCTCCTGAGGCAGACCATCATACAACCGCTCTTATGTAACCCCACCGTGAGACGGTCCCTCGAGCGGTCCATCCTTAGCGCAAACCTCGACGTCTTATCCTTGAGTACATTTGGTTGCTCGTCCTGCCGTTGAACTCGCTCTCATTCTCTTTCCTCACACGATGTCTTCCATTCGCTCTCCTCCCTCTGCTTTCGTAACTCCGTATCGCTCACGTCCGCTCTCACTGAGGGCCTGTGTCGTCGGTGAGCTGCAAGCAGGACATTAGGCCGTGACTCTCTGCCCTTGCGCTGTGCCGCGTTATCCGCTACTTAGGCACCGCAGCGTTCGTTGTTTTTGCGTTCGGTGTGTGTGTGCGTGTGTGAGGTCATATATTAACGTCTAGTGGCGGCGCACCGCATGTCTAGACGAGCTGCTATGTGTATTCTACTGTAGTGTGAGTGTAGGTAATCATGATCTTTGCGTTCGGTTCTGTAGCTCGTTCGAGCCTTGCGCTCAGAGTCTGATCTGCAAGGTTTTGTCAAGGGGGTCTGCTCCGTCCTCGACGTCTGGGTCGCCTCTTACCCTAAGCGACTCTGTACGGCCATTCTCGGTACTCCCAGCCCTCCTCCCTCTCACTGAGGGGGTGTCTGGTTCGCATCGTTAAAAGCACTAGTCGAGCTCTGGTTCGCGAAGTTCTGTACAGCGGTTCTGCACTCCACCTTGAGTTGGTAGTCGACGTCTGGTTCGCCCCTAACATATGTTCCTGACGATCGTCGTTTTCGGTGTTCGTGGCCCTCCTCCCTCCTGTCGCTGAGGACCTGTGTAATCACGACCGTTCTGAGTTCTCTGTCCACCTCGCCGTCGCGCACGCCCTGTCAGTCGTCGCACGGTGGCGGCAACGACGCGCACGTTCAAAGATCGATTGCCCGAGCGGTCTATTCTCAATGGCGCGTTCCAGCCTGAGCACGATGTAGAAAGACTTTGTATTGTAAGATTGCGTTCCACCCTACGACCTGCTTCGACGACGCGCCGCCACCAGCCTGGACGAGAAAATTATGTATGTATGTACTACGCCTATAACGTGAAAGTCCCATTTCTTATGATACACACGTTTGCAACTGAATGAATGAAACAAAAAACAAAAAACGGGAACGGATACTCGATTAAGATAACAGGAAAAGGCGGGCCCCTCACCAGTCGGCGGAGAGCTCGTCTTCTTCGTACAGGGTCTGGTATACGTTGAGATGCAAGACGGCGAGCTTCGACACGCGCTCGCTGAGCTGCCTGATCTCGGGCGCGAGCGGCTCGAGGCCAGTCGCGGTGCCGGGCTCTTGTTTGACCTCGGGCGCGAGCGCGGCAGGCGTCATGCTCCCCCGGATGAGCACCGTCGAGACGACAGAGTCGAACACGGCGTCACGGAGGCGGTTGCGCATGAGCGCGGTCAAGGCAGAATCCGTCTTCAGATGGCTGTCCACCCAGCTCTCGGCGGTCTTGAGCAGATGCTCGTCTGGCGCGCAGACCGGGAGCGAAGACGGGGAGGGCGTTTTCGTTGGCGCAGAGCGGGCCTCGGTCGCGCGGGCGGTGAGCTGCAGCGCGACCGCCTTGAGGGCGTCGTCCCATCGTTGCGACTCCTTCTCTTTCTCGTTTTGTGACGGCGGCGGAGGTGCCTGCGCCCCAGCCGCCGGGTGCAGGAAATGCCGGCCAAGGTTGGGCGGGCCTATTTCCCAGATCTCCAATTTGAGGCGCTGCAGGTCCGCGTCATCCAGACTGGCATCTCGTCGGGGATTCGAGGGTGTTGACGAGGACGAAAAGACCAGCTGGCGGTAGAGCATGAGGAGGGCATAGACGGCGGTCAGGTCGGCTGCGTCCCGGGTGAGGAGAATGAGGCGGGAATGATCGAGATAGAGTGTTTCTGGGTATCCTGAGAGCTGGGAGACGACGGTCGGGACCGACTGGTTGGAAGGCATCGTGGTCGTGACAGGCGGCGACGAGAGTGGAACCGGCGAGAGCGGGGCGAAGACCAGGTCAATGAGGCCCTTGAGGGTCGACAAGATGACGTGCGTCCGCTTGCCCAAGGACGAGTAGGGGAAGGCGCGGGCTGGGTAGCTGAGGCTATACTGCGAGGCGTCGAGGCGTTGGTGGGCCTGGGTGAGCCATTGGCGGGTGAGCAGCAGAGGGCTCGCGCCACGGTCGTGGCGCTCCTTGAACGTGCGGAGCTCGAATTCGGGGGAGGAGTGGATGATGAACGGGCGGAGGGTCTGCATCTGGTGGTTCGCGATGTCCTAAAGAGGAAGGCGTGAGATCGGGAAGGCGGAGCGAGGCGTGCGGATCTCTCACGAGTTTCATCAGTTCCAGGATCTCAAAGCACTGGCGCATCACCTCCACCGCGTCTGCCTTGGTCCCTCCCCCTTCGGGCCTGCACTTTATCGCCAGCGCAACCATCCTGTCCACAGCCTGATCCCGCATCGGCGCGCAGTGCGCTTTCAACACTCCTCCGATGACCCTGAACGTGCTCGACGGCTCGTACAAGCCGTGTTTCATCTCCTGCTCAATCAAATCCGCGTCCAACACGGCACGCAGTTGCTGTGCCTGCTCGTGATGCTGTTGCAACCGCTGTTGCAAACTCACGTTGTTACCTTGCACGGTCGACGTCGACGTCGTCTGGGGCCGAATGATGGACAGAAGCACCTGCAGGAGCTCGTGCAGGAGGGTCTTGATGCGACTCGGCATCCGCAGCGTCAGCCGCCGCCGCATCGGCAAACACGCGATCACCGGAACTGCTGGCGCCGTGGGCAGTTTCCTGCACACGCACTGGCACGAGTGCGGCCGCCCGCGCACGTCAAAGGTCACGCAGGTGCATCCCGTCTCGAGCTCGACGAGGATCGCACGCCAGTAAATGTCCGCCTGCTCCCGCTTGCGCCGGCTGGCAGCCGCCCGAAACTGAAGGCCCGAGTCGAAGAGGAAGTCGTGACCTAAAATGAGAGGCGGGGAGCGTGAGTGGTGAAATCGACGGTCAAAGCCTCGGTTCCAAGAAGCACGCACGTAGCTGAGGGTTGCGCATGATGGCATCAAGATCTAGTTCTTTCAGCGTATCCTTGTTTATTGGGGGCGCGCGGAGGGGTATATGGGGCGAGCAAGGGTCGATGTAGATGACGTCCGCCGGAGATGAAGGGAAGCTGGTGGGAGCTGGGTCCGCAGAGAGATGGCCTGAGGAGACCGGGCTGAGCGCGACAAGCCGGCTTTCGCCCGAGCTTGAGGTCGCCCATTGCCAGCTTCCCTTGTACTCTTGGGATTGCAGAGCGGTGATTAGATCCTGTGCGCGCCGAGACGACGGCCGCCTGCTGTCTGCAGCGGACGGGGGTGCGATGTCTATACGCGGGCGTTTTGGCCGAGGGGGGGCGTCGGTGTCGGTGTCGGGGGAGGAAGCTATGGCGGACGTCGGTGGGGAAATCGAAGGGGATGGAAGCGGGGTATTCCCAGCGGAAGAAGCGGGGGTGAACCACGAGCGCGGCGGGGAGCGTGGGGAAGTCTCGAGGGAGAGGCGGGGGGCGGCGGTGCAGGGGTCAACGAGCTTGCCAGGGCGGGCATCGGGGGAGGAGAGTTGCGGGGACGAGGCGGACGGGTTGTTGACCTCGGAGTCGTCTGGGGCTGCCTTTCGCTTGCGGGAGAGGGGCTGGATGGGGAGGGTGTTTGGGAGAGACTCACGGGCGACGTCGTCCATGAACGGAGGAGGGGCAGTGGAGGAGGAGGAGGAGGAGATGAGGGAGGGAGGGGGAGCGCGAAGGGAAGTGCGTGGGAGGGCCTTGTATATAGCGCGAGGACGAACACATGGCCCCCGTCCGTCTGCCGGCCTTCATTCTAAAAACACGAGGCCCGCTTCCGTGCACCGGGGCCTTCGAGTTTTCGCCCCACTATTTTCCAGGTTCCACGCCTAGCCATTCCGCCGCCAATCCGCTGCCCGCGTCCGCAATTTTTCTGTCCCTCCTGTGCGTGTCGTGCGCGCAAGAGGCGGCCGGCTTGCGGCTTGCGTACGTGCTTGCGTCCGCACCCAGCTGCGACCCCGCACCAGCCATTCGGGCCTCGTCTCTCCCCCCCCGGTGCATCAAAAGTTCGTAAACGTCGTAATCGCAGGGGGTTCCAGGTTCATCAAAACCAGCCGCGACGGCGACCTCCGGGCGGCCCTTGGAACCGATTCGCGCCCACAGCAGACTGCTTTCAACAAGCTGACGTCTCCCTATCTCATGATGCGATCACCCGCTTTCGTCAGTCGTCCTCTGAGATCATCCCGTCCTGCCCTTGCCTTTCCGGGACCCCCGCTGCCAGGCCGATGCGCCAGCGAGCCTGCGATGCATGAGGCCGCCCGCTCAACGTGGCCCATGCTTGTTCTAGGTGAGAGCCTCGCCGCGCACACGAGGCTGCGTTCTCAGGACAATCGCGAGTGCATCTTTGACAACCACAACAACGCGCCGTCTGAGCTGACTCTTTTGGGCGGTTCGGAGCGTCTGCCCGCACACCGCTTCTGCGTCGTGTCTGCCTGCATCCCCAGCGCTTCACCTGTGGGAACGGCTGTCCCTGAGCACCGACTCCACTTCCCTGGCTGGCCTTCCTTTCTGGCTATTGTTCTCTGGGCAAGGGCGACGTGATATGCTTTGATCTTGCGTGATCTTCCTTTATGATCGAAGAGATCGAGTCGAGCGGTCATATAGTCGTATGCACAAGCATCCTGCCCTCTCTCTCGAGCGACTGTCCGAGCCAACCCCGCAGCCGCCTGTGGATTCCCAGCATGTACGTAAATCGCGATGTCGTACTTACTCGTTGAATCTTCGAAGCTGAGAACACCCATTCATTGAGCATACGAGATTTCCTATTTGTCCTCGAAGCGCTGGGCCGGCGGTGGCGCAGCTTCCTGCGACTGGCAGGCTCTGCACCCCCAACTGCGCCTGTACTTAATACGATCAGACTTTAGGTTCGCGGGCGCTAGCAGTCTCCGGTTTCCAACATCTGAGACTCCCACCCCTCACCTTGTCCCAGCAACAGTCTCTGTCTCTGCTGATGGGGCGCGGCACACCTCGGCGCCCTCGAAGTCCCTGCGACATGGGGTCAGATGGCACCGAGGGTCCGGCACGGAGGCTGCCTGATCTGGGTCCGGCGCCGATGCAATCTGCCCGAACGAGCTGGGAGCGACGGTGGCTTGTGCCAGATGCGCGCAGGGCCGATTATCAGCTTGTGACTTTATCGGCCATCGTCTCGCGCGCCCGCCGGATCCGTTCCGGGCAGATCGCCCGCCTTTCCGGTGCACAGGCCAGCGCTCGAGCCGCCACCGTGCTGCCACGGCGCGGGTCCGTGCTTGCCATATACGACCGCTGCAGGCATCCGACCGGCCTGCCGCGCCAAACTCCTGCGACGATGCAGCCCAGCCGTGGTCCTCGCCCCACCCCAACCCTTTGACCCTGGCGGTGGTTGCGTGGGTGGTGGACGCCCGGTCAGTCACACACGCCGGCTACGGCACTCTGACGGACGCTGGCGGCTACGGAAATCCTGTTCCTCTCCTTATCGGCGTGTCCACGCTCATGTCCTTCTCTACTTATATGCATGGAGTATATTCTTGCGGCGGAGTGATCTGCACCGTCGTATGAGCGCACGATTGGCGCATTCACGAGGAACGTAAAGCCCCGGGCGCGTCCGGGGCTTCAAGTCACTCCGCCACCGGGCAGCCGCCGACCAGCAAAAAGGAAATGGTTCGATGACCAGTGCGCGATCCACAGACAGCGTGACATAACACTATAGACGCCTCAGGCTCCAGGGTTCGGCGAAAGGGTATTACGATTTCGGCAACGAGAGAGGGCCGTTGACAGATGCTGTCTTTGACGCCAGGCTTCGCGCACTGTATGCGCACACGCGCAAGTCCTGGGCACAGGGATCGTGGGTCAATTAATGATAATAGACTACACCCGCCATTTTCATGCGTCGATCAGCTTATCGTCGGGCTTGTCGTCCTCCTGTGCGTCCTTCTCTGCACCCGACGTGGGTTTCCTCGTCGGCTTGCGGCCGTAGAACTCCGCGATGATCTTGGGGCTGATGCGGTTGAGTTGTTCCTTGGGGAAGATGCGGAGAAGGCTCCACGCGAGGTCGAGAGAATCAAATATCGTGCGCGATTCGTAGGCACCTGTGCGGAGATGTCGGTCGTATGAGGTGGACGGGGTGGGGAAATACACGTACTCTGTCCGACGAACTGCCGCTCGAATTTGTCAAGGAACTCGAGGGCCAGTTTGTCCTCGGGCGATAGTGCCTCCTCGCCAACGACCGCTTTCATCGCGGCAGCGTCACGACCGATAGCATATTTAGCGTACTGGTGCAAGAGCGTGTTACCAACACGTCCGATGCACGAGTTCGATCTCAGCGAGGCTCACCAACTGGTTAGACACGTCGCCGTGGTCCTTGCGCGTAAGCTTCTCGCCAATGGCACTCTTCATGAGACGGGACAGGGACGGCAGGACGTTGATTGGAGGGTAGATCTGTCTGTTGTGCAGCTGACGATCGACGAAAATCTGCCCCTCAGTGATGTAACCCGTCAAGTCTGGAATCGGATGTGTGATATCTAGGGGGCAGGAACGTGTTAGCCACATGTCGCTCAGCGCATTATCGCTGCTTACCATCGTTGGGCATGGTCAAGATGGGGATTTGGGTGATGGAGCCGTTCCTGCCTTCTACTCGTCCTGCGCGCTCGTAGATGGTCGACAAGTCGGTGTACATGTAACCGGGATATCCACGACGACCTGGCACTTCCTCACGGGCAGCGGAAACCTAATCCACCCAATGTCTCAGAACACTTTTAGACGACACGATGAAAGGGGCAGGCTGAGTCACCTCGCGCAAGGCATCAGCATAGGAGGACATGTCAGTCAGGATGACCAGGACGTGCTTCTCTAGCTGGTAAGCGTAATACTCCGCAGTGGTCAGCGCCAGACGAGGGGTGATGATACGTTCAATCGTTGGGTCGTTGGCCAGGTTGAGGAAGAGCGTCACACGATCTAGACTGCCGTTCTCCTCGAAGTCCTGCTTGAAGAACCGTGCAGTCTCCATATTGACACCCATCGCTGCGAACACGACGGAGAAGTTGTCTTCGTGGCCATCGAGGACATCTTTGCTTGGCCCCTTCACGAGACCTGCTTGTCGCACGATCTGGGCGGCAATCTAATCATATGATTCCCTTGAGCTTCATCCAAAAGGTCATGGCAGAGAAACGATGTAACCTCGTTGTGTGGGAGACCTGCCGCCGAGAAAATCGGGATCTTCTGTCCGCGAGCAATTGAGTTCATGACGTCGATGGTCGAGATGCCCGTCTGGATCATCTCCTCAGGGTATATACGAGAATAGGGGTTGATGGGTGAGCCTTAAAAGGTAGATTGAATGACATTGCTCTCCAGACCTAACTCAGCAGGACGTACCGTTGATGTCCAAGTAATCTTCCGCGAACACCTTGGGACCGTTGTCGATGGGATTACCGGAACCGTTAAAGATACGGCCCAACATATCCTCAGAGACAGGAAGCTTCATGCTACTCCCAGTAAACTCTACATGTGTCGCTTTGACGTCAACGCCGGAGGTCCCTTCGAATACCTGCACGATGGCCTTCTTCCCCTGGACTTCGAGCACCTGGCCACCGCGTTTCGATCCATCTGGGAGCGTCAATTGTACAATCTCATTGTACGATGCGAACTGATCCACCGTGGATGTAATTAAGGACCAAAACATATATGCAGCAAACCACACACCTTCACGTTGTCCAACACAACTAGAGGACTATGCGCAGTAGTCATCAGTATCCCATCCCGTGTTAGACATCGTTAAGACTTGCCCGTTGATAGCAGATACAGTTCGGTAGTCTGGACGTATGTGAATCCTTATTGAGGTCCAGTATCGGTACCGGTCTACTCACCGAGATGAGGTTTAACGCGATACTCTCGTGTTACCGCTGCGGCATTGATTGCCGCCATTTCCTTGTCACTAAGTCGGGGATCGCTCGCCATTGTAGTATATACCGTTTGTTAGGACTGCCAGGAGAGTCGGGGTTACCTGGCGAAGAGGGATGCTAGCTACAGAGCTTAGATTGACTTCAGCTGCAGAGCATGGTTTCGAAATACCAGAGTCACCGGGTTCTCACGATCCCTAATCGGGTACTAAATAACGTCATCGCAGACAAACACACTGCGCGCAGAGTTTTCCGTGAAGATCTTGTAGAAAGGACAAGCATTTTGCTCAATCTCATTTTTTTGTCGCAGTTTGTGTGACAAAGATAATTGAAGGAGTTTGCGTATATGTGAGCCTTCCCTTCCGAGACCACTCACCACGTTCGAGAGGGGGAACACTGAACCCAATTCATCTTACGAATTTTGAAAACATCACACAATAAGGAAACCAAATAGTCATTTATGATCACCGCATCGACAACCAATATGCAAGATCATGAAAGCATTTTCTCTACGCGTTTGGCAGCCTCCTTAACTGCCTGAATGTTAGAGGAAAGCCTAGAGTCTATCATGTCAGAGATTGTCTACCTCGAGTCAAAAGACACAAACCATTCAGTCTCGAGCAGGACTTCCTCGACTTCGTCTGTCTCCTTCCCAACATCTCTTGTTTGTAACAGAAGGTACAGTGCCTCGGCGGCGTCAGCGCGGACCTATAGCGTGACATGAGGGGTTGTGATGTATCAACAATCCGAAGAGCTTACCTTAGGGTACTGGTGTGCCAGGAAATCAGAAAGCACCGGAACGCATGCATCATACATTTTGGGGATAGCCATGAGGTTAATGACCCTTATATGGAAAGGTAAGACATAGCCTTGGATGAGAAAAAGTATGGCCCACGTTGTCATGCATGCGAGAATTCTATGGACACTCTTTAGTTTCGCCACGCCCCTGGAAACGATGTTGAACAACAGTCGCAGACTAGCGCGATCATCAGTACAGGGAATCGTAGGTCTTATAAACCGACGAACGGTTTGAGGCCTTCTGGACTTTCCGCAAGTACGTCAAGCGTTTCGGCCTCTAGAAGGAGATTGAAAGTTTGCAGCACTGGTATCACAACATTATTGTTGCCGAGGCTCCTTCTTGCATGAGCAACAAGATCTGCTGCAAGGGTCTGGACGTCATACGCATCGCTTTGCGTCACAGCCAGGGGGAGCTTCCGAACGTAGCCTACAAGACTATTTGCGGCTGGTCGTTGCTATTTACGCACATCAATTCATATCGGTGCCTGAAGGGATGGAAACTTACTGTACTTTCCGTCCTGCTTCCAATGCTCATCAAGAGCCCGGAGAGTATCGCATGACGGTACACCGGAAGTTCTAATAATTGAATGACTCTAGGGTATACCCATAATCCATCATGCCATCCTACAAACTCCGCATCGCTGTGTATAGTTGTGAACATTGATGACATTCAACAATCAACAAAGGTGCGGAACTCACTTGGGGAAAAGATTCCTCATCAATACATCCCCCGGAAGATGCCATGCTTCCAACCCTGGAATGGAAGGCAGCGGGTGGTTTAGCAGGCGCACTATATGTACGCCAGCCTGCGCGCGGACATTGTCCAGCCTCTCGATGCCTTGCTTCAGAATTCCTGCGACGGCAATTTGATACTTGTCAGACGGAAAGTAGTCCGCGAATCCAGGTATGTGATCCGCATGAGACAACATGGTCAACGAGAAGGACGTTAGTCCTTGGATGCAGGCGATGCGAACCCAGGAACCAACATCGCCTCGTTCATCTGTGGTGTAGTCTTCTAGACCGTTGATCAACGCGTTAAAGAGACTGCAAACGGAGTCTGGCTTAAGATCTGTAATTCGTTAAAATGGCATCAAAGAAGTGTTTAAAGATAACTTACGCGTCGGAAGGCTTTTCACAACCGTGGTTAAGATCTGATGCATAGACAAAAAGCAGTTGCGACGAGCTTCGATGCTAGCCATCCTTGTCAGCGACTACGGCCAGATATGAGATCATGAATGTCGATACCGAACCGCTGACTTACTGAAGGGTCCACACTGTCCATCAAGCACTTGATGGCCTTTGACAGTCCATGCGGATGGGCGCTATAATCAAGAACCCCTAGTAACATAGCAAGACTTTGCTGCAATACTGGCGAGCCTGCTTTAAATTCTCTGATCAACGTGTCACCAAAACAGTTCATTAGCTTTACGAAAACGAGGTCGAAGATATGCAAACTCATCTGTCCACAACGGGCGAGCAGTCCACCAATTTACTCACTTCTCCCAATGCTTCCGCTGCCGCCTCTTGTACATCGCTATTGCGATGCTTTAACCCGGTGTCAATGATCTTCCGCCAATGTGGCACGGATGAGCGTTGCTCAAGCTGGATCTCAGAAAGAGAGATGCTAGTGGCTATGAGGCGACAAGCTGCAGCGGTGACCAGTTCGTGGCGAGGAGATTGGATCATAACAAGAGGCACCGCTGCGAGATAAGAGAATATCTACCAAGCCTGTCAGAAAGAGGGCACGACCAATTTTCGAGATGCGATCAGAACAACCTCGCATCTGTGTTTCTCAAGGACTTCCTTCTGGTCGGATTCCCGATACCCGCATGCAAGTTCGGCGAGGGCTAGGAGGGCACCATGGGCATCATTGGAGTCTCCGGTTTCGAAAACCTCGTGCTAGAACAACGTGATTGAATGAACAATGAGGCAAGTACGATGGAGCAAGGAGAACCTCACGATTTTCAGAGCACATTCCGGCCCCAAATGACTCAAATCAAGTTCACAGATTTTACGGAGGGACTTTGCACCGAGTTCCCGAATGGTGGAATCCCAGTGTCGTAATGTCACGGTCAAAAGGTGGTTGATGAGGGATGGTCGATATTCGTCATGCCTATTGAATTGAATAATGAGACCCATGGTAAAAAAAAACAGAGGACAAGGACTTACACAGCTACCTGAGGTGCTGCAACTAAATAGGCATTGCGCCGTATTCCGACAGCAAAGAAATCGGTTTTCCCAAGTACATCGATTCCGTGGGGGAATATGCCCTAAAGACAGGATCGTGAAGAGTGTGATATTGGATCAAGCGGATGACGCACCATGCGCCCGACATGTTCTTGAAAAGCAGCACTTGTGGCCCTTCTAATGTGTATTTCACGATCATATACTGAGACTGAGACAATATGCCTCGCAAGATTGGCGGCAAATGGCCCTATCACGGCTGTGTCGTGGGACCTCGCCAGGGACCAAAGGACATATGCAGCGGAATCACGAACACTGGAGCCTATTGAATGTGTCCCCTTGCGAATGTCAAAATATAAAGCCTGTTTTCGAGGAGTCAGCGATGTCGATTGAAACACACCGATCACTTCACTTTAGACATCCATTCCAAGAGTTCTGGGAGTTTGTCATCAGCTACAAGGCCCCTACGAGCCATTTCAGCGCATGCCAAGCAGGCTCCATGCCAGGTGCTTTCAGCTGTCGCAGGCATATCATATATGCTGGCTATCCCCATCGAGTGTATGGAAAATAACCCCAGCACTGTATCGAGTACTTGAGCGGCAAAGTCTTTCGGTAATCTCTCTGAGAGACGAGCCACGCCTTTAGCAGCTGACCATCTCACGACTGTGTCCTGGGAAGTCGTGTGGTAAGTATGCAGAGTCTTTTTTGGTCACAGAACTCACCCTGTCTTGCAGGGCGTTGAAGAGCTCTTCGAGCACAGTTTCGATGTCTTCTGGGACGTCGGTCTCTTGTTCTTCGTCTGTAGAGTAATCTACCTGACCATTGTACCCGCCAACTGACGTCAGAATGCGACCTATGCGACGTCCCGAACGATGTCTTGCGGGAAGTAGACGTAACATCGATCGAGAGATGAGTTTGATCCGCAGTTTTCGTATAATGGCGTTGTCCATCAACGACGCATTCTGCGCCACTGCTCGAGCAACGTCAAGGATGGAGGGGAGTTTTTCTGACAGTATATCTACGGGGCTGATTTTGATGACTTCGCATAGAGTCTGCAAGGCTCCAATGCACTAGAGCCACGATACATGTTTTAGGCAGTTTCATCGGGTATGCAGCAAACTCACGGGAAAGGTATCGTTTTCGGTCTTTGTTACTATATCGGACCACTGCAGGAAGTTAGTAAGACGGTGATGGGTGTCCTTCCTACAATTCTTAGTAGTATAACATAGGTTTGAGTGATATCCTTCACTTTACCTAACGTACAAGCGAGAAAGCAAAATTGCACCTCCTTCACGTTCTAGACCTGCCTTTCCCAGGTAGCCCTTGGCGACTGCTTCAATGGCACCGGCAGTCCAATCTGGCTGCTCTGCGGTATCGAATTGAGACAGGTCGAAAGGGATCATACAAATTAGCGAGAGCCATAGGAGGGTAACATAGCGCAGCGACCAGAGCGATGAGTCTGAAGGCTTTTCCAAAATCTGCATGAATTGCAAGGCGATAGACAAGTCCGTGACTTCATGAGGGAAGAATCTGACTAGATCGATCTGCCTCAGTTTCCCATCTAGCATATAATGGCGATGCAAGACAAACTAATGGTCTTATAGCCGCGACACTTGATATAGCTATACAGAAGAATCGTAAGACGCGAAAGTCTCGTCGTCGTGTGCGATGTCTGCTTGCTGGTTGCCATATGCCGAGCTTGTCCTTTTAACTTGTCCACGATGGGTGTGACGAGCACTTCTAGAAAAGGGTCTAACAAATAGGCCTGCTCCTGGTACTCATTAAGCTAAATGAAAAGGTTAGAGTCATGCCTACTGTTCAAGAGATATATGGATACAATATTAAGAAGCCTTTGTAGCAAGTTTGTTTCATTCCTCGTCTCGTCCACAGACGATTCAATATTCAAATCAGCAGTAAGGAGAGACTGTTGTAGGTGTGTGAATTCGTCATGCTTCTCAAACCTTGACAGAGCCTTTGGTTCAGCAGATTCTTCCATAGTAACGGACAAGCGAGGGAAAGGAACCGGTGGTGGTTTAGAAAGTCGAGTCGCAGTGGCGACCAATCGAGCGAGCCATATTTCCAGATTGGGACGAGGACGTAAACAGACTCAATCCTACTCCTTAACTTGATCCCTTATCCTTGTCTTATTCTCATACAACTTTACCTGGATGTCTGAGGGAAACCGTGGCACCAAGCGAAAGCGGTCCGCGCCTGAGGACGAGGTACGTGGGGTGTAAAATGTCAGATTAGGGCGACATACCTGAGCCTTCGTAGGAAGACCTGACAAACAGAGTGTCTAGGAAGCTAGTATGTCCTCGCTAGTGTTGGATCTGGCCTTCGTGCTTATCAGAGTAGCATCATAGCATTAAAGAGATCACGAAGTCAGCAAAGAAAGTCAAGGCCTTCGAGACGCAAAAGTTGGTGAAAAGGCTAAAAACACTCAGGTTGGCCTTGCTTCATCCCGTCTCGTATGACTTGTCGCCAACGCTTTATGAGAACAGGAAAGACTCTGAAACTAATTCGAGGGAGATCGAGGAGGTCGAGTCTCAATTAAAAGTACTCAAGGTGCGTAATTGCCTATATAACGAATTCACAAAATTAACCATGTACCATCAGAGTGTCGACCATGAACGAATAGGAAACAAAGCTATCAGAGGAAAGCTGAGAAAAGACAAAATACTATCCCGAAATGAGGCCATTGCATCTGCTATTTTAACAGAACTCCCTTTGGAATCCTTCAACGAGAATAACAGCCATGACCCCAAACTCGATGCTCGATTGCTCAGTTCCCGAGCCCTTTCTTCTGAGGTCAACTCTGTAATCTTAGCTTTGCGATCTATCATTCGACCCGACCTCGCCATCATTGTCGACCAATCTGCTCCTGCGCCTCGAAGAAGTCGAGCTAGCGACGCTGTCGAGCCTGTACACGAAGAAGTTGCCTCGGATCAGGAAGGAGATAGCGACGGCGACGACGGTGATGCTGCCCAAGCAGACGATGGATGGGAATCTGGGACGATCGACGACGATCATTTGACTGGCAAGGCAGATAGCGTGGACGGCTCTACTGTACAAGAGATCAGGGTATCTCCACCAAGAAAGGACGTGCCAGGCATATCTTCAACCCGTGGAGCCCGCCAATCAACCGAGCATACTCCCAAAGCCTCTTCTTCTGCCAGTACCAAGCCTAATCCGAAGACGAGTGGTGCAGAATCTACATTCCTTCCTTCTCTGTCGGTTGGCTTCACACGTGGTGACTCCGACGACTCCGATTGGAGCGATCATGAATCGAAACAAGTCGATCACGAGCGCAAAAATCGGAGGGGCCAGAGAGCGCGACGAGCGTAAGTCCTTCCTACCTTGACTGTTTCCCGAAATATCACAATTTCACAGAATCTGGGAGAAGAAGTACGGGAGGAATGCAAAGCATTTAAACTACGATGTGGCGGAGTCATCGTCACGCAGCAATGTACATCAGTCATCGACGAGATACAACGGAAGCAACACGCGCAATAATCCAGTCCTATCATCCCGGCGCCCGGAGCCTCTCAATGCAGCACCTCCCAGACATCCGCGAACCAATGGTTTTACCTCTACCCAAGGAGAGAGATCTGGAGTGTCATTTGGAGCTGCACCTGAGAAGCACAGTTTCAAGTCAAGGCAAGCTGCCCAAGAGGAGCGTCCGCTACATCCATCCTGGGAAGCGAAGAAAAAAACGAAACAGAAAGACAGCGGAGTCATCCTTCCTTCGCAGGGCAAACGCATCAAGTTTGATTAAACCAGCCTGAGTGATAAATGGCACCTTATCTCTCAAGTGCCTGTCATCGCTCACGCAGACCTCGTTTAGGTTGCCTAACATGGCTGATTTCTGCGACGGGCTTTAGGATGTCTTTTTTGAGGCCGTGACTATCGTCCGCTTTGGTTTCGCCCAGTATGATTTTTCATCTGTGACTCAAAAGTAAAGTTCTTGTAGATTTGGTCATATGCCCGCAGTGGGATATCATTATGGATGAAATCCAGGTCTGGTGCCTGGGACTTGGTCTTTTGATAGTGCTGTCAATGGCTTCGAGCACAATTCGTCAGAAAACACACTTTCATTAAGCATCGGAAGACTTCTACTCCCATCGCTCGTGATTACTCGATTCCCAGACTTCCATCTACATAGGTTGGTTCTTAACCTGCGAGCAAAAAGCGCAACAGACCCAATGTTCTTCACAGACAGACTGTTTGCAACAGCCTTCATCACTACTGCGTACACGTCTTCTCTATTTACGGAGTCATACTTCGACCCTCGCACAAGAGCATATACCGGGTACAGGCTACGGACGCCCAGGCGGTTTTGTTAATCATTATTCTCATCAAACTCAGTTGTAGCCTCGTGGAAGTAACAATCCAGCTATCAACTTGATAACGTCCTCGTTGAGGTGAGCTGTTTTCTTTTCGTGCTTTTGTGGTAAGCAGTGCTACACGGTTCTTTCCTATGATGATGCTGAGACGCAGTGGCGCAGGAGATATTTTGTGCTTTAGAAATTCGGGACGATTGCCACCAAGTAAAAAGGGGTTGACATCGACAGATGTTTCACGGAAGGGTCAAATTCGACTGCGATGCCACCAAGACATTGAATTGTCGGATTTTCGTCGCGGGATCATCTTCTGCCTTGCCATGAGACAGCTGATCACGCTTCTCACCACGAGAATGATTTTGGATCATTAGCGCTCCTTGGCCAGCTACCACCTGACCTCCAGGAGCCTTGCGAAAGTAATGTATTTTCTCCTTCTGTCAGTGCCTTAGGGCGACCAGGCCCGGCGGGAAGCATGTTCGGTGAAGCATTTCCCTCGACTACCTGGCGTATACAAGCTTATTTCAAATCCTACACACCATCGTGTCCAGGGATAAAAGCAGATAAAAGCCCGGGCCATAAGACTGTGTTCCTATCAAGCCCGCGAGCTTCTCTTCGCCTGACCACCTTCCTCCTGAGACAACATGAGTAGGTCAACTAAACAGCATCGATCGTCGGAAGATGTCAAGCCTCACGCTGGGGTCCAACACTTGGAGAAAAAGATTATGACACCTGAAGAGAGACAAGCCGCCTTAACATCAGCGCTTGCTGTTGATCCTGGCGTAAAGCCTGGGTCCCGACGCGCTTTCCAAGTATGTATATTCATCGTCTACTCTGCGTGCGCACTACATCTTGCATTCAGCTATACTTGATCGTACTGTGTGCCTGTTGCTGCTCTGGTGATAGTGGGTTCGACGGAACGGTCTGTTGGTCTCTCAACATCGTCACACAGTTTCAATCAATTCAACGACCATTCAGGTTATGGGTGGGATCAATGCCATGACGCAATACTTACACTATTTCGGAATGAGCAGTGCTGGCGCTAAAACGAGGTGCGTCGTGATTTGAGAGGACTCTACTTTGACTAGCTCACGAGAATCATCCAGCATTGTCTTTGGTATTTTCACCATGTACGTTGTCAACAGTGATTTCAACAGTCTGAGCTTTATTGACTCTACCCGTGGGCAGTGGGTCACTTGTGTACGTAACTGCTTCACCGCGCAAGGATCCTTGGCTCACTTTCAGTTCTCATACTCGTACAAAACAGTGGTGCTCTTCCTGCTTGTGAGCTTCTGTATTTTGGCTCAGATAACAGGCTCTGAAATCAGATGTTTCCCAGCATATCTACCTGATCGATTCGGACGGCGGGTTTCCATGTTTACAGGGAATTCTATTCTAGTGTTCGTATATTTCTATCCTTTTTGGAACACTATTGACTTCTGCAAATCCTCCAGCATTGGCGCCACTGTAACTGCAACCGCTAAAAATCGTAGTACCTTCATTGGCGGACGTTTTTTGACTGGCTCGTACATCAGACTGTTGCTATTCGTCGTGTTGTAATATCTCCCCGCTAGGTCTTGGGTCTGCCCTCGCAGGAGCATCTGCCAAATCCTACCTTGCTGAACTCACGCCCCCTCAATCGAGAGGATTGTTCCTTGGCATTTTGAATTCCTTGTAAGTCACGTCCATGTGTCCTCAGTGTACAATTTTCTCAAATCCACTTTATGGCAGCTATTATGTGGGACAAATGACTGCGACTGGAATGATGGTTTCCACAGGAAAATTTTCTTCCAACTGGTCGTGGCGCCTTCCCCTATTCATTCAGGTCTGATCGTCTCTCTCGTCCATAAAAGTGCTGATGATATCGATGCTCATTCTGGATAGATTGTTCCAGCCAGCCTGAACATAATTTTTGTGTTCCTTTGTCCTGAATCGTATGTGCTACCATATCGTTAATTTGGTTCTGTTGACTCTGATATCATGCAGACCTAGGTGGCTCTACTCAGTGGGGAAGGTTGATCAAGCTCGGGGTATTTTAGCCAAGTTGCACTCGAGCACAGGTGATCTCCATTCCCCTCTAATTGACCTGGAGATGGCCGAGATTGACGAGAAGATTACGATCGGTGGAAGCGACAGTGCGTTTTTGCGTTTCTGTTTTACAAATCATGCTTCATTAGTCTTTAGAACGGTGGTGGGATTTCAGACCTCTTTTTCGCACTCGAGTGGATCGTTACCGAGCATGGATGGTCATTCTTATGGGCGCATTCGGCCAGCTGTCAGGGAATGGTCTCATCACCTATTTCCTTCCCGTGTTGCTCAGGAATGCTGGCATCACATCTCAGAACAAGCAACTCACGCTTAACTTCGTCAACTCCGTCACTTCATTCCTTGGTGCTCTCGCTGTGAGTTTCACCATTAAAGCTGGAATATGCCGACAATTCATCATGAGAGCTCTGTCGCTCTAGGGCTCCGCATCCGTCGATCACATCGGCAGACGAAGACTCCTCCTCGTATCAACTGGACTACTGGTAGTGACCCTGTCCATTGTCACAGGTCTTCTAAGTAGCACCGGAAGTGCCGCATGCTCTAATGCGGGCATCTCGTTTATATACCTCTTCATGGTCATCTTCAGTTTTGGATGGACACCAATGTAAGATTTTTGCGCTCCGCGCATGAAACCTTACTGATTGGTAGTATCTTAGGCAAGCTCTGTATGGTACAGAAGTTCTGAGTTACGAAGCTCGAGCCAAAGGTCTAGCCTTCCAGAATATCGTAACTCAAGCAGCCTCTTGTATCAACACGTTTGCGTAAGCCTGTTTATTGTCATCTAAACTTCTGAGTCTCTCTGACTTTTCTGGACAGCCTTCCAATTGCGCTGGACAAGATCAATTGGAAAGGTAGGCATTCGACTTGCATTTCGTAATACAAAATAATGACTGGCGTAACATCAGTCTACATCATCTTTCTGGTGTGGGATGCGTTCGAATTCGTTGTGATCTATTTCACATTCGTTGAAACGAAAGGACTTACTTTGGAAGAGATCGACGAGATATTCCACCAACCTAACCCCAGGAAATATTCTACCTCACATAAGTTCAGGGCCTCGCCCATCCGTGAAAATGCAGACGTTTAACTTGAGGGCTCGTGATCATGAGGGGAAGGAGATATTGAGTTATGTAGTACCCAGCTGTACCCATCGTGTTACCGCTGCAATCAACATGTCCTAGCTCTTGCACTGTCGTTATTTCCGTGGCCTACATTTTGAGCTATTAAATAGCCTCAATATACTACACCAGGCTTTCAAGGAAAGATTTCCCTAGCAATGCTCTCGGATAAGACCTCAGACGTACGGTGGAACAGGCTTATACCCAGTCGCTGATAAGCCGTACCCGTGGGATTATTATGCGATATTGTCTGTGTAGCCTATCTTGGCTGAGTCTGCACATTCTCCCCTATGTCCTTCTCACTTGCTGCCAGCTTTCGTAGATCTCTTCCTTCCTTTTCACGGCATTTTCAGAATAAAGCGCTAGATCGGCCAGTACCCCCCTCAAGAGGTAAGTCTTTGAATGCCCGACGTTCCATTTCACTCAGCTCGATCTAGGGTCTATTACCAGTGCCGAGGCATTTCTGAAGGCAATTGGCCGCTCCTCCGAGACCAAAGTATCGTACGAGGCTTGGGATCAGCTATGGAGAACCAATGGCCATGACCTCAAAAAAGCTGGTCTGTCCGTTCAAGACAGGAGGTATGTTACCACGTATATAGGTCGTGAAGTTGACTCACGACGGGCTCCTTAGGTATATCCTGTGGGCAATGGAGAAATATCGTCTTGGTAAAGACCCATCTGAATTTGCCTACGAGGTTAGTAAGAAGAAGAAGATTAGAGGGTGCGTTTGTCTTCTCGTAGGCTATAGTTAATTCCTGACGTCCCGCACAGGTGGGGACCAGCCGTACAGAATGGAAAAAGGATACGTTCGCGTCGGCACCAGTAATACGGTCAATCAGTCATACCCTCTTGCATTTACGCTAGCTTTATACATCTCAAGAAGCAGAGGTTTTGATCTAGCTACTACAACATGAAAGATCGATTAATCCGGAAACCTACGGTCTACGTGTGATACTTCAAGCCGTTGATGCTAATTTTCTCAGAGAAACATCATACACAACTGACGTACGGGATGAGAGTCTGTTGTGAAGTCAAGAAAACAATTCTTCACCTTCTTCTATTTTCTTGATGTCATATTTTAGGCTATCGTACCGGCGACGTAGTAGATCATTTTTAAGGTTGAGCTTTCAAGGGCGGATACATAACCCAATACGTATAACATGCGAGAGGGCGTACCATGGAGAACCCAGAGAATACATCTTTAACAAAGAGTGATATTCTGATAGGAGCTTCGAAGTCGCCGAGGGTAACCGCGTTCACGGCCAGACGAGACTGTTTTGACGTCCTCGTCAAGTGGGATGGTTGGCTGAGGAGACATTGACCCAAACATACCAGTTCGTTCACCATTGTGATTAACCCATGAAGATAGTCCTCGACACTCAGTAAAAACCTGTCCTTCCATTCTTCTTTGACTGGCGGCATTGTTAGCACGATCGATACCTGTCGATACGAGATGCATTACTCACTGCTCAACTGTTCGTTGACGTCCGCCAATGGTAGGAGGACTCCATGGGATAGATACTCTATAAGGGCCGCAGCGAATACTGCAGTCCGTAGGGAGTTCGTCCACATATCCTTCCATCGCCAAAACTGGTTTGCTGGTATCAAATTGGCTAATGCACTGTTGGTTTCCTGACAACTCTGGAGCACTGGACGCACAGAATCCAATAGAGCAGGAACTGGTGTCCATTTAGAGCTACGTGAGATACAGAAAACGAAAGAGAAGGCCTACGATCCGCCGAATGTGTGGAATGAATCTTGTTTAGCATACCAACAACAGTTCGCATTTTTTTGTCGAACTCGGTTACTTGCTCTTTGATTTTCTGGTTGAGGAGATAGGAAGATTGAAATTTTCGTGTGTAGGATTGATGATTTACTCACTTCCCTGAGTACCACATCACTTTCAAGCAATGAGTTGATGATATCGAGATCTTGTGGGTCCATGGAGGTCCTGGCCGCAAAGGAGTCAATGAGTGTAATTGGGCTCACGTGGTCTCGCGTTATAATTATACGGCGGCAGCCGGTGGCTCAAATGATCAAAGGTTCGACGCGATTCCTCGAGTTGTGCCACAGCGCCTACAATCATCTGCCTCGTTCACGATCTTCAGAGCCATCCATCGACCGCCATAAGTAGAGTGCTTCTCCGAAATACGCGTATTGACGCTCAATACCTGACCCTAAGGTCGGCCTTTGGCTACATATGTCTGTCGAGGTCTCATCCAATGACCCGCAGCAATTGGATGCAATTCTCACCCGGTTTCGTGACGAGCCCGTGGATTCAGGCGGCGATGTCGATACTCTCTTGCCTCCTATTCTTCAATTTCTCATGGATCGTCGGACTGGCTCCGATGGCTTGTATCACTGGTTTTGCGACCGTGCTTCTCAGCTTACTTTAAAGGCTGCTACGTTTTTGCTGCGGCTCTTTGCTTACGACAATGGTCGAGTTGAAGAATGGAAGATACGTCTCCAGTCAATCTTACAGTCTTGTCATGCGTGCGCCCAGGGTTTACAGGAAGCGAAATTGAACTGCCAGCAGACGTGAGTGTGTGTGGTGAATACTTCTTCGTTTACGACTTAACACATTGTCGTCAGATACCTTTCCGCTTTTCCAGATGATACAATTGCATCGTTCTTCAGCAGCTTCAACGAATGGGAGCTGGGAATCGTATTTGATACGTTTCAGTCTGGTCCAGGGCCTTCGCCACTCGCTACCTCTTCGACTGCTATGTCAGTGACTTTTTACCACTGGGTTTCTAATTTGCACATCGTGGGGGACGAACGAATCATCTCCAAAACTCGACCTCACATTCCTTCGAAACCCTTCGCTAACTGGCCTGATGGAACTCCACCTCCCGGCCTCTTCTATCTTGTCATGCATGAGGACTCAGTTCTTCGTTCGTGGGCCAGCTCGCAGATATCTTACCACCATAAGGCCATAGAGGTTTCAACAAGCAAATCTTTACCCCTCTATATCACTGCTTTTGAGACTGTGGCGTCGGCTCTAGGTACTACGCCAGGGTACCTTACCTCGAACGGGCACCCAGGTTCTAGATCGTTATACCGCGATCTGGCCCTTGGCGCGAGCACCTTCCCTTTTTCAAAGGATCCAATAATACTCTGGTCTGGCTTCCGCGTCGCCCTGCGTCATTTTCCGCAGGAGTTCCTCAAGGCAGGAGTTTATACCGGTCTAGACGTTCGCCACATCACTGCAGGACATCTACACGATGTCGGCCCTCGTCAGTTCTTATCTTCTGTATCTTGCCCAAATGCGCTAAATGATCATCAGAATTCTTCGATGTATTGCGCTGTGTGCTATTTTTCCTCAAACATCTCGGCAGTAACACATGGGAAGGAGAGGGATCAGATTATTCTATCATGGTATTTGATTCGATAAAGGATAATCCTCAATTCTCGGACCACATACTAGGCATACACGATGCAGACGGACTGCCATGGACATTGCTTTGGTTCTCTGAGTATATCCTGAGCGCGTGGAGTCTCCCAATATTTGGAGGGCTTCTCGCCAAAATGGTCGATTTCCTTTGCGAGGAACTTCAGCATGAACGTTTCCAGGAATCACGCTCAACGACCATGATTGCGGCCGTTAATGCAAGTTCATTGGTCTATATTGTATTCGCATAATGACTGACTATGAATCAGCTATTTCGAACAATTCTACGGAAGTGTGAGGAGACTTCTGCCACGAGCCAACTCACTGATACGCTCAATGTGCTGGACATCCACGCAGACCGATTCGTCGCGATTGCGTTCGCGCAGTCATACCGTGGTCCCAATTGGGCCAAGGCTCGAATCGCTTGTCGCAAACTTGTTCAAAGTATCCTACGAAGGGATGTTCAAGATGTGAATAGGACGATCGCTCATCTATGCCGTGCCATCGCTAAACCAACAGAACCGGCAGCTATGCTGCTGCCTAGAGTCCCAAAGTCAATTTGGAAGAAGGTATATAATGATATTCAGGCCGATGACCCTGATGGTGTTGAGATGATCATCTCCTCTATCGCACTCTCTGCGCATCTGGACACGCTCTCATCAAAGGCCTTCAGCACCGCAAAGAAGGTGTATTCTCAGGCGTCGGTGGCCATCGCTCGGGTCAATGCTTGCATTGTGACATTCCGCGAGGGGTTTTTGGATATGGTATCCAACTATACCAATCACAACTCATCTTCTGCTGTCAAAGAGCTGATCCACCGCCCGTCGATGACAAAGGCAGTCACATTCCTGATGTTATGTCCTGACAACGATATCCAACTGGCTGCTCAGACACTTATTGGGCAAGCTTTCGACGTCGATATCCGATCTGAATGTTTCCGCGCCCTCCTAGAGCACATCCCTTATTCACTTTCCGCCATCTTCGAATTCATCCGAACCTTCGTGGAATACGTGATCATGGCTCCAGAAGCATGCAACTTGTCGAAGGCTTTGGTCCAGTGCTTGACTGACGTGATTGAGGTTCTTTGCTCTAGCTCGGACGGTCTGTTACAGGAGGATGCCACATCGAAGCGAGTGGGACCGGACTTGCCGGAACTTTGGAGTCTCATGACGCAGGCACTAGCTCTGATCTTCAAAGGGACTCCCGCATGGTCTCTGTATTTCGAGTCTGAAGAGCTGATCATCTGGATGAGAGACGCCTTAATCTTTGGTCGAGAGATGCTGGCGCAGTGGAGAGTGTTTGAGACTGCCGCTGTCCAAGCCTCAGACACGACATCATCGTCTGCAACGACAAGGCGAAAGCTATCTCAAATTGGCAGAAAGATGGTGGACGACATGCAGCAAGTCCTTCGCGAGTTGGCACGCTGGCTCCGCCTTACCGATGAAGAGCTGTTACACCAGTCTTTTGCCCTCTTCCATTCGCTGCTCGGTTGTTTCAAGGACACTCATACTGCTCCCGACCCCGATCTTATCGCGAAAGTTACCAGACACATCGAGGCAGCTCGTAATCCTAGGAATGGTCTTCCCCAATCTCGGCTGGACTCCGCGCGCTTGTCGAAATTAGAGGATGCTCTCGAGTGGTTCCAAGAAGGCGATATTGAGATCATATCCCATACACCAGCGCTCAAGAAAGAGGCTCGACATACCGAGGAGCTCAAGCACAAATTAAGCAGTCGAGTGCCTGACCGCACATCTCGAACTGGCTCCACTTCTGCTCATCCACAACTTTCCAAGTCAACCAAGTCAATTTCCACGAAACATGAGCAGAAGATGTCAAATATGGGCGCGCCGGCACCCCCGATGCCCAAGTTCAAAGATTCACAGCTTTCGTTAGCGGCCAGCATTCGGCTGAATAAGAAGAGAAATCAGCTTGTCTCTTCATCTGCAGGTGAAGAGTCCGGCGACGAAAACAGCGACAATGAAAGTAGAATTACAGACCTAGGGGATATGCAACGCGCACACAAAATCAAGAAGCTTCCTACTGGACCCCGCAGAATCCAATTAATAGATGCTCCCACCACCGCTAGAAATGCAGCATTGGAGCGGGTCAGACAGGCGAATGCAATTCAAGATGCTAGGAAACTCGCATTCCGCCTTAAACCTGATGTAACGGCACTTCATCGGACGGTCTTATCATGGACATACGACCATCCAGGGGGTGAGCCTCCAACCGCGAAGAAATTAGATCTAGTGCGCATTCCGGATCAGTTCATCGATCATGATCAATATCGTAACGTCTTCGAACCTCTGCTCCTGCTTGAGTGTTGGGCGCAGATTGTACAGTCCAGAGAAGAGCCTAAGGATGTCTATGAATGCAAGTTGACCGCACGATCTTTTATGGACGACTGGCTAGACGTGGATATCCTCATCTCCGAGCCTGTCAAGAGAGGCTGGTTCCTCACCGATACCGATATAGTACTCTTGCAGCATCCCGCAAAGAAGGCATCCATCCTCGGGAAAGCAATGAACTTTAGGACTATGCCTATCGGTATCCAGTCTGTTCAGGCCACTATTCGGTGCTTTGTGGGCAATGGCACGGATCCCGGATTACAACAGGGATCCACTTGGCGTGTCTCCAAGATTTTCAGGTAAGAAGAGTCGCAGTCAATCCCTGTCTACATAGGTGATCCTGACCTCGTCTGAAGTCTCAGCACGCTACACCGCGAATACGGAGCACTCGTTGCATTGCGATATTATGATCATGCCTCCTTCTTTTTGAGACCTGAGCTGTCAAAGAAGCCGCAAATCGACCGCAAGGATATTCAGCAGACAATGGCCTCGTATAATGTCAATGAGCCTCAGGCAGTCGCGATTGCGAGTGCTATGCGGACCGAGGGATTTTCTTTGATCCAAGGGTGTGTAATTTCGTCTTCTCGTGCGCTATTTGAGATCATTCAATCGTACTATTAGACCTCCAGGGACTGGAAAAACCTCAACGATTTGTGGCCTTGTTCAGTCATTCTTGGCGAACCGTCCTCGTGCAGCAACTGCAATTCACATCGGACAGCCTTCAAGGCAGCCAGACAAGCCTATACCGAAGAAAGTCCTGCTTTGTGCCCCGAGTAATGCTGCTATTGACGAGCTTGCTAATCGTGTCAAGGATGGCGTTACTGGATCTGCGAAAGGAAACATAGTGCCGAAGGTTGTCCGCGTCGGTGCCGAGAAAGCGATCAATATCAGCGTTCGTGATATCTCGCTGGATTCCCTCGTTGACCAAAGACTCGACCATTTTGGAGAGACTAAGAACCCCAGCGAATCTCAAAGCGAAATGGCCGGCCTTCGGAATGAGTTGGAATCGATTCGTGTCTTGAGGCAGAAGAAACAAGAAGAACTGAAGTCGCTTCGAGACAATCCAGCAAAATATTCCGCCATAGATGCTGAGGTTAATAAACTCTCAGCTCAGCACAGCAATCTTCGCAAACGAGTTAATCAGATGAAGGACAAGCAGAAATCTGACAACCGTACCCTGGATGCCACTCGTCGAAGATTTCGTCTCGATGTTCTTATGGAGGCTGATGTTATATGCAGCACTCTTTCTGGCGCTGGACATGACCTTCTCGAGGCACTGGACTTCGACTTGATAATCATTGACGAGGCAGCGCAGGCAATAGAGCTAAGCTCCCTCATTCCACTGAAATATCGGTTTTCGCGATGTGTCATGGTGGGAGGTGAGCTCACTGTGATCCCACAGCTATCCCTTCTGACTTGTCTCAAGACCCCCAGCAGCTGCCACCGACGGTCATTTCACAGGAGGTAAACTCATAATGCCTACCCTGCCTTAATCTCGGTTTAACATCCAACCTCAGGCCAGCAAGTACCTTTATAACCAATCTCTGTTTGTTCGCCTTCAGAAACAACACCCAGATTCTGTTCATTTGTTGAGGTATGCCTTTTCTCTTTCTCAACCCTTCGACCCGTCTACTTTCTTACATCTATCACAGTATTCAGTATCGTATGCACCCCGACATCAGCCAGCTACCCAGTCGAATCTTCTACCAGGGCCGGCTGCACGACGGTCCTGGGATGGCTGAAAAGACTACGCGCTCTTGGCATAGCGACTCGAAATTTGGAACGTACCGATTCTACAATGTTACTGGAGGACAAGAAACTCCGGGAAATTTTCACTCTATCGTGAACAGAGCCGAGATTCAAATCGCTGTAGCTCTTTATTCTCGTTTGGCCAAAGATTGTTCCTCAGAAGACTTGGACTACCAAGTCGGCGTTGTATCTATGTATCGAGCCCAAATTATCGAAATGCGTCGCGCTTTCGAAATTCACTTCGGAGCAGACATTGTGGGTAAAGTGGATTTCAATACAGTGGATGGATTTCAAGGGCAGGAAAAGGACATTATCATTCTCTCCTGTGTGCGTGCAGGTCCCGGTTTACAGAGTGTCGGATTCTTGGCTGGTAGGTTGATCTGCCATCAATTTGGTCGATTGACGTTGACAGTATAACAGATGTTCGACGAATGAATGTCGCCCTAACCCGTGCTCGTGCATCCCTCTTCATCCTTGGACACGGCCCAACACTAGAAAGAAGTGACGAGACTTGGAAAAGTATTGTTGGCGATGCAAGGTCACGATCTTGCTTAATCGACGTAAGATTCAGGAGTCAACTATTATGTTTGATGTACTGATTTTTTTCTTTGAAGGTGAACGTCAAATATTTTACTCTTCCTAGCCAGCCTGTAATATCTGCTCCGAAGCCCTCGAAACCAACGGCCATTTCACGCACGACGCTGCCCACCGGCTTGGCGACTCCTCAGGAGCTGAAGGCATCCATGACCAGAAAGTCTTCATCTGAAACTTACGAGCCTCCGGCAGCCGATCTCTCAACGGAACGTCCATTGGAGCATTTATCAGAACACACGCCGTCGACCACTGCGACTAGCGAACTAAAGGTGCAGATAGGACAAAAGAGACCAATACCTGAGGACGACGACAAAGATACTTCTGCCCAACCTTCAACAGTGAAGCCAAAAGCCAGACCTCCGGTCAAGCGTCAGAAACAAGGGCCAAATATATTCATACCTAAGAAAGTATGTCATCATAACTCCTCGCCAGGTTACTTTTATTGATATTCTGTTTGAAGCGACCTCCGTAGAAATGACCACATTTGTCTTAGCTCTGTCATAGATATCATAATTGCACAAATATACTTTAGCATAGCATCTTCGGTACCCGCTTTGGATTGGATTGACCAATCATTATACAGACTCTTTTATTGGAGGCAATTCCCATCCTGCTGGACCGAATTTTGGTATTACCACAAGATTTCCAGCACTGTTCTTCACTGGCTTCGAGAACGTGCACAAAGATGACTTCCCTAAAGACGACAACCAGGCCGCGTTGATCACGGTACAACCTTGCGGATATGAGTGTCAGATGACATCTGAAAGAGACAACACTAGCAAGACCACCTTTGAGCCACACACGGCTGGTTTTGATCACCTCATGAAAGACAATGAAATCTGGCGGCAATGTGGTCGTGAGTACAGATGATGGATGAATATAAACATCTTCTGCGATGCCCAAAGCTTGATAAGGGATGCCGCTTGACGTCGTATATTGATCGCCTGATGCTGAGTCTTTGAGAACCAGATCTTTTCGGATGGCAACTTGGTCAATGAAGCCGGCTGCTAAAAGTTGTCGCAGAACCTTGAGCTGACGACAACAAGTACACTCAGAAATGACTTTGAATCATATGTCATAGCCACACATACCTGGAGGTCACTCGGCGGTGCAAGGTCGGGTGTAAAACCTCCATCTATGTTAGGGAAGTTTGTGCTGACAATATTGCTGATCTGTGCGCGCAATTTATGGATTTCTTCCATCGCCTAGTGGGACATCAGTTCATGAAAAAAGGCAAAAGAGGTAGACGAAGTGCACCTTTGGCCTTACGAAATGCTCCGCACAAAATTTCTGTCCTCCTCCCGCGTACTCATATGCGCCCACGACTGAGAGAATTTTGAACAGGTCACTCAATGAATTACCAAGAGAGGCATGGAGCTGCAACGCGTGAGAACCCCTCGCCAATCCCGAGTTGCTGAGCACACACCTGCTGAGATTTAAAGAATGCTCGACGACGCATTTTCCTTAACTCCTTTGCCTTCATCTTGTCACTAGTGATGTGGGATAGCTCGTCATCCGAACCGCTGTCCGGCGATTGCAAGCCGTCTATAGCTTCTTCACGCAAAAATGGGTCGCCGACGGATAAGGCCGAGACAAGGGCGATGACATATGGCAGACAACCATGCTGCCGACCACTGACCAACATTTTTGAAAACCGAGGGGACAATGGGAATAAAGACATTGTCCTCCCCAGCTCTGTGATCTTTCCTCCAACAGTGTTTGGGAGTTCCGATGAATTCTGTATCAGCTGAAGTGATGGCACAATTGCTCCCAGATGTGTCAAAACAGTCTCCGCCTGTCGCAACGTTGATCGATCTGGAGGTGTTGGAAACGGAAAATTCACGACGGCGTCAATATGCATGCTCTTCATCTGCAATACTACACCTTCGATCGGCATGCGAAGGATCTCCGGCTGTGTAAACTGGTCGAAGTAGTTCTCGAACACAGCCGAGGAATATAGTCGGTAACAATGACCAGGGCCGGTACGGCCAGCACGCCCGGCACGTTGAGCTGCGGATGCTTTCGATATCCAGCTGATTTGGAACGATTGTATCCCATTGGCGACGTTATACCTGCGCTGTAGAACTGCTTAGGGACTGATAGAACGGCAGGCCTCTGCACGTACCTCTTTCGCCCTTCCGCAATCTATGACATATCGTATACCAGGGATCGTGAGAGATGTTTCGGCGACATTGGTAGAGACAACAACTAGTCGATGCCCTGGAGGAGGAGGTTGGAATACACGCATTTGTTTGTCGGTGGGTAAAAGGGAGTATAAGGGTATAATGTGCATTGGTTCTGTGATCAAAATTCAGGTAAACTTCACGGAACAATAGCGCGTAACAGTATATACCGTCAGATTCGTCGGTATCTATCCCCAACGCCTGTTCGTCCATCTCCTCGTCGTCTGTGTCCAATGCTTCCGCATCTTCCTCAGCAGTCTGCTGGCCATCTACGTCAAGGGCTAGATCAGCTTCCTCCACGTTTCCGAGGTCAATGTCCTCGGCCTCGACGTCCGCTTAAGATGCTAGTCAGCGAGCTCGTAACTTGATGAGAAGGCCGGAAAGGAATACCTTGAGCTGGTCTGACAGCGACGGTGTCACCCGCATCTCGAAAGAAATTATGAGCATCTGACCGCTCTTGAGTGACCTTCTGTCTCTTCTTCCTATCTTGCAGTGCTCTTGCACCGAATTTTACCTCGAGCTTTCTGCATACGCCAGCAATCTCGTTCTGCCCGGTGAGGAATATGAGGATGCCGCCAGGGGGTAATCGTGAGTGAATTTTTGACGCCTTGCGAACAGCCTCAGTCACGTAATCGGAGCCTGTCCGGCGGCTGAAGTGGACTGTGACGGGATGTTGACGTGCAGAAACGTTGATGATCGGTGGCGGCGTAGCAAACAAAGTTTTGTTTTCTGCGAAGTCGTTTACACGAAGAGTAGCAGACATGATTATTAATCGGAGAGGCTAGAGGATAAATGAGTTATATGCGTCCATGAACCAAGTGTGATGCACAGACCTTCACTCTATCCTTTCCTTCTTTCCACATGTCTTCTCTGAGCTTGATGACACGACTGAGCACACCTATTAAGATATCCGTATTCATACTTCTTTCGTGCGCCTCGTCAATGATTACAACAGAGTATTTCAGCAACAGAAAGTCCGTCGCAAGCTCGCGCAGCAAGACGCCATCCGTCATAAATTTGATTGATGTCGAGGGAGATACAGTCGCATCGTAGCGGATTTGATACGAGACGCGAGATGATGTGAGGGACAGCTCGTGGGCGACACGTGAAGCCATTGACATAGCTGCTACACGTCGAGGTTGTGTGACTCCGATCATACCAGGGTTGTCTAAGACGCCGCTTGAGTATTATACCAATGGTAGCAAAAAAAATGGACATACCGCTCCCTGGAGAACCGAAACCAGCCTCATACAAGAATTGAGGGACCTGCGTTGTCTTTCCGCTTCCGGTCTCACCGCATATGATGACCACAGAATTCAAGAGAATAGCCTCTATGATCGGCTGCTCCTCCGCCACAATAGGCAGGAGCAGCCTCGAGTCTTCGACGTCCGCGGGTCGGGTGACCGAAACTACCTTCTTGGTTGCTGTGTCTGTCTTGCCAGCAGCTTGTAGGTGTTGTGCTAACGAAGTGGAAGGAAGCTGGAAATCCTCGCCCAGAGGCCCCCGCATCTCTCCCGACGGGTCGATTTTCCGCTTTTTCTTCGGCGGAGGGGGTTCGTCAGTGGGATCGGATGGAGCCTGTTCTGAAGTGGATTCTGAGGGAACAGGAGCGACGTAGCCTTTTGCTGCGCTGAGTTGAGACATGGCCCATGCTTTGAACCCGGCGCGTTTGGGTTTCGAAAGCGGAGATTCCTCCTCCTGCTCTGCGCCGCCTTCATCAGAGCTTGAGCCATCCCCAGAACCACCATCACCCTCGGTTTCGTCCTCGCCCTCATTTTCCAAATCCTCATCCACTCCTTCGTCGGAATCATTGCCTGAGTCTGAGCTGTCGAAGGACGAGTCCGAGTCCGAGTCCATAGGACCTTGTGTAGAAGGCAATCCTTTCCTCCATTTTTTGAGGATCGTCTGTATTTCGGTAGTCAGATAGCCCTTCTCCATAGAACGTTTCACTAACTTACCCCGCTGCTCTTTGCCTTCTTCGGCACGGTTCGAGGAGCGATGATAGAGCCATCGGCATTGCGCTGCAAGGCGCTCCCTACAGCTGGTGAGACTTTCGACTTCGATTCCTGGGCTGGCGGGATGTAGCTGGAATCGAAGAGAATTATTGGCTGCGATCTGGTCGCTCCATAGGATTTTTGCCCCTTCTCTCTACCGGTCGGCTCATTAACCTCCATGAATTCACCCGTCCCCTCTTCCAGACCATCGAGGTCATCATCCTCACTGTCTGCCATCGCAGCGAGTCTTTCCGCCCCATATTTTCTCTTCCCGACCCGCCCGTCAAGTGCGCGGCGGATTTCCTTGTCCTCCAGTTTATCGAGATGGTCCTGGTGAGTAATGGCCTTTCCGGTGCCCAGAAAGGAAGATGACTGTAGATGTAGCGTCGTGGGCAGTTCGGCTTGGCTCTTGCTGGAGAGATTCAGTCCAAGTTGAGACCACGAGATGTAGGACTTACGATAGCTTCTCAAACAACTCTAGCCGTTCCTCTTTCTTCAATTTCTTGTCCTGAATAGACTTTTCAGTATACAGAAAATGAACAAACATTGGGTCCAATTACAATATATTTGTCGAGCTGTTTCTTCTTTCTGCTTGACACTTTGGAAGTCGATTCAGCGAGAAGCTACACACGGACTGATGAGAAGGCCGTCAGCCCTGAAAAGCGAGACTAGCGACGAACCTCTTGTCTCATCTTCTCTCTCCTATCGAGCTCTTTTGCCTCAGCCGATTTAAGTTCCAAGACATCCGCGTTCGGATCGACGGGCTGCTGTTCTGGCACGCCATCGTGTTTCTTCGTCCGCGTCTTGCTTTTCTTGTGGGAGGAACCCGCGACAGAGTGGCGGGCTTTTGCGTTGTATCTTTCCGGCCGTCGATGCATGATGAGGGAGATATACTCGAGGTATAGGCAGTTCAGACTCAAGGTAAAGTTGAAACGGTCAGGAGCGGGAGCAGCGCGCGTCAAATCTCGACGCGCAGAATTTTTGATCAGCTCCATTATCAGATAAGATAAGATAAACGTGAGTGAGTACAACAATCCTCTACCGATACAGGCAGTCTACGAAATACAGAGCCCTTGACCCGCAAGGCCGCAACATGTCGAATAAAACGAAGAAATAAGAAAAACATCGTGAAAGCATTCATGACCTGAATCGAAAGTTCAGTTGGAGACAGCTACGAAGGCGTTGTAGTTGTAGGTCTGCGGGCTCCCGTTGAACGTGAAGCCTTGGGGGTGGAAATCGACGACAGTCTTTCCGTTGCGTGCAATTGTGCCGTGCATCGTCCCTCCGGCGCTGATGGGTATCGAGAGCTTGTTCATGCCCGCGGGGACATTGAACGCCTGCATCTTGCCGTTGCCTGTTGAAAGCGTCACAGTCGCGGGAGCGGTGGTCATTGCGACCGCCCAGAGTGCATCCTCAGTCTGCACAAAGTATGAGAGCGTTCATATATATATATATAAAGATAGAGCATGAACATACCAGTTCAAAGTTCGCCGGCTTCCCAACGGGGTCTGGCGCGTTGGCGTCCCGCGGATGAGTACGCGACCACATGTATATCTTGTCCTTCGTGATCGCGGGATAGGCGCCCGTCTTGAAAGCAGTAGCATAGTACGAGGTCATGTCAAGCCAGCCTACAAGTAATTGGTTAGATGCTGTCAGCAGGCGAAGCGATCACGGAGAATGACGAACCCGTGTGGTTGAGTCCGTCCACCCAAGCTTGGCTATTCGGCTGAGCGCCTTCGATAGGACCAATATAGTGCGATTCGCCGTAATCGTTCCATGTGACGATCTCGACAATATCAACTTTGTCGCGCGAAGAGATGAGGGTCTCCCAGCGTGCCGGGTATAGGTGCGAATCCGCATAATAGATGAACTGAAGATGGTTTCAGATACGGAGTGTCATCAAGAACAAGAGGTGAACGTACATTCTTGTTGAATGTCTGCGGACTGTAATGGGTGAAAAACCAAGGTGAGACGGTGGCCATGTATGCGCGTTTACGCCCCTTGTTCGACATGGTGCTGAGACCCTTGATATATTGGGTATCGCTGTCTGTCGACGTGACGAATCTCGACAGGGTTTTCTGAACGATAGACCCAACTGACGATGTAAGTGAAGATAGGCTAACTCCAACAGAAGATAGTATAGAGTTGGCAGAAGAGGTCGTCAATGTGATTGGCCAGCCCGAGTTCCACTTCGAATTGAAAAGACGTCAGAGCTATGCCGGTACAGAATTGACTGAAACCTACGTTGAGCGCGCCGTCCATGGCATCGTTGAACGTAGAAAAGGTGTTGGGATCCACAAAGAACGACGGCACAAAGTACACTGCATTTCTCCCAGTCAACTGTGGATGCTGCGTAAACTGCGACGACCAGCCCTGCGCAGGCGACGCCTGGCCGAAAGTGCATGATTCTCCAGCGAACGTGGAGACGAACACTCTGCCGTCGTAAATGAGCTGGTTAGGGTGCATTGCATAGGTGGTGATGTAGTTGCGTAGAGTCGCAGCGTCGTTCGGACTCGAACAAGGCAAAGAACTAGCAGAAATGAATATGTTCGCGTGAGAATTAAGCGGTGCGGGGGAAGACACATACGACATGTCGAACGACAAGAAAAGCTTGAAGCCCGTCCCGGACATATTAGCAGCATGGTACCTAACATTCGGTCAGGATGGCCACACTGGGGACACGCTTGAAGAACATACGCGTCAGCAACTCTGGCAGGCTGCCAGTCGTCGCGGCCCATGTTTAACGCAAAGCCATCGATCCCGTGAGCATGAGCCAAAGTGATATCTGCTACCCAGTTGTCGACGGTGTAGGGATATGTGTTGCCAACCATGTGGTGTGCGATCACATACTTCCTAGAAGCGCCCGGAGAAGCCTGGGGAGGCGCAGAAGGGGCCGGTTGCACATTAGAGGAAGTAGGGGAAGGCATTGTTGGGGGAGCTGGAGACAAAGTTGGTACAGAGCTTTGCGGATCAGAGGGGATAAATAAGGTCGTGAAAGGAATGGAGACGGCGATCGAAGAGGCGGTCTCCTGCGATGCAGAGGTGCTGGGAGGGGGCGATAGATTCGGAGAGCTTGGCGACGCCGGGGAAGGGTATGGAGATACATCTCGTGCAATGAAATGCGGATTGGAGCGTATGAATGATTTATCAAATCCAGCCTGATGATATTCTACAGGGAAGGCATCAACAAGGAGAAGGAGAGCGAGTGAAAGAAAGGCAGCGGAACGCATAGCGCCGCGAGACGACCACCAGGGTGAAGGGAAGGAAGTTAGAAAAACGATGCACGGTACACGGGCGATGACATCCAGGTGCACTCACACTTTATAGACAGAAACAAAAGGGCGTGGCGGGAGACAGTGCCATCTGGCCTGAGACAATAGCAAAAGTGTCAGTCCCGTCGCCCAGTCCACGGCGCCGAACAATCACAGCGATGTGACGGACGCGCCTGGTCACGTCAAGTCACACAACGGCAACGGATGTTTGCATACATTTTTGAGAATATCTCGGCCTTCTATCCACATCATTATGCATCGAGACACTCGTGTCGGCCAACGCCGTCTGGTCTGCACGCGTTCATTGAGATCATGTCCCTGAGCCGTTGGAAACAGCCACTCTATTACTCATGGCGATGCGTGGGAAGGAAGCGCGTTGTTTGTCTGACGCGCACGCTCGACCTCCACCACATGTATTAGACCTCCAAGCTCCAATGTCCAGGCAAGTCGACGAACGTCCGTACACCCATAAACTGCCGCCAGTCACCCCTCTCATAACACCCTCTGTGTCTCCGCCGCGCTCTCGTGCGCCTTTTCGGCCGTCGGGACATCCTCCCGAACACCCATCGCCCTCAAAACGCCCTCGTCTTGTTCGGACGCCGTCCAGCCCGCCCTCGAGCGCTGCTTCTGCCTCCAATGCCGTGGCACTCACCGTTGCTGAAATTGAAGCATCGAGGCGCGCTGCCGTCACGCGTCTGTCGAACGCCTGGTCCCAGCTCGCAAAACGCTACATCCGAAACCTAGACGAGGACGACATCATCGACCTGCGCTCAATCGATATTATCGAGGATCGCGGAAATATCAGAGCTCTCGAGCCTGATGCGCACGTATCATCCGTGTGGGCGGGCGAACTACCGTCCGCAGATACGAGCAGTGACGCCGGTGGCGCACAGACAGAAGTAGAGGATGAGCTCGACGAGCTGGATGCGTTTGCCGAGGGAGGAGAGGAAGGAGGGGATTATCTGCCTATTGTCAAGAGTTTCGTTGGTGTGCCGCCAATGCGTCCCGGAGATCCCATGGATGATCACGATCTTAGGGAATTCTTGGAGGCGGAAAAGGCTAATCAGGTCAAAGCAGGTCGATTAGACGATGAATATAGCGACAGCCAGGCTGATAACGAGCAGCCGGTTCGTACACAGCACGAGGATGTTGAGGAGAGCGCAGAAGAAGACTTCTCAAGCGACGACCTGCCTCTGAGCACTGTGACCCAGAAACCGAAAGCTAAGAAGCAGCCGAGAGCTCGCCCACGAAAGTCGACCAGGCCACCACCTGCCAGGCTTCTCAGTCGTCCTCTGCCTCTTGCGGATGAGTCCGAGGATGAGCTGGGTATCTGGGTAAATGACGAATCTAGCGCTATCTATCGAGTGGTTCGAGACGACGAGCTTATCGACGACGAGGAAGAGGTCTCATCTTCTTCTCCAGCCTCCAATGCTGCGATACTTCCAGTGCTAGACGACGACGTAATTGAGATCTCCGATTCTGACAGCCCATCTCCATCTCCACGCCGGAATCGAGTGGAACGTATACCCCAGCCCTCCTCCCCTTCTCCCGCTCCCCGAACACTGTCTCAACACAAACAATCTGCTCCGACCAGCAAATTACAACCTGTCGCCGCCCCTCCCCAACTACAAACGCCTCCACAGTCCTTTACGTCTGAATTTTCTTTCAGTCCGGACCCTCCCTCACTTCCTATTGATGTTCCTACGAGACCCAAACCCAAACCTCGTCCGGCGTACAAGGGCTCGAAGGGGCAAACACGCTCCCAACCACTTGCATTCATCTCTGGACCCCTTCCGGAGGCTGCAGGACCGTCTGTCAACTCAACATTTGTCGCTCCAGCAACGCAAGCGAAATCGATGACACCAATAAAAGTTTCGCCCAGACTGAATGTATCCACCAAGCGCGCAACTCCACAAGTGATCATCGTGGGAAAAGCGCGTTTGGCCGCACCTGCTCGCACACCTGTTGGAGAAATGGTGAACCCTGCACAAGATGAACCCAGTCTAGATCAGAGGGAGCAATCCAAGGTCAAGGTCAAGGGTAAAGCGAAGACCTCAGTGGATTTACCACAGGACCATAGACGTCCCAACAACGCGGCTCAAGATATGCCATCAAAGGTTGACAGAAAAGGCAAGGGACGAGCCGTTGAATTCCCTGTCGAATCTGCTGCGCCGTTGGGCGCCATCACGTCGTCGCCTTCGGGATCGTCGCCTTTCTCATTGCGGAGAACAACACCCACGGTGTCTCCGCCTCTGAAGCCTTCAATAGGTCGGAAGCGCAAGCGGCGTTCTTCCCTGCCTGAGATCCCAGCAAACGCAATCGTTGAGTCCGACCTGTCAAAGCGGCCTCCAGAGAGCAGAGGGAGACGACAGAGTCAAGAAGTGGCACCTAGTTCTCCAACGTCCTCATCACATAGTCATGAATCCGGGCGTTCTGTACCCCCAAAACCTGTGAAAACATTCGCAGGTACGTATTTTCATTGCTGTGCGTATTGTCCATGTCTTTACTCCTCGCTATTCTCCAAGGCCATCGAGGACGGCGTTCGCCGCGTCCAGTTCGTTCTCGTTCTCGCTCTCGAGCAAAACCCGCTCCTGTGCTCGTTGAACGCGATTCGGTCCCTCCGAACTATGTGCCGTATAATATACCCTATACACCTCAGCATCAGACTTCGTATGATCCTTCTCACCAGGGACAAGTGCCCCCGTATCCTCCATTACCCGATCCGCAAGCTCAATACGTTTTGGCTCAAGTCATGCAGCATCTATCGTACATGATGGCTACAAGTCCGGGCATGTTGCCTCCACCCAACGGCAATCAAATGCACTGGCCACCTCCGTCCGGCCGTGCATATGGGCAGCCATACCAACCGTATTGGCCACCACACACGTCAGCTCGCCCGCATGCGTTGTCTTCGTCATCGCCGATGGCAGGCCCCTCTCACATGTATCGCCAACCCGTGTATCCATACCCGCACGCCTCCGCGTCATCGCCCTCGCTCGCGACACTTCCCCCTTCTTCTCTTCCCCCTTCTTCACCGGTGACGTGGGATACCCCGGCCTCATCCTCGCCACCTATTACGTCTTCCTCGCGTGGGCAGAGCAAGTCCAGGGGTCGCCGGGTATCATTCAAACTAGACGAAGAGCCTAGACGGGGAAGAGACAGAGAAGGTTCGGACGACTTCGATTCCTTAGCGATGGTCAAGTCATCGAGCATGCCGGAAATGTCCTCGTCTCCTGTGGCTCGGGGACGGAGTCGGTCCGCCGTGCCCCTGCCCGATCTGAGTACCAAGTCTCAGAGCAGGAAGGGAAAGGGAAAGAAAGCGCAGACAACCAGTGCTGGGAGCGGAGTTGCGAGCACCGGTCACCATCGCTCGGCTTCTCGTACTCCGCGCGGGAGGACACCAGGGCCAGGAGGCGGTGACGAGGACGAAGACGAGGATGAGGAAAGTGATCATTTCAAGAAGCGTAAATGAAGCGACGCGTCATGCTCGGGCACATTGGCAACACGGTGGGGCGCGTGCCAAGTATGTATGCGATTTTCCGGTCTCGTGATGACAGATTAGTATGCTTGTAGGTTATCATTCCAATCGATTTTTTGTCAGCGGAACTTGTGTGCATCCGCTCGATATGACGAATGTGGGATACCGCCACGGCCCATGGAACGATGCAAGCCGCCGAGCGGCGTCAGGTCCGCGTATGAGCATGTTGGTTTGGCTGTGTGGAGTGAGTGTGTGGATGGGGCCGGAGCTTGGCCGCGTGTCGGCCGGGGAGCGGGGGATGCCGAGCGGTCATCAGAGCCAAACAGGGCCGGAAGTGAGCCAGATCTGGGAACGGTGGGCGATTGCCTCCCCTTCGTCCTGACTCCAGCTTCAAATCGCTCTACGCACACGACCACATCCCTCTCCCTTCCCTCGCACGCCGTCTGCTCCTTCGCTTTCGCATTCAATTACACACCTGCGATCCCCCCGCAATCGCATACGTCGTTGAAGTTTGGGTGTCAACGCTTTGGACAAGTCATGGTGTGTGGCTGCTTAATTATCACCAGAAAAAAAGCGCTCATAGCCCCATGTCCGCCAGGGGTCAACACTTTCATCACCAGGTATGTAGATGCTGATTTTTGCCCCGATTTCAAAGCTTATCGCGCCTTTTGTTGCGTTTTAAGCCACAGAGAAGAATTCAGAATCGGGAGAAGACGCCCGGTTCGCATATGGAGTCACGGAGATGCAGGGATGGCGAGTCAGTGAGTGTCTCTACTTTTACTGAAAAATAAATGTTTTTTTACCGTCTTCGAGTAAATCTGACACTTCTCAACATCTTCTCTATTTGACCTTGAATCTCTTTCCATTTTTTCTTCCGCTTGACTCGATCACACCAATCAGCCTACTAATGCCCGAGCCTTTCCTTTAGCCATGGAGGACGCACACGCGGTTGCCCTCCGATTGGACGAGGGAGAGGAAACTAACTCTTTTTTTGCCGTGTACGACGGACATGGTGGTACGTTCGATTCTATTTAGCCGATCGCCGGTATTGATTCTCTCGATTGCAGGTGGAACGGTGGCCAAGTTTGCCGGCCAAAATGTTCACCAACGGCTAGTCAAGGAGGAGTCATATCGTGAGCAGAAATATGAGGAAGCCATGAAGCGGGCGTTCCTGGGAACGGACGAGGATATTTTGGCCGGTGGGTTACACACATATCTTCATAGTCTGCCCACATGAACCTCATTCCTCAGATCCTGCAAGCGCTAAGGACCCTTCCGGTTGCACGGCGGTGGCAGCATTGATCACGAAAGAAAACAAAATCTACGTTGTGCGTTATCTGTCTCGTATACCAAAGCTATAATAACATGGGTACAGGCCAACGCAGGTGATTCGCGAGTTGTGATCAGCGTCAAGGGTCAGGTGAAAGCGTTGAGCGACGACCATAAACCTCAGAATGCTAGTTAGTCGATCTTTTGCGTCCTACCACTCCTCTTTTACTCATACTCAATTACAGCCGAGAGTGCGCGCATTCAAGCTGCTGGTGGCTTCGTCGAGTACGGTCGCGTAAATGGCGAGTCATGCACACCACTCTTTCCAGCTATATCTTGACACCGCGCAGGCAATCTTGCTCTCTCGCGAGCCATCGGCGACTTTCAATATAAGAAAAACCTTTCCATTCCGCCAGAGAATCAAATTATCACCTCCAATCCCGAAATTATGGTTCACGATATCACAGAAGAGGAAGAATTTCTTGTCCTCGCTTGCGATGGTAACGACATTCTCGTCACTCATTCACTGTTGGCTAATTGAGCGATTCTTCAGGAATCTGGGATTGTCTCACCTCTCAGCAGGTTGTTGATGTTGTCCGATTGCAGGTAGCAGAAGGCACACCTTTGCCAGAAATCTGCGAGAATATCTGCGAACTTTGTCTGTCTCCGGATACATCGTCCGGGGCGGGCTTCGGTTGCGATAACATGACGATCATGATCGTCGCATTCTTACAGGGCCAGACCCAGCAGCAATGGTACGAGAAGATCAAGGATCGCGTAGAGCGTAAGTATGGATACAGGACGCCAAGTACTCTCCCTTCCCTCTATTCCCAGAGTCGATTGCTAGCATTTAAAGCGAGACGGCAAGCGTTACAACTTCGTGAAGAACGCTTCGCAGAGATGAAGCGGGGAAAAGAAGCTGAAAAACAGCGGAACTCCTCGTTTCCCACGGTAAACGGACGTCGTGTGGAAACTTACGACTGGGCCGACGGCACTGTCCTCACTGTCACGCATCTCACCACCGGCTCTCACAACGACGACAATAGCGATGACGAGCTTAGTGATGAAAATCCGGACACCTTGATGGAGCGAGATAATTGGAGCGCGGCAGAGGCATCAGGTGTGACAAAGAGCTTGAAGCAGCAGCTGGAGGAACTAGAAAGAGACGATGATGAAATGGTGAAAGGTGCGGGCGGCAGCGACAACGACACCAACAATATCGATGCAGATGCCGACGCCGACGATGGCGACAACGACAACATCAATGCAGATGTTGACGACGACGAGTTGAAGGAGCCATTTGACAGCGTCATCGACTTGTCCCAGGCAGAGCAACATCGCGCGGAAGTCGAAGCCAGTGGGGCACACAATCCCCCTCTATCACCATCATCCGCCGATACTCAGTCTCCTCGGTCCACGATCTCAGACTCGCCACCTACGCAGGGTGGGGCCTTCCCCCAAACCCGAACCCAACCGAACGGCACTGCAGTACCCGAACAACTGAAGTCGGCTCCTGGAGGCGATGCATTTAGTTCAGCCGTCAAGGCGGAAGGTTTCCTTGATTCAAGCGAAAGCCCGTTGAAGGGGTAATGATGATGGATTTCTGTGAAACTTACAGTCTTTGTTTAGTATGTCTCGAATCTCCTCCTACTCATGGCCCCCGCCATTTCCTCTTTCTGGGCCTCGCGCCGACCACATGTGTTCTATTTATTGTCGCGGGGTGTTCGTTGTTGCATTTGTTACTGTCATATTAAGGTCTACCCTTCATACCACTGTACTTAGTATTTCGTGCTAGTCTGATGGAAACAGGTTAGATGGAAAACAATTGTCGCACTTGTCTCGTATTCGTCGTATCTGATAATTGAGCGGCGTCACCCAAAGCGATGTATCATAAGGTAGCACGGAGCACGATCATCTCGCTTTCACAAAGACATAGAATCAATGGATGTCCGGGGCTTCTTTCCATTGCACCTACGCCGAGCAACGGTCCCGCTGCACCCCCTCCGATGTGGAGGATCGCCTGCTTCGCCCAAGTATCTTTGGGACTGTTTACACGGTAAATGTACAGGTTTCCACTGTAGTCCGAGCTCCCACCCTCGAAGGCCAGTACCGCTTTGGAGGAAATATGATGGATGAAGCGCGTGTCGCGCTTGGAAGCCAGCACGAAAGCGAGCGCCGAGAGCGTAGACGTATGCTTCCATCCAGGCGCCCCTCCGTCCTCGCCCCCTAAGAGACTATAAAGGAGCCCGTCGACCGTGCTCTTGACGGCGAGCGAGATCCCAACGGCCTGGACGCCCGGCAGAGGCGTGGACAGAATATTGACGACCTCGCCCTCGCTCTCGCGCGCCCATGGTGGCGCGCTCCCATCCGCGTTTACCCATGTCAGACACGCCGGGAACCCGACCGCAGCATCCGCCTCGTCGTCGAGCTCGCCCTCCGCGAGACTCGGCACCCCGCTCCCGAGCCCGAGCCCGCTGACGTCCCGCCCCTCCCGCAGCCCAGCGGTGTACTTTTCGAGCGACTCGCGGATTGCGTATAGCTCGGAGGGGTCGAGCGTCTCCGGTACGTCCGCGGTGTCGCCCGTGGCGCCCGCGCCCGCGCTTTGTGCGGCCGCAGCGGTGTCGAACACGTGCGGCCACCGCGTGCCGGCGTGCTGTTTTTCGAGGTGCAGGGTGAGCAGACCGTAGACGCTCGTGCCCTGTGCGTCCCATGTCCAGAAGCTCGAGGTGGGAGAGATGCCGCCCCAGAGACGCGCAGCGGAGTAGCGAGGGAGAGGTGTGAGGTCCATGCTCTCGGCGCGCACGAGAACGGTCAGTGTCTGTGGAGAGAACAAGATGTTGAACGCCGATTTGGGAGTGGTCGCAGGTAAGGGAAACGCGACCGTGAGCTCTTCGGAGTCCTGCGTCCATGCATACGGTGGAGGCTTTTGGATGTTTGGGGTCTCGGATTCGTCGAGGTTCTCGCCTTGACGAGGAATAGGGGCCATCTCGTCTGGAGATGGCTCGTATGGATTTTGAGGGGTGGTGTCGATACGCTGATAGGGCGAACCGCCCACAAGGAGGAATGTTTTTAGATTCGCATGGTATGCGGTGTAAAGAGGTACATCTTCCCCGCGGCGATACCAGACGATGTCTAGGGCAAGGATCCCGTCGCTGGGAGATACCAAGGACGGAAGCTTGAACGCAGCTGCAAGTACGTCGAATCTCGCATGAGATCGCTTGTGGGCGGACGGTTGGTCGTGTACATCATCATTTGTTGTTTCGTAGTGCTTCATTGATAATATAACCAGAGTTGTGTCTTCAGATGTCTGGGAAGAAGAGTGGATGCGAAATGGTGATGCAGTGGGGAACACATCCTTGAGCAGCTGGTATGTTCCACGGAGCTCGCCTTGTCCGTGCGCCGAAATACCCAATATAAACAATAGCCCGTGCCCATCAGAGACGAACAGCGTGTCCGCGTTCAGGTATGCAGCGGATGGATACTCCCGCTGATGCGCATCCGATAATGATGTCTGCATTGACACCGGAAGCTCATATATGACCCGAAACGAGGGCACTTCCTACTTAGACGAGCAAAGCCATCCGTGAGTAGGCTCAATACTCTGACATGGATTTGTAGACACACTACTCACTCCATCCATACTGATAGACACAACACGCATCTCATTGTCTATATACACAGCTTGATTCGCATTCGGACAGACGGACAGGTGATTGTGTCGGATGCGACTTTGTACCTCCTGAAAAGAAAGCGGCACTTTCCCAGAAATTGTAGCTTGGGTTGGCTTGGATGGGAGAGGATGATGAGCGAGGACATCTTCTTCAGAGATAGGATCCAATTTATACCCCTCGAATTTTGGGTTAAGGAGAGAGCGATCAGGATTGAACGCCATCGCTCGTTTCGAAACAGTGACCGTCGGTGGGAGGAATGGGCGCTTATCTTATCTTGTCCCAAACGGCCAGATCTTATCTCTCCAGTCCTTCAGCGCTTTAGCAGTCGGATTTGGTCGTTGAAAGGGCATTGGGTGTTCAATACCACTTGCAACCTCAACGGATGACCAGGTATCCTTGAGATACTCAGCATATCTTAACTCTCTCTCCAGTCGACGATTTATATAAGTTCTCGCCTCCATATCATAAAACTGCGACCGGGAAAGTGCAACCGAATCCATCACTGCTTGAATCCTATGATGTTGGAATGTTATCTGATAGTGATACACAATTCGCAGGGTAGCATCAAAATACAGGCGCATCCCGAAGAAACAAGCGAGCTTCTTCTTTCTTCACCCACCGAGCGACAGCATTGGCAGCACTCACTGCGGCGCTCTTCGGCAACCAATGCGATAAGGCGATGTACATCTCAAACGGCTGAGTGATCTTCATGCAATGCAACGTTAGCAGATATTTTCAACGGAATGAGACTTTCCACGTACCCAGCCCATCACACTTTCCTTCTGAGTACGAATATACTGCAGCTTCAGGGGCACCCCTTGCCCAGACCTAGCATGGATGTTGTCGTGCAGCGTCTGATACAATGTGATCAAACTAATCGAGGCTCAACAATCTGTCAATCCGCACGGAGAGTCGGCAAACATACCGTCGCTGTTCGTCAATGCTGTCGTACGGATCTTCGTACATAGGCGCTGTAATTTGAACGTGTGCGCGGGATTTGTAAATAAAGTGACGAAGCCCAGGGATGCTGAGCTCGGACACTGAATATTCTGTCGTCTCGTCCCGAATCGCTTTCGTGATAGCCCTCAAAGTCCCTTCGCTCTCCAGCCTCTTAAAATAGATAATATCAAGCGATATCCCTATTCAAGTTGAGATGTACATACCTTCGTGATAGAACTGCAATAGTTACGGATAGACTCGAAATCGCCGTTCCCACTCACGCAAAGAAGGCCTATCGCCGAACTGGCATTTGCCCCACTCGCTTTGTGAATGAACCCTGAGTCCTTCATGTCGCCCGGTACAGCTCCAGGCTCACTTTCACCTTGGGAGGCGATATCCTGAGCGTTGATGACCGGTGGTTCTTGCAAGAACGTGATGTAGGCATTCACAAAACCCGCTGGGTCGAATTTTGGAAGGCAAAGAGGGAGCCAAGAAGCAGAAGCAGATGAATTAACGATTGAAGGGGAATGGGCGGTGTTGATCAGAATCTGGAGATCTGCTCCAATGTGATTAGATGTTGAGCAAGGATAGATACAGACGTTGCTCACCAGCAGGATGGATTGAGTGCTTTCTAGGTCGAGCGAGCGAGATCACACGGCCTCTTCCAACAAGGACGATGTAGAGAAGATCCTGATGGTAGGACGTAGTCAGATCATGGTCGTCGGACTAGTGTGGGTATAACAAGCCTTCATCTTTGAAGGAGGGACAAGTGCAGCCGCTGCGCGGGACCGGACAGTGGAGTCTAGCTTGAGACAGTGGAGAGACGATGTATTCATTGCGAGATCTGTCTCTACCCGGTCTAAGAGCGAATGCATGAGAACTTCAGCCCCTGCTCAAATCGAACAAGTCAGAACACGTCGAGTCAGTTTCCAAAAAGAAAGCTTGCCATTTAGAAGACGCCCTAGGTCGAAATTATTTCTGCGCTCGAATATTCGCCTCAATTGGGCGGCGGAAACAACGCTGAGGAGTTGAAGATGAAGGTATTCCAGATGCGAGCGCGTCTTCCTTCTCAAATATTAGCGTTGAAATGGCAAGGTAAGACGCTGTAGTTAAATTCGGCACTGACCACCGATTCAGGCTCACCCCAAGACGAAACGCACGCGTAGTACAGGGGCGAGCGAACGAGAAAGTTGATGCGTGTGTTCCCTGCATTGATGCAGCGCAGCTTGTCGTTGTCGTCAAGGAATACGGATAGGAGCGCCTGCATGATGCCGATAGTGGATGTCAAATCGTCTGAACCGTGTCCAACGGATCGACTGAGAGCGATGAACACACATTCGGTGTATGACCGAGGAAGACGCACCTTGTGAAAACTGGTTTCCCGGCATCGGTTAAGACATAGTATTGTCGAGGAGGAAATGCGTCTCCTAGAGATGAGATATATCAACTGACTTCTCTGTGACCTCGGAGAGAGACTGGCATACCCATCTCGCATGTTATCTCATCCACAGCGTCGCTGTCTGTTTGTCGCCGACGATGTCGGCGGCGCGGAGTCATGTCTAGCACATATGTCATAATCATCGTCAAACGTATGCTATATGAGTACTCACCTGTGGGAGACTCTCGTTTGCTCAGTGTATGTCTCAACTGATCTCTCAGCGCTTTCTTTGACGCTTCATCGCTCGCGTTCGATCCCGATCGGCCCACAGCAGTTCCTACTTCTCCATCAATAATATCCACCTCCGCATCGGCATCGGGAACCAATATTCCCTCTCCCATGTCTAGATTGACGACCGACGAGGCAGAACTCTCGACGCCGGCGTGGGGATTAGACATTGTGTTTGTCATGAGCTTTGCCATCGAGTTGACTTGGAGGTTGGAAAGCGAAGGACTGCTTCGAAGGGTAGGGGTCATGGCAAACCTGGAGGGCGCTGAGCCAGTTGGCGTGCCAGTGCGCGAAGGAGTGCGCGAATGGGGCGTATGCATGGTAAGACTGAATGCACTGTAGAATAGAACAGCCCTGTACTGTATTTCGAACCCCACTGATTCCTCAGTTCTGTTGAGGATCAAATGGCAGCGTTTCGATGGCTATGTATGGGCAATACGGGTCTTGTGGTCGCATATGGTGTGGTTGAAGGCTCAATTGAGTGGTGTGAACGCGTACGGGACTGAGTCGCCGCTTTGCCCAACTGGAACAAACATCGAGCTGCAGTTCGAAAGGGAGGTTTCAACAACTTATATCACCCGCTCGCCGCTCGCCCTGATGGCCTGTTAATCTCACAACCATATTGGCCATTTGAGGGCTGCAACGGTTGTATCAAGACTCGCTAGGGCGCTCCAAGGATCGAGAACTGACCCCCGAGGTTCGTGCCTCGAGAACTCCGACCTGCTCAGCTTCCATGACTGACCTCATGCACGATATGTAGATTCCTCATCCCAAGTGAGCATACGCCAAGGAGCGCCATAAGGCACAGCTCCCTTGTCAGCTAAGCAGCACAAACAGGATCGGTAAGTGACAGCGAATCCCTCTACCATTTGGAAACTAAGTATTATCGTAATGTCAGTGTCATATTTTTACCATGAATGCAATGGTGCCAGTAGAGAAGCGAGGGGAGCCTTGGTTCGAGGACGGAAATATTATTCTGATCGCCCACACCGAAGATAATCAGGATGGTGTGGCATTCAAGGTCCATCGCGGAATTTTGTCCCGACATTCTGAGATATTCCGGACGATGTTCGAGATTCCTCAAGGCTTCTCTGATGCCGAGATGCTGGATGATTGTCTGATAGTCCGTATGTATGACCTGCCTAATGAACTGTCCAATCTCATCACTGCGTTATATGACGGAGCGTATGTCCCCTCTCCCCCATCTCACGGAAAGGATAGCTGACTACATTTTGCCCAGGACATTTCACCATCGCAGCATTGAGGACTTCTTCTTTCTCGCAGGTATTCTTCGGTTGTCGACCAAATATTTTATCAGCCATCTGCGTACGCAGGCCATCCGACATCTAACGCGCACATGGCCGTATACCCTTCGTGGTCACGACGAGATGGTTGCACTGGCGCTATCATCTCCGACCATTAATGATACATCCTATCCCTACGTCCATCCGCTTCACGTCCTCAATCTGGCCCGTGAAGTCAACGTTCAGCTGGTCATCCCCGCTGCCTTATATTTTCTTTCGATCTATGCTTTGGAGGACCTTCAAAAAGCCGATCATCCCAAGCTGCTAACTGAACACCCCTCCCGTCCCTCCTCACATCTGTCTGATCCAGATGTCAAATACTACACCCTAATGTACCAGTACCGCATGAAGATGATCCTATCCTTCGCTCGTCACACCGTTGCTTCATGGTCTGCTGGCCCTTCCTGTCAGGGGACGAAGAAGGAATGCACCCGCTCTATCACTAGGCTCGCGAGCTACATCTACTCGTCTTTGACGCCGAGGACTGGCTTATTCCACAATATGACACAGATTATCGAGGTGCTGGCCGACGACACGAACATCTGCACATTCTGTGAGCGGGCCTTCCGACGTGACGTCACAGATCTTCGCGAGAAATTCTGGACAGAGCTACCGGGTGTAGTCGGCTTGCCCGGTTGGGATGAATTGGAGGCGATGGATATTAACGCTCAGCCCTCTTGAAGCTGATCTTACTAGGTTTTTCCTTTTTATATTACGTTGGGGGTACCATACTTTAGAGGGCCTGTTATTAGCAATCTTGAGGAGTCCAGGACACAACTATTACTGCGGCACTGTACTAAAGATTGCATCGAGTCGATAGAGATCTACAGTTTCTCCCTGCGTTCGAGAATTGTGGGGGCGAGGGGTGCCCATCAACCTGGGTCCTGGCCGTTAACCCGGAGCAACCCGGTCACAGTCACGTCCTTCGATGACGACAGACTCATATCTTCAAGGCCGTTTATCCCTCAGAGCTTTCGATATCTCATCATTCTGCACAATGTCCGGGGAGTCTTCGAATACACACGAGAGAGTTTCGGAGTCCACGAGGTAGTTATTGTGTGAATTTATACTCTCTGCGTTTAATGAAACTTCGCAGTCCAGCTGAGGATTATTGGCTTACGGCCGCTCAATCTCGACTGGTGCCGTTCGAGCCTTCAAAAGTCCTTGCAATTTCTGATGAAACCGTCGCCCGAGCGGTTCGCGAGAAGATCGATTCGGAAACATATTCCTTGCGCAACATCTTGTCCACACTGAACACCCGTCGCAATGCGCTTCTACTCGTATGCCGGCTCCCGTCGGAGGTGTTAGCTCACATATTCAAGTTCATCGACGACCCCACTGGGCCTATACACTCTCTACGACATCTGAGATCGCCGCGAAGATCGCTGGGTTGGATCCGAGTGACACACGTCTGCCGGAAATGGCGGCAAATTGGTCTTGAGAACCCCTTTCTTTGGAGTAACATCATCACAAACATGGGCAAAACATGGATACAGGAGACGTTACGGCGCTCCAAATCCTCTCTGATCACCATTCGCAGGGCCACTCAGAGGGAAAACATATCCCTCGAAAACCTCCCTGTATCGCAGCATCTAAGCCATCTTCAATACCTCTACATCAATGCTGGCCAGATCCCCATACATATGCTCGCCCAAACACTCAAAGATCCTGCTCCATTCTTACAAGTACTGGAGCTCACATGCATCGAACAATACAGGACGCGCGCCATAGCTCTTCCTCTCGACATGTTTGCGAATCAGCTCCCCCGTCTGCGCTCCCTTGAACTTGTCAACCTTAGCTTTCCTTGGGCGACCACGCCTCTGATCGCGCTCGTGCATCTGAAAATTGTTCTGCCTCAGAGGGACTCTGCTCCCAATCCCACAGATCCCGTCCCCCCTGGTGTCCAACCTCGCCCTCCACTCGCCCTCGCGGACTTCCTCGACGCTCTCGAGCATATGACTTTACTCGAAACAATGGAAATATTGGATGGACTTCCGACCCCGCCATCGGGAAACTTACATGCCCCGGCGGTGGATCATATCATTCGGTTACCACGTTTGACATCGATCATACTAAAGGGGTTGGCTATCGACTGCTACAATCTGGTTCGCTGTCTCCAAATCCCTCCCACTGCTCATAGGTCCTTCCAATGCTGCACCATTTATCCAGAAGCCGACGATTGCAAACTGCTTATTCCCTTCCTCGCCCCTCGTTGCGGAGGCTCTGCTAGCTCCGTCGCAACCCTGAAAACACTTTGGGCCTTCGTTGTTGAGGATTTCAATGCCGAAGATGGATTCTTCCAATACAGTTTAGACATCAAAGCCTGGAACTCCGTCCAAGACGACATCCCCTACTACCGCTGGCCTTCCCTCCCGGTTCCAACGATCAGGTTCGCGATCAGTTGGCATAGTCAGCGAAGTATACGCTTGGGAGACATGGTAGGCGCAGTCTGTAAAGGGATATACACCGACGACATCACCATCCTCCACGTCAGTCCGTCATCCATGAACCGCCATCTAAGTCGTTGGGCGCAGCCATTTCTCAACATGCGCAAAGTGACAGATCTACAAGTCTCTGGAGACGTCGCGTCGCCTTTTATCGAAGCGCTCTGTGCAGCTCCAGCTGCGGGGGAAGAATCAGAAGAGCCGCGGGAGTTATTCTTTCCCCAGCTACGATGGTTGAGGCTTGGCGACATCGACTTCCACAACACTTTGCTGAAGGCTCGGCCGTTTCACGAGGCGCTACCCGACTTGCTGCGCATTCGCCAGGACAGCTGGGCGCCGCTGCAGAGGTTGTTCATCGAGCGATGTCAGGTCAACCCGGAGTGGATCGATCGATTGAAGGAAGTGATACTGGACGTCGTTTGGGATAGCGACACCATGAACGAGTACTGGGACATTCCTGACGAGGGTGAGGCTTTATAAACCTCTCGAAGGAGTGGCTTGCTTTTTTATTTTATGCGTCTCGATGCTTCCACCGAAGAAGTTATGTATGAGTCGAGGAGGACACCTAGAATACAATACAAAACCCTGCTATGGAACTCTAAGCGATACATCAGTGTATTTACTATTGGCCGATCTTACATTATTTCTACACAAGCTACCCAGCGAGGATGCGACTGGAAGAGCCCAAGATGGTGATCACAGACAATCACTCTGCTATCTCCGTCAAACTTTTCAAGATGAAATCCCTCAGGTCCTGATCAAATATATTCAAGCAATGGGGAACCCCCTTCCACCACGCTTTATAGAGCTTCAGGACTTCCGAATCCACCTTCGCGATGCAATCCGGACAAAGCTTGGCTTCCTTTGATCGCGCGTCCCCTAGGACGGCGGGAACCATGTCCACGATCCCATTGTATCTCCCTTCAGCGCCCAGCCACGTGGTATGCTCCGTGGTCTGAACCAAGCGATCGAATAGCGGCCCAAACTTACAGGCGCAATGTTCGGCGGCGGGCCTGGCATGATAGGTTTTGTCGTCTAACCCCTTGAGTAGATCCTGTAGCTTGGCGGGAAAGCGGGCGTTGTGCGCGCGCAGCCTGTCGCAGCTGGCCTGGTCAGCATCGTGGAGCAGGCCAGGGGCATACGGCGAGTTCCTGCGCGGCTCTTTGGCTGCGTGTAAGGCCGCCTCGGAGATGAACAACGAAAGGTCGACGAGGGCGACAGGGATAAGAGGGATCACGGAGATCTCTCGGGCAAAGTTGATCACCCTGACCGGGTTCATCGGCGCAGGCAGCTTGAATCTGCCATCCCAGGATGCGTAGTCCTGCACGCGATGGCTATAGTACCGGAACAGCGGCGTGAGGAAGGCGGAACGGAGTTTTGGGAGGGTATATTTATCCGCCATTTCGAGCGGCCGCGCGATGGCATCGAAGTCTTTCCAGTCGGGGATAGGCCTTGCGAGCGCAGGTCAGAAGTCCAGCCTGGAAGAGCCATGTATCGAGTAAAGGCTGACGCACCAAGACTCGAAGCCTGCGTGTATGAGTTGGAGGGCAAGGGAAAGCTCATCCTTGGGATGGTGCATCTGAACAACCAGGCACTGCTCCGCCGAGAGGGACGCAACGGTGTTGTTTGGGATGGACTGATCCAGCAGACGCTTGAACAACCCCGACCTCCGGGTAAGAAGGCCCTTGTACACTTTAAATGCCGTGGATCCCGCCAGTAAGATGATAGAGCCATCATCGTACCACGGCTCTCCTCTGTGGTGTTGAGGAACTCTTCCGTTCTCGAGAAGGAAAGGAAGACTACGTTCGTCGGAACCTGTCATAATTAAGTCAATCTTGACACGTCTAGATGGAGTCGGCGGAGCGCGGATGAGAGAGATGTCACCGCGATTGTAGTAGCGTGAGGAGTATGTCAGATATACGCAGGTGTACTCAGCAATGGGTTATATATACTGGTAGGAGTGGGAAGGCGCCCGAGCGGATGTTGAGGCGATGGTCTCAAGGAGGGAAGCCAGCTGCGGCTATGCTGCGTTCGTCTTCTGTTTGGGTCAGCACTGAAGCCTGCGGCCACCCAAGGAGAGGGCACTATGAACCAGAAATGGGAACAAACGGCATCTGAGTGAAGGTCTTGATACTCCTTGTCCTGTACAGACATAGATTTCCCTTCTTCTCTCGGGCCTGGTGCGGAGGATCATTGTGAGAGGAGACATAAAAGGCGCAGGTGCCTGATGTATTCGCGAACATGATACTCCGACGGTCATTCGTTCTTGCGAAACACTAGGATGCACAGCGACGTCAATGTCGACACAAAACCGTACTCAAAGAGGGTGGTCACGAGAGTGGCAGTCGGAGCAGTGCCACAGACCCACATACACCAAACAAGCAAGAGTGTTATCATCGCTTTCACGGAATCGACTGGAAGATGTCAATGAGCATGGCCATCGAAAAGGGCCCGATGAAACGCCGCACGATGAGGCGAGTCAAGGCTGTGAGAGCCGCTTCAAAGATAATCGAGACTGCACATGCAAGGGGCACAGTACACTGGTACGCTAAACAGATAAATCTATGAACCTGCGCAGGATGTCGAATTTCAGACGCAAGAAGAGGAACTAGATGTGGAGAACACACACGCACACACGCACACATACACACATTTCTAGCCAGAGAAAGACGGTCGAGTCACTTTCGCGCAGTTTCGCGCAGGCAGGCGAGTCACAAGGACACGAGACTACGCCCGAGAAGCAGTTAAGGAAGGGCGTTGTTCCGACAATTGGTTCAATGCTGCCTGCAGGTGTTGCCATCCGGCGAGCCCAAACAACGGAGGGATCCCCAAGAACCATTTCTGGTATTCCTGCATCACCTTGACGTCCAATTCGGCCAGACACTCCGCACAAAACGCCACGCGCCCCGCGTGGGTGCGAATCGCGTGCATCATCGCCAGCCCAAAGCACGCGTCCGTCTCCGCCAGTGAACCGCCCTGCGCGAGCGCCGCCACGATCTCTGCGTGGAACCCCCCGAACGAGCACGCGTGCCGCGCCGGGCCCGGCGCGCGCAGCTCGACGAAGCGCCACAGCACGCTCGCGAGGCCCGACGCGAGGGTGCGGTGGTGCGCGCGCAGGGGCGCGCACATGTCCTCGTCGCCCTGGAACAAGACGCCCGGCGCGTACGCGGAGCGGCGGCGCGGCTCGCGCGCGGCGAGCAGGTCGGCCTCGGAGACGAAGAGGGAGAGCTCGAGGAGCGTGACGGGCACCAGCGTGGGGATGGGGGCCTGCCGCGCAAAGTTGAGCATATGCACGGGATTCATGGGGGCGGGGAACGCGCTCTGCGCGTCCCATGTGAAATATGCGCGCAGGCGGTGGGCGTACCGCGTGACGAGGGGGTGCAGGAGCGCGTCGCGCAACTGTGTGAGCCGGTATTGCGTAGTCGTGTGCAAAACCGGGCCCAAGATGTCGAAATTGTTAAAGTCGGGCTGCCACCTGCGCCATATGACATTAGTACGATACGGCGAGCCTGCTACAGCGCGAGCGTGCCGCTTACCAAGCTACTCCTGCGTGGATGAAGCCCAGAACAGTGCTCAGCTGCATTGGCGAGTCGTCCACTCGCACAGCCGGGCACTCCTCGACCAAGGTCTTCACTAGTCGCTGGGGAGGAATGTCCACAAAGAGGTCGGCGAACAGTTCGGAATTGCGAGCGACGAGCCCCCTGTATACTTTGAAAGCTATGTTCCCTGTGAACAGAATGATGTTGCCGTCATCGAACCAAGGACTTCCACGGTTCGCGATCGGGACGCGCGCGCTAGAGTCAAGGGCGAAGGGGAGATCGCAGTATCCCTGCATGGTAAGTAGAATGAACGGTGGCCGAGCTCGATGGAAGGGGTTCTTTTATACACAGGGGGTCCCAAGGAAGACGAGGGGGCGAGAATGTGGCATGGCAAAACCAGGCGTGGCATGAGGACATGGATACCAAATACTCAAAGAGGCGCCTCCGCCGCGATTGCCCAAGCTCGTACGTGTCCAAGGACTGCAGAGGAGACAGGCAAAATGAAAGACACGTACGTAAGCAAGAGAGTGGCCCCGTTGCAGCCACTTCATTTCGGACTCACGATCAGCTTTAGAGATGTGGCTGATATCGGCCGATACCTAAGCCATACCATGATGTCTCGAGGGGCCACTCGTGGAAGGGGGTATATCAGTGAGTCGTATTAGTTTCCAGCACTGACCTCAGCAGCAGACGGTCGCTCTACCAGAGTAACATGACCACGTACAAGCATCCGCGATCGAGCGACTCCAAGCCACAGCCACAACACGAGCGAGCGCCCAGGTCTCAAGGCCCTATCTTCCGCCCTTGCACCCACACCCCGACTCGGTTCCGCGTGTCCCCGAGACACCACCACTTCTCCACCATCTCCCCCGACAGCTCCCGCGCGCCGCCCGCCTCGATGTCGAAGAAATCCAGCGCGCCGACGCCGCGCCCTGCGAGCGGATCAAACAGATGGACTGCAGGGGGCGACAACGATCGTCGGTTCGAAAGCGAGACGTAAGAAAAATGAGCAAGATTGCATATGCAGGTGAGAAGCGACAGACGTACTGCACTGCGCATCAAATGGCGCGCCGACCTTGAACACGCCGCAGTCAAGACCCAGCGCCTCCGCGCCTCCCCTTGTAGCCATATACATCGCCTCCCTCCAATCGACCTTCACCTCCTCATCCACCTCCACCTCCTCCGCCCCGCGCACGCCCCTCCTCCCGCCACCATCCCACACCTCCTCTCCTTGCTGCCCCTTTGCACGCATCTGCTCCGTCCTCACACCCTCCCGCATGCGCGACACGCCCACCGCCCACCGCATCGCGGACATCACGTCCGCGCTGTACCCACCTGCGACGTCGGATCCGAGCCCGACGCGCACGCCACGACGCAGCGCCTCCCGCAGGCGCAGCGGCTGCGCGGAGAAATACGCGTTGGAAAGCGGGCAGTGCGCAAGCGCGGTGCCACGCGCGGAGAGGCGCGCGAGGTCGGTCGGGGAGAGGAACGTGCAGTGCGCCTGGATCGTGCGCTCGCCGAGCAGCTTGGCCTAGGGAGCGGGTGAGCGGGGGTTCGGGGCGGGAACGATAGTGGAGGTGCGGACTTTGTCGAACACGTCGATGTCGTCGACGCCGCGCTCGGAGCGGACCCAGTCGACTTCGTCGCGCGCCTCTGCGAGGTGGCTCTGCACGCGGACGCCGGTGCGCGCGGCGAGCTCGCCGAGCCCGTGTAGTAGCGCGTCGGAGCACGTCGGCACGAAGCGGGGCGTGAGCACGGGTTCGACGAGGCGCATGTGTGGGGGGAGGTCGGCAGTCAGTGCAGCCATGCGGTCGAGAAACGAGGATGCGGCGACGATGGCCTCGGCAGAGGTGTGCTCTGTGTAGGTGGGACGGGTTGATATGTCCATGGAGAGCTTGCCGACGAGACCGCGCAGGCCTGCGTTTTGCATGGCTTCGGCAAGAATGATGCTACGCGGGTCAGCACAAAGAACCACAGGTGATGGGAGCGAATCGGCGCACTGACTTTGTCTCCTCCTTGATCGTGCCGAAAAGCAGGACGGCACCCGTCCCGTTCTGCACGAGGCGCTCGGCAAGGCGCTTGTACACGCGCCGCGCAAGCTCAGGCTCCCCATCGATGCGCTCCTCTGCCTTGAAAGCATACTCGTCGAGCCATTTCATGAGCGGCAGATGGAGCCCCGTGCCCTGATAAAGGAACTGCGGCGCATGGAGGTGGAGGTCGCAGAAGGTCGGGACAAAGAAGCTGCCCTGAGGTACAGTGATGACGGGCTCGTATGTGTCGTCCAAGAGAGCCTGGGATTGGTTGGTGCGAGCGGAATAGAAGTAGTAGATGTAGCCAGAGGAGTTTGTCGCTGGGGGGTGGAAGCAGACGAAGGTGGGTTGGATAAGACGGCTCGGGACGGGGGGAAGAAGGGTGGACAGGTCTTGCCTAGCAAGTGGTCATGGAATATCTCCATGCTGTCCAGCTTTGGGAAGTGCACGAAGTCGCCTCGGAGGAGCATCGTCGACGTCGGTAGGCTCGGTGCGCGCGTCGTCCTCGACGGTCCTGCGCGGTGTCGTAAAGCAGCGTCGAGGATATACGCGAAAGTTCCGGAAGTTTCCGGATAGTATTCCACGGTGTGATGGGAGGTGACCGTGACGGGAGCGGCAGGCATGACGTCGGCCTCGGCGTTCTCGAGCATTCGCGACCATGTCCACCTCCGTCCTATATAACTCATCCCCTGCGACACGGCGGCCATGAACAACTTGCCTCAACAAATAACTTGACCAACTACATCACAACCCACCATGTCTCTTGCACGTCAATTCCTGCGCGAGTTCCGCCCGCTCTTCCGCATGCTCGAGGAGCCCTTGGGCAGGGCGCCCGGATACGCTGGCCTCCCCATGCGCAGCTTCTTCGATGACCCCTTCTTCAATTCGCCCACACACGCGCGCCCGGCAATCGATGTCTCCGAGGAAGGCAACCAGTACGTCGTCGAGGCGGAGTTGCCGGGCGTCAAGAAGGATAATGTGGAGGTCCGCATCGGAGACGGAGGGCGGAGCGTGACAATCGAGGGGAAGATCGTGCGCCGCAGCAGTGCCCCTCAGACGGAGGAGGGCTCAACCGCCGCTACCAGTACTGAAGGTAATCCCACTCGACCTCCCCTTGTGTCGGCGGCAAGACCGGCGGGTGCTAACCGACTGACCGCAGCAGCAGCAGTAGCGAAGCCAGACGAGACGTCGAACCAGCTGTCGGTTGAGCGCACGTTCACCGGAAGCTCGTCGTTTACGCGGACAGTATGGCTGCCGCGCCCTGTGGACCCCAACAAGGTCTCGGCCAAGTTGACGGACGGGATCCTGACGGTCCGAATTCCCAAGGCAGAGGAGGTCGGGACGGTGAAAGTGGATGTGGATTGAACACGGTCAAAAGACGGGTGTCGGAGTGTAGGATATTCGACCGCGGCCGAGTCCGGCCTGTGTACCATACTTGTTGTATAGCGACTCTCGACCTCTAATATTATGCTTGTGGGCGTGGGTCCAGGACCCCCACTCTCTGGTCTCCGTTGGCTGTGCTGTGACCGCGGCGTGGCAGAGGGGATGAGGGGGAAGATGAGGGGAGGGATAGGTTGATGCACTGAAGGAGTGATCACCGGTTCCTCGCACACCTTTTCTTCTCCCCTCAGCCACCCTGCCTTCTTCCTTCTCCACGCCCCTCCTCTTCCCTCCCCCCTCTTTTCCCCCCTACCGTGCCCCTGCTCTCCGCCGTCATCTACCCATACGCCCCCTCCCGATGGACCCCATCTACCTCAACGGTCCCTCCGCGTCCACGCCCTATGAGCAGATCGAGATCGACGACGACGAAGAAGACCAGCTCGACTCGGATCTCGACGACAAGGACGAGGATGAGCAGCTCGAGCCCGACGTAGAAGAAGACGAGGAAGACGACGACGAGCTCCACGAAGAGGGTCTCGTCGGCCCCGGACATAGTCCATCCGCGAACGGGCGGCGGAAATACCACAGAAAGAGCGGCGAGCGCGTGCCCGGCCAGACGCTCCTCCCACACACGCGGCTCGAGAATATTCTCCGCGCAGACGGTGCGTTGTCTCTCTCTGCCCCGTCCGATCCACATCTCTCATCTTGTTGTGCGAGACCTCCTGGCTGATGTGTGTGTCCGGTCATAGGCGAGAGTGGCCCAATGTCCAAGGAGGCCCTATTCGTGCTCTCGATAGCTACCGTAAGCCTTTTTGTCGCGCTCCCCGTGCCGTGAACAGATCATAGACGCGCTTTCAAGGAGGAGTTCATCAGACAGCTCTCACGCGCCGGGCACCGTCAGGCCAGCACATCCAAACGTTCTACAATAAATTATCGCGACATGGGTACGTCCCTGCTCTCCATCACCCTCGCATGTTACTGACATATACGCACACAGCATCAGCCGTTACTCGCCATCGTGAATTTTCCTTCCTCAATGGTAGCTTCGCTTCGCTCTTGGCTAGATCATGCGCTGACCTTCTACGTCCCTGGTAGACATAATACCGTCGCCTCTTCCCCTCAAGCAAGCCCTCGAGCGCCGCGCGCTCAAGGAAAAAGAACTCGTCGACGAAGACCCGGCGCTCTCCGCCCCTCCTGCTCCCTCGCCCCTCCCCGACCCCTCCCTCCCCACCATAACCCTCCCACTCTCCGCCTCCGCGACCTCCTCTCAGGCACCCACACCCTCATCCAACTCCATGTCCGCCGACGCTCTCCCGCGCCCGAAACCCGCCCGAGCCAAACGCAGACGCACCACAAACGGCGTGGACGGCGCCCAGCCTCGCTTCACCACCGCCACTACCGACGACTCTGCCGACCCCTCCCAGACGCCGCCTTTCGCCAACGGCGCAGCCGACCCCTCTCAGGCCGCATTCACAAACGCAGCATCCGAACGCCGCCACGACGCGCGCGCGCGCGACAGTCGCGGGCGGTACAGCCACGGCGGGCACAGCGACAGCACGCACAGCTCCGGCACGCGACGCAGCTCGCGCCATTCCGAGCCCCGCACCTGGACGGACCTCGCGCATCCCGCGCCGCAGCCCCCCTCTAGCTTCGACCCGCTCCCCCACGATCACCCTGCGCTCGCACCGATGTACGTCCCCCCCTCCGCATCCGCGCCCATGCCCGCCCACGCCCACGCCCACGCCCACTCCGCGTCGCCCGTGGACGTGCAGGCGCACGGTCATGTCGTGGGCTGGAGCGGCGCCGTGGACGCGCAAGCGCCCCGGACGCACTCGCAGCCACCGTGGCCAGGTGCGCTCGCTGGCCCGGCAAGCGCGTACCTCGAGGAGCGCGCGCGCAGTGCAGCGCCGTCTGCAGGATCTGGGGAAGGCCCGTTCGGGCAGACGGGGCGGACGATCTACTCGCAGCGGTGAATGCTGCTGCACACACTCTGCTCGTGCGCGCATGTGTGCTTGCGAGGGCTGGGGTCTCGTTGCTGTAGTTGTTGTGGCCCGTAGCTTGTCTTTCTATCTTTCGGTCCGTCTCCGCGTTTTTTTTTGGTCTTCGTCTCCTCTGTTCGTCTGTTCGCGCTTTCTTTCACTCACTGGTTACATACATACTTATTTCGCACCGCAAACTGTCTATCACCAAGTTAACTGAGGCGGGCCTGGCCTTTCGCCCGCGTACACCACGATTCGTCCTGTCCCACTCATCCGATCACTGACGTTCAACTACAACAAACGCAAAACCCAATACAACAAGCCTTATGTAATGGACCAGAAAGAAAAACATACATATCACCTGGTGACCCCACTCTATTACTTTCCTCGTGTCTCACGCATCGCATTGCACCGCTCCGCGCTCATGTACCGTACTTGCCGCCTCCTGCGGCGAAGTTACTGCTGACCTTGCGCATGAGGAAGTCGCCGTAGACGGTCGGCGCGTACGTCTTCTTCGGGGGCGGGTCTTCGGCGCCCGGGAAGTGCCGCGCGTCGTGGCTGTCTTGGATGCGGTCGGCGGCGGCGAGCGGGGCCACGTAGGCGTTGAAGTTGGGCTCGAAGAAGAACGGGATGCTGCGCGAGGCGTGAGTGGGCCGGCGCTGCGTGACGGCAAGGTGCACTCACGATACACTGCCCGGGGGAGGAGACGCGCCGTGAGTTTGAGTGGACGTGCTGTGAGGAACGCGTGATGCCGGGTGAGGGACGCACCGATAATTCGAGCCGCGGTGGACAACGCGGTGCAGGGTGCTCTTGTACAGCCCTTTGGTCCAGATCTCCCACACTGTCGACGAGTCAGCGACGGGTAAGGGCGAGCGAAAGCGTCACGCGCGGCGGGATACGCACTCTCGCCGATGTTGCAGACGACGCAGCCGGGGATCGGGTCTGCGGAGATCCAGACGCCCTGCTCGAGCCCTTCCTCCCGCGGCGTGCGCCCCGGGTTCTCGATGGCGACGAAGGACTGGGGGAGGAACACTTGCAGGGCGTCGCGGGTCGGGTCGGCCCACAGGAAGCTGCGAACAGGTAGGCGTCATCAGCCGACCAGCGCCGAGGGGGCGAGGGCGAGACGTACGTGAGGCATCCGTAATCTCTGAAGCGCGAAGCAGAGCAGGCAGTAAGTTGAGCTTATTCAAACGCGGATGGATCTCGGCATGTGTCCTTGCCTGTGCGCCCCGCAGGAGTATCCGTCGTGATCGCTCGGCAGAGGCGGGTAGCCTATATTAAGACGGGATCAGACCGCGCTGCGGAGGGATTTGGAGACCCGAATGCCATGATCGGGGACGGACCGATGACGCGCATCACCCAGAAGCTGTCGTCGACTTGGGCGCGGAGGGCGGCCCACTCTTCCTGTGTCATCCCGAGGCCGACGGACATGCTGAAGAGCGCGCGGCGGGGGGTCAGTCCGCGATGGTCTGCAGAATGGCGAGAGAGGGGAGAGCGACGTACGCCTCCATGACGATCAGGCCGAGCCTCTTCATCTTGTCCACCCAAGCCTCGTACTTTTCACGAAATGTCGGCACTGTCGGCCATTGGTTCTCGCCCCATAACGGCTTGGTCTTGTCGGGCTCTTCCACGGGGCGGTAGAAGTCGAGGCCTTCGTGATTATCGGCCTTGCCGTTCGTCACGTTCTCCTTGAGGCGAGCGTACCCTGCTCTGTGTTAGGAATGAGCGAAACTTAGACGGAAAGTATGCAAGCGCACCTCGGGCATGGTCCTGATTGCTCAAGGATAGCTTATCCTTCTCTTCCTGGGGGAGATCAAAGAACTCGTGCGCGAGCCTCGCAAGCTCTTCAGGTTCTGAGGGGTCAGCGAAGGCGGATATGTCGAGGTAGAAGAACCCATATTCGAGGCAAGCTGCGTGAAGCGCCGCAGAGGTGGAGAGGCGGCCCTTGGTGTCGGACCCGTCCAGCCACGGTGCGATGCTGATGATGGGGAGGGCGCTGGCGAGTTTGGCGGACAAGTCGGAGGACATTGGTGAAGATACCGCGGGCGACGACGACGGACGATGGGAGTAATATCGAACGTATTAATACGGCCCTTGCTTTCCTCCAGCGGGAATACCATCGTTGATAAGATAACTCGTGAGGCCGGTCACTGTCACAGATTCCCCGCTTTGCGCTCAACTCCGATCAACTCATTCTTGTTCCTGACCGTCATCCCAAACTCCTGTTCGACGACTAAAAATCAGCACTGCATCCCGCTTCTGTGAGAAACTAGAACGGATACAAGTCTCATCCTCAATATCCTCTGTTATCCTACTATAAAACAAACATCCCACATGTGCTCTGCGATCCAACTCTACGCTCTGCTAATTCAGGGCTGCCAGACTCCTCAAGCCAAACTTCGTTGTGTTCTGTGCGAGTTCGAGCTCTCTCTTGTGCTATCTCCATCGACCTTGATCCTTTGCGAGGCGGGATATCTCACTCGCCTTCACCGGTTTACCTTCACCTCAGACATATCTCTTCAAATATCCCCCTAAAACATCCCCTTGAAATACTACATATGCTCCATGTCGCACCCAACGTCGTCATTGATCGACAAATGTTCTACTCGCAGACCGTGTTCAAGCCTCTTTGAAAGGAACGCCTCTAGAACCCCGCCAATGTTCAACCGAGGCGGGTAGTCATTTGATCGTAGATCTGGCAGCCCACTTTTCACGATGACAAGCTTGGAGAGTTTGGGAAGCAGAGGGGTCTCTCTGACACTATCATCGGAGGTGAGGGCCATCAGAACGCCCGCAATGGCGTCGCACGCCAGTTTGAGGATGCGTACGTTGGACATCGCGCTAAGGATCGGGGCCCATGTCTTGAAGTTTGGGTATTGCAACGAGCCCTCCTCGCTGAGGCGTTTCACGACGACGGGGTCGCTTGGCAAAGTCAGGGTCAACTGCAGTGCGTGCACGTCCGTCAGGGGGCTTAGGCGGTCGACCATACACTGCACGTCGTTCATCATAGCTGCGTACATGCAAGGGGCATAGTACAATATGCTGAACATGAAAGGCGCGTCACACTGATGCTCACATCGACGATTTCAACCGCCGTCGTGTTCGAGCAGCGCTCGCCGTGGTCTCCGGTCTCCGGTAGGATCGTCAAGTGTTTCGATCATAGGGTACCAGGCGATCGACCACCCCTTCTCCGGCTTGAGTTCTATCTTGGCGTATAAAGGGCCTGCAGACTTACCGATACCGCGAAGTCGGTCAGGGATTACATTGAGCACAGCTGCGTACTCTTCTTCAGTGCCTGATTTCCTTAAGGTCAGCTGGAAGTGGACCGTCGGAGGAATCTGGAGCGGTTCGAAAAAATCCACGAATTGCCGGTATTCACTGAATCGGATGTGCAACCTGGAGAGGTGAGGAAGACGTATTTTGTCTCCAGAGTACTGGTCACCTGGATTCAACCTCCTGACCTTGAGAGATTCGAGGAGCGGTGTGCGCTGGAGCAAGTCGAGCAGATAGTCCGTATTGTAAGTCTCGCGTAATCTGAGTTCGCGAAGACTACCCAATAGGGAATACGTGACGCTGACCGACATCGAGTCTCCAAGCCATAGACGACGCAAGCGGGGGGCATGTCCCGAAAACATGTCATCTCGAATCTCGTACAGATCGGTGTCCAAGACGAAGTTCTCTAGCAGGGGTGCAGAGGCGGTCAGCCTCCCGTCGAGTACTCGTCTCAGCTTTCGATTATTCGCCCCTACGTCGCCGAGATAGAGCTCCTTGATTCGAAAGGCATTGGCGGAGATGACGGCTGTGATATCGCTGAAGCGGGAGTGGACGGTGCTGAGTTCGAGAACGAGTGGATAATTCCGCGAGCGCTTCAAAAGCTCTTGGACCCGTCGATGGCTGGGATGAGTGGTGGTTTGGATCCATAGATGAGGGCAGGCAAGCGAGATTCTACACCACAGACGACAGACCCATGTGATTTCTACCCACCTTGGAGAGGCGTCGTGGTCGTCTTCTTCTGACGTGAACACAGTATTGGGATGATAGGCATTTCTGGCGCATTCGATGAATATCTGTTCCAGTGTTTCGATGGGCAGCCTTCCTATGGGATGTGGGACCAAATAATTGTAATACAGATTGTGTTGCACCATGGTAATCTGCACGATGATGATCGATTTTCAGCAGCACGGCGGATCACTGACGGATCGCAGCAGCGGGGTGGCTGAATGGGGGTGGTGGCATCAGTGAGAGAAGAAAGAGATAGACCAGTGGCTCGCTTCATACCTTTCTGATGCCTGGCTATCAAGGTGTTATAGTATTCGATGGTATACTGGTAAATATATTGCGACTTGAGGCAACCTTGCGAGGACTGCTATATGGATGTAATGGGTAGATTCAACGAGGAAAATGCCGTATTGTATGATGCGAAGATTGAAGACACCGCAGAACACCGCCTTATACACCAATGCCCTTCAGAAAACAAAGCGTTGTTAAAATTCGGGACAGATTTATTCAGGAATCAGCTCCATCAAGAACAAAGGATCCTTGATGTTAGTATTCGAGGAGGGAACCGATGGGTGATGTAAGGGGCTTACTTGCCACTTTGTATTTTAACGGGCATCGGTCAAGGAGCACGATGGACGGATGACTCATATGATGGATGCTTTCTACGTCAGTTCCTCTCCTTGCAGGGCACATTCCCTGCCCTGTGTAGACCTTTCAACGGTCTAGATATATGTCGGGCGCGACTTTATGCAGGCTCCCATGCGGCAATGTGGTCCTATTGGCGGTTGTGGACGTAACATACATTCGCACATGCGAGTCAAAAATCCATAGGAACGGTTCAAGGTCAGTACATGCATGAGTACCGGCAACACAAACCTGATCAGATGTTGCTCTGAACAAGGGAAGATGGTGACGAGATAAGCGGAGCAGCTATTTGCACCGATGGGGTAAAGAATGTATATTGTACATGCATATGAACGATACCTGTGGGTTAAAATGCATACAACGCCAAACTTGCGGTGACCGGAGAGATTCTGTGTTCGAACTTTGAAAACACCAAACCATACCTCCTCTCCAACATCAAGTTCTCCCAGCCCTCAAGGCCTCAAGCCTTGGAGGGCCCAGCCATGTGTCGCCGATACGGAGACACCAAGACTCCACCTGACTCCACAGGCTTCTGCACTTGTTGAATGTATCACGGGCGACGTCGGTGAAAGCTGAGAGGAATGCCGATTCATATATGACCCTTCCTTGAGCGGGGACACGGCATCATTGACGTTGATAAGATACTACTTGCGAAGTTGTGAAGGTCACCCTCAGTAAAAACAGAAATTCAAGTGAACGTCATGTCCAGTCACGAAACTGGGTTTTTGTTATGTATCCGTCAAGAAAGCGGTGCAGAAGTCATGTGAAAGTCGTGTGCAATTTTAGAAGTTTATGACTTTTGCATGACTTTCTTGACGGATACATGACAAAAGCCTAGTTTCGTGACTGGACATGACGTTCACTTGACTTCCGTTTTTACTGAGGGTCACCTCTGTCACAGATTCCTCTGAATTTTGTTACTTTATGATCCACTCCGATCTTGGTTCCTCGCGAACATAGAAATTCCTGTTCGGCGACCGAAATCAGCCTCAATACATATTTCGTCTGAGAATCCTGCACAGAAGGGATACCACAATATCTCGCTGGGCCATCTGGCAGCTAAGGACGGTCGGAGAATCAAGGTTGCTTTCTTTATATCAGAATAAATTGTGACAGGGTGACGTCCCTCACGTGTGGTCTACCATATTTTGAAAGGGTGAGCATGATCCTGACTCGAATCTCTCGAATCTTAAACATACACACCCATCGATCCTCCCTCGTTTCTCCTTACCGTCTCCTCGTAAAAACCATGTCGTCTGCCGCGGCAGTGTCGAAACTGCAGTCTCCCCTCCGCGATCTAGTCCTCGGCGCGACGCAAGATGGAAGCCAGGACTTTGGCAAGTCCGAGAAGGACAAGACAGAAGTGACGGGCTGGATCGAGAAGGTCGCGCAGGGCGACATCGTGAAGCCAGAAGCGCTCAAGGTACTTGACGTCGCACCGCGTGCTTGACAGACGAGGTCTCTTACGATTCGGAGACAGGATCTCGACGCGCAACTCGTGCCGCTCACATATGTCGTGAGCAACTACCTGACCGCCGCCGATGTCGCCGTCTACGGCGCCCTCCACCCGACATTCGTATGTCCTTCAGCCAGAACGCTCGTCCATTTGTGTTGAGTTCCAAGTGCTCGGATTAGTCCCAGCTCCAGCCTTCCCAGTATCATTCCCACCCCGCACTCACCCGCTACTTTGACCATGTTCAAACTCGGCCATCCGTTCGCAAATCAGCCGAGAGCCTCTCTCCCGCGTTTTCTCTTGTCCCTATCGATCTCTCCAACACTCCTGCAATTGAGCGCAAGGCCGCTGAGCCGAAGAAGAAGGAAAAGGCATCCAAGGCCGACGCGGCACCCGCGCCAGAAAAGCAAGAGAAGCTGGCTGCAGCAGAGGTGAAAAAATCCGACCCAGGGGAGGGTAAGACGCAGAAAAAGGACAAGAAGGAAAAGAAGGAGAAAAAAGAGGGCGCAGCAGAGGCTGGAGAAGGAAAGAAGAAGGTTGCAGGTGGAGGCAAGGCTGCTCCGGCAGAAGATGCGGGAGAGCCTGTCCCGTCCATGATCGATCTGCGTGTTGGGCACATCGTCGATGGTATGTGCTTTTTGCCTTCTATTTCATCACTCCATCTGACACGTTATTCAGTGAAAAAACATCCGGATGCCGATGGTTTATATGTCGAGGTAACGTCTCCGAGCAATAAACAGGATAATTTCTCTCATCTATCGCTCTCTGATATCTCAGCAAATCGATTTCGGCGAGGAAACAGGCCCTCGCACCGTTGTGTCTGGGCTTGTGAACTATGTCCCAATTGAGAAAATGCAAGACAAATGGCTTGTCGGTGTGGTTCGTCGACTATCTCTTCAAATTTTGTGATGTCAGGCTGAGGCGCATCTCAGTGCAACTTGAAGCCTGCCAACATGCGTGGAGTCAAAAGTTTTGCCATGGTTCTCTGCGTACGCCTCTCATCCAGATTTGATTTCAAAAAACTCAATGCTTTGAATGCAGGCGACCTCGAAGGACGGCAAGGAGGCCGGGATCGAGCTGATTGACCCCCCGCCAAACTCGAAGCCCGGTGACAGGATCTATTTTGAAGGCGCCGAGTTCGAAGGTACGCTTCGACGTCATTTGTAAATGCCTTAATTCACTCACGTTGGCGTGCCAGATGCGACGCCACTGTCTCAACTGAACCCGAAAAAGAAGATATTCGAGACCGTTCAACCAGGTATGCCGTATCCTTCTATGACAATATCCTTTTCGGGAAATCTCAACGCAACCTTGTGTCCAGGATTCACGACGCTAGACAGCAGAGAGGCTGCGTGGGTAAACCCGTCCACAAAGAGTGTGCATCGAATCCGGACAAAGGCGGGTTTCTGCTTGGCTCCCACACTCGTCGGCGCATCCTTGTCATAGATTCACGATTGTACTCGAGGTCATACCAGCCATGTCGAAATTCCTCAGATTCGCGACAAGATCAGTAGCAAACGCGTCGTGAAAAGTGCATTCCGTCGCAACGTCAGATCACCAAATCTTGGACACTGATCCTCGCGAATTAGGTAGGTGGACCAGGTTCCCGAATCGATGGGAGTGCGAAGCACTCGAGCGAGAAGTCACGCACTCTTTCAGCGTGGCAGGTGGTAACACAAACCGATGTAGCCTGCGAAGTCGCGCAGACTTGTGCGCAGAGTCACCGTCCACTGCGCGAGCTGACATAGCGCGAGTCACATAGTAGATGCCTTATACGTACATAAGGACCGTCACTTAGACACGGTATAAATACGATCAGTCAAGGCAACCGCAACCGCTCTTGCTGTCTACAAAGGGCAACCACGCGCCCTTCAACTTTCCTCATCGTTTGCTTCTGATTATGGGCGGAAACGCGCTCACGCATCTTTTGCCTGCCGCATCATTTCCCAGGTTACCCCACCATATTTATGCCGCCATAAAAGCGCACCTGCACGATCGCCTCGCGCCGCTGTATGAGCGCGTCGCCACCCCGCGCGAGGCGCCGGAGAAGCTCGACTACGGAGACGTCGACTTCATCGTCGTGTGCCCTAAGAAGCCCGATATAACGCACGAGGACGTGCGGATTGCGTTGGGCGCGGGCGCGAGTATACAGGGGCGCACGAGCAATTTCGCAGTGCCACTGAGCCGATACACCGACGAGGTCATGGGGAACACGCAGCGTGGTGGGCAGAGAGAGCACGAGGAGTACGTGCAGGTCGACGTGCATGTGTGCGCCGAGGTACCGCAGTTCGAGCGGGTCGTGTTTTTTCACGGATACGGTGACCTCGGGATGATCATTGGATGCCTTGCGCGTAGCGTTGGCCTTCATCTAGGAGATCACGGTCTGAAGGTGAGTTACACGAGGCGGTATATAGCGCTTCAGAGCATCGCGGGGCCTGAATATGCATTGCTTTGGGTGCAGATCAACTCGCAGGACCTTGCGCCTACGACCTCGCCAGCGTTTCCTCTATCTGCGTCCTTCGACCGCATCCTGATGTTTCTCGGGCTTTCTCTCGACAGATGGAGCGCAGGCTTGTCAACGCGGGAGGAAGCGTTCGAATGGGTGGCGACCTCGCGGTTCTATAGCCCTGTCCGAATCCGCGAAAGGCAGCTGCGCGCAAAACGGCGTGTAGACCGGGAGATGTACCAAGCATTCATTCAGTGGAACGAAGCACGGGCCAACCGTGACATCACCCACCAAGAACAAGCTGAGCCGTTGAGCGATGTAGCCGACGAGGCCTTGGTATATTTCGAGAAAAAAGAGGAGTTCAGCAGGTTGGTGAAGGAGAATCAACGACGTGTGAGGCTAAAGCAGACTTGGAACGGGAACGTAGTGGGCGGATGGACGGGATGGTATGGGCACGGTGTAGCGCGGGTCATGGAGTATGTTAGGGAGAAGCTAGGCGAGGATAGAATCCTGGAGATGGAGGAGAGCGAGTTGAGAGCTGCGGTCATGGAGGCTAAGGAGATAGTACAGCGAGAATGGGATAAGAACAAAGAGGAGGCAAGAGACACCCACTGATGCTTTCGGAGGATTGTCTTGATAAAGTCTCGATCCACACTTACCTGGGTGGTTGCATTATCACGCACTAAAAACGATAGCCCTCCTACTTGTATGCAAGAAAGCAGATGAAAGGCGACGAGAAAATGCATTCGAAGATCTATTACTTCTTTTTGACAGCTTTGATTCTAATCGTCTCGTCTCCGACAAAGATACCCTGTGAAGTAGGTTAACCCTCATAAGTATAAGGTGATACGACCAGCCCGTACCTTGCCCTTGTACGGCTCTGGTGGTCGCCATTTCCGCACCTGTGCGGCAAACAAGCCCAACAGATGCTTGTCCGTGCAGCTGAGCAGGATCTTCGTCGCGTACGGAACCTCCGCCTTGATGTGAGCAGGCACCGGGACAAAGACCGAGTGACTGTACCCCAGCTTCATGTTCAGCCGCATTCCGCTCCTGCCATCCTCCTTTCCTCTTGGGTCTTCCTCGAGAGTAGCGCGGTAACCGACGCCGACGAGGTATAAGGGGACGGAGAAGCCCTCCGTCATGCCGATGACCGCGTTGTTGATGAGCGTGCGCGTGAGCCCCCACATTGAGCGCTGTTTCTTCTCCTCTGCGTTCTCGACGCCTAGCGCAAGGACATCCGGGGAAGGAAACTCGATGGACATGTAAGGAGTGAGAGGGACGGAAGTGCTGCCCAACGGGCCTTGGACATGGAGGGAAGTACCGTTTGGAGAAGGGGTGAGTGAGACGGTGGGCGGGAACTTGATGGGCTGTTTTCCGATGTTCGACGTATGTGCGCGGGCGACATTTGAGGTGGAGAATGAGCGCAGGGCTCTGCCCACGCAATGTGGTCGTGGCGCGAGCATCTCTTCACCGTCGACTCTCCTCACTCGCGAGCAAACATACACGCCACGTGGTCTCATACCGCACTTCGGCGAGCGCCGATTCGCTTCGCACTGCCGGTCTGCGCGCAGTGCGTGCCTGCAGAGTTATTTTCTACACGTCATGGAAAATGTGACTATTGCCTTTAGATATAAGCACCGGAACAGTATGTAGAGACTATGGTTCAAAGTTCGAGTATGGATAGAAGATATATGCCATGACAGTTTTGCTGAACTCCTGATATTTAATTCTTTGGTGCTTCAAGCACTCGTCGAGTTGAGGTAGTTAGTGTTTGTAATAGAGTATGTAGCAGTCGAGTCAACTCCGATTGCTGCAAAAAGGGGCCGAGTCAGTTGGGGTCCCAAAACGCTGCAATTACGCGACGTACTGATGTAGCCAAGCAGACCGTCAGAGATATCAGAGCCGAGCATCACGATGTCCATTTCTGCGTTGTAGCCGGCCGTATTCGCAGCCGCGTAGATGCTGTCATCGGCGTTGTACGTGCGCTCGTTGGTATCGGTGGTGTACGGGGAAGTATTGTAGACCGCATCGTTCCAAGACTCATTGGCAAAGAGTTGGCCGATATGGATGAGGGAGCCAGTGTGAGAGGCCAAAGTACTGCAATGCGAGCGATTAGTTTTGTCTACTTCATCTCGGTGGAATACACACCCGTTGGAGTTAAGCTCGTAGTTGAGATGAACCATGGTGTGGACATGCATGGTACGTCCGCCTAGAGACGTCAATGTCAGCAGATACTGTAGACACTACAACAAACTACTCACCGTACTAAATACATTCAAAAGTTTGGGCAAAGCAAATACCCGTTAGCTGAGGATGGAGAGAGCGAAGAATCAGACGTACAAAGCCAGGGTAGATTGTAGTCAGTTCAACCACTCCTTGGGAGTTTGTGGGGTATCCACCACGAAGGAATGTCTCGTTGCTAGAAACGAAGTCTCAGTAAGGCGGTCAATCCGCCAGATTGAAATACGGACCGGACTAGGGCTGACGAGCTCATGGAGCCCGTGGAGCCTCCAGCGGATCCCGAAGGCATGGAAGAAGGCACAGCAGAAGCAGAACCTGATGCAGAACCTGAAGCTGAACCCGAGGGCATCATGCTCATAGTAGCGTTCGAGGAGTTCGAAGGGGCAGATCCACCGCCGCCCCCAAGGGTGGCGGTGTAGCTGCTATACACGCCTGTGGCATTGGCTGATGCGTGCGTATCCATTAGCATCGCAGACTGATATATGCTCGCGCAAAACGTACCGGCCCACAGCTCGACAAAAGCATCCGAGAGCGGCTCACAAGTGTTGATGTCAATGACACCAATGTCGAGAATTAGGGTGACGCCCCTGGAAAGAACGCGACAAAGTTCAGTCGACGCTCTCTACACGCCAAGTTTTGAAGAAAAGACGCTCACGTTTGGTTCTCGCGCAAATCGGTACGCACAATCTCATCATTGATGTAGTACGGCCCCTCTGTGGTTTCTGGCGCTGTGATACAGGTGGAGTTTTGGATCGTGGCGTAGTGAGCTGGTTGATCGGCGGCGAGAGCGGTTGATGTCGAAACAGTCGAAGCAGAGGCGACTGAAGCAGAGGACATCAAAGAGCTGGTCACCACAGAGCTGGTCATCGCAGAGCTGGCCGATGCAGAACTGGCCAATGCAGAGCTGGCCAATGCAGAGCTGATTGCAGACGACTTGACGGGTCCGTTGGGCCTCCCGTGTTGGGATTGCCTGTTGCCTTGACCCTGCTGCTGCTGCTGCTGCTGCTCGAAAGGTTTCTTATCCGCCTTCAATTCACGCTTAGCCTTGCGGCGAGAGGTGAACGAATCAATAGAGGAAGCGCAGTTCCTAGCAGCAAGGTGCCGCCTAGCCATGGCGAACTAGGAGCGCGTGTCGTTGGTAAGAAAGCTTCGAACTCGATGGGAGTAAGTAGCTATACTCACGTCGCGACGCTCAAGCTCATCACGGCTGTACTCGATGTGGTGTTCTTCGTGGGCTGTGGATAATGTCATCAGACAGCGAACGCAAGTGGAGAAGAAAGTGAAGCGTACCGAGAACCACAGTCGCAAGGGCAACGAGTTGAGCAAAAAGTGAGACACGCATGTTAGATCAAATAATGAGATGGGTCAAACGACAGGAAGAGCGAAGATGAGGGAAGATATCCTTGCTTGAACGTCCTGCTTTTATACCGAATTTGTAGAGCCCATAGCACCCCAAGTTTGCGGCGGCCGCGATCCTCCTGGGACGGGTCCCTAGACTGCTACGGTGCGCAGCACGTAGTTGGAAGAATGGATAATGATACGGGGGCGATGCCGAGGGCTTTCAGTATGTTTCTGTCCACGTGCGTGAGTCGCTTCTGGATAGAGACACAATCAAGTTCAGGCTCCTGGAAGACTCGCCGCGCCTTTTCAGCAGCACCTCGCAGCTGCAGGATTCGTAAAAAAAAAACACCCCCACCGCCTCATGTCCCCGAGCATGGGTCATTGTCGTGTGCGTGAAATTGCATCAAGTCGTCGCAGTATCGTCGCTTCCAAACTTGTTAAAAGGTCGGACGATACATTATGCCGAAACTCCAAGAACAGCATCCCCGTTATGCAGTCAGCTGTGTAGCTTGTACTGAAAAGCAGGACATTCGGCTTTCAACAAGAGCTTGGCAGTGGGGCGGCTGAATAGACGAAGAGTCGCTGAACTTCAATGGACCACCGGATCCGAGATCCGGGAGATGGGGTGCCCCTAAATTGCTGATGGATGAAAGCTGATTGGTCGGAGGATTGAGCACTCCTGCAAATCATCAGCCAGCTCTCCGCAGTCGCTGCGGAGCCCTCCGTCCTTGCAGGTAATGGAACTGCGTTGGATGTTTATCGAGGCGATGAAAATGCCCCGGAGGAAGGAAGAGGAGCGTGCCCAATCCTTGCGAGACTTAGAAGTGACTTAGATAGCGCTCGAAGCTCCGAATTGTTACCATGGCCATCCTTGTGGAGCATGACCTACTCTTTGAGTGGTTTGCACAGATTGATACTCGAAAACATCAAGGCGCTGATTGACGTTGCCAACCACGGCCACCATTGTGATCGAACTGCGGAATCAACCAACGAGATCGCTAAGGATAAACTACAGAGCTTTTCTTAGAAAAGGAGAAACGCACTACATCCAGAAACGGCACAAGGGAACCCATTGCCAAGCAGACGGCAGGTAGCGAGTGCTTTGGTGTCGCACCATAGCATTGCATAATCATTGAGAAATATGTTAGTCATCGACGATAGGTATCTGCACTGTAGTATCTGCAAGCAATCTGCATGTGACGCAAGCCAGGTCGTCAAGCCTGTGGGAAATCGACAAGTCTCACCACGCCTCTCAAGGTACAGTATGACGGAGAATCACTAATCGTTGCGAACGGCAACAAGGGCACTGCATGAAGGGCGAACGCTGCCGCTGTCATTGGCTGCAAAGTGGCTGGGGCAAGAAAAATGCAAGCAAGCGGGCTGGCTCGGCTACCCCCAATGGCTGACTGTGGCAAAGTGGCAGAGACCGGTCAAGTCCGAAGCCTCGTGCACATCCTGATAAGGCAAATGTGCGGCAAGATCGTCTCGAAAAGGAAAGCCAGGGAGGCTGTCTTTGTCGTTGCCGAGTCTGCTTCTCGCAAAATGTTGAACTTCGCGTCCACAGGGTCCCGCACGAACTGTAGCTCGTTGTTGTATAAAACAGCCATGACACCAATTCTCTCTTCCAGACGCCTTCTCATCTCTCCTGGACGACACCGAAACTCGATATATCTGGACGAACTTGATGCATCGCCTGTGGTACAGTTACCCGGACTTGGTCTTACGAATTCTTGCGGCTACTCGAAACAGTGATGTATCCCTCTCGGACTTTCTAGACCCCTACGAGCTCTCGGCTGTTGACGAAGAATCTAGGGACCAACTCGCTCGCTCCTTCAAGGTCGACAGACTGGCGCGAATGACGGTCGCTGCTAGTGACTTATGCTTCCGTCGCACGATGCGCACATGTGCGCTTGTGTGTAGGGTGTTTTGTGAACCTGCGCTTCGACTACTGTGGCAACGAGTTCCGTTATTCCACCATATCGTTCAGCTGTTCTCTTGTGACGTGAAGGTCAAGAGGTTTGCTGAAGCTTTACCGGTAAGTAAGGTAGTGCACTCGTCCATTCGCCGCTCATCGCCAATGTACAGATCATCCAAATGATACCTCCGCCTTCTGAATATCATGCATTTCACAGATACCACAGGCACGTTCACACTATCGGCTACTCGGAAAACATGCACCGGCGCAATCTAAAAATCTTACCTGTGACAGTGGCTAGTATCATCTCTGGCTATCCGCTCAAAGCATTTCCGAACCTAACTTCCGTAGTCTGGGATGTGAGGTTCAATGAACATTTGGACGGTGTCAAAGCGCTCCTGACACCCGAACTCCGTCATCTTGATCTACGCGCCCGCCTGGATATTAGGAAGCAAAGAATCTACTATGCTACACCCACAGACGCGTTAACTTCGGTGGCCGAAAAGGCGCCACAACTAACTCACTTATCACTTACAGGATTCTTTATCATTCCTCCGACGATTGCCACCTTTCGCCAGCTTGGCATATCACTCAGGTTTCTCTCGGATCTCAAAATTCTCCAGCCTAAAGACTGGCATCAGTCCCCAAACTTCCCCACTCAGCCTGCCCCTGCTGAGGATGGACCTCCACTATTTCCGTCGCTAGACTCGCTGACCATACATGGTCATCCTGCATATATCCTCAAATCCATCCTCGCTATCTACGCGTTTCCGCAGAGATGTCTCTACATCCATCTGACGCACATCCCCACTGCGACTCATATCACCCAGATTTTCAATGCTTTGGCGAACCATAGTCGAACGAACACCTTGTCCCATCTTGAGATTTCCACCGGCAAAAGTATCGTATTCCAAACTTGCTCGGATCGAGTTCTTTCGGGTATAGACTTCCGCCCGCTCTTTCGCTTCAAGCACCTGCGACATCTTGAACTTAGACAGTTATCAATCTCGATCAAGCTTGGGAGCGGTGATATCCTTGATATGGCCCACGCATGGCCGCAGCTACAATTCTTGTCGCTCAACTCGCACCCAAGCTATCTCGACTTTCCGTCGTGGATCCCAAGCTTCCCTCTCGCGTCAATGTACCTGTTTGCTGCGTTTCCAGCCCTTCAAGTTCTGAAGATACCCATTCTTGCGCCGGATAGAGATGTCGTATTCGATCTGATTCGCTGCTCCTTTCCAACTGCGTCTCAGATCTGGGGCCTGAACTGGGATATATCGAACATCGACAGCAACGACGACGAGACGTTTGTGATCGCATATCTCCAAAGAATATTCCCAAAACTAGCCATAATCAAGAAATGTGAGAGCGAGCGTTGGAATGAGGGCCTGGGCGAACTCGTAGCGAGGGGTTTCAAAGTTGTAAGCTGGCTTTTTCCTCTCATGGTCAGTTGATCGTTCAATGAATTTACTGCAGGGCCATACCACTGCTCACCGAAAATGGGGTCTGCTCCCAGTGATGCCACTTGAAGGGGAGAAGTGGCTGTATCGAGCTTCTTGCCTATGATTTTATGGACAGTTTGAGGCTCTGCGATCCTTCTATGCTACCTTTCATGCTTCATCTCTAGGCTCGATATTTGTATGATTCCCTAGTATGCTATATATGTATTCCCTCTGATCACAGAGATGAAGATGCCTGATGTTTCGATAAAAGCTCTCAATGACAATAATTGAGCGAATCTGCAACGGTACTTCTGTAGATCGAAGGATATGCTGCTTGGAGCCGCGGCGCCCAATCCGTGCGCGGTTTCCCACGGTAGGTGGTGGTTCCTCGAACGGCGTTCAACTGGTGCTCTGAATCAACGTACCCGTACACATATTAGCCTCTCGCGACTTGCAGTCTTCGCAAAAGCACTACACAATGTCCAAATTTGCTCCTCACCGTCGCTCCACAGCCAACCCCACTGCCACGTCGTCCACCATATGCCAGAAATGCCTCGGCACAGGTACGCAAATGATCCCAACTAGTCCTCGTAGGCCTCATCCTCAGCTGAACACGTCCATGTAGGTCATTTCACATACCAATGCAAGTCAACTCGTCCATACGTATCGCGGCCATCGCGCACGCAGCAGCTTGAGAACCCGCGGACCCTTGCGAAGTTGAAGCTGGACGGCAAACCGTCTGTGGAAGTACCGGAAGAGTTCAAGAACAAGTGCGCGTTTGATATCTGTTCATCATTTTTCATAACTCTGATGCATAGTCCCTTTCTCATCGGAAAACAGGAGCGGGACTGCGAACAGAATTTTAGAGGCAAAGGAGAAGGAAAGGGAGAAGGACACTGGGAAAGCCAAGAAGCGCGCGAGGCGGTACGTTCTCATCATGCATTTGACGCGACATTCATCAGGATAGTATTCACACCCTTCTCGTTGGCATAGATCGTCACGCTCCTCTAGCTCGTCATCCAACAGTGACTCTGGCTCAAGCTCCGGCGGTGATTCGGATTCGGACTCGGATTCCTCGTCCGATTCATCAAGATCGTCTTCCTCCTCCCGTTCCCAAGAAAGAGATAGTAAGCGTCGGCTTCCTCGCCGCGGACGCACATCTAGTGTCTCCTCTGGCAGTTCAGATGGCAGTGAGCGGGGACGCGGCTCTCGACGTTGATACGGATGCTGCACTTGGCAATGCATCTGAGGTAATTCTTCCAGTTTTTCCTTTGTTTCGTCTATGTATCTGTACGCCCTGTGGGATGTTCCGTGGATGTTTAAATAATAATTGCGATGAGTGCAGTCAGGTTCATCATTTACGTGAAATGTGGGGCGCTGCCGAAAGCATGTATACTCATGAACACTGAACATCTGATGCTTTTGTGTTCATGATGAGTGCTACGATCAGGCTGGTTTAAGATCAGCAACACGCGCCGAGTTAGGGAAAGGACACAAGAAACTAGCGCACCCGTAAAGACCTAGTACTTCGGCAAAGATGAGAATGAGGACCATCGATACGAAGACGCGCGACTCGTAAATGTATGCGCGTACGCACTGCATACTGAGTTAGGTGGATTGAAGGATAAGTTATCGGCAAGGAAAACGTACTGCGTCGCCCACGATGCCAATTGCATAGCCCGCGGCCAGTCCGGTGAATCCACATGCGAGACCTGCACCTAGATGGATGAAGCCGGCAAACAGAGAATAATCTTGTGTTGGATCCACTGCATGATTCCAAGTGCGAATTACATGTCAATGCCCAAAGGGGTTGGGAGAGAGGGGAAGCGAGACTCACAGCCACCCGCAATAAGCACAGATACAACGAGTCCATAGACGGCAATGATACCCGACATGACGACGGGAATAAGGGACTGGTGTTCCACGAGTATGAGAGCTGACAATGGTTCATGCGATCGGCCATACACACCTTCATGATTAATTCTGGCTTGAATTGCCCCAGCCCTGCAATGCCAATGCCTGCTTTTGAGGTTCCGTATGCCGCACCAATAGCTATTAAATGAAACAAGTGGTTGTGTGAGACCCTACACCAACTATGAGTTCGCACAAGCACGCACTGCTGAATATCATCTGAGTGATTGAGGGGGTCGTTAGAGCGCGACACGACTCCACTGAAGCTCGTGGAGACTTACAGAGGAGGCCACCCCTGCAAAGCCAAAGAATGGCGCGTACGGTGGACAGATGGACATGGCTCAGACTGTTCAAAAGTAAGGAGTGCGATGAGGGGACGCGGCTGTTCGCAGGTAAGTCTACTGTGACGGTGAACGGTATTACCGGATTGGGAAACATCGGCGGGGTTTGAAGTGGTAGCTCGCTCGAACACAAGCCGAAGTGCACAACCAGTTCACGGCTTGCCATGGAGGCTCTCTTCTTCAACGTACGTTTTCTCGACTGTGATATCGTGTTCTCGGGCCTGATTGACACAGTGCTACGATGGATTGCGCAGGTCGACTCGGGGTTTCTGGAAGGTATCGTGAGAGGGTACAAGGCTGGTATTCTGACGCAGGGACAGTATGGCAATTTAACGCAGTGCGAAAGCCTCGAAGGTGCGCACGGACAACTGACCTCATCTTACATGCCGCTTTAATGACATGACTGTCTCTGTGGGGGCGTTAGATTTTCGGACACAGCTGTCCGCGACAGACTACGGTAACTTCCTCGCGAACGAGCCGCTCCCCATCTCGACGTCTACCATCGCCGACAAGGCGACGCAGATCTTGGTCGACCAATTCAACTACATACGGAGCAACGCCGTCGCGCCATTGAGCAAGTTCTTGGACTATATTACGTGCGTTCGCTTTCTGCATATGTGGGTCACGTCAGGCCGTAACGGCGCCGACTTTCATGGGCGCGCAGGTACGGGTATATGATTGACAATGTCGTGCTTTTAATCACGGGAACATTGCACGAACGGGATACGCACGAGCTGCTGGAGCGGTGTCATCCGCTGGGATGGTTCGAGACCATGCCAGCGCTCTGTGTCGCAACGAATGTTGAGGAGTTGTTCCAGACTGTCCTCGTCGAAACGCCATTAGGTAGGCAGTCCCTTCTCTCATTCATGGGCTTGACGCCGAATGCACCCTTCTGCCCTCTAGCACCATACTTCCGTGACTGCCTCTCTGCCTCTGACCTCGACGACCTCAACATCGAAATCATCCGCAACACGCTCTACAAAGCCTACCTCGAGGACTTCCACGCCTTCTGCACATCCATCGACGGCCCAACGTCCGACGTCATGGCGCGCATCCTCTCATTCGAGGCCGACCGGCGCACGATCAACATCACGATCAACTCTTTCAACACAGAGCTCTCCAAGGAACAGCGCGCGCGCCTCTTCCCGACCATCGGCCGCCTCTTTCCCGAGGGAAACAATCAGCTCGCAAAAGCAGATGACATCGACCAAGTGCGCGCGATCTGCGAAGGCATCGCGGAGTACCGTGCGTTTTTCGATGGCGCGGCGGGCGCCGCCGCGCACGAGGATGGGGATCTCAGCGTCGCGGCGCAGCTGGAGGACAAGTTCTTCGTCGCGGAGGTACACAATAACAAGCTGGCATTCCTGCAGCAGTTCCAGTACGGAGTGTTCTACGCTTACTTCAAGCTCAAGGAGCAGGAGATCAGGAACTTGACGTGGATCGCCGAGTGTATCGCACAGGAGGCGAGGGACAGAATCCAAGACTTTATACCTATCTTCTGAGTGCATCTCTCTCGGAGCAGTTGGTGTAAATGTATTCAGCTCTAATTAAGGACCAGCTTCACCTCGGACATGAGTAGACATCAAAGAGAAGGTCTGTCTGGCTGAAGGACGGGTGTGCAACGCATCCCCAGCACATCCCGCACATCTCAAATTGTACAGCCGCGTACTATTAGCGATGCGATAGAATACATCAATACGTTTATGCGCGAAACAATTACATTCTCAGCTAAAATATATGAATATTAAAGTTTCAGACAAGCGATAAAGAACGAGCCAATGCGAAGCAAACCCGTCGGGTGGAATGTATGTGACAATACCTTAATCGCCCGCATTTCGAGGCCAATGGCAAGCGATGTGAGGACGTGGGTATGGTGCAGAAGATTGATGACATCATGATGCGATAAAAAAGCAACGGAGATTAACGAAAGGTCCAGCCAGTCCGATAGCCTATGATGGAATGAGAATCATTAAGAAAGTGGTCGTGTCGGAGCGCTATGCATGAATGGTGGGATCGTTGGTCATCTTCTGACGCTTCGCGCGAGTTGTCCAATGATGATACTCGTCGTCGTCTTCGCTGTAATCGTCGTTGACCAGGCCTGATCCAAGTTGCTCTAGTCGTTGAGCTTCGTCCGCTTTGCGGAGCTCCCGTACCATAACCGAAACTTCCTTGAGGAAATTGCTCTGAAGACAATGATCACCATCAAGCAAGCGATAGACAACAGACGATCGGTCAATATACCTTCATCACACGAATTTTTGTTCCAGGTTCGCTTGCCTTCTCCGCTTGCTTTCGCTTCTCATTGTACTGAAGTTGTATTATTAGCGTCAGGATAATGAAATGGACAAGGTGCACATACCTTCTTCTGCTCTTCTTTCACCAGGGCGGCCAAGTGCTTGATCCACTGCTGCAAGTGGGTCTCTGCAGGCTGTTCCTTCACCTCCTTCACCGGCTTCCTGAAGCTTGTGTCGATATACATCTTGTCGTCCGCGATTGCCTCGTCGTCCGAGTCTGGTACCACGTACGACTTGACAGAGGCAGCAGCAGACCGGCGGGGCCTGCGCCCCTGAGCATTAGTGGTAGTGCTCCTGACTCGCGATGACGACGCAATCGCGGATGTCGAAGCGAGAGGCGCGGCTACTGAAGAGAACGAATCCACAGGCGTGACGAGCTCAGTGCTGGGCGTGCTTTCCTTCTTGATCTTGGAAGCGTCCTCATGGAGATAGTCATCCTCGGTCATGTAGAATGGAGCACCATGTTGGATACTCTGGAACAAGGCAGGATGCTAGACATATATTATCAAGTGAGTATATTTGATATTGTAAAAAGCGAGAAGCACGCACCGGCATCCGTCCCAGACACGCTAACAGTTGAAAGTGCTTCAATGTGATTGGAACGGTGGGAGGACTATCAGATGGAAGATAGTATGGAATAACCTACACGAGTTCAGGTTGATTCAGGATGGGGCTGTAAGGAAAAGGGGACGACTGACTGTTGTACTGTGATTGATGATAGCATGGGACATGAAGACCGCTGTCAGAAAGTGACGAGGACCAAACTCGCTACGAATCCATCGTGCAACGTGAACCGAGTCTGAATCATAGACGACCGTCAGTACGTTCAAGAGGAGGCCACGGAGACAGCACGAACGCTCAGGATAGTGCAGCCTTGTCGTGTAGTCAGACGAAAAATGAGACATGAGCGTAGGATACGATCGTCTCCGCCGTGCCGGCACGAGCTCATCTTGGCGTATAGCCTGAGACAGTGTCTCTTGCCCGATATGTCCCTACAAGCAGGCGAATCAGATTTAAATGCTGGCATCGAGGAAGACTTTGCTCACTAGACCATCCAGGTCTGGCTTCGTCGCGGGCACAAGCGGAGGGATATCAAAATCGACGTAATCGTCTGCGAGCTGGTCCATGTCCTCATCATCATCACTGTCGTCGTTCACGATATTTGACCCTGAGGAAGGCAGCACGGCATCTTCGAAAGAACGGACACAGTTGAGGTCGCGACAGAGGCGAGCCTCGAAATTTCCGAGGAGGTCGTCACGGTAGCCGTCGAGGTCGCTCTGCGCGATCTGATAGCGATCCTGCACGAAGGCTACGAGAGTCTTCTCCAAAGAGGGTATTTCCGCGTGCAAGCTCTTGAGCATTCGGCCCTACAAAGTGTCAGCAACAAGATCAGCAAGGCTAACCTAGAAAATCAGAAGCAGAAGAATGCTCACCTTGCATGTGATTTCAAGGCATTTCGTCGCGATGTCCTCCAAAAACGCGCGCATCTCCCTAGGCTCGAAGTCAAGATATGTCTTCGCGTATTCCATGACGTTGGTATGCCGCTCAATAAACGGATTCAGAAGAACATTGTGCACGTCCCTCTTGGTCAAAGGCAGCAACTTCAGGGATTCCAGCTTGGTATGGACCGTCGCAGGAGTATGGCCATTGAAGACCGTAACCAACATGACTAGTCTGACGGTGGGATCTTTGCTCGGGTAAGCGGCGTAAAGATGTCGTAGAGCGTTTACGGTATGATGAAGTGTGATGGAGCGCGTCTTGACAAAGAGCTGACAGGAGGGTGAGAACCAAAAGAGAGAGAGTAAGATAGCAGCTACCTTGATAAGCTCTTCGACCACCGAACTATGATATGGACACGAAATGAAAAGAGATTTGCATGAAGCGTATGAAATGAAACGCACGACAGGTCAAATCGCAGTTCACCCTTGCTGTCAAGAGTTCTGAGGACGCTGAACGCGGTGACGTTTGTTTGAGCCTCCATGCAGACCTCTGCCGCGACCGTTCGACTGACAAACATCCTTTAGTCGAATGCATCCATTAGTAATTCCCCCAACAACTGATGGACCTGATCTCGTACGAGGCATCCAACCGACACAATTCCCGGACATTTTGCAGCATGTCATCTGAGCGACTGTTGTTCGTACTGTTCGACCGTTCAAACATCCGGCGAAATATGAAGTCCCGATACTGAACATACGAGTTCAGCTTAGGAGGGAAGATGCTGAACTCGAGGTACATACTCTACTATCCATGGTGAAACCATTGGCGACCGCTAGCGGGAGTAGACGGGGCTCGATTGCAAGAGCGAGGGGGAATTGGGTCATGATGGGGTCCTACATGCACGTCACGTTCCGTCACCATCATACATCAGATGTACATACCTTCGCACAGAACGGAATGAACTAATGCAATGTCAGCACAACGAAGATTCCGGTCGCGAGAAGTCTGCAAGCTTGCCTTGTACTTCTCGAATATCTCCAGTATCGTCTCCAACTTAATGGACCGCAAATTGGGTGGTGATTGCCGCTCTTTGAGGAACTGAGTGAAGATCGTGCCATCATCATCCCCCTTGGTAGGGGGCAGTTCAGCCCCTAAGCGTTCAGCCGCCACCTTCTGGAAGTAGGCAAAGGTGGACAGCGGCATGGTGCGAACCCATTGAGCCTTGATGTATGGGACAGAGGAGCGGTAGAAGTGATGTATAGCTATTTGGACGAGATAGCGGGAGAGATGCGCGCCGCTGGTCAGGAGAATCTAACGAGATGGTTCTAGGGGCCAGCACGACGGGTGGGGATCAGGGGAGGCACATACGTCGATGACCCTTTCATTCATCAGTCTACCGCTGCCTAGAGCCCAGTAGAGCGCCTGAGTCCTTCCGTAGTGGGCCAAGAAATACTGGGCGCGAACGTAGGGATCTCTGGAGAATTCATAATAGCGCTTTGAGATGGCGGTGAAGGGGGCGGGGAAGTCTAGTTCGTTGAGGATGAGTTGAAGGATTTCCCCTAGACACGGAGATCAGAGGAGGTGAGTTGAGGCGGAGGGTGCCAGTGATGGGTCGGCATCGAGGACGTACCGCAGAGACGGTCCATAGCGTCGAATGGGGTGGACACGACAGGGTGTATGCGGAGTGGGACGGGGAGAACAGCGAGGAGAGGGGGATGTGAGAATAGGGGCGAGGTGGAGGTGGGGGAAGAGAAAGGGCCGTGACAAGAAAAGTTACGGGCGGCTCAGGTCTGAGCGAGGGTCACGTCGGGGTTGGCCAGAGATTTACACCGCTGTCACATCCTCCCGTGCCACTCGCACAGCTTCCCCACGTCCGACCCTCGACGCTCGCAGTGGTCCGACGAACACATCGATGTCTTTTCAAAAGGTACATTTGTGGTAACTACGCCAGACGCGCCACGGCAGCCTCCACTCTCGCACCTGCAGCGACCCCTCGAACACATCGAAATTCGCCCGCTCTAGCCGCTCCAGATACGACGCGACGTAGACCTGCGCGGGCCTCAGTCAAAGGTCGCCCTCAGAGACCGTGAAAGTCACTCACGCCGCTCGCGAACACGGGCATCCCCGCTTGGGGCACCTTTCCCCCTGTCTCTTTGAACATCTCCCTCGCCGTAAGGAGATGGTCGTTCGCCGCAGTGGCGAACTCGAACACGGCGTTGTCGATCCCTTCTGCCCCAGGGCCCCTCCGGAACACGTCTTCCTGGCTCACGCCGTGTTTCGCGGTGATTTCAGCGGGGATCACCATACGCCCCTTTGACGCGTGGTATGGTAGTGCTCGTAATAATATGGCCAGCGAATGGGCAACGCCAAGGTGAGACGCGGCGTGCGAGAGCGCCTCAGACGACACATCCAGAAGCGAAAGAAGCTGGTAGAACAAGGTCGATGAGGTGGACTCAGCGTGTGCGATCAAAGAGTCCATGGTCATATGAGCTGGGCCTTCCAATTCATTGTCCTGTAATAAGTGGGTCGTCCGGCCTCTGAAGAAATCGAGGCGTGATGCGCACATACCCTCGCGTCTATGATTCTTTTGAGGTGATACGGCGATATGTTCGCGCTTTTGTATGATTCATGCAATGCAAGAGCGATTGGATGGTGCGGCGGCCTACCCTACGTCGCGCCTACGGTCAGTCCAGGTCCCACTGCAGCTCAGACGGAATGCACGCACGTCTGCCAAACTCTTAACGGCGTCCCTCCAGAACTGCATCCTCATTTTTCCGAGCATAACGTTCGACACCGAGTCCTGGACCATCGCTAGCTCGTCCTGGAACACAACCCATCGTCAGATACACACGAGTGCCCAGCGTGCGCACCTCACGCACATAGAAAGCCTTCAGCGCGAAATAGCCGTTCCGCTTTTCTTTCGGATAGAACTGCGAGATAAGGTACGATTCATAGTCGTGTGTCCTGACAAAATCTCTGCAGTAGACGTTTGGGTCCTTGGTGCCGCCAGCACTTGACCCAGCGGCTGCATGGAGCGACCTCCACGCGCCCTTGCGAGCTATCGGCCTGAAATTAGCGGCTCTGAGACATGTCGAACGAGCACTCCACATTCTAGGGGTGAACAGCGTAGAAAAGCTCCAATGACCGCACGGCCATCGCTGGTGAGAGCATTCGGCATTCTCCGGAGTTGTAATGTCATCATCGGCAGTTCTAAGTAAGCTCCTAGATCTCCGTTCCCAGTCCTGAGAAAATTACCTGCACTTCAAAACTTCAGGGAGTTCACCGTTTCATGTAGACCAAGGCCCACACAAGACGAAGATTGATTCACTTGTTCGCACAAAAAAAAACTCTACAGCTACGCGTCAACTTAGGTACCGGGCTGTTCGATGGCCAGAACAAACGAGGCTCGTACGTGTCGTGAAGTAAGACGTGAGGAAAGGAATATGAACAACGGTCAGAGAGGGGATTGAAGGAGGCGCAAGGAGTAGAGGCGAACAGGAGATGATGAAGCGGCGTAGAAAAACAGTTCCGGGAAAAATAAGTCAACAAATAGGAAAGCAATGCAACGAGACGTCTGAGATCGATGGAACAGCGGAAATGACAACCGTCCCTCCCAAGGAGGAAGAAGATATAGCGCGGAACGAAAAACAGAAAACGAAAATGATGATGTGTATGTGAACGTAAAAGTGACATTGCAGAAAAAAAAAAGGTCCGATGAGCGACGAATCATGCAGTCCACGTCTGTGCCCTCGCCATTAGCGGCGTTCCAGTGAGATCCCTCATAGCAAAAGCATCATTGTATCCACATACGTACAACATAAAACGAAGGTGGGACGCGGGCACAGTACACCAGCGGCAGCCGGAGAAAAGAGCGAGCGAGTTGGCTGGGAATGTCATGTGTGAACGATGGCGGGTGAGAAGATGACCAGGGCGAGGGGCGGTGCGCGGGAAACCGCTGTGGGTGTGTGAGACGAGGTGCGCCATCGACCGGCGCGACGACTGAGACGGGTGCCGATGAAGGAGCGGATGTCGCATGGACGACGGGACTAGAATACCAAAGATATATATAATGAAAGCAACTAGAAGTAAAGTGAGGTTGTCCGCAAAATAAAAAGTAAGGGTTCCGACGCTGCGGGCAACTCGAAGGCAGGGTGCAAACCGTTTGAGGTGAGGGAGGGCAGAGAGGCGTCGCCCAAAAAGGCAAGGAGGAAGTGATGGGACACACGGGCAACGGCAGGTAGAATGATAACTCCAAACATTAAAATGGCAGGTGGGATGATGGGAGGCAAGAGGACTGCAACGAAGATGAGACACACGATCATACAAAAACCGGAAGCCCGAGGACAGAAGGCAGGATGGGGAGCATACAGATTAAGACGAGCTTGAGGACGACATGTGGTTAGCGTGGACTGTCGTGGATTGTCCCTCCACCATCGCTCAGTGTTTCGACTCGGACACCTCTCGACGAGCTAACGCTTCTAATGTCCCGACCTTCTTCGGCAAGCTCTCGACTCAACAATTCTGCGTCTCGCCGCTCCACAGCTTCCGGACTATCCCCCTCCTCTATTGCCGGTTCTGCAAAGTCAGGTTTTCGCAGAGCCTTACGGAATGCGTCTGCCATGATAGCAGCATCTGCTCCTGAGAACAGGCCCTCACCGGCCGAGTGTGGGTGCGAGATAGTCGATGCACCGTCAGGGGAAGAGATTGACGGTGGCCGCTGCGCTATCGAAGGCGGATCTCCGAAGCCTTGCATCCCAGGCTGATCCAAGACCGGTGACTGTGGCGCACCTCCCAGAGTGTTCGTGATCATGGGAGATGCAGATCCAATGGATCCGCGCCGAGAGTTGGCCAGACTTCGATTCCTTCGCACGCGACGGGCAATGAGGAAGATGAGGACGCAAGTAGCTACAATGGCGAGGAATCCAAGAACGACGATGACTGCAATGGCCCAATGTGGGAAACTCGACCCGCTGTCCTGCTGCAAACCTCCGGCGCCTGACGATGTCGTCGAGACGCCAGGTGTTGAAGCTGTCGCTGCCTGGGAGGCCGATACAGAAGCGACGGATCGTGTCGAAGCAACAGACGCGGATGATATGGCTGCAACGGATGTGGCAGAGGCTGCTGCGACAGATGAGACAGACGCGAGAGATGATGTCACGGAGTCTGCGTAAGTTGTCTCTGGGATGGTCGTCAGCTTTACAAAAGATGTCACAACAGTGGCAGCCACTCACGAACGGCGGTGAACGTTGCCTGTGGTGTTGTGGTGTCATTTGGAGAGACATTCGCCCGGGTAATCACCCAATAGAATGGGTACGAGATATTCGTACCAGACCAGCCTAGACCACCGTCCGGAAACCAGGTATCATTTACCTGAGCTGTTACAGCACCCGCTCTCCCTCTGGGATTTAGCTGGTCAAGCATTTCTAGAACCTGATGACCGGAGTCGCCATGGAAGAGACGGATGTCCACCCGGTCAGTCTGTGTAAAGTCGGGTAGATTGCTATTCCCTGAAAACCATGAGACGCAATCTCAGCCGACCGGATAGGTTGTAGAGGACTGAGGACGCACAGACAAAGGTCGCCCATTCGTGTTGTGGAAAAATGCTGTTCGCTGTGGGAAAACATGAAACGACGTCGTTCCCGGACGTGAACTGGCACTGTTCAGCAGCTTCAGCTGCAAGCATATAGTATTAGCGTGATCTGACAACGAGCTGTGGAGAGGATGATGGCATGGGCATGGCATATGACGCGGTGTCAGGACGTGCGACGATACGCGTCGGCACTGCTGAGAGTCATGGAAAGTTCGATACGCACCTACGCCGGTCTGATTAACTACTACCTGTCGAGGCACGATCGAACGTCGATGGTCCAGCGGTGCCGCGCCGCTCCAGTGTCTCGTACGTTTTGAGGGATTAGGTGGGGGTGTCGGTTGAGGCCAAGGGAGGTTGTCAGATGGACTGGGAGACATAGGCCAGATGCAGGGAGGTGAAAGAGAGTTTGGATGGTAGAAAGAATACAGACGGGGAGCCGAGTGATGTATTCGCGGGAGTGTCGATTAACAGTGTGACGAGAGTTGGGGCCGGCAGTAGTCGAAGGGAAGAACGACTACTTTAACTGGCATTATCCAGGGTATCAAGACGAAGGGGAGGAGGAGACTGTCTAAAGCCGAGCACAAGAGCGGCGGGGACTTGCGGGGGGAGGGTCGACGTTGTGGTGAGCGACGAGGACTCGCAAGGGGCAGCAGCGGCGACGAAGATGGACGTTCCTCCAGCTCTCCCAAGCCCCCAACTCCTCCTCCCATATTAGTCCACTTTACATAAGTCCTCCTAGACGCCACGCCTGGACCTTGTGACTTGTCCACGATGATTCTCCCTTGTTTATTTTTTCCTCTTCCTCCCCCATTTCTTTTTGGTTCACCCCACGCATTTTACATTCCAACGGGTCTCTCGTCGTCTCGCCAGCGCTGGCTCTGAGTCTACAGGACGCCATAGGTTCAGCGCAATTTGTATCTGATTTGTAACTCGAAGCTCGGCACCTTTCCTGAGCCTGAGCAAAACGTAGTTACCGGCGAGTGACATCAGTCCTCATCAGTCTCCAAGCCCTTCTGCTACTGACCACCTACAATGGTACCTAATCTTAGCACTACCTCCATACTGCAATCGGCGCTCAACGGTCTCTCGGGCTGCGCCCACTTCGACAACCCCGTCAACACCGCCCGCAGATGGTTGCGAACGGTGTCAATCACCGCCCACCCATGTGGAAGAGGCGCCAGAAGAGTGAGGAAATCTTGACTCTCATTTTTCCACATCATACACAAATCGTGGGTGTGTGTAACAACGGAGACAGACGGAGACCTGCGGAGACTCTACGGTCGCCAGTCCGTCGCATGGCAAATGAAGGCACGGACCATCTGTGGCGTCGCAGACGGATAGTAACCGCAGTTTGCGGAATAGGGTCAGAACGGCACACACCGCGGGCAATCATCCCGCTGGTGTCAATGTATGGGCACGGAAGGTTGCTATGTATGGTGTTGCTGCGGCCTGAAGAGTACGGCCGATCGGAATTGTCCCGAAAGCCGGAAAGTCAAATGGAGGTGGGCGGAAGGCAGACGGAGCAGGGCCGACCGTCTCTAGCAAACAGTTCAAAGGTGTGGACGAGTCTCATCTGTTGAACTGACTACGAAGACACGCACAAGTTCACCAATTCAAGTTTCTCGTGCACGACAAATGTGAACGGCACCTTCGAGCTAGGCAATGGCCATCGTTCCATTCTTCAGTCTAAGCGCCCTCTCGTATCGCAGCAGGTTTGGCTCACCTGCGAATGTCGGCTGTGATCAATGTTATGGAGTTGGTACCTGATGACCCCGTGCAGGTAATCAATAATCTATGCTTGCTTTGTGAGCCAGCCTTGTTACCCCTTGTTGCCCATAGACATGCGACAAAATAGACCAAAATTGAGAACCCCCTTTGTGAACAGAGATTGTCGGATGGGAGTCTGAGACATTCTGAGGCCAAGCGTCGAAAGCTCAAAGTACCCCGCAATACCCCGCGCGCCGACGCGATCTGAGTCACGTTAGTCAGGAATGCGGTCATGTGAATGGGAATCACAAGCGCGTCTGGTATGCCGCTGTGGACGGCGGGTACACGAGTTTCTGATATACTGCCAGAAACCCTCTCATGAAGCTATCATCACTGACAAGTCCATCATAGAGGAATTATGGCTGTACCGGACCGAGGGTACACTATCCTGCTCAGTCACCTTCACAAGCCGTCGTCTACCCTCCCTCTCGAAAGCCTCCAGTCACTCATCGCGCACTACCTCGCCCATTCACCCGCCACTACCACTACTCCACTATCAGCTACCATAACCAGTTCACCGCTCTTCCGGCCCTTCTCGCATGCCAAACTTACGGCGTTAACGACCGCGTTCCGACATGCAGTACACGTTAAGCTCAAGATGCTTCAAGAGGAGCCTTCCTCGCTATTCTCGAGGGGACTCAAGCTTAGGATGGAGGACTGGGCAAAGAGTGTGGTGAAAGGACTTAGTGGCGGACAAGGTATGATGCGTTTAGTCGGCGCTGGAGGTATGCTATTAGGTCTGGACGATGTGAAAGAAAAGTTAGGCGTGAAAGAGGATAGAGGTGGAGCGAGAGGGAAAGCTGAGGATGAGGTCGTAGTTGCTTTGGCCGAGATCATGGATATCTATGCCAGTACGCGAGTCGATGGTTGGGAGAAAGAGTTCCACCCAGAAACGGAGAGCGGGGAAGGTATGTATCATTGCCTCACACAGGTGCTGTTAGAATTAAAGACATGCTTCCTCCCAGTGGACGTCGTGTCGCTCGCATTAATATTTTCTTGTCAATTTCTGCCCCATGTTCTCTCCGAGCGCTTGAAAGCGCTTCCTTTATCTGTATGTATACTCATCTCCATCATTGGACCTAATATGCTGATAAGTCAGGTTGTGTTCCATAGGCTTTATCGTCCATCCTTATGTCCTCTATTGAATCTGTTTTTCTATGGGGTAACTTCCTCACGGCGCTTCCATCTTCATCCTGGATTAATGCCGAAGGCAAGTTGACGATGTCTATGAGGGAGGGATCTTCTGGGCCGTCCTTCCCATACGAAGACTCCACTTCTCCGCAGCACATCTCAGCTTTTGCTGTGACATTAAGGGCACTCACAGTATCCCCGCTGTATGCCTCCATTGCGGCCTTGTCAAACATATTTTCTAGGATCATCTCTATCCTGGTAGTCTCCCACCCTCGGGAAGGGTGGATAACAATGGCTGAAGTCCTTGATCGACTTCAAAGCATCTCCACAAAAGTGGAAAATGACTGGGCGCAGAGCGCGCTTGCTCGGATAGAAGATGAGAATGATATTGGTAAGTCAAGAAATTATGCTGTACTTCCTAGCCTCATCATGGCTTTGATCCACAGCGGCAGATTCTCGCGAGTTGACAGCATCTCTCTGGAGCGTACTGAAGACACTGCTTTTTACCACGATCATGCTATCTCAAACCTGCCTATCTGCCACCGTCTACAACGCTCCACCTTCGTCTTCCCGTCTGCTTGGCAATACAAGCTCCACTTCGCCATCATATCCGACGCCCTCTTCTCTTGCTCTGACCACGCTCCACACGCTTTCACACCTTTCTTTCATCATATCCCAATTCGGAGGCGTTACCTCGACCAGCGGGGGCGGTTTCTCTGAACTGAAACGTACATTCTATACTGCGCTCGATGTGGTTAGTGCTGACGCACGGACCAGTGACGAGTTTGTAAGAGCTATTGGTGCCGAAGGTCAGAAGTTCTTCCCTTTCTCAAAACCTCGTGTTCCTCATCTTGTGTGCAGACATCTATCTAACGCCAAGTTCCAATGCTCATCCGACTGCGCGCGCCTTTGATACTTCCAAGCAAGCTTTCTGCCTCGCCTGCATTGAACAGCTGATCCCTGTGCTGTCTCTTGCAACGATTGAGAAACATGTCTTCCCACTTTGTTTGCCGTAAGTCTGGTCATGGCGTTTTCCATGCTGGTTACTCATTGTGATCGATTAGCCATCTGAATGATCCGTCTCAACGTGAAACCTACGAGTCCGCTCACTCGGTTGTCCTTGCGACCTTTGCCTCACATGCACAGAAGCAATCGAACAGCGGATCCACTAGCCGCATGACAGATCAGAGCGGCCATGAAGTGCGATTCGTGGAGAAAATTGTGCCTTTCTATGCGCAATGCCTTTTGGAAGTACGTTCTGCTCATGCACTGTCACTCGTTCTGCGCTTGTTCCTCACTTTGGCTTCACAGAATTCTGCCGAAGGCAAAATGAGCACGGCCCAACTTCGAATAGCCTACGCAGCGCTCGTTGGCAGTGCCGCTGTCAGCTCCTCTGCTCTCGCGCAATTTTGCATCGCTGTGTTACTGGAGAAGATTGACACACTCTCAGCCCCTGTCTCGAATCAATCAGGCAACGACGAGCGCATCGCCCAGTTGCATCGTTTGCGCTTGACTCTCATATCGACCATCTCCGCTTTGCCCATCAGCCTGCTCGCAGATGCGCTTGATTCCATCGGTCGGATCATATCAAGCGCCTTACCTGCAGATGCAGGGGAGGAACGCAGGCAGGAGCTCATTGATGCGTTATTCAAGGAGATTCTCGAGCAAGTTGGTGACAGAGAGAAAGAGTTTGCGATGCATTGGTGGGAGGATAATAGAAAAATTCTCAGGATGCACGTAGAGGAAGTTGGTGTGCATGGGCGAGCGAGCACGGAGAAAACTGATGGAGAGGCTGTGACTCTGAGTAGGCTCTGAAGGTCGCGGCATTTGTTCTATGGGATCACCAACAAAACCATCCTTCACCATTCTTATGACCTCCAGAAGGCACTCGCCATACATTATTTTGAGAGGTTCTAGCACTCTCACCTGTACACGTACTTCCAATGTCACCCGCTAGCTGATGAGGCTACATCTTCAATTGTCCAACCTTACGGACGAACTGGCCCGCTTCTAGTCACTAATGTAGAAAAGGTTTCAGCGAGAGGCCACTGATCTGGCTTATGTGCCGTAATAACAGGTCACTAATAATCTTATTGAAGTCGAGCTGACTAAGTCGTATGCTACCAACTCAGCCTTTGAACGTCCGACTCGACCCTTGCTGTAAGTGGTTCGAACTTATGTCGGATTCCCCGCTACTATCATCCGGTTCCCGCTCTGAATTTCCTGCGTTCAACCGACCGTCATCTGTCGCCAGTGAAGCTTCCGCACCGACCTTGACTCCTCGTACGGCAGCTGTGCCACTCATTCCCTCTGTCAAGAACGCGTTTGCCGCCTCTACCGCCTCCTCCATAGGCCAGAGACTCTTTCTTTCTCATACAGAGGGCCCGATCGATGGTCTCGGCTATAACAAGTTCATTCTGTATGAGAACCGTCTTCGCTTCTACATCGTCGCTTCCAATACATCCGACTCGTACCATCGCATTGTCAAGGTTGACCGCACATGTCAGGAAGAGCTAGAGGTTATTGAGGATGAAGCCGTATACTCAGGGAAACAAATGACAGCTATGTTAAAAATGTTGGATGATGGCAACAAAACTTCAGGAGGGTTGGGTAAACCTAAGGTCTTCTTTGGAATAGTCGGTATGTGTCGATCATTCAAGGCATAGTGGAGGATTCAGGCGAATTGATATGCATTTCCAGGATTCATTAAGTTCACTGCCGGTTGGTATATGATCCTTATTACCAAGCGCTCTGTTGTTGCTCTTCTTGGAGGCCATTATCTTTATCATTGCGAGAACACAGAAATAGTCCCGATATGCTCCTCGCACAGGGTGGATAGACCTGGAGAAGAGCAGCGTCTGATGAACATCTTTAAGCAGGTCGATATGTCCAAGAATTTTTACCTCAGGTGATGGCGTCGCCTTTCCTTCTCTGCCACAGAATTTGACTACTGACAATCGGTGCAGCTACACTTACGACCTGACGTCTACACTACAAAGTAACTTGACTTCTCAAAATACTTCTGGTTCCTCGTGGTCTTTCAATAATAGATATGCATGGAATTATCGCATGTTCATGGCAGCGTTTTCGGACCAAGACAAATCTCGTATGAAGTCTCACTGGGTTCTTCCACTCATACATGGGCATGTTGATCAAGCAAGTATGTCAGTCCCCTTTCAGCCTATTTCGCGGTTATGATTGATGATCTTTAGAGCTGACGGTCCTGGGTCGGGTCATATACGTCACGTTGATCGCTCGGAGATCGCGGCATTATGCTGGTGCTCGATATTTGAGGCGTGGTGTGAACGACGAGGTTAGCTCTTACAGACATCGACTCGCATATGTGTTGTGTTCATGTCTTTCAACCAGGGAAATGTGGCAAATGAGGTAGAGACAGAGCAGATCGTGTCTGAGGCTCTGACGACTCCTTTTTACTACCCAGCGCAAAGAGGTAGCAGCCAAGATCAGGCCCAGCGTCGACTCAACCCACATTATACAAGCTATGTACAGGTGGGGTTTATCGATCATAGGCGTGTGATGTGAACTGAAATGATCTTCAGTATCGTGGAAGTATACCAATATATTGGGCGCAAGAGCAGAATAATATGAGCCCAAAGCCTCCGATTGAAAGTAAGCATCTTCAGCCACCAGATAGTGTCCGGTGATCTTGATATCTCTTAGTTAGCGTCGTAGACCCCTTCTACACTGCCGCCTCCCGACATTTCGACAATCTGTTCGCGAGATATGGCACCCCAGTCATGATCTTGAATCTGATCAAGAAGCGGGAGCCTCAGCCTCGCGAATCAAAATTGTTGGACGAGTATACACGCTGCGTAGACTATCTCAACCAGTTCTTACCACCGGGTAAAAAGATGGAATATCGAGCTTGGGATATGTCTCGTGCATACAAAGAGTGCGTTCGTATTGCCGTCGTGGTGATCCTATATCTCTAAATTTCCTCTCAGGAAAACCCAAGATGTTATCAGTTACTTAGAAGATTTAGCTGAAGAATCAATACAGATGACAGGCTTCTTTCACTCGGGACCAGAGCCATATTCTCACTACCTTCGGGACCAAGAAAGGTAGGTTTCCGCACTTTTCACGAATCTCGGGCTATGAGATGTTTACTCATTAGCACAGGTGGGTATGGCGAAACAGTATGCTATTGCAAAATGGTATTTGTCGGACGAACTGCGTAGATTGTCTTGATCGCACGAACGCTGCACAATTTGTTTTTGGAAAGCGCGCGCTAGGTCATCAGCTATATGCTCTCGGTGTTGTTGACAGCCCGGACTTGGCCTTCGACTCAGACTCAGTCAACATGTTGACCGAAATGTATCATGATCATGGCGATAGTGCGCGACCTATATCATCATCATCATCATCAGATTGATTGCTAAAGACCTTTTTTGCAGTCCTGGCATTGCAGTATACAGGCAGTGCTCTGGTTAATCGAGTGGAAACTTATCGTCGGCTACCACATTGGAACAGTCATTCGCGCGACATCATCGAGAACTTTCGGCGATATTATACCAACTCCCTTTTGGGTGCGTACCAAGCTCACGCCCCAAGAATTCTATTGACCTAAACTCATAGATGCGGACAAACAAGCCGCTATCGACCTTTTTCTCGGCATCCGCAATGACATGGCCATGGTCAAGCGGCCGAGACGAGGCGGATACCAGGAATGGTACCATAAGGAACATTTGCAGTCTGCACTTGTCCTTGGAACCTGCCAGGAGGGCATCGATCAGTTCGTCAGGCGATCAGGGGACTTCTGGATTGAATATTACCGTCCGCTTTTGTTCACGTCTCTGGGGAAGCATTTCGCGTATTCCATGAACAGTACTCTGAAGTTACCTGGGTAGGCCCCGCTTCATGCAATCTATCTCTTTTTCTTATACATCTCAATAGGAAGACGGTCCGCGATATTAATCAAAGTCCTTTTCATCCACACCACAATCCCATCATCCATCCTCCATGGTATATGCATGCTGCTCTTTATCTTGGCCATTGTCACAGCTGCTCACTATGGCTACTACAGGATCTTCCACGGCGTCCGTCGATTGATCCGTTCCAACTCTCCGTCAGGCTTCCGTGGCTCATACAAGTCAGCAATGTTGCGAGCCAGCACCAGCAGCAAACAGAGCGACGCAGAGCCTGACCCACATTCCACGGCCACCGTTGCGCAGCAATTGCTCCATCCTCATGTCTCGAGGAAAGAGGAAGATGAATATCAACGGTGCGCGTGGCTCAGTGCATTTGCAGACAGTCGCGATCTGACGTGCAGCTAGATACATCGACCAATGTCAGGACATGATGAGCGATGACCTCGACTCCGGCCCAAGTGAGAAGGATCAGATCAAATACGAACTGGTTGTTCAGTTAGCTTTGGGACAAGTCCCAGACACAGATGACAAGCTGGACGATCCATCAATGGCGTTTATTCAGAGAGCTTTTGTGGATTCTGCAGATGCGGATGCATTGCCGATCACTTTCAATTACGAGAAATGGATTGGCGGTGGTCACGTTGCTAAGCACACCAGTGCAGTGACAAGGGACTCTACGCTGATGCGAGGCTGAAGGGATGTTGATGTGCATATTTCAGTTTCATCCATTCAAAAACGCCAGATTTTCTCCTGGTGACCAGGAATCATCCCTCGGCAGCGCGCTGTGTGGAGGTTTGGAAGGCGACCGCTCACTGACGTTGTCGCTGCGATCCTGCCGGATTTCGGAGCCTCACATCAAGGTGTTGAAGCATCACTTTGCGTCGGTAGAATGAGACGGTTTGGAAAGGGTAGATGAGGAGAGAATATGGCGACAGTGAATAGTTTTTTGAGGGCTAAACGGAGTTAGCAACCTTTATGCATTATGTCGAACCAAACGCTACGTATACACTTGTTGTTATGTCTTTGCTTCGGAACGTCCCATGCAACATCAGGGCACTCCGTGCGTTTAATTGTGTCTACCGGGCAGTAAATGCTTCTCGTGATACATGCATGATGTTGGGGAAGAATCCAGAAAAGACGCGAATGCGTCAGCGTGAGACGCGCGTCTTGGACAGCAATTACAATCATATGTCTTCGCACTTGTCCATTCTCAACTGTTCCCCCTTCTCCTTCACTGAACATATATGGCTCCAGTACAGCTCTATGTCTATGATCTCAGCAACGGACTGGCTAGGCAGATGTCTTTGCAGTTGACCGGTAGACAGATCGACGGAATTTGGTACGTATTGAGTATTGAGTCCTCGCCGAGATTATGTATTCATGTTATTGTGACCCCGCTCTACAGGCATACATCAATTGTTGTGTTTGGGAAAGAAATATTCTACGGCCAGGGTATAAGCATCACTGGTCCAGGTCAATCGCATGTGAGTTTTTGCGATACCTTCATGCTCAGGAGCATTGACGAGGAATGAATGACCTTCTGTAATCAGCATGGAAGACCTTTGAAGGTTGTTGAACTAGGAGAAACTGCACTAGATGAGCAGACATTTGAGGAATATTTATCGGAGATGAGAGAGCATTATACGGCCGACAAGGTGAGTGTCGTGTAACCTATCTTACCAAGGTATCGTCCAACGTGATACCAGTATCATCTTTTAGGTACTCTATTTGCAGCTGTTCACTCCGATGCAGGAAACTGACTTCGCGCAGAATTTAATTGTAACTCATTTACGAATGATTGTGCCGGCTTCCTCACTGGTGGATCCATCCCTGCCTGGATCAAAGGTCAGTTCGGGTCAATCTGAGTTTCCAGTTCTAGGCTAATCTTACCGATTACTTGACAGATCTACCGTCCGACTTTCTCTCTACGCCATTCGGTGCAGCCCTGCGTCCGACAATCGACGCTATGTATCGGCGTCCTACAGCAGTGCCTCCCGTGGCGGCCCCTTCGTCGGCACAACCGTACTCTCAGCTAACATCTGCGTTGCTTCAAGCTGTTGCCGAACGCGCCGCATCGGGTGCCTCTACCTCAGCGTCTTCAGGGACAAGTACTCCTTCAACAAACACAGTCGCGGCACCTGTCCAAATCTCTACGAACCTCGCATCATTTGAGTCTCTCCTCTGCTCACATCGTGCCGTTGTCGCATTTTTCACCTCGACTACTTGTGCACCGTGTCGTATGATTGAGCCTGTATTTGAGGAGCTCTCTCGCTCAAAAAACAGAGGAGAGGGTAAGATATCTTTCATTCAAATCGATATCGACGTGGGGATGGCTAGGGCTGTCGCAGCGAAGTACAACATCAATGCAACGCCCACTTTTCTTTTTTTCCTAGACGGGAAGATGGTAAATTGGTCTGGTGCATTGAATCAAGATTTATGATGCTGAACTGCTCAACAGACACATGAGCTAAAGGGTGTGAACGCTCCCGAGTTACGGACGCAAGTCGATCTTTTATTATATCAAGCCTTCCCTCGTAAGTGACCATGAATCTTTCTTCTTCGTTTGTCTGATCGTGAAGCAGCCCATCCTCATACAACTCTTGAGCTCTCCGTTGTGAAGGCCATATCTCTTGACCCAATCCTCTTTTCTCAAGTTCCAGCACTTGACATCGTTAGAGATAAACTCATATCATTCATTAACACCGCTCCGTTGGATGCACTCCCTGATGGGACATCAATCAAGGATGATTTGACCAACACCATATTCCCTTGGCTCAAATTGCGCTTTTCACAAGGGAAACCATCCGCCCAGGCACCCCCCACGTTGACGTCTAGATTTACGCAGATAATCGCTACCTTGATCAAAGGCCTTTCTGTGAACTCTCTGTTTCCTTTGCTCGATATCTGGCGTCTCGCGGTTCTCGACCCTAGCTTTGCTATGGGTTCAGTGCGCCCATTAACTTCTCTCCTTACGACTATCTCTACATCTGGCACTTCCATTTTACGTGCGACGCTTTTGACGCTTCTTCGTCTCCTCTCCAACGCCATCGGCTCGCCATCTCTAGCGCGTCCTCTACTCGTCTCTGATCCTCAGGCGAAGGCTGCAGTGACAGGTGTACTGGTGCAGACTCTTTTGCATGAGGACCGTCTCGTGCGCGTTGCAGCTGCCAGCGTCGCTTTCAATGTTGCTGCATGGGCACAGCGTGGGCGCGTCGCGCGGTTGACTGGAAATGGAACGAGCAAGGGTGATGAGGCGAAGGAGAACGAAGAGGATGAGGAGCGAGATACGGAAATCATCAGCGCTGTGATAGAATCGATAAACAAAGAGAGTGAGAGCGAGGAAGTCGGTAAGTATTGAGTCATTTAACCTTTATGGTATGGAACTGTACTGATTTTACTGTGTGAACAGTCCACAGGCTCACAGCGACGCTTGCGCTATTCTTGCGACTATCGCCGTTTTACGAGGATCAACTTCTTCCACTGCTAGAGGTTTTACAGGCGCGGTCTGTACTCCAGAGCAAGCTCAATGGGGAAGGTGGATTGAAAGTAATCAAAGAGGAAGTGAGAGCTCTGATACAAGATGTGGCAGAGAAGCTGTGTGTTTAGAATGGACCAAATATTTTTTGAACGCTTATCTTGAACGATGTTTTGACACTCGATATTTAGGTTGTGGATATGTGGGCTCACTATAGTTGAACATTCGACCACATCGGTGTGTATGCAGCTTCAGTGGTTAATTGGAGGATATATACAATGTTCATTGAAATCAAGGTCGTGAGTCATCAAGCGAATCCAGGAGATGAGTAACAAAGAGACAATCATACAGGGATTAGCGCCCTTTCGATGACGAACTTTTGCAGTGCAGGGGCTCATTCCAAACTGCGATCCTTTGGAGCAAAGCTCGCTAGCGCGCGCGCTTTGTCTCCTACCCTAGGGCTGTTGTGGGCAGCCGGCGACGGGCTTGGAGAGTCAGCCTCGGGTGAGGTCCTAGTCATCCCAGACAGCGCGCTATTGTTCATCTTCGTCCATATTGCGGGGTTCCAGAAGCAAATGGCGGTTGTTAATCAATAAGAAGACTCGTACGCGCGTCCAATCTTGAACCTTCATACGCGCTTTTCATGCAGGCCTTCGATAGCGATGTTGATGCCAAAGACGTCCGTAGACCAGTCAGCACCCAAAATGACGCGCAAGCTCTGCCACTGACAAAGAATCCGTAGGAAAAAACTGAGTCGGTGAAGCGGTATAAAGAGCCGAAAGAGAGCCTGCAGGACATCAGTCACTGAACCCCACGATCCACAAATAAAATGGCGAGCCCTCTGGAGGTAGTCTATATGCCACCCGCCAACCCTTCTCCGCAAGTGCAGCGCGTCCTGAGGTGGGCCGAGACTTTCAGCTCCTTCGAGAGGAATGTGGGCGCGCACTTCGCGGACGACGTCGAATACCACGTGCTCCCGAGGGCACTCCAGAGACCCGTGGTGACGAGGAGGAGGGCATGCGAGGAGGGGTTCGAGAGACAGCGTTCGCTCTTCAATGTCAGTGAGTTCAGGGTAAGAACGATAAGAACGGGCCATCCTCACGAATTTTGCAGTTCGTCATTCATGACTTGGTCGAATCAGGGAGCATGATCTCTGTTCATGTCAGTGCCTGCATTCGAAGATTATTGGCTCCAGATGGCTCAGCAGTTTACACTCTGTTCACAGGTTTCGTCATACGGAACCGGAGCAAATGGCACGTTGTACACAAACGAATACTTCTTCACCTTCTATTTCCGGCCTGGAGGGCAATGGGAAGATGGCTTGCCGAAAATAGCGGTTGTGCACGAGTTCGTAGACAGCTTGTCCACGGAGAGGAGGGCGGCCGGTGGGACTTAGAGTATCCCGTCTGGTCTACGGCACCTATAATATGCGCTTCTACGATCGACAATAAAGTGTAGCCACCCAGTCAATAATCATAGAGTCGTGGAATATAGTACAGTTAAACAGTCTACCACTCACCAAGTGATTGCGAGATTACGATTGACGAGAGAATTCCAGCACGCTCGAATGGCTATGTTTTACGTTCTTCGTGATCATGGCGAACGCCGAAACCCCTCAACTCGTGCTTTCGAGTTTCAAGGCAAGGGCGTCTAGTTTTGAGAGTGAGTGACGACGTGTTCACCGTGATGAATCAGGACTTCTGAATCGTTGACTTCGAAATACGCACGGCCCGTATGGAGACAGAATACAACTGCTTCCATCAGTGAAATGGACGGGAAAAGATAAGAAACGCTCTTGCCCTGTGTGTGTCTGTAACGGAGGGGTTGGCTGCAATGCTTGTAAATATTCACGTGTTGCCGCAACCGGCATCGGGCATCCGGGCTATATAGGCAGGGCCGTGCCAAAGGACAGCCATCCGCGACTGCAAAGGTGAGCTCCCTCTCTATCTCCACGGAACGCCTTTTCTTCCGTGCGTCCCTCTCATTTGTTGCATTTCTACAGTGCACGTATTGTTATGCTTCGGCTGCGCCATCGCATCTCACCCCGCGCGTCGCGTTCCTTGGTACGTGTGCCGAGCCATTTACCCCGCATTCATTAGTTGACCGTGGCTTATTGCGTGCACGTCCAGCTCTCTTCAATGCCGAAATCTCGCTCCTCGTCTTCCTCGTCCTCCACGGGCTCTGCTGCTGATGTTCCTGAAGGCTACATCGCTGACCCCAACGCTGGACCCATGCTGCGCTACCAAGCATCCCTCCCGCGGCTCCCCGTCCCTCCCTTGCCTTCCACGCTCTCAAAATACCTCGAGACAGTGCGCCCACACTTGAATGCTGCCGAGCTTGCGCGCACCGAGGCAGCGGTACGTGCCTTTGGCTCGTCGCCTCAGGGTGCGGAGCTCCAGAAACGTCTGGAGGCCCGCGCGGCAGAACCCGGGATGAAGAGCTGGCTGGCGGACTGGTGGAACGACGCGGCGTATATGGGCTACAGGGACTCTGTCGTCGTGAACGTCAGCTATTTTTACGTCCATGTCGATGACAAGACGCGTCGCGATCCCGCGAAACGAGCAGCTAGTCTGATTAAAGCTTTGCTTCCATTCCGGGAGCTCGTAGAGACGTGCGTCAATATTCCCAGTAAAAGTTACACTTTATTGGTTCATGTGTGCTAATCGAGATATTTACAGGGAGCAGTTGGAGCCCGAGAAAGTGCGCGGTGCGCCTCTCTGCATGTCTTCGTACAAATGGCTGTAAGTCTTCGTATGCCTTCGCATGGACCTTGTCTTGCTGACCTGACTGTGCCTAGTTTCCATGCAAATCGATACCCCGTTATCCCTTCTGATACCGCCCATAAATTTGACCCAAAGAAGTATAACCACGTCGTCTTTGTTCGCAAGAATCGCTTCTTCGAGGTCCAGCTCGCACATCCTGACGGAACGGAACTCAGTGCTGCAGACCTAGAGGCGTACGTTCTCGATTCTACATAACCCGGGCAATTTCTCAGAGTATTTCTTTCGTACAGACAAATATCAGAGGTAATCCGGCTGGCCGGAACGCAGGAAGGTGTGCCCATTGGTGCACTCACGAGCGAGAACAGGGATATCTGGACAAACGTATGCCTTTCTCCGTCAATACACCGATGACGGGATCGCTGAATCGGCCGTTCACCTAAAAGGCTAGACAACGCCTTCTTGATGCTTCCCCAAAGAACAAGGCGTCATTGGAGCGCATCGAGTCTGCAATGATCATTGTCGCCCTTGATGACACAAAACCGGTCACCCGTGAGGACATATCATGGGCATGTTGGGTCGGAAATGGGCGTAACCGTTGGTATGATAAACATCAATGTCGGTATTTTCCTTGCTCCCATTCGCAAGATAAAACACCAGTACTGATTTACTGTGCCCCAGTGATCGTGTTTGACAATGGTCGTTCCGGGTTCCTTGGCGAGCACTCTTGTATGGACGGCACTCCCACGCTCCGGACGAATGAATTCATCATCGCGGCCCTCGCTGCAAACAAAGTCAACCTTGGGCCCTCAACATCTTCTACATCCCTCCCTACGCCCAAAGAGGTCACCTTCGAAACCAATGACGCGGTCCTTTCGGACGTACGTACGGCTGAGAAGCACTTTGATGAGCTCGTGGGGGCGCACGACATCGAGGTGTTACATTACGAGGGGTACGGAAAGTCGCACATCAAAAAATTCAAGGCGTCGCCAGATGCATGGGCACAGCTCGTCAAGCAGCTTGCGTTTTACAAGCTGGCTGGGCGTCCTGGAGTCACATATGAGAGCACGCAGACGCGCAAGTTCCAGCTGGGGCGGACCGAAGTGCTCCGTAGCGCGAGCGTTGAGAGCAAGGCATGGGTCGACGCGATGAACGACCATAACGCTACTGCACGTCTCCTTCCATCACAATTTCCTTTCCAAGCGCTTATCTCGAATTCTGTAGGATGAACATCGTGCGAACTTGTTCCGCCGCGCTGTGTCTCGGCACGTACAATATGCTGCGTGGGCAGCGGATGGACAGGGCATCGACCGTCATTTGTACGGTCTGAAGAAGATGCTGCGCGAAGGCGAGCCATTGCCTCAGATATACCAAGATGAGGCGTTCTCGCGGACAAGTCACTGGGAGCTGTCGACATCTCAGTTGTCGTCCCCATTCCTCGATGGGTGGGGCTACGGCGAAGGTACGTGCTATTGACGCTGAAAAAATACCAAGCGTTCTTAGTTCTTTCCTTAGTCGTCCCAGATGGGTACGGATTGGCGTATGCGATTGGTGACAACTACCTCCGGTGGACAATCACGAGTTTGAAGCGGGATACGGCGGTGCTGAAGCATTATCTTGCGGAAGCTGCGACTGAGGTCCGGCAGATGATGGACCGTGCTGCCGCCTCCGCAGCTGCAAAGGAGACAGCCAAGCCAAAACTATAATGTGACAGAGATCTCGGGATCGGGGTACGGTACAGTGTCGTCGAAATCTAATAGACCTATCTTCAGATACCTCGATTTTCATGAGCCCTGAGCCATTCATTGTCATCTGATTATGACATTGGTCTGTTGAGGTGTACCATATCACGGACTCAGGTGAGTTGATGTCCCACAAAAAGTCGAGATTCCTTGATTGCACCTTAAATAGCCGCAGAAAATGATGAACCTTCCAAGTGAGGCACCAGCTGAGACTCTCCCTGGTCATGGCCAAGGGCGTGGGTTTCTAAGAGCGAAATCGTTCTCTGGATGCAGTGCTGTTACTTCTGTGGTTGGCTGACAGCCAGCGGAGTATGGCCTAATCATTGATATAATCATTGACGGAAAGCAACGGTTATGACACAAATGTTTGCGACATCCGCCGAAGATATATAAATAACATGCGCCCGATGCGCCACTGGCACATTTCGGTGATTAGGCTTGCTTGAGTATTCGATGTACTGCAAGTAGAATCATTGCCGCATGATTCGACCACTGTCCCAAAGGCAAGAGCAAGCCCGAGGCTGGGATTCGCTCGGGTCTCAGCACGTGATGCGAATGCTGTCGGGGGCGTGCCGTTGGGTTCGGTTTGGGTTAACTTGATGTCTGCTTGCTGGCCACACTGACGCAAGATCTAGGTCCACGCATTCTGCTGTGTTGGCAGACGACAAGAAATTGACCGCTCGGATCTTTCTGACTCGGTTTTGGCCAATGAAACACACCGATCATGCTAATGCGGAGCGACTCGGGTTTCAAAACAACGCTCTCGGAGCACCGCGGGTTCCAGTTAGGGCCGACTGGCCTATATAAAAGCACGTCCGCCATGCCAAACGAGGCCCTCAGCATTCCGATACCGTCCTACCACAAGCGCTTAACCTTACCTCTGCTGGCTATGCTTAGAACAGCCGCCTCGCGCGCCCCACCTCTCTACCGCTCTGCGTTAGGTCTGTCTCTTGCCCGCCGGTCTCTCTCTACCTCTGCGTCGCGTTTCAACGACCTCCATGCAAAAAAAACTCATGAAGAAGCCTTCGCTGGTGCTGAGGGTCGCCATCTGAGTTCGTATACATGTCTACTGCTTCCTCGTCGCGTATAGTGACAATACCGCAGAGGATCAATCCATCCCACAGGATATTATCGCCACGAGCCCTACGGGTGGCGAGGTGAAGGGAGACTGGGTCCTCTTCCATCCAGTTTATTCTGCTGATGAACTTAAAGCCGTCGAGGTTTGTATTTTTTTGTCCACTTTTTTTTTCGTTTGGTTAATGATCCACCCTTAGGTTCTTCACCGCGATGGCAAGAACTTTTCAGATAAGTTCGCCATTGGACTTGCCAAGCTGTTAAGGTACCATACTTCTCGGCGATCGAGTGTCAAACAACAATCTAACGATTCGCGGTAGATGGGGCTTCGACCTAGTATCTGGCTACAAGCACAAGACAGTACCTGCCGGCTCCACCATGACTCTAGAGGAACTTCGGAAGGGAGGCTACGTCATGAACGAACACGAATGGTTGAATGTAAGTCACCATAAAAAATAATCAACCGCTAGTTTTAACAAATGAGTATCTCAGCGCATTTTGTTCCTTGAATCCATCGCAGGTGTGCCTGGAATGGTGGCTGCGACTGTCCGTCACCTGACAAGTCTTCGTCTGATGGTTCGTGCTTCATTGTGTCTGCCCCACACTAAATCCTGAAAGATTGTTCTCAGCGGAGGGACTCTGGATGGATCCATACACTGCTCGAAGAAGCAGAGAATGAGCGGATGCACCTGATGTACAATCACTATCCTTTCCAAGTCTATTAACCGTCTCAATTGTGCGTCATAGGACATTCATGACTCTTCGAAATCCTGGGATCTTCTTCCGCGCACTCATCCTCGGTGCACAGGGTGTCTTCTACAATATCTTCTGTGCGTTCTCACCGATGAGTCTTTCAATGGTATATTCATGATCTTTTGGTAGTCTTTTCCTATCTCTTTTCGCCAAGTACCTGCCATCGTTTCGTTGGATATCTGGAGGAGGAGGCGGTCAGGACCTATTCAAGCTGCATAAACGAACTTGAGGCCGGCCGATTACCATTATGGTTCGTTCGCCCCTTCCAGATTCTCTGTAGCCTGCTCTTGACTGATTTTCTCTTTGTGCGATCAGGAAGGACAAGCCGGCTCCGGAAATCGCCAAGGATTACTGGCGACTTGCACCGAATGCGACCATGCTCGACGTCATCTATGCTGTCCGCTCAGACGAGTCGACACATCGTTTCGTCAACCACTCCCTCGCAAACCTCCAAAAGGATGACGTGAATCCTTTTGCGCTGCGGGAGCCTGACATGCACGTCAAGGGAAAACTCATCGAGTGCGTAGCCGCTTTGGCGTTTGATTCGTTGCATCTCCTTGACTCTTCGTTCCAGATTTGACAGGGCCGCAGCGGCTAAGTATGTGAACGATTCGCATCAGATGGTAGATAAGCAACAGGCTGTTCATCAGTAGCTGCCACGCCTTCTCTGAGTTATACTCACTATACCATCACCTTCACGATAGACTATCCTCGTAGCACTACATTCATCCCCACTCATTTGTAATACATGCACATGGTTGTATTCGTGTCCACTCGTTGTATCATTACTACTCTAGACATCTAATTAACTTGTCTTGTGACAATTACTAATCGTTGTTTCTAAATGGCCATAACTCCGCGCAACATAGATCAAAATTGAACGTTGAACCTTCCACATGAACGGAGCTTGAAGGACTCGGTACTCGTTGGCTGTTACCCCGTATTTCCTTTCTAGGCTACCGATGACGAGACAGACGTCAATGATCTCTTGCAGCTGTGCCACAGTGGCACGGTGCTCCCTACTCCATATCATCAACGTTGACCATGACCAAGGGTTATTTCTAGCCATTAACATAAGGCATGGTATCTTCTCAGACGCGTCTGCATCCTATCCTCACGACGCCGAGTCTCGAAAACACGCGACTTGATGGCTCACATATTCATCGTCGCTTCTTCATCGGACCTATGCCTGAACGCGTCATATCACAGACGGAGAAGCAGAACAACCAGATGAAGCACAAGGCATCTCGACTGTTTGGACTTTATGATCGTATTGTATCGGATGAAGACGAGGACAACGCCGTCACTAGCGTTCTTCGGGACTATGCCTTCCAGTTCTTCCTCGAGCAAGGTGGGAGGGAGTCGGATTGGGGAGAGCAGCAGGAGCGGCAGACACGGAGCGAGATGCTGAGACTGTGGATGGATAGCGAGTGGGGAAGGATGTGGAAGCGCAGGAAAAAGGATGCCAACATATCGCGCAGACGCTGGGTCGGTGGTTCTTTTGAAGTCGGGGACTTGATAGGGATCAACATACTTTCTGGCGGGCTCCCCAAAAGCGCCAGGTCGACCTCAGACTTCGCCGCCTCCACCTCGCAAGTGCACCTTGATGTGCCCATGTCGACTTTTACTGCTGACAGCTTCACGACCGCTCGGTCACATTTGAGTCCCTCCTCTGAAGCCCCTGAAATGTTTACAGGCACTCCATCAATTCATGAGCATTCATCCGCCGAATATCACTGGCCTCCCGAGGACGAGTCTGTACACGTTCCTTTTGCCACTTCCCTCATTCGATCCTCTTCTCTAGTCGCTCAAACTAAGCCACCGAGCAAAGCGCAGACCGACATTCTACCGCGCCCCATCTTGAAGGACTCTCTGATAGGTCAAATTAGGAGTGACGAAAACATGGCTGATGCGCATGTATCCTCATTTCGTAATGCAGTAGGGACGAGTGAGGGCAAGAAGAAAGCAGTCCACTATCCTGACGCTTTAGAACAATCATCTGCATCGCCGCAGGAGGTTCTTGCGCGTGAAGGAGCAGATTTGCCTGAGTCCAGCGCCGCGGCTGCTCAAGAACAAGCGCTTGAGCCTCCTCGTCCGCCAGTACCAGGGCGAGCCCTCTCAGGTGACGTTTTCATGCAAGGTGCAGTTTGACGTTTATCCCTCGTTTCATAAACTAATCCGTTCATGATTGCATCAGACAGAATGATTGTACGCGTTTCATATACTAGGGAGAGATCACTAGGAGCGACTTTCGATGAAAATCAAAACAGGTTTACTCAGCATCTGCAGTACGAAGATTGGGCTGAGTTCATGGTAGTTTGGCGGAAAGACCGAATAGAATTATACGAGGATTATGTATGTTCCACCGCCTTCAATTCGATTGAATGTTATCACCGAAACTCTGATAATTGACTTGAACTCCAGACCATTCCGCTGAAGGAGTGGGTGACTGGGCATAAGCACCTCGCCTTCATTGCGCCTCTCAACACACCACGGACTAAATTGTCATTATACTCCTTCACAGACCTCAGTTTCTGCATAGCATGTCCTCCTACCGCGGTGGAGTCTGTCTCGAAGAGCCGGTGGCATTTTCATCGCGCGAAAGAGGGTCTCAATATTTTTGTTTTCAAACATCGAAGACGCTCTCGCGCAGTCGACTGGACATGGCATTTATGGTAGGTCATACCCGAATATCATCAATTTCATCTTCGTTTACTTGTCGTGTTTCCATTTACTGAAAGGTGATTTTTATATCAATTCAGGCGTCGACTCGGTGGAAGGTTTCCTCCGTTCATTGAGATTCGTGTGCCTCTGGTGGATATTCGGCTTAAAATCGACATTCCAGATTCAGCCAATGATCAAACGAATGCCGACCTGACCTCTTTCACCAAGGCCAATCTTATAGAACTCTGTGTCAAAGCTCTAGGCCGGATACAGGACTGGAAGATGTTGATACAACGGCAGCTTGAGATGGGGGCTCAACTTGAGCTTGCTTGGAGGATGGGCACACAATTGGATTGGGTTTGGTGGCAGGAAGATATTGAGGGGAAGGAAAGAGAGTGGGCTGTTCTTGCAGGACTCGCGCTGAGCCAGGTTTGTTTCATTTTTTTGACCTAAGGGGCCTACGAACTCTCAATCCTTGTTTCACTCATAGGCAGGTAAAGCAGCACACCTTGAAATCCGAAGGAGCGAACATCTCCCATCGCGGGTACATCTTAAGGACGGTGTACGATTGGAGGAGCCACCATCAATCGAAGGGTTCCTCGAACGAGTTAAACCTGCAACGCAAGTCCGGCAGCCTATATACCTCACCATACATGACGGGTTGCTCTTCTCCCTACCCCCTCCTAGAGCTCACCCTCCACGCCCACCGGGGAGCGTCCCCGAGCCCGCTTCTCTGGACGACGACTTTCATACTACAATGCGAAATGAGGAGGCGTGGCGCGGAGCACAGCAAGTGTCCGAGGCGAGAGGTGTGACGGATCTGCGCAGTATCGTACTCGTTCGGCGCGCCTTTCAAGTCGTGCCGCCTCTTCAAGAAAATGTGCAAACGGAGGCTTATGGAGACGATGACCTGTGCTTTGCTCAGGTGGATGGGGACGAAGATGACGATAACGATGTGGGAGGTGAGGAAGGCCTGGAGAAACCAGCGCAAGATCGTGTGCATATACGAATGCGACGGTGTTTCGAGCTGGTGATGAGTACAGGAAGAATAGTACGGTTTGAAGTAATGAGTCTTCTGACAAGCTCTACTCCAACTCCTACTGACTGCATAAGACCAGACTTACTCGTGCAAGACAGCGATAGAATGGATCAACCGCCTTCGCACGCTGATTCAATACTGGAAGGCACGTCATGATATGGACGCTCGTCAAGAGATGGATATTGTGCATTTCGGGACCGGTCGTCCGCGTATAACGCCGCGTCGCAAGATCAACGTGGACAACGAGCAAGCCGCACCAGAACCGGCATCGGATTTGAGCGCCATCCTGCCGTCGCTGAATCACCTATACAACTGGTGTGTACTGGATGGGTGTCGGGCCATCACAAAAACGGGGCGAGTCTTCGTGCAGAAAGGGTTTCGTGGTCGGTACAAGTTAGTGTTCAGCTTGACAATTTCGCGAGTACCTACAATCCATACTGACAATCAGCTTTCCTCCAATAGGCACGTCCAGCTTTTTATCGTGGCAGGTCACCTCATTCAATATCACATGAAGACCAACTCGGTACACCACCGGAGACGAGGAAAAGGAATCAGTTTGCTCGACGCCTATATCGCTTCGGGCGTGTTCGCGGCGCAATCGTTGCCTCGAGGTCAATATAAACCCAACACCCCACCAATGGCTCGGCGATACCAAGACGGATTAGAAAGTGCCGATCCAGACGAAGACACGTTGTTTGTGGTGTACTATTACCCATTGAACGTGGAAACCGGAATAACCGAACGGCCAGGTAAGGGGAACAGGGTCGGAAAGGATAAGGAGGCAGTTCCTAATTTGAGCACCAAAAGGAAGCTGATGGTGTTCAGGACGAGAAGCAGAGTCGAGAGAGATGTGTGGTGTTGGGCACTGAACGCGGAGATCGAGAAAGTGGTACGGACAAAGAAAGAGAGAGAAGAGAAATTACGACATGCTGGAGGCTTGATCAGGACATGAAGAGGACATTGATTATTTTAGTATCAGTTTGCGATATTCTGCCCCCTGGAATGTTCGGTATCTCGGATGTGGACGCAGTGTATTGCAATTTATCATTATTTTGTAGGATGGGCACGCACCGGGGATCATTTTGCCCTTCCGACACGGATGCTGTGTACTTAGTAGCTAGCAGTGACGAGCAGCCAATCCATAGGTCAAGGGAAAACAAAAGAAAATGGAAACATAGTGGAGACGACGAATAAGCTATGACTTCTTGGGCTTTTTCACTGTAGGTGCGAGCGTCCGTCAGAGAAATACTTGGTAGATGACGGTAGACGCACCTCCATATCTGCTCCGTGCATTGACCCTACCCACGACTCCACCGAAATCAAGAGCTCCACGTACAAGCTTGTATCTAAGAAGTCGGTCAAAAACGGAGTTAGCGAACCGAAGCGCCAGGACCGTAGTTTGTCGAGACGTACTTCACACCCGGCAAATCCTGCGCACGACCTCCTCTGACCAGCACAACACTATGCTCTTGCAGATTATGCCCCTCGCCCATGACGTAAGCCTGAAGGGTCTTCCCTGAGGAGAGCTTCACTCGCGCAACCTTGCGCTTGGCTGAGTTAGGCTTCTTCGGTTTGACAACAAAGATCTGCACGCAAACGCCCTTCTTTTGACTGTTATTTTCCAGCAATGGAGCCTTCGACGAGTTGCGCTTCTTTGGCGCTTTACGGCGCATGGCCTGGTTCAGGGTAACAAGCGAGGGTGGGGAGGCATGAAAGGCACGAGGATGGATGAGGGGGAGAATTGCTGAGCGCCTCGGAAGCATCAAAGGAGTATGTGACGAGCCAGTTGTGCGCATGGATAAAGGGGCACACAGGGAAGGAGGGCGCGCAAACGCGCGCAACGCTGAGAGCATCGTGGTCGGTTTATTGCTCGTCGTCGGCAACGACGCCTATGAGTTGGACGAAAGGCACGGCATTTCCCGAGATCACGAAGCACCCTGCCCTAAACTCGACCTACGCGCGACGCGTCCAGAACCAATGCCATCTCGTTAACCATCTCCTTCATTCACAGTCTTATAAGATGCCTCGTAAAGCTTCGCGCCGCGCTCAATCCACCCCATCCGATCACATTGAGGAGCACACCCTCTCCCAACAGCAAGATGATGATGCAGTCGACGAGGATGGAGAAGATCTACCGCGTCGCAGTTCCAAGGTTTCCAAATCCAAAGTGAAGAAAGCCACGGCACGCCAAGATGAGGACGATCAGCCTGGCCCTGAAGATGGCAATGGAGGCGATATGACTCCGTTCGACAAAGAAACATTTGGCAATCAACCCCTGAATAAGAACGAAGGCTCTAAACTGACGGGTATCGCGGCGGACTGGGCAATGATAGAGAAAAATGTCAGGAACAGCGCGCCAGCGCTTCTCAACGACGTAGCAAGCGCCGTAGCTGAGCTGAGGGACGATGAAGCTGCCGAGAAGGTACGCTAATCTAATTCTTCAGTATCGCTACTCTCCAACGTCGACAGCCTGCATTTAGGAACTCATCCATCTCGATAAGTTAATGCGAGAAATGGTCGACATAGATGAGGAAATCTCCGCGCATAAGAGGACGCTCGAAGAGCTTCACCAACAAGTCATCCGTGGTGAAGAGATCGTACGTACTAATGCTATCGTTCTATATATTATATAACGGCTATCATCTGCAGTCAGATATTCTAGATCGCTATGAGAACGATGTGAAAGGAAAGATCGACAAATACAAGAAAAAGACAACTCGTCAGAAGTACGGCAGGAATCAACATTATGCAGATTTCCGACAAGCCATACATGTGCGTAGTCTCCTGCTCTTCATTTTCACCTTCTTATACGTGTGTATAGGAGGTACGAAATCCGGACGATGCGATGCCACCAGTTGTCGAATTTTTGCCTCGAGGTTTGTATGAATAATGTCTTGAACGATGCTTTGTCTCATGCTTTGTATCAGAGAAAGACGATGTCAGTGACGACGATGACGATGATATTCTCGTCGGAGGTGTCATGCAAGATTTCAAGTGCCCTATAACTTTAACGTTCCTTGTTGATCCCCTCACCTCGTGAGTTACCTCTTGCCCGTCGTAGTGTGATATGTGTGACTAACCTCCTTTACCTTAGTACGGTTTGTTCCCACTCCTTCTCTGGAGAGGCTATTCGGCAAATGCTTGGCTCCAATAAGGCCACGAAGAAAATTTGCCCTGCAGCCGGTTGCAGAAAGATGATCTGTTATAATGATTTGAAGCCGGACAAAGCTTTGGAGCGCAAAGTAAAAAATGCTCAGCGCAGAGCGCGGCAGAGGGAAGACGATAATGATGCGGAGGAGATAGTGGAGTGAGCCAAGCTGTGAGTGCTTGAGTGACTGTGGGATTCGATACCGACATCCACAATGTATTTGTGCTGGTGTTTCCTTTGAAATATCTGCTGGGTTCACTCCTTTAGGAAACTCACCTTCTATTTTCGGCAAACCTGGTTCCCGTTATGGAAAATCTGTCACCAAACCAAGCATGACGTCAACCGAGCTTGCCCACTCGTTCTCTGCTTTCCTCTCTCTCTCTCCGCTCCTTGTACTCCCAGAAACACCTTTTAATCCCTCACGCTCTTTTGACTTGCACACTCTTTCTTCAGCAGATTGATCAACAATGCCGGCCGTCATCTTGTACCAAGTTCCGCGTACCCCTCCGCGGTACAAAACTGTCTGCGAACCTCCCTCCCCGCTTGCACGCTACAGCCGTGTCTTTCCTCGCCCGCTTCCTTCCTTACTCGCCTGGAAGGCTGCCTGTATGGTGAGTTCCACTCTGTTTAACCCTGCTTGTTATGTGTCCTGCCGCTTAACGTGATCGTTACCAGGTATTCCCAGCTATAGAAGGCTCTCACCCGGTCTCCTCTTCCTGCAAGGGCAATCCAAACACTCTTGCCATCCCCCCTCGCGCGCGCAAATTTATGTTCACCCCACCTGACCATCTAGAGTCCAAGGCTACACTCTCGACTCCCCCGAACGTGACATCTGACCAAGATCCCCCGAAGACCTCTTCGAAACGCAAGCTGGATGAAGCTAGTTTCAGATTGCCAAGCGAAACGGACCCCTTCTTACAATTCGTACTCAACGCCGGTCGAAATTGTAAGCGCTCGCGTGTCAATCGGGATAAGGAGTCGCGGCGGTTATTGAACACGGGTTCGAGGGGTCAGTAAGTGTTAAAGGGGAGGCTGAGTTGCGCGTGGCGTGCCTCCGTAGAACTTCATATCGATCCGTAAATGCATTCAGTCTCGGATAAATACGGTGGCAAGGTCTGGCTCTGGAAGGCTATGGTTTGACGCCATTTTACCAGTCTTCATAAGTTTTTTCTGTCTCCTTTGTCATTCTGTCAAAGCCAACTCAAATTCCCCGCGGCCAACTCTGGTCAGCTTCTGTGCCTTTGGAACGGTGGGAATTTTGAAACTCCGCGCATCAGCTTTGTCCTGGATTAAAAATCCTCTTCTCGCTTTTCGTGCATCTGGGGAAGCGCTGCCCTCGTTCACATGGCCTTGAGGCCTTGCTTGAGCGCTTGAGCGCTGGAAAACTGATTTATTCCCCGGATCGGCCCGGACATTCAGACATATGGTCGTCAACGTGCCACATCCTATTAAATGGTACTCCGAGGCTCCGATCGAGTCATGGACATAGGCCATGCGTTCTACACGGATGCCGTTTCTTCGTTCTTGACTCTTGCACACAAAGGGCGGTAGGTACTTTTGGAGGACAGATCACAATAGCATGCCTGCCAACCAAGTTCCCGCTGTCGAGGTCTTGTCTCGGGAATCTGGGCCAGATGTCAAAGAAGGCCCCGCTTCCTCAGAAACTACCTCACCAAAAAGTTCGTGGAAGGACGGCGAGCAGCAGGTTTTGCCGCACAACAACCTTCCCCTTGTCTTTTGCTCGTTGATGTTGACCCTGTTCTTGGTAAGCTCAGATGGATGTCGGACTGGTTTCTTGACTTGCTTTGCTGACAAAATTATCATTTCCCAACACAGGCGGCTTTGGATCAAACAATGTTCGTCCGCCTCAGATCGTTTTTGTAGGAAGTTCTCTAAAATTCGGTTTATCAGCGTTGCGACGGCACTGCCAACAATAGTTTCCGACCTTGGAGGCGGTCAGAACTATTCATGGGTTGGCAGGTAATCAACGGCTAATACCCAGCGGATTGTTACGTTAATGTTCCGTCGTTTGCAGTGCTTATTTACTTGCTTCAGCCGCATGTGGTCCGCTGTACGGCAAGTTAGCGGACATCATAGGCCGCAAGCTTGTCCTCTACCCTGTCATCGTCATTTTCCTTGTGCGTGCTCTATTATTATCGCACTCACAGTCGATCTTACATGACGACTGCGATGGGTAGATTGGCTCGGCTCTTTGTGGAGCAGCACAAAGCATGACTTGGTTGATTATAGCTCGAGCAGTTCAAGGCATAGGTGGTGGAGGTACATTTTCAGCGCCCATACTCCTCTTCAATATCCATTTAAGACGGTCGGCGTTATAGGCTTGATACAGATTATCCAAATCGTGATTGGAGACATAGTAACTTTGGAACAGTAAGCTCACCATTTCAATCTTAGGCGACCCTCATCTTCTAACGTGTGAGCAGACGAGGCAAATACGGAGCATATATCGGATCAATGTGGGGTATTGCATCGTACGTTCAAACGATATTTACGTCGACGATTCCGCTCATATCCTGACAAGAATTCTTGGGCCTCTCGTTGGAGGCGTGAGTCATGATATCTCCAAGTTAAGATACATATCGAAACAACCTATTTGACAGGCTCTTACGGACCATGTTACGTGGAGATGGTTCGTCCTTGATGACACTATGTCTTTCTATGAAAGATGACGATTTATTTGCCCTAGGTGTTTTTGGGTGAACCTGTATGTCCGCACATTTCGCACTGAACGAGTTACGGACTTACCTAAATTTTACAAGACCTACAGGTGGAGCTGCCGTCGCTCTACTTTTTTTCACTCTCCATTTGAACCCTCATCACGGAAAACCATTCCGACAACATGTCCGCGAATTCGATTTTCTCGGGCTTTTTCTCCTTATAGCCGGGGTCATCTGTCTTTTGCTCGGATTCAATCAGAGCGAGACCAGTTGTGAGTCGATCCGCTAAATTGACCTCCCTTCACTATATTGCTTACTTCTGAATGATCTTGGGTAAATGGTGCACAGGGAGAAGCCCGGCCACTATTTCGCTCCTGGTCATTGGCATCGTCCTGCTCATTTCTGCAGGATTCTGGGAAGTCCACACCACAAGGTCGCCCATCATCCCCCCGCGAGTCTTCAAGGTACATCGTCCTATCTTCTGCCGATGTTATTAGCCATATACTCATATGCTATCAGACAAGAACAACGGGTATAATACTCGTATCAAGCTGCTTGCACTCATTCACGTTCTTCAGCGGTACTATCACCTTTCCCTTGTGATTCATCATCGGTATTGATTAGAACACATCGTACAGGGGCGTTCTATCTGCCGTTGTACTACCAGGTGTTAGGAGCGTCAGCTACAAAGGCTGGTATAAAGTAAGAAACTACGCTTTTAATCTTCGGAATTTTACGAACTCGAAACGCAGGATGCTTCCGTTCTCACTTGGTTCCTCAGTCACGTCGGCGATCGCGGGCTATGCTGTGGCGCCTCTAGGCGATTTCCGACCGCCAATATGGATATCATTCGTACACTCTTTCCCATTTTCTCCTTTCTCACTGCCTTCTGACACGCTTCGACATGACAGGCGATTATGACTTTGGGATACGGACTCATGATTATGCTCGATGAGACCTCGTCAATGTATGCACAACTTCGTCAATCGGGGAGTGAGGAAAACCCTTACACTTGAGTATATAGTGCTGTGCAGGAGATATTTCCTCTCATTGCTGGGCTTGGTCTCGGTGGCCTATTTCAAGTTCCCCTTATAGGTATGCAGGCTGCGATGCCACTGAAAGATATGGCAACCAGTACCGGTGGCTTGATGTTTATCAGGTAAAGACCACCCTCCCCATCTGATGCGAGGAGATTGATGATCTGTGCGAACAGACTCCTGGGCTCAACTATCAGCGTGTCAGTTGGACAGGCTATTTGGTCATCGGTACATTTCGCTGCTCCCAGTCAGGTCTACGAGCTTCATATCTCAATAGCATATATACATAGGAACTCAACAAACGGATTTCGAAGCTACCTACTTTCGACCTCGGAACATCATTCGCCAATAGCGTGACGCATCTCAAGGATATTCAGGTTTGCCTCTTAAGTCTTCGATCAGTGCTGGCAGAATGACAAGCCTTCTCTATCACACTATAGCCTGAATCTCTGCGGACACAAGTTGTTCACGCTTATACAAAAAGTCTTTCGACCATCTGGATAGTGGATACTCCACTCCTCTTCGTGTGTTGCATCATGGGTCTGTCACCTCACCTTCGTCACTGGCGCCTAACTTGCAGCTCACATCGTCGTTCCCCAGTGTTATTCTTGAAAAAGTACACCTTGCAACGAACGGTCGTCCGCAGTCCAAAGCACCGCGAGTCATCTCAGACGGATCTCGAAGGGGGGACTATAGTCGAAACGCCCCCGAACGGCGCACAGGCTGATGAAAAGGACCACACGATCAGTGAATCCGACATCAAAACACAGTAGAATGCTGCAGACCTAGACATGATTGCCTTCGCATACTGCTATCAGCCCGCTGTTGAATAATATACGACGTTCAACCGTTGTTTCATCTGCTTTCATAGTTACCATGATTCGCCACATGAATGCATGAGTATTATGCAAAATTCGTGAAGACGGACCGAGCCTCCCCTAGCCTTCCGCATTTGTTTTCTTTAGTTTTTGTAGTGTAGGGTTAGGGTTAGGGTTGATGACATTAATTTAGCAGTCGTGCAGCCTGACGGACTGTCTTCACCCGATTGACGATGCTTTCCTTCTTCCGTTCACGTTTTGTCCCGCTGCTTCAGCCCCTCGCACATTGTCGTCGCTTCAGCACCCCACTAGACACGATCCCGATAGCACCAAAGGCTGATGGTGCGCTCCGCCCGCACCTGAACATCGCGGTGAATCCCAACCACGGTCTCTTCGCATTCTTTCGGCAAAGGGAACGCGATGGAAACATAAAACACGTATCCGTGGAGGACAGCGAGGATATCAACACCAAAACGGGTGCGCTCTAGCTTGGCTATCATGTTAGTGTATTAGCCCTGACGTGCTATAGGCCGGTCCTGGACGGCCGCGGAATTGAGGCGCAAGAGCTTCAGAGACCTCCACACGCTGTGGTACGTTCTGTTGCGGGAGCGGAATCTTCTCGCCACGCAGTCAGAAGAGTTACGACGCATGGGTGTGTCGAGAAGTGGTGCGGCGGCGCCGTCGGGTACTCGTGAATACCAGGTATGTACCGGGTCCCTCGACGCACCGTCTAGATATTCTCATGAACCTTTGCTTTCGATGGTATAACAGTGCCGAAAGAGCATGGCACGCATCAAGTATGTGATCAATGAGCGCCGGTTGGCGTACGAAGGTGCTGTCGCAATATTCGCCGAACAGAAGAACGCACGTACGCGCCAGGATCGGAGCGCTAAGAGGGCGTCGAGGCTGGCGCTATTGCGGAAACGCGGGGTAGAGACTGAGCAGAAGGAGGAGTCTACGCCCACAGAGGCCGTGCAACTCGCGGTTGAGGGCCTTCTGCACTCCAATCCTAGGTCGTCATGATGGCACTCGTACTCATATACGTCTGGTCTATATGTCATGGGGTAGGACGAGTGATTCTCCCCCGGTGGTCCATTTCCCAGTTCCACATCTCTTGTGACACCCAGCAATCCTTCACAGCGGGGCTCTCATATGTCTCGAGCTGTCTTCGACCTCGGCGCATCAGGTGTTCTATAGCGCTCACATCGCGGGGCGAGATATTCTGTGCTTGTTGCCGGAAGTTGTAGCGAACGAACAGCAAGAATTTGGGGCGTGTTGATTCAGGTTTAGCACGCACCATGCGCAAGGCGCTGAAAGAGTTGAGTGACCATCAAGTCCTGCATTAAGAACTGTCCATGAGAAACAAATGCACGCACCGTCTGTAAAGCTCTAGAACGTCTTTCTGCAGCCCTGACCGCCGCGCAGACATGATGTCAAAGCGTTGAGATTCTGTGATTTGCGGTAGGATCGGCGTGACATCACACTTTCTCCCGAACCCTTCCGGCATTCCCGGCATCCCCCACAGTCCCGATATTCAGCTCGTGATGCCTTCTTCCTGTCCACCTGATTGTGAACTTGTCCCAAAATCACTCAATTGACCTGAACTGCTAAACCAATTGATTTTGGAGACGACGGAACCCTGTACCTGAGTGTATAAGTAGTCAATTACATAGGAGTAAATCAAACAGTATAAAAACGTGTACCAGAACAAGAGACAAGAGAAATAAGCGAGCGAGCGTATGTATGGTGTATGGTACACTGAGCGTGCAGATATATTTCCAGAGACGAGTGCGTTCTATGTCGTAGCGTGGAGAGAGCGCTGGCTGTACAAGCAGACGCAGTGCATCAGTGAGGGAGATATAAATCATGCGTTGTGCATTGTGCGTGTGGGGAGAGAGTCAAAAAACGAGAAAGGTTAGCGACGCTCGGTCCGCGTGGAGAGCTGTCTCATAAGTAGTTCGTATCTGTATCCAGTGACAGTCAGTGAAGTGGATTGAGACATGTGTTAGAATGACGAACGTCAGCATTGTCACTGCGCTGTTGGGAACCGTCCGGATCAAATTGATAGAGAGGCCCTTGTAAAGTCCTCGCCAACCTTCGCGCGTGATTATTTTCTGCACCGTGGCAACAATGCTTGTGGGCTTCTTCAACTGCCCGTTGTCCAGTTGAGCGAGCGGACGCCGAGTCGTCTGTAATCGCGTGCGCACGACTTCGTGAGGGTATGTAGTCACTGAAGCTGTCATCTTCGCGAGTGCGGAACAAAGAAGGATGGTATAGGAAGGAAGGGGACTGTTCGGACTACGACGCTCTGCATATCGCATTAATAAGATTCCTAATATAATTATTGCAGACTCACGTGCAACGACCTTTAGCTTCTCGTATAGAGGGAATTGAACTGCGACGTGTGTGATCCCGAGTAGACTAGGGAGTAAGCCACGATAAAAGGCGCGAATCCCTTCGGTGCGGAATATCGTGACCGCCGCATCAAGAGTATGACGATACCTCTGTTCGTTGCGGGACTGAGTCTGCAAGCCAGACATTTTATTGTTGCAGGCGACTCAAAAACAATAGGCCCGTGTCATCACGTACCATGAAGCGAGTCTTGATGACCCACAGCGGGTTTGTGCAAATAGTGCTTGCTGCCCCCGCGGACATCGCAGATAATATATGCAGCGACCATGGATGCTCCCGCATGAGCGGCTGGTAGCCCTTTGCGGACGGTGCGGGATATAGACGTTTATCGGCCGATGTATCCCCAAGCGGCGATTCTCCAAAGCGAGTCTTGATTCCGTCGTACACAGCAAAGTAGATCGCCCAAGTCGGAAGATATCCAAGAATAGTCGGACCAAGTCCACGATAAAGCCCGCGTAGACCATCATGGTGTACAATATGGCGTATTGTCGCTGAAATTCAGAGGAAGATTGGGGGTAGATCGATTAATGAACAGGTCTTGCCATATGAAGACAGCAGACGCACCAGACACGCCCAGATAATCTGCATGTCCATGAGCTATGCGCTGCGCCTGAAGCTTTGTCTTGATGACATCGAGAGGACAGGTCGCAATGCTGGCGACGAGACCGCCGCCAGCGCCGGCTGTGAGGGCAATGAGCTAGAAAACAAATATGAAAATGCTTGATCCTCACCAAGCATGCTGTGTGCAGTCCATTTCGTGCCGCTCGAGGACATAGCTCTTCCCCGCCGATGCGGGGGTGATCACAGCGCGAGATTCAATGCGACGATGCGCGTAGCAGGAGGCAAGTGTGGTCGACGTTGAACAAGGACAGTGACTAGCGATACTGAAGATGGTCGCGTTAAAATTCCAGTAATCTTTGACAAATCGCGGCTCTCCTTCGGCACCCCGCCTTTCAGATATAAGTAGATTTTCTGTCAAAAACTGCAGTACACTCGACTTTACTTGCCTTTTAAAGTCGATATTATGTCACAATCTACCTTGTAACCTTTCAATTTACACCATAAATAATTCCGAACATCATTAATTATTCATCCAGCCGGTTGTTCGACCTCTCCGTCCTCAGCGTGCTTGAACTGAAGCGCTCTACACCAGATGAAACCATTTGATAGAGCCTTACGGACCGAGGAATGCCTTCCTTATTGGAGTGTCCATACGTAACATTCCCTTCAGGAGATCGCTTCTCTCTTCCGCTCTCGCACTATCTCAAACAATGGTCAAAGCAATTGTGAACGGTACTGTCATCGCCGACTCGATCGATACCATCGTTGTCGAAGGGAATCACTACTTCCCCCCCAGCGATGTGAAGACGGTGCTATTCAGCGACTCCAACACTAGGTGAGTAGCGTATCGACTCTTATCAAGGTACCAGTGCAAACGAAGCCCGTGCCCGAATTAGCTCTGTCTGCGCATGGAAAGGGTGAGTCCTTTATTTCCTCTGCAGTTCAATCAGATTGTCCTCAGTCCAGCACCGATCGATACCATAGGCCGGCTCAATACTATGATGCGAGTATTGAGGGCAAAAATATCAAAGATATCGCCTGGTAAGGCTACCATTTTCTCCATCATTCTCCGACTAAGTCACGAACTTCTCGGTGTTAGGTACTATCCTACCCCGAGTGCGAAAGCTACGCAGATCAAATCATACATAGCTTTCTACAAGGTCCGTCGATCCGATTTGCGCGGGGTCGTCTACCTGACGCCGCATTACAAGAATAAGGTCGATATTCAAGAATGATACGAGAAAGAGGAAAGTGTATAAATATGTACAGCATATCGGAAAGTAGTTTGAATCATTCCTCCGTGCGAGTACGAAGGACATCAAGTCAACAATGATCCACAAATGGGTATTCATCATATTTATTTGTGGAGGTTGCATCAGCGGCAGCGCTAGAGAAAACCCCAGTTCATATCTTCCAACTTCCGGTCGCAATATCAGTCCTCATCTGTTTCGTCCGCTTCGTCCACATCGTCAATCTCACTATAGTGCTCTTTCTCCCTCTCCTCTTCCAAGCGACGACGTCCCTCTAACCAGGCTTGAGCTTCGTCTGAGGTATACACTGCCAAAGACTCCTCGACAGCGACTGAATGCACTTTCTGCGCCGCGTATTTAGCGAAGACATCTGTTGAGTAGAAGATCGGTGGAAGCCTCTTCTTTTTCGGAACCTCCTCCTAACATTCGGTTGGGCTATCAAGGTTTGAAGGGAAGTCGAAAAATGAAAGTGGCATACTAATGGTTCCGAGTAACCAGCATCTTCCATGGGAGGCTATATACCATCGATTCAGAGACCGGTAATTAAGTCAAAAAATATCAGACTCACCGCCCCTTGTGCTTTGACGATACGCGGAAGGTTGTATGGCTCAACTTTCGATACGAAGAGGTTTTCAGTATGACAAGAGATGTGCACGATCCACGATGCTAAATCCATATATTCAATATCTGAGACAACAGCGCACTAGATGCGAGCTCACCATTGAAATCGTATTCATACTTTATTGCGATCTGTTCGTTGGAGCTTTGTCCGTCAGTCATGTAGCTTAGATTCTGATCTTCTTCTTGATTCCAAACGTCGCCAAGCGTGACAGACTGCTCCTCCTTCTCGATTACCCAATTATCCTCGCCCTGGCTTCGACTAGATTCACTGGATGATCCAACCCTCCAGATAGAATCCTCGCCTTTGATACGATCCATGTGTGTTTCTGAGTGGTCGGGGTATAAACTCTCGAATAACTCGATATCAGGCTTTAGGACCCTGCCCGCCTCCTCAATTTGCCCTTTGCACGTCTTGGAAATGGTGATCCCGTCGTAAACGGCAAATTGGTGGGGATGGCTATTCGACCACCCGAACAGGAACTGCAAAAACGTATGGAGAAGCGCAAAACTGTAGTTCACGGGGACCTCGACGATGCGCCAAACTTCAAGGCGTGGAAGGGTGACGTAGAGGGTGATGTAGTCCCGGGTAGGCGCAGGGAGCGTCCAGGCTGGATCTGGGACTTTAAAACGCTTGCTTGAGTTCGAGGCGGCAGGTTAGAAAGTTGTTCGATGACTTGCCAACATCAGCATCAGTGGGCGAGTGTTCCGTCAAAATCGCAGTGTCGAAAAGTGCGATACCAAATGTATTACTCCGAGCTCTTTTGTGTGGAACGGCCAAAGAAGAAGCAACTTGTTTCGGAGAGATGTTAGCGGTACCCGACATTATATACTCTGCAGGATTTATCTATTGATATATGAACACTCGCGTCTGAACTCTCAATGCACAGCGACTCACCGGACCCGGCCTTGAAGAAGGGAGTGAGAATTGATGTTATGAGTGGTGCATGGGTGACATACAATCAAATATCAACGGGTAAAAGAGAGATATAAACATTTTCGCAAGCAACGACGTCAGAGAGGTCGAACTTTGCCAGGGCCATGAATCGGAACTTTTTGGAGTTATGAATCGGCCGCTGTGGAGCAGACGCGAGACGCGTCGTGGACGCGTCGCAACCAAGCAAGGCCAAACACACACGCTCACCACGATAACAAAATCATACATCGAGACCGTGTCGCTAGAATCAAGTACATCCATACCGGTACTGACTATCGGGGACAATGGTACAACTACGAGGTGATCGCGGACGCTCCGACCGTCTTTGGCATTTTCTTGTCGCTTTTCGTCAGTTGCTCAAGCTCGGCCGGTTTGAAATAATGCGGCGCCACTGGGGAAATGATGTCAGACTGGTCCATGATAATTGCCTAATTATAGGTGTACCTTCCATTAGCCACGACGGCTTTATTTCCATGACTTGCCGTAAATATGACTTAGACGTCATAACTAGCTCGTAGTACAGTACCGTTTTGACGGGGGGCTGGTGCTGGAAAAGACTGGACGACGGGTGGATATACACTGTCTGGTTCGTCTTGAGCGTTCGGTACGAATCACCGCTTTTCTGCAACTGGCCCTACAGAGACGGTCAGCCTGTAGCTTTTGAGAAGACTTGGAATGGACTTACCGTGTTATAGAAATATCCCGATGTGATTGCCTTCTGTATCGGTGTAATGTCGTTGGAGTTCGGGTTGCTCTCAACGACGACTTCCACACGCTCGCACAACCCGGCAAGCTGATCACGAATATCGCGCGCCCGACACAAACTCTTATACTGCAGGAACTGCTCGTAGCAGAACTGCTGCGAGTAGTTTGTCTCGGCCCACTGCTCCCACACGTTTAGCAGGGTAAAGTGGTCCCCGCCCGATCGAACGAAATTTTGTCGTGCCTGATCAGCGTGCAGTTTCTTGTCCTTCGGCCGGTAGAACAACGAAGACGATTCGGACAGCATGGAAATTATAGTGAGTACTTCGTCTGTGCACGAGTAGTTCTCGCTAGCGATGATAGATTTCGACAGCATGGGGTCGACCGGAAATTCAGCCATGCGACGGCCAAGCTTTGTTAGCTCTCCGCGATCGTTCAGGGCGCCGAGAGCATATAGCAGTTCAAGTGCGCGCATGAGTGTTTCACTTGGGGGCGGGTCCATGAATTCGAAGCTGATCAGGTCGTTGATGCCAAGTGACTTGAGCAACAACACCACCATGCCCAGGTTCGTCCGTTGAATTTCAGGAACCGTGTTCGCCTCGAGTTCGTTGGTATACGCCCACTTTGTGTACAAACGGAAAGCCTTCCCAGGACCAACACGTCCTGCTCGACCCGCACGCTGATTTGCAGATGCACGAGAGCACTTGGATCGTGTTAGCATCAAGACATCATCGGTATATGGTTGTTATATGAGCGGCTCACAGGAACAACAATCAAGCTCGACATGCCCGTCCTGGGGTTGTATGAGTTCTGCTTGACAAAGCCCGGATCGATGACGAACACGACACCATCAATCGTGATTGACGTCTCTGCGATGTTTGTGGCAAGCACGACTTTCCGTGCGCCTTCTGGTGTAGGCTCAAAGATTTTTGCTTGCATATCGCTGGGAAGGTTAGCGTAGATAGGACATATGATGAGCTCGGCGATTTTGTTTCCTAGCGCGCGGGCAGTCTCCGTTAGGTTTTCTTGTGCGGCCTCAATTTCGTCTTGTCCCTGACAACACCTGTAAATCAATAGAAATGGTAATTGAAAGGAAAACCCACCGTGAAGAAGACTAGAATATCACCCTTCGGCTGGGTCGTGTGAATCTGGAAAACGGTAGTGATCGCAGCGTGCAAATAGTTCGCCTCTGGCTGAGGAGTATAGTGAATATCCACAGGATATCGACGACCAGGCACTAGCACAGCTCGGTCAAGAATGGTCCAAACCATACAAAATCAGAATAAACACACCGTAGAATATATGCGCATCGTCAAAATACTCGCTGAACTTCTCGGCATCCATTGTAGCACTGGAGATGAGCAGCCGTAGCTCCGGCCGGAATCTGGCAATGTCCTGTATGCATGCCATGAGCCTAAGATACGTCCATCGATCAGAAAGCGTGAGGGCGCACCTTGACAAGGGCAAAGAGAATATCCGTACTGAGTGTCCGCTCATGTGCCTCATCGATGATCAGCGCAGAGTACCCGGCCAGGTCAGGTTCCGTCAAGAACTCGCGAAGAAGCATGCCATCCGTCATGTACTTCAGCACCGTCTTGTCGCTCGTCGCATCTTCAAACCGAATAGAATATCCGACCTCGTATCCCACCTTCGTGCCCATCTCCTCGGCCACACGCGCGGCAACGGACATAGCGGCGACTCGTCGTGGCTGAGTACACCCGACTTTCATCCCGCCAGCAGTGTACCCTGCTTCATGGAGGTATTGAGGCAGCTGTGTTGTTTTACCTGAACCGGTTTCAGCAACGACAATAAGGACTTGATTGTCTTTTATCGCTTCGAGGAGTTGGTCGCGATACTGGTAAATCGGGAGAGACTTGCGTGTCTCGTCGATGGTTTGGGCTAACAAATTACGAGTGAGATAAGAAAGATAGATTTTGCAAGATGCATGCAAGACGCTAGGCTTACCTCGTCTCTCCGCCTCGTCGATCTGTTGTTGTAAAAGTTTATCTTTCGCGCTCATATGACCCTCACCGCCCATTGTGTGCTCCATGACAAATTTAATCGTTTGACTCTCGTCGAACACATAATCGTAGTCCTCGACAATCTCAATTTTGTCCATAGCGCCTGTTTTGAACGTACTGTGTTTCGTTTGAGCTGCCTCCCATTGGTCGACATCGGTCACAAACTGGTCGTCCTTGGGCTTCGCGTCTTCATACCGCTGATACAACACGTTCTCTTTCCGCTTCTTATCGATTTTACCTTGCTCTGTGATATAGTCTTCGGGAAGCATATACCCGTCCCATTTGTCGTCGATTTTCAACCGCTCCTCGACAAGCTTGAGGACTTCTTTTTTGCGATCGAGCTCGCGCTGCTCACGCTTCGATATCTGCATGCCCCGGAAAAGGGATTCGTCGTCTGCAATCTCCTTTCGAAGGAGCTCCACTTGCTGCAGTTCACGCTTTGTGAGGTATTGCTGTCGAGAGTGTTCACGTAGAGACGGGAGGACGAGGGTTCGAGCAGCAGTATCGTCAGCGAGCTGTCGTCGTTGAGCAGCTTCGGCAGCGGCGCCTGCGTTCTTGGACGAGCGGTCCTCCACGACGCGTTTCGTGCGGTCCTGATCTCGCTGCTTCATCCGCTCCGCAAACTCGTCACGTTCTCGCAAGTCCCTTGCCCTCCGGCTTTCTTCGTCCTCTCCAATCTCCATGTCCGCATCTGCATCCTCTTCCAGTCCCTTATCTCCTTTCTCCTCCCCCTTCCATCGCTTTCTCGCCTGCTCGTCCTCGTCGCTCTCCCACTCCCGCCCATCTGACACTCGTTTTCGAGTATGCCGGTCCTTCTTGTCCTTGTCCTTGTCCTTTCCTGAGCTCTTCGTCTTCTCTCTCTTTGATTCCACTGTCCCACTAGGCCCCGCATCGTCCTCTAGCACAAACGAGAACTGCTGAGACCGAAGTGCTTTGGCCTCCTTCTCTGCCTGTTTTCGCGCATTGTCTTCGGGGCGCTTATGTTTGTGTTTACGCGGAGCACGCTGGAACACCTCATTGATGAAAGCATGTGAAGCGGGATTATCCGGGAGACCAGAGGCGTTCAACGAAGAGAAAAGAGCGTCCGGTGTCTTCGCGGTTGTTGCTATTCGAAGTTCATCGCTTAATGTGACAATGGGTCTATACGTGGAAGAGGAGACGCACACACCTGACGCAATAACATAGTCGACTATGCTTTTATCCGAGAGGCCAAAGAACTAAAGGAGATGTATCAGCACGGGGTGACATCTGCGCAATAAACATGAGCTTACTTGGAGAGCATTGTCGGAGATGTAGCGTTGGAGGTCAGACGACATACCTCTGCTTTGTCCCGCTCACAATATGATGACAATATTCAAGGGTGCTCGTATGTGAAAGGGGGCTGCGCTCTGAGATCTGAGTGGAAAGCCTGCGGTGAGCTGCGGGGTCGAAGTTGGCTGGCTGGCTGCTCAAGCGCTCAAGCCACTGGCTAGTGACAATTATTGATGTGACTCTCCGTGATGCAGACCCTAACCTCGATCGACAGAATCCTCAGAAAAGAAGGGCACCGGACGGCGGACAAGCAGTCAGAGAACAGCTTAAAGACTATGAAATAGTTCGGCGAGGTCAGATCTCATCGATTCAAGCTATCGACTTGTCAAGTACACGACATCCTGGTCGTATTATCTAGCGCGACACCCATATTCAGATTGTATGTATACTCAGACAAACTGAGGTATCTCTAGCCCTGCAGCTCGAGCAATCTTGATTGTGTTTTCCGCCTATTTGAAGCGTACAACATTAGTCTCTAGAAACAAAGAAGATGCAGTGACCAACCTGTTTGAGCATGGGCGCGTCGATCATCTCCCTACCACCGTTTCCATCACCAAGTTCAAGACCGACAGCTCCTCGTTGAGATGCATGCGCCTGAGCCATTTGATGAGTAATCTTGGCAGCGCGTAGGATTTCTGGATCATGTCGAATGTTAACTACATCAAGGGGATTTTATTCGTGATATTCGCACCTTGCGCGCTTGGGACGAAAGTGGACTGTATCATTTCGACTTGAGTAGGGTGGATGGCTTGCTAAAGTTGAAGACGAAAAGTGAGCATTTGGAAATACGGTATCCCTTTGGTATTGACCTTGCCGGTGAAGCCCAATCGTCTCCCGTCTTCGCATTCCTCCTTCAAGTACGCAAGATCTTTGTAGTTCACGCACACCATGTCTATCGCCTCGAGACCGAATGCTTTCGCAGCAACTGCTATCTTCGACCTGGTGTATAGAAGTTCTTGGCGGGAAGGTGTCCGGATAATAGACGTATCAGCGCAATCTATATAGCTATGTCAAATATATGCCTCTATGCGGGATATGCATGCTTACAATCTTCAGCTGCGAACTATAGACATATACCGCAGATGTCAGTGACTGGAATAAACACATGAGCGCAAAGAGAGACCACACCAACAAAGCTGCAAGCTGTCCACCTGAGTTGCCATGGGCAGATGCCCAATTCGCGATGTTGCCGAGATTCCACAGTGCGCGGGCGCTCTCGATGCTTGCTACTAAGCGAATGGGATCTCCGGCGCGTCCTGATGCGTCTATTGCACTCGACACGACATGTAGCTCTTGAGAAGAGTGCACCTTCGGAAGGATGAAGGTGCGGACTGAGGGTATACGGAGCTGTGCACGGCACAGATTCAGGACATAGATCTTAGGCAATGTAAGAACACCCTAACAGCTTCGTTGATATCACGCTCAAAGAAGGGCGTGTCGGTGGCGTTCAGCCGTATAGCGATGCGCTCTGGGCAAGGCAGCTTTTCTGCCGAGGTAGTCTGAGTGCAGGGCGCACCTTAAGAGTTCATTGGTGTGGCACGATGGGTTCTAGACATACGGTTAGAAAGTTGACTAGCCTCTCTCTCGCACTTGACTTGTCTGCCTCAGATGGTGCGACACTATCCTCAAGATCGTAGATGATGGTGTCTGACTTGGTGACTAGGGACTTCTGTAGCATGCGCTCGGAGCTTGCAGGCACTGTAAACAGCGACCGACGATGTCAGTGAACTATCAAGCAGAAACAACGACATGGTCTGACCATACAGATATGAACGTCTTAGCGAAATAGTCCCCGCCGTTTGTGCTGAATATGTGCGTTGAGAAGACTGCGCCTTCAAGGCCGTCCAGCTCGGAGCCGCCGTCCGTGATGCCAAGTGTGAGCTACATGAACGCGATAGCACTGAGATGAGCGGATTAAGCTTCATTTTCTTCGATGGAGTTGATCGCCGCAGCCTCTTGAGGCTTGAAGATGGCTTGCTCACATGAGTCTGCAACTGCAGACTAAAGAGCCCCGACTCAGGCCAGGTGACATCACGCGCTCCCTCCCACCATCCAGATCGATCGGGGCCGAAGCCCGTATGACAGTCTCCCCCCATCAAATTGAACGATGCGCTCCACCCACCAGCAATTGTGCATCTGGTATCTCACTACTTTTCTGGATTTTGAAGCATAATGACCATCTTTTGGAGATTGGCCATAAGTTCTGAGTATATCAACTCAAATGATATACCAAGACGACAGTGTTGTCGGTCTGGAGGAGACACAATAGATATGCTGGAAGAGGATAGGGCGCCCTTCCGTCACCGCTGCCCAATCATGCCCGTCCAGTCATACATCTCGTATTTTTTCTTGAACTTTGCGACTCGATCTTGATTCTGTCGGAAATCGACGCGTCTGGGGTGTCGCCACCGGCGTGGCTCGAGATCAAGGACGTTGCCAATGATTTCACTGGCAAAAAATCTGAACGAAAAAATCAGATGAGCACCAGCCCAAACATTACGGGCCCAAATGTGCAGCATACCGAGGAAAGTCACCGCCTCCCTTTTCCCCCTCGTCCATCGGCTCTTCCTCTTCATTCCCACCGTCACCACTGCCTTCGATGACATGCCCGTACCCCTTCTCTCCCTTGTGGTCAAACTGCACCATGAAGTACGGGAGATTCGGAACCATCATACGGCGGAAGCCCCCGGAACGCGAGGAGAAATCAATCACTTTTTTATGCTGTGACCATTCGGCCTCGCTCATCACGATAGATTCCTATCAGAAATAAACTTGAGTCAAAGTCGATGAAGAAATGAGAGGTGGACAATACCTTGAAGTAGCCAGGAAGAACATCGAATTGTTCCCAAGGAACAGGCACACATTCAATGTACGAATGCTTCTGCCACTTGAGAGTGATTACAGTCTCGTAAAAGATCACTCCTTTGTCCTCTTCGGCATACATACGCATGATACTCTTCATGAAATTCTGTGGAGAAAGATAGGCTCAGGTCACTCGCACTCGAGTATATGCAGTAAGATACATACTCGCACTTCATCCCAGACATCGTCGTCCCCCTCCAGCATGGTCAAATGATGTTGGATAGGCACGATGACGCAGTGTCCAGGTACAAGCTCTTCCTGTAAGGTGCAAGACAAGTAGACCCTTGTTCCTAGGGCAACGATAGGAGCTTTTGGAAGAGAGTCATCTTCTCCGTAACAGAAAGGACACGAGGCCAACGCTTTCTGAGTCCGTTTATAGTCTGGATGGCGCATTGAGATGATCGAATTTTAGACATTGTGAAGTGGCAAACCATTAATAGCAAATTGACGCTTCATGGCGTCGGACCGCATCTTTTGTCGGCCGAGACGTTCAGCATTATCGTCCATATACTCCAGATCGTTCTACATAGCCTGAGCATAAGTGCTAACTTGTTGGTGCATTTTAGGAGAGCTCACACCTTAAATCCGCTGTCCGACATAATGGATTTTGCGAATTGCATATCCAAATTCTTTTGGTCTGCGATACCGGCGCCGAACTTCTCCTGTCGAAGAAGGTCGCCCAACGTCTGGGTGTCGTCGTCGGCATTGTATCTCACTAGTTCTCCAGTCTTTGGATCGCGCGTCTCCACCTATGAGCCGTGCGAAATGAATGATCAATTGATAAGATCCGAAGCTGAAGGCAGAATGCAAACCTTGTCCTTCTTCTTTCGATTTCCTGGCTGAGCCGGCCCATCATCCTTGCCATAACCAACATCATACATCCGTCCTCGACCATCAAGAGTAGGCAAGACTTCCACGCGTGTCCGCACGCCATCATTGCTTTCAACGCTGCCTCCATTTGCCTTCTTGACCTCCTCTTCATATTCTTTCTCGAGTGTTTCTGCATTTGGGGCACTCATCAACTTAGCGCGTAGAACTTTCGCCTGTAGCTTATTGAGTGACGAAGGAGAGAGAGCACGTCCCTTCGATGTAGATGCGACTTGTGGTGTCATGACTGATGGGATGGGAGTGTGCGCCTGTGCGCTGGGCGTACCGCTCTGGGATGGCAAGCGTAGCGAGTCAAAGCGCTGACGAGCGGGAGGAGCTGCGTATGGCGTAGGAGTCGAAGGGGTGCTGTCTCCAAGGCCTCCTGGCCGTCTGAAGCTTGAGCTTCGGCTGGACGTCCCACTTCCGCCTAAGTCATTGAACATAAATCCCCTCTCTCCACCTCGTCCCAGACCATCACGACCTCGCTCGCGCTCGTTACCCTGACCCCGTCCCCGCTCAGCCCTGCGACCCTCTCGTTCGTCAAGAATCCGTCGCTCCTCTTTCGCCTGTTCATATGCCTCGAGAGAGCCAAAACGTTCAACGGCAACCTCTTCAATAGGGCGATTCTCCTCCTCTGCTGTCTCGAAAACGCGTCGAAGGCGCATCATGCGCCACTGTGAGCCTGGGCCACCCGGAATGGTGGACTTGGACGCGGAAGGTTCTGTATGTTCTGCGAGTGATCTGCCCTCTTTCAATCCAACATTCAGCTCTCTTGAGCTTATGTGAAGCTAGGACGTGGATGAGGTCAGACCAACGTTGCAGCTGAAAGAGATGCAGATGTACCTGGTCAAGGTTCGGGCGATCCGGATGTGGCCTTTTTGGTTTCTCTGTGCCCATAGCTGAGAAGAAATCGACGCTGCCTCCGAGGTTTCTTGCATTTTGAGAGGCTTCACCATACTCCTCCGTGAGAGATTCGTCACCTGTTGGCAGTTGAAGACGTGGTTTCTCTGCGACCACTGTAACCTGAGAAGACATTGGTTCAAGCATCCAGTCATCGCGCTTCAGAGAGGATTCGGTCACTCGCGAAGGTGCTAAAGCAGGATCATCAGGTCTAGAGTAGGCGCGGGACGTCAACTTCAAACTTTCGCCGGTAGGTATGTCGCTTGCAAGCGCCTAAAGGGAAGTCAAGGACGTAGCTATAGTGGCGAGTTTGAGGAAACATACACGTTCACCCTCCATATCAATATTCTTCTCCACCCACATGTCCTCGTCGTCTATGTCGTCATCAACAATGCCGAGCTTATCTCCCGACTTGCCCTTCCGTTTCTTATGCTTTCGGCTCTCTTCAGGGCCATCACGTCGGTGACGCTTCTTGCTCTTGTGTTCATGGTCGCCACTCTTATGGTTGTGACTGTGCTTATGAGTAGAACGTTTACCTTCATCGCCCATGGTGTGTGGAGGAGCTCAGGAGGCGAGAGTATTTCGATCACTCTGACAGCAGAAGATGTACGTCAGCGCACGTGCTTATCTTATCTCTGTAACAACGTTCGAACAAAGTCCCTATTCCCTTAGACTAGCTTTTCACCCGTCGCGTTGCGACGGCGCAACCATGCTTAATCTGAGTTTGTGTTACAGTGCTTGGTCTGATGTGTCTGTAAAGTTTAGTGTTCACAAAGTTTAGTGTCTATAAAGTCTAGTGCCTGTAAAGTCCAGTGCCCATGCTTAATCTAAGTTTTTGTTGTAGTGCTTGGTCTCATGTGCCTGTAGAGTGCACTGACTATAAAGTCCAGTGCCCATAAAGTCCAGTGCCCGTAAAGTCCAGTGCCCCAATATCCCTATATGGCTCTTTTATGATATCCTATAAAGTTCTTCCTGTAAGATTCCCATATAAAGCTCCCTATAAGGTCCCATCCATTAGATTCCCCTATGAGATTCTGCCCTATGAGGCTCCCCTATCAGGACCTACCCATGAGGCTCCCCCATGAGGTTCTCTGTAAGGTGCTAGGATGCCATTTCAAGCTTCAATGGCTGCTGAGGCATAGCCCACTCTAGTTGCTAGAGTTGCTAGGAGCACCAAGACATGGCTTACTCTGCTCACCTAATTTATCATGGATGCTTGCTTTGCTTACATGGTTTCTTATGTGGCCTGTGCAAGCATAGCCATTGCTTAAGTGCCACAATTTTCCACTGTTGCCCTCTATTTATGGATTATTTATTTATTCAAAAAATACCTGCAAACAAAACCAAGAGCCCAGAGTGGTTGCCAAGCTAAGTACTTGCTGAATGCCCCCTTACCTGAAGAAATCACTGCAAGACAGTGCCAGGGAAAGAGAATTCCCTATGCTTAGGTTAGCACCGGGCACGCGCGCGCTGACCAACTCCGTTTCAAGCCCCGACATGCTCCGTTTCGCCTCCCGAAGCCTATGGGACAGTGGTCTCGCGTGGTTTGTCGCGTGGGATTAGCCGACGGCTAGTTGCCACCGGACCCCTACTGTCGCCCTCTATATAGAGATCAGTTTGGTCATGCATTACTGTATCGGTCTTACATCTAATGTTCGATCTGTGTGAATCGTATCTGGTTTTTAGGCATCATACGAAAAAATCAAACCCCTACAACTCTCCTCTCCACACAAACATTGGACCGCGTCTTCGAGCAAATCTACATTGGGGTTACCCTTCCCTTTGTGCTTTGATTCTGAGTAGCGTGGATTGTAGTCTATTGTCAACTCAGTGAATGCTGGAATATCTTTGAGTGCATAGAATGCGTGGAATGGCCTATTCATCTATATGGGAGTTGAATTGTCATTGATACTTGAGCCGATAGTTTGATTCTAAACAGACCTCTGGGATAGTGTCGAACACCACGCAATAGATACGCATGTTCGGCTCGCAAGAATGACTTCAGTGAAACTTGATCAGCCAGAATTGGAAGTAGGGATAGAATCATATTTACTTCACGAATCGTGTCCAGTTCCCTGGAAGTGGAGCATCAATCGGATAAACAATTTGCAGTGACTGACTAACGGACCTCTATAGTATGCGCCCACCGAAAAAATATCCGCATCATCTCCATTGTGGTCCCTGTCCTCGCGCCCATCGAGATCAAATATATAGCTTGCCTCTATACCGTCGAGTGCTTCAGCCTCTTTGCGGTGCCTACTTATCACTGCATGAAATGTCGAAGGAATTTACGACGAAGCCTTGCACTGACATGAGTTCACTACACCGACAAGCATTTTTTAAGTGTCCAACCACAAGGAATCAATCATTGATCAGCACATACCCTGTGTAATAGCCCAGGACTTTTCCTTTGGGAATGTCAACTGGCGCTCGAACGCCCCACCCATGTGTTGACGTTTTGAAAATTTGGAGGGGAGTATCCCTCGGGATTTGTGCCACACGATTTTGGCACGTGCTACTACAAGAACAGTTCTATCATCCAAACAGTGAGCACAGAATTGCAGATAAAGACAACGAGAGAGCACACCTGATTACATTCTATGATTTCGATCCCGCGAGGAAGGTTTGAAGTAACTAATTTCTGTTCGTAAAGAAGCCTCGTCCTTCAGCGAACCAAAAAGCAGCCTCAGAAGGAAGGCATGTTACCGAGGGCGTATAAAAAAATCTCGTTCGAGAATCTTGACTCCCTGAAGCCGTGTCTGTGATCTTCTGGCAGTCACAGTGAAAAGCGTGCTCGCAGATTGGACTACATTGGCAACCGACGAGCATGGCGGGGTCCGGTTCTTCGATGTTGTGGGGGCTATGTTTGCTCGAGATCGGTAACACAAAGTGCCTAGAACAGGAAGGACATACTACTCGTAACCACATTCGATGTACTGAAAGCCTTCAGGTAGGTCGGCAATGCCATCTTTGTTTCCATCCTCATCAATCTCGTTGATGATCTGTATCGATGCCGCGCCAGCTTTGTGAGTGACCTTATTCCACTTTTGCTGAAGAGCTTCTAGTTTGGTCAGCTGCAAGACAGAGTTCTGGCGCGATGCATCCCGAGTCGATTGAGAAGATATTGTAGGTGTTTGCATCGAAGCGCGCAATCTCCGGGGCAGTGGTCGAATGGGCCTCGCGTCGATCTCATCAGAACTCTCCCCTTGCCTGTGTACAGCTTCGCGAGGGGTTTCCAAGGTATCCCAGTTTGCGTATGGGTTTACGGTAGACTGGCATGCTTTTGCTGCCTTCTGCTTGCGTCCCTCGCCAAGCTCGGTATTTACCATATCGTGCGCTGGGTAAAGTGATCGACCCTTGAGACGAATTGTCTGATCCTCTCTGGCAAGGGAATGTCGATAGTCAGCCATAGTCTCTTTCCAACGAGGGATAAGATGTGGAAGGTCTAAAATGTGCCTCTGCCAAGTTGTGTTGGTTTCATCTTTCCGCTGCCAACCGGACCAGCGGACCTAAACACTCTACGCTCAAAAGGAGACAATCAAATAGTGATGACGGCACAAACCTCGTACCTTGTAAACATGCATCATTAGCTCTGAATAGGATAGAGACGAAGAGACCTTTACCGGGTAGCCATGTAAATGTTGACCTCTTCTCCTACAATGCCTTCAACGGGCCATCCGTCATCGTTTCCTTCGTCAGACCACTGTTCAGCTGACGACGTGGACTCTTCGTCAATTTCTTTCAAGGTCTTGAGACTTCAATACTTCAATCTCAACGAACATATCGTACCGTGCTTTCCCATGGCGACTGGATACCAAGAATATTCCTTACAGGCAGTATTCCGCACCGCGTGGTGAGACAGTCTGTGGTGAAGGCTAATTTGTGGACTTCGAGATATCGGTCCACTACAGAAGATGGTATAGAATCCCACAGATTCAACATAAGGCAGACAGACTGTTAGGAGAGGTCGGAACCTCGTTGGTAGAGGGTTGAAAGAACCAAACGCACCTCGAGGAAACGCGTCGCACGTGCCAAATCCGTGACCAGCCGACCCGTGTCTCCACCTGTCTCCACCTGTCTCCACCAACATATCCGACTCTTCAGTTTCAGCTTGTGCATGAAGCTTGAAATCCCCCGAAAACACCCTCTCGAACAATCCTTCGATGACTGAATCATCACGTATTGAAGAAGAGTTGATCTCTGCGTTCAGCACGACACCAGGATCAGACGATGCCTTCATCAAGCAATGTATGTTAGACAAACCTCGTGCGATATAGCGCGTTCTGACGCGTCTTCACAGGTTCTAGTCTCTGCAAGACGTATAATGTGGCCCCTTTGGATCTGTACTTTAAATGGGAGTCGCTGGTCATATCCAGCTCCACTGCAGGCGCCCGAATCATAAACAAGGGCACGGCTGGTGCCATCAGAGATCTTCTTCAAAGCGAACTCAACAAGATCAAGGCCAACCAGAAGAGAGCTGAGCTGAATGCGCGAATGTCTCGAGGCCGAGGCCTTGGGCTTTCAGGGCTCGCCGGGCGATCTTCGAGGTTCCCCGAAGTTGGTATGGTGAAACCAATGCTTGGGGATGCTTTCGCATCGACATCGTTGAACGGTAATCGAATGGCGGGACCAAGTAAGGTCGCTTTTCGCTCCTTCGGAGATGAGGAATCGAAGGACAGGCGTTCATGTGCGTAGCGACATGTTTTGATGAAATGCCGCTGATCCCAGCAATGTATAGACAGATACATGTATGAGAAAACGTCAGAACGCAGTGATGGTACGTCGCGTTTCTTGCCTTCAAAGAGACATGGTATGGATTGAAGACCTCCGCAGCTCTGGACGAGCGTATCGACGAGTTTGGTGCACTTGTCAGGGAGCATTATGAGATCTCCGATTTGGGAGACCCTTCCTCGTCGACAGATGTATGTTCTTGGTTTATCAAACCTGAGACAATTGAATACATCTCTTCTTTTGCAGGAAGATGTGGTTGTCATCGGTCGGATCACGCTTGATGCAGAGTCGTCTTCATCTGGTTCGGTGAAGCTAAACGAAGCCAGTCTTTGTTTGGAATCTTCTCGCATGATGGGTTCTGGGGCCCGAGTGCCACTCAAATTTGACTCTAATGTCAAGCTGCGCGCTAGTGTCAAGGGACTAGGGAGTGTTGGGCTTTTCCCGGGGGCCATTGTTGCTCTGAAGGGGAAGAATGGAGGTGCAGGCTGGTTTTCAGTCAGTGAAATCCTTACGGTTTGTCCTAGTTGCTTTCACGATACTCTAAACCCAATTTTTGAATTCACACAGCTACCTCCGCTTAAGCCCTCACATACGAATCCAGATAACACAAAACTAGAGGCTATCGATACATCGTTTTCCATGGTTATTGCCAGTGGCCCTTTCTCGCCTAACGCTGATCTGCTCTACAAGCCATGGAAATCCTTGCTGAAGACCTTGAAGTTGCAAAAACCTGCCGTTGTTCTCCTTGTATGTTCATTTTCTCATAAGGTGCCCGTTGGAAACCTAATTTCCCGTTATAGATTGGGCCTTTCGTTGATTCAAATCACCCCAAACTGAAATCTGGTGACATCGACGAGAGTCCTTCTGAGATTCTCTTTGCCAACTTCACCGAAAACCTACGCGATTTCTTGGAAATCTCTCCTGATAGTCTTATCCTCATTGTCCCCAGTACACAAGACGCCATCAGCGAACATATTGCATTTCCACAAGGTAGGTTAGATACAGGTTTCTCGGGAGACCCTGTAAGTCCGGCCTTGGCTCATCAACAACGTCAATCACTGATCTCTAAGGGTTATCGAACTGTTCAAAGCGTATCAAGCTGCTCTCGAATCCTTGCCAATTTTCTCTGAACGGCGTTACCTTTGCAGTTAGCAGCGTCGATGTCTTGTTCCATCTTCGAAAAGAGGAGCTAGTCAAATATGTGGAGGAAATCGATCCAATAGCTCCCAGCGCAGGCGATGCAGTGACTGATACGATGACAAACACATGTCGACACTTGCTGCAGCAGCGAAGGTAATTTTGTCGCTCTCAGTCACTCCATGATACGGTGCCTGATCTCAAGGATGATGCAGCTTCTATCCACTATTCCCTGTTCCTCTTGACCTCTCGCACGAAGTCAACCTGGACGTCTCCCATTCCGACGGTCTTGATCTATGCCCCCAAGAGACTATGGGCTATGCGCCTGATGTATTGATAGTACCAAGCCGACTCAAACACTTTTCCAAGGTAATGTCAGCCACTCCGATCCCGCTTGCCATACGGCTCAAAGTGCTCTTTTAGATTGTCGACGATACCGTAGCGGTCAACCCATCGTACATAACCAAGTCAATCTTCGCAAGCCTGTCGTACATCGGTCACGGCGACGGCCCCGCGAAATCGAGAATCAAAGTGGACGTCGGGAGGATGCCAGAGCAATGAACAGTTGCAACTCTGTCACGTTGTTCATATCTCTGAGCAGTCCTTGTATTAATCCGGATTTCAATGTAATGAATAGGCTGGGCGCAACATGCGTGTCGCCCAAGAACCTTGTCACTCCACATGATACAAGATACAGGTGGCTTCGTCAGTTCTCTACCTCCACACAGTCAAGACCGATAGGACCATCAACCCCTCCGCCCTCAGCACAGCCTATCATGCAAATGATCAATAAAAACTGAGAGCATGCGATGGGCGAAACGCACCGACGACTGTCTGACAACAGGCCGCGATGACGCCTGAGAGACTGTACAGCGCAATGATGTCAAAAATCTTAGACGTGGGTGTTTACAGTGTGGCCTACCAAGATGCGGTGGGACTACATCCGGCTGCAGTGGATACGTTCGCGTCGACGCCCGTGATGCCACAAATATTTTCCCAAACATATTCATTGTCGCTGAACGGTCCAAGCGAGCGGCAGCAGAGATGGTTCGGCCGCTCCGAAGGGCAACTGGTCGCCGGAGACGCATGGACTGCTGCGCCACCGACAACAAGCATAAAAAAGAGCGAAGCTGGCGAGAACATTGGTGGCAAAGACAAGGAGAATGATGTGTCTGATGATATGTGACTCAGGCCTCTGATTGAACAAAGCTCGTATAGAGGATGTCAATGAATATTGACGCCCATAGCTCACTAGGCTTTATACCCACAGCAATCACAGCTGAAACACAACTCATCGCGTGCTTTATAGGATCCGAAAGGCTGTACATATCACCGACTGTCAAAAACACTCTACACTAACGGCAAATGGGCTCACGCGGCACACCTGAAAACGCCTGAGAGCGTTTCTACCAGGCCGGTGATGGTGCCTGCGTACTCCAGTCCCTCGATCTCACCGGATCTTGCGCATAGTTCTGAGGAAAGGTACATCTCTCGAAACACATTGCGAATATGTATGCTCAACTGCTCAAGGTGGATTGACAGATGCGGTCCGGCTGTAATATATCGGCGCCGTTTGAGGCTTACACGGGCGTCAAAGTTATTCCGAGCCTCAAAATAAGCACGCGTAGAAGAGCGGTCATATAAACCGCACAATGCACGATCTATGCACAGCCATGTTGAACTAGAGAATGTAAGACACTCCCACTGATTGAGAGTTTGTGCCAACCAGCCTCGGTCTGCCTCGGTCTGCAGAACGTCACAAATTCAAACCCAGCGGCGCTAATGACGTTCTAAACCAGCAGTCAGTGATCCACGACATGCAAGCAAGACGCTCGCCGGGGTCATGTTATATGGATTCACCCAAAAAAACAAGTATTAGTCGTATGTAAAGAATCTGCAGAGAGATGCCGTCTGACGAGCTAGCAAGCTCGACCCGCACAGGGGCTGTGGAGTACATGAGCTATGACGGTCATGAATGCGTTTCGTCGCTGCATATATGCGTATCGTGCGTATGTAGGTACAGACTCTGAGCACAGTAAAATATAGGTATGGTAGTACAGATAAGCGCATCACAACGGGGAACAAGATGGAGGTTACAAGACGACCGGCAGGTACGTTGACAAAGCAGCCTCGAACACCGCGCGCAAGATCGTACCGAGCCCATGTGCGTACATACCAAAAATCTGCACATCATATTCGAAGCCTGGAGAACCAACAAGCGCGTGCAGGGGACGTACGCAGAGGGTGGTGGTGGGTAGGAGGCCATGTACATGAATCGATGGGTAGGTAGGGAGATAGGTAGGTGGATAGGAGAAGTGATAAAGAACAATGCGATGCGAGCTCAGTGGGAGAAAGGGTGCGCAAATACCCAGCCGGAGGACCGCCCCACGGGTCACAGTGAGTGAAGAGATGAGCGCCGCGCGACTACTCCTCGGCCTCTGCGGCTTCAGTCTGCGCTAGCGCGCTCTCTCTGACTGGACTGGTCGAGTTGTTGTTGGGCGAGACAGAGAGGCCTTGGTGATTGGGAGGCGATGAAGCGTGAGGGATGCTGCAAGATTGAAACGTGATCGTGATCATGATCATAGTCGAGTGGTGAGAGTCGCGAGAGATGATGGAAAGATTTGTCAGGAACATGAGGGAGGAACGAGGCAGGGACGAGGTACGCACTTCTCTGGGTTAGGGATAGTCGTACCAACGGCGTTTTGCGGGGCCACACCGGCTTTGGAGAGAGCATAGTCTCCCGAATCAAAATACTTACGATCCTGAGGACGTGAATTGGGCAAGGGCAGTAGGGATGGTTGAGAGGAGACGGTCAGAGGAAGGAAACAACATCATAATGTGAGCCGAAGGCAGTACATACCTTCTGCATCTTGGTTAGGACGTTCTTATGCGTGGGAAGTTTGCCATACAGACGGAAGAGCTTCTGCTCCTCCTCAGTCAACTTCTGTATAATGGAAGGGCGCCATTGTCAGCTCTGTCTCTCCGCTCAGCTGCGCAAGGCGATTGGGGAATGCTCAGCAAAGGTGCTGGCGCTCATGACATCCAAGACGCAGCGGTGAAATGGAAGTGTCGTAACGTACGCTGATGTCGATCTTCTTGAGCCTTGCCGGGATCATGATGGCAGATAGCTACGTGCAGTTGCGTTCTCTGTCGGGCAAAGAGGGAGGAGGAGCAAGGAGATTGCTGATGCGCAAAGGCGGAGGAGAAGGAGAGAGAGAGTTGAGGGGCGCTGAGGATGGGATGTTGCAGTGATGGTCGTTTTCTTTCCGTTCCTGTGCCAGAGCCACTCCTCATCGGTGGCTAATGCTAATGCACTCTGCTTTCGAGCGGAGTATGTCGGACATCCAATCACCATGGGAATTCCCACATCATTGACGTAATAGTATCCTGTCAGTCCCGCGTCAAAATAGTCCATAGACCCATCCGCGGTCTAAAAATTGGATGTTCCCTTACAGCGCGCAGCACACTCATCATCCCTGCACCGCCCATAGTCTGACTCAATACCCTAAAACACTTAGTCCTCATTGCCAGCATTTCCATCTGTGTCAGAATATATAGCGAATTGAAAGACATGACAGGTAGACCGCATTGCAACAGGATCTAGTACCACTTCGACAGGAAAGAATGCATGAAAGAGTCAGATGACCAGGCCCGGTGACAACCGCGCATCTGGACAGTACCTAGCCAGTCGGAAGACGTGGCCAGAGCGCCTCATGCTGCTCATTCTAAAGCTCGCCTACACACCTGGACCCAAGGCTGGTCAGAAGTCCTGCAGGTGGTCCTCGTCGTCTTCACATCCCCATGTTTCGTTCTCCGCAGAACACGAATGTTCTTGGGAGCAGAAGTAGAAGCCGTCCATGTCAGGTGAAACGCGGTATTCTTGTGTCGATCGAAGTGATTGCTGCTGTTGTCGATCATGTTCGGCGGGCGTTGCGAAAGCCCTATCTCGGTCGTCTGGACTCTCACGGTAGAAGAAAGAGACGCTGGAGCGATGATCGGAGACACCGTCGAGCAACATGGCATCCGCGGGTGTGTGGCTAGCGATAGTAGATAACGAGCTTGGGCGTTGTACGGAGATAGATGACCAAGGTGATTGAATACGGCTGCTGGAAGAAGACACATGAACGGCCGAAAATATGTTTTCGTCCGAGTCTAGAAGCTCAGTGTCCAGATCTATGGCAGTCTCGAATAAAGTGTTGTTGATTTCTGGGGCGCACACATTGCCAGAGTCATGATGGAGCTCATAGTGAAGGACGACAGAGGCGTCATTGTCTCTAAACTGCTATTGCAAAACCAGTGAGCAATTAGCTGAACGCATGTCAATCACATACATATTGTTGACTCCAAGCTGTTCCATCTTCCTGAATGCCCTCGTCAGAGCCTAATCTAGATGGAACTCTATGCTCGGCTTCGTCGTCGTCGTCGAAAAGATGCTGGTCCGGAGACAAAAGATCGTATTCTGTGTCGCGAGTGATAGGCAACCCCCCCTCATCAAACCAAGCATCGCCTTCGTCCTCGCTAAGTTCTGCGAGAGACAATAGATCATCCGGCGTAGCAAGATCAGCCGTAGGAATGTCGTCCCAAGTCATCCCAGGGCAAAGCAAGTTGGCAGAAGGGAGATAATCGTCCGCTGGAGAGAAAACAAGAGTCTCCATATCTTCTGCAACCTCTTTCGCGCTTGGTTGGGTGTTCACACCCTGAACCTAACATTTAGAATACAAATGGAAGGGATATATAGACCAACCTTAAATATAGGCGGGCGTATGCCGGCCCTGAAGACACATTCCCATGCTGCACATAAAACTTCTACTTCGGAATTCTGTTCCGCTCGGAGTATGTCCGCGTCGGACAAGTCGTCTTCCCTGATCGAAGAGCACAAACCGTGAAGCGCGATACAGGAGGCCCTTCGAGCCAAATTGGTATGCTTGCGGATGCGCTATTGGGAGCCACGAAGTTGTTGACTACGCTAGAATGTTGCGGGAGAAGGACTGACTTTGACTACTTCCTTGCACTGCTCGCGGAAAGCGGGATTTTGGGAGCGCGCAATGATATTGAGCAGCGAGCGCGAGACGAGCGGAAAGAAATGGGATTCTAGGTCGAGCTTCTGAAAGATGGGCATGTTCGCTGGATTATCGGTGAAGACGGAGCCAGCCGAAAGAATGTACCTTGCGCCATGGTCCAAAGATTAATGGATAGCAGCTTCGCAGGTTTCGCGTAGGTGTGCGTCGCATCTCAAGATACCATCAAGGGAGATCTTCGATGGAACGTACCGGACAAGATGTATGCGCGCAAACTTTTGTGCAGCCTCATCGAGCGCTGCCTGGAAGGGCAACAGCAGTCGGGGAGAGAACAAGTCTCCGTCTGAGAATAAATTGAAAGGCGTTGTGGAGTCAACGAAGATGGTGAGGCTTACAAGATGTCTTGTATTGGGCGCAGGGCTTCCAGATGTACGAGACGTGAATAGCAAGAAGCGTGACGCGTGGCGGGGGACCAGGATCTAGGGAACGCGAAGGAGTGAGGGTGACTAAGAAGGCGTCAAAAGTATGGCTATGAACTGAAGACGGTGGATAGAGGGGACATGGAGACCGACACTTTGGGATGCCAGCGGGGTCATCGGTGTACACATCCGATACAGCGTTGAGGCCCAGCTGGTCCGCATTCTAGACAGCGGGTCAGCCGCCGGGGCGTGCGCGGGGCGTGAGGAGAGAGAAAATGGCGCACAGCCTTGAGATAAGAGTGCAGGTGGCGAGTCACAGCAGAGTGGAGCATCTGCTGTGCAGGGACAGCATTCGTGCGTACGGCGCCGGACACAGAGAGGACGAGATCAGACGTTGTTCGCACGTCGACGGTGTCTGGAAAGGGGCCAGCAACTTCAACAACGGTATCTGAGGGCTCGCCGACGACGAGAGTGTGGTCTGTGTGGATCGCGAGGGCAACGCTGTCGGCGACGATGCGGGAGGAGGCCCGAAGGGAGAGGGAAGGCATTGTGCTGAGCGTGGGAAAGCAGGGGCAGAGATAATATGGTGGCGCGAGTAAGCCGGCGGGACTCTGATCACTCTCGTCTTCGTCTCTCTCCTCGCCTTTTCTCTCTCTTTCCGACTTTCTTTCTTTCACAGCCGCAACAAGCGGTTGTCGCTTGCCTCCAATAGACTGCGATGGCCGTGCGAATTTACCCTGTTTCTCTCCCAACGACCGGCCCTCATCGACCTTTTACAGGCTCACGAGCTGGACCAAAAGATCCAAGACGTCTACAGGCGCATCCAGACAGAGCGCAAGGTGCTCGAGGCATGTCAGAACCTCCGCCATGCTACGACAAACCAAGAAGTCCTCCGCCGCAACGATGCTAACATCAAAGAGGCGGAGCGCTCTCTTTCCTACTTCGAGAATACCCTTCGTGAGCTCCAAGATCGCAAGCTCCAGATGCAGCGCGACGATCGAGGTGGATCGTCCAGTTCCCCCAGCGCTACCTCGTCTCCTACGTTAAGGTCTACCCCGCTTGGAGGCAGAGACAGATTTGCTCAGCAGTCGGGTGACTTCGACGCCCAAGGCCGGGCGCAGCATTCCCCCGAGGCCCAAACTGCTAACTTAGATAGCGACCGCGCCCCCAAGGTCAAGAATTACACCAACTTAGACTTAATCAAGGCCGACACCCCTCACTCCACCGCGAAGATCGCCCGCATGCTTCATCAACTTGAATTCAAACTGCAAGTTGAAATGCAGTACAAGAAGGGTATCGAGAAGATGGTCAAACTCTACCAGGCTGACGGCGATAAGAAGTCTCGTGCGGATGCAGAAAGCAAACGCGTGGAGAGTGAAAAAAAGATTCAGCTTCTGCAGGCCGCTCTCAAACGCTACAAAAACTTGCATATCCTGGACGACGCAGACGACGACGACGAAGATGGTATGTGCCATTCTCCCTTTATTTTCACACCCATTCGTCATGGCACATTTATTTCCTAGAACGTGACGGTGATCAGAAATCCAATCTTCGTTCGAAACTACTCTCCGGCAAGCTATATGTCACCATCAAAGGCGCACGAGAATTCGATCATGCTCCCATTGTCACTGCACGTTCTCGTTCGGCTGCGAAGCAGGGTGTAGACACCTATGTCTCCCTCAAGGTTGAAGGCACTCCTCGCGCACGTACGCATCCCTCTCGCACCGACCGATGGAACGAGGATTTCGAGATCACCGTCGACAAGGCAAACGAAGTCGAAATTGCAGTATACGATAAGCAGGTCAGCGAACCGCACCCGGTGCCCATCGGCCTTTTATGGATCGGGATTAGTGATCTTGTCGAAGCTCTCCGTCGCCAGAAGGTGCTGATGGAGAGTGGGCAAGGGGGCTGGGTCACTGCGGGAGATATGAACAAGTCACCAGGATCGCCTTCTCCGGGTGCTCTCGGTCACGGTAGCACTAGTTCTGGTGATTATAATGCACCCCTCAACTTCAATGCAAGCGCAGGCCCCGGAGGCGCCGCATCCCATGGTAGCGCGCAGGCAGAGGGTATTGACGGCTGGTTCGCGGTCGAACCAGCGGGTGCTTTGGCCCTGCATCTCAATTTTGGTCAGTTTCACGCATATAGACCCCCTCCTTTGCGAGCAAACTGACTGTTGTATTCTCCAGTCAAGGAGAACGTTCGGAAACGGCCTTTGGACGCACCTGGTGGCCTTGGCCGGCAAGGTGCTGTTCGCAAACGCAAGGATGAAGTTCATGAGATGAATGGCCACAAGTTTGTTCAAAAGCAGTTTTACCAGCTCATTCTATGCGCATTCTGCAGCGAGTTTCTGCTTAACGCGACTGGATATCAGTGCGAGGACTGTCGATATACATGTCATAAGAAATGCTACGAGAAGGTCGTCACGAAGTGTATCTCGAAGTCCAATGCCGGGGTACGTGTCTTTCCACAAATCGTTTATTGGCCGCTAACAGTGCTTTAGGAGGGCGACGAGGAGAAGATCAATCACAGAATACCTCATAGGTTCGAGCCTATCACCAATATTGGAACGAACTGGTGTTGTCACTGCGGGTCTATGCTGCCCCTTGGTCGCAAAAACGCTCGCAGATGCTCGGAGTGCGACATTACGTGTCATGCCAACTGCGCGCATCTCGTTCCCGATTTTTGCGGTATGTCGATGGAAACCGCGAATACGCTCCTGCGCAACTGGCGAGACATCAATCGAGCGCGCGACGGCAAGGTGGCTACATCCACACGGCCTCCTCGCCAACCGAGCACAATCGCTGCTCCGCCTGATATGAGCCAAATTTCTGGTGATTTCGATCGTCTTCGGCTCACTCCTGCCGCCGAGCAGTCTCCACTGCCCACTGATGGCTATGGTCGGCCGCAACCCCAACAGTACCTACAACAACCCCTACCGTCGGATCGACGACAACAGCAACCGCTTCCCGGTCCAACCCTCACTCCAGCTCCACCACCCGGAGCCCGTGCTCCCGTGCCCCCTGCCTATGCCGAGCCTTTAAGCCAGCCGCGTCCCGGCTCCGGCGTGATCGAACAGGTGGTCGATCCTTACTCTGCCCAAGGTCGTCTGCAACAACAGCAGGCCCCCAACATCCCACCAAAACAATATGTTGGACAGACTGGGCCGATGCCGCCACAGCGTGTACCAGTTCCAGGCGAACGCCTGCCCATGCATCCAGCGCAGAATATGCAGATGCAACAACAACAGCGGCAGGGGACGATACAAGGACGACCGAAACGCAAAGTTGGATTAGACGACTTTAACTTCTTGGCGGTGCTCGGGAAGGGCAACTTTGGTAAGGTCATGTTGGCGGAAGAGAAGGCCTCAAACAGCCTGTACGCTATCAAGGTTTTGAAGAAGGAGTTCATCATCGACAACGACGAAGTCGAGAGGTGCGTCGCTCCGCGAGCATAATCTTCTCTGGCCGGTCTTGATTCCTCGTCGTTCGTCAGCACACGGTCGGAGAAACGTGTGTTTTTGGCTGCGGCCAGGGAACGGCATCCGTTCTTGCTCGGGCTGCACTCGTGCTTCCAGACCGAGACGCGTGTCTACTTCGTTATGGAGTACGTCAGCGGAGGAGATCTTATGTTGCACATTCAGCGCAAGCAGTTCTCACTGCGGCAGGCTAAGTTCTATGCGTCGGAGGTTTTGCTCGCGCTGGAATACTTCCATGCCAACGGTATCATCTACCGGTGAGTGAATGTCTTGGGTCTCATGTTTCCTTGGCTGATTGCGTCGGACTAGTGACCTGAAATTGGACAATATCCTCTTGACCCTAGACGGACACGTCAAGGTGGCAGATTACGGTCTCTGTAAAGAAGAGATGTGGTTCGGACAGACTACCAGCACATTCTGCGGTACCCCCGAATTTATGGCACCTGAGGTAATACCAAACACATGACATTGACTATTCGCTCAGTGATATTTTCTGATTCAGATACTTCTCGAGCAACGATATGGCCGCGCAGTCGATTGGTGGGCGTTTGGAGTCTTGACTTACGAAATGTTGTTGGGACAGTCTCCATTCCGCGGAGACGACGAGGATGAAATTTTTGACGCCATCCTTGAAGACGAACCATTATACCCGATCACAATGCCTCGTGACGCTGTCTCTATCTTGCAAAAGGTGCGTGTTCTATCAGCCGCCTATTAATCAAGAGGGCTCACATCATGTGATGCAGCTTTTGACGCGGGATCCCGCACGACGTCTTGGGTCAGGCAAGGCTGACGCAGAAGAAATCAAGAGACATCCATTCTTCAAGGATGTCAGCTTCGATGATGTATTGAACAAACGCATACCCCCTCCTTACTTCCCTACGATCGTACGTGGCTTCTTCGACTCACGATGCTCGGAATTGCTGATTTTTTGTGAACAGAACGGCAGTGCCGACACGAGCAACTTTGACGAGGAGTTTACGAAAGAGCAGCCGACACTGACGCCCGTGCACGCGCAGCTGTCATCGCGTGACCAACAAGAGTTCAACGGGTTCTCATGGGTGGCGACGTGGGCGGATAATGTATGAGTGGAAATTTGTTATGTGGCAGTCTTGTTAGAACTGTATGACTCGAGCGTGTTGGATGTGGCCTTTGTTGCGATTGTCCTGTATTTGGATACCTATCATGTCACGCATAAGAAAGCTATCATTACTTCTCCTGCTTTCACGGCCTAGATTTTGCAAAGTGTCGTACAGTTCAGGGTTCGTTGGTCTGCTTCGATGCAACGACATGCCCGCCGGTGCCTGGAAGGCCTGGAGGCTGCTCCTCCATGGTGGACGCATCTCCTTTCTGTCCGCGCATGAGCTCGTGGAAACTGCTCCAGAGCGACGCGATGGTCTCATATTCCTTCGTCATCCCAAGAACCTCCTCGAGCTTGCGGTTGAGAATGTTGCTCGAGGAGAGCAACTCCTCGAAGCCCTGCGATAGAGATGAGGACGCTGATGTCTTCAGTCGCACAGGCAGGTGGAGGGCAGATACGGACTGTGGTGATTTCGCTCGCCAATCGGTCGCGCTCCCGCTCAAAGTACGACGATTCATCGTCGGAAGACATACGGCTGCACCGACTGAGACTGTGGTGGTTGGGTACAATCGAACTGTGATGGTCTCCGGGCGAACTGGAATTGGCGCGGAAAACACCGCGCTTGTGGCGGTACACGTGATCACGTTTGCCGGAATATCTGCTCGAAAAGGAGGCTCGAATTGGAGCTTCGACACTATCAGGGCGAGTGCCTGTTTACGAATGGTACTTACTCCGACGGACCGACCATTATACTCCCTTTGGCAGCAGTTTTGAAATGTAAGTTGCTCAAGACGAGAATCTAATGGTGAGCTCTGGTCTCGCTATGGGAATCTTGCGGATTCTCCATTCTTTAGGACAATTGGACGCTCCAAGGGTGAAGAATTCAATGAATCAACTCATAGTGTACAGATCTACTGTCTTCGTCTTCTCTCTCAGGTCAGCCATAGAGACTAATGAAGGATAGGAACCGGAGAAAAAATACATGCAGAATCAACCGTCATGCGATCAACGCCCTGTTCCTATGTCTTGTTTAACGCTCAAACGAATACATGATGGTAAAACCTTCATATCCAACTATCGCTCCTTTGTCCTCCAATACCGATCTCAAGGCTCCTTTGTTCTCGATGGAGGTCATCATAATCACATTGTGGTATTTTGGAATGATCATGTCATGTAGTTCTGACTGCTCAACAAAGCTTTGTTTTCTCAAAAACATTATATAGCGTGGTGTCGCCAGGATCTCAGCTTCACCGGCTTCTGCACGACACGGGTCGTTGTGTTTCATTAATCCATCCTGACGGCAGCCCTCGCTAGATCGCTTCAAGCTGCGACACATCATTCAGTGTCACCATCGAGGACTAGAACACTAATTGGGCAGCAGAGAGGTATGCAGCGAGCCCACTGTCTCAATAACGTTCTTATCTCACTGGTGCTACCATCCTCGTTCAGACACCCATTCGGTGTGCTCCGCCTTGCAGCTCAAAATTGAGCACCATCGTGCCAATCACCATGGTGCAGCCTAATCTATTTATCAATCATCTGGTGCCGCATCCCATAGGAAAGCTACCCATCGAAACACTGGAAATGATACTCATTGAATGTGCCAGGGATGACTATAGCCCCAGCAATGTGTTCACGCCAACTGAACGCGATGCCTTTCCGGACTGGCTGTACATCACATATGTCTGTCGTCTCTGGCGCGGAATCTCGCTTGGCTGCCCTCACCTGTGGACTCGCATCACTACTAATCTCACTCATCGATGGGTCACCGAATTCTTGGAGCGCTCGCGGAATTATCCACTCGTTCTCGAAATCAGCACCGTCCACTCCCACTTCAGCGAGATCAAAGCCGTCATCTCCGCCAATGCCTTTCGAATCAAGGAGCTCTATGTCGGTGACATAAGGGCAAGAAACAGGGATTTGAGACGGGAGCTCGATGGGAGGTTGACCGCCCATATGCCCCTGCTGGAGAATTTTATTTTGGACACAGATCTGTACGAAATACAAGATGATCTGTTCTCCGGGCATGCCCCTCGCTTGCGTCGCCTTTGGCTCGGAGATGCAATGACCAGCAGCATCACGTCTTCCCTACTGGGCAATCTCCGTGAACTTGTGTTAGGGGAGAGCTATGATACAGACTATCTGCTCAAGCTGCTCCAACACACACCGCTCCTCGAAACTCTCAAGGTCAAAGACCTTGTCCCAGATCTCCGGTACTCTGGAGACGTTGTACGCCTGCCACACCTCTCCAGGCTGTGCATCCAATTGAATGAGTACCGGCACTTCGTCGACTTTCTCGCACCGCTCCAGATGCCTCCGACGGTCCACTTCCGGCTTACGCTGTGCGTCAGTAGGGAGTCAAGCTCCGAAGAGGAGTACGGAGCCGCGCTCGACGTAATGGCTGACCGCATTCGCGGTATCAGCAAGTCTTTGGGCCCTTTATACGCCAATGTGTATATCGAGCCGGAGAAGAACTGGTGTATCGGTTGGTACCCTATGCTCCAGACACTCGGCGATCCTACCGTCGACCGGATTCCACGGCGCGCACTGCTCGACCACGGGGGCGGCTGGAGCTGTCGCTGCGAGCACCAATGTGACCCGCCTTTCCTGCTCGCCCTGAAAACTACGGATGTCCCGTACGCAGCTACGATGGTCGACGTGCGGTGCATGGTCGACCGCATCGCGCCCGTGGCCAACGTGCACGCGCTGCGGCTGAACCTGACTTTGCCGGACGGCTTTGCGGCCGTGCAGCATCTCAGCGAGGAAGGCCCAATGCGGTATCCTCCCTTCGAGACGTGGGCCCCGGCTCTCAGCCTGATGTCCGACGTTCGCATCCTCATATTGGCAAGCGACGCCGTCGCAGGCATCCTGATGGCCCTCACCCTGGACGGTAACGTCGGAGGGAGCCCGCGGACCCCTCTGCTTCCCAAACTCTCCACGCTTGTTATTGTGAAAAGCGACCCGCCAGATGCGAGATTATACGACTACCCGCCTGGATTGAACATCATCGGGGTCCTAGAGGTGTTCCTTTCCCAAAGGCTGGAGTTTGGCCTGAAATTGGAGCGACTGGTGATCGACAGTGACAATGACGACCAGGAGCTTATGGAATATCTGAGGAAATACGTGAAGGATATGTCGTATGAGGTTTACACGCAAGGCGAGTCCGTCTGACCAGATAGTACGGTGAACAGAAATGGCCACAGTATGAATGGTTGAAGAGGTGACTCGCTCCTAGGCAATGTAGAAATATAACAGCTATTACAATTGCTATGAATCAAAATCAGAATCTCATTTGAGCTACGCGAGAGGCATCGTGTGATAGCAAATAACGACAAAAACATTTTCTCTGATCCAACAACCAGACGATTGAAAGGTGCCCCTGCTGCCGGTCTGCTGCCCTTTACCATATTGCATTCAATTTCTGTAAACAAACCGAGGCTCTTGGCGTAACTTGGATCCATACGACAGCACCAGAAGGTGAATAACAAGCTGCAACAGGAGTGCGACAGATCCTGCTTCCGGCAGTCTTCCAGCTGCTTCCAGGGGCCGATCCCGTATACCAACCTGCAAACCGAGGCTCTTGGCGCAACTTGGATCCATACGACGGCACCAGAAGGTGAGTAACAAGCTGCAACAGGAGTGCGACAGATCCTGCTTCCGGCAGTCTTCCAGCTGCTTCCAGGGGCCGATCCCGTATACCAACCTGCCAAGACCGTCCCTTCGGGTCGAGGGTAGGTAGCTGCTTAATACATGGAGGCTCATTTGACGACCGGGTAGAGGTGGATGCCGGGATATTTGGCGGTGAGCTGCGCGTGGATGTCAAAGTACGGAGTGAGATACGACACATCAGTGCTATCCGTGGGACCTCCGCCACTGGTAAGTACTCCGACGATCTTACCAGTCCTGTCGAGGACGATCGCTCCCGAGTCTCCCGGTTTGGAGAACCTGGCGTGGTCCGTGCTGTACCTCAGCACAGCGATTTCGGTGGACGTCTCGTTGATACCGTAAGGAGGATAGTAGCGGACGAAAGACTCGAGGCCATTGGCGCGACCGAACGTGGTTGCCGTAGTCGTTCCGTTCTTGACAACAAGGAGGCACTTCTGGTTATAAACGTCGAGGTGCTGAGGGTTGCGTAGGTCATCCTCCTGGACGATACCATGCACTTGAAGGAGGCCGTCGGGAGGGTGTTGATAGTCCGCCGAATCAGCAGCCTGGGGTCACATGATCTCGCCGTATTGGGAGGCCGTGGTCCTCGCAGCTGTGAAGCAAAAAGGTTGAAGACAGAACAACAAAAAAAAATGCGAAAGAAGGGTGCCGACGTAGACCTGGTTCCCTCTGAACGTGTTCCAGTCGATCATCGTCGTAGAGCTCGATGAGAGCCCAATTCTTGGTGAACTCGCGGGGCCCGGACGAAACCTCGATCGGCTCGCAGTGGAGAATGAAACCGATGACACGCTTGCCAGGGTCGGCACGGTCCCGGACCGCGTTCAAAAGCTCCTTCACCTGCTCAATCCTCCTCTTCGCGCCATCCACCAATGACAGGTGCTCGGTGCGCCTCTGGGTGATTCTTGCATTCTCGTCTGGCTCAGGGTCCCCGAGCCTAACAAGCACGGCGTCCCATGCCGTGATCGAGCGAACTTGGGAGACAATATCTGCCTTCAGAGCCTTAATTGCATTGTCATAAGCCCCAGACCCAGGTGAGATAATCTCCTCGCGAGGCTGGCCCGTGTTGGTGAGTGTCTTGCCGGCGTTGGGGCACTCGGGAGGAGGGCGGGCGACATGTGCACAAGTCAAGAGGGCGACGCGCTTGTCGTCTCCGCCGAACCGGTAGTAGAGAGAGCCTGTGCCCGCGTAGTGGTGGAACTGAAGAGGTGCGATGGCGGGACCAAGCATGCTGGTGAACGGCTTTCGCAACTCAGGGACATCGTCGAGGAGAGGGTTGACGGAAAGCAGCTGGGGACCGCGAGCAACGCAGCGCGTCGTTTCGCCCTCGACCACGGCCACCTCGGCGACGGCAACGTCGGCATCGTGGAGCATTTTCTCGGCGACGGTGGCGACCTCAACGGCGCGGCCAAAGGGGACGGTGAAAGGCTTCACGCCGATGACGACGACGAAAGAGCAGAAAGGCTCAGCCTCCCCGGCGTTGGCGTAGGCGAGCGGGTTGATGAAAGTCCACTCGATATCGAGGGTGTCGATGTATTTCCAGATAGCTTGCCCGACGGAGCGCCAACTCTCCGCTTTCTCGACATCGTAAACGGGACGGGCCTCGCGTATAAATGGCTGAGCCTCAGGGCCATCGCGCACCTCCCAGACAGTACCCTGCTTGAAAATGCAAGGCATCGAGCTACCGAAAAAGTCGGTGTATGCGGGCGGGTAATTGTCCGTGAGGCGGCGGGGTCCCGAGCCGCCGTCGCCGTTGCCATTACCGGATATCGAGAGCAAGGAGGAAGCCCTAGCTCGCCGTCGAAGACGTGAGAGTGCCGGTGGTAGATGCGATAGTGTCGGTGGCAGAGGAGACGGTATGAGTGGGGGAGAGGGCCAAGCAAGACTCAACGAAGTCCCAGTTCGAGGGGCGCTGACGTCATGGATCAGCACGCGCATATACTCTCCACGACGGCTAGTACAGGCTACTACAGTACATCACAACCACCGCTCGCGATAAGACGCGTCGCGCTGCACCTCGCAACGCTGAGGCTGACCCCACGTCCGACCGTGCGTGCGTCGTGCGACACGCTAAAACTAAAACTAGAACCCCCGAACGTCGGAATCCCAGAGCCCCAGAAAGAAGAAGCTGCAGATGCAGATGCAGCCCATGGCCAGGCCGGCCCCGAATAAATGACGCGCCGCGCTCGACCCATGCTCCATGCTCCACGCGCTGCGGTGCGCTAGGTTGCGCTATTAGGTTGCGTTGCGTGCGATCCGACAATCCGATGTGGTGCGATATGCCATGTAGTATGTGGAGCGAGTGCGAAAATGCGAGATGCGGAAATGCGACTATATGCGACTAGTATCATCATGCTGCGTGATGCCAAACGTACCCGCGGCACCGCGGCACCCACCACCACCGTGCCGCACGAGCTCTCCGGCCGAACGACGCCCGTCTCGCCGCCGCCTCCCCCCCCCCCCCCCCCAGCCCAGTGTACCGTCCAGAACAGAGTAAACCCCGCGCGCGCTGCTACTGCGCGTGATACTCGAGCGCGGGCTGGTCGAGCATGAACTCCTCGGAGCCGGTCGGGCTTTCGCGCGAGACGGCGCCGTCGGTGGACCACGGGTCCGTGACGATGCGCACGGGGACGACGTGCCGGAGGTCGCCGATGGGGCCCTTGATCGCGTCTGGTGGTGTTATCGAGAGCACGACGCAGTCCTGCGGGGGGGAGGGGGGGGATAATAGAAAGAGAGGCATGGGTCAGGCGGATGGACGGCGATTCGATGTCGGTGATGGAGAACGCCGGGGGACGGCGAGATGGAAGGAAGGACGGAAGGAAGGACGGAAGGACGGAAGGACGGTACCTTGACCCATAGGCCGCCTGCTTTGAAACCCCCGATCTTGACGTCTGGCTTGATCGCGATCTCGCCGGCGAATGATATCCAGTCGGGTCCGTCTGCCTGTGAGCCCCCCCGCACGATCGCGATGAGCGCCGGGCGCGGAGAAAAAATCGGCGAGAAGGAGAAGGAAGAGACGCACGGTCCGCCAGAAGGAGCCCTCGCCGATGTTGAGCACGCGCCATATCTCGGTGTTGGTGCCCTCCGGCACGTAGTCGTTCCTGTGGGCGCGAGAAGAACGGTGAGCGTCCAATGAGGTGCGCGGGGGCACGGGGCACGCTGCTTACTTGACGTCGACGCTGGTCTGGCGGAGGAGCTGGATGCGGGTAGACGGGCGGCCCGAGGCGTAGGGATTTGCGGAGGGGACGAAGGGCAGGAGGGCGGCGAGGGACATGGCGGAGGCAACGAAGGAGAGGTGGAAGGGGATGGGCTCGGAGAGGCAGAAGACTGAGGACTTGGGGAGGTAGAGCTGCGGTGGAGGGGGGGCAGACAGATGAGCACGTGACGAAGGAGGAGCGGGAGGGGGAGGACCTTGCAGGTGATGTCGCCCGCGCCTTGTGAGCGCGAGACGAGCTTGCTTTCGTGTATGCGCCATTGGGGCGTCTCTTGGAGGCCGGGGCTCCTGTGTGTGAGGGCCATCGGTGGGGGGAGAGGGGTGCTGGGGCGGAAGCGGGGATGGTATGTGAAGGGGGTGCAGACGGTGCTAAGAACGCGGGTGCGGTGAGCGTCGGACGGGGAGAGGAGGAGAAAGAGAGCAGGCTGACGTTGCGCCGAGGCCGAGGACGACGGTCTTGCTTTTGCTGGCGATGGCGGTGACGGAGTAGTCGACGTGGGCCTGGAAGCCGGGCAGGCCGCTGAGGTGCGCCTCGTACGTCGGCGGCAGGGGCTGGGGCGCGTCTCGTCATTCGGGTGCACGGATCGCAGCAGCAGCGCAGCACAACAGCACGCACATATGTCCCCTTCTCGTCCGCGAACGAGCTCGGCAGCGTCACGCTGAACGCCAGCCGACACGGACACGGCCCGCCGTCGACCCCCTTCCGCCACAGATGCACCGTCTCGTTGCACAGCACCGCCGTCGTCGTTCCCCCCGCCGCGACCTCCTTCAGCTTCAGTATCCCCTCGACCTGCAGCAGCACCCGAGGCGTCAGATCCGCTTCGAAAGACGCCGTGCGGCGCCGACGCACCTTGACCGCGACGTACGCCAGCCCGTCCGCCTTGGCGAGCTCGACCACGCCCTCGATCGGACTCCGCGCGCCGTACACGGGCACGACCGCCCCGTCCATCTGCTCCGAGAGCCTTAGGCTGAGCCCCCCGGACTTGCTGTGCTTCACGAAATCCGCCGCGGCGCGCTGCCGGTACGGCGGGCGGGGCGCCTGTGCGAGGCGGCGCTCGTGTCCTTGGGGCTCGGCGGTGTAGGACGGGATGCTCGAGAAATCGGGCGGGGTGTAGCCGGGGAGGCTGGCGGTGGACATGGTGGGTGGAGGGGGGCAGGGGGAGGGAGGAGGCAGCGAGGAAACATACTATCCGGAGAGACTAAGTAGATGGGCCCGAGTCAGCACGAGCAGGAGGAGGGGAGCCATATGGACGTCCGGCTGCCCTGGCCGCCCCCTTGCCCATATCCGGCCTCTCCGCCTCCCTCCCCTCCCTCGGCCGAGACAAGAAGTCGCTGCTGCCTGCCCACCCATGTGGGAGCCCCACCCCCTCCACCCACCCCCTCGCCCTCCACACGCTCCCTCAGCACACTCCCCCGTTGGCCCCCCAGAGCCTACTCGCGTGCCCCCTCCTTCCCTCCGACCCACGCCCCGTATCGGGGAAACAGCCATGGCCACCTGCCTACCACCGCGCGCGTGCAACAGCAGCGACATCACCGTCCGTTGCCACGATGATCAAGGACGGATTTAAACTGCGGCAAGCACCATCTATTCCTGCCTCTGGCCCCCAATTTGATTTTCCCAAACTCTCACCACATCCCCGAGAATACAGAACTACAACATACATATGACCACCAATACAGTAGACAAGGCACGCACGCCCGCACGCACACACATACATGTATAAATATACAAAAAGTCCCGTCGCGGCCGACAAATTACGAAAAGTCCGCATTCAAAATAACCAGAACAGAAGCCACTGTAACATGCAGCGCCCGCATCATTTTTCCGCCACCTTGATCGCGCTCGCCGTCTTTGCAGAGCTCGTCGTCAACTGCACAGGCACGCCCCGCCGGAACGGCAGCACGTGCGTGTCGACCCCGTGCGGCTCGATCGTGACCACCAGCACGTCCTGTCACACACAACAGCCGGCGAGTCAGCGCCCGACGGTTCGATGCGATATGCGCCGTGTCCCCCAACGTACCTCCACCGTCAGCCGGCTCGCCTCAAACCCCCCGCAGTCCACCGTCGGCGGTACCCCGACGTCGCCCCACCAGCTCACCCAGCCCCGGCCCTGCTCGCCGCGGTGCAGCAGCCCGTCCGCGAGCACCGCGCGCGACGTAATCCGCGCGCGGCGCTTCCCGAGCACGACGACCCCCGTCGCGCGCGTGTCCGCGGTCGTGTAGCGCTCGAGCGTGACGCGCAGCGGCGCGCGCGTGGGCACGCCGCGCCGCGCGACGAGCGACGCGACGGACGGCGGGGGCGAGAGCGGGTGGAAGGACGTGAGCGGGGACGAGAAGGCGAGGAAGGGCGCGAGGCACGCGTCCGGCGCGCGGAGGGAGATGCGGAACGGGATCGCGTCGGTGAGGGGCGATATTTGCGACTTGGGCAGGTAGATCTGGCAGTAAGGATGAGCCTCGCGCGGGGCGGTGCTGCGCACGCACGCACGCACGCACGCACCTGGACTTCCATTGGGGGCGCACCTGCTTTGCGCGAGAGGATGACGTCTGTGAACAGCGTCCGCGGGTGCTTTGGCGCGAGGGTGGGAACGGACGGAAAGGGCCCCGCCGCGGCCGGCCGTGTCAGCACTCTGTACACGAACGGCACGCGCAAGCTGTGGGGTGGGCCCGCATTTTCAGCGAATCGCGCGTGGAACCTGGCGCCTCGCACGCACCGGGCAGTTTTCTTCCACAGGAGCGGGAGGTCTCGCGTGCGTGTGACGGAAACCACAAACTCGTACTGCACGGCGACCCTGAACCCCAGCAGGGCGCTCATGCGCGCGTCGTAGCTCGGCGGCAGGAGGCTGAGGCCGCGCTTGCGCCCGTCGAGGTAGTACACGGGGAGCTTCCCGCGGAAGCTGAACTCGGACGGCGCGTGGCCGGCGTGCAGCATCTGGTCCCAGGAGTACAGCGTGTCCGAGACGAGGACCGTCGAGGCCGGTCCCTCGCTCGCAGTCTCTTTCACCTTGATGCTCCCCTCGAGCTGCGGACGCGTGAGCGTGGGCGACCGCAGCGGGGTTATTTATAGACCGCATGCGTACCTTGACCGTTATGGATGTGATCCCCGACGCTTTCGAGAGGGTCACGAGGCCGTCGACGAGGCTCCCGCCGGTGTACAGTGGCACCTGGTCGCCGCCCTTGTGACCAGCGAGGATGAGCGTGATGAGACCGTCCTGCTTGACAAAGTGCCGCGTGTACGCGTCGGCCAGGAGGGGCTGCTGGCTAGCGGAGCTGTCGTCGGACTCGGGCCCTGGAGGGAGCTTGGTGGAGTGGAGGGGCACGCGATGATAAGGGTACGCAGGGTACTCGGAAACCGATATCCCAGATATGTCGCTGATGGCGTTGTGCGCGTAGGGGTGTGCCATGGTGGATGGGGAGGTCGCGGGTGTGGACGTGGACGTGGACGGCGCGATATCGCAGGGGGATATAAGACGATCAGAGGAGGAGGGGCATCAGCCCACAGAGGTGCATCGCGCGGCACGAGAGCAGAGCCCGTCGATGGATGATGCTAGAGAACTGTTGGCTGGGATCCTGGGAATGATCCTGCGTGACTGATCTCGAGCGTCCGGAGCGATGGCCGTCTACCAGAATGGAATGAAGCGTCTCGTTCCAGCCGAACAGAGCCACCCCGTCTCGAATGTATCGAGCCGGTATGAGCACGAGCGCAGGAGAAGCGTCCCAGCGAAGCAGCACCGTTCATACGAGATGCGATGCATCCGTCGGGAACAGACGAGAATATGCGGGAGGGCCTGTATACGAAGGTTGATTTTAAGAGCAGCATGCGTCTCTTGTCCCATCAATTCTGGTGTTTCGAGCAAGCGGCATAATCGTTGGCAGTGGAGGATGAAGCAGAGCTTCCATGTTCTGCGTCACATTGGGACTTTCGCCCGAAACCGCTCTAAATAATACGTAATATCTCCCCTGATCCTATCTTCTTTGACCTCGGGCAGCTAGCCCAAAGGCCATCACAACACCTTCATCATAATGGCCTTCGAGTTCGACGTTGCCGACCCTACAATCAACGAGTCTCCCTGGCACGACGACCCGTCCTCCGCCTCTCACATCGAGGGAGCAGAATGGGCGAAGCTATCATCAGATTTCACCAACGTACGTCGTCGTCGTGTATCTGTACTGCCGATTGAATCACTCACCCCTCGATGCTCGCAGGCTGGATACCGCGAGGGCATCACCGCCGGGAAAGAGTCCGCGCTACAAGAGGGCTTCGACGCCGGCTTTGCGCAGATCGGCGTGCCGCTCGGGCGCGAGCTGGGCATCATGCGCGGACTCGCGGCGGCGCTGCAGCACTTCTTGAACACGCTGCCGCAATCGGAGGCCACGGCCGCACACATGACGGAGGCGCGCGATATCTCCACGCAGCTTGCGGAGGTGCGCTTTGCGGACGTCGCGCCTCGTGATTTGGAGGCGGAGCAGCACGCGCGGGAGCATCTGACGACGTATGGCGAGGAGATGGACGGGAACGAGGAGGTGGAAGCGAAGCGGAAGGTGGAGCAGCTGGAGGACATGATGGGGCAGCTGACGGCTGGGACGAGCCGGGCGGGAGAGAAGGGGCGGCCTGGAATCGAGGATGTGCGGAGGTTGAAGGCCAGGCTGGAGGCGCTGGGGGCTGCTGTGGGGATCGATGCGGCGTCTTTGTGGAGTTGAGGACAGTCTGCCTGGCGTCTTCGTCGAGCCGCTCGGCGTGTCACTGCCGATGCTTGCGTCCCACTCCTTGACGGTTGTGGGCCATCATTGTGAGTGCAATCTCTGCATTCGATCGGGGTTCCAGCGTTGACTGTATTGACCGAGGCGACTTTTTTTATATTAGCTCCTCGCAGTTATTTCCCCTCCAAAAGGACGGTCTTGGTTGTGACATTTTCCCGGCAGCACGCAAGGGATTCATCGCTGATCTTCCCTCGATGCCGTACCTATATGCTGCAGCCTCGGCTCACACCCACCTGGTGAGAGGCAGCTTGTTTGCTTGTCCTTATAGTTCCAGTGCCGGCTCATGATAAGAGGAGACATTGTTGCTCTCACACGATGCCATTCATAAGTAATGCAATAGTTTTCATAAATCTATAGCGCCGCCTCGGGAGCGAGTCGATCCATCATTCGTCATGGTCCGCTGATAGTTGGCTCCGGCACTGTCTTGAGTGACCAGTCCTTGAGCATACTTTGCTTTAGAGGATCAGGCCTCCTCAGCTCGCGCGTAAGTGTCGTATGACATATCCTTCACGTATTTCCTCAAACATTCCATACGCTCCTGGCTGTGGTAATCATTGTCATCGATCACCAGTTGCTCCAATTGCAGGCCCAATTTTAGCCTTGTTGAAAGGCACGCCTCTAGAAGTCGAACAATATTTAACCCAGGCGGGTAGTCATACAATCTTAGATCTGGCAGCTCGCTTTTCACGATGGCAAGCGTGGATAGTTTAGGGAGCAAAGGGCTCTGCGAGCTCCCTCCGACGCTATCAGCGGGGGTGAGGGCCATCAGGACGCCCGCGACGGCGTCGGATGTCAGTTTGAGGGTGCAAACGTCGGACATCGGTTTGAGAATTGGGATCCACGTCTCGAAGCTCGGGTACTGTAACGGACCCTCCTCGCTGAGGCACTCCACGGCCTCGAAGTCGTCCGACAGAGTCAGGTTCAACTGCAGCGCGTGCACGTCCGTCAGGCGGCGGACCATGCGCTGCACGTCGTTCATCATGTGCGCGTACGTGCGAGATCGGCCGAACAAGGGGTCCACGCTGAACATGAAGGGCACGTCACACTGATGCTCACACCGACGGTTCCAACTTTCTTCGTATTCGCGTAGCGCTCGGCGTGGTGTCCGGTCGACGGCAGGATCGTCGAGCGTTTGGCGTATTGGGTACCAGGCGATGCACCAGTCCTTCTCCGGCTCGATTTCTAGGCTCGCGCATAGAGGGCCTATAGACTTGCTGATGCCGCGAACGCGGTCGGCTATCACATCGAGTACGGCGCAGTACTCCTCCTCGGTGCTTGACACTCTCAAAATGCAGAGGATGATCTGGAAGTGGACCGTCGGAGGTATCCGAAGCCGTTCGAAAAAGCTGAGGAAGCTCCGGTAGTCATATAATCGGATGCATAGCGCGGAGAGATGCGGAAGATGCACATCGACTCCGGAGTACTGGCGACCTGGAACCAGGTCGCTGACTTTCAGAGACTCGAGGAGCGGTGTATTCTGGAGCAGCTTGAGCAGACCGTCTGCATCGTACGTTTCTCGTACTTCGAGCTCGCGAAGATGGCCCAGCAAGGGAGAATCGATGCTGATCGTCATCGCATCTCCGAGCCCAAGGCGATGCAAGCGTGGGGCATATCCCGAGAACAGATCATCTTGTACTTCACATTGGCCGACCTCCAAAACGAGGTCCTCGAGCAGAGGCGCAGAGACGGTCAACCCACTGCCGAGCTCTGATAACATCACAGGGTTACTGACCACCACATCTCCGAGATAGAGCTGCCTGACTCGAAACGCATGGGCGTAGAGGACGAGCTTAATGTCGCGGAAGGTGGAATGGAAGGTGCTCAGCTCGAGGACGAGCGGGTGTTTCCGCGAGCGCTTCAAAAACTCGAGGACCCATCGATGGCTGAGATTGGTGGTGATGTGCGTCCACAGATAAGGGCACACAAGCGAGATTCTGCGCCAGAGACGGCAGACGTATGTGATGTTGATCCAGTCCGGAGCGGTGTTGTAGTCGCCTACAGTCAGCATTTCTATGTTACTGGGATAAATGGTATCCCTGGCGCATTCGATGAATACCTGTTCTAGCATTTCGATGGGTAGCTTTCCTATGTGATACGGCACCAAAGCGCTGGTATATCGATTGGGGTGCACCGTAGTGGTCGGCATAGTAATGCTCGATATTTAGGATCACGGCGAATCGCAGCGACTGGGTGGTTAGACGAGGATGGTAGCGCCAGTGAACAAAGAAAGAAATAGAGACAGTGGCTCGCCGCATACCTTTCTACTGCCTGACTATCACGGTGGTCTAGTCCTCGATGGTAACACTGATGAATTTGGTGCGACTGGAGGAGACCTTGCGAGGGCTGTCGTCAGGATGTGAGGGAGGGAATTGGCGAAAAAGCGAGCTGTGTTGTGTGATGCTGAGATTGACGATGCCGCCTTATATAACTATATGAAACAAAGCCCTGAAGGCCAGCAGGACAGATTCATTCAAAGACACCGCAATGTGATTATGTTGAGCTCCATAGAGAACAAAGGAGCCTTAGATCAGTACTGGAGAACCAAGGAAAGTGATAGATGTATAAGAGGCGCTTACTTCCATGTATTCTTCGGGGTAAGTCGGGACAAAGGAACACGACGTCGTCCACATGGCTTTTGATAATGGATACTTTGTTGTCCAATCTCTACCCTTGGGAGTACGGCTCGTGCCCTGCATACCCCCCATCCTTTGACAATATAGATACACGCCGGACGCTGAGGGGTTTCGCAGGTTCCCACTCAAGATGCCGCATCGTGGCCCTACCGGCACTCGTGGACGCGGTATACGCACCTTGTCGAACCTTCCGTGACATTCCTTGTGATCTTTGCTGTATTTTGGACAAACCAAGTCTTATTTCAGACAGTGACGATTCTGAGGCCTAGAGACAGTTGAGTAGGAAACCTAAGCAAGGCAGCTAGAAAACCGTGATGGCAGGCGAGGTAGCTGGTCGACCACATTGAATACAGGATCGTCTCAGCGCTTACTTGTGTGTCATTTGACATGTCCGGGTCGAGTAAAGTCAGGTCGGCCTTCTCTAGCTCCGTAGGCATGTGCAGTGGGATTACGAGCGGGCCCTTGAGGTTGTGGGTTTCAAGTGTATGGATGCCACACCCTAGCAAGGTCCCGAGTTGTTCTGCTGACAACAGCCGGCAGCGGCAGGGTTACATGAAGATGATCATCTCAAAACTTCTTCGCTGATGATCGCCTCAGGGCTGCTGGCTCATGCAAGCTGACCCAAAGCATGCAGGATGAAGTGCACTCTTGAGTGCGACTGACACCACACGATTGAATGCAGATTCTGAAGGTTTAAGAAAGTCATTGCAAGAAACGTTTGGGTACAAGAAAGCGTCAAATATACAGCAGCACCTGCCAAGTCGACCCCAGTGGCCCGACGAACGTGGAAAAGTCTTCAGGGACAAGTTAATTCACTCCGTATGTTGCTTATACAGCCATCTGTGGTATCACTCAACCATATACACAGGTATTCATTTCAAGATAGATGGGTTGCTCACTGAGGTCGATAGACGTAGGAACCCCTTTGGGGCTACAGTTGCAGATGAGAGTCGAGGGCTGAGTTAAGGTACAACTGTTGCACGAATGAAAATAATTTCCGCTATATACGGCGTACCGCACAGACTGATTAGCATGTTGCGAATCTTGAACGATGAGATGAAAGGTAATACCTACTTCACGCCACACTGAAGGATACCCCCATTGTTCAAGACGCAATCGTTTAAGTCAATACTTGTCGGGAACGTTTGACCAGCTGCGTCTTCACAGTCTGCGGTGAGGATATGCCCGCTGTCGAGAGAGATGTTATCACAGGTAGCCGAGAATGCTAGCAATGAGAAGCTCGTTCAATTCACAGTAGCCACGGGAGGATTGAATCGACAGTAAACAACGTACCAGTCTGGTCCTTGGCTGCGACATCACTGAAGCAGGCCATGAAGAGAGTAAGACTGATTATGGAGACGAACGAAAGCTTGAGCTGCATCTCGGACTGAAGTAGATACAACGAAGAGAGAGAAGAATCTGATTAAGTAGCAATGGCCGTGTCCAGCTGATACACCTGCGACCCAAGTCTAGAAGGGTTTTGCCCTGTCTCATTCAATTCCATAGTATTCCCAGGTATGGACTATCGGAGTTGACCCAGAATTGTCAAAAGAACACAATGACACGCACCTTCAGATGCCCCAAAGAGGCATACATGAAGCAAAATGTGTCGGCAAGGAGCGGTTAAGGATGCTCCAATACGGTGACAAGAAAGTTCTGTATATGCACATCACTCTCGTTAGCAGTACTTTTCTCATTTTCGCATCTATGCTCGTCGTTTGATTTCTACTTTTGTGTCACCTTGCGAACAAGTTTCTTCCATGTGTTGCACTGCTTACCTTGACCAGTGTTCATTCCCCGATACTATCCTCATACACACCGAACCTTACGAAGACTTCAGCGAACCCTCTTGCTCAATATAAGCAAGTATCGACAAGTCTCGGAGCGCATAGATAGTGGTGCGTAGATTGGTGAGATATTGGAGGAGGTTGGTCCGTTGGAACGTCAGTGAAGGGCGTTAATGGGCGCTAATTTTCAGGCTCCGCTACATTGTCATGCCAGCGGCTGTCAGCGGGCTCCTGCAGCGCTCTTGCAGTACTAGGAGAGACCCACCCAATCGATTCGTCATCGACTATCTATCAGTCTGCTGAGGAGACTATTGCAGTGCAGGATCTTGCTCGAGGGATCCGACTCTCCTTGCCTATCCTTGCCCGAATACACATTTCAATCATCAAGAATTCATCCATGCTTCTCAATTCCCGAAAACTACAGTAGGCGCCCTTGGGCGCCCTCTCATCGCCGTTGGTAAGACTATCCTGATGAAATCCCTGTGCAGGAGTTTGAATGCAACACTACCGTATATATTATAATGGCAGATATCTATGTGATTCCAAGTTTGCGATAACTGCCAAATATGCATGAACTCTGAACATGCATCAATGTTGAGCGGGGAACATCGCGAATTTCCATCAAAGCTGTTTCCCCGCAGCGATCTCAGCAGCCTGGAAGGTATCTGCTGCAGAAATGACTGTGTTGAAGACGGGTTCCACCCTGGATTCACCGGTTATCATGTTCACTCTACTCCTCGTCAGCACAACGCTTATGCGCTACTCCTGTCCGGTTTTGATCCTTGGACAACAATCTGATGATCACTCTCGTGAGCTGTTCGACTCCATTTTAGCTGTCAGACCATCTGTGCACGGCCTGTGAGCCTACGTGGACTGCGCTAAGCTTGATCGTTGCAACGCTCGCCACTCGTTGGCTTTAAAAGACGATGAGGAACCACCCAAATGTTTGCATTCCGAGGCTTCAATGAGCCTAACCATGGCATCCCGCCAGCTATGTATCCCTTCGTCCCGCCTGGAAAGTCTTGTATACCAGGAGTTTACATTTATTAGCCAGTATCTGGCTATAGTTGCTACTTCCAGCCTATTTTATGGTGAGCCCGTTGAGATATCCTGCACAGTTGCACTTGACTCAATGCACGATGCAGGCTTCCAGGCTATTCTCTTTTTCCTGTCAACATACATCATGTCGTGAGTGTGGGCACTACTCTACCGTACATTCGTGCCCATCATGCTCTAGGACACGCAACAAAGCGAGTTTACAGACCAGAGCAGTGCTGTGGGGCGTTACCTTCGTCATGTTCGGGGCGTCCACCGCGGACTACGCCCTCGGCTTTGTCCATGATCGCATCTTTATCCTCAACATGCAGAGCTACTTTCTGGAGCGATCCTCGAATCCGGTGTATCCGATGATGCTTTTTGAACTCCAAGCAGTGAAACCTTTACTGCAGGCGCGGCTGTTCGCCCCCATAATCAATGTCAGCCTCTTGTCTCTATCTCCTGACATGGCCAAGGCTCACGACACACATTGAAGTTTGTCATCTGCGATGCGATCATTCTCTGGAGAGCCTGGGTTCTCTGGAACTACAGTCTGGTCGTCCTCTTGATCTCGTCAGTCTGCATGTTGGGAGCCGTCGGTACGTTCGTTGCAGCGCCGTATGATTGATTACCTGTTTCCTCATGTTTCGCAGGGACGGGTCTCTTCACGCTCGCGGAACGGAGGATGTTTTTTGCAGCTGGCGGCAGCATGAACATAGGCATGTATGGCCTGTCGATCGCAACCCTCGGCACGAACGTCGTGGGCACAGCCTTGATTGCGTACAGAGCATGGTGAGGACAGAATTTAGGCGTTGCCGCGTCTGAACGTTGTTGACGAAGTGACCATGATGGGCGCTGCATAGGCAACTGCGGCGACAGATCACATCAAACATCTCCGGTAGTCAACATCCGCGGACGAAGGTCCAAAAAATCTTGATATTTCTCGTCGAGTCCGGCGCTCTGTACGTCGTTATATGGGTGCGCCGCGCCGCCGTCATAATAGGGCAGGCTTGGACGGGAAGCTGATTATCCTCTTTCATTCATCAAGGTGCTTTTCATCCTCAGTCAGTCAGGCATCTTTTCAGATCTCGGGAGGGCGATAATGGGTCGAAGCATGGTGAGCGCGGCAGCCTCGCCCCGCAACGCCCGTTCTGATCTGATCGTTTGGCCCCGCAGACCTCCATCGCTGTGAGCCCCGCTTGATCATCCCGCCGACACTCTCACCCTCTGAAACCGTTTTTTTGTCCGCACGCTGACAGGGCGTATACCCGACGACCATCATCGTGCTCGTCGCGCTCCAGCAGTCCACATCAGAGATGACCGTGATCTCCCCCAGCCGCACGCTCTCCCTGCGCTTCGTGTCACGGGACAGCAGATCAGCGTCAATACCGCAGTGCCCGCGCCGGCCAAGCTCGGGCGCCGACGCGCACGCGGACACGAGCACGAGCATGGGCGTCTTCAGCCAGCGCGCGCTCCTCGACTCGCAGGAGTCCATCATCACGTTCGCGCACCAGGGGCCTTGCGCACGGGACAAGTCGCAGAAATGGGCGCTGCTGGGCGCGGCGGGGCCCATAGTCAAGACGAGGTCCACCATATGACCACCGGCCGCCCCCACGCCGCATTCGTACCGGCAGCGCTGCTGGCCGTGCTGATGCTTTTTAAGTTAGTGGACGCCCTTGAGAGATCTCGGGCTCCTTCGACCCTCACCTTCCCGCGCACATCGCGCACAGCTTGCTCTTTTGAGAAGCCTTTTCGCACAATCATCTTTGTCAAACAAATCACCTTTACAACACCTTCATACTCGAGCACCGGCCCCAATACTGTGTATAAATTTCGGCTCCTTCACCACAGTAGACTTATCCAAGACATGTACATTCAATTGCCTTCCCTCTGCTGCCGCTGTACAATCGAATCTAGCAGCGAACATCTGCTGTGCCGTGCAGCGATGAAATGTGGGCTAGACGCCCGAGAGGCGTGACGGCCACTGCGCGTTGATCTGCGCTCTATCGTTAGTTGCATAACGTATTCAAGGCTATATCATGTTTCATTACACCCTCAAAAAGCAAAAAACAACATGCCTAAGAGCCAGGTATATAGATATATATGGACGCGTGTCCGCTCCGTCCGTACTACTCATCGCCCCTGTCAGGACCGTGCTAGTATGCTAGTATGCTAAACGCAAAAGAGGTGGGAAGAGTGTCGCCCGGTGGAGGAAATGCAAGTGGAAAACAAAGACAGAAGGAGGGTAGATGGATGTACTTGTCCGTGCGGGCGACTCAAACGAAGCAGTCGATGCGATAAATAAAGTGGCTGAGTGAGAGAGACGGGATGACAGGCGTGTATGCTGAACAGACAGCAGCATGAACGAGAGCGACAGCACGACAACAACAATGGCGATGCAGGACACGGGGCACCATCCCGACGCAGGCGAGCACGCAGCTCAGATTTCATCTCCCCTGCGCCGGGCGCTGCTCCCACGGATTGTGATACCGCGTGCCCGCCTGGTAACCCTGCACCTGGTCCATCTCCCCCGCCGGCGCCGGCTCGTGCAGCGGCCGATACACCAACGGCTTGCCGGCGCTCATCCGCGCCTGCCTCTTCCTCCCAAGGCACAGCGCCACTCCGGCCAGCGCGCCCAGCAGGACCAAGCCCCCCGCGACCGCAGCCCCGATGATCACCGCGGTCTTGTGCTTGTCGAAGAAACTCTCGCTCCCGTCGTCGTCGTCGGAAGAGGACGGGGACGAAATCGAGGACGAGTTGGACGCGGAGAGGCGCTGCGAGCCCGTGCGGTCGTCACCGTCGAGGCGGACTTGGACGAAGTCCTGGTGCGCTTCGGCGGTGTCGTTGGTGAGGCTGAGGAGCTGGATGTACGGATCCGCCGTTGTGGAGTTCGAACCCTCCAGGAAATCGCCATAGTTAACGAGAAGGTAGGCGTTGCGGACTGCGCGTATGCGAACGGGCGAGGATGAGCTTAAACAAATGCAACCAGATGGGGAAAGGACGTACGGAATGCCATGCCAAGGATCATATCATAAGTTGGCGACGCGCCTGTTGTAATCGGCTGGAACTGGCCGTGACCAAAGCGAAACATCAGCACCGCGTCGCACAGACATGGCCCATGCCCGGAAACCGAACAGGAAACAAAAAAAAAACACTCACCGACCCGATGCAAGTCTTCTTCCCCGCCGTCTTCTTCAGATTCAGGTTCAAATCGAGGTTCGTGTCGAGGGGGTGCACCGGGTACGCGCGACCGGCGATTTTGATCGTTACGTTCACTTCGATCTCGCAGGGCAGAGTGTACACAGCCCCGACGCCCGTCACGTTCGTGTACGTCGCGCCGTCAAAACGGGAGTAGATCGCGTCTGCCATCGCTCTATGCGCGAGGTTAGCACAGTACAGACACAGTCAACGTCAAAGCGGGGGACCGCGCACGCACTTGGGCACCTGCGGCAGCGTAAACCCAGTATCGAAGATGGCGGTCAGTTTCTTCTTGTTCTTCGTCCCAGCCACGCCCGTCGTCAACGGGATCACCTGCCCATCTGGGCCCACCACACCCTGCGCGTCCAAAAGAACCTGCCAATGTTGCAACCCCTTCTGGGAGTCCTTCTTCCCCACCTCCGTTACGTTCAGCTTGGGCTGATTCAGCACCGCTTCGTAACCAGACACAAGCTCGCCCAAGGTGAGGTCGCCGGGGAAGCGGTCGTCCGGGTCGTCGGAGCGCCCGAGAAGGACTGTGAGGAAATTAGAGGTGGTCATATTTTGCAGGAAAATGCGGTCGACGACGGCGGCGCCAGCCGTTTTTTGACCAAGCTTTGTCCATATTTCGGATCCTGTATTGGGACCGAGGCCGATTAGACCCTCCCCGGATTTGTGGTCCGCGTCGGCGGTGAGTTCGACTGCAGGCGAGGAAGAGATGAGACGATGCGAATGAACAAAGGAAGGGAAGCGCACGGAATGCCTGGTCGTTCACGGTGTATCCTGCAAAATCAAGCTTGGAGGTCTTGATTGGACCTAGAGCGCGCGAGCGCGCGAACAAGGCGGTCAGTCACTCAATGATCCGTCAGCCGAACGATCAGCAGATGTATGCATGGGCGCATATATGCACGATATGAATGAGCATAAATGCGAGTTCTGACAGGCAGATGCCCAGCCCATGGTGTTACGAGGACAGAAAAAGAACTAGCAAGCGCCTCTATGTATTCCCAAGGCGCGCCGAACATCGAAACGGCAAGGCAAGGAGGAAGTGAAAGAAAGCTCACCTTGTGCAGACCCGATCGCATATACGACCGCTGTGGACGTGCCCGTGTCCTTTGCATTTGGCACGCTCCCTGCGACGTACAGATCGGAGCTGCAGAGCAGGAAAAGACGCGTCAAGATGAATGGAACGAAACCCCACCGCATCCCGAAGGGAGGGAGGCCGAGACACACCTGCCTGTGTCGACGAGGACGGAAAAGTCCTGACCGCCGAGGGTGATGTTCGTGTAGTAGTTGACATTCTGACCGTTATTCAGGCCGGAGATGTGTCCCCTCCGTGCGAGTGCGGGAGCGGGCGCAGACTCGAGCTGGCCGCGGAGAGAAAGATGGACGGCGGCGACGTGAGATGCGGAGGAGAGGAGGGCGGCGAGGAGAAGGCTGTGGGGGGAGGGTTTCATGACGAGGGCGAGAGAGGAGGGAAGCGGGCATGATGAGGCGAGGAAGGCTTTATAGGTGTGGCTGAGCAGTGCACAGAGCGTGTTCCTGGTGCACACCGCGTCAGCACGATGACACCGCCCCGCGTCCAACTGGCACTCCCACGGGCGTCCCCGAGGTCACCGCCCTCGACGTCGGCCGCACGCACAACCCGCACCGTCGTCCTCGTCGTCGTCGGGCGCGCACTCGACCCGCACCTGTTATTTGCATCCCGGACTTGGACCGGCCAAGCGTCGCCCTGCACGACCCCAGCCCATCACCGCTCAGCAGCCACGCGACGAGACAGCAAACACGGTCTTTCTGCACCGCCTCGGCCGCTGCCTCGAAACCACCCCTCCTCATAACTGAAACACCGCTGCCCTCCGCCGTTCGCTCTTTTGCACACGTTCAAATCTCTGAGCCCCAGGGATGCGCCCCCCTCCCCCCCTCTCCCTCTTCCCCCTCCTCTTCCTCACCCTCCCCGCCGACGCCCTCCGCTTCCCCTTCCGCACCCGCGTCCTTCGTCCCAATGTCCACGCCCTCATCCCTCGCGCCGACACGAACACAACCGTCGGCGTCTCCATCCGCAACAGCCAAAACATCCAGTACATAGGCAACATCTCCCTCGGAGGCACCGACTTCAACGTCGTCCTCGACACTGGAAGGTGCCCATGCCCTTGTCCTCACTGCCTCGTTCTGTGCTGCGGCCGTTCTAAATGAAACTCTCTCGCCTGCAGCTCTGACCTGTGGGTCGCCGGGTCGGTGCCCGGCGCGCAGGACACGGGCAAGGCCGTCACGCTCGCCTATGCGATCGGAAAGGCAACCGGTCAGTCCCCCTGTCCCCTCATCCCGTGCGTCATCCGTCACCCGTCACTGACCGCAGATCCTTTTCCGTCACAGGAAACGTCCACACCGCCAAATTGGGCCTCGACAACTACACCGTCGACAACCAGGCATTCGGTCCGTCCTTCTCCCGCTCTGCAACCCCTCCTCTGCCCCCGCCCTGACGTCCCCCACATACAGTCCTCGTCGACGACGCCGCCAGCTTCTCAACCAACATCACATCCCAGGGCTATCAGGGCCTCATCGGCCTCGGCCCCAACACCGGCTCCGTCGTGCGCGACAAAATCGGCTCCAGCTCCGCAGACTCCCCGCTCTTCCGCATCTTCGAGGCTTCCAAGCCCTCACAAAACTACATCACCATCCTCCTCGACCGCAAGGGCGACCCCGACGATGACTTTGCCGGCCAGCTCACCATCGGCGAGCTCGTCCCCGGCTTCACGAACGTCACGAGCCAGCCCAAACTGACGATCAAGGACGTGCCCACGCTCACCGACGCAGACCAGCACTGGGCCGTCTTCACCGACGTGCACGGTGTCATTGGGCCGGACGGCGAGGCCATCGCGATAAAGAGCATCGTGCCCCGCGCCCCGAGCGGTAAGCTCGTCGCCGTCATCGACTCGGGCTTTTCCCTCCCGCAGGTCCCGCGCGCCATGTCCGACGCGATCTACGGCCGCGTGCAGGGCGCCAAGTACGACGAGGACGAGGAGCTGTGGACGCTGCCGTGCGACCAGGAGCTGAACATCACGTTCAAATTCGGCGGCATCTCGATACCCGTGCATCCGCTCGACACGGCGAGCAGCGATTTCAACCTCACCGACTCGAGCGGGTTGCCGATCTGCGTGGGCATGGTGAGTGCGCTCGCGCCAAGCAATGCGGAAGAGGGTGGGGATGCTCATCGCGCTTGTCGCCTCTTCAGTTCCAGCCGATCACAAGCGCGTTCAGTCTGTTGGGCGAGTATGACATGATCCTCGGCATGGCCTTCCGTACGTGCCCCTCCTCCACCCGCCATCTATATCTCAGCTAATGCCGACCTCCGCGCAGTCCGAAACGCGTACACCCTCATCGACTTTGGCAACTTCGTTTCCAACACCGACGACGACTCGGACCCCTTCGTGCAGCTCCTCCCGCTCACGATCCCGGCCGAAGCGCACGCGGACTTCGTCAAAATCCGGCTCAACAACGTCGACACGACCGGCTCCGCCTCCAAGACGCTCCTCCCCGCCTCGCAAGAGTCGCACTCCCCCGAGAGCGCGGCGGAGAAAAAGCAGCATCGCGAGGGCCAGGTGCTCAAGTACTGGCCGTACATCCTCGTCGGCTGCCTCGTGCTTGTCATCCTCATGGTCGGCGGGTGCATATGGGGGTGCTGCCGCCGCCGCCGCCGCAACCGCGCGAAGGGCGCCGCGCTCGCGGCCATCCCCGGCGTGCAGAAGAACCCGTACCAGCCTATCCACGAGCCTGCGCCGCCGATGCACATGCAGCCGATGGGCGGCTACACGGACCCGTACGGGCACGGGCGGACGTCGCCCAGGATCTGAGAGCGAGGGCGCGCTGCTTATCTTCTTGCGCCGCGATTGCGCGGGGACCGTGTGGGGGTGGTGGGTGGGGCGTCTGTCTGTGGGGACAGAGAGGACGGGTTGGGTTGGGTTAATGCTGGCCTTGGCTTGAGGCGGTCAGACACGACGACGGCGCAGACGCGGACGCCGGCCAGGGTCGTCGGTGTACTTACCGGATGGACGGACAGACGGATGGATGGATGGGTCGGTGGGTGGGTGGGTGTATGGATGGGCCACGGGGAATATAGCCAGTAGTGCTCGCTGATCTTACTTATCGTGTTTGCTTTCGATGCTTTTCTTTCACTTACAGTCTAATGGCGAGGCGGGTTGCGTGGCCAGCTGCTTGTGCACTTTCAAATATTGCGCCGTCTCTCTGGATCGTTGCTCCGAGGCCAAGGTGATGATCTTCTCGTCTCCGTGGCTGACCTTACACAGAACAAAGTCGTTCTGTGTATAAAAATGATCTTCAGGCCTTCAAGCTTCAGGCTTCAGGTTCAGCTTTAGTCGTTGAGCGCTTCTTTCGTACAGGTAATCCAGTCAATGCCGAGGAGTACTATACCTTCTTGTGCTGACCCTTCCCACGCGGAGTCGTCCTCAGCCGACCATCTGCAAGGTGGGCGTCCTTCGCAGTATCAAAGCTCGAACCGTAACGTTCGGCGTTGAGTCCACGATTCGTAAAGCCTCTCCACGACGTGACTGAAGCTCCAGAACTCAGTGTCAAGTCGGTCGCAGACTTCGAGCACAGACGGTGCTGATCGTTCCGAGCGCCAAAGTGTGTGCCCTCGCCAGCTCTCCCCAGGGATCAGCGAGGCTGGCCTCCGCACGTTGAAATCGTCCAAGATGCCATTGGGCATCATCGCTTCAAGCAACTCCAGCTTTCTCGATCCTGTTGCCGCGACTCAGAGCGATAGCGATCGGCACTCCAATGCGCTGGTGCCGCATCCCATTACGAAGCTGCCAATCGAGTTGCTCGAACAGATTTTCGTCGGACACGCTAGGAACACGTATCAACCAGGATCTATATATACAGATGTCAAAGCCCACCAGTTATGTCCGGAGTGGATAGACGCCACATATATTTGTCGCCTTTGGCGCGAAATCTCTCTTAACTCCCCCCGCCTCTGGACTTGTATCACCGCGATCCTCAGCCGGAAATGGATTTTGACATCTCTGGAACGTTCTCGGAAGTAGCCACTCGTCCTTAATCTAATGACCGATCACCTCCACATTGACGACCTCCACGCTGTATTTCCCACGAATACTTATCGAACCAAAGAGCTCTACATTGGGATCCAACATCTCGATGCCGATGCGCAGTTAAATTAGTGTTGGAACGTCTTGACTGACTCTGCTGCTCTTTTTGAAAGTTTTATTACAGACACGTACAGGATGCTCAGCACGACGCGTGACGGCTTTCAATGGATCCATGAGGCACTGGGACATCTATACGTTGTTTTCGACATAAAGGCCTCCCGTCGATGGTATATGGCCTGTTGCCCATTGCCCCGTGACAACATCGTCAATGTAAAGCCTTTTCAAAGCCTTTTTCCACCTGACAATGGCTGGCGCCGACCGGATGGGGCCTCATGCTCTGCGTCGTTCTCCCTCCTCATGAACTTTCGGGTCTATGATGGAATGTTCGCGCAAATGATGTCCGATGTGCAGATCATGACCTCCCAAATGGCATCTGTGGCAGCGGATGTCCGCGCTTTGCGACTCGGCTTGAATTTTTCACAATTCCCTTATCATACCGTGCCAGAACTTTACGAGGACAGGCTGACGGCTCTGATGCCCGAGACATGGTCGCCCTTTCTATCCCTGATATCCGGCACCTGCACCCTCATATTGGCAGGCGATGCCATCGTGGGTGTTCTTCAGGCTCTCATGCCCAGCCGCGATGACGGAGACAGCTCACAACCTTCTCCGTTTCCCGAGCTCACTACACTCGTTGTCAAAAACACTGTTCTAAACCCTGGGGATCTCATAAGTTTCGGGTTGCCTTCATACATTGGAGTGCATTCATCTAATGCCATGGATACTTTGGATCTGTTCCCGTCGCACAGATTAGAGCTCGGGATGGGCTTGAGGGAGCTGGTGATATGTAACGATGTACGTTATGGTAAGGAGCACACGGAGAGCTTGAGGAGATATGTGGAGACCATAATATATCCTGCTCTCGATATACACGATGAAACGAGGTGAAAATATTTTGTACCCAGGCTTGTCCGTTTGCTGAGCCCTCATATACATAGCTCATCGTTCGAACGCAGTAGCGAAACCGCATGAGTGTTTATTGGTACAAGTGCTGTCGTCTTCTACTCTCTGTTCTCTGCGGTTCTTGGTCTGCCGGGTTGTATTGCATCCTGCCGCAAATTAAAGCATGCTCTGACCTTCGCGCGTCGAATAAGTGTCGATTCTTGAATCTCGTTGAATCTGCTTGGAAAGATGCGGCCAATGCCGAGACACCGAACCCCGCCTCGGGGACGAACTTTTCCCCGAAGACTTCCGACTCATAAAGCCCAGTCAAAAGTCGGTCGAGGGAGATCGAGGGAAATATAGGCGAATCTATATGAATGGGATTGAATCGGTCTCCCTCTTAAATTTTAGACTTTTTATAGGCAGATTAAGGGGGATCAATTGGCATAGATTCAGGTTTATTTTTACATTGGCTGGGGGTTTTTTTTTCGAAAAATGAAAACCAGGCCCTTTTGAATCCATTTGAATCCATTTAAAACCATTCAGATCCATTGGGATCCATTCATATTGATTTGTGTGGAATGTACAACCTAGTCTATGCCAATCATGCCGTGCCACCACTCCGCCTTCCTCCATCACTGCTCGTCAATCGCCTAACCATCGCCTGCCTACGCCCTGGCACTGACCTATCCAAACCACAGTCGCTGCTGTCGACGTGCAGATCCAGATGCAAGAGCGTCTCTGACTATGCTGTGGATGCTGCCACATCTTGATCATGTTTGGTGCAGGGGTATTTTGGTGCAACAAGGGATGCAGCTGGTTGGACTTGATGAACGGCGTCGCACGAGAAGGTGGTCGTGAGGATGGGACAGGTGCAGAAGAGCCAAGAGTGGAAGAGTTGAGCCAGTTTGGCTCAGAAATGGTAGGATAAAGCCTTGAAAAGAGGAGCCTGCAGACCCAATGCACAGTCAAGTTCCATTGGAAGATAAAAAATGGCTCACTGCATGCCCTCCATCTGGTGTTTGAGCCATACATTCTCTAATTGAAGCGATGTGTAGGCATGGTTGCCACAGTGCACAAGTGCCTGCACGCTGGTGGAGGCGATGGCTTGTCCCAGTGGTACATAAGTACTATATGATATCTAAAGATGTATGTCAGTGGTGAAAAGTGGAAATACTCATCTAGCTTCGTACATCTTGCAGGGGCTGCATACGACGCCAGTCAAACTCATTTGACGGCATGTTGGATGTTGGACTGGAGCTGTATCTGGAATTCAGCTGATTCAGCATGGCTGGTTGAAAAATCGCGGGCATCTCTGCTTGGTCGACGAGTTTCAAGCCGCTTGCAAAGGGGAGAGAAGGAAATGAGGTCGACATCGCGGACATTGGGGAATCCTGCAACATCGGGGAGCTGCCCCTCCCAAGGCTGGAGGCACGAGATTGGAGAGCTGAAAATTGGCCATATGAGTGAGCTGGAATGGTTATAGAATTATCAGCGCCGTTTGGATCATACATTTCGTCCGCGCATCCAGAAGTCGACGTCAAAGGAGATGGCTTGTCAGAGCTCGCTGGGCGCGCCACGCACAAGTCAGTCACATCACATGACGTGGTTGGGTTGAAATCGAGATCTGACCGAGTTTGGTTGGGTTGTTCTCACTGGATTGTTTTATCTCATTTGTTGTTTTGTCGCCCGCACCACGCACACGAACGCCTCCGCCGCTGCCTCTAAGCTGCCCACCGCCCTTGTGCCCAGTCACCTGCACTGCACACGCACACGCACACATGCACACATGCACACACACGCATGCAGACCGCTGCCCACTCCTTCTGTCGCCCACGCCGCGCACACGCACGCCTCTGCCTCCGCCTCCATGCATGCCTTCTGCTCCCCACATCACGCGCGTGCACGCAGCTCTCCGCCCTTGCTGTCACTCGCACTACACACGCGCACATCGCTGCCGCCGACTCCGGACCGCCCTTGCGTCCAGTCGCTTGCACCGCGCACGCAGCCCGCCACACACCCCTACTGTTTCCCACACCGCGTACACGCACGCCGCCTCTGCTGCCCAAACCGCACACAGCCCGCCACCTACCGCCTCTGCCTCCGGACCGCGTTCGCACCCGCATCGTGCACGCCGCCGACTGCGCCTCCGCCTCTGGACCGCCCGCCTCCCATCATCTCTGCTGCCTGCACCGCACGCGTGCACGCCGCCGCTCCTGTATACCTTATTTCATACTTAATGTTACTATACCCGTGCTATTGATTCATCTGACTTGAATAAATTCATTCAAAAATCTTGTTCTCATTCAAAAAAGCGACTTAGGCAGAAAAGATTGAAGCAGGCAATCTGGGGGTGTCGTGACAAATTTTGACTATGTTTCATGACTTCAGCATTTCCGGTGTTTGCGAAAGACAGCAAAAGGCTAAACAAATGTCCATGATTTCATGTTTCTCACAGCATTTTCAGTATTAATAATCTGATCTAATTGCTGTGAATCGATCTGCCTATATATGCCTATATTTCCCTCGTCTTCCTCGACCGACTTTTGACTGGGCATAAAGCCAGCGGGAGCTTGAGAAGCTTGAGGCTACGATGACCTTCCTTTTAATATAGAGGTCCTTGTGCCCCTTCAAAAACAATCAGACTCTCAACGGCGTGTCCCTTCCAACTAGATGTGAAATTATTTCCTATTACTTACGGCACCTATAAGAACGAGTACCGGAGCTATCCATATCGATTGACGATGACAACTACGAACTCGCCACTTCTCCGGTCATTCAATATTCAATCCTGACCCATCATATTCTTCGCAGGTGTTCAAGATTTGAAGCTTGAAGATCCACGTATACTTCTACTGCTACGACGGCTCGCAACAGCTTGAGGCACCGGTCTGAACTTTCGCTCAGATATCACCCAACGAGCTTGGCGGCCCACAGCGGGAATAGATATACGTGCTGGTATCAACTTTCAAGGTATGAGTTTTCTTGTCACCCATAGCTTTTCCTGAGCATCATTTTCTGTCCATCATCCACGGCTCTAGCTACCTGATCATGCAAATCTGTCCCGATACTAGCCTTCCCGCTGCCACAGCATCTAGCATATATGACCAATATTCCATTCCATCGAGTCCGCCCGTAGAGAAGCTGCCTATTGAGTTACTCGAACAAATCTTTGACGAATGCATCAGAGATCCTGGTCGAATCACACATATTGTCTTACGTGAAAAAGATTTCCAGAGCGATGGTGCTCAGCTGGGTACCAGTCCACACGAAATCCATTCCCAGCCCACTCCAGAGTGGATATCTATCACACACGTTTGCCGCCTCTGGCGCAAAATTTGCCTTCATTGCCCCCGTTTCTGGACTCACATCACCGCGAGCCTCAGCCAGAAATGGGTCGCCGCGTACTTGGAACGTTCACGCACACAACCGCTGACCATAGAGCTCGAAACGCCTGTTGTCAGCATCGGTCATATCGTCACATTGTTTACCTCTACGGCCCCTCGTCTCAAGGTGTTCAGCATCAAGTACAGACATGGCCGCGAGAGAGCAAAGGCTGACGGGCCAATCAAAGACCTCTGCCAAGCATTCTCTGTCCCTGCTCCACTGCTCGAGAGTTTCGTGTTGGATGTTTACATCAAATATCCATACGAAATCAAAGATGGCCTGTTCTCCGGAGATGCGCCGTGCTTGCGTGTCCTTGAGTTGGGCAGGGGTATCGCGGTCAGCCCTTCTTCTTCTATTCTACGCAATCTTCGCTCTCTAGACGTCACATCTGGCTTTGATGTCGACGAGATGCTCGCTTTGCTTCAATGCACACCGCTCCTTGAATCATTGGCGGTGAGAGGGTTTATTAGATATCTAGGATCCGAGCCACCTCAAGGAGTTCTTGTCCGCCTTCCTCACCTTGCATGGGTCTCCATAGAGTCGATTCAGGTCAAGGACTTCGTCGAACTATTTGACCGGCTATGGATACATCCAGCGGTCCATGTACAAGTCCAAGTGATTGTCAAGGAAGAGGATGAAGTGGAAGCTATGCTCGACATACTCGGTAACAGCATTCATAGGGTCGAGAAAGCTGTGGGTCCTCTATATCTCGCTATGGGCGTAGAGCCCGAAGGGGATTGGTACCTCAGTTGCTACCCGATATCCCAATCACTTTACGACCATGCCATGGTCCCAGAAATAACACAACACCAACACCTACTAGCATCCGACGCCGGGTGGCATCGCCGTTGTGAACACGCCTTTTGCAATGGCCCATTCGTGTGTATTGTGTACAGATATAAACATCACGGAGATATCTATGAGGCCGTTTCGTTCGATTTACAGCGCTTATTCGATCGACTGGTACCTATAGCAGTGGACGTCCACGGACTGCGCCTCAACCTGGCTCTATACGACGAGCCTAAGACAGCGCAAAAAACTTCCGCGGAGGCGGCGCGATACATGACTGCCACAACCTGGACACCGATCCTCCACGTCGTGTCTGACGTTCGCATTCTCAAACTGACTCCGGACACTGTCGTAGGCGTTCTCATGGCTTTTCATTCATCACAAGTCCCTCTGCTTCCCAAACTCACGACACTCGTCATTGAAAAAACCGCGCTGACACTCCCGGAAATTCATTACCACCCATCGGCACCAGACATGATCGAGCTGCTCGAACGTTTCCTTTCGAGACGCCTGGAAATCGGTCTGGCACTGGAACGGCTTGTCATCCATGACGACGAATACGAATACTACGGAGAAGAGCGCGTGATGTCTCTGAAGAAATATGTAAAGGACATAGCCTATTCGGCTGTTGACGAGGAAATTGAGTATGAAAGTGATGAAGATGATAGTGAAGATGCCGATGACAGGTGAGTACATTGTCTATTTTTATAATATCTAATGGTTGTGAAATCATTATCCATATAACAGGGTTGAAAACAAGAAATTGCAAGCTATGACAGCTTAATAACAGGCTGTGGAGCATACTTGTAAAGCTCTGTCTTACGGACGAGGTGTCGTTTAGCAATTTGGAGAACTCATAGTCTACTTGATTATCAGAGAGATGATGTGAAACGCCTGCCATTGCACTTACGATGACTTGCGCACTCAGTGATTCACGATCCGAAATGAACAAAGATAATGACGAGCAAGATGTTGGGATTGGTGTTGGATGAACCGCGTCTGAAAGCGATCACCTTCGTATTCACAGTGTGACAGCCCTGTTCACAGAGCTGGGGTCATGTGTAAAAACCCATTTTTTCAGGTCAGACAGCATCGGAGGTGTTACCCAATATCTGAGCGGTTAGGTACTTCTGCTTGATGCACAAAGACTCAACCCTCTTACCTCATGCAACGAAACGGAGATTGTACGAAAAGGCAGGCCGTTCATATACTACTTCTCAGAGACACTAAGTCAGACAAGGTCGGTGACTGTGACGTGGTTACATGAGTATCCGTACGTGTTACATGCATCCTTCAGCTTTGAAGATGGTACACAAGACCGGAGGATAGTTCTCCAACCTTGTATTAGAGAGCTCCAGCTATGCGACGTATCCTTCCTTCGATGTCTCGTGTGCAAAGAGAGTCTCAAGAGGAGACATCAATCTGTCCGGACTAGGTGATAGCGTCGATGAGTCCGTTGTGGTCATGATGCTATGGGTGCCGAACGTGGCAAACTGAGGGCGGGATAGAAGCTCGTTGGTGGTCTCATCCAAGGATGTACGCTGCAGAGACACCAAGACTACGACCAGGGTGGGATATATGCCCTGGAAAGCGTGAGGTTAGATATGTTAAGACGCACACCTTTAGCGCGTACCGTGATTTGCACCATGATGCTCATCATGATCTGTCTGCCAACGTCGCCGAAAACTTCAAAGTTGGCGGCAATGTACAAGATCTGTCGATTCACACGTCCGGTCATGCGCTGAAGCGTTGACAGAAACTGTCACTAACCCAGATGATACAATACAGGAAGCCGGACTCGATGAGAAGGGCTAGGATTTTTTCGACCCTGGTCCTTCTAGTCTCTTTGCCCAGATTCTTCTTGATCACTCGCCGATGTTGCCTACTCCAAGTCAGCAATCGTGACATCAAAAACCAAATACTTGACTGACCATGCTTTCCACGCGACCAACAACGTAGCTAATAGATTGGTGGCGATGGTCAATGACCATACTACAATTTTCCCCAGCACGACAACCTTGTAATCCGGATTTGATGACACAGAGACTTTCACATCAACGTCATGCACTGCACTGATAATCGCCGAAACTGAGACGCTTTCATCAGTCGATGCTTTCAGGCGAATTGCAAGAACGCGTACTAATAGTGCCCGCAAAAAATATCGCTGGCAGCAGCAAGACGATAACGCGACGTTCCCACAGCACCCACGCCCTCCATATGACTATTGCGTCACTCACGATGAACTTGAAGATGCTCGCACGTGAATTTCTGTACATCGAAGCTCTAATGAGAAAACTCACATTGATGATAGGCAAATACATCTGCGCGTTCAAAATGCGTGTCACCAGTGGGGAACTCGGAGAAGATACAGCAACATCCCCAGAATTCAACACCACCCATATTCGGTACACCGTGCTAGCAAGTCCCAGTCCTATATAGCTTGTCGAGGTCGCAAACATGATGATGGTCGCAGACCATAATGCCATGAGCACTCGCGAATGAAAGAGCCCTCGACGACTAGGAGGAGCAGATCAGACGGAGCTCCCTTCTAACGCGTCATAACTCGGCTCACCATAAAAAATAAGTAGAAAGAGTGAATAGAGCAAGATAGAGACCTGATCGAAGTTAATTTACATGTCTTCTTGATGGGATCACGATTTACGCCAGGAACACACCATAGAACAGTGCCCCGCAAAACATAGAAAGGAAATCATTTCGGATGGTCTCAAAATCCCCACCAGCGCGTTGTTGCGATGCCCATGATACGGAAGTAGCCATAGATTGACCCGCAGGCTATGGATGTGACCTGCACAGCGTGGACACTGGGCGTCGTGTCGAAAGGAAAGGAAGGGTGGGACGCGGCTGCTTCGGACTTGTAAGGGTTCGAAGCAAAGATGACCGCAGGCAGTCGGGACTCGGGAGACGCTACTTGTAGAGTATTATACATGATGGTGACATCTGTGTACGAGACTAACCGAAGTTAGTCGACATCAAGGGCAATGCGCATCATCACCCAGGTCCCAGTCAGACTTTCCGGAGATTACGTTGGGCCAACGCCTTTGAGAGACCAGCCACGCCTCTGCTCGCGAGTCATCACGCATCATCGGAATCGCGAGTCGGCGTCTGCTCCACGTTGTCAAGGACGAGGTCGGAAATACAGACGGCAGGCTCTGGATCCGACGCCGGCGCGACTGGAACCACTACCGACGAGTAGGACTGGCTATAGTCACTCTTTCTGTCATTACCAGCTCAGTACCTTCGTGCAATCGCGATCCTCGCAACGAACATAGATAAGGAGAATCCCTCTCTACTACTTCTCTACTTTGCAATGCCAACTATGATACGTAAGGTATTCCAATCGAACATTATTCTGTATGTTTTAGACATAGTCCTCGAGAGCTGGGTTTTGGTCGCCAAAGAGACAGAGATATAAAGAGACACTGGTAACTGATTCAGGGGTGCGCAGACAGAGGTGGTTGCCCGCTCGAATGTGGCATGTTATGGTCGTTGACTATAAACATTGACTAAGGGACGCGTTGAGGGGTTTGTAATCTAAGAATCGAATGTCGCAGCTGAACGTGAGCCTCTTCACGTTCAGGGACTCCGTGGGATTGGGATAACTCTAAGGAAGACTGGGCCTACAGATAAGGGTTCCAGGGTTGAGATCTTGAGATCCATAAAGAAAACGCCCATATAACAGCAATCGACTGAGTCCACAGATATCTAGTCACTATGACGACGCTCGTGGCAGATAATCAGCGTCCCAGCGAAGTGCTTCTTCAGGTGTCTTGTACCGTGCGAAGACGTGAATATGAGCGAGGCCAGGGACACTTTGTAGCCTCTATACAAGGAAGGGAATGCGATTCATAAGCGTGTTCCACCATACTGATACTGTATGGAAGGACCCACAGGTGGATTCACAAACCAGGCCGTCTCCCACTCCTTCTCCGCCCACCTGTTACAGACGAATTTGTGGACTTCAGCACCCGCATCTGTGACGGCTCTCTCTTCTTCTTCAGTTCCCTTCACGCTGCGAATCAGGTTTGACTCGGTGACTTCCCATTCGGCCAGTGCGGGAAGGCAGGAGGGAAGGAGGGAAGGAGATGGCGGGGGGGAGTCGGGGGAAAGACCCGTGAAACCCCAAAGACCATCTTGAAGAAGTCGAGGCTTGATGGATGGGGGGATATCAGGAGATAAGATGGGAACGACGGTCCAGATCAGAGCATGTTCTATGTTGGCAGGGACTGAACAGTGATGAGAATGAGAGCAGACTCGATCAGAGCAGTAAAGACATACCGGAGTATGGCCAATCGTTCATGATGATACTGATGAGAGCGTCGGATATATCAGCAGTAAAGTATTTTTTCGCTCCAACTGGTACTTGTGGTAGATGCGTTCCATTGGGCTCTGTGCCCCGGTCGCTGTGCATCGATTTTGCTTGTAAATCAAGTCTAGAGGGAAGCTTGGACAGAGTGTCGCATTTCCCCCATTGCAAACGATATGACAATAGATAGTTGACTGGATCAGAAAGACCAATACGGTCGTGAATTGTGTTTGGAAAGATGATATCACGATACTCACCCATTGATCCATATTGTTCCCTGATTCCTACTGCCCAACTGTCATATCGCTGTTGTAGCTTCTTGTCTCGTTTCAGGAGACCCAAGTCACTGCAAGCACTTCATTGATGCATTGGATGCGAAAGCATACGCATGGACGTACCCCGCATTGACGAAAGTCTTCATCTGATGCCAGGTGAACTTTGCGGGATAGTATATGAGGAGCTCCTCGCGCGTGGGGGGACCGGTGCCCAGCTTGACATTGTCTGTGGTCAGTGGCTCACATGACTCGCCAGTGAATTCGGCGATGGTCATGATATGCGATTATCGTGGTCGCGAACAGTCTTGTATTGGCTGCCAGCGCAGTCAGTAAACATGTTTTCGATTTAAAGTGCTCGAGTCATCCTGACCGAGCGTAGCAACCTGAGGCCTGAATGTTACTCACTGTGTATTTGCCCGGATGACTTCCTACTACGATCTGCGTAGGGGTGTTTTGTGCAGACTCGGCGGGCAGTGCTCCCAACTTTGACATCGGTGTAACATCCTGTAACATCGTGGGGAAGCGGCAAGGTCCGCCGTTGAGCGGCAAGCTGCAAGGCCGATGCTAAGATTAGATTTCGGAATTGGCCGAATCAAAGGAGGTCGAAGCCAGGACTCAGACGGAGGCTCGTTATTTACAAACATGTCAGCGAGATCTTCAAGAGGGTCGAACCATCTCCGTGCGGCTAGAAATTCAACATCTGGACGCGATCATCTACGCGGGCAGCCAAGCTCGTCTGCACGGGAGACGAGTGGATCTCTGGCTCCTACTACACTTGGAAGGCGTAGAAACTTCGAATACATTGCCTCGGTCAGTCGAAGCAGCGGCCTTGAGAGAGACGGAGATGCGTGAGTGTTTACCCCGCTTGGAGTAGTGATGCAATATTTGATCTGATACAGGTCAGGCTGAAAGACCATAAAATACAAGAGGAGTATCATATCTTTGTAGAGGAAAAGGTATGCTTACGTTTGTCTTCATTCACTATGTCGGACACGTTCTGATATCGAGTGAGCAGTTGGATAAATTTTGGAAGAAGTACTCCGAAGACATCGATTGCCATGTCTCTCGCGTTCAAAAAGAGAGGACTGAGGTACAAGATAATCTGCTCATATTGTTCCGTATGTCTTCTTGATACGCGACTTCCTCGTGTGCACGTTGCTGAGAAAGGTCATCAAGGAAAACTAAGAGAAGGGATCTTCTCGTCGCGCCGGAAAGATTTATTTGCGATACAAGGTGTGTATCAATTTTACTGGTATTCACTGTCACTTAGTCTGTCAAATCTCTAGTCTACGAAACATCGCTCTACTTGTCAGTGATATTCTCCTCTTGGGATCAGACGACATCTATCCTCTCGCATCTCCTTCCTGACCTCTATGCATCTATGCCCTCTCTCGCCTCGGCGTCATCACCCACTCACCACACCACAATGGTCTTAGCTCTCCTTCATAAGCTCAATGCTTCATATCCTTCTCAACGTGCTTTCCTCGAGCTTTTGAACGACCCTATCCCGTCTGCACCCTGGATCAGGCTCTCGGCGACGATGAACGCATGGGCTCACAATGTCGCTCGTTGTCTACGCAGGAACGACTACCTCACATTCAACGAACTCACGCGGCGGACTGCCATTCCCCGACTGTCGTGTTCTTCGAAGTCAGATTCATCTTCACACATATCAGCCACACCTGATCTCGCGAAGAAGGCATTGTATACCCTCCTCGAGAGCCTGCGCTTTAAAGCTCGCATCTCGGCGTGGCGTGTGCTCCGCAGCGCATACCCACAATTTGCGTTGCCTGTGGGCGATACTCGTACATGGCTCTCACGCACGCTGCTGCTCGATCACGAAATTGTAACAAGCAGCGAAGGGAAGAATGGTCAGGAAGGGGCGGAAAAGCTCACTAAATCAGAGCTAGAGCTCTGGTTTACGGAACGGGAAAAGCTCCGAGAAGTTGGGAGGAAGGACGGATTCGAAGGAAGGTGGGTGGTCGAGATAAAGAGATAGTACGTGTTTGGATCTTTCATATCTCAACTCATGTATTATATGGGAATCGTGCTGTACCATCGTACCAAGTTGCGATATGTGTAAGGGAGACTCGAAGCAGGACGGAAGAATACATTAAAGAACTACAACAACCAAGTTAACACCTAATTCAACATAAATGCGATAGGAAAACAGAAGATAGCAAGAAAGACAAGGAGGTATCGTGAAGGAGAAATATTCAAGTCAGTTGATGGAAGCTTTTCCCAAGAGGTCAGCAAGGTCATCGGCCTCCTGGTCGAATGCCGCCTTTTCTTTCTTCTCTTCTAACGACTTCACTGCCTCTTCCTCCTCAGGTTCGGGCTCCTTTTCCTCCTCCTCTTCCTCCTCCTCCTCATCGTTGAGGAGGAACTTTCCTCCTCGTGCCTTCAAATTGTCGACCAGTGTCTGCACACCCGCGACATCCTCCTCGACTTCGTTCCATTGGAACTCTAAGAAGCTCAGCTCTTTCAGGTGAGTCCCTATCGCATCAGCAATCATCTCCACTGAGGCCGCGTCCAGGTTGTTGTTTTGCAAGAACAGGGTCTTGAGTCGGGGATTCGAGCCTTTCGTCAGCGCCTCGATGGTCTGTGGCACATCTCCGCCCTCGTCCGCAAGAACGCAGTCGGAGAAATTAAGCGTCCGCAAGGAGGGCCACCCTGGGAGAGCATCGGCGAACGCCTGCTCCCCAGCCTGTGAGAACGTATTGTCCTGAAGGTCGAGGTGCTCGAGCGCGGGGTTCTTCGCGAGACCCCCGGCCAGGGCTGTGATGCCTTCCATGCGTATACCATTCTGTGGCATTCGGACATCGACGAGCGTCCCGTGCGCGGCGAAAGCCTCGGCCCATGCCTCGGCGCTCCCATTCTCCAAACGATTCCGCCCACAGATGACGGTCCGCAGGTTGCTCTTCTTACCCTCCTTGGCGCTGAGCTCGGCGCTGGCTCGCAGAGCAGTCGCGATGACGTTACCGCCGGCGGGGCCCAGGCCGTTATTGTTCAACTTGAGGATCTGGAAAGAGCGATTTTGTGTGAGGAAGGGTACCATCGGATCTACTGATCGTCCGCCGAAGGCATTGTCGGAAAGGTTGATTTCGACGAGTGATGTTTTGTCGATAAGCGCGTCACAGATCAGGGAGAGAGACTGTGGGATCTCCGAGATGAGACGTCCGGTATAGATGTCTGCGAAGTCTGCAACCTAAGAACCGGGTGGCATCTCGTGTGAATGACTCTGTGAGATGTGCAGGACGGAGACGCACCTTTAATGAGACCGCTTTTTTCAAAAACTCGGCAAGGGCTTTTGATGCCTCCACGCCTATCGTGTTTCCTCCGAAGTGAATCTCTTCCAGAATAGCTGGGTCCACATCTGCCAGGTAGGGCGCGATATCTTCTTTGGTATCGAGTTTGAGTGATTTTCCATGCAAAGAGAGAATGGTGGACATGACTGGAGTGTTAGAGAGATATGTAGCCGTGAATGGAGAGCGCTGAACGTCGTAAAAAGCAGATCTGATCAAAGGACTCAGACGGAAAAAAGCAAGAAAGGAAAGTCGCGTCGCACACGTGATTGTTACTGACGCGTCGAAGGAGCGCGCTTGGAGAGAGCAGAAGTGTTTTGAGACCGACTTTCCTGGGGTAAGAACATAATGACATATGCATCAATGGCGACATATGCGCCAAGAAATATAACATTACACATGGAAGGTCGAAGTGCTACAGCTATAGTGGACAAAGCCTGTTACGGGATGTTCTAGTACACGAATAAGTTATTACGAAGTGGGTTGTGACAAGGATAGATATCGAGCGACGAAAAGAAGGTCGAATGACGCGCTCGTGTAAGAATGAATAATTGGATGGTGAGAGTATGGCGTGGAAGTAAAGGTCGTAGAAGGATCTATGAGAGGGAGAATGAGGCTCGAACTGTGACGGGGCTCTGACAATATTCCTTCGTCAGTTTCTCCTCGATCGTGTATTCAATCGGTGACTCGATATCCATTTTCGCAAACTGTCGCTGGGCGAGTGCAATATCCCACCCTTGACGCCAGGCGTTTTTGTTCGGACGAGAAAGTACAGCATCCATATGCCGTTCGAGGCCAAACCCACGGAAGTAAGGGTGGTCCTGAGTTGTCGATTCAGCGGAACTGGGAAGGAAAGAATTCCTCTTGGGAACGTGAGAAGCGACAAGAGGCGTGCCGACGTTGATCAGGTTCGATTCGATGAAGATGCTGTCGCCCAGAGTTATAGCACCACGCGCGAGGGGCGAGCTCAAGCTCTCCACGAGACCAGGACCTGGTGCCGATGAAGTGGAACGATCATGATATATGGTGATTCCGACTTTGAAGCCAGGCCGGAAGAAGTTGGGACGATGCTCTGCGGTGAATGGCTGTAGGAGATGTTCAGGGAGCGTGTCTGCGATGGCAATCAAACCATTCCTGAGGTCACTGGCAAGGATTCCCAGTTCCATACCATCAAGCTCCACCGCCACATTGTTCGCACTAATCTGGGCGTTGGGTGCATGCAACAGCATATGGTCAAGGTGTATCTCCTCGGAGTTGCCATAAAGATAGAACGGCATGCTCGTTGGATAAGATTGATCCAGGTACCGTGAGTTGAGCGGCCGATTCTTGATAATAGAGATGTGGCTGAATTTGCATTCCACGACAGCTTGGGAACTGGAGACGGAGTAAGCTTCGAAGATCTCGATCAGCAATAAGCTAATTTACTCACCCACTCGGCGTGAGCTTAGAAATCAAAACTTCAACCGACTTCCGTCGAACAATAGACGAAAGCTCGTCCGCTTGCAGAGTCGAGGCAATGAACGTGGCAGATGGGTCCGCGGTCCTCGCATGAAGATACTTCTGTCTGCCGGTTTCTGACAGTTCACCGGTCAAAATGCATTGTCGACGCTGACTGGCACTGCTGAAGCAAGGCATATGGACTAGATAGACGTTTGTCGAACCCTGCACGATAAATGCATGAAGTGATGGGGCAGACTTATTGCGCTCGATAGAAATCTGATAGACGAGATGAATTGTTGGGGGTTGCCTATAAAGTGACGTGATCTATGATCGGACGTACCTTGACTTCTTCTTCAGCCGTCTCACGAAACGCATCGGCAAGGACTTTCTCGAAATTCAATGGAGATGCAAAGGGTGACATAGAAACGTTGACAAGAGCAAACAGATCACCATCGCCTGCGAGCCCAAGACGTTTCTTGTAATTGGTTAGGCAGCTCCCATACTCCTTCTGCGAGAAAACAGTAGACATGAGGATAACCTTTCGATCATTCAACTTGTCCGTCAATTTGTGAAAGGACAGCCGCTCGTAAATTCTGGCATTGAGTAGATTTGCCTCTGAAACGTCTTTGTTGATCTTGCCGTTAACGCGGAAATTGCAGGCGAACGCGTTCACCACTAGATCGGAGCCAAGCTGTTGCATGAGTGCTCTAGCGTGCGGATCAGCCGCAAGTTCCTGCCGCGTTCGAGCGAGAATGACATCGCGAATGTAGCGCCTCTCGTCATCAATGTCTTTGGCAGTGCAATTAGGTTTCATCTCGCTGGGGAGCATCCTAAAGGGAACCATGAGAAGGGTGGGGTGATCCAAAGACATGGTTGCCCAGTGGCCATACATCTAAGCTATATTGAGTAAACGTTGAACAGGATGATGCCTGTACTTGTCTTACCTTGATGCCGGTGTAAACCGCCTCTCCCAAAAGGAAACCGTAGCCATCCTTGTGAAGACCGATCACCTCGTGACCTAACCAAGCGGCCACGGGCGCAGCGCCGGGCTTGCTGCGACAATATCAGCTTGATCTTCATTCAGGGGCGATGAAGCGATTTACCTTCCCTCGATACCATACACTCCCATTTTCTGAGCGCCGTCTTCGGGAGAATCAATTACCGGGCTTGTCCATGTAACGAGATACCTAAGCCTTCCATCACGGTAACAAAGACTACCCGCGGGATAGGGAACATAACCGCTTTTGTGGGGGTCGATTGTGACAGAATCCGCATAGCGGATATGATGCAATTCATTCTTCGTATAGGGGTGGAGGAAGAGAGCAGGATCGTCCAGACTACTTTCACCTCCATGTGAAGTTGGGTTTGGCACGAGCACAGACGTGAAGTATCCGCCCCATGCTGCGTCCGCGTGGATCAAGAATGACAGCCCTCGTTTTTGATACTTCGAACGAAGGGCGACGATTTTGGAAATCGGATCTACTGTACCATGCTCTGTAGTACCCATGATCGCGACAACACAGTAGACAGCCTGGCGGTTATGAAGATATTGAGCAAGAAGAGCGTCGAGGGCTTCACAATCCATGCGTGCGGATTGGTCGACAGGAACCCCGATCAAGTTTTTCGAGCCAATGCCAGTCATGGCTAACGGGCGAAATTCAGGCACGTCGCACCACACAACGCGGTATTATATCACTCACCAGCACCTTTTGGCCAGGAGTAATGTATGGTCTTGCTCGCGAGGTACTGGGGCGGGCGCTGAAGTCCGAAATAGGCGTCGAGGTCGTCTTTTCCGGTTGTCTGAATAATGTATTTGCCCATGAGGCCCTGCAGGGATTGCACAGATAGGCAGAACTGGGACGCAATACGGCCAGGAAGGCTGACGACCTCCTCAGGCGTGAGGTTGAGTAGATCCCATGCATCACATTCTGCGAGCGACTTCTCCTTGCCGCTGCAAAGATGTATATTGAAATGGTGGGAGATGAAAGCTAGAGATGGCTCGCTCTCGACGGCACGTTTGAGCGACAGGGGATAATATTTGAGATTCCGTGCTAGAAGAAGCGTTAGAGATGTCTCGTAGAGGCGTGTTTTGCTGCTATGTACTCACCAACCCTAGAATTTAAGGGAAGAATGGATAAGAGGAGAAGGTTATTATGGTTCAAATTGACGGCTAGTGGACAGAGGCTATTTACCACATGGATTCCATGTTCGCGACAGAACCGTCGCAGGTGATATGCCCCCACCCAGTGGCACTAAGCCGTGGGTCTTGATTAGGAGCCGCAACGTTGAAACCCAGCATACTACAGAGCTGTTGACCAACGTCATACTCGATTATGCTGGTGAGAGGGCTGCCTTCCACAGCCACGTTATTGGGATTGTACATCAGTGCCATAAGATAGCCGAGTGTGGCTGGCATGGACACATCGTTGAGCATATGAGCCATGTAGCGTGGAGAATAGAATGGTATGCTGTGTTGAGGGAGGAGAGACGATAGAAACGTCACGTTTGTCTCGAGCTTCGACATGCTGTCTTTGAAGGCTTGCGACGAGACCATCGCCGGGTCGATGAAGTCCTAAGGCAACGTCAATGTCGCTCAGATCTATATTTGAATGGATACGTTACCTTGTCCTCCGGGGAAAAATCCTTTCTACATTTCGTCAGATCTTGTAAGATGATTCCAACGAACTTCTGCAGGTATTCTGCATTCTCAGCTTTGGGACCGAGAAACCAAGCACCAGCAGCGTGATGAGCATCTCGCAGAGAGCCAGGAGGACTGGTTTCAGAGACGGTTGAGCGCGAGGTGCTCAAAGTCCCAACGAGGTCGCTGAGGCGTGGCAGCCATCTGAGCATCGTGTGTGGAGATGTCAGAGAGGGCACACCCTGAACGGGTGGGCAAGGCATTTAAAGGTGGCGGACAAGGGACAATTGTGAATCAGAGGACGAAGGGGCCGCTGAACCGCGCACAATGCGGGAAGAGGGCGTGCTTCGAAACAAAACGGGAAAGATCGATTTGATATAGCCAGTCGAGCTTATTGTATGATGGGAAGCGAGGCAAGACGCGCGGGATGGGTCCGATGTACGATATGCGGCGCAATCGCACTTGTCGCAGACGCATAGCAAAGTATGAGAGAATTGATATATCACTGATAGTGATGGCAAGCCCTAAGGCCTGAGTAACTATGTTTCTTGTTTGATGGTTGATTGGATCAACGCAGGCCGACGGAAGTAAAATAAAGTAGCTTACATCGACGGACACAGGTCAGGTCGATCATATAAGTGTACACGCCCACGGGCTGCGGCACCGCTGGAGGAATGTGTGATGGCTTATAATAGGCTGATACGCAGCAGGTACCTATGTCTTAATCTGGACAAGCAAAGGTGCGAGTCATTCTGTCCTCGGAGGTGAAGGGAGCATTTACGTTTGCAGCAATATCCGGTGACTGTATTCTAGCGGGCCTTTTGTCTTGACACGATCATGCGCATGGAGCTTGTCTCGCACGACGGCGTCCTGATTTGGAGAAAGCTTAACCTTGAGGGCGGCCGAATCATGTCAATGGAACAGGAAAGTGCGGATGTATGTGAAACACGAGTGAGGCACTGTCTGTGAGCGTCCCGAGGGGAGGAGGCAGGCGACCGTCGCTGCGTGGCTGACTGTGGGCCGCACAAGTCGCACGTGGCCGCCAGTGGCTGAGAGTATTTTCGATCTCTTGATCTAATCTCCAAGCTCCTCGACGTTTCCTACGTCCCCCACCCATCTGTCATTTCTTCAGCTCAGTCAACGAGATGCAGCACAACGACCACCATAAAACAGTTGTCTCTGATAGCTACGTTGTGTCTGCACCTGATTTTCTCCACGACCCGTTGGCCATCAATCTACAAAAACAACTCTCGGCCTTGCTCTCAAGAATCCCCCATTCCCCCAACCTATCTACCCTCAAAAATTGCTCTACGCGTGGGGATTTTCTAGATGAGCTGTCAAACGTCTTGCTTTTGCCTTCCCATACCGCAGCGATTGCTGCGACGTTCAGGCCTCTACTTCTTGATCTTTGTGCAAGGTGGCTCCAAAATGACGACTTTCTTGAGGAGAAGTTGTCAGCGTTATGTTTCCTTTTACAACCACACGAGGAGCTCTACCCGTGAGTATTCTACTAAATATTTATCATCTATTTACCATCTATGATTCTCTGACATGTCTTATGTTGATGAAGCGTTCTGCACCAATTTCTTTCCCACCATATCTCACCAGACGGGCCTCTAGCCTCCCTCTATCTGAATTACCAGCCCACGGACGCGCCCCGCTGCCATCGGGCACTTCTAGCATACTATCGAATCCTTCAAGCGAATCGAGAAATTCCAGCCCATTTCTACTGGTCTCTTGAACCTCTTTCTAGACTCATCTGGGCTCCTAAGGCCGATCCAGGCGCTCGCTTCTTGGCGATTCGATGTTATTCTCTTCAGAGCGGAATGGGAGAAGCCGAGAGAGAGAGGATGGAGCGAGAAGTAATCGGATCAGTTGATGACATCGACTGTCCCATACAATATGGCGAAGACGAAAGCGGAAACGTTGTTTTGTTGGATGGATGGCTAATGCCCTTCACTGAAGTCAAGAGGATTGGTGATGCAAGAAATGATATTGCGTATGACCCTCAAGATTTTTACTCCGAGAATACGGGGCCTTACATCCAGTTGGCCGAGCTTTGGTGCGTGTAGTCTAATCATATGTGCCGAATTTCGACTTATTGCCTCCAGCCCACGAATCGTTAGCGTCCATGGCGTACTCATGCTTCGAGAGTCACCCTCTTCCTACCTCGCTTCTCCGCTTATCTCGACGCCTACCACCGTCCGAGCGTTGCGTGACCTTGCCCTAGGCTTGTCCCTACGTCTTCCGACGTTGATCACTTCTGCACCCTCCGCAGGCAAATCTCTACTCTTGCACCATCTTGCATCCTTACTACACCCCAACACCGAAAATCAGGTCGTTACCATTCCACTGGCCGATACGTCACTTGACCCGCGTTCCTTACTTGGTTCATACATCTCCTCCCCGACAAGGCCCGGCACATTCGAATGGAAGGAGGGCATCCTGGTTCGTGCCATGAGGGAGGGCAGATGGGTTGTGTTCGAAGACATTGACCGTGGGAGCAACGAGGTCTTAGGTACCATCAAGCCTCTCATCGAGTCCCTGAGTGTGGGGAAATGGATTGGAGGTCGTGCACGATTGGACGTACCAACGAAGGGCATGGTGATTGCGTCGGCGAGCTTCTCCATTTTTGCGACACGCTCCTGCAAACCTCTCAAAAACAACGTCTTTGCTAAGCCGTCTTTCTTCGGGTCGCACAAATTCCGCGAGGTCCTGGTGCCGAATCCGACGTCTGATGAGCTACGAACCATCATTGATTCAAAATTCCCCAGGCTTTTGGGTTCCGCCGCGCACGGAATCATTCAAGTCTGGGATGCAGTGAGGGCGCTCGGGTCGACAGCTTCTGTTCGTGACGTTGGGCTGCGTGAGCTGGAAAAATTCTGCTCGCGCATAGACAATCTCCTTCCACCTTCGCACCGGCAGATGGACATTGACGTCGACATGGTTAATTCTACACAGCTACCTTCCCTGTCGATCATATTCCCCAACCCCTCCCTCCGTGAAGAGATCTATGTCGAGGCACGCGACGTCTTTTTCGGTGCCGGCGCTCTGACAGCAGCTGCCTGCGCGCACGCTGATGCTGTCGCGGCCGTCATCGCCGACCACCTTAGTCTGTCGCCTGAACAGCGTGAGTGGGTCCTCAAGGGTCGGGTTCCCGAATTTGAAAGCGAGACGGACGTCAACGGGCGGACGGTGGCGCTGCGGATAGGGCGGATCCGTCTACCTGCAAGGGCGGGCAAGATAGACCTTGCACCACCAATCACGAGGCCATTTGCGATGCATCGCCCGGCCGTTTGGCTCATGTCGCGGATTGCGAGTGCTGTCTCCCTGAACGAGCCTATTCTCCTCACGGGCGAGACCGGCACAGGAAAAACGAGCGCAGTGACGCACATGGCGGGGCTATTACGGCGGCCGCTCGTTTCCCTCAATCTTTCCCAACAGACAGAATCTTCTGATTTGCTCGGAGGTTTCAAGCCCGTGGATGCTCGCGTTCCAGGGTCGGAGTTACAGGAACATTTCTTAGATCTGTTCCGTGGGACTTTCAGTTCGAAGAAAAACGCCAAGTTTGAAGAGTCGGTGAGGAAGGCGGTTCAGGAGGGCAAATGGAAGAGGGCGATCGGGTTGTGGAGGGAGAGTGTGAGATTAGCAAAGGAGAGGATCCTGGTGAAGTCGAAAGAGATGGAAGGGTGAGTTTTTCGCACTTCACAACTAACAGGAGGTTATCTGAGAATATCTGTAGGGATGATGGTAGGGAGGACGAGTTGGATTCAGACGCTCCTCGCAAGCGCCGCAAGATGGATCAAGCCAGACTGGACGCTTCACAGGCAGATTGGGTCGCGTTCGAGCAGAAGATTACGGAGTTCGAGATCCAGCATGTGCAGGGCAAGGGTAAATTTGCGTTCAGCTTCGTAGAAGGGCCCTTGGTGAAGGCACTGCGCTCAGGCAATTGGTATACCCTCAGAATCATATTTTTAGCTCATATACGTTTATTCTAATCGTGTGTTGCGCAGGGTCCTCTTGGACGAGATCAATCTCGCAAGCCCTGAAACCCTGGAGGCGGTGTCAGGCCTCCTTCATGGGCCGACAGCGTCCATCAGTCTGACGGAACAAGGCTCTTTGGAACCAGTCCCTCGTCACCCCGACTTCCGACTCTTTGCCTGTATGAACCCTGCGACTGATGTGGGAAAGAAAGACCTTCCGCCAAATATTCGTTCACGCTTCACCGAAATCGATGTACCACCTCCTGATGCAGATCGAGAAACCCTTTTGAGCATCGTGACTCAATACATAGGTGCTTCTGCAGTCGGCGATAAAGGTGCAATCATGGACGTCGCAGAATTTTACATGTCTGTCAAAGTCCTGGTGGAAGGAAGACAAATAGCGGACGGCTCCAATCATCGCCCCCATTTCAGCATGCGGACTCTCACTCGGGCGTTAACGTTTGCATCTGACATCGCGGCTACATACAGCCTTCGAAGGGCGCTCTGGGAGGGGTGTCTGATGGCGTTCACGATGGCCCTAGACGCGTCGAGTGCTGATTTAGTGACTGCTTTAGCACAGAAGCATATTCTGGCCGGCGTTCGCAATCCACGCTCCCTCCTGGCAAGACAGCCCGCAGCGCCTGTCGGCCGTTCTCCTGAAGACTTTGTGAAGTTTGGTCCTTTCTTCCTGGAAAAGGGATCGCTTCCCGAAGACCCTATGGATGATTATATCATGACCCCATCTGTTGAGAAAAAGCTTGTCGACCTTGCCAGGATCATCATCACCAGGCGCTTTCCGGTTCTGATTGAGGGCCCAACTTCCAGTGGGAAAACGAGCTCGATAGAATACTTAGCGAAGCGGACTGGCCATCGCTTTGTTCGTATCAACAATCACGAACATACCGACATTCAAGAATACTTGGGGACGTATATCTCTGACCCCGTCACTGGCAAGCTGGTCTTCAGAGACGGTCTTCTTGTTCAAGCTCTCCGTCAGGGAGATTGGATTGTCCTGGACGAGCTGAATCTTGCGCCCACCGATGTACTCGAAGCGCTTAATCGTCTTCTAGATGATAATCGGGAGTTGGTCATTCCAGAGACGCAAGAGGTCGTCCGACCACACCCGCACTTCATGCTTTTTGCAACACAAAACCCACCAGGTCTATATGCTGGACGAAAAGTATTGTCGCGGGCTTTCCGCAATCGCTTCTTGGAAGTTCATTTCGAAGACGTTCCGGAGAGCGAGCTGAAGGAGATTTTGTGCCAGCGTTGTCGTATCGCCCCGTCTTATGGCGAACGCATTGTCAGCGTCTTCCGGGAGCTGCAAAAACGTCGACAATCGAGCCGTGTGTTCGAAAGCAAGCACGGATTCGCTACGCTGCGCGACCTCTTTCGATGGGCTGGTCGGGATGCTATTGGTTATCAGGAATTAGCGGAGAACGGCTACATGCTCCTCGCTGAGCGTGCCCGTCGGTCGGATGACAAGATCGTAGTCAAGGAGGTCATCGAAACTATCATGAAGGTCCGCATCAACGACGACATTTTATACGATCTTCATCGCAGCGGAAGCGATGTCACGGCTGCCCTTGGATTCCCTCTTCCATCATCATCTGCCCTTGTCTGGACAAAAGCTATGCAGCGTCTGCTTGTTCTTGTGGGTCGTGCTCTCCGCTTCAACGAGCCTGTTTTACTTGTGGGGGAGACAGGTTCAGGGAAAACATCTATATGTCAAGTGTATGCCGATGCTGTCCACAAGCATCTCTATGCTGTCAATTGTCACCAAAATACGGAGACCGCCGATCTTATTGGAGGCCTACGGCCTGTACGAAACAGGGCTTCACTAGAAGCTGAAGCAGTTCAAGAAGCGGCATCGCTACTGACGCAGAGAGGTCTCCCCAACGTGCCTCCAGACCCTCAATCGCTGCTTTCGTCGCTGGATAAGATGTCCAAGTCATCGACGTCACCTGACCTTCAAGTGGAGAACGCGCGGTCTAAATTGCAGCGTCTATCGGCGATATTTGAATGGTCTGACGGTCCCTTAGTAGAAGCCATGCGACATGGCGATGTTTTGCTCTTAGACGAGATCTCCCTGGCCGACGACTCCGTCTTAGAGCGGCTCAACAGCGTCTTGGAACCGGGACGCACTGTCGTTCTTGCTGAACGGAGTGGAGGCGATGCTGACCAATCCGTCATCAAAGCCGAACAAGGTTTCAAACTGGTCGCCACAATGAATCCTGGTGGTGACTACGGCAAGAAAGAGCTTTCTCCAGCGTTGCGCAATCGATTCACTGAGATCTGGGTTCCTCCCATTGACAATCGTGAGGACCTGTTCCAAATCTTGGACAGTTCTTGGAAGCACGAAGACCTCAAGGCGTACACGAATCGTATCTTGGATTTCTGCTCTTGGCTGTGCGAGCGTGTGTCGGAACATTCCCTGCTGGGTTTGCGAGATATATTGGTATGTCAGATCAAATCGTATCTTTGGCATATCTCTGACTGGCTTCTAGGCATGGGTCAGCTTCTCAAATTCAGTGTTGACTGGAGAGGACGGATTAATGTCACTCGATGAGATATTTGTGAGTAAAGACAGGTTTCATGAGCATTGTCTGATTATTGAGATATCTCTCTATAGCATCATGCGGCGCACATGACGATTCTTGATGGACTCAGTTCACTGCCCCAATTGGCAGCTTATTCGACAGATGCTTTGTCGACGATCAAGACCGATGCGCTTTCCAAACTGCAAGATCTTGCTCCGCTTGCCAAGGACCCCAGTTCTCATTATGTTCCTTCGGAAGACTTGTCTCGTTTTGTTCGCTTTGGCTCATTCTCTATTGTTCGTGGGCCTCAGGGAAGCATCCCTCACGCGTACAATCTGCAAGCCCCTACGACTAGAGATAACGCCATGCGGGTGTTCAGAGCATCCCAAGTTCTCAAACCGATTCTCCTTGAAGGTAGTCCCGGTGTTGGCAAGACCAGTCTGATCACGGCTCTTGCCAATCTATGCGGCTTTCACCTTTGTCGTATCAATTTGTCAGATCAGACTGATCTCGCTGACTTGTTTGGTTCTGACCTTCCAGTGGAAGGTGGAAGGCCTGGGGAGTTCGCTTGGAAAGATGCTGAGTTCTTGAGAGCATTACAGGAAGGGCATTGGGTGCTATTGGACGAAATGAATCTTGCGCCCCAGGCCGTGTTGGAGGGTTTGAATGCAGTATTAGACCATCGTGGAACCGTCTACGTTCCCGAGCTGGGCAGATCCTTTACTCGCCATCCTTCATTTCGAATATTCGCAGCACAAAATCCCATCCATCAAGGTGGAGGTCGAAAAGGCCTTCCGAAGTCTTTCATCAATCGCTTCACAAAGGTTTACATCGAACCTCTTACGCCCACTGATCTTCTCGAGATCTGCCGACATATGTTCCCTGACTATCCTTCGGACTGGCTTGCGTCCATGATCGCCTTTAACTCTCGCTTGGAAGAAGAGGTCAGCAACAAGAAATCGTTCGCTCGAACAGGAAGTCCTTGGGAGTTCAACCTGCGAGATGTCACACGTTGGGGAGCGCTGCTTGGCTCTTCCGTGCGCCCATTGCACCCTGTCGAGCACTTGCGCAACATTTACCTCGTTCGCTTCCGAACCGTTGAAGATAGGCGTGCTGCTCGACGCATCTTCGACCAACATTTCAAGATATCTAGCGATCACCTGGAAGAATCTCCTCAACCTCTAATATCCCCATCATCTCTCCAAATTGGCCACTATGTCACTTCGCGCAGCAACTATGCTCCTGCAGCACGCTCTGGATGTCTGTTGCAGAGTCAGCTGATCCTCGCGGAAGCCATCGGCGTGTCTCTGCGTCAGAGCTGGCTGGTTATTCTGACGGGCCCTGCTGATAGCGGTAAGACAACACTGGTGAAAACCATCGCCGACTTGACAGGCAATCCTCTCCACGAGCTATCCGTGAATAGCGCGACCGATATCACTGACATTCTTGGCAGCTTCGAGCAATTGGATAGTGTTGGCCATACAACCCACGTGGTGCGACGAATCATAACCTTGATCGAACATATCTCACGGTCTATGGAAGGTTCCAAGGTGCTTCAGCCGCGACAGTACTCCTACTTGAAACGGGCTATAACTACCGGCAGTCCTCGTGGTTCTTCTGTAGATGTCCTTCAAATGGCGGTGAGCATTTTGAATGAGCTAGGGGACTTGGACGACGTCTGGGCGCTCGAACGGGCCAACCTCTTAGCTTTGATCAAGGACCAAATATCCCCGTCGGATGCTACAGGGAGGTTTGAGTGGGTCGATGGTCCCTTGGTTCGTGCCATGGAACAGGGACATTGGGTTCTGTTAGATAATGCTAACCTTTGCAGTCCCTCCGTCCTGGACAGACTGAACTCCCTGTGCGAACCTTCCGGCGTGCTAACCCTCAGCGAACGTGGTTATGTGAATGGAAGAGTTCGGACGATTCGTCCCCATCCTAACTTTCGACTATTTATGTCTGTCAACCCACAGCATGGCGAACTGTCTCGTGCCATGCGTAATCGAGGCATTGAAGTCGCACTTCCCCCCAACCAGCGCTTGGAGGACTCTAGGCGACTACAGGACTACCTCCGCTTACCATCGACCTCCGGTAGCAACCTTTTGTCCAGCCAATCTTGCTTAGAATTTGAGTCACTCCGTCGGGCATTGTCTAGCTTGGCAACATCCTCCCGAGATACATACAGTCCATCCGGGCAGCGCTTAATCGAAGATTCTGCATCTTCGTTTGTTTTGCATGGATCGGCTCTACTACTTCCATCTCCTGCAGCGCATGCTGAAGCTAAATCCTATGGTTTTCTTTCCTTTGCTGTCGCTTCGTCTTCTCCGGCGTACGTGCCCTATATATCCCGACTAGCGATGGCATACGACCCACCGGTGCGACCGGAGCATCTATCTGACATACACACAGTGTTCTATGCCATGAGAAAAAGCCCACTATGGGGTACGCTGGAGGAGATTAGACGGCAAAAGGAACATATCTGGCCAGTATCTCTCGATCTTCTCTCTGTTCAGGTCAGTGCTCACACACCTTTCGCTGCTTTCAGCCACTTCTGTCCGATTGCATGTACTGAAACTTGGCCTCAATATATTTAGTCGTTCGATTTTTCGTTGAGGTCTATCACAATGCGACACTCGCACATTAAGTTCGATCAACCCTCGCTAGAACAGTCTATTGTGCATCTCCTGGAAATCTTAATAAGGCTATATATCAACAATCAATACATGTCGTCGCAATCGTTGTCTGGTAGTCTTGTCAAAAAACTTTCAGATCCTGAAGAAAGCCAGCAGGCTATGCAAAAGGTTGAGGAGATCGGACATGTCGTAGATCAACTTGCGCTCGGACTATTGACTAATCTCACAGTCAACCTTCCCGTGGACACATTTGTAAGTTCATGTTCGTCCTCTACGGTAGATGTATGGACTCACTGATTCCTGTTAGAACGAGATTGACGTGGTTCTCAAGCTTCAAAAGTTGTCGCTTTTCATGATGCAAAATACTCGCAGCGGCTTCAATTTTTCTGCAATTCAAACTGTAGTGACATGGATTGACGGAACTATATGCCATACCCCTTCAAAATTTGCAACGCTTTCGGCACTAGTCGCCGCTCTTCAGCGTATTGTCACTCCGTCGTCCGGGCTAGGGTTGCAGAACATATGGTCTATGTCGATCCTTACACAGCCTGTGGCTGCGTCAACAGAACTAGCTAGATTAGAGGTGCTTGCAAGCAATCAAGATGAAGAGAAGGGTATTCGTGGTGAGCACATACATATGCGAATAAAATGTTTATTCACGCCTGCTCTCAAGCCCTTCGCACTCGAGTGTTAGAACTGATGGCAGTAAAAACGCTGCCTTCCTCCAACAAAGGCACAGCAGGAGTAGACGTAGATTCTACGTTCCAGGAAATCCAAGTTGTATGTAGCCCTCACCTTGGCAGCGCCCTCGTTGACATCTCTGTTCCACAGAAGTTACTAGGACGGGACGACCAACACGACTTTCCATCTCATCCGCTCAAAGACGATCCTGTGTTGCTGAGCAAGGAACTCAGGGTCATAGCTTCCATACGTTCTCGCGGAAACAATATTTCGAAGGTATGATACGCCTATGTCGTGCTGCCCCCAATAATCACTAACATGGGTCATGCAGGGTGTCAAAACAATTCTTGATCTTGCATGCAGGAGTCCCAGGGGACCTCTCCGTCGCTTCATCCCTTACCGCCATGCAGCTTGGGCGCTTGAAGAGAACCAATGTACGCTTTCTTATGAAGAGTATGTTCAGATGTTCAAATCACTGACCTTTCGATTTAGTCACAGGGCTCATGTTTTCTTCCTTACATAAGAGTTGGATGCAAGCGCTTTGGAATCTAGCCGGTAACGATGAGATATTGGGGCCTTCCGCCCTTCTTCAACCAAAAGAGCTTCAAGCGACAATAATGAAATGGTATGAGATGACTTACTATTGTTTGGAACGGAACTAACCAAATCGCAGCGACTGGACCAAGATGACTCTTCAATCATTGAAGAGTTATGAACCAGCACTTGAAAGGCACTTGAGTCTGGTAGTTGTTGATTTGGGCTTGCATAGCTCACGCTTACAGGAGCTATCAGTCGTGTATCAGCAAGCATTGTGGACAGTCAGTTACAACCCCGTCTAACATTATACATATATTGACCCGTGTCCTCATACTTTCCGTAGCTCTCATCCTGCTTCTCAGATTCCTTCGATGCGGAAACACGAGCCGCGCTTGAGACTGCTTGTGATAGCTCTTCATGGGTCCTCGCCTCCTCGCCACAACGGTTCTTGGACATCCTGCGACGATCTAATCTTTCATATCTCAGCACGGCTGTTCGGCGTTCTTTGGATCCCGTAGAGTCCTCCTCATGTGATGCTCATTCGGGAGCATCCAATGTTGGGTTATTGGGTCGACGCTTCATTGCACTCTTCCGCTTACTTGTTGATCTTTACGTCCCAAACACCCCCATGGATCCATCGGCCAATCAGTATTGTACCTTCGACTTTTGGAGTCAAGAGTATGCGAGGTATTCGACGGAGCTACAGCTACAGACTGAGTTGGAGGTCAAAACAACAGGCAATCGCTCGAATGGAGTTACCACGTATCTAGAACATCAGATCGCAATCGTTAAGCAGCATCTCGAGAGCTCGTCGGCTTCCAGTCAAGGGCCAAGGCATAATATGACGCATCTGGCAGATTTCTGGTTTGAAGTCTCTCAATTCATAACACAGGTTGTCTCGATCTCCAAACTGGATTCTCTCTTCGGACTTATTCATTCGGACCATTCAACCGCGGTGACACGCGAGCATGTTCTACAGCAGTCTATCGCCGGATTCTGCCAGAGGCTCAACACTGCATACGTCACTCTTGACGATATCAGTGCTCCTTTGCAGCTGTCATTTCTGTATTTAAGACTCGGTCTACGGCTCGCAATATACGACTCGTCGCGCGTTTCCGATGGTCTAGGGAGCATCTCACGTGCACTGGTTCTTTCCCCATCAGTCAGAAGCGCCTCTATGCTCTGTGAACAGCACCTTGCGGACACACACGTGCCTGGATCCGATGGTGTCAGCTATCTTCTTCTCAAGATAGCTGCAACTGCTTTGGAAGCCAGTATCGGCGTTGATCCTGCCACGCATATACAGTCAGTCAATTTGATATACGAGCAGGTAGTCAGGCTGTGGCAGATCGATCGTACGCGAGAAGAAGAAGCGGAGAAGGCATCTCAGTCTTTGTACCGTTCTAGTCGAACTGAGCATGACGCTGTCCAGGACTCGGAAGTCGAGGAGAAAGAGTTTTTGGCCCTATTCCCAGATTTTGATATTCCTTTGGATTTGGAGCCCGCCGCCGTTCACATTGACCACCCTCCGACGCTCGTTGAACACTCACACATCCAACAAATCTACGAGTTGCACATCCATCTCATGGCCTCGATTGGACTTACTCCCGTTGATAGTCCCGCACTCGCTAAGCTATTTCTTCAACATCGACAGGCTCTCCTGCAGCGCGTTGTAGCAGACAATGCCAACACTCTCCCAGAAAGCCTCGATGATGCCAGTTTTTCTTATCAGCTCACACTTCTACATGGTCGCTTAGGCGAACTTCAGCATCAATCGAAGGCGGACACGCGACCATACAATTTTTACCTCGACGCCAATGTTCCCGAGATTCGCAAAGCTACAGCGGTAGTAGAGGCTCTCGATCGACGTCTCGAACAGCTCATTCATTCGTGGCCTGACCAAATGGTTCTGCATCACCTCAAAGAACGCTGCGACCAGACCCTCTGTCTGAATCTTCACAGCCCAGTTGCCAAAGTCTTGTCCAGTCTCGAACAGCTTCTTCTTCAAACAGAGGACTGGGAACTGTACGCCAACCGGGAGAACAATTTGAAGGATCACAGAGGCGCTCTTACAAATCTGATTGTCGAATGGCGGCAGATGGAGTTAGCTTGCTGGCGAGGATTATTAGAAACGCAGGCCATACAATTCGAAACTGGAGTCTCTGATTGGTGGATCCGCCTTTACAACTCGCTTGTTTTCGGACTGCTGGATGCCGTCGTGAGAGATGGTGTAGATGCGTATCTCGATGAACTTGTTCCACTCATTGACAGCTTCATCAAAGCCAGTCCTTTGGGACAGTTCCAGCGGCGCTTGGAGCTGTTGCAAAGCTTCGAAGCATTTCTCCGACGACTGGTCTCTTTGAAGACTACCGAGCAGGCGGGCGCTCTTCACCGAGTGCTGCGGATTCTTCATATAACGCGAACCTATTATTCGCAATATCTTCCTCGTGTCATGGGGTCCTTATCTTCGCAAAGGAAAGTCCTGGAGAAAGAAGTGGTGGATTTCATCAAGCTTGCCAGTTGGAGAGACGTGAACGTTCAAGCGCTGAAACAAAGCGCACAACGGACTCACCGCCAGCTGTACAAGAATATTCGAAAATTCCGCGATATCATGCGTCAGCCAGTCGGCGAACTCCTCAAATCAGAGCAGGCAGGCGATTCGGAGCAAACACCAATCTTTGCTCAACAGCTCACACAGGACAGCAATATGAATACTCCCACCTTTTCGCCTCGTTTATCGATTGGAACCTTACCTGCTCATCTTCAGGAGCTGTCCCGGACGTTCCAAAGATTCCAAGCACTGTTGGTAACACGTATTGAGCCTTTCATCCGATCCCGGTCATCTGACCACGTTGAAGCTTTCGCTGGTGAAGTCATCGCAACAGCAAAGAGCCTGTCAGCGTTGTCGGTTCCCGCGGACATTCCGAAAGAACGCAGGGAGAAACAACTGAAGGGAATCCTAGTACGTAAGAGGAAGGCGTGGAGCGACCTACTCAAAGAGCTCAAGAGGATCGGTTTCGCTACCAACGTTAAGCCAGAAGTCCTGGAGTGCCAACAAAGTGAACGCTGGATACGAGAACAGCCTATCATGCCAGGATTAAAATGTGGTTTCTCTGATGTCACCAAGGTTGATCACTACTTTCAACGCCTTCGCGGCTTGTTACCAGAGCTGCGAGCCGCAATTTCCGGGCATCATTCGGATCTGCAAACACGGGAGCTTCGGAGAGGCACTATGCTGCTGGAATCTGGCTTTTCTATGGCGCTGGGCGCTCGTACACAGTAAGTCATTATGCGTCTTCCATTCAGTGTTTTTCCTGATTAAACATCACAGTTTGGTTACAGTTCTCGAAGACTACGAGTCCGTCAAAAACGTTACTCGCAGACTTCGCGAGTTTGTGGAGTCAGAAAAGGTAGTCTGTTCAGGGTCTACAGCTTTGACAGACGTCGTTCGTGTGAAGGATATCACGTGCAGATTTATCCATGCACTCTCCGAGATGGTTTCTCATCTAGAGATGTTTGAGGGTACAATCACTGGCCAGCAGGTTTCCCATGAGATTGTTGCTGAAGCACAATCGTTGATGGCATTGTCCAAGAGTCACCGTGATAGTCTCATTGTCATTGTGGACGCAATGAATTCAACAGGCACACCAATCCTTCTCCAAGGTATTATTTACACGTTTGATGGGTCAGTGATTTGCATACTTACCATCCTTAACAGCCGAATATTCGATTGTAAAAGACAGTGTGGCTCATCTCTCGCAGTCAATCAACGTTCTCGCGTCGTGGGAGAATAGCCATTCCCACCTTCAACGCCTGATTTCTCCAGTTCGCACTTGGATCGAGTTGGAAATCGTGGCTATGCCATCAGCAAGCCCGACTCCAGTAACTCAAGAACTAGATTTCGATGATATCATCGACGCGCTATTGGTGACCGTCCAATCAGTTCTGTCGAAGCTCCCAGAGCAACATGAGGATGATGGAGGCGAGGACGACGACTTCTACATCAAGAACACGTCGCGTGCCCTGGTAGACTTGAGCAAAATGCTGCATCTATCACCCCTTCTGCAGAAGTTAGAGGCTGTTGTTGGTCGTCTGCACGTCGGAACTTACGAGACTGCACAAGCTGGGATTCTTCGATTCATGCCTTTTCTAGACCGCTACATCGACCTTCTACAGCGGCACTTGACCACTCTTGTTTCATGGACTGGTAGCGTTTTCAAGCTCCAGTATGTTGTCTGCACCATCGTCAATACCCTTGCCACCCAAGGCTTCTGCCAACCACCTGACGCCGAAACATCCGGAGAGGGCAACGAAGGAGCCGAGACATCGAACGGTATGGGATTGGGCGAAGGAACAGGGAACGAGAACGCGAGCAAAGAGATTGAGGATGAGAGCCAAGTAGAAGGTTTGAAAGGAGAGGATGGACAAGCCGATAAGGAAAGACAGGACAGAGACCAAGAAGGAGATGCTATCGAGATGGAGGACGATTTCGGAGGAGATATGGAAGACGTGCCTGACAGTGAGTCACAGGATGGAGAAAACGAGGGTGAGGACGACGACGACGACGACGAGGGACCAGACGATCAGATTGGAGACGTGGATAAGTCGGATCCCGAAGCCGTGGACGAAAAGCTCTGGGGGGATGAGAAAGGGCCAGAGGGAGGATCGGAAGGAAAGACAGAAGAAGATAAATCAAATGAAAAAGGAGGAGAGTCAGATGTTGTCGCAAAGGAGGGAAAGGGGCCAGAGTCGCAGAAAGATAGGGAAGAAGTGGAAAAGGACGAGAAGGATGGCACCGTTGATGAAGAGACACCGCAAGACGATCTTGGGAATGATGATGGGGAGACTGCACCTGATGGAGCCGGAGCACCCATTGACGACTATGTTCAGAATGCCGACACTCTCGACCTACCGGACGACCTGGACCTGGGCAACGATGAGGATATGCAAGAGGGCACACAACCAGAGGACGACGACGAGCAGCTCGAAGATCAGCCACAAGACGAACGCCAGGAGCAGATGTCGGATTTCGAGGGCGATGAAGATACAGGTCATGATCAAGGCACTTCCCTGGATGCAACAGATGAGAGGATAGAAGAAGACACGCAAAAGCAAGAGATTCGAGAGGAGGAGGATACGTCCTCTGAGGTTTCTTGGGAGAAAGCTATGGCTCAACCTGATCTTCAGCCAGGGGAAGGGTCTGCTGATTCATTGCAAGAAGAATCATACAATTCGAATGTACGAGAGAGTGCAGCCTCGCAGTCGGGAGGTGCTCAAGATTCTGCTGGCCAAGGCGCCGGTTCAGGTGAAGAGGCGAATTATGAAGAAGGGTAAGTTAGAGCCATACCCGATCTCTTTCGGAATAGCTGCTGATATGCTTGTAGAAATATGGAAGAACCGCAATCTAAAGTCCCCGATATCGCGGAAAACCCTTCATCCGGATCTGCCACACTTGGTCAACAACAAGGTAGCGCAGCGTCTCAAGAACCAACTCAATCGGAATTGTCCAATAACCCTCTTCGAAGCCTTGGCGATACATTAAGAGAAATCCGTCAGCGCTTTGACGACATACTAGAGAGTGGAGACGCTCAGGATCAGAGTACTCACCCTGCAGACACTTCTGAGCCTTCACAGCTTGAGTATCTTCGCCCTGATGATGTCGACCACGAAATGCAGGCTCTTGGTCCGGTCGAGGCAGCAGATCAGGCTGCAAAGCTCAGCGAGCTTAAGTTGATGGAAGACGACCAGCCCACAAACGATTTTAATCCCCCCATGGACATTGACGATTCTTCAGCGGAGGAGCCTCCTTTCAATCAACCGCAAACATCACAAGTTCCTCCTCAACTTACTGCTGAAGCTCTGCAAGAAGGCGTCGAGAATGCGCTCACTCAGCATCAGATCAACGCACAAAAAGCCTCAACCGCGGACTCCGTCATCGATGCTTTGGCTCCGGACCCTGCTGTCGACATCGAGGAGCCAGAAGGGCAAGCATATGTAGAAACTGAGTTGCGCCGCTGGCATGCAGAAGGACGGCCTGCTGAGGGCGCTGAGAACCTTTGGCGCCTCTATGAATCTCTGACCCATGACTTGTCTTATGCACTCTGCGAACAGCTCCGACTCATCCTAGAACCCAGTCTTGCTACGAGACTCAAGGGCGACTATCGCACTGGAAAGAGGCTCAATATGAAGAAGATCATCCCTTATATTGCTAGCGAGTATACCAAAGACAAGATATGGATGCGCAGGACCCGTCCCAGCCAGCGCGAGTACCAGGTGCTCATAGCTCTTGACGACTCTAGATCCATGGCCGAGTCGCATTCAGTCCACCTTGCCTATGAGACGCTGGCCCTCGTATCAAAAGCGCTCAGTCGGCTGGAAGTAGGAGATATAGGGATAGCGAAATTTGGAGAGGCCATTGATGTGCTTCATGGGTTCGACGAAGGGCTGTTTACAGACCAAGCAGGGATGCAGGTGATGGGTGCATTCGGATTTCGTCAGAATGCGACAAATGTGCTTTCTCTCGTAGAGTCCAGTCTCAAGATACTTGAAGAAGCCAGGGAGCGACGATCCACGGGTTCGTCATCCGCAGCGGATCTCTGGCAGTTGGAGATCATCATCTCGGATGGCATTTGTCAAGACCATGAAAAACTTCGAACAGTACTCCGCAAAGCAGAGGAGAAGCGAATCATGATCGTCTTCATCGTTATTGACTCCCTTCATTCTAATGCGACTCTTGCACTCTCGGGATCGGGATCCTCCGTCACTGGTGGAAGTGTTCAAAACTCTATTCTCTCGATGAACCAAGTCGCGTACAAACAAGTTGACGGTCGGATGGAGTTGCAAATGCAGAGGTACCTCGACTCGTTCCCATTTGAGTATTATGTGGTACTGCGGAATGTTGAGGCGTTGCCAGAGGTGTTATCGGGCACCTTGAGGCAGTTTTTCGAACGGATTTCCGAGGAGTAATATCTTGTTGTATATATTCGTCGACAATGTCATGGCATAAACACGATTCCGACTGCATGACTAGCCCTTGGGACAGAAATAGTAAGTCACAAACTTCCATCCTTGCGCCAAACAAATCTCCAAGACCGGTACAGCCCACTATACGCTTTTAGTCCAACGATACACATGTACCAAGACATCTCAGAGCCACTGCGAACTGAAAGGTTGAGGCTCGAGAAGTGTCGCTGGTACTGTGGGATCACCTATGTATCCGGCGTTGCTATCGCATTACGGTACTGGGTCGAAGTCAAGTCTCGCTGCGCTGAAGCTGTCATTCATTGAGTTGGGATGTACGCCTCGATGTCGTAAATAGCAAGTATAGGATCGCCAACATGAATCTGTTTCAATGGGAAGGAAAAACGCAGATGGTTCGGTTGACACAAAGTATGTATAGAAGTCACCTGAGGCACAATCTTTTTCAGAGAATCTACAGTATTTGATGGCGACACTCTGTATTGGACATTGAAGCTCCTTCCGCCGCCTGAGCAGTCGTAAGAGCATCGGTCCGAAATCGACGTATTTAAGGAAGTCAACACTTTGCAGCGGAACGCTTGGGGGTTCGGGAGGGGGCTGCATACACCGTCATCTTCTATGCTGCTGTCCTCTGCGTCAAACTCTGCAATAGACATGCATTTTACGTCCCGAGCAGGTCTGTGTATTTCGGGCACATTCGCTTGATTCACCGGGAAGCCATCCATATAGCTGATGTCGATAGTGGAAAGATCTAGGATTCCCATGGACCGAATGAGCATCTGTATATCGCTCTGGTCAAGGTTTCGTATTGGGTCGATGTTACTCTCTAATTATGGGATCCGCGAGGTCGGGCGTCGCGAAGACATTCTGAGACACACATGAAAGAAGGACACCTTCGAGGAGTGCAAGGATGATAAATTACTCGAGTTGCGATTGCAGTCTTCAACGACAGGGAAGACGGCGGTGAAATCTACACAATCACTACCAGAGGACTTCAGATCCAACCACATCATAGCAGGAACGTGTATGCTTCTGAGAACAGCTGTGCAGCCAGATAGGTGCCTGTACAGTGTAAGATGCGATAGCTGGGGGAGTTCGACGATGGGTTTGCGCATCTGATTAGGTGCCCAAGATGCTGAAAGAGAGTAGAGAAGGAAGTAGCTTTCAGTGTATAGGACTTGTGCATTTGCCTCAACGCATCGAACACGCCATTCGATGGTAATGCAAAGCTCCCCACAGAAGGCTCCAGATGAGATGGTAGAAATATCGATAAAGTGGTCAAGTTGTATAGGAGCGGGGATGACCAAGGGATCTGGACCTTTGAAGATCACCGTTCGGAAGTTGGGGGCATCGCCAGCATAAAATGGTCAGGGACAATAAGTGGTTTGTGGGGACCGCGATAACTAGATCTCAACTCCAATCGCTCGAGGAGGGGCACGGGGACTATAAATAGCTTTAAGAGAGCGGAAATATTCTCCTGCTGCCAATCGAGTGAAAGCACTTATATACGAGACAGGTTGGCTTTGACCATTTGAATCATTGTGCTGTGTTTTCCGCGTGAGGTCTTGTGAATGTCCGTAATCATCAAGGGCGCATTTTTTGCGCGTCTGATTATCTCGGTGGCCTAAATAGAGCCGACTCGGTCCTCAGATGTCGATGTCAGCCCCAAAAGTCGGCTGTTCCAGCGCAATTTGTCGCCAGCGACTGCAAACCTGAGAAACCTTCTTCCACCAGAGCTCGCGACGATCATGAGGGTAAGGCTCGTTTTGGGCCGCAAAGTTCAAAAACGCGTCCTAGAAGCTCGGGTGGGAGACTCGATACGGGACGCTGCTTATTGTGTCACTGTGCCAATAGCGGTTGCGGCGACGTGTAGGGCTGTGAGATATCATGGAAAGCTGGGGATGTACTTTGAGGCCCGACTGCTTTCTGGCATGTCGGACATCCTCGACCCTCGTTCTGTGTATACATGAAACTGAAGGATTTATGAAGAATGTTAGGGTGTTATCCAATATTCCAAACGGTGTCGTTCAGCAGAAATAAGCGCTGACCCTAACCTCGCGAGCGCCGCTCATAGCCTCTTTAGGCAGCCTTACTATCAGGCTTATGGCCGGAGTCGGGACCTTCGTTCTGCGTCCTCTCTCTTCCCTACCAATCCCTCATCCACGATGGACGGACACAGTGACCGCATCGCTACTTCCAGATATCTGGACCACTCATCCACCGGTGTCTCATCTCACAATGACTACGAGATCGCTATAGACGAAGAGCGTAAGGGCCTGTTATCTGGCACCGATGCCCCTCTACTGTCCCCTAGAGGCCATAGCAATGCGACTAGTATCAAGAGCAGCGATGTCCTTTGTAAACGTATTAGGATTGCACTCTTTGCGCTGGGAGGGACCATCAGCCTGATAGTCACCGGAATGTACGTTGCATCGTTGTTGCCGGGCTGTTCGAAGGACGCATCGGAATCTGCAAAGTCCCTCCACTTCAACGGGCAAAGTCTTCGCTCCAATGGAACACATGACTTCAAGCGAACAGTCCTCCTCGTGTCTATTGACGGCTTGAGGTATGATTAAACGCTTGGAGGTCTACACGTTTGTCTTGATTACGTAACGTAGAGCGGATTATCTGGAGAGGGATTTGACACCCCATCTGCTGGACATCAGCAAGCAGGGCCTTCGTGCGAAGTCTATGAAGCCTATTTTTCCTGTATGATGCTCCTTCGATCGCTCCATATAATAGCTGATCTTTTTGCTTTGTAGACCTTGACGTTCCCGTAAGTTTTATTGAAGTTTCTTGGAACCTTCATGTCCTTCTCGCTTACCCAGGGCTTTCAAGCAATCACTGGGCTTTGATGTAAGTAGGATGAAATATGACCTATCCTCAATGCTGCTGACCTTGGATTCCAGGACAGGTCTTTATGCCGAATCTCACGGTATCGTCGCGAATGTATGAAGACAAGCTCGTCTCAATTCTTGAACTCACAACCGCGTTATCAGAACTTCTGGGACAAAACCACAGATTCAGAGTTCCATTACAACCAGATTGCGTCCTGTTGGAAGCCACATTGGTGGTTTGGCGAGCCGGTAGGAAACAAACCAGACTTTGCCCACACGCCACGACTCATCTTATTTTAAAACAGATGTGGGAGACAGCTGGTAAGGCTGGAGTGATCAATGCCAATCTCATGTGGTACGCACGTCCCTGATAATACCTGTCTCTCAATGTACGGAGCTTTCATACCTCGTGATGCTGCAGGCCCGGACCTCCGAAGACGATGACCGGAGCGACGCCGTCATACTTTTTACCCTGGAGGGTACGCATCTGATCATCATTGTCAAACACACTCTTCCCACGTTTTGCTTGATCGTAGGACAAGGTTCCTTTGAGCGAAAAGCTACATCAAATACTGAGCTGGATTGACCTTCCCCTCGAGGAACGACCACAGCTGATCATGGGTACGTAGCAAAATATGCGCACTTCATGGAAGATTTATCTCATCGCCTACGGTAGCGTATGAGCCTTCTTTGGATCAGGCAGGACATGCTACAGGGCCATACTCTGCCCTCGTCAACGTTTGTCATACCAATTTTTGGCATGTGTGTTTGCCCTTACATCAGAGCGCAGGATACGCTTCGTTACGTTGACACATTCGCGAAAGACCTACATACTGGCCTTGTCGATCGAAACCTAACGAACATCGTTGATATCGTTTTCGTCAGCGACCACGGTATGACCGACACAAGCCAACCTGAGTTCATATACATGGACGATATCCTTGGCGAACAGGGTTGGGCTTCGATTGAACATGAAGATGGTATGTAGCATAGTCAGTCCTGAGGCTTGATTGTGCCAATTAACTGTTTTGTCTTCGTGCTACTAGGATGGCCTTCTATGGGTCTTCATTTCAACTCCTCTCGCAATGCGGCTTATTATCTAGAAGTGCTTCGTGCAGCTGCGGCCAGCAACAAGGACAAATTCGAAGTGTTCACGCCAGAGACTATGCCTGGGAGGTACCACTTCGCACACAGCCCACGCATCGCGCCTGTGTATGTTGTTCCGAAAATCGGCTATGTCCTCACGACTCGCAAAGAGGGTGACGTTGGTTTGACCAAGGGTGTAAGGCTGCTCAATCGAATATTTAAGCCGATCGCTCACATCTCTGTCTACTTCCAGAATCACGGATATGACAACAACGACCCGTCCATGCACGCCATGTTCGTCGCACACGGTCCCTTTTCCTCTGTCGCCAAAGCAGTCCACCAGACCCGCTCGCGCGGCCTCCTATCACGTGCACTCTCTCGCCCCAACAAAGGATGGCACTCGACGTCGGACGATACCTATGTAATGAACACGTTTCAGAACGTCGAGATCTACAACCTGGTCATGAAGTTGCTCGGAATCGAGCAGGTGGCAAGCACTAACGGCACCCAGGGGTTCTGGGACAAGTATTTCTAGATCGCCTCGCCTCGTGTTTTCTAGGACATCTGGTGTGGAGATTGCACGACATGATTTTTATGATTCTCGGACTCGGATTCTTGTACTTTACAACAGATAATTGCACTCATGCGCGTTCATATCGAAACCGCGGCCCTTATTCATCGACTCAATGTTCTCACTACCTATGCAGTATCCACAAATGAACTTTCATCATAGTCAATATGGCCGTCTGAGCACGGATGGAAGATAGAAGTACACATATTAGACGCTAGCATCAACGATCGACAGTCTCTACTGTACATGAGCTTAATGCATCAAAGCAATGAAATCAGACTACGCCCAATAACAAAAAATCACACCTCCCCATTGGGCTTGATCGATGCTTTGCTCCGTTTAAAAGAACGACTGCTATCAGAAGAGGGGAACTTGATAACGACGTGTGTTTTGGATGGAATTGTATCGTCGTTGGTGTAGTTCACATCCCAGGCTGTTCGCCGGAGGGCGACCAAGACAACGATCACTGTAGGGTATATACCCTGCTCAGTTCGTAAATTGATTAACGGAGGCGCGAAGATGAACAACGAGCAGACTAGACGGACCGTGACTTGTACCATAATAGCTCTAGTGATATCATTGCCAATTTGGCCGAAGAAATCGAAGTTAGCCAGTATGAAGATTGCCTGTGTTCAATCGCACAAAATTAAGGACGCAAGGAAACGGAACAGTTCATCGGACTTACCCAGATCACACAGTAGAGAGCGCCAGACTCAACGAGAAGGGCCATCATCCTTTCCGCCATCGTGCTTCCATTCCCTGCGCCCATGGTAGCTCTCAAAACCTGTCGATGTTGCCTGACAATTAATGGCGCGCTAGTTAGGTTCTTGATCATGTCATGGATTTAAATGGCCTACCACGCTTTGATTGAAATGAGCACTGTGGCAACGAGGTTTGTGGCCAGTGTCATGAACCAGACAGCATATTGGAGGTTGCCAAGGGACGTGAGATTACCCGAAGCCGCAGTTGTGTGGTATCCATCAGCAGCCAACTTGACTTCGAAAGCCGCGCTAGCTAATGCCGCACCTAAGCCGAAAAATCAGTAGGGATAGGGTGAGAGTAAGGATAGCATGAGTACCAGTGGTTCCAATTAGTAGAACTATTGGGGCGGCTAAGACTCGAAGGTTATGTTCCCATAAAACCCAAGCTCTCCAAATGACGATCGCATCACTGAGGACATACTAGCATCGTGTAAACATAAGCGACCTAATAGAACTTCATTATGGTGGATATACGAACGTTGATGACAGGCAAGAAATTCTGTGCGTTCTGTAGTCGCGGTAACACTAGCATTTGGATGAGTTTATGATAGATTGAAAGTTGTACGTCCGTGGCACTCTGTATGGCCGCGTACAGATTAATTTGGGAGTTCAATAAGGCATTGGCCAAGCTGAGGCCCAAGTACGTGGAAGAGGTGGCAAACATGATCATAGTCACGACGAGCAAGCCCACACTCGCTCGTGACTTAATACCTTGGAAACTATTGTCTCGTCAGTCTTCACTGAGAGAACTGCCAAAGTAAAGAATTCGTACCAGAGGAAGTATGTGGAGAGCGTAATGAGAACAATGAATAATCCTATGGCACAATTGAGCACATGCTGGGCTTGTCGAGATGACAAAAATAGGAGGCGCACCGTAGAATATGTTCCCTATGAAAAAGATGAGCAAATAGTCTTCCACCTTTCCAAAATTATGTTGGGCCAACTGTTCAAGTTCAAGGGCAGATGAATTGGAAGACATGGAATGGGGTCAGAAAGAAGGGTCTTGAGTGGAAACGAATGCAAAAGTCTTCACGAGTGCGAGCCCGCAAGCGCAGAAAGTCAAAGCATATACAGCAGAGCGAGATGAATGAGGAACCGATGCGTCTCTGGTCCGTACTTATAACAGAAGGGCAACCTGTGCAGCGGTCGAAAAAGGGGGGGAAATCTTACGAATGCACGTCGACTTCAAATATTCGTCATGGAGGGTAACTCTGGAGCACAAGCGGCGACCAATTGCTTTTCTCAACCTATCCGACCCGTAGAAGGGTCAAATAACAGGTGGAACATGGGTCTGCGTGCCGATATGCTTCTGAGGCATCAAATGCTGCGATCTTGCGATCATCCGGAGAAATAGCAGGCTGCGGAGGTAACGACACTCACCATGGGTAGCAACATAGGAATTTAGAAGTTACTTCGACAGTCCTGAGGCACGAGCTGTTAGGGTGTTGTGCTGCTTCACGTGCTTAACATGACCTCAATGAGCAGGAAAATGGCCAGACATCAAAGCTAAATCTCATCGACATTTGGCGATTATGATTATCTCCAACTTGAAGCTTGAAAGATCCCCTCTAGGAGTTGAACGTTCTGAACCATGGTTAGCTTGCATAGGCAAGGAAAGCGTGAGAACAAGAGGCATATATCCACGTTGATGACTCATCGACGTTGTTCTGTCAGGGCCACGACTAGGTAGTCTCCCAAAGGCAGCAACGTAGGCGATTCTCCTTCAACCTCCGAGGTGGCCTCCGGACATCCGTATCTGACGTCTGCTCTCTATTTACCCCTGCTTAAGGAGGGTTCGGTTACAGCATCGACTACGCTGAGCGCTGCTGAGCGACTAACAGAACCGTACAGAACCCGACTCACAACGTCTACTGCTGCGCTTTGAAATGAACATTTTGAATATAAGCGCCAGAAAAATCCAGCTTTTGTCAAGCGATCTCCTGTTTACCCCAGTCGTCTCAAAGACAACCTCTGAAGAGATCATTGAAGAGACTTCAGGGACTCCGTCACTCCGGTGAAGGTGAGCGAGACGAGTCTCAGATTCATTCAATCTACCATCTGATATCGCATTAGGGTTATTGCAGATGGGAACGGTAACCCTGATGCACGGTTCTGCGTACATGTGTATCGTGTAACTCTCTCCTCGAGAAGCCAGAGGTGGCCGCTCCTCATGAAACTGCGGTTTCCAGTGCTATTTGATGCTGCTCAGCCACTAATTGTTGTCCAATCGTGTCCGGCGTGTATTCTTTGATGGGCTATACGTCCAACTCAAGTATGCCCCGGAATGGGTTGAATACCATCCACATCACAGCGATTTGTCTGGGATGGGAGATCACTCACTCTTTCCGACTGTCAGGAGCGAAGCTCGGCTGGACTCGGCATAAGTAATGACACTATCTATGCCGGTCCCAGAGGAATCCGCTCAATGAGTAAAATCGATTGCTATGCTGTATTTCCTCATGTTCCCATTTCCGGGGTCTTTCGCGCATCTTAACAATTCATCAGGCTGTCGGTTTTCGTACGGCCGTTGGTGTGCTCTTGCAGCTCTTCTGATCACTGACGATTGCTGAGTCGATTGACTGGTTGTAATTACTACTGAAAAGGACATTCATGCGATCTCCTTCACCTGAACTTTGATACATGGGGAACATTCACGACATTGTTATGTGTTAGGATCGTGGCACGCGCAGCAGCGCAATCAAGAAATATACACCTGATTTGAACAGGCACAGAAGAAAAAAATAAGAGAGACAGCTACTGGCATGTACCATAAAAGCAGGAATGAACAATGAAATCGTTATCGTATCGTACCGTGGTATGGGGTGTGTTGATGAACCTTCTCTCTTTACTGCTATTCCATTTCCGGGCTTTACACCTAACATAATCTAAACAATTCCATTAGTGCCCCTCCGCATCGAACACAGTCTGGTTTCCACCCTGTCCGGTGACATGGATGTGATCGCCCGAAGCAGTAGGGATATACGCCTCCTCCGGCAGCCCAGACTCGTCGAGTCCTTCTGCCGCCTCGATGATTTCGTATAATTTCGATGCGACTTCTGGAGGGGGCACACGGCCGCCGAGAATATCGCGAGCGGGGATTGGCGAACCGTAGAAATCGCGGTTTGCGTCCTTCCGCTCGATAAGAACAGTCCCTTCTAGCGAGAGTCCAGCAAAAAGACCTGCCAGATACGAACATGAGCAACTGATCAGCCTCCATTACCACGGCCAAGGGACGTGAAAAAGGGAAGATCGATAGGGAAGCTCATACCCTTTGACTTCGAATACGAAAACATCGGGGCTGGATGCGCCAAGCTCGCCTGCACACTTCCTCCAGTGCCGATGGGGCCCGCGGCAGCACTCACATTCCCTCCGATTGTTACATTTCCTCCAATTGAAAACGCCCGCACGGCATCCTCACTGTTGAGCACAACGACGAAGTCTGTGATGTCGGCACCTATTTGTAGGCCCCAGCCGACGCCACCGGTAGCGATACATGATGGCGCGGACCAAGAGCCGTCGGGGAGGCGCGCGATAACGAGGCCTGAGCCTGCCTTGCCGGAGAAGACGAAGCCTGCTTTGAGGACTTGGAAGACAGCGAGACCTGGAAGAGTAATGCTCTGCGAATGATATTAAGACGAAGAGCCGCTCAACGACACACCTCGTGCTCTCTGCAGGACAGCCTTCGGTATTGAGTTCAGTGCAGATTCGGGTCGGTCAGGGTCAGCTAAGCGCAAGTATGAGGTAGATCAGAGCTGGGAAACGACGATAATCTTACAGTGCGACGCACCCAAGAAACTTTCCAAGATCTTAGCAGCTTTATCTGCCTCTCCAGGCAAGCTGAAGCCCTGAACGAACGTCTGCGAGCCGGTAGCGACACGATGGGAGCCCTCCTTCACGAAAGCACTGGCTTGAATGGTTGCTTTCTGTGCACCCTTGCGAAATTTGTCGAGCATAGACATAGTGAAAGCCGAGAGTAACTTGAAGCTTGACTCTGAAGTTGGGCAGAGCTATGACGATTTCGCCTCAGGCACTACCAGTGACAATCACGTAACGAAAGCCTTGGCACTTCTTCCAAATAAGTTTTCCATGATGATCTTGTAAAAAACCTACAGAAATGGACAAACATTGTATCCAATGTCGTCATTCTGTTACAATGTATGTTACAAAACTTTCATGCTTGGCAAAAACCAACCTTTCACACGGAATGTTACATTGGATTTATGTTTCGGAGAACGACAATTTCATTCGATACAACAAACATAAAACAATGCCTTTCGAAATACAAGGGTATGTAGTCCTACGAAGGTCGGATTTTTTTTTAGGATGACACGTAGATCTGATTCAGAACCCTGCTCCCGATACTGCATAATACAAAAAGCAGAACGTTCTCATGCAATCGTAACTTTTCTTGATTATAGAAAGCACCTTGATGCGTTAAACGCATTTAACGCCAGGTGTCGCTCTCGACGTACGTGCCGCTGGAAGGTGTGGTGATCTGCATGTTGGGGTCACTCTCCCAGGTCGTGGCGCCGTTGTACTTGCGGATGTACTTGTACTGGATCGACGAGCTGGCCGGGAGATTGACGGTGACTGAAGAGCGAGGGTGTCAAAAACCGGCATGAGATAGCAGAGGTTAAAAAGACATACTGCTCCAGGTGGGGTAGTTTGCCGCCGACAGAATGAGGGCGTTATCCGGAGACCAGTTTTGCAGAGCATCGACGGAACCGGTGATATAGATGTTTTCTGTGAAATAGTCGATTGATATTGGAGTAGAAAAGATCGGTGACGATTAGACGTACCTCCATAGACCGTGGTTGCCTGAACGTTGAACGTCACAGCAACGGTGCCAGAGCTGCCTCCAGAGCTGCCTCCAGAGCTGGTCGAGCAAGATGACGGGACAACCAAGCCTGCGGCGCCCCAGCTAGGAGCGATCACGCCAGCCCTCGCATCGAACACGGTCAAGGCGCTTGCGTAGCTCCAAGTCAAATCCACCGCGCTAAGCGGAGAGCCGGAGCTTCTGCTGTACTGCTCGGCAAGTCCACCGTTTGACGGGGTGTACTGCGCGACCTCTGCGACGAAGCCATCAGCGAAGGTCTTGACGGCGGCAGTGAGCGTGGTGTATGTAGAGGTTGACGAAGCGTAGCTGCCGGCCGTAACGCCGGAGGAGAACTGCTGGAAAAAGGCGAGCGAAGTGCTAGTGACGTTCAAGCCACCGAGTTGGTTCCAAGTCGTGAGTGCATCGTAGAGCTGTTCAGCGACAGCGAGAGTCGTAAGGTACCAGGGCTACAAGAGATACCATTAGAGCACAGACCTAGAGGTAAGCAAGGTATGATACATACGTTTCCACCTTGGTAGCTGTCCTCGGGGTAGCGGCCCGTAGCGACTGCTGCGTTAGAGGCGATACCGCTGTTGATGGAGTAGATGGACCTGAACGAATCAACGTAGACCTTCAAGTTGGAAAGGGCTTTGTCCGAGCAAGGCTGGAAAGTGGCTGCGTCGCAGCCAGCCTTGATGTCCCAAGTGTGAATTGAAGTCAAGACAGTGTTAGCATCCTTGCCAGAGCGTCCACCGCCAGTATTGGCAGTGATATAAGCTCCCGAGGGGTTCCAGTAGGACTGTAGACAAAAAAAATCAGGATTTGGTCAAGTGCGAAATCTAAGGATGCCTTACCTGCAAGAAGCAAAGTGTGTTGGCGGCTTGAGCGTCGTAGTTGCTCACAACAGATGTCTGACCGATTCGGGTCGCAAGGGCAGAGCCTTCGCGAAGCGAGCGGTGCTGAACAGCGGTGGTGAAGAACGACGACGACTGAACTTCCTCCCAGAGATCGAAGCTAGAAATGTTTGATGCGTTTTGAGTGAGTGATGAAAACATTTGATGATGTGAATTGCGACACCAACCCAGACTGGTTCCAGTTGTTCGCAACGTAGTCAACATCGAGTTTGATGACGGGCCAGAGGGTGTTGGTAACAAATGTCGTGTTGCTGTTGTCCAAAAGCCAGTTCGCATAGGCGATGAGGGCAGTCGAGCGCAAAGCGGGACCATCTAAGTTGTGAAGTGTCTAGACAAGTTCTAACAGTTATTACTAAGCCGAACTCACCTCGCTGAGGACGTCCCCAGGCGCCGGTGAAGGCAGTTTCATCGATGTTGAACTTAGGCTCCCCAAGACCACCCGAAGAGACGGTGCCACTCGGGTTGGATATCTGCTGGATGATGGTCTGCGCAGAGACAAAGTTGTCGATCTGGCTACGAAGAGTGGTGTCTCTGCCGGAGGTGAACTGATCGATGATAGCCTTGAACACAAGCGAGGAGTCGCGTGTCCATGTGTAGAGGTAGTCTGGGTTGGAGGTGCTGGGGCTGGCAATGACTATGCCCGACTAGGGTATGACAAAAACAAGTCAGTGCTATTGGGTGGTTGGGAGTTCGGCTAACACGCACCTTGGCTCCCTGCGACTTGGAACCATTAGGACCGATGTTTGCAAGTAGCCCAGCTTTCGCGATGGGCGACTCGGACGCGACATAGGCGTCGGCAGTACTCGATTGCGAGAGAACGCCGTTGACGAGACCGAGAGCAGCGACGGTGAACTGGAGGAGACGCATCTTGGGAGAAAGCCGCTTGGACGCTGACCTACGGAGGCCTTCTGGATGTCGTTTTATACCATCGAGGAGACCAGGACGATTGGCTGTTTGCCATGTCAGAGAGCACAAGCTGGTATGGTTGCTCGCATCGATCATAGGTTGGGCGTCAGCTGATTCTGACCCACGCATGCCAACCGCGTGCTGGCTTGCACCAGATTCTTCGTCCTTGGCCCAAGGTGTGCAAATTCGTCAGCTCGGAGGACTAAATCGGAAGTGTGTTGGCCCATGGATTGCTGGGAAACCGTAAGGAGAATGGGACTGTCACATGGAAGCATGCTAAGTTTCATGTTTGGCACTCAGACGCAATCCAGTACAAGTGGTCAGGCTCGGGTTTTTCGTCATGCGCGAGGGTTGCTTCGACCAATTCTGTTGCACTTCCATTTGGCTTTCTGTTCTGAATTTCGTTCCTGGATCCTTTTGCAGCGCGATGCTTTCGAAAACGGCCCCCTCTTCCTCGATGCGGCCTTCGGATGTTCTCCTGTCCAGGGCCAGCCAGTGGCCTGCCCTCCTCCACCTCCCTTCCTCGATCGTGGTTGGGTTATTCACCTGGCCATGTGCAACAGCATGGAATCACATGCCTCCGACCTTGTGATCCGTTCTTAGAGTAAACCTTCTTCGTCGCGGACCCGACGCACATTTATGACGGACAATATGATCCCTTGCAACGGGCTTGGGAAACCAGGGCGGATCTTGGAGCCTCGCAATATCCCCATGGAGCCCCATCTGGGTGCTCGCCGATCCACGTTGGTGTCCATATACGTCTGCTTGCCCTTCTTTTTATTCAGCGATCCTCCCTTTCAGCCAAATCTCCTGGGGCGCCGGCATTTTGTGTGTGCCACCGACATGTCCGGTATGCCAATAAAACACCACCTCCTGTAGGTGACTCTGTTCTTCGTCATCGACCACCAATCTGTATGAGACTTCTTCTCTTTTTTCGTCCATTCAGGCCTCAAAATTTTGATACTTTCCCTCATTCATCTGCTATGCTCATTTACCACCTAGATCTCGCCCTTTCTGCTCAGAACGTGGCTTCTTTGCACTCGTTATCCTGTGCTTCCTCCCTGCATCATGAGTCCTCGATCTTCTTGGTCCGACGCATCCGACGTCCGACGTATCCATCTCTCCATTTCTTTCCCCTGGACCTGGATTTCTCATCATCGTAGCAAGCCGACTTACGCAACGTAGGGTTTATGCGCTGTCACAGGAAATTCCGCACTTGTTCTCTGAGCGCAGCAACGTTCTCATGTGATGCTCCTTACAGGCAATTTGTTTTTGAAGTACCTTCTAGTGCCGGCACTCATCGAGCCAACGTGGGCTTTGAGCGGGCAGGTATTGTCTCGGGGTCTGGAGGCTCTTGAAACGCCTTGCCCGCAGTCTCTCCCCCGCTTTTTGCTCTCGATTCTTACTCGTCTTCGAACATCTACGGAAAAGATGGTCACCGCTAGATCACCTCCGAACAAAGTTGCCGGCAGCCCTAATGCCCAACTATCTCGTCATCCTCATGTAGTCTCGAACAGCAGTGACGGTTCAAGGTAAATACTTTGTGATACTCCCGACGTACGCACTCCCACCTTTATTTCCCTACTGCCTTCGATATGAAACCTCTTAAAATCGGACTATATCTGTGCCCCCAGGATTTTTTCTTTTGGTTTCAGGGCACAGAAAAGGAACACTACCCTGGCTCCCCTCCCCCAGCCAACACGCAGTGCCCGGAAGAATGTCAATGAAGCACCTCCCTTCGCACCCCTTTTCATTGTACATTGTCATTGATTTGAATGAACCTTGACTTGACACGTATACTGCGGAGGATCGACCGTCAATCGTGGCCGAGCCGTTAAAAAAGTCGGCGACGTTCTGACTTCTGAGCCGAACAAAACAGACAAGTTCGTGAATTTTAATGCCTGTACAAGTAAACTCGAGATGCTCGACTGTCTGGTCGGACACCTCGCGAATACCGAAAGACCCTCCGCAAAATTGCACTTTCAAAGGGGATGTGAAGTAGGCTCCCCCGGCTTGATCCAAGCAGTGCTGGTAGAAAACGCAGGAGCACTACTGACTAGTTTGGCTCAAGGTCAAAATATGCATGGCTGGGCTGATAGCAGCGTAACATACGCGGAATACTGTGCGTACCGTCCCAGGAAAGTTGCTAGAAATTGGGCGGCGCCGTCACGGATGCAGGAAAGCCAGATGAGGACACTGATAGGAGGTTGAAACTACCGCTAGGGACACTCCTGGGCGAGCCACTGAGGAGGTTGGATGTAAAGCCGTTGGGGGGAAAGCCACAGGGGGCGCACCCGAGGGGGCTCCGCCGGGAGCAACACTATTCAGGAACCCACAAGAGAGGATTCTCACGGAAGGACAACTCGGTAAACGATGTGGGTAGCATTGCAAGGCAAGAAGCGCTTGGTGACACAAGGGTGAGTCCTGCCCTCATCCACCAGGAGATGCGTGCTGCACACACGCCAATAAATATGAGCGGGAGAGGCAAACGCAGAACCTGTGATGAGGGTGAAGGCAATCAGAAAGATGAGTGAGAGTATGTCGAATAATGTCGGAATGTAAGGGAGAGAGATTAATGTTAAAAGCGATAGTGGAAGATATCCTTCAAATGAATCTTGCTGGCGACTTGATCAAGAGATGAAATTTCCCTACGGTTATATGCAGTCAAGGCCGTGTAGTTGATCAGTCATTCCAATGCAGCGCTCGGCTATGACGTTTCTTCATTGCTCAACCGAGTCTACAGGGATGTCATGGTACTGTATACCTTTATACTACAAGGCCGTTAGTCCAAAAATTAGCGCTGCAATAATTCAAGTCTTGTGGTCATGAAGCGGCTAAATGGCCTAAATAGACGCTTTCGCGTATGGACGGAGACTGATTGCGGAGGGAGGAGCGCTCAGAGCCCTTCATGTAGGTGCTGTAGTGTAAGCTGCCATGAAAGAGACGCGACCCGAACTGCAGCAGGTGAAGTACGTACGAAAAGCCTTGGAATCTAGCAGACGACAAATGCTGGAAAGTCCCATCTTTCGAATCCCGCGAATTGCGCTCAATGAGGAATGTTGAGACGACTGTTTTCTGTAAGAGGTCGGTCCCGGAGACTGGAGGAATGCAAGGAGCAAGGTCACACCTCTCCAGCGTGTGGTATAGGCACAGTATCTTTGGTGCGAGAGTTAGTAGATGCAGATGTGGTCCTTGCACTGTGTACAAACAGACGGAGGCAATGGGGAAGTTATGCCGTCCCCGCGGAGCCGTCCAAGCAATCTCCATGACAATATGAACACCTAGACAAACCGTATCAGATGCCGTATCTCCGTGGATATTAGGAGGACTTACAGCTTTGCATACTTATAATCACGCTCGTATTGACTTTGTATTGCAACGGAAGCTGGAAAATAGCTCAAACTAAAATTTGAACGGCTGCAGATTTTGAATGGGAGATTTCGAGACCGGAACAAAAAACTAGACTGTGTCCGAGCGCTGAAGACGGTTTGGCATCCTAATCCAGATCGGCCAAGAATGCACAACTAAGTGATTGATAGTAAACAGCATACGATCGTCCATCATATCTTCACGTTGGCTGATGCGAATGCACCAAGTAGACATATGTCCTTAAGGACCATTGATTTTCGTCGATGACCATCGTTCTGAATTGACGTAGCTGAAAGCCCCGCAGAGTGTGTATTATTAGAATTCCGGAGTGATTGGAAATTTTCACTCATCTCTATCTCCGAACGTGTCCACAATGGCGCGCGCACATGCGCGCTGCAATCCAGACTCCCAAGCGGGAGAATGTGGGCGGTGTTTTTTCAAAGGGTACCTGCGGCAAATGAATACGCCCCATGACAGACTGCGCAGCAGGGTCCTTTTGGTAACTGCTTCCGCTCTTGGTGAATCATGAACTTTTCATGGACTGAAAGCGGTGCAAGGTGTAAAAACAGGACGATTGCTATGGTCATACCTGGGTACTTTCACGCGTAGATCGCGAGAAGAAACGAATGGATGAAAGCTAGAGTTACGACATATGTCCTGTCACTTTTCATGTTTATATAAAAGACGATAGAAGTCATAGTGTGAGAGGATGAATGCCAAATGTGTATCTGTGTGTATCTGTGCATGATGGAGCACAGGCCGTACTTTTCAACAGCGACCATGGCATTCTGTGTGTATAACAAGTCCATGCGTCGCCCATGTGTCTTCGAAATATTGTTTCTGGGTCATGTCCTGCTGCAGTAGCGAGACGCTTGAGAGAAGTACTCGAAGAGGTCAATGGTCATCACCGCACATTGCCCCCAAATATCCCCAGGGGATATTCGGGGCATATTAGCAATATACCTCGAATATACCCGGAATATACTCGTCAGGGAATATCCCTCAAATATCCCCCAGTCAATCCCAACTGGGAGATGACTCATCCATTTCGACGGTCACCTGATGAGTGCGCGTCGTCGGACAGCGTCGAGATTTCTCTTAAGTGCTCTCTTCGTCTTACCCTCTAGGAGCCTCCAGTGTGCACATACCTTGGTGAGTCTTTCTCCCACTGAGACATGTTTCGATATGCTCTATAGTTCCGGTTTTCTTATATAATCAGATCTAATGCCTGAAAATGCGGGATCAGAGCGCATATATGCGTCCATTTAGGGCGGGCCGGGGTGGGACTGAAGGAGATTGCAAGCACAGCCTACGACGTGTGTGCGGCAAGAATTGTCCGAACGGTGGGTATTGCGGGTGTGAGCGTGAACGTTGGATGGATGAGATTAAGGGTAAGCACAGGCTGAGCTTGGTGGCGTTGGCGTGGGTGCTAGCATCTGTGTTTCTCATGCGCATGGTGGCTCGGATTAGCCTCAGAGTCTGCGGTGCGCGCGCAAGTGCCAATGTCGTCGGGGCAGCAGCAACATCAGTGAGGCCAGTGTTCATTTGGGCTCTCCGTGTCCCAGTGCTAACCCCCCGCACGGCAGTACTGACCCCCGCACTACACCGCATTCTTTCCATTCCCCTCGCTCCCTGCACTCGCCAACCTTATCAAGCTGCAACCCTTCCTGGTGACCTTGTCTCTTCCCGCACTGATCTTCTCAGCCTCGACACGCATGCTCACCCCGCTTCTCCGCAGGATGCGCCTCTACGCTACCAGCACCAATGCACTTGCCAGCGGCTGCGTTTGTGCGCGTGGCGTGCTACCAGATGTGCTCGTGTTCGACAGCGCGGTGCCGCAGCCCGACGCACCCCCCAAAATGTACTCCTCGAATTCGAGGCCACGCGCGGACGCACCGCTCCCGCCACCGCAATAGATTCTTGCGTCAAGGCGCTGGTCGTCCCATCCCTGATGCGCGCCGTGGCTGCTTGCGTATGCGGGGGAACATCCAGCCGGGATTCGCACCTCTCGCCTCTTCAAGTATATCTTGTAGATCTTTCAAGCCTTAGAATTGTCGTGTAGCCTTCAATAGCATGTATTAGTTTTATAATTTGTTAATATATTTATTTCTCTATCTATGGAGCGCATATAAAGTGATTGGAATGATATCGAGCTCGAATAAACCCACAATATACTGTGAATATACTCAGTACCCAGGTATATTCACGGTATATTCAAGACATTACCTTGAATCGATCGTGAATATCCCCGGAGGGGAGGTGGGTATATTCGCGGTTGATTCCGGGTATATTGCGAATATCTCCCAAATGTACCCCAGGGGATATTCGGGGCAGTCTCATATATGAGACTGCCCCGACTTCATCCCGTCCACAATGTCAATTACGACTACTTCGATCCTGAGCTCCGCCCTTCTTTACACCGTTCGGTATACCTATCATAATGCCTGACAACTGTCTTGAACTGAACGGGTGATTCATCTTCCATGATGATCCCGCAGTACAGTCTAATATCCTCGGATCTAACGATTGGCGACTATGCGGCGGCGGTATGCGCAACTTTGAGTCTCGGTGCGTGCTGGTATCAATCGATGACGGTCCGAAGACATTGATTGTGCCATAATCTGGCCGTCTCAGAATCAAGGTCGTAGCGCCAAGAAAGTTAAGCCTTCTTTGTTCTGACTGGGTGGCTCTATCCCGTCGTGCCTTCTCCCACCCAGTCCCTACTACATCGACCGTCCAACCCTTTCTGGTACATAGAGTCGTTCAGCGGCAATGGGAGACCATGAATCCTCGACGACGCCGCCAACGCCTCCGCATGTCATATCACAGACGCGAGGATATCAGCAGGAAATGCTCGAAGACAGCATGCACAAAAATCTCGTCATTGCGCTAGACACTGGAGCGGGTAAAACGCATATTGCCGTGCTCAGAATGAAGTGGGAGGCGGAGCAAGAGTCTAGCAAAGTGCGCCCTACGTCACCATCTTCGTATTGGGGATCGTGCTAACGCTGTGGTGTTTTCGTAGGTGTCGTGGTTTCTCGTCCCCACCGTTGCCCTTTGCGAACAACAACGGGAAGTCATTGATAGTCACCTTCCTGTCTCTGTTGGCATGATCACGGGTGCAAATGAACCAGATCAATGGAAGGACCACAAGCTGTGGCAGCGCGTGCTGCAGACTCACAAAATCATTGTTTCCACGCATGCTGTCCTCCTCAACGCCCTTCGTCATGGGTACATCAACATGGGAAGGGACATTAGTCTGCTCGTATTTGACGAGGCGCACCATACCGCGGACAAGCATCCCTACAACCTGATCATGAGAGAATTTTATTTCAACCTGCCACGGCGCTCTGGAGATTTCGCCTACGATGCGACCGCGAATGTTCGTCCAATGGTCCTGGGGCTGACTGCTAGTCCAGTGTTTGGTGGCGACATCGAAAAAGCATTCCGGTTGGCGGCATCTTCTGACGTTATCGTTACGCTAAGCTAAAGTCTATTATTAGAACGCTTGAAGCCAATCTGGACAGCACGATCCGCGCTCCTCTCCGCTTCCGCGAAGAACTCTCTGGCTTTGTCCATCGACCTGAGTTCAAACATGTTATCTATGCCGCACCCGAATACAAGATGGTGGGGCCGTCCCCCTCTACTAACCTCACTTCACTCCAATCTGTTGTCGCATCCCTCAACATAGAGGAGGACCCATATGTCCTCTCACTCCGCGAAAAGCTGAGCCGGCTTCCACAGGGACCTGACCGCCACCGCACGGATCAGAAGCTCAGCAAAGTAATCAACAAACAAGACTCGTACACGCACAAGGGTTTGCGGGATTTTATGCGCGCAGCGGAGGAGATTTGCTCGGATCTCGGGCGTTGGGCAGCGGACTGGTACATCCAGCAGGTCATCCGGCAGGCGCTTTCGGCAGACGGGATGTTCCCGGATTACGCGTCTGTATGGAGCAATCGGGAGAAGCAGTACCTCATGGACACGCTTGCGCGAGTGGAGATCACGCCGGTCTCGTATGACTCGGAAGATATTGTTGCGCGCAGCTCGGACAAGGTGCGCGCGCTCGTCGACACGCTCATCGCGGAGAAGGCGGCATTCGAGGCGCTCGGAGAGGAATACCGCGGGCTTGTGTTCGTCACCCGCCGCGACTCTGTTCTTGCTTTGGTCGAGGTCCTCGCGTCGTACCCGGGCATTGCAGATAGCTTTGTCACGGGCTGTTTGCTCGGTATGTCTGAGAGTTCCCGCCGCCGTGCCTTTCTCGACATCACGCGAAATCTGCTGCGCCAGCCTGCAGCCGAGACGCTGAGGGATTTCAAGGCTGGAGAGATCGATCTCATCATCGCCACTGCGGTTGCAGAGGAGGGACTTGATATTCAAGCGTGCTGTAATGTTGTAAGATGGGACGCACCACCAAATATGGTCAGTTGGGCGCAAAGCCGAGGCCGTGCGCGAAAGAAGCGGAGCACATTCGTTCTGATGTTCTCAGACGACTCTGTACATCATGGGATGGTCAAAGATTGGGAGAGGCTGGAACTGGAGATGGTGAGGTTGTATAATTCGGAACGAGCTCGTCTCATGTTCGAAGAAGAGGAGTACAGAGCCAGGTTTGGCCAGCCCGTATTCAGTGTCGAATCGACGAGGCAAGTTTACCCTTCTAATAGCTACACTCTTTTTGACGTGCTAATAATTCGTTGTATTCGCTTGAAGTGCCTTGCTCACACTTGACTCTGCCATCGAGCACCTCAATCATTTCTGCTCTGTTTTGCCCAATTCTGGACATGGCGAGCATATGCCCATATACGACATTGACCCGCCCGACTATCCCGAGGAATGGCACACTTTCGGTGGCTCCAATCCACCATACATGGGACCATACGGTTGTACAGTGACCCTACCCAAGCTTGTCGATCCCAAGTTTCGTGTCTTCACCACGCCATGCATTCACTCTCAAAAAGTAATTGCCCGGCAGCATGTTGCCTTTCTCGCCTACCTCGAGCTGCATAAACACGGCCTGCTCAATGAGCACTTGCTTCCGCTTACGAGCGTCCTGGAGCCAGAGAACGAGGAAGAGGTGAAAAATCTCTTGAAAGAGGTCGAGAAGCGAGCGGGAACCGCAAGGGTGACAAGTCAGATGAATCCGTGGTTACCTGATTTTGGAGACGAGCAGGAAGAAGAACAGTGGTACACTACCACTGTATCCTTTGACGACATACATCCCCTCAAATTACTCACACGCACACGATTGAGTCCTCTTCAGGAAGATCAGATGCCTCTTCTACACCCCCGCGATCGAGGACCCTTGCGAGTACACATTCATACAGACGAACCAGCTCTGTCAGTGTCCGATGATGATATCGCGCGGGCCAAGGAGTTCACGCGGCGCCTATTCTGGCCGTTTTTCGGCTCGCGCATGGACTGGGATGACCTGAACTTTGCGTACTTGTTCCTTGAAGCTCCCGCCTCCAAGCCCGATGTGTGGGCCGAGCGTCGTTTGGTGCACGATGCAGAGCCCCTGGTTCCTGGTCTTGCGCCGCTACGGTTCTTTGCGCGTGTGGCGTGGTTCGCAGAACGCTTCGGGCGGACCAAAGATCTGTGCATTGTCAGTGATATCCGGCGCTTCGGCAAGCTGTACCGCTTTGTGCGCTGGCGGACTACGCCTGTGTCAGATGATGAAGCAGCCGCGCTCGCAGAGCGGTACGACCCCGAAGGTGTAGGACTGGAAATTTCCTACCCGCTCATCGTGGCGCGCCCGCTGGTGACACGAATGAACTTCCTATTGCCTATACCTCCCCAAGCGGTCGCCGACCCAGCGAACCAACAGCCTATTTTGTTGTTGTCAGAATCCTCAACGGTGGGGCTCATTTCGGCGGACGACGTGCAGCGTGCGATGTGGGTACCATCTGTTCTGCGCCATCTTGCAGTGGCAAATACTGCTTGCGCAATGCGAGACACGCTTTTTGCCGGGACGCCTCTCGAGACAATCCCCCTTAACTTGCTTGTCACTGCATTGACAGCACCGAGCTCACAGGATCAGGTCAACTACCAGCGGCTAGAGACTCTCGGCGACACGGTACTGAAGTATATCGTGTCTATAACGCTGCTGTCGGAGTTCCCTCTGTGGCATGAAGGGTATCTGGCGAGGCGCAAAGATCACGCAGTGTCAAATGCACAACTTGCGAAGGCGGCGGTGAAGCAAAAGGTGTACAAGTGGATCGTGCGGGACCGATTTTCGCCGAGAAAGTGGAAACCTCTCTATGTCACCGCTGTGGAGGAGATGCGAAAGGCGGACGATGTCGAAGAAGTTGAAGCCGTGATCGACGAAGAAGAAGACCAGAAGGCGAAGAAACGGCGGGAGAGAGAAAAGCAGAAGCGGCAGTTGTCAACGAAGGTTCTTGCGGACGTCGTCGAGTCGCTCATCGGCGCGTCGTATGTGCACGGCGGCTTCGCCCTCAGCGTCGAATGCGCCAAAGTCTTCGATCTGGGTCTCCCATGGCGCCCAATTCCCGAGCGTATTGATGCGATGCGGGAGCGGATTTTCAAGCTTCAGCGGCTTCCGTCACAGCTGTCCGTCGTGGAAGACATTATTGGGTACACCTTTACCAACAAGGTCCTACTCGTCGAAGCGCTCACGCACGCAAGCTACCAGACAGACCTTGGCACCATTTCTTACGAGCGCATGGAGTTCCTCGGCGACTCGGTGCTGGACATGATCGTCACCGATTTTCTGTATCACGCCTCCGGGAAACAGTACTCTCCCGGGCAGATGCACCTTCGCAAGACAGCCGTGGTGAACGCACATTTCCTTGCGTTCGTGTGTCTCCGCGCGTCGACCGCGCGAATAGATGCGATGCCTGTATGGCGCGACCGCCGCGGCGTGGAACTTCAGGAGACAACAAAACGCGTGTTCCTCTGGCAGTGCTTGCTACATTCGAGCGCGAGACTTCTAGATGACCAGACGACGGTCTTTGCGCGTTGGGGAAAGCACGGAGATACCATTCAAAAGGAGCTAGACGAAAGCACAGCATTCCCATGGTCGCCACTGACGTCGCTGCAGGCGCCTAAGTTTTTGAGCGATATGGTGGAAAGTATCCTCGGTGCCATATTCCTGGATACTGCGGGCAACTTGGACGTGGTCCGAAACGTCCTCCGCACGCTGGGGATCATGCAGGTGCTGGAGCGAATCGTGGCAGCGGGTGTGGACGTCCAGCATCCGGTCTCGCGTTTGATGATGTGGAAGGCAAAACGCGACATTGATCTAGAGTTTAAGATCGAGAAGGGTGGAGGATTGGTAAGATGTACCATCTATCAGGATGAGGTGGAGGTGGTTACGGTAGAGGATCAGTGGAGAGGACGAATCAGTCAGGAAGACGTGCGCTTTGCAGCAGCGGAGAGAGCGTATCACATTTTGGTCGCACAGGAAGCCGAAATGAATCAGCCGGGGTTCTTCAATACCCAAGGCGAGGACGTGGAAGAGGACGAGGACGAGGACGAAAGAGAAGACGCCTTCGCTGACAGTCAGTGAAGCGAATGTAAACCGCAGATACCCTAACTTGTTGCTTGCTTATTATACTCCTGTACTCTGGGAATGTCCAACATAGATGCTATGATATGTGTCCGTCCGAGGGCGAAGAACACGTGGTCGACGGAGGTGAGGACGATTACGTTCCGTTACGGAAAGCAGCGCGTGCCCAAACAGTACTTGAGCCGCCCCGCACTCCCCCCTCTTGTTCCTCAACCACTACCGTCATGTCTGCCGACAACGCCGTCCTCACCCAGATCCTCGCTCAGCTCCAGTCCCTCCAGGTCAATCAGCAGGCCATGCAGGCCAAGGTGAGGCCTTGTAATTTGAACGCGTGTTTCATATATGCTTATGCTCGAGATCCGAATAGCTAGACGCGCTGTCTAACCCTGCTTCGCCGCCAGGCCTCTCGAGCCCACCTGGCTCATCTGCCATCGCTTTGCCCGTCGATGGGCTCTCGACCTCCCCGCCCGCTACCTCCGTGGCCGCATCGCTTGCTGGCGAATTAAACAGCGGCAAGCCCTTGACTGACAAGGAGCGCGAGAAGCTGCTGTACCCGTCCAGAGTCATGTTGACCAGTGAGTGTCATTTGCCCCTCGGCGGCGCGACAGCGTTGGATATACGTCGATGTTTCTTGGACTGGCCGACGGAGCCTTATCTCGTGTGGCGCGCGCTATCTCCCGGCCTGTCCGCGATATCTTATCATGCCCGTGCCGTCTGCTCACGATTGCCCATGCACAGCATATCCCGACCAGCATGGCGTCAAGCCCCAACCTCTCCAATGGGGCGCTGCCGACCCGTCCGTGCGCGGGCCGGTGATTTGCTCGCGCCTGCCATCGTCGCTCAAGAGCCGCAACGCGATTGGCGCGCACTCAGGGTCATACTCGATCTACCGCGCGCTGGCGATCGCGATGGGCACGCTCGTGCCGACGCACAAGCCTGACTACTCACGCACCGAACCCCCAATCGAGATCCCGCCCCAGCCGTCGTGGTCTGACCCGTCCAAGATCGTCTCGTTCGATCCGTGGGGACATCTCGTCCCACAGGTCTTCCGCAAGGAGACGGATAGCGGTCTCGATATTCGCCCGAGCATTGCCGTCACCAAGGCGCATATGAAGCTCAGCGAGATTGATGAGGCCGCGCGCAGGGGCGAAATTCCTGTGGATGGGAAGATCGTGCTTAAGAGCACGCCGCTGCTCAATGCAGATGGCACACCCAGTTCTGCGGACCCCGGTGTCGAAATCAATATTGGTAAGGCCGCCGTCGAGCCTGTATGGTATCTGCCCGGCGTTGCAGACCGATTTGGCATGTAAGTAGCGGCTTGGCAGCTCAGAATTGCGTGCATCGATATATGCTGACCTGACGTCCACGTATCAGCTCTGAAAGCTTGCTACGTCGCGCACTATTTGAGGACACAGGAGGAATGTACCCCGAATTGATTACACGACCCGACATCAAGGTCTTCCTCCCACCCATCGGCAACTTGACAGTCTATATATGTATGTCGAATTGTCATTTAGTAATTCACGCTTACTAACTTTACTCTAGTCGGACCTGCGCATTATATGTGGGACGAGAGCAAGGAGCTCACCTTGCGCGTGCACGATGAATGTATGTGTCTCATCTCTCAGGGAGCAATAATATGCTAATTATCCGGGCAGGTAACGGCTCGGATGTGTTTGGATCCGACATCTGCACATGCAAGCCCTACCTTACATTCGCTATCGAAGAGTGCGTGCGGACAGCGCAGCGCGGGGGCGTCGGCGTCGTTGTGTACTTCCGCAAGGAAGGCCGAGCGCTTGGCGAGGTCACCAAGTGCGTCTCATGACATCCCATCTTTTCTATTCCTCTAATAACTCATTTCGACTTGGCTTCATGCGCTTCGCTCTTTTGGCCGCTTTAGATACCTCGTGTATAACTTGCGCAAGCGTGGCGGTGATTCGGCGGACAAATATTTCCGCGCGACAGAGCTCATCGCAGGTGTCAAGGACATGCGCTTCCAAGCACTCATGCCCGACGTCTTGCACTGGCTTGGCATTCGCAAGATCGACAACATGGTCTCTATGAGCGACATGTATGTCCCCCTCCCTCCTTTTGCGCGGCCGAAACTCACGCAAAGCGGGACCTGCACAGGAAATACGATGCCATCGTCAGCTCGGGTATTCCCATCATTAAACGCTACGATCTCCCCGGTACGCTCGCCCTGGTCTTCATTCTCTACCCTTTTTTCACTGCTACTTTCCTCTCGTGCAGACCACCTCATTCCTATGGACTCGCGTGTCGAGATCGACGCGAAGATCGCAGCTGGCTACTTTACCAGTGGCAAGCAGATCACGCAGGCCGACCTGGTCAAGACCGTCGGGCGCACATGGGAGGAGACTGAGCATTGAGCACGATTCTCTTGATTTTCATGTTGTCTTGTTTTGTTGTGGAATATCAGGTCATTTGAAATGGATAAAGGAGTCTGCCAGAGGTCTACCAGCGCACTTGATCCAACAACAATTCCACAGCACGATAGCATTGACGAAACAAACAATAATACAACCGTAAACTAATGGGCACCCACATCAAATCGCAGTCAAACAGCCAAGAACACACCAACTAATTAGTCTCATCATCTGCCGAAATAGCGCTCAGTGGAGATAGAGCCCTGTCGAGATGAAGTTCGGACCGCGGTTCACTGGCGACAGTTGATTCCTCGACGGCTATCTCTATCTTGGGACCGGCCTCGTCTCGCATGCTGATAGTCTTCTTGCTTTTGGACTTGGTGACCTTTTGAGCGCTCGGACAGCTCGTGCTTAAAGTGCACTGATCACAGCGGGGGCCAACGGGCAAACAGACCACCTAGCGATACGAGGGTCAAGAATGGCAACCAGAAGGAAGGATAGATCGGCACCTGACCGAATCCGACGAGTAGATGGTTGATCTCACGATGTAAGTCTGAAGGGAGCCATGACTGCAGATTTAGCCTTGGAAACGTATGATTTGAAAGGTTAAGCGTGTGCATATGAGTAGAATCAGGCACACGAACCGCGTCTCTTCTGGGTTCTTGGTTGGCGGTTTATGCCACTTGAGACGATTAGTGATACGATGGACATGGACATCCACTCCAATTCCAACGTTTCTACGGACAGTAATTTGATCGAACGAGAAACGTGCGACCGAAGTGAGAAATGCTTACAGGTTCCACGCTGTGTGCAAAGCCAAGAACGCCATTTTGGGTCCAACGCCAGGGAGTGAGCACAATTCATCTACAGTCTTCGGGACGTCTGAGTCGAAATTATCACGCAGCCGTTGAGCGGCTTGCTTTAAGTATCTAGGCTCGAAGCCGTTGGTTTCGCGCGGTGTGAATATGATATGAAACTGCATACCCGGTCTTGCGTCGCCAAAAACCAACCTTGCATATAGCATCTGAAATCTTGTCGTCATCCGTAGCTATTAAAGCCTCGACACTAAGACTGCCACCGATCGCGTCGCGCAGCTTCGATACCGCCGCGTCCGTCACTTCGTCTTTAGTTTGTGACGATAGCATGAGCGAGACGAGCGTCGCAAATCGCTGGTTCTGGTGCATTCTTTGAGTCATGGAAAACTAATGTGTAGACGGACCGCATACCTTGGGATCCTGCTCTTTGTACTGGGCCTGATCGCACCCCATGGTATCGACTGGGGCAGTGATGCGCGCACGCATACCCTTGATAGCATCATACGTCTCCTTCCAATTTTCCGGAGCAGGATGGGGCGTTTTCAACGACTGTGGGATGACCTTTGGTTTCCGGGGAGAAGACGGCGACGCTTTCGCCTTCACCTTCGCCTTTGAAGGTGACTTGACTGCGCGACTGCCTTTGAGTGCAGGCTCGGGTAGAGGTTTACTGGCAGTCTTCCGCAAGGCATCGCTGTCCGACTCAGTGAATGGTTCGACTTTGATACGCTTCGAGCGTCGCGTAGCAGGAAGACTAGCGTCAGCTTCGTCGGCCTCGAAGAGGGCGACCGAGGGGTCAAATGGGCTCGCATGCGATGTCAGTTGTGCTGCTCTCGATGCTGTAATTCTTTTCATGATGGCAACAAAAGAAGAGCGAGAAAAACACGCTATGGAGGCTGCAGGACGCGTTATGACGCGTCTGATTGAGTTGCTCTCAGAGACCCGAGTTTGTCTGATTATTGAGGTCATTATGTAATTTGTTATCCCCTCATTCTTTTGTAGTCCTGCTACGAAAGGCTTGTAAGCGGCGAAGCCATCTCTTCTAGACTCTATGGAGTACTGCAACACGCAACCAATTGCTTCAAGCTTCCTGCCTATCATCCCCAATAAATTATCTCAAATAACGATACGCACGCGTATTCATATCCTTAGTCCCATGACCTGAACAGCTCCTAGTAACCACCTTTCACTGACTCCCCACGCACTCCAGCCCCGGAACCTTCAGCCCCTTGCCTTCCATCGCGTTCTGTCGTATCTGCTTTTCAAGATAACGCACACGTTCACAATTTAGATCTCGATCGTCGCTATACACTGTGGCAAACGAACCAGAGCTTCGGAGTGGCGGGCCTATCTTCGCACTGTCAATGTTATGCTTCTTCGGATGGGACGTTTGTAGATGAGGGGGATGGATCATCCCGTTGCGATCCACCTTTGAAATCGGATGGAAACGGCGATTTTCTGCGGTCTTCTTCCCGTGTTTCGGATCAGGACCAGAAACATAGGTGGAGTGTGCGGGTCGTGGTAGGTCTGTTCTTGCTAACCGTGGCTTCTCTGTGATCGCTAGTCTTCCCTCTCTGAATTTGCGGTGGCGCGCTTTCTTGGCCGTAGGATCCTCGTGAATTTTCGCCGAGTGATCGAGATCTGTGGACGCAGGTTGCTGTGGTAATTGAAGCAGCGTCGCTGATACTACTGGAGAGCCTGCCGGGCGATGAGCAGCTAGCGAAGGGGTTAAAGATACTCGGATCGACTGGCTTGGTGAACGCTGATTTTCATCTCTGTCTTGTGAAGAGACAGACTCGGTTGAATAAGCAGACGAGCGCTGTACATCGCTCAGCCAGTCAGCAACCTTCCTGCGCTTTGGAGAGGTTGGACGGATGGAACATTCCTCTTGGGGCTGACGGTGTTGAGCAGGAGAGTCATTGTTGATACTGGGGAAAGGCTCGGAGTCTACATCGGCAGGCCTCTTCTGAGCGGGATGACTGTCCAAGTATGGGTCGCTTCTTTTTGCAACGTGTGCTCGCAAACCGGTGGGCCTCTTGACTGTAGGCGGAGGCGTCATCAAACCTGAAGAGGAAGGCGTATTTCTTCCCGAGCACCTCTCGGCCTCGCCATGTTTTCTTGTACCTGGCCCTTCATCCGGCGGATGGGCCAGATCCGAAGTCGAATGCCGGGAGGCTGGCCTAGGTGCAACGCACACTTCTTCGTTCGCCTGCGTCTCCTGAGAGTCATCGTCATCATACCATGTTTTTCTGACATCTATACCGGCCAATCTCCCGAAAAGCGCCTCCGCTGTTCTCCCTCTTTCCTCTGCTTCTTCCTCGTCTTCCGTTTCTTCATCGCTGTCTTCACTTTTAGCAGCCAGCTTTGCCTTAAGTTGCGCGTTGAAAAGCTTGACGTTTAAAGGTTTTAAGGTTACAGACAGCGCAGGCTCGGCGGGAAGTCCCAGTAACCTCCTTACCATGGTATGGTCTCGACCTTTTAAATGACCTTCGGCTAGCATAACTTCCAACTTCTTTCGCATTCTTCCGCTCTCCGCCCACTTCGCCGCGACTTCGGTTGCCTCGCTGCCCATTAGGTCTTGCAGGGCCGCATCACATTCGGCGTTGTCCATTGTGATTTTGCCGCCTTCGCACATAACCTCATCCCAGCCGGATGACCCTTGTATTGTTGAGTCAGAACAGATAGAATCCGCAAACATCGCGTTAATGCAGCGCTTATCCAACCCATTCAGAGCCGTGTCGAGTGTGTTTGGTACGATTCTCTTCGGACGAAACAGCGCTACAAATTTCTTCAGTTCTGGCAGCGGTGAGTGTCGCGAGAGCGGAACGAGCTAGATTCAAGGGTGGTTAACAGCCCGAAGGAATGCCATATTCAGAGTGGGCTCACCAGGCAGGACACTTCTTTCCCTTGAAGCAATAGTTCCTCTGTCTCTGCGAGATACTGTGCCCACTTGACTGCACCCATGGTCACAGGGTTAACGTACACAACCTTCCTTGCATCCTTCTCCCCCTCCACAAGATCCGCAGCATATTCGCACCGATCGAAACGCTCACAAGCATGATACCGCGTCGCGGCGGGATCATCGGTGATGATGGAGCGCATGAAGGGGTCCGATAGGCGGCTGTAAATATTGTGCTTGTAACGATCAACATGAATCTGTATTGGGATACTGATCAGATCGAGTGTTAGAAGAGGGAAAAATGGGCCGCATGCCTTGGACTTGAATGTGCGAGAGATACATTTCAGCACCTCTTCATAGCCCCATGTCCAACAGTTGACAAAAAATGTCGTGGTATCCGGAAGGAGCGACATGAGATAGGTGAGGCCTTCTGTTGCGTCCGCCTGACACCATTGAAAATTGTTTAGATGGTGACCTGGGCATTCATGTAGAAGAAAATAACACCTTGGACGGTACCTCCGTGTTCAAAAATACACATGCGGTGTCCAGATGAATAGCGTCAAGCCTCTTGGGTCCACAAGCACTCCGATACTTCTTGAGGTGGCTTGAGGATCGATTTTCAGCGAGATAGGGCCTCAAGATGGGATTGTGTACCAGACTATCTAGGAGGCTAGGTTCGGCACGGAAGTCCCCTGTGTGTAAAATCGCTCCACGTGGCCCTTCGACAAGGAACCTAAGAACATAGAAAATCAGGTCGTTGAGTATGCGATCCATACACAGCCGGAAATTTTGATTAAAAATCGAGGAAAATTGATTTACATGACGGCACCAGGGCAATGATTAGCATCCAACAATGAGATCGTCACAGTTTCGCTGTTGGAGAGCTCAATTTCTGTGGGACTGTTGAGAGGTAATGGGCACTAATATGTGTCAGCCGAACACATTCAAGCATGATGAAAAAAATCGGAGGCATCGTTACCAGAAGATCTCTACTGCCTTCATATTGAATTCGTCCCCCAGCCTTGACGGGATCAACCTTCAGATGCTCGAATGTTCTTCCAAGCTTTGGGTCTTCCCGGACACTGCTGTTGACCAGGGCACGTTCTTTGTATACCTTATGTTTCAGCAGCATTTGCTTCGCGTCATGCGAGCATATGATCTTCGACGAGAACGACTTGGCGGAAAGGCCAGAAACATGATCGGAGTGGGTGTGAGAGAGCAGATGGAGAGCCGGAGGAGGGGAAAGGAAAGGTGAGGAGGTGAATTCATCGACTCTGATGGGATAAGGGGGGATGAACGCCTTGTAGGGGGTACCTGGAGGCATTATAGTGTGATGCTAGGCCTTTGAGCGGCTACCAATGAGAATTCTATGGATATCAAGGTGAAGGAGGGAGAGAGGGACGACAATCGTGAAATTTTCGCTGCTGGAGAGAAAGCGCCGAGCCGCGCTGGAGCCACCGTGCAAGGGCCACAACACCAAAACGATCAACGCGAAGAGGTCACATGCATCAGCACGTGAGGACACGCCTCCAGTGTTTTACCGTATTCCAATTGGCTTGAGAAAAAGCAGTGGAACGATATAGCCAGTTCGTTGTGATTAACTTACAATTGGTACAATTAGACAGAATACAAGTCAGGCTGGAATGCAAAACATAACACGAGATGAGAGGGACATGCAAATAGACAAGAGCGGGGAAAAGGATGGGAGCGGACGGATGAACTGTTAGAATAATGAGGTATACCAGTCGACCTCTATCGCCAACCAGACTCGCGACGTACTCAACCAGAGCACATCACACATGCTTCCTTATTTTCCAAGGAACACATGAGCTTCGCCTCCTCAAGCTCTCTCTCCTTCTTCCTCTGCAGCGCGGCAGCAAACTCTGGGTCCCTTTCTGCGGCAGCCCTCGTCTTCTCGTCCAAGCTCTCGAGGAAATTTTGCGTGCTCAAGGATGTGACCGTGCTCGAAGGTGTGATAAGAGAAGGGGATGATGGCACTGAGTCTGTCGATTCTGATGTGGCGATTGCCCCAGTGAGTTGAGGAGTGATCGGCTCTTCCTTGACGACAACATTGGACACCTCAAGTGTAACAGGCTCTTCCTTGGCGGTGACGGGAGTAGGCTCCTCTGGTGTCGGGGTAACGATATCGGTGCTAGGTGACGGCTCAGCGGAGGCCTTAGACTGGGCCGCCGCCAATGTCGCGGTGGCCTGCTGCGCCTTGACCTCCTTCACCAAGTTGTGGTCCAGTGTGAACTGGATTGCCTGTGCAGCAGGACGCGTGCGCAGGTAATACATGCCGGTCTTGAGCCCACGCTTCCAGCCGTAAAAATGCATGCTGGTGAGCTGGCCGAGCGTCGGAGACTGCAAGTGGACGTTTAGAGATTGTGACTGGCAGATGAACGCTCCACGGTCTGCAGCGAGGTCAAGGACCCTCTTCTGCGAGATCTCCCAGACGGTCTTGTAGATTGCCTTGACGTCGCTTGGGATTTCAGGTATACTTTGCACCGATCCATTATGGGCAATAATTCTGTTCTTCATATCATCGTCCCAGAGCTTTAAGTCGACGAGCTCCCGAAGCAGCCAGGGACAAACGACCTGGAACTCTCCAGCAAGAACACGGCGGGTATAGATGTTGCTGTAAACAGCGTTATGAGCATTCAGGTACGTGGGACGGCGTCACGATAACGTACCTGGTGTAAGCCTCGAAGCACTCGTTGAAGCCCAGGATTTGACTAGTAGATGCAGTCGGCATTGGCGCAACGAGCAGAGAATTACGAAGGCCGTGCTGCGCCATCTTTGCCTTCAAGGAAGTCCAATCCCAGAGGTCTGTAGGCGTGACACCCCAAAGGTCAAATTGCAACAAGCCTTCGGATGCAGGGCTGCCAGAGTAGGACGAGTACGGGCCATCTTTCTCAGCCATCTCAACACTAGCTTCCACAGCGGCATGGTATATGGTCTCGAAGATCTGCTGATTCAGCTTGCGCGCCTGCTCTGATTCAAAAGGCATGCGCAAGATCATGAAAGTATCCGCAAGACCTTGCACGCCGAGACCAATAGGGCGGTGACGCATGTTGGAGTTGCTTGCCTCAGGAACGGGGTAGTAGTTGACATCAATGATACGGTTTAGGTTGAAAGCCACAACCTTGGCGACGGCGTGAAGTTTGTGGAAGTCGTATACGCCATCCTTGACGTAAGTAGGGAGCGCAAGGGAAGCAAGGTTGCAGACTGCGGTCTCGTCCGGAGAAGAGTATTCGATGATCTCAGTACATAGATTGGAAGATTTGATCGTCCCGAGATTCTTTTGGTTGGATTTTTCTGACAAAATGTAAGCGTCAACGTTACTGAGATAATACATGCAGCAATGCTCACTGTTCGCTGCGTCTTTGTAGCAGATGAAGGGGCCACCTGTCTCGATCTGCGCGTCGAGAATAGAATACCACAGCTTTTGGGCGGAAATCGTCTTTCTTCCGCGACCCTCGTTTTCATAGCGCTCATATAGAGCTTCGAACTCATCACCATAGACTTCATGGAGATTCGGCGCCTCATCGGGCGAGAACAAGGTCCAGTCACCATCCTGTTCGACTCGCTTCATGCTGTGGATGTGAATTGTCAGAGCTGATAAGAATGGAACGGTATTGTGAATCACTGACAAAAGATCGGGGATCCAGAGTGCATAGAAGAGGTCGCGTGCACGGACTTCCTCCTTGCCGTGATTTTTGCGGAGGTCGATGAATTCGTAGATATCGGCGTGCCATGGCTCAAGGTAGATTGCAAAAGCACCCGGGCGCTTGTTACCGCCTTGGTCGACATAGCGAGCAGTCGCGTCGTACGCGCGGAGCATGGGAACAATGCCGTTGGAGTATCCATTGGTACCAGCGATGTAGGCGCTAAAGGAACTGTTAGAATGAAGAAATGAAGTCGGAATCAATTGCAAGACGTACCCTGTAGCCCGAATGTTGTGAATATTGAGTCCAATGCCACCGGCCGTCTTGCTGATCATAGCACAGTTCTTCAGAGTTTCATAGATTCCCTCAATGGAGTCTTCTTTCATGCAAACCAGGAAACACGAGCTCAATTGAGGATTGGGTGTACCCGCGTTGAAGAGTGTTGGTGAGGCGTGAGTGAAGTAACGTTCAGACATAAGGTTGTAGGTTTCAATAGCGCGATCGACATCAGCGCCGTGAATGCCGACAGCTACGCGCATGATCATGTGCTGTGGACGTTCTGCGACACGGCCATTGATCCGAAGAAGGTAAGAACGCTCCAGCGTCTTGAACCCAAAGCTTAACACAGGCGGTGAGAGATGAGCAAATGAGAGGTAAAGGTAACATACAAATTATATTGGAAATCGCGTTCATATATGATGGCGGAGTCCAACAGCTCAGCGTGTTCACATACGACTTTGTATGTCTCTTCAGAGATCATACCAGAAGGTCGTCCTGTCTTAGGATTGACTACAGGGAGGTTAGAAGTACGATACAAGCAGACAAACGAAAGTAAATAAGCATACCATAATTGTACAGATCTGCAATGATGTGGGAGAAATTCTTCTTCGTTTCTTTGTGCAGGTTAGAAACGGCGATGCGTGCGGCAAGAACAGCGTAGTCTGGATGTTTGGTGGTGAGGTATGCCGCAGTCTCAGCCGCCAGATTCTGTGTAATCGTCATGAGCGTGTGCGTGATACATAAGCAAGAGGATTTTTACATCTAGTTCGCTGGTGGTGACGCCTTGGTATACTCCCTGAATGACCTTCTGCGCGACTCTGTTGACTGAATGAGCAGTATACCTCATAAACGGCACGATGCACTCACTCAACGGGATCAACATGATTATTGTCAAGGCCATAGCAAAGTTTGCTAATCCTGGCCGTGATCTACATAGGTCAATTAATTTGTCGCAAGTGATGGACGCGGAAAAGCGCGCACCTTGTCGAACTGAACGCGTTCTTTGCGCCTTCAAGAGATAAATTTACACTTTAGCACCAAAGGAAGCGAAAGACGACGCGATGAGTGAGCAAAACGCACCCATCTAAGGCAGGTATCCACATTAGTCAAGAGTTGAACCATCAACAGGAATACATATATAACTTACCTCGCTTGAATACAAACGACGCCATGATATGGTGGCACAACTAAAGGCACGAATATGGTGCAGGAATGAAAGCTGGGGAGAGATGTCGCAGAATGCGCGGTTGAGGTCAAGACTGAAGAGATGGAGGGAAGAAATCGACGCGCCCCGAGACTTTTAGTGAGTGGGTGACTAAGCATCAGGTCTTATTTATCTTTGTTGACTTGTGACGCTAAACACTCACACAATTTACCTTCATAATTCCCCTCGAGTATTTTGAAGACAAGAACCTATCCGTACGATGTTATAAAAGCTATGTAGTGAGCTGGAAACTTTGAAAATTATCAATAAATTACTATGTCTGAGTCAGGGGATATATCTCTTGCTTGACAGATAAGTACTTAAATATCCGAAGTTCACATTAACGTGTACTCAACAATACGCGTCGCGTCGCTTTATTGGTATTTGTTACTGTCATGACACGGTATCAAAACGCGCCTGTGGCTGCCCATGGCTGACCGCGCTCACTCAGCCGACCGAATCGCCGAGCCATTCAAACTTCGACAGCATGGAACTTCGAAGTAATTGAAAACTCCGAGATTACATTCGGTGTGCATTCCTCTGGAAGTTTGCCTGGGCGGATAATCAGATTTTTCCATACAGCTCCATCTAGATCAGCGCCGGGGCAAGCTGGAAAGTCGAAGCGAGATTAATGTCATACATAACTGCAATAAAATGTTACTAGAAAATGAGTAATTTGGGCAGCATACATTGAGTCCGGATCAGCAGCTCTCCTCATCCAAAAAAAATTCCGGCAACCTATCCTGGACCCCCTTCAATTTATCGTGGATAACTCTCCTCGCAAGCATCCTGCAATCGTGATGCATAAAGGTTGCCGTGCCCCATTTGTCGAATTCCTGAAGGACGACCTTTAGTCTACCCAGTACGTCTGCGAGATCGAGCTTCAGGATGGCATCACTCCGGGTTTTGTCTCGCCAGAACTCTTGCCATGACTGCGTGCAGCTATGCTGATTCCACGTTGCGCCGCACGTCGCTGCGTGCTCCAAGGTGGGAGGCTCGGACCGCAGCGCTTCCCAGTGTTGGGTGAGGCGATAATACCCAGTCAGCAGGCGCAGCTGTTGGTTCGCAGAGATGACCAACCGCCCCTGGCTATCCATTTGGCCCTCTGGGACAACATCCGTAGAGTCGAGTGAATCGCGTTTGGAAATGACACATTTGAACTTCATCACCTCCATATAAGCCGAACCGCGGAGCGCGCGCAAATCGAGCTCATCAGCAAGAGTCATAGCAATGTAAGCGTTTTCCGGGGAAATAGTGACCATCTTGCGCAAAGAGTCGACCATCGCCGAAAGGAGTCTTTCGTGGCCACATAGCTGCGCAAGACGCACAAGGGTAATGACTTGTTCGCTATCAGTGATTTGAGTGATAGTTAGCTGCGACTGAGACTGCGGGTGTGAAGAGGATGCTAATAGGATGGAGTATGGAGTCGGGGGGATGGTTTTGCGGGAGACTTGGCCAACTATGACGTCCAGCGCCCATGTCTCAAGGGACTTGAACGTATATTTATTCGCTATGCGAGCGATATCGATGAGGCGGGGAAGATTTCCAGAGGTGGACTGGATATGGATGAGCTCATGAGGGCTATTACGTTGATATCAGATATGAATGGCGCTCGAAACCCAGGGGCAAGAGTCAAACTCACAGAGCATATAAAGCCCACAAGAAGTTCTTGAAGGCTTGAGCAGAGTCACCACTCAGGATGATGGGATTACCATCTGACATACCCTCGGCCATATTATCGCCTTGTGGTAGTGTGAACATAGTGCCGAACGACGATGAGTCTTTAGAGAGGATTGTCCGATGTACCTTTCATTCACAATTATTTTGTACTGGGAACTATCACTTAAATTATGACTCACATTAAACAATGTGTTCTCGACGAGGATGATGCAGCTCCCATCCGACATGTAGAACTCATCGTCCCTCGCTACTTCCGACGATGATCTGTATGCCACTTGCGAATTATGTTCGTTTTCGCATCTAGCACGCTTTCGTGGTGGGATGGAGAGCAAAGACATCGTGGCTTCTTCCTCCTGCTGATCATCAATGAAGTGAATATCTTCATCAGGTCCCGGAGGAATGAAAGGCGCCTCGTTCAGATCACCCATTGATCTAACACCATGACGAAGATCAGATAGCGCAACTAGCGATACCAAAACGAATATTCCAGACCCACCAATTGAAGTCACGAAAGGTTCACAGGAGCTAGAACAGAGCAGGGTTGGCTAATCCGTCTAATGATGCGTCGAATTCTGAAGGACGTCCAGCATGAAACGAGAATTAGTGCAGGCTGTTTGAAGGGCCTTTCGATCCAGTGGTAGGCTGAAACAGTGCCAATTAGCAACCGATCGAACGTCCGAGGGGTAGTGGGTCAGAAGAGGGCAACGCGCCGTCGTACTGAGGTTTCTGCTGGGGATTTGAGTTATCAGATAAGATCAAGTGACATAAGATATGATAAACACGTGGCGCAAATGATCTGGTCGAAACTTTCGCAGTGCCGCTAGTACAGGCTAGTACGCGGTTGAGGTCCTCTTTTCAGCTAATTAGAGCTCAGGCCCACTCAACCTGCGTGGTACACTTCTTGAATCGACACCAGCCTCCTTTGACCGCGCCCAAAATTCCCAATGCGCAAGCAACTGGACCCACGGATTCCTATCCTCATCAATAACAATGTCAAGGAGAACCACAGGTCTTTCATAGTCCTCGTAGGAGACAAGGGACGAGATCAGATTGTCAACTTGCATTTCTTGCTATCGCAAGCTAGAATTTCTGCCCGTCCATCAGTGCTCTGGTGCTATAAGAAGGACCTCGGGTTTACGACGTACGTCCCGTTCCAAGCTGTGCTCTCCGTTTACTCCAAATCACGTCCAGTCACCGCAAGAAGCGAGAAGCCAAAATTAAACGCGATGTCAAGCGCGGTATTCGAGAGGCCAACGACCAAAACCCATTTGAGATATTCGTAACTGTGACCGATATCCGCTATACGTGAGTAATCAAGGATCCTGGCAAACTTCTCAATTGTTCTCACTCACAATGTAGATACTACAAAGAGTCGCACAAAATTCTCGGTAACACCTATGGTATGCTCGTTCTCCAGGACTTCGAGGCTATCACCCCAAATTTGCTCGCTCGCACGATCGAAACGGTGGAAGGAGGTGGATTGGTCGTGTTGCTGCTGAAGACCATGACATCACTAAGACAGCTCTATAACATGACTATGGTGAGTTCTCATGCATCAGGTTGGATGCAGTTTCTCATCTGGAACAGGATGTCCATTCACGATACCGAACCTCGTCTCATGATTCCGTGGTCGCGCGTTTCAACGAGCGTTTCATTCTCTCGCTTGGATCATGCGACGACTGTATTGTACTTGACGATGAGCTGAACGTCTTACCGATCTCCCGCGGAAAGGACATCACTCCCATCGAAGAGGACCGGAGCAAGGGAAAAGAGAACTCAGAGCTCAAGGACCTCAAAGACAGTCTCGCAGACACAAAACCAGTTGGCGAGCTTGTCAAGCTTGCCAAAACGACAGATCAGGCTCAGGCAATACTCACTTTTGTAGACGCCATCGCGGAGAAGACCTTGAGCTCTACCGTGACACTCACGGCCGGACGTGGACGTGGTAAATCCGCTGCATTAGGCTTGGCTATCGCGGCTGCACTGGCCCATGGGTACTCTAATATCTTTGTGACTAGCCCAAGCCCAGAAAACTTGAACACTCTCTTCGAATTCATCTTCAAGGGGATGGACGCACTCGGCTACGAGGAACACCTGGACTATGATATTGCGCAGAGTACGAACCCGGATTTCAACAAGGCTATCGTACGCGTTAACGTCTTTCGGGAACATCGGCAGACCATCCAGGTATGTACTGATTCCTCTGAGGACCAAGGCGAAACCCGATCAATTGTGCATAGTATATACAACCTCAAGATGCTCATGTCCTCGGTCAGGCAGAGCTTGTCATTATTGATGAGGCTGCCGCGATCCCACTGCCTCTCGTGCGGAACCTGATAGGGCCATACCTTGTTTTCCTAGCGTCCACCATAAATGGGTACGAGGGCACTGGTCGTTCTCTATCTCTCAAGTTGATCCAACAGCTCCGCGAGACCACCCGACCATCACTATCAAAGGACACTTCCTTGCCTTCAGAGGATGCGACAACATCTTCCAAAAAGCCTACCCATGCTGCCCCAGTAAAGGTTCGGACTCTACGTGAGATCAAGCTGGAGGTTCCTATCCGTTACAGTGCAGGCGATCGTGTTGAGCGCTGGCTCAACGGTCTTCTTTGCCTTGATGCTACTGCTGCTCCTCGTTCAGCACACCACGGCACACCGCACCCATCGCAATGCGAACTATTTTACGTATCTCGAGACACTCTCTTCTCGTACCATCCCGCATCTGAGGTCTTCCTCCAACGCATGATGGCACTTTACGTCGCCTCTCACTACAAGAACCAGCCAAACGACTTGCAGCTCATGTCAGATGCGCCGGCACATCACTTGTTTGTGCTCCTTCCTCCACTCAAGGATGACGAGAGCCATCTTCCCGAGCCCCTCGTCGTTCTACAAGTTGCCCTTGAGGGTAATATCAGTCGACAGGCAATCATGGACGGCTTAAGCAGAGGTCTAAGAGCTGGAGGAGATATGATTCCTTGGCTTGTTGCACAGCAGTTCCAAGAGAGCAAATTTGCTTTGATGAGCGGAGCGAGAGTCGTTAGGATTGCGACACATCCTGATTATGCCAATGTACGTCCTTTGGCTAGTGTTGATCTAAATCATTGATCTTGTATGTTTTTTAATCAGATGGGATATGGTGCCCGTGCTCTGCAAGCCCTCAATGCATATTACTCTGGGGAGTACTTCAATCTCGATGAGGCACCCAGAGATGAGCCAGTGTATCCCGATGTAGCAGCGGTTGATAGCGTGTGTCTGTTCTGGTTCTCAACCGGCTCATTAATTTCTCACCTCGTCATCAGTCGACAGACCTTCTGACGGATAACCCAACTATCCGAGCCCCGTCTGCGATGCCTCCTCTCCTCCAACGCCTAACCGAACGAAAACCCGAGAGCTTAGACTACCTCGGTGTCTCCTATGGACTCACGCCACAGCTCCTTCGGTCCGTGTATCCCCTTCAATATCGGAGGACTAACGATAGATGGTTTGGCGGTTCATGCAGGTTCTGGAAGCGAGCAGGGTATGTCCCGCTCTACGTCCGACAAACACAGAGCGACCTTACAGGGGAGCATACCTGTGTGATGGTGCGCGGTCTCAACGCAGCAAATGATGATGAACTGCAATGGCTCGGAGAGTTTGCAAAAGGTGTGTTTTCCGTATCGCAGTTCGGTGGGCGCCGAGTAGCTGACGATTTGGTGTCGTAGACTTCCGTCGGCGCTTCATCTCGTTGCTCTCGTTCAAGTTCCGAGAGTTTGGGAGCGTGATGGGGCTAAGCGTCCTGGAGGCTGCAAATGCCGGTGTGAAGTACCTTGAAGCGGCTCAATTATCAGGTCTGTGTCCAATCGCCTGATGCTATGCAGCGTGCTAATGCTGGCTGTACTTGCCAGGACTTGCCTCTGCAGAGCTTTCTTTCCTCATGACGCCTTTCGATCTCAAGCGACTAGAATCTTATGCGCAAAACTCACTAGACTATCATGTAATCCTTGATCTTCTTCCGACAGTCGCATCCCTTTACTTTGAGAAGCGTCTCGGTGACGGAATACGGTTGAGTGCGATCCAGAGCAGTCTGTTGCTCGGAATGGGGTTGCAGAGAAAGACTGTCGAAGAAGTTGAGGTGCGTTATATTCAGAGTACCTCATTGGTTTTCATCTCTTATCATTCATTTATGGCAGGTCGAGCTGCAACTTCCTGTTTCCCAAGCCCTTGCCCTTTTCGTGAAATTGATCCGTAAAATCACGACGAAGTTACAGGACATCCAGAAGGCCGCTATCAGCGCCAGCATTCCAGACGCCTCCACGCAACCTCCGATTACCGGGTCCCGCGTTATTGGCGAGGGTCTGCAGCTACAATCAGAACAGGCTGTGAAGGGTATGGAAGCCGAGCTCAATGAAGCTGGCGGAGAAGTCACGAATGCGCTGCGGGAAAAGCAGCGTGCGATGATCGACGCTCTAGACATCAGTCGGTGAGCGCCTCCTCTATCTCCAGTGCCCAGCATATACCTTGCGCACGCTCGGTCTAAACTTCCATGCTCATCAGGCTTTCTGTGCAATAACGTAGGTTCGCCATCAACGATGCATCCGCGGACTGGTCATCCGCAGAGGCGCAGGTCCAGAACAACCTGTCGATAGGGAAGGGACGTTCGACGGTCGTGAGCGTGAAAAACATTGCTACCGGAACTAAGCGCAAGGCCGAGGGCGAAAGCGGTGGGGGCGATGATAAGAAGAAAACACGGAGAAGCACCAATAAAAAATCAAAACGATAGACGATTGGTTTAGGATTTTCCTGTCGAATGTCGAGTTCGCTTATTATATCCCGAACTCACTAAAAGTATATACGCTCGTGGATGTACCGCATACTGTACTCGTCGCTGTCACCGCGCTTCGGATTCGTGTCTTCGAAAAAATCGCTCTGATTACCTAAGTTGTAGCCTTGACTAGAACGTCGTTGTAAGTTCTTCACCACTTACATGGCTTGCCCATGACGGCTCTACGATGCGGATACCCCTCGAAATCCCACAGCTACCCATACCTTCTGCTTCGTCTCTGGCACGCCGCCAACGGCTAGCCAGCCTCATATCGCCACTCAGACGCGTTCGACCACATGTGCCTTTTTACAAGCTTGCCGCGCATCGAATACCGACACTATGGACGTTGTACCGCGGACTGCTAAAGAATTCGCCAAGCGAACACGTACGCACGGATGTTGTTTTGACTTTCATGTGATGCAGAGATAGAATGTAACGATAGGCTTGTCAAGGTCAGCTTCAGGGTCACCAAGCTGTTCAAGCAGCATCATCGTAGCACGAGTCCTTTAAAGACGAAGGGGCTGCTCGAGCAAGGGTACAAGGTGCGTTCTAGTAGCATTCCATATGCGAAAAGCGAGATAATGCTTTGCATCTAGTGGCTCGACCTTTTTGTGAAGGCGAGAGACGGCGACCAACATATGCGCGCGGTGCTGGACCGCTACAGCAGGATGATCGCCACGAAGCGCGACAAGGAGACATTCAAGCATATGCTCCGCGCTGAAGCCGTATGTCCCGTCCCCGTACATCTATCCTCTCTTGAATAATAACGAAATATACTATCCGCCAGGAATGGCAAGCGCGCCTGCGCAACCGGCCGATCCTCACCGGTGCTGTCATTCGCCCGACGCTGTACCACGGACCTCTACCGCGTATGAAACCGCAGCCGCTGCATGTCAGCGGCATGATCGTCTCGCGGAAGCGCGCGCGCCGGTGGCGCATTCAAAAGCAAGCCATAGTACACGAAAATCTGCTCGACCTCATAAACGAGGCGAGATTCGAGGAGAAGCTGGCCGATGAGGCAAAGCGGTTTGGCCAGTCCTTTGCGCCCACCTTCGCTGCAGCGAGGGAGGCGGAGTGGACTCAGCCCATTTTGGAGCAGAAGGCAGCCATCGTAGCCCAGTTCGAGCGCGAGAACGAGCGGTTGCACATACCCGTCCCGCTCAAAATGTTGCAGCAGCTCAAGGCTGCGCGGAAGGAACGCAAGGAAAATCTTTACAGAGCAGCGGTGAGAGAGAGGCGAGGCGAGATGACTGTGTGGGCACGGGAAAGGAGGATGCTTGGCTACCCTGCACCCGTAATGAACCGATGGTCGCCAGAGAAGAGGAGGCGCATGCTCATTGTGCGGAGGAGCGTCAGCCAGGTAGGATACGTGGGCATGCTGAAGAGGCAGATGGGTTGGAAAATCAGGCCACTAGAGGACCAGTACAGTCCGGAGGAGTACGCGAGGCTGAAGAAATCAGAGCTCGCAATCAGAAGGGAGAACATCAAGAGGCGAAGGGAGCAGATGTTGGAATTGGGCGTCGATGTTGGGGAGAAGCACACTCGTCCGAGCTGAGCTGGGCTTCCGACTTGTACAGTAACGTCATCCCCACCCTGTTTTTTGTCATCTTTACACTGTTTTTGCGGTGTTCAGGCTCGACATTGCATTCAACTATCATGCTATCTCGGTTAACGTACTTATCCACTGGCCTCGAGAAGCAACCCTACACTGAATGACTAGTTCCACTGACTCATTTCAGACAAACGGCCCGTCCTGATTCCCGTTTTCCCGTCCTACAACGGTTTTGCAACGTTCACGCTCCATCCTTCTCCTCCCAGCTCCTCCCTCCACCTTCCTTACGTTCGCAGAGCGTGCGACGGCGCCCTCCGTGGGTTCCCGGCTTATCTGCGAGTGGGAGCCACTCCGCCTCCTGACTTTCCCGAGGGCATCATCGATCTGCACACTTATCTCCTCGAGGTGAATCGAGGACCCGCGAAGGCTATGCACGCTTCCTGGATCCGCTTCTCACACGTTCTCAGAGACTCGGAGATGTGTGAGCGATTTGGCTGCGCTCATAGTGTCGGTCCGAACGCAGACTTTCGAACCACAGCACTCCCGAAGGAACAAGAAGCCGCTGGCTTCGCGACTAGGGAATCTAATTACACGTCTGCCGTACGTGAGCAGATTCGTTAATTGAAATGCTGCTTTTATGCTCCAATGTGCGCATGTTTGCGTCGTGGCTGCCTTCTATCTGCCTGCGTTTGGGAGTTTATTCTGGTGTACTCCGGCGTTGCATCGACGATAGGTCAGGCATGCGAACTGTGGTCTTAGCGCACTCTAGCGGCACTACCAACGACTATTGTATATGTGGAAGATTTGATCTTTTTCGTGGGCGTTTTTTTGGAATCAAATCTTTATTGACCGCACGGAGTCAGCCAGTGAAGGAGAGTCTGTGAGAGACAGACGCGTGACTCATTTGAGGCCCGAGGGGCTGCGTGAGTTGCCTTCCAGTCGACGAGCGACCAGGAGGATTGGGGATGGGTGCGCGTAGGGTGCGTCGCAGAGAAGATTGCTGCGGGGCCAGGAGGTCCTCCGCGTTGAGAGGAGCGTCGTCAAAGGTGAAAGCCGTGGGGTTCCTCCCGAGATATTTGGTGAAGAACAGGATCGGGTCGACCGCTGTGCGATAATTGCCGCAGGAGAGGGGGCGTTGATAGTACGGTCTGGGCTGGTCTGAGATGTGTGACGTCGCAATAAGTGCACGTCGTCTTCGCAAGGGAAGAACTGTGGTACTTGATTGAGGGCATTGCCTTTGGGGACTTAAGGTAGCAAATGACTGGAGGTCGAGGAGACCTTCTGGCCCTCATGTATTTGCACGGCGTGTGAGTGAGGCGTCGCCTCCTGTTCGGGTCTCAAACAATACCAAGCGCCTCTCTCAACATACTACGACCTTGCTCATGACCCCACCCCCTTGACATCCTCCCGTCGCGCACCCCCACATCGGCTGCATCAATGTAAATAACAAGCAGACAATGCTGCATGGAGGTTACCTTCTTTGGAACTTTCTACGCGCAACCACTCATCGAGGTCAGCCCCTGCATCTGGTCTTGGCGAGATCGCAGCCAAGCCCCCAAGCAGCCCCAAGTCGAAGGACGATCGGCGCACGAACATATGCTGTCAAACGCGCTCCCCAGGCTCACCGCTGTGTGCTCGCTGGCCGACTTACGCTCGCCGCTCGTTCTTGGCGAACGTCGGGCGCGATTACCTTGGCTGTAGGTGAGACCTCTACCGCGCGTCTTCGTCGTCCTTGTCGTCGGGCACTGCGCGCGCCCACGCGATATCATATTGTAGTTGCGCCCCGAGCTTCGCACAGGGCGCTACTAGAGGGCCCCAGGGCCCTAGGGCACGAAGCGCACACGACGGCACCCCGCGCATTCCACTCCTCCCCCCCCCCCTGACGCCCGCCGAGCCAGCCCAAGCCCACCCGAGCCGACCCCGCACATCGCCCCAGTCGCCCGTCGTGCTCCGAAAACTCGGATGGCCCGCCTGGGGCTCGCCAGCTCTCGCAGGCTCTCGGCCCCTCTTCAGAGACGCCCACGCATTCTGGACGCAGGCGGATCCGGGGCCGCGCGCGACCTTCGCGAAGGGGGTTCCCCGCATTGTTGAGCTTCGGGGTGCTGCTTCGAGGGGGCTTGGGTGGGCTTGGGGGTGGGGAAGTGCGGGGGATTTGGCGATGGGGGGTCCAGGAAGTGCGGGGGATTTGATGGTGTTGTGGGACGTTTGACGACGCGAGCCTCAGCGCGCGCGCCAAGAGTGTCTTGGCTCGTGGTTTGGGCGCCTGACAGTGGGAGCGCAGGGCTGGCAGGATGGGGAGGGTTGAGCGGCGGCGACGGTGAAGCTAGACAGAGGTTGGATGCGGTGGATTTTGAGTGTTAAAAGAGCAGGCTTCAAGCCGCGCAAGGTGGGGATGGATGGGACGCGTCGACATGATTTATGATGGCGCTTTGAACGGCGCATGTCGCGCGTCGGCCGATGCTCGAGGGCGTGCGACCGCGTTAACGCCGAGGGACGAGAGTGTTGTGAGACGAGGGTTGCAAGGAGAACATATGTATTAATTTTAAAGGATCCAACCCCGTTCCCGAGTGCCGACGCAGAGCTCGGGTCTCGGATGTCTATCCAGGGACGGCTCAAGTCATGTGCGCCGTCGGCGACCAATGAACGAGGCCGAAATGCAGGCAAGCAAGCGGAGACTGGCAGTCGGCAGCGGCAGCTCGCTCATTGTTCTTCCCCCCGTCTCCTACCGGCACCATCCAAAACGCGCGTACAGCAAGTGCGCTGAGCGTCCCAACAAAGGTCCGTGCCCAGGCGGCCAACCTCTTTGGAATTGGCTTCGCCAGCCGTGCGGCTATCCGGATGATTGCTCAAATTCGACGGCTAAGGAGAACGTTCAGCCGACAGTCTGCCTGATCTCTGACTGATGTCGCAGACGTGGGCCTGATACGCGTGCGACGGAGCGATGCAAGCAGCCCAACTGTTTTGCAATGCTGCTGCCTTCGCAAGGGCTCTATTTATTTATGGATCGAAGGGCTCGCTAGGGCTCGGGACGATGGATGTGCGATATTTGAGCGACGACGAATACGGGGCTGATATTGTAGGAGATCGTTCATGCGCGAGAGGGATCAGGCACATCGCGGGGCGTGGGAGTCGGGCCGATCTGGCGGTGGAGGTGGGGAAGCTGGAGGCGGCTGCGATTGGAAATCATGCTGGCCTCTGCGTCCCCTCTATATAAAACGCGCGCCCATCTGCCCCATGTCCGTCGTGGGCCTTTCCTCCTCCTCCCCTCTCCTCCCTCCCAATGGCTCCCTACTTCCTCCGCAACCTCCTCCCGCGCCCAGAGACACGCAAGGAAGGAAAACCCCTCCTCGATGTCCTTGCCTCTCTCACTTGGGTCCAGTGGGCCATGTTCTGGTCAGGGTATGCGCATATATTCTCTTTTCAGCCTCATCATAACATCCTCGCTGAGCCGTTTGCTCTGTAGCTGGCTTGCGTGGTCGTGCGACGCCATCGATTTCTTCTCCGTCTCTCTTAGCGTTGGGCGCCTTCAGGCACAATTCCACAGGAAGGACGCGTCTGATATTGTGCGCTATCTTCCAGCTCCACTTGAGATGCATACACACCCTTATCCTGCTCTATACAGACGACGGCCATCACCCTGACCCTTCTCTTCCGCTCCGTTGGTGCCGTGCGTTCTGCTCTATTTATATCTACCTTTTCATACAGCACATCGTACTCACAGTGCTTCACAGGTCGTATTTGGTATCCTGTCAGACAGATACGGACGCAAATGGCCTCTCGTCTGGAATCTTCTACTCTGTGCTGTCCTCGAACTGGGTTCCGGCTTTGTGCAGACCTTCTCCCAGTTCCTCGCCGTACGTTCCCTCTTCGGTGTCGCGATGGGCGGCATCTGGGGCCTCTCTGCCGCGACCGCGCTCGAGAACCTCCCCGTCGAGGCGCGTGGACTCGCTTCAGGCGTGCTTCAGCAAGGTTATGCCGTCGGCTATCTCCTTGCCGCGGTCATCAACCTCCGCCTCGTTCCAGAAGCCAAGGAGACCTGGCGTGCGCTCTTTTGGACTGCGTCAGGCATCTCTGCATTTGCCGCACTTGTGCGCGCCCTTCTCCCTGAGAGCGAGGTGTTCCTCCGTGCGCGCGAAGCGCAACAAGCCTCCGGCCCGAGCACAGTCAACAAGACGAAGGTGTTCCTCCACGAGGTCCGCGTTATGCTTCAGCATCACTGGCTCCTGTGCATCTACGCTGTGCTTCTCATGACTGGTACGTCATTCAAAGTTGCCTGTTATTTTTAGACCACCACTCACGCGCGCTGTCTGCTCCGCCCTCAGGCTTTAATTTCCTCTCCCACGGCTCGCAAGACCTGTACCCGACCTACCTGACGACATCGAAAAACTTCGACTCGTATCACTCAACCGTGGCCACCATCATCGGCAACTGCGGCGCCATCACAGGCGGCGCGCTCGCCGGGTGGCTCTCGCAGTACCTCGGACGGCGCCTTACGATCGTCGGTTTCGTCCTGTGGATCGGCGCGTTCATCCCGCTTTGGATATTGCCCAGCAGCTTCGGCGCGCTCTCCGCCGGCGCGTTCTGGGTCCAATTCGGCGTGCAGGGCGCGTGGGGCGTCATCCCAATCCAGCTCGCGGAGATGTCCCCTCCCGCATTCAGGGCGACGTTCCCCGGTGTCGCGTACCAGCTTGGAAACGTGCGTGCCTATCTGTTTGTCTATTTGTGCGTGAAGTGCGTGTGCTGATTGGGCGATTTGGTTTTGTAGATGGTGTCGTCTGCGTCGGCACAAATTGAGGCGACCGGTGGGAGGAACTTCCGCACGACGGTAGTCAAGAACGGTGTGGTCACCGACGTGCCGGATTATGCCACCGTGCAGGGCATCCTCATCGGTGTTGTCGCTGCATTTGTAGTGGTCATCACGATTCTTGGCCCAGAGTACGTTCCCCTTCCTCATCTTTCTACCTTCCCCTCCCGACCCATTGCCTTCGCGTGTGCGATGCCGGACGCTGATACCACACGGTCCTGTCTGCAGGAACCACGGCTCGCACTTCGAGAAGGCCAAGGCGGCGTTCGAGGAGGGCGCAGGGAATGACGAGGTGCGCGACGATTCCGCGAATGTGGCGGGCCCGAGCCATGGACGCGCAGAGGACATCGAGTCCATACGGTCGGTCGCGATCGACGAAAAGAAGGCGGACATGTGAAGGGCGCAGGATGATCCTCGGCGGCGCGGCTTGGCGCGTTGGCATCCGCATTTCTCATTTCTCATTTCGTAATTCGCGTTTCGGAGTTCGAGGGATGGCGGTGCATAGTTGTTGGGTGGATGGGTCGACCGGTGCAGCGTCCGATGCGTGGGTGTGTACGATGTTGCTTTTTCATGATGGCGGGACGACCATGACCAGACGATGGGCGATGGTGACGACGAGAACGACGATGTAATGATGGCCGCTGTTGCCGATAAAATGGGCGCGCGGTCTTTGTAATAATAGGATTCTCTCTTGCAGTTCTCTTGCTTGCTTGCGATTTGGTTTTGGGTCATGCGTGAGCCTTTGCGCTCGACTGGACGAGACTGACCATAGGGCGCAGTGTAGAACTCCGCAGGACTTTTTAACCGGTTATTCACCAGGAGGTGTTAATAACGCGTTAATAACTAATGTTAGTAATTACACATTGTGAGCGTGGGAAAATGAAAGTAAAATCGAGAAAATGGGTCAATAAAATGATGGCTCATAGCGCTCACAGTTCACTCAGTTGTATACATACAGAAACTAAACCTAAATGGATTGGAGAGACTCAGATAGCTAAGCACAAACGGGATGATTTGAGTGAGCGGTTGTGGAGTTGGGTTTCCTAGCCTAACCTCCCTGGTCTCTTCTCTGGTTCCGCCATAAGGGGAGGCAACTGCTCACTCAAATCACCCCATTTGCGCTCCAGCCATCTGTACCTCTCCGGTCCGTTTAGGTTTATTTTATAGAGGTTTGAAAATCATTCAGAAATAGCTGTAACTTAGAGATTGCACTAAATAACAACAAATTCAAGATATATTGCTATTTAGGAAATTAGGTATTAACCTTAAAAACCAAAGGGTCCGATAGGTTCCTGTTATTAACACGTTATTAACGCGTTATTAACACCTGTTATTAACCCGGTTAAAAACTAGGAGTTCTACACAGCGCTCTAACTGACCAGTGCAGCTGTGCAGATTGGGAGTAAATATTAAATATTTGAATTTTGAGTGCTCGTCGCGTGGCAAGAAGAGCGGGTGCTGCTCGATTCGGGACTTTAGCAAAGAATATTTGATTTGCTATTATTTAGGTAAGCGTTGTGGCCGATTTAGGGTTATTTAGGGAGGCTTTCGGACGTATCGAGTATACTTGCTGTCCCTCAATGTGGCCCATCAGCGGCTTGAAAGGTAGCTCGTAGTTGCACATGAGCGATTTTTATCTATTCGGAAATTGGCTCTCGGCCCCTCCGTCATATCTCCACTTATTTGGGACATCAGCTGTGGTCTCTCCAAGGCATCGAGGTTAGCGATAGCCCTTGGCCCATGATCGAGTCTTCGTATGCAATCTGTAATTGGCACGAGCTCAAAGACATGTCATATGTCTGGAAGTGATCGGCGTGCGAATTGAAGTAGGTTCTTGGCTCAGTTGCACCATCATCAACTCGACTCGTTGGATGCTACGGCCGCGCAGTGCTTCGAATTTCTGGATTCATGCTAAGGATGCTGGGCGACGTGCTTTGAGTCGTCTGGCACCCAGGGGGCCTTGATCACAAGAAGCTCGTGAAGAAAGAGGCCTTAGCGGTGCGCATCGCGGCAACCACGACAAGAGATTTCTGGCTTGTCGCATCCTCCAACGGCACCTCTGGCTGCTTTTCCGAGCAGCGCCCTATCTTGCCTACTAGAGTCTGGTGGGACGGACTCTCTCGCGTCTGAGGTCGCTCTCAAGCGACATCGTAACAATCAAAGCTCTGTGGCCTGGGCCGCCATCGACTGCGAATGATCAGAATTGATGCACCTATGATTAATGTGTTCGGGAGCATGATACGATAAGGTCGGAATACTAGCAACACCGTAACGCTGGTCGTACGAACATGACAGGATCGACTGGAATCTAGAGATAAGAAAAAATACACTATACAGATCAGGCTCCGATCCCTGATTGCAAAGCGGGGCAGAGTTATTTCTGAGCGGAGTGCAAGAAGTGATCATGAGTTCCACATGAGCCCGCCGACGACGAAGGGAGCGGTACTAACGGATGGATACTGTCCAGCGCTGACTTTAGTGCTCCCCACTATCCAACTTCCTTCCTGCAAAAGTCTCAATCGCCTTGATAGCGAACGCCGTGGTAACTCCGCGATTGGCGATTCGCACGCCATGAGAACCATACTTGTAGAACCAGCCTTCATCCCACCCCCCGTCTACTTGCTGCAACTCCAGCAGCCGCGCTCGTTCGAGGGGCAAATCTATACCCACGTTGGAACAGCATATGATGCGCATCGCGAGCGCGAGTGCGTCGCCTTCCATCCCGATGCGCTCACGACAGCGTTCTTCAAAGACGGACTGGAGGCGGTGACGAGCATAGGGCGAGACCGCGAGGAGCCTTGAAAGGAAGCTAATCATTCATGTCAGTAAGCAGACATACTAGATAGATGAGTCATGACTGCGTGCACTCACAAAAGAAACGCTTCGGCAGTTTCATAGTATCGGGTGCCATCAACATAAGCACGATGAGTGAGCACAGCTTCAACCCAGTCGAAAGACTCTTGAAGTTCATGGCCTCGGCCGTTGGCGCTGAAAAAAGTCAAGGCGTTGATGCAGACTACGGGGTCCAGTCGCGGCCTTGACGCATCGAAATAGACCTGAAGTATATTATCGGAGTCGCGAAGCTTGAGAATTTCGTCCATGATGCGGCTTTTGTTATGAGCAGAGGCGAGAGTGGATATAGTGAACCCGATGGAAGTGGTGTCGACGTCGCATGGGAACTCGGCGGTCGTGAACTGGCCGTTGCCACGGAAGAAATTGATTGGCCCGTCGGATTCCGGGATGTTCTCAACCAGAGACGCATCACCGGTGGTTTCCAATATAAGGAGCTGTGAGAAATTTTCCTTGATTGGATGGCCATCCGAGGTGAAGGTAGTGTGATGTTGGGCGTTGGCGCGCATGAATGCCTGGGCACGCTCGACAGGATCGCCGCATAGGTTCCGCAGGGTGCGTTCGACGTTGTTGAAGTGATCGTATACGACTCCAGTGATGCCGAACGAGCGTGCAGTGAGTATATTGTCGACTTTGTCGTCGACGAAAATCGTGCGAGTCGGGTCCGCGCCGGTCTGCTCGAGGACATGACGATAAAATCCGATGTTCGGTTTGCGCTCCTTGGCGGATGCGGATGTGAAGACATGGTCAAAGATATCCCAATCGGAAAGCTTGCCTCTCAGGACTTCCCAGTCGGGTGCTGAGATGTTAGACATGGCATAGATCTTTCGGCCCTGTTTCAGCTCGCGGATGAGCTCAACCATGGACGAGCGAGCAGCGAGCGTGTCACGGGCACCCTCGAACGCTATCCTGACTTGCTCCGGGTGCAAGCCCATCTCGCGCGCTACTGCGGCATAGCACTCGGCTTCTAAGATGCCCCCCTTCTCGTACTCGAACCATGTGGCAGTTCTGAGAATTTGCTGAAGAGTCTTGGGCGGAATTGGAGTTTCAGCCGCGGGAGACCAGGTGAAGAGGACATCGCCAAGGTCGAAGATGATGCTATCAAAGGCACGGGCGTGTGATGTGAGAAAGGTAGTCATGATAAAGTATGGCGGATGGTTGGCGATGCAATGCACTCACTCTCAAAACATCTTTACAGTTATATAGCCTGGATTACCGCGGCCCGACACGAAGCCTTGAATGATTAGAATCGTTGAATGACCTCCTGTTGAGCGTTTGACCACGCTGGTACATGTGTATTAGAAATCGATTGAATGTATCCGCTTGTGTTGCGGCTAGGAGAGGGTGGATCTGCTGAAACTACATAACGGCTCACAATAACAAACCCATCGCGCCAAGGATTGGGGGAAAAGCAGTATCCTGCAAGAGCAGCACCCTTCGGTGATGCAGAAAAACGTACAACGACGCCATCGACTTCATCCCTTGATTTTACTACCTCCGCATGGAGTGGCCTTCAGGAAACCAATCCGGAAGCATACCGCCGCCAAGCGTAGGTAGTAGATGAAACTGTGAGACGCCGCATCGGCGAGTTAGCAAGGCCGAAGTCTGGAAGTAGCAAAATGATCCAAATTTAAACGAGTTGTGAATTTTGTTGTTCCCACCTGTTCAAAGGTGATCCGCTGTAGCGTCAGTGTGCATGTGTATGGAATGCTGGGAGACTACGCTGAGGTAGAGAATCCTACGTCGGCAGGTGCATTGAGATCTCGGCGATGTAAACAATCATGACAACGTGATGATGCCTCCGATGTCTGACTTTTCCGAAAACAGAACATGAATCGTACAGAGGGGCAGTGTCGTGCTCTGGCTTTCTTGAGGAGCCCGCTGGAGGCCGATTTGTCATTGTGGTATAGCAATAGCGCCATTTAGCCTAGCGGTAATAGGTCCTGGCCGAGACAAGAGCCCTGCCCCTGTCCATAGTATGAATAAGTATATTCTCTCTCTAATTCTGAAACTCATCATACCTTCTGGCAGTCAACCGCCTTATTCTATAGACGTCTATGCTATGATTTGGACTTGTTCCGTTTGATTCGCGCCATATGACCGACGGTCAAGGGATGAACTGGATGGGAACGCCTACCCACATAGTGAGTGCCACAGATTGAGTGGGCCTTATTCCAGGTGCAAAAAAAAAGAAGCCGCGGACGGAATGCATAAAATAAACAGTCAAATCCTATAAAGTACATACAAACATGAGAGCCATTGACAAACTGAGCCCGCCGGCGTGATACTAAACCTCTCAGAGATCGCTACCTCCGCGTCACTGTAGAGCAGCAGCGACTAACTCCAGTATAGCCTTGATCTTCTTGCCCACGTTGTTGTCATCTTTTGCGATGGCCTGCCATGTGAGGCCATGATGAGGCTCAGCTGCAACGCATTTGCTGATGACCTCGTCCTGGTACTCCTGGCACACGACAAGCAAGAACAGATCGATCAACGCGACGCTCGGTAGTGACAAGAAAGCGTCAAAGAACGTACCTTGGTGCCGTGCTGCCTCTCAAACTTCAGCCACCAGCCCCACGCATCGCCCAAACTAGGATCCGCACCGACGGCGCGCCCAAACCACTGCCGCGCCTTTTCGATCTTGCGCTCTGCCCAGAAAAGGCGCGCGACGGTGCAAATGACAGTGGGGTCATCTTGACACTTCTTCAGCGCATCAACCGACTTGGACTTGCGAGATGGCCGTGGCTCCGACCAGATCGCCATTGACCATAGCAAGCCCGACTCAGGGCACTCCTGCAAGCCGCGCGCGAGCATCGTCTTTGCCTGAGCAGTGCCGCCTGATCGTTCCTCGACACCCACTGCTTCTGCCCAAAGCCGGTCCGTTTTCGGATTTACCAGACGCGCCTTGTCCAAAATTGCGCGCGCGCGAATGCTCTTGCCATCCGTCTCCTCCAGTCGGCTAGCCAGAATCCAAAGCGTCACTTCTTTGGGGACTGCTTTAAGCCCTGACGCGTACGACGCTCGGGCGGCAGAAAAGTTCTTCTGGGCTTGATGAATCTGGCCTTGAATCATGTACAACTTGCCGAACTTGGGATACTTCGCCAGGGCTGTCGCAACTGTCGAGAGCGCCGTCTCGAACTGGCCATGCTGGCGCTCGAATACTGCTGACTTCATCCAAATCTAAAATAATAATTACATCAATGTGATGAATACGACTTGAACCAGGAGGAGACCTACTCTCTCGGTATCGGCGACTGTCCGCGCACGGACCAATAGCTCTCTAGCCACACCTAGCTCGCCGTTCTCCGCTTCTAACTTAACAGCAGCGAGCCAGATCTGCTCGCTCTCGGGATTGGCAACGAACGCATTCTCAAGCACTTCACGCGCACGGGAGACGTCGCCGCCCATCCACTTCTCCTTAGCCCACATGAGCCACAGCACCTCGGCTTGCGGACAATGCTGTACCGCGCGCTCAAGAACAGCGTCAAGCGATTCGTGCGTGCCGTGCGCCTTCTCGAGGTCTGCCGCGCGCCGCCATAAGTCCCGTTTGTCTGGGAATACACGGAGCGCGTACGCAAGGATTCCTCGGGCAGCGCCAACTTTGCCCCGCGACTCCGCACTCTCAGCATCCCCTACCCACGTATCTAACCTGTCCTCCTCCTCAACTTCCATCGCCACGGTCGCCTTGATAATCGCTTCACACGTCCGTGGTGACCCCTCCGTCTCGCACCGCTCCGCCTCCTTCAGCCATTGGTCACGTGTCAGAAGGACCTGGTGGCGCCGGAGCTCGCGCACGCCCATCTCAATCGTCTTGTCGACGGCGCCAAGCTCCTTTTCGCGGTCAGCTGCGGGCTTGTCGGCCGCGTACGCTTCTTGCTCCAGCAGTCGCCCAGCCGCGATCCAAATGTCGTGCGAGGTTGGCACCGCCTTGCGCGCTTTGTTCAGGACGGCTTTGGCCTTTTCTGGAGTCTCTAGGCGAGCAAGGCCTAACCACAATTCGACGGAAAGCGGGATCACCTCGACTGCGCGAGACAATAAGATCCGTGCGTCAGATGCGGATGATTCGAGGTTGACTGTTTCCTTCCATAGTCGAACTGAGTTGGGGATGTGTTCGAGAGCTAGCGACAACTTCAGCGATGGTTCTTCGTTCAAGAAATCGAGCTCTCACCTTTTCGAAGCACGCGCTTCTTTGCCTTGACGTCATGTTCTAAGTCGGCAGCAGCAAGCCAGATTTTTACACTCTGCCCGACATGTTGCACCGCGTTCGCGAGGATGACTTTGGCGTCCTCATTATTCTATGAAGATCAACCGATGAATTGCATTTCAGACAGCAGAATTAGAACTTGATGCTCAACATGCAATCGTGCAGCTTCTAGCCACACGTCCTCGCTCTTGGGACACTGTTCGCAACCGGCCTTGATCAATTTACGCGCTGCCACCATGCGGCCCGCGTGCTCTTCCAACGCGGCCGCGGCAATCCAACCGGGCGAATGCTTAGGATTGGACTTGACCAATGAGTCAAAAAGCATTCTCGCTCGCTTGATGTCGCCGATTTCGGCATCTGTCTTCAGTACAACGCTGTTGAGAGACGTGAGGTAGCCCTTTGGGTCTACGGATGATGCAGATCCAGAAGTGGAAGCGGTTCCCGAAATCTGACATCTATAATGAGAGGAACATCACCAAAGTATTGCGATGAAACTCACCTGGTCGAGTTTGAGAGAAAGTATTTTATCACGAGCTTGCCCAATTTCCACGAAGTTTGTCATTGTCCCGGAGTCTGCAGGTGTCTCGAACCCGCCTCTCTACACAACATAATGAGAAAAACCATAATCAACCATCCACGTTGTACTCACTTCCTGTTGCATGGAGTCGAGTGAATTCTCATATTCACCCTTGGCTCTGTCACCAACGATGACGCTATCCGGGACGACAAATGACCTCTCATCTTTGCGCCGCTTCTTCCGTGTAAGATTGCCCACCTCTGGTATGTTCTCCCACTCAGCGTCAGTGACAACGGAAAGCCCGCGTTTCAGGTCGGCAAATTGCTGCTGCAACTTTGGCCGCTCCGCGCGGTGCTTGGCGAGCTCGGCCTCCTCGCGCGCCTCCCTGACGTGGAATAAAACCCGGTAAAGTATATTGAGCGAGTCGGGGAGGGAGAGACTAACCGAGATGCACACACCTTCGGATCCTCCGACGGGAATCCATCTTTGAATCGACTTGGTCGTAAATTTTATCCGCTTCCTCGTCATCTGCCTCATACGTCGTCCCTGCGAACAGACCGTATTCATTGTCTGGATCTTGAAATTGTTCTGGATCGACTTCGGCCTCCTCGCCACGACGAGCCTGAGCCTCTCTATGATGAAGATGTCAGAAACCATTCCTCTGCTAGGTGGTAACTAGCTCACGCTACTACTTCTGCGGATGGACCCTCTCTCGCAGGTCCAATATCTGATCGGGTTGTGAAACCTGATGCACTAGAGAAAATGATCGTTCAGCTGCGCCATGGGATCTCTTAAAGCCGAGACGAGACTTACCCTCGACCAAGACCAGCCACATAAGATGCCGGAGCTGGCATCGACAAGAACGCCAGCTTATTTGGTTTATTTGACGTCATCTTGGAAGGAAAGGATCCGAGGAGATTCTGGTTGTTGATGGGATGGCGGATGTTACTGCCTGCAGCGAGGACGAGGCTAAAGCAAAGGACGAAGGATTACATCAGCGGTAGGCGCCGGTTTGGGAGGTGTCGGCGTTGATGGCACCTGCACCGGCCTGCAGTCATGCTCATATCCTTTCCAGCTGTAACTCCTCCATCTCCCTCATCCTTTCTCTTTCCCTCAGATCGTCAAAAATGCGGTCTATCCTATTGCTGTCGCTTCTGACCCAAGCTCTCGCTTTTCCTGCACTGTGGTCGCCATCATCTCGGCCGGCACAGGCTGTTCTGTCTCCGGACCAGGGTCAAGAGCCTCAGGAGTCTGCAGATGCTCCAGACATCGCAGTAGGCTGGGTTGACCCGCGTGTCAATGGCGGGCGCTTTCTCGATGTAAGCAACAAATGTGCATTTCAAGGAATTACCTGTTCACTGTAGATGAATTGACAGTATACTTTGCCCCTGCTCGGAGAGCCTCTTAATGTAATTATATCGGGTCTTTCTGACCCATTCATCCTCACCGAGGAGGGTTTCCACGCCTATGCAAAGTACGAGTTTTCCTCCCCTTCTTTCTCAGCTGTTCACTCATCTGCGCGTGCGCAGGTCCATCGGCTACTCTGAAGAATGCTTAGGCCTTCATTACGGAAACATTCATGAGGCTGATCTCGGGGACGGTAATGGAAGGACGGGGGAAATGTTCCTCGCACGACAGTATTATTTTCCAATCTTTGGAACTTGCTGGGAGAGTTTCGCAGGTGGTCATCACTTCAGAGCATGGAAGCAGAACGGGACCGCCGCGAACAGTGGGGCGTGGTTTATTGGGTGCGTCACTATACAGGTGAGTATACACTGGTCAATAAATTTGACCGAGCGCACGTGCATCATACAGGGCGTCGAAGGAGGAGCATTCGAGGAAGCACCACAAGATCGTTGACGACGGGTATAATGTCGGCCGTGACTGGCTCGTCGAGAACGCAAAGTCAGGGAGTCAATTCAAGGGGATCTCGTGGAAGGCACACGTGGAGTGGCGTGAGGGGCTACTCGAACCTGGTAGTGAAGGTGCGTGTTCCATGTCAGCGTCCGTTCCTCCCATTGCCCGCACGGTAAACCTGTTTCTTGTATCTCTTGACAGGTGTAAATCACGGGATCGAGCAAGACGGGCGTGTTGCCATTTTGACTGTCAACCGCCTCGAGTAATATGCTCAATCATTTCTCGTTGATCTTGTATTTATGAACGATCACGCCTCTTCATGACAGTCGTTACGGACTTCCTCCTCAGGTGATGGTCATCTACGCTAGACCTCTCTTTGATTGTATTATATTCATATATTCATCTATAGAATGGTAGAACCGTCTCAGGATCTCATATCGGGTATGTGGGTGTACTTGCATATCTTATGCAATATATGTGTTCTTATTGAGTGGCGTATTCAGTGAGAGAGTTTAGCCCTCAAAAACCGGGTCCTTCAAAAGTGTGCATACATATCATCCTTACCAAAAGCACAGGTTCAGAACAGCAGTTGTATACATCGCGCTCCTATGTTCTTCAGTACCCTAACACGTAGAACTCCGGGCCTCGAAGTGGGAAGACGAAAATCCTGCGAGGTCCTACCACGACATGGTCCACCCATCTCCATCCCTCTCCCGCTTTGCGCGCCTTGGTATTGTACGGTTCAGGCGCGGTAGGGCTTGGCTCCGTCTTCAGCACCCCGTCCTTATGAGGCAAGCCATTCTTCAGCACCTCCTGAAGCGTGATCACCATGAACCGCCCGTTGTTCAACACGAGAACAAGATGATCGCTCGCAGAGCAAGAGAACGCCTTGAGCTGGTCCATCGCGAGACCTCGAACTTCCGCCTCTTTAATAATAGCGCCCGTATTGTCATCAAGGAGCGTGATCATGGGCGTCGAGCGGGGCTCTGAGACGTTTGGGGAATAGCGAGTACCGATGGCCGCTAGAATATGGAGATCGGGGTGATGTGTGAGTCGATTGACGCCGTGCTTGATTGGCGTGCGCCATTGCAGTGCCAGTGGAGACAGATCGAGACCGTGGATGGTGCATCCAGCAACAATAGGCTGGAAATCTGCGGAGGAATGCGACTCTGCGACAGCAATGGCGATGGACGAAGGGGATATCCCCGCCAAAGACGTCGGATATAGGAAGTCCGCTTCCATTGACGCTGGCAGCTGAACTTTCTTCTGATCCGAATCGCTTTCGACCATCAAGGTGAGTGTGGACGAGGGGATTGCCGTGGATACTGTGAGCAGGGCGGCGCTGTCTGTGAGATACAAGGGAGCAAGGTTCTCTGTACCCGGAGCAGCTGTAAATTCGGGGTCCGGACTGAGGCGTCTCGCTTCCTTGATACCATCTGTGCTAATGGAGTACAGAATAATCGTTGGCTGTCGCTCAGAGTCCGCCATCGCGACAGCCAGCTGGCCGGCGACTGAACGATAGAACGATGTATGCGCGAAGTGGCCCGGCGAAGTGACCTCGTTGATTAAGGTTCCAGACGGAAGCGAGTATGCTCTTATGGATGCTGCTGTCGCGGGGCCATTGTAGCCAACTATGAGCGTGGCAATGTCGGATGATGATGCGACGACTGCCCAGTTCGCCGTGGACAATGACGGCTGAGGTTCGAGGGTTGCGACATGTGAAGGCGGACCAGCATCTGTCGGGTTAATGGACCATACGTTGGTCGCGCCTCCAAATGTATCGATAGTAAGGAGGTATGGATCTGCACGGATGGATTTTAACGCCTTCCAAATAGTGTTTTTGTGCACCGAAAATGTGTCTGGAAGTTTGTGTCGAACGGTGTATGCAGCGACGTTGGTCATGGTGGTGTGCAGAGAGCAAGAGAAGGGAAGCCTTACCCATCTTGTTATAGATCGGAACTTCCATACCTGGTTAGCTGTGTATTCCCAACAGTTTTGGATCCATCATTACTGATCGAGTTCTCGACCCGTATTGATGGAGCATGGAGTTAAGAAGTGTCGAAATAATCAACTTGCTCTGAAACATTCTAACCAAGTGCAAACGTTCAACGTTCACAGAAGTTCGAAAAGAGAAACTACTCGACGATGTAGGAAAACATATTCCAAGATTGGGTAACGTCACCTTGCGATGGATGAAGATGATGCAGACAGCGTCTATATTCGATGGTTCGGATCGAATGAACTGAGCTCGCCAATCCGCTACCATCCTCCTCACACAATGAGTCCCAATCACAGCCGGTGACAAGTTAGCCGACAACACAGGTTCCTGAATGACAATCAGAGCATCTCTGATGTACCCGGTTAACCGTGCGCGAAACAAATTGAGCGGTGGGCCAAGATGATACCAAGCTCTAAGAACACGCGATGAGTGAGATGATGCTGTGACCCGTTGTTGCTTCTGACTGGAAACATAGCTTGGAACACTTGACCAGCGCCTACAGAACCGAACCTGGAACGAAGGTGGCCTTGAATTAGCAAAACGATGAGCGGTAAAGCGACATATAAAAATACGTCCCAGCGACACTTCCTCCCTCATCAAAGACTGTATCTCATCGCCCTTACTGCTCAACCCATTTCTGTGTAATCTTCTATCGCCATGTTCTTGAAGCAGATCTCTATGGCATGCTTGCTCACTCTGGCATTGACTGCCCAAGTGCAAGCCGCCCCTGTGTGGGAAGGAAACACGACATTGGCCAAGTGAGTATAGTCTTTCGCCATAAGAAGTACCTGAGGGAGACTCACCAATGATCCTTATTCGCACAGCTTACTCGACGCACGTGGTAGTAGCTGCGGATCCGTGCGGGGCTGCTCGCAATGTGTGGCGATATCCGATTGCGCATTCAGCAAGGTCACGTTTGAATGCCAGAACAAGAAGGAAGGAAGCAAGGAACAAGTACAGAGCAATGTTGGATGTCCTCAGATGAACCAAATGCAGAGCGTAAGTGGTAGCTGTGATTAGGAATATGATACCGCAGACTCACTAATTTTTTGTAGGTGTTTCCCGCAGCAAAGGGAAAGAAGGCAGGGTTGATCCCGGACAATGTCAGCAAGGAGTTCACGAGAATCAGCCATCACATCTTCGACGGAGAATCGAGTAACAAGAACTCGGGTCGACACACCACTAGTGCTTGGCTTAAAGCTCACCCAGGAGATAAGCCAATCGCCCAGAATGCTGCGACGCACATCTTGGAGTTCAAGGTCCGTATGCGGGTGTTGTCTATAGTAGCCCATCGAAATTGATATATTGGTGCATATACTTCAGCCGCAGAAGACTGTCTGGGATTCCGACTTCTACAGCGACCTAGACATCATGAATATGTGCGCTGTCAGCATCCAGCTCGGTGGAATCAATGCCCCTGTTCCCGGCAAGGCATTCGTGGTGCAAAGTCCATTCGGCCAAACGGTTTGCATCCGGCACTTCGCTACGAATACGGGCAGTTGCTTCCCACTCGGCCCAGCTGACCCAAGGAAAGCGCTAGGTCAGGCCTGTGATAACAATGATACCAATGGAGACTAGAGCTCTGGCATTATCATACTGTTTCGTAGCAGCGTTTATGTCAAGCTTGATACTTTACTTATGCTTGAACTATGCGTACATTGAGCACCTTCTCATCGTTCTCCACCCTAACCCAATTGACGGTGGTACAGCTTCCGCATTAAACCAATGGTATGGTCTGAGAGAAGCTTGAGAGTGTCTTGACTCCTGACGGAGACATGAACGCGAAAACAATCGAAGTCGATCAGTCAGTCATGCCATGGCCTTCTGCGGAGTATGAATTTTAAGCATTTTCTCACAATGCGGTCAGTCCAGAGATCAAGTAGTTGCGCTTCCTCTTTTCATTTTTCCCGGTTGTTTCAGCATGCCATCTATTGCTAAGACCTCGAAAAAGGCAGATATCAAGTCGAAAAAGCTGTCATCAAAAGGCAAAGCTCCGGAAATATCTGTGGAACCACCACAACCTGTCGCGGAGGACAGCGACGAACAAAGCGGCGACGACGACAGCGATGTGGATGAGGAGGGTATGAAGAAGCTCATGAAAGCGTTGGGGGATGACGGTCTAGATGAATATGAGCAGGCGCAGCTGATAGCTTTGACGGGGGATGAGGAAGAGGAAGAGGTCGATGAGGAGGATGGAAGCGAGAGTGACGATGGCGAGGGTGACCAGAGTCGCGATACAGAGGCAGGAATTGAAGAGGAAGGCTCATCTGACGGTTCCGAAGACGAGGAAGACGATCTCGAGGATGCTGAGGAGGAACAAGTGGCCCTGGATGGTGTCGAGTCTGTTGACGAAGACGCCGTCCCTCGTCAAAAAGTTGAGATAGACAACAAAGTAAGCAGCTCAACCGCCTTCCATAAGCAAGGTCTTACTTGTATTGGGATAGATTGCTTTAGAGCGCATTCGTGATACAATCAAGCTCGACCCATCAATATCCTGGACAGAAACCTTGACCCTGTCCTATCCTCACACGATAGACGTAGATGTGAACGACGACCTGAGCAGGGAGCTGGCGTTGTAAGTAGATAGATCATATCTCGTTGTTACATTCCAGTCGAACAACTTTCTCTTAGCTATAAGCAGGCTTTGCACGGTGCAAATGCAGCCCGTGCGCTTGCCGGAAAACATCAACTCCCTTTCACACGACCATCAGACTATTTTGCGGAGATGGTCAAGACTGACGCACATATGGAGCGCATACGGCAAAGGCTACTCGATGAATCTGCAGGGATCAAGAAGACTGAGGAGAAGAGGAGGGAACGCGAGGGGAAAAAATTCGGTAAGCAAGTGCAGATGGAGAAGCTGAAGGAGCGGGAACGTAGTAAGAAGGAGATGGAAGAGCGATTGAAGGGTCTCAAACGAAGTGAGTAACACTTTTCAGGAGCCCTGCTCTTGTTCGATTTACCTCTGACCTCTACTTAGAACGCCAAGGAGCGCTCGACAACGCTCAGGCAGACGACGACGGTTTCGATATTGCGGTAGAAGATGCCATTTCTGGTCAACCCGAAAAACGCGCGAAGGGCAAGGACGGTAAAAGGCTCCCTCGTGACGCTCGCGATAAAAAATTTGGATTCGGTGGCCAAGATCGGAGGTCAAAGCAAAACACGAAGGCATCCACAGATGACTTCAGCTCTAGCGGCCGGGGGGGCAAGGGGGGTGCGAGGGGAGGTGCGAGGGGGGGCGCGAGAGGGGGCGCGAGAGGGGGCGCGAGAGGGGGCGCGAGAGGGGGCGCGAGAGGGGGTGCGAGGGGAAAGAGCCAGCGTCCTGGCAAGGATCGGCGGATAGCTGCGAAAAGTCGATAAGTTATCGACAGTAATAATCTACATGTGGTGCGTAGTACTCATCATTCTCGTACTTCAAACGATCTTCTAATATGCTTGGTTTCAACGGATCAAAATGATTCAGCGCATCACTTGTATCCCTAACATACTACCCATAGATTTCCAATGATCTGCTCGTCAGGCTTCTCATGCGATTATACGAAAAATTCTTCAACTTCGTGCGAGATCCACTGTTCTGTTCCCGCGCCATTATTTCGATGAGCTTACATACTTGAGGTACTTGCGTCATAGCGGGTGGCCACGGCTATACCAGGAAGTAGAACGTACGGCCTGCTGAACCACATGTCCTCTTTACCCGAGGCTTAAAGTCGTCCGCGGTGTTTCCCTCAGCAAACGAGCGCAAGGAGCATACTTTCCACCGATCTCGGTCCAAAATTAGTATATCGCAGGTTCCATGCATCTATCTGCATCATGTGGAAAGAGTCCTCCTCCTTTTGAACCTGTTCTGACCTATTCAAGTGAGGCCTGTGACGTACTTCATGCCAGACTTTGTTATTGGACTTTCGGCTGCGGGTAGAAAAGATCATTTTTAGATATAAGGTCTTCGTGTCGACGTACGGATCAGACAGTCGTTCCACATCATGGCCACTGAAGACACTTGGAAGGGCGTGTCGCTCAGTAAACTGTTTCCGGAGGAGACCGCCGGCATGAAAGGGTAAGCGACCTAGATCCCTCAAAAGAGTCAGGTTTCTCAACATTTGTAGATATATCGAGTGGGAGAGATACCCTGATCGGAAGGCTGTCGCTCGCGATATACTCAATGCAAAAACGTTCGACGATTGTCCAGGTATGTATATACACATATAATAAAACCATGAACGAGGAAAAGATGCAACTTTGTTCTAGAATTCCAAATCGACCCTCTCCCCAAGACAAACCCGGTCCTCATCGGACACCGTTGGAAGCAATATCATGAGGCGCTTGGGCTCAGGAGGATTGTTGACTTTAGCTGGGAAACAGTATTGCGAGAGAAGCCCGACATGATTCATCTGCTTGATTTTCCGTACAATGGCGAGACACCTCGGCCACAATTGATGCAAGGCAAAATCACGGATAACAAATTCCACTTGTAAGTCTCCTCTTCTGTGGTTGTCTTTTGTGCTGGTTGACCTTCTCTTGCGCAGTATCCGGAACCATGGAGGCGTACCAGACATTGAAGAGGACGCCTTCGAACTCGAAATCGGAGGCCTTGTCAACGAGCCTGTCATACTCAGTATGAAGGACCTCAAAGATCCCAATAATTTTCCGTGAGTGTCGTCAGCCCTCAAAAGCAACTCTGATATATTGCATTTTATAGTCAAACAGAAGTCACCATAACACTACAGTGTAGCGGGACTCGCCGTATAGAACAAATCCAGCAATATCCTGGCGATGGCGACGAGTTGATCAACGCACCATGGGGCGAAGGAGCGATGTAAGATCTAATGTGTCTAGCAAGACTCTCGCTATTAAAACCGCTATATAGCGGTACCGCCGTATATCGCGGCGTTTCCTTGAAAAAGGTGCTGAAGATCGCGTGCGGAGGAGTTCAGCCTGAATGCCAGCACCTGGAGTTTATAGGTGCTGATACGTATTTTAAGTGCGCTTGATTGTTTACTATCTCAACAAATTTCCTTACAACACAAACCGACTGTTCACAGAAAGGGAGACATTTTCAATTACGCTGTGTCTGTGCCTTACCGCAAGGTTCGCATGAGCGAGGAAGTCTTGCTCGCGTGGGAGATGAATGGAGAACCGTTGCCAAAGATTCATGGCTATCCACTGCGTGTGGTTGTCGCTGGATACATCGGTGCTAGAAGCTGCAAATGGGTGACACGTATCAACGCCCTAGCTGAGCCGAGCATGGGTCCTGTGCAGAGCCAAGAGTATCTTTATTACGCTTTCCAGGTGAGACTCTGTACGCTGTATCATTGGCATGCTTATAACACTTAAATTCTTCGCTTAGATCGGGAAGCAGAATGCCAAGTATTCGAATGGGTTTTCAATCCAAGCAATGCCGGTCTCGTGAGTCATGGCCTGTGTATCAAGTCATACGGAGTGGCTTTTCTCATATTACATGCAGGAGCGCGATCATTTTCCCACAGGACAAACAAGTTATCGTTCATGACGGTTCTATAGAACTGCAGGGATGGGCATACAGCGGAGGCGGCAATTGGGTCGAAAGGGTAGAAGTATCACCAGATGGGTGAGATAACACTTTCATTACTCTGATCCATGAACTGCTATTGAATGAGCCCATAGCGGCCATGTATGGTATGCCGTCGAGCAAGAGAACATGACAGACAAGGTACGTAGTGGCAGATCTCAGCAACGAGGTTCAAATAAATTACTTCGTGGATAGCACTATCACGCATGGAGGTTATGGAAGATCAGCATCCCCGTCGATGCAGAGGGGTGGGTCGAATTTTGCGTGAGGACGTGGGACTCTTCCAACAACACCCAGCCTACATACGTGCGCTCCGCTTGGAAGTGAGTGTCAGCTTACGCCGTCGCTCCGACCCGAGTTGACGACTATTATCCTCCAGCTGGGATCTCCATGTCACGTCATCATGCCACCGTGTCAAGACCTACAGTATCAATATGTCTAGACCAGCTACGCAGGAACGTCTCAAGCTGATCAAAGCACACGGCGGCAGCGGTTTCGAGCCGTTGTCTCAGCCCCTTCATTTTTCGCTCGAGAACAAGGAAGACTATCTGCGAATGGTCAGGAAGTGTCCTCGGGAGCCATCGAGTTGATTACGGGCCTCGACCGTCACTGTTTCTTGTCCTTGTCTGAGACTGACTGTTGTAAATTGAGCTACCCGAGATTTGTACTTATAAACCGCCATGGCTACTGCGTGCATCGCTAGCTGTACTTGATGATAGGATGATTTGAAGCCGCTAACGCCACATGGAGTGTGGATTTTTTCGCCGAATGCTAGATGCAGTGCGAGACCAGAGCCAAACGTTACAGACCTGACGCGTGTGTGAGGTCGATGATGAAAGTAACTAAAAACAAAAGAAAGCGAGTATTGTATATGTACCGTCTTCGTCAGGTTATGAATCATCCAAAAATACACATCGTATCTACTCTTCAGTCGTTCTCAAAGTCATGCCGAACCGTTCTCTCCGCTCTGCTGCGTCACCGCAATGCGCATCACTTCCATCAACAGCGTCTGCTGCTCGACGTCCAGCGACGTCGTCGCAGCCTGGTACATCGGGGCATTCTTTGTTTGGAGCGCTATGGATGTGAAGCATGTCAGAAGAAGCACGTCACAGACACAGAGCGCGGAACGCACTGGTCAACGCTTGTTGGAAAACACTGTACGGGTCAACGGTGTCGAGAGGGCTGATGAAGCCCAACTCTTCGTCGATCTCCGAGTCGCTAGAGGTATCTGAAGCAGCGTCGTTGTCACCCTCCTTTTCCGACTGCTCGCGCAGGCGAACACCCTGAATTGAAAAGAGTCAGCACGTGTGAGAGAAAGGCAAGTACCGCGAAGCTTGCCTCATTCGCCAGCATCTCAATGTATGCGGAATCCTGGTCCCAGATGTCATCTGAAATCATCGAGTCAGACGCATCATGCAAGCGAGGGACTGAATGCTCACCATCGTCCTCATTATTTAGGTCGAAATAGTCATCGCTGACATCATCTTCAACTTCTTCCTGCAACGCATCTTGCAGAGCTTTACGTCCTACCGCCCCATAGCAAAAGAAAAGGGAAAGTATAGGTCAGCGGAAATCGCACTCTCGTTACGGACAAGAACCCACCAGCGATGGCCTTTGGCAACTCCTTGAATACTTTAAGCGCACCGGCCACGATACCGTGCCATCCGTCACGCAACACCTCGGGAATGGCAGCGGGGTCCATCTCCATCGCCGCAGACAGCGCGACGATAGTGAGCTTCTTGTCGTGGACGCGCGGTAGACGGCTGTCTGAGTTGATCGCCGCGAACCAGCGGTCGAAGAACTCGCGTGACATGCCCGCGCGGTACTGCTCCATGAGCTGCAGCGCCGCGGCGGGGTTGTACAGAACTGCATTGATGAGAACCTCAAGATTCGCGAGACGCAACGCAGTGGAGTTCGCGGAGTCGAGCTGGCCAAGTGCGGTGTTGATGATCGATTGCAAAGCCTGAAAGCAAAATTCAGACAATGGGTTTCAAATGAAAATGACTGAAGGCCTCACATCGTCGACATGGCCGCGCAAATTAAGAAGCATCGCTTCAGCAAGCTTAGAGCCGTTGACGCGATCGTTCTCGCCAAGTTGCTGGTTGGTGATCGATGTAGTGTAGATGTCGAGGATCATTTGCCTGTAATCTGCGCGCGCCTTGAACATCTCAGTTCCGTACGAAACAAAGTTGTCCAAGGACGGCAACATCTCTGCACCAACAGGCATCAGCACGCTGTTTTTTTCGTTATTGTAACAACAGATGGAAAAGACGCACCGTCGAGGAAGTCAATGGCGTCGCTTTTGAAGAGAGTGTATGTTATCTCGAAGATCGGCCACATGTTGGGCGAGATCTGATGCGTCTTGAACGTGAGGCTATCGACCAGGTCGTACATGTTGTCAAATAGATCTGATAAGTACATATGAATTAGCGATTTTGACCAGCGGAAACCAAAGTACGCACTCACCCAGGAGCTTGTTCTCCAACGTGAACGTGATGATCGGAATAATGACCTCCTGAACCTGGGCAAGAATCTCAGGCGAAGAGTCGATAGAGGAGACGATCTAGAAAGCATGAGGCTTCAGCACAGGAGTTCCGCAGTGTTCGCAACGCTAGCGCGCTCACTGTCGAAATGGTCTTCGCGACACCCATGGCGGCATACGTCTTGTCGTCGTCGCCGTCCGACTCCATGAGCGAATCCAAGTCAGCGCCCTTCGGCGCATTTTCGTCCTGCACGAGGCTCTCGCGTGCAAGGCGGAGGTACGAGTCACACTGCATAATTCGAATGAGCGCCAGTATCAATCTAGAAATGACGATCGCCACTTACTAGACGTGCGGTGAGCTGTGCCGCGACAGGGAGCAGCTCATCCTGGAACTGTTCTACCATGGCCTCCATGCTGCTGTTCAAGATGTCGAGATCGGTCTCGTCTGACAACTTCAGAAGGTCTGCACAAGGGTTATCACCGGTTATCAACGTGTAATCAACGCAGACACTCCTTCCACAACTTACCTTGAATGACCTTGCCGACTTGGGGCGCTACCGCCGCCCTCACTGCGCAAGCAGAAGATCTGAGTCGGATAATCTGGGAACGTTCTTGAAGCGGACGTACCTTGCTCATGGGTAGTGACCATCTCCGTCAGCGCCAGAGCAGATTGCACGCGCACGGGCAGCTCAGGGTCGTCCATGACAGCGGCGACGGCTCTGAAATGCGCGTTCATGTTCTATCATCAAGTGAGGGTTAAGTCCAGCTCTTGAACAGAGCACAAGTAAGCAGCTACCTCTTCAGAGTCCCACGTAATATCAGCACGCTCTACCGTGCCAAGGACCTCGCAAGCCTGTGTGAATCAAAGACAATCAGTACGACGGGTGGATCAAATCACAACAACACGTACGATAGCACGCATGTATCCCTCGGGGCTGGTAAACTGGGGCAATACATGCTGCGACATGAATTGAGCCATGTTATTTTTGACCTCAGCGTGACGCATGATGAAGGGTCCAAGTGCGGCGGTCATGTTCAGTGCGCCAAACCGCTGGGGTGCGGCGGGATTGCTAGATCAAGGTATCAGAGGTGTGGGAGGGGAACGAAAAAGGGTGACGCACGAAGCAAGGACGCTGTTGACGAAGCCAAGGATGGGCATGAATGTAGTCTTAGAGCGGCTACTGACCAGCTGGAACAGGAAGGTTGTTGCGGCGGAAACAGGCGACGAGTAGTTCTCATACTCGTCGACGGACGTGCGCACGTAATCAACCGGGTCGGTGTCCCAGAGCTCCTGCTTCTCGGGCGTGAACGATAGGTTCGGGAATACGAATGTCGAGACTAGCATTTCAAAGTGGGGCTTAAGGAGTGCCCAAGTTGACTTCGGCTTCACGCTAAAGAAGGAGAGAACGTGGTGGGCTATGGGGACTAGCAGAAAAACAAGTGTATAGGCAGGACGTACCACTCAGTGAAGAAAGTGAAGATCTGGTACTGGCACTTTTTCGAGAGCCATGCCTGGCCCGAGACGTAGAGCTCGACCTGCTGGAGGTAGATTTTGAAGATTTCCGGCGCAAACGACTCGACAAAATGGTGTGAGAACACGCCGTACTCTATGCGCATCGCGCTCGGGAGCTGCGATGGGTTACCGAAGCGATGGAACAACCGCCCAAGGACACCGTACGCCCATTTTTTGGCCTTCCACCACTCGCTCCGCTCGCGCGCGTCGGTGTCGGCAGGCACTGCCTCAGCGGGGATCTGAAGGTTCACGACCTGGAAGAGCAGGCGGCCCCAGGGAACTAGACTCTCCGCGCTCTGCTGATGTGCGCTAAGATTGAGGATGATTGAGGAGCGATACGTCTTGAGGATGACGTGCAGGATCGCGGGGATTTCCTGCTCTGCGCCCGCGGGTGGGGATGATAGGAGCTGCGTGGCGATGTTGACAAGTGTCGGGAAGAGCTCGGCCACAATTTGCGGGAGGACGTCGCTCCGTTGACGGTAGCTACGCGGAGATTGGTACACGGGTACACGTAAAGCGTGCACACGATGGCGACGCGGAAACAATAATTTACTTACCGGAATGCGCGGATCATCTCAAGGACGACGATGCACCCCGCACCGAGTTCCCTGATGTTGGTGCTGGCGAGCATCTGCTTAACGCTGGACATGAGCTCAGGCCATCGGTCGGGGAAGTCGTGTGAGACGAGTGTCTTGAGTGTGCTCGCTAGCTGGACAGTAATTGCGCGAGAAGGAGACTCTGAGAGTAAGGGAAGGACAGATAACTTGAGGGCCGCGCGGTCAGAGGGCGCGATTGGATTCCGGTTGTCGGGGTGCGTGCGGGCGGGGTCGAGGGCGTACGAGTTGGCGACGCGGTTTTTGAGGAAGACTGAACACGCTTGGCGTGTTGCACTGTATGGCAAAGCGAAGCTGAGATCAAGGAAGACGAGGAGAAGAGACGCGTATAACACGTACAGGTCGACGTTATCGGAACCGATGATCTGAAGGAGGGCTGCAGGCATGCCCTCTTGTCCACTGATCTGATGGGCAATATTTGAGCAAACGCAGAGTAGAACACAAGATCAAGGTATATACCCTTCTGATTTCCAGTTCTGCAGCCTTGTGGACATTTGGATTTGGGTTGAGAGTGGTCGCGAACAAGTTTGAGAGCGTCTGAAGATCCATGACTGTGGCAAAGAGGCGTTGATGAATGTTTGTGGGACGAATGAACAGGATGAAGGGAAATTGACTGTGACTTTGACTTTCTAGATTACAGAGGGAGGGGTATATGATGGTTCGAAGAGCAAGTGGAGATGAGCGAGGCGGTGGAGGTAAATTTTGGAAGGAGGCAAGTGGCACGAGGAAACGTGACTGACGCGTTTTTCTGCCGCACGCGCCTTGACGCGGTCCCCCTCCTTGGCTCGCTCTCTCACAATCCCCAGAATTGGCTGCATAGGGACTCTGAGCAATGTTCAAGCATATCCTGTATTTTTTGGTACGGCAGCTGAAGCCAGTGGCTCACTGAAGGTCAGATATATACTGCCTTGTTAGGGAAACATATATGGTTCGATGGCGTAGTTGGTTATCGCATCTGTCTAACACACAGAAGGTCCTCAGTTCGAGCCTGGGTCGAATCATATTTATGTTACAATTTTCTTTTTTTATATATCTCAAATCGGGAGCCGCGCGCATATTTGTGAGCATTACTTACTTATCAGCCGAGTGCGATCAACGTTGCGCTCGATGGCCGCCAGCATCGTCGACCTGCCTTTTGAAATCATTGAGCAGATCCTCCTCGAGCTTGACCCTCTCCACGTCGCCACTTTCGCCCAGACCAACCGGGACTACCACACACTCGTCTACCACTCCCACGACCAGCACTTCTGGCGCGAGCTCTACCTCCGCCAGGACTTCGATGATCCCCGCACATGCCTCACACCGCTCGGATCCCCGCGCACTGAGCCTGTCGACTGGCGCGGCGAGCTCCAGCGCATCATTCACGCTCGCACCGTTGCAACCCACCCTACGCTCTGTAGCGCCCACGAGCGCCTGGCGGCGCTGCGCGCGCTAGGAGACCTTTCGCGTTGTGCTCCATCTGCGCCCACAGTATTCAGCGACAAGCTGTCGCATAATTTGCTCTGGATTGCTCTGATCCTGCGCGGCGGTGCCCTACTCGACTTCGTTCCCGACAGTAAGGGCAAAGGCGAAAGCGAAAGCGAGCGCGCGCTTGCTCCTGCAAGTAATGGCCATGACGACGAGCAGAATGCAGAGCTTAGCCTGGATATCGACGAGGATGAGGTGCAGCTGCGTGCACGCCTGCACACGCACTACGGGATCACAGCGCGCGACTCGGGGACGGTACGGCGAGTCGAGGCGCTGGCATACGTGTACGATATGCGGAACTACCGCCCGGAGAGCGACTATGGGCCGTTCCTCCCTGACGGGAGCGGGCGCGTCAATTGGGTGCACATGCAGGCGCTGCACCATGCCGTCGCGATGCACTCGATATCGCTCGACGAGCTCGCCGAGGACGATTTCGTGATACACCAAATGAGCATCCCGTATTGTCAAAGCATCATTCCTGAAGGTATGAATCTCGATTCGGAGCGGGATTGGGCGGGCATCGAGGGGCTCTGGCATTGTGCCTTCTGTTTCATAGACCATCGCGCGCTCCTGTGTGAGTCTTCGGTACTCCCCGCTCTGGGAATATGAGTGCGGATGGAAATTGACCGTCATCTTTAACAAGTGTACAATCAATTCAACGTGCGTCTTTCTGCTTTCTGCTTCACTAGTTTGTTCTCGTGGCCGACATGACCTCGTCGATCTTGCTTCCCAGCATGTGGGCAATGAACCGCTCGACGCGTCGTTCTTCACGAATCCCGGGTTTGGAGAGATCTACCGCGTCATTCCCGTGCAGTTCCGTATCACCGCAACACAACCTGACCCCAACTACCCCACGCGTCCACGCCTGCTCATTCAGGGCAACGTGCGCGACGAGATCACTATGACTGGTCACGTCAGCTTCACGCCAGACGAACAGCTGCACTGGCACTTGGTAAGTCCCGAAATCTTCCAGTGAAAGCCATGACCTCACCTACCTCCTTGGACTTTTACTAGATCTCGGGTGAGAACGGACAGGCCATATGGAGGTACGTCCACCGCGTCCTCTGTGCCTAGTGTTGATCAGCGCCGACTCTTTCGTCGTCGTTTTGATGTAGTATGGAGGGCGTCCAAGTTGGTGGGGTACGCTCGTATTTTGGCGTCCTCGGAAGTTGGACAACAATATTTCACGAGCAGCATGACCCAGTCGGTAAGTCTCTTCTTGTGTTGCGTGAATACTGTCGACTCGGCGTTAATCGATGCGCTGCGATTATGACTGTTCAGGACCGCTGTGGCTTCACAAAGCGCTACCGAATTCGGCAGAGCATCTATCGTAAGATAGATGGTCAAGTTCTTCTTCGACAATAGAGAAATAGAGAAGTGTCGTATTATTCATTATTCGTTCTGCTGGTTTCGCTTGGATATTTCACGTCAGCTATATAAACCTCTACAGTAACGAACCTCTCCTGACCTTGGCGAAATCACCGAAGGAAATCGATCTGAAGAAACAGATCGCCTTCGTACGGGATAAGCTCTCGTGCGCACATCTCACAGTATACCGCAGGCTCCTTGCTGCCGTGGAATCAGGAACTAAATGTAACGCGTTGTCGTATGAAGACAAACCCTTCGCGATGAAGATATGAATAAGCATTTTGAGCATTCTGCTAATCAACTGGAGGTGGATCTGAGAAAACGTTCTGCTGATTAACTGAAGGTGGATCTGGCCTCCACGTAGTCTTGCCTAGTCCAGCGGAATGACACAAAACCTTGACGTCTATGAAGACTTTTGTATCCTTGTTTGTCTCGTGGAGAGCAGATATGAGGCAGTGTTGCGAGATTGGAGGGTAAATCTTGAGGAAATCCCTTCGTAGAATTTGCTCCCAATCTGTTCCCAGAGTAAACGCATTTGTGTTCCCAGCGTTTCGAGCAACAGTGTCTCTTGCACGACCATCATGAACTCCCTGCCCGTCGAAATGTTGAAGATGATTGTGGGATCAAGTACCCGCTGGAAAGATCTGAGGAACATTTGTGCTTTGAACAGGACGTTCTGCTCGTTGTCCACTCCACGCGTGTTTCGACGAATTCAGGTCAGAAATACGATCTGGCATGTTGAGGCGTTCGAGAACGTCATACAGAGCAAGGCGGCGATTCCGTATCTCGAGGAGATTGTCTTCCGAGATATATATCCAGGCGAAGATGGCAATATCATGAGTAGTATGTATTTTCTGCAATTTCGTGTGGACTAAGATCTGAACGAAGTTGCGCAGCCTCTCCTAACATATAGGTTCGTACAGACTCTAGCCATTATGCACAGGAAATCCGGGAATCACTGTCCTCCACATTTTATCGCCTTCGTGAACTCCCAGCACTGAAAACGCTGGTACTGCTGTTCTTCCCGATATATCCAGAGGAGTCTTTTTGGGAAGTCTACGAGCCTTCAGAACATTTACATCTCCAGTTGGCGATTCTCTCCGGATTATCACGTTCACCACCGTTCACGCTGACCTCCTTGACATCATTGGTCTCACCGCAGTCCACAATGAACTCTTCGGTACACTGTCCTTCCGTGCACTTTTTGAACGGTTGACCTATCTGCGTGTTGCTGCCATATCGGACACTGGCTTTGAAGAGGAAGACGCTTACGAGAATATCGCTGAATTTTGGGAGAAGACAATCTCGCATCGAATCCTCGAACCACGTGTCTCCCTTGCCCAATCTCTGACATCGCTCACGATCCACAGCGACCAGGACGTCGGGTTCATTCCAGCCATTGACTTTTCACAGCTCACCTTCTCCAGCCTCGCATTTTTATCACTGAAGAACATATCATTTGACGAGGACAGCATGAATGTAGAGGACTTCATTGTTCGACGCGGGGGCACGCTCAAGACTTTGGAGCTTGAAGTTTGCAGAATTGCGGTGCGCGATTCAGAACAGGGGCCAACTCGCTTCTGATTACAAATATGGAATCGCTTTTTGGTGGAAATGGGGGCGTTGATGAAGCTCAGCGTAGAAGATGTTGACGATCCAGGATCAGGGCGAATGCAAAAGTATGTACGGCAAAATGAGGAGCTTGGCTATACGTCCTTCATGATCCCAGCTCCGAGCGAGGAGCTAGACAAAGCAGCGTTTGAGGCATTGAATGTGTTGCTGGAGTCGAGGCGGGCGTCTGAAAAGCCCACTCATTGGGTAAAGATATTCGGTCGTGAGCTGAAGAGATTTTCATGTTTGTGTCTGTCAATTTGACTCGTCCTACATGAGAGATGCTATTCCCCACGCAATCTGAATTTTTACCATCGCTTCTCATACAAACCGTCTCAACATGACAATCCATCCATCCACTCACTCGACATTGTTGAGTGTCAACTGCCTGAGCCTCTGTCATTTGCCACGCGTTTCCAGCACACGGCAGGACTAAATGTCGATTCAAGTTTTGACCGAGATTATCAATCTAAGGAGGCGAGGTTCTATGGTTGGTGTGCTACAACTGCAGTGCCATTGTGCGTGTATCGAAGAGTAAGTACCACATACAGAATCGTAAGCTAGTGAACAACTCTATGGAGTGAACAAGTCCGTCTTTATCTGCGGTGGTGAGTCGTACTGTATGGTATGGTATCACGTCGTATGTGAATGTTCGTAGACAAGCAACTCGAATAAAAAGATAAACATATGCGGAAAGAATATTGAGCCCAGAGGAAGGAGAAGCATGGAATGTACCGCGTTCACAGAGGAGATCATAAGCGTGAAGGGGGAGAGGAAAGGCCGAAGAAAACTCATCCGAGCACCGTGCATGTTCGAAGAAAAAGCAAAAGAAACCCGATTCCCGAAAGATAGAAAAGAACGCAACATCACCACTCGTGTTTTTTTTTCGGCTGTCCTGTCGAAACACGAGCAACGTGACGCTATGATCGTTCACGATCGTCTTTTACATCGCCCGATCCGGTTGCCGGCCGGTCGTTGCACCTCGTGCCCCGCTCGAGCGCCCGCTTGCCCTGTGGATCGACGCGCGCGCTTCCCTGTCAGCTATGATCGTCGCGCGCCCGCGCCGCCAGCGCGCGCTCAGGGCGGGCGGGACGGGCGGCTCGTGTTCCGGAGTGGGGACTGCACGTCGGGTGCCGGGCACCGCCGTCGCAGAGACAGATGAGGCATGCGCATGCATGTGCGCGTGCGCGTGGGGCTGCTCATACGAGTGGGTTTGGTCGTGAGAGAGTGGGTGGGAGTGCGGGCGCGGGTGCGGGCGGGACGAGGCGATGGCGGGGATGACGGCGGGGGCGTGAGAAAAAGAGGGAAATTTTGGGATGGAGAGGGAAAGCACTGGGAGGGACGGGAGGGATGGGAAGAGGGATGTAGACACTAAAAGGGGGAAGGAATGCTCAGAGGTACTGGCGGGGGTCTGAGGCTGTCGGGTTGAGATTGGGGAGGTGGATAGAGTGGAAGATGAGGTTGATGCAGAAGATGAGGTGTAGGGGGACGAGGGAAAGGGGTACTCGAAACGACCGTTTGAGGATGCCTCGAAGGGAGTGCTAGGGTGAGCGGGACTACGAGGGCGGAAGGGGGCACCCGGAAGGGGGTGGTGGGGAATGGGGGAATAGACGCGCAGTGCGCCGGAGGACTGATCATAGTGGAGTGAGATATGCTTGAGCGAAAAAATAATCTGACGCAAAGGGTGTGGAGGAGGCGGTACCTTTGTATCTGCGGGAAGGAGATGGAGAGGTTGCATGCAGGTGCGAGAGGAGGGCTGGACGTCGAGCGAATAAGCGTCAACTGGCGTGGAGGGGCAGCTTGTGGAGTGGGGATGAAACGTGAGTGAGGACTACAACTTTGAAGGAATCGCGAAGGACATGGGGCTGGTTTTCAGGACAGCCCCTGGTATGGAACTTTCTGGGCCTTCTGGCTGGGTCGATTCTCCATGACGCGTGTCTCTCTAGTCACCCTACGGGGAAACCACACGGACCAGTCACAGACCACAAATCTTTTGCTATCGAATAGGTCGTAACCATGCCTACTACGGGCGAACAGACGAGAGCGGGCGTGGGTCTCCTCGCCATTCTCATGTTTGCTGGAGATATTTGGAAAAGAGACAAGTTGGGGGAGGCTCAACCCTGGGGCACGTTGAAGCGTCTTGCCGAGTAGCGGCACGTCCACTTGGAACTCTAAAAATGTCCCGACTGGCTCCAGCGCAATGCCAGGTATACTTCTAAATAATCGCCAAAATGTGACAAACGGCCGGCGCAAAGAATGCGGACATTGTCAATCCGATCGTCGACGAAACATGGATGATCACATAAGTACTTACAGTATGTCGACAGATCTAGTCATAGACTGAATATCGACGAAAATCCGGCTTCTGCTGTAGTATAAGTAGAACGACTACGTCCACCTACTCAGAAAGATGTATGGGAGGGAGACATGAGACAAGCAAGTGTAGCTGTCAAATGACAGCGAGCACTTACTCCGGATCTGTAAGCATACAGTACTTCCAGATGTTTCCAGTGACATTTAACGTTCAACCATTCCAATGACCCTCAAGGCACGAGCCTTTCGCATCCCATAATGTTTATCGGGAGATATGAACCCTCTGCAGCGGTGTGTGAAGCTTGCAGCGCTCTTCAAGCACATGAGATACACGCTTCCAAGCTGGAGGATGGAGTAGGGTGGGACGTGCTGTGGACGATATGAACACTGGACAGATGCACGAAATGGAGGAAGAAGACCACGCCTCATCCGCGACACAAGCGAGCTAGAAGCTTATGAAACCTGAAGCATCGAAAGCAGTCCTTATAGACGTAATGATTGGGATACGTAGAGTGCCTCCGTGCGTTACAAGAATACTCGGTCAGTATAGGCTCCAGAGCGCTCTGTAGATATTCGGATAATATTGTGACCATACCTATTCACACCCTGCATAAAAAGCGGTCCAATCGATAGCATGAACTCGAAAGGCAGCAACAAGTAGGAAAGTAGGTTGCTCCAATTTCCGACAAACATCCGGATGTTTGACAAGAGTGACGAGGCAGGATATCGTCCCAGGCTATCCTGCCGCGGTGGTGATGAAGAGACCTTTGCACGATCGCCAGGTGGCTATCACGATATCGTGTCGACTATTAGCGATGTGGGCGATGGAGGGTGATGCAGACACGATGTCGTCAAACACCCGTGGGAACTCCGATACGCAACCCGAGTCCTGCCTGCATCCGCATCCCAACAAGCCATTCCCCACTACACTTCTGCTCTCACTTCCAATTTGTCAAACAACTCATATTTGTGGTTCTCTCTTCGTCCAGCCTCGTTCTTGCCTTCATCTCCCTCTTCGTTTCACTCTCTGAATACAAACAGCCGATATTTAAGCAATGTCAGATCCACCACCACAACGGCCCAAGCCAGGCTCGCTGCGTGACCGCATCGCAGCCTTCGAACAGAAACCCGCCGCTTCCGCGTCGTCATCTGCACCACCCGCACCGCGCCCGAAGCCAGGCGGCCTCGCGAAATGGGCACCGAAACCTCCGTCTCCACCTGCGTCGCCGACCAGCAGCGCCACGGCAACCGTGCAGCGTGAAGGCGGGATGTCCGCCCGTGATGCGCAGGCGAGCATTGGCCAGGGTGGTACGCTCAAGGAGCGAATGGCCGCGCTTCAAGGAATGGCCGCTTTCGGAGGCGCGGCAGCGCCGGCACCCCCAAAGCCCGCGCAGGAGAAACCTAAGTGGAAGCCCCCGCCGCAAGTCGCGGTGGCCCCGCCGATTAGGGATGACGAGGAAGACAGTGCGCCCGAGCATAAGGCTGCCGAGGAGGAAGAAGCTGTACCTGATAAAGTGTCAGTGCCCAGCGCGACTGCCGAGGACGATACTCCGACTCCGGGTGCGGGCGAGAGCACAGAGCCCGAGAGCAACGATGCCGAGAAGGGGCAGGATCCTGAAGATGAAGAGAGACAGCGACGCGCTGCGATTGCTGCACGGATGGCAAGACTGGGCGGTGCACGGGTGGGCATGGCCCCGCCGGTGTTTGGAAAGAAGCCTGTGCCCGCCAAGGAGCAGAAGCCAGTAGAACAAACTTCATCCGGCAAGGAGGATGCGAAGCCTGATCATGGCGAACTGGATCGCAAGAGCTCTATGGACGGTCAGTAATGTGCTACTTATGTATCTATTTTCCTCACACCTCTTGATTGCAGCTCAATCGTCGAGCTCTCCCCCCGCAACATCAACAGAATTTACCAAAGGTAAATCTGAGCCAAATCTTTATCGCTCTCCTACTGACTTTTGGCTATTTGCTTGATAGTGCCTTCGATCCATTCTACCCCAGAGGCCGCTGAAGGAGCTACGTCTCCCAAACCACAGACATTCGCTACACCTGGTACGCAAACAACTCGTTACCTTTTTCTCTATCATATCTTAGAGGCTGATGACATCGCTGCAGACTATCTTCCGTCATCGTCTACATCCGCATCACCTCCCAGCGCCGACAGTGCCGACAGCCAATCTGCGAAATCGCCGTCCTCGATGCCAGTACCGTCAGTTCCGCGACGCGCTCTTCCGCCACGCAAGAAGACACCCAAGACACCTTCAACCCCGGCCATGCCCGAGCCTGCGCCCGAGCCCACGTCGTCGTTGGAACCTACGAATGTCTTGGGTGCTTCAGTCCACGTGAGCCCTTCGGCATACGGGGGCGAGAGCAGCGTCACAGAGGCGCAAGCCACGGCCTCTGGCGATAGGCAGGAAGAAGTCGGCAACGTGAACGCGAGCGCGGAAGATTACTTCGACCACTCTGTAGCCCTGGCTCACGACAGGCCTGCGGTGGTTGCTACAGCTTCTACTGAAATCCACGACGATCCCATCGCCGAGGATGACGTTGCTGAAGCTGAGCGCGCGACTTCCCCCTCGTCCGACGCACGTCCCGAGTCGCCCGATGACCCCGAAGTCTACTTGAAACCCAAACGCGACATCGAGCCAGAGCCAGCACACGACCCTGAGCTTGCAGTTGAGCCTTTGACTCCACTAGCTGACGCGCCCTCTGAGGACCCAGCCGGTGAAGGCCAGCGGTCAGACGAGGTCGAAGACGAAGAAGACGAGGCGGCGCGGCGCCAGCGCATTGCTCAACGTCTTGCGCAGATGGGAGGGGTCAATCCACTCAGCGCGCCACGGGAGCCCTCCCCCGAGCATGAGGAAACAGGCGATGTACCACGGAAGAGTAGCCTCGAGGCTGCTCCTGGAAACAGAGACTCGAATGTCCCCGTGCACAACTTTGAGCCCACGAGCACGCCATCAGAGCCGCGAGGCAGTACCGAAGGTGTTGGCTTGGTGCGCAAGACGGTGGGGGATGAGATTACTGAAGACGGTGAATACTAATTGCTTTTCCTGCAACGACACTTGGCACGCTTCGCATCTTCTTTGGATCTATGTATATAAAGACAGCTCTGTTGATGAAATTCTGTCCTCAGATTCTATTATCCGCGAAGAGCATGTTGGGTCTGATAACGAAGGCCAGCCCCCTACAGCTGACCCTATACACAGACAAGGTGAACACAGAATTCAGGGAGGGGCCGTAAGGCTGGAAGGCGAAGACGAACACGAGGCTTTGCGTGACGAGATCGACCGCGATGGGCAAAATGAAACGCTCGATACACGTGGTGAGCACGGGGCAGTTGCGGGCGCAGATGAGACTGCAGAAGACGTCATGTCTGATGGTGAGGAGGAACGCGCAGACGGCGAACAGGTACAGGACGCTATAGAAGACAACAAAGATGTTCCAGATTCGGCCTCGAACGAGGCAGGGCACACACGTGAACAGCGCACGGCGCCTGTGCATCCTGGCGACACCCCAGCCGAGGAGGACGCGGCAGGCCCACGATACGACGAGGGCTTCGAAGCGAGTGGAGACGACAACGACATGGCCCCGCCGCGCATCCTGCGCCCACTCCCAGCTGCACCCGCTGCACCCACACCCGTGCTCAGCACGCGCCCAGACACAGGTTCTTCAATAACGCGCGAATCACCCCCAAGTTTTCCTTCTCCTTCTCCCAATAGGAGAGTCTCGGTGCCTCCGCCTTTACGATCTGCCCCAGCGTCCAATGTCCCCGCTGCGTACGAGCCGGCATCGCCTAGAATCGCGACCACGAAGAGGGCATCGATGCCCCCACCTGTGCGTGCGGTCCCGCAGCCCGCAGGAGAGCGTGCGGTGCTTTCGCCGCCACCAGTGCCAGCGCCCTTTGTCGTCGCCTCTGAAGAGGTAGTTGAAGAGCCTGAAGAGGATTCAGAAGAGCCGCATGTCTCACCTTCCCCTTCCCCTCCCCCCCCTCCCCCTCGCCGTTCCTCGATTCAAGCTTCGGCTCCCCCTACCCCTCGGAAACCGTCCCTGCCTGGATCGCTTCCCCAGAGTCCGCGGGTGCCAGTTTCTTGGACTGCGTCGTCCCAACATCGCAGAGCCAGCCGTGAGTCTACCAGCAGCTATGGTGAGAGGCGCCCATCGCTTGGATTCGTACCGCCCCCGCCCCCAGTTCCGCAAGTCGCTGCTGCTTCTCCTCCGCCACTGCCTCGCAGCCCTGATTCGCCCTCAGTTCCGGTGAGGAAGCTCCCACCTACACTGGCCTCTCCACAAGACGAAGAACATGAGGTCCTCGATGATTCCGACGGAGGTACGTGCTCCTGCTCATGTCGTTGAGATTCAGTCCTTGATTGTATTTGGCACAGATCCCATTGACCCACGTTTCCACAGTCCCTTGAAATCGTCTATGCTTCCCTCAGTGGTAGCACCGCCTCCAACAGCCTTACCACCGCCCATCGAAGTGACCCCTTTCACTCCACAGAGTGTGCCAAATGCGCCTTCGCCTCAGGAGGATTCTGAGGAAGATGCAGAGCAGGTACGTCGCCGAACGATTGCGGAGCGCATGGCGAAGCTCGGTGGAATTAGGTTTGGCGCCCCACCTGCACCTGCACTTGCACCTGCTCGTCGCCCTCCTGCCTCTGCTCCTTCTGCTGAGGAATTACCTGACGAAGAGAATACGCCAATGGAACAGGGCACTAGTGCCCCGCAGGTTCCTGGAGAGGAAGACGAAGAGGACGAGCAAGCCAGGAGACAGAGGATCACTGCAAAGCTTGCAGGGATGGGCGGGATGCGGTTTGGGATGATACCTGGCGCTTCTCCTGTGCCTAATCATCCATCGCCTGCCCCCAAGCGTGAGGAGCCCACCCCGACTATACCGTCTCGTGCTATCCCTCCTGCTCGTCAACATCAGCCTCCCGCCGATCCGGAGTCTGAAGCAGAGAGCAATCCCATGTCCGACGATGGGGTTCAGGTAGAAGCTGAGGAAAGTGAAGCCGAGGAAGTGCTGTATGAAGATGCATTGGAGGATGAGTATGTGGAGCAAGCCGAAGAGGAAGAACTGCCACCTCCCCCTCCCTCTCGCTCAGCTAGGCCTCCTATTCCAACCGGTAGACCGCCTGTCCCGCCGCCTGTGAGGAAACCCTCGATCGATACTCCACCCAGTCCAGTTGTGCCTCTTGCAACCCGCCCAACCCGTAAGGATTCGTACGACACAGTGACTTCGTCGAGTTCAAGACTGCATGCTCGAGCCCCACAGTCGGATTACGTGATGGTCGAGCAGGAAGACGAAGAGTCTCCGCCGCCTCCGCCCCGTAGACCATCTCGAGCACAGCCTTCTTCCCTACCACACCCTGCGATGGTTGATCAGAATGACACTTCTAGTCAATGGGAACTGCCATCCATTCCAACTGGCGGTCTTGATTTCGGGGAAAATAGCGCGACGAGCGATCTTTCCACTTCGATACTGTCAGAGGATTCGACATACTACCCTCCTCCGCCCGCGGAGAAACCGCTCCCTCCAACGATTGTTCCACCCTCAGACCATGCACACACGCTGACTCAAATGTCTGCTGAAGAACTCAGAGCACTCTGGGGGCGCGTTGGTGTGCAGATATGCGAGGTCGCAACAACGCTACACGAACGTTCCAAGAAGACGCTCATCGGAGACGGGTCGTATGCAGGCTTCGTCGCAGCCGTCCTCGCGCAGGTACCAAATGCTCAACAACCGCCAATGGACGGGGTCGAATATGGCTATCTCGTATACGCGCAGAGTGGCGCATCGGTGCACACGCGCGCGAGCGAGATAATGCCAGGGGACATCATCGTTCTGGAGGGTGCAAAGCTGAAGGGCCACAAGGGGCTGCACGCGTATACCACTGTAGCGGGAGAAGGGGCCCCTTGCATCGGCGTCGTGTGCGAGTTTGAGACGAAGAAATTGAAGGTGAGGTCGCTGCAGGCGAACCAGCATGTTGGCCAAGCGGTGAGTGCTCTTGTCTTTTTTTTTCAAATAGTACTGTTCTTATGAGATCGTGGCTTGTAGACCGTGGAATCCGTGAGCTACAAGCTAGAAGACTTGAAGAGCGGTTTAATTAAAGTGAGCACATAGAGCGTATGGCCTTGAGATTGTCTCGCTGATCCGTCTGGGCAGGTGTATCGCGCTCTAGAGGCATAATTGATTGGCCCTTGTCAATCTCGGACAACAGGAGAAGTCATGGCGAAACTATTGTCATTTGTATTTTACATCTTTCTGAACGGTCGTTGGATTTTTGTGTATGACCTTTGGGGTTTATATTCCCTAAAGATCGTATCATCGTGCTACACAAGAAGACACTATGGATCACAGAGTCGCTATACCACTTAGCAAGAAACCAGACACAGCTCCTCATCAGCTATAGATCTAAGGTGTCAGTGCATGCCCAGAACAGAACGGAAGTAAGACGAAGAGGCGCACTCACCGAGAAAGACAAGATATATAGAAAATAAGAAACAGAACACTATTTTACAAGAGGGCGTACGCCAATACCGTCATCTTTCAGACTGCGGCCTGCGTAACTCTTGACTTCTCTCTCATACTGACCTAAGGTGATATGCTCTATCAGTATATTGTAAATGTGAGCAGGACGTAAACGCTCACTCATGGGCGCGTCTGTCTTGACTTTCTTCGCTGGAGAATCGATTGTAGTGCTCTTAGAGTCGGATGAATCAGGGGAGGGACGCTTGCCCCTCTGTTTCTGGCAGACGAAAATCACGGTCAGGGGAGGATCCGCGATATCAAAACAAAAAATATGCTTACAAACCGACTATCAAACGTTCGCTTTCTATAGATTCGGGAATAAGGAAAGGTGCAAGTAAGAAGGCTGATCCAGCGAGAGGAAGGTGATATGCTCACCTGGCCAATATCTCTTCCTGCTTCTTCTTTTCTTCCTCGTCCTGCATATTATGAGTCTATTGGTCCTCAAGAGCCTAGTATAATTGCAAGTACCTTCTGAATGCGCTGAAATCTCTCAAGAAAAGATCCATCGTTAGAAAATACATTGGTGGGCTTCGGCTTAGGTGGGGGAGGCTTCGAGCTAGCAGAGCTCGAGGGCCCAGGTGTCGAGGTGTGTGAGTGTGCGGTGGGTGAAGCGTACCCACTGCCATGTTGAGGAGTCGGCGTCGTCACATGCGACATTGCTGCTGAGGTTGTTGCCGTCGTCGACGAGATCGATGAGGGAGTGGCGGCGGGAGGTTTGGGTGCCGTATTAGGTAATATTTCTAGGGCATTCCAATTGGCAAGTTCTTTCCCCTGCGCGCACTGCCGTGCCAATCATCCTTCGTCTTCGATTGGAGTGCTGGCGGTGCGAGATGAGAAGTATCGGAGTATTGCGAAAACTATATTCATTGCTACATGACATCTTTTTTCTTCATATATTGTGATATGCTTGGCTGTTAAATAAAAAAGTTCAAAACAAGACACCCGAATGACTGGTCATCAGGGAGGTGCTTCACACTGAGTGGGACCAGTGAGCAGTCTTGGTGGAGGTAGCTGTTCCTGGTCACAGTTGCTAATAAATCTAAACATTTCATTCTCCTCACAACAAAAAAGCAATCCTGGAAGGTGCTTGTCATCTGGGAAATGTCTCTCTTGTATTAAGCTCTAATTATTGATAGTTTTATGAAATTTCACTCAAATAGCATTAGCAATTTTTTGCTTACCCTCCTTCATTTTAGAGCTAATTATAGGTACTTAAAGCTAATTAAAGCTAATTAGTTGAATAGATTTTTAGAAAAATAAAATCTATCGTAGTATTATCATTTCTTGTTATTACTATAATCTATAGCCTAGAGATATCTAGAGATTACTACTTGAATATCCAAAGCTAAAGTCTTACCTTATAAAAAACTTGCCCTTGGCTAGAGTTAAACCTACAACTCTAAAGATGTTAGCACAATTTAGGCAATCTCAATATTTCTAATCTTATTACTCACTTATTTCTTATTAATTCTTGATCAATAAAAATTCAAAAAATCAAGGCTTTTATGATCTTAATTCATATACCAAATAAGGATATAATATACTAAATAAAAATAAAGGATGCACTCTATATAAGATTAAAAAATATTCTGGCACTTATATAATTTGGATTTAGAGTCTGTATTATTGGACTTGAGTTGTAGATTTTAAGTAAACTCTAGAATCATAATCAATATAGTGTTTACTGCAGATTTAATCATAAAGATAGTTGTGGATAATTATTTATAATACATTCTAATTATCTTAGATAAGCATTATCAATAATTAGGTATAATTTGGATCTAATACAAGAAGGAGGTTTTCTAGATGGTAGAATACCTCCAAAACCACACTATATTAAATGAATTACCTTTGATATCAATACCATATATTAGAAGAAGTATAGACTACTAAGGTTAATATATGGACTAGAATATGGTAAAATGATGAGCCAGTTCCATGGGATAAGGAGACTAAGCATAAAGTAGACCAGACTCTGGCAGATAGCCAAGTATTACTCTGCCATAGCAAAGCAACATTGATATGCCCTTCTCTAGGTAATTGTGCATGTTCTTTATCTAAAACTGTTTTGATATAATGGCATACACCACTATATTTAAGGGCTTGGTAAATAGGTACACTATCAAGGAGTAAGTGTTTGAGATAGAAAAAAAGGCTGGTTTTGCACTATATTGCAACCACTTATCTTTTAGAGTATATAGTTAAATAACAAGTTTAGACCACAACTGCTCAATAGATAAGTGTAATTGATAAGGAGATATAGTATATACCTTGAGCTACTTTAAGATATGCTATATAAGATCTTTTCTTTTGCATAGTGGTCCTAAAGTATACCTAAGTACCTCAAAATAAGTGCTGTCAAATATAAAGACTGTAAAATTGGAACTCCTTTTATTATAGAGAAGAGACTCAATCAACCTGCATTAGAATATTACTGAGCATCTGGAAAACCCCCTTCTTGTATTAGATCCAAATTATACCTAATTATTGATAATGCTTATCTAAGATAATTAGAATGTATTATAAATAATTATCCACAACTATCTTTATGATTAAATCTGCAGTAAACACTATATTGATTATGATTCTAGAGTTTACTTAAAATCTACAACTCAAGTCCAATAATACAGACTCTAAATCCAAATTATATAAGTGCCAGAATATTTTTTAATCTTATATAGAGTGCATCCTTTATTTTTATTTAGTATATTATATCCTTATTTGGTATATGAATTAAGATCATAAAAGCCTTGATTTTTTGAATTTTTATTGATCAAGAATTAATAAGAAATAAGTGAGTAATAAGATTAGAAATATTGAGATTGCCTAAATTGTGCTAACATCTTTAGAGTTGTAGGTTTAACTCTAGCCAAGGGCAAGTTTTTTATAAGGTAAGACTTTAGCTTTGGATATTCAAGTAGTAATCTCTAGATATCTCTAGGCTATAGATTATAGTAATAACAAGAAATGATAATACTACGATAGATTTTATTTTTCTAAAAATCTATTCAACTAATTAGCTTTAATTAGCTTTAAGTACCTATAATTAGCTCTAAAATGAAGGAGGGTAAGCAAAAAATTGCTAATGCTATTTGAGTGAAATTTCATAAAACTATCAATAATTAGAGCTTAATACAAGAGAGGCATTTCCTAAATGTAAAAACCAATTATAGTTGATATTAGTAAGTGTTCAAGCCAAAGCTTGTGAATAAGTTATGTATAGTAAGTGTTTATGCATAAGCATGTTAATAGTAATTAAATAGGTCTATAGTCTGTGTCTAAGTTGTATACATACCTCCTGGCTATCATGATCATGGTCTACTAGGACTTCCATAGTCAAGTCTGTTGCCAGTAATGATTATCACAACTATTAGGTGGTGCCCACTATAGTACATACATTGTAATATAAGGTAGCATCCTTGGTCATTGACTCCTAGTGGATATTACCATCATTAGTTAAGTATCCCAATGGATAATACAGATGACCAAAGACATGCTTACAAGCATACACTCTTAGGAAAACATAAGCCATTATCCTCTTGGTTGAAGGAAGACAATAGGAGAAGCACAAGAGTAGTCATTAGGAAAGAGCAGTGACTTAGAAAATCCTATAAAATAATTTAGCATTCTCATATTTTCCCAAAGTAGTATAAAAGGCCCATAAAATAGGCTAAGGATCTTTAGTCTATAACTAGTGTTCTAATAAACATGACTCTATAAACAGGCTATGAGAACTAGGATGCTTGATTTATTATTATTTTTCCAAAATTTCAAGCTATAATCAATCCTAATAATTCCTAATTTAGAAAAATTATGTCTAATTAGAACAGGTTTAGAGGAGGTAAGCAAATAATCTCTAATCCTAATCATTTTTAATTATGCATAAATAGAACTAATTAGAGCATAATACAAGAGAGTGATTTCTCAGATGTTAGAAATCAGCAGCAAATGTCATCAATGCCAAGGAAGCCATTACAGAGTTTTATTGAAGATACCTCTCTGTAGTCAAAGGAATGGAAGTATCAATCTTAGCCTTGACAGTTGAACTGGAATACAATCAAGCAGTTGAAGAAGATCAAATCAAGAAAAAGCTTTAAATGCATCTCATTGGAAGGAAGCTCCTATCCACCGGACTAGGAATCCCCCAGATCAAAAAAGCCCTAGACAATCAGATCAAAGAAGACTAAATCAAGAAAAAGCTCCAAGAAGTCCTTATTGGGAGAAAGCTTATTGCTGCAGGATTTGAAGCACCACAGATAATGGAAGCAGCAGAGAAACAAGGCAAGAAACTGGAAGAAGCAAGACTCAAGGAGAAACTTTAAAACCACCTAATCAGGAAGAAGCTTCTGTCCATGGGATTGAAGGTCTCTCAGATCATGGAAGGAGTCAATAAATGGATTGCTCAATCCAAGAAGTGACCCCCAGTATAAAGCAGCAACCCAAATCCAGTATCATGGATATTCCACCAAGAAAGAAGGAAGGCAAAAGGAAGGAAGACAACCACAGACACTTCATCAAACAAGGTCCAAGTAGGAAGCTCTTGGAGAATGCCCAAATGCAAACCAGTAGACAGCCTGAATTGGCATACTCAAGCTTATCAAAAACTGCAAAGGCAGATGAACTGCAGTTTGGAATAGCCAAGCAAACAGTAGTAACCCACAAAATGACCACCAGGACAGACGCTGCCCAATACACAATCCTTGCCAATTCCACTATTATTACCTTAATCCAAGCCTATGCCACACTACCATCACTACTCCCTCAAAATCAAAGGAAAGGGGACTATAAAGGAACAGGCATCAAAACACAACCCTTACCTCAACTTACCCAACCACCTTTCCTCTACAAAGATATGACTTCCTCCTTGCTCTCCCAACTTCTCAATGGCACTACTCTCTTGTCCCCACTCTTCTTCTTGGTGCCAGAACCCTTTCACGTCCTTCCCATGACTGATATCCACAATGTCCTCCCTTACCCTTATGCAGACCCTTTCCCTGGGAACTGGCTCCCACCCATCCCTGAATTTGATAATGCAAGTTAGCCCATCTCTTATCCTACTAGTCCTCTATATGACCTGGAACAAGTAGCCTACAAGCACGTAGTACATCACATGGTAGACATGCTATTACCTTAATCTATACCACCATCCTTGCCAAACAACTGGCAGAATAGTGCATGTGCCTTGGAACAAGTCTGGCCTCCACTCCTAGCACCCCCACTCTTTCCCCCTTCCCTAGTATTGCCACCACCCACTGCTAAGACCAGATTCTGCTAGGAGTGTGACCAATAGGGACACCTTCTCACTAACTGCCCTATCATGCACATTTGCTAATGCCCCAACCTCACTGCCCAGAACTTTATACACGACTATGAAGCCTATGGTGAAGTAGTTGATCTTCTTCAGGCACAGATGAACTATGTGGTAAAGAACTTTGGGTACTACTGACATATCAAAGAGAGGATGATTGACAATGCCAACTGGGAAGGACACTCCATATGCCATGCTCCTGCCATCGACATGACCCATTTCTGGAAACTCCTGACCAATGACTATGCTAATGTCACAGGCCAATGACAAGCACAAAAGGGGGGTAGTGTTAGGACTGCATCCTAACATATGCTTTGCACGTGAACAGAAGGGAAGGTCAGGTGATTTTTTGGACTTAAACATTAATGACTAGGACTGTGATTAATTTCATTTGATATTGCTGCAGACAGGTATTTGATATACTTACTATACATAGTTACATTAAAGAGCCATGGAGTTTGAACTACAACTGTGGATTATGGACCTGATCATTTAGCTTACTTAGTGTTTAGAAGCATGGACCATATGTCCGTCTGGCCCTAAATAGCTTGTACTATAAATAGGAAGGCTGAGCTTCCTAGAAGATCAGCTTGTTCACTTTATATACATCTTAATCTTTGCACTGCATCTGGCATCTGGCCCCTTCAGCCCATGCATTGTGAACTCTGCCAGATCCATGGAACCATACTTAGTCTGACGAAGCACTAGACTTGTCTCAAAGCTATTATCATCCTCTACTACCCATAACCTATCAAGGACTCGCTGCCCATCAGGTCATCTATTGGAATCCCTTAGAGGTCATCTGTTACATTAGAGAAGACCTCTTAGTATCCGACAAACATTGTCTCATCATCAAACAACATCTCCTCCATCTATTTGAGGATCAGATTAACAGTAACCAAGAATTTCTAGTATAAGCCCAAAGATGCACAATAGCTTTTATTCGTTAGGCCATCATGCTTAGCCCAGGGAACCCCTTTTAGTGCATCAAGTACATATGATAAGCCTAGCAGCTTAACAATTCTATGAAGTGGAACAGGATATTGTGTCTTCTTCTGGCCCTGAGTCCTTCTTAGAATGTGGGTTCTTTTCTAATAATTTTGTTAATCCTGTTATTTATTTGATCTAGGAATGTAAGGATTTTGTCAAAGGTTTGTCCTATGATGAAGTTTCTGAAATAATAGGTTTTGTGGGTAAACTCTCCTCTTCTAATAACTAATATAGTTCTAGAGATTTTGGTTTAGTAGGGCAAGTATCCAGTAGTATCCAGTGTATCCTAGTTTAGGGTGGTGTAGGTCCAAAAAATGATAATGGCGTATTGGTTTCTTTGTTCACTTTTCTCAACAAGTTCCCTTCTGACTCCTTTAGAATCCATGCCTCTAGTGATGTGCCTATGGAGATTAGCAATATCGGCAGCTGGGAAGTAACTTGGTCTTCTATCATCAACATCAATAGTGCTTCTTGTATAAAAGAGGTTGAGTCCTTAATGTTTAGTTGAGGAGATGGGGGTCTTTGGATTGTTGACAAAACAAAGCCCTAGAAAATGGAATCTGAATCTGTTGATGAAGTCAAAGTAGTAATCTTGTTGTGCTTGTAGCCTAAACGTAGCTACTCCTGCATATGATTTTCTGGTTACTAAGTATCTAGAGGTAGTAATAGTATCCATGGGACTTCCTTAACTGATGACTGGGGTGGTGGCTCTTAGTCTAAGTATTCCTTCATTAACTGCTTGGTTAATTTGTGTCACTTGAATTGCTCTGTGACTTCTTTCTTCTAGTATTTATTGAGCTATCTTAGCAAGAGACTGTATGGTTGGTCATTCTAGGATAGGATAGAGCAGGGAATAAAGAGCTTATCACATGCACTTGGTGTACTAAGAGGGGTTTCCTAGGATAATTTCAATAGCCCAATGAATAAAGACTATTGTGTATATTTGTGCTTGTACAAGGAAGTCTTAATTACTGTCAATTCAGTCTTTGAAGAGATGGAGGTGATACTGGTTGATGATAAGATGATGCTTGTTACTAATTAGAAAATCTTCTCCAATGCAATAGATAACTTTGGATGGATTCCACTATATAACTCAGTAAGCAGCGAGTCCTTGATAAGTTATAGAGATGGAAAAATGATGAGAGCTTTGAGATAAATTCAGTGCTTTATTAGACTAGGTATATTTCAATTGATCTGACAGAGTTTATGATATGTAGGCTAAAAAGAGCCAGATGCCAGATACAGTATGGAGATCAAGATATATATAAAGTGAATGAGCTAAGCTTCTTAGAAGCTCATCTTGATTATTTATAGTACAAGCTATTTAGGGCCAGATCATGATCAGGTCCATGTGTTTAAACTATAAGTACAGTAAGTGGTTGAGATGCATTATCCTTAATCAGACTTCTAAAAGTCTTGATCATGATCAGAAGTCTATGAGCTTTGTAATGTAACTGAGTATAGTAATCATATCAAATATCTGTCCACATCAGTAAGTATCAGGTACCAATCACAATCAACATCAGTAAGCCACATAGATAAGGAAGAAGAGAATAAGTCATAGTATTTATAAATGTTCATGTATCAGCATGTAAATGGTAATCAATTTAAGCCCACAGTCTAAGTCCAAGTTATGTGCATAGCTCATGACTATATTTTGAGTCATGTGCCTAAACATGTGTCAAGTCACAGTCCTAGTTATTAATGTCTGAGTCTAATGTGTGATACCTAACCTTTTTCTCCATGCACATATAAAGCATGTGTTAGGACATGGTCCTGACATTAGTTTACACACACATCATGTACTTACCATGACAACACAAGAGTCATTAAAAAAGCCTTACAATGTCCTATTATGGAATTAGGATTAGACACTCCATTTAGCCAATGTTATTTATACCTAGTCAGTCCCTATCACTTATCATCCTAACTTCCACATATTCAGTCAAGCATAATTATACATCATTGCTTAGCTATCTGTTACGACTGCTCGTCGGTAACCCCAAGAGTAGGAGGTTCTTCCCTAGGTCACTCGTGGAGGATGTGTGGAACGTTGTTCTCGACTGTACGTGTAGCACAGGAGCCAGAAGTGTATTGCGATATAGCAATGAAGACTGTAGTAGGAAGACTACAGTGGATGAGGGTTCCTGTATGTGAAGATACAGGGGAACGAAGGTTCCTGTATGTGAGGATACAGGAGAACGAAGGTTCCTGTATGTGAGGATACAGGAGAACGAAGAGAATAGACTGAAGATCGTCAGCCTATTCTATGGGCCTTTTATACTACTTTGGGAAGTAGGGCGTGAGAATACCGAATATGTATCTGTAGGTATTCTCTAAGTCGTCTCTCTCAATAACGACTACTCTTGTGCTTCTCCGTTGGTCTCCTTCCGGCCAGGAGAGACTAGGAGGTTCATGCCCTGCGTGTGAGTAATTTATAAGGCGGCGTTCCATGCCCGCTAATACAAGGCCCGTGATACTCGACCAATGATTGATGATCCATTGGGAGTGGATGACCAAGGTTAATATCTGTACCTTGGTGTACGCCTCAACCTGTGAGGCTGCGTGATATTTGTGATGATCATATCGGAATAGACCGCCGTGTAGGCCCGATAGAACGTGATCATAACAATACCCCCTTTCTACGTCCTATTCGCCTGGTAGGACCACGCCTTGCGTGTCATCGCCGCTCCATATACGATTTGCTTTCTTGATCCAAAGACGGTCTCCGGATGCGACTTCCGGGACATGACTTCGTTTTCTGGGAGGAAGACCGACTTACGTTGTTTGATCCTCTAGGAGTTTTCCATCTCCGTTGAGCTGTTTGTTTGTCGAGTCGCGAGGTTATCCAGGCCTCCGCTCTCTAGGATGTTGTTCCTTCACCCGTGGGATTGATTCTGCCGCGGGTAAACCTCATCGCGGTCTTACTTCCAGCCCGCTTCTGGAATAGTATCAAGAAAGGCGTATGAATGCGAGTGGTGTGTGGATGTGTAGAAATTCGAGCGTGTGGGTTCTAATTCGTGTCATCAGGTTCTTCTTCTTCCTTCTCCGAGGGCCAAACCTCAGTGTTTCCAGGATAGTCGTCTATCCTCATGATTTGTTGTTCCTCTTGACGACAGTGGATGGCGCCCATGGACAAGTAGGTTGATCGCTTTACGAAGGCTTAGGCCTACTTCTCCAGGCTACCAGTCATGACGCCCCAAGCAGTATCGCTCCCATACGGTGAGCTCATCTCCGGTGAGGTTGCAGCCAAATCCCAAGCAGTATTGTCCCCATACGGTGGACTCATCTCCGGTGAGGCAGTTTACGGCGTCCAGAGTTTGTTTTTCACAAACGTGGGCCTATGGTGGGGAATACCACGTGTAGTGTTGGGTTCGAGGCAAGGATGTGAAGAGAATTAGACTTGAAGGGTGCAGCGAGGAATAAGGAGGAGTCTGACTCCTTTCCCAAGTCTGTCCGTTCGCTTGCACGAATTAGACATTAAGACCACAGCTGATATATTGGTCGGGGTGCGAGATATATCCACGACTGGCAGTTTAAAACGTCATGCGGGATGGTCCGTAGTTTATCGTCGTTTCGGACGATTCGTAGTTTAACGTCTTTGCGGACGTCAGTAGTTTTACATCGTCTCGGATGTTCTTCATCATCAACATGGAATATCTGTGGGGAAAAGATGTTTCTGCACGCCGGAATTTCCATCGGTTGTGTGCATAGGGCCATAGACCAGACTTTACCCGCTCCAGATTCCACTGAGGCATGATGGACGGTTTATACTATATCAAACCGGATAACTTGTAACGCCTCAAAGTTATGAGACCGCTCAGTTTAACGCCGTGAGGTAGGCGGACCTGCAGTTTAACGCCGTGCATTAGGCGGACCTGCAGTTTAACGCCGTGCATTAGGCGGGCTATCGTCTGACTGTGTCCCTCGAGTCACGATAGACTTTTCCTCCGAGGATGAGGGTAGTTTAACGTCATCTCGGACGTTATCGGCGTCGTTCTCGTCAAGGACGACGTTGATGATGATCCCTGTGCTAAAAGGGACGAATAGTTTAACGTCATCTCGGACAGTTGGTGACCACGGTCTTGGTCAACAACCACAACTCCTATTCGGTAAGGAGCACGTAGTTTAATGTCATTGCGGACCGATTGACACCATGGCGGTCAATCCACAACTCCTATACGGTAAGGAGCAAATAGTTTCGTGTCATTGCGGACGATTCAGCACCAGAGTGATGAATCACAACTCCCATGCGGTCGGGAGCAAGTAGTTTAACGTCATTGCGGACGCATTGGTGTCCAGGGGATTGGACATCAATGACAACCCCTAGGTTCAGGGGCACTAGTTTAACGTCGTTTCGGACGCGCGGTATCTTGTCAAGATCGCCACGCACAATCCCTATACCTGAAGGGACAAGTAGTTTAGCGTCGTTTCGGACGCCCGTAGTTTACCGTCGTTGCGGACGTCGATGCCATTGGCCTCGAACAATCCCTATGTGGAAAGGGACAATAGTTTAGCATCATCCCGGACGCGTTCTGCCGCAAATATTGCGGCAAAACGATGCTTAGTTTAACGTCATCCCGGACGCTTCGTAGTTTATCGTCGTTGCGGACGAAGACCTAGTTTTACGTCGTTTCGGACGATTGTGGCGGAATAGACTTTGGGTGAGTGGCCCGCTCTTGTCGTTCTTCCGCTATGTGGGCCAGACGAGAGTCGCATGATCTAGTCCCTTCCTACTAGATCTTCGACTCGAGGCACGTGTCCTAGTTGCCTCCTGACTAGGTCTTGGAGCGGAATTTCTTGTACTTCGACTCCAGGACTAGACTGAGTGCTCCATGAAGAGATGCTTGCTCTTCCATGTCCCCAGACCCCTTGCTTGGATTTGAACCAAGACGACCCGATATTCTTTTACCGAAAAGCGAGTGAATATCGGAAGCGCTTCGACCTTTTATAGGCAGGGTTCTGTGACGCGAGTCCTTCCGCGCTTCGCCAGAATGCAACCACGCTCCTTTGGTCATTGGTAGTTTAACGTCATCTCGGACGGTGGTAGTTTTCCGTTGTTTCGGACGAGGGTAGTTTTCCGTCGTTTCGGACGAAGACTAGTTTAACGTCATTGCGGACCCTAGTAGTTTATAGTCATTGCGGACCAAGCCTTTGGTAGTTTTACATCGTTCCGGATGTAATTTGTGGCCTCGCATCATTAGGAAGACTTGTGAGGTAGAGGCGGCCCGCTCTCTACATCATCTCATGCGCCAGCTGTAGGATCCCCTAATGCGGAAACGATCCTGTAAAACGGGAGATCCAAAGTGGGACGTCCCAAAACACCAGTCAGACCTTGACTGTGAGGGTTCACGATACGAGTTATGCGTCATAATTTCTTGACTCGGACTTGCAACCGGTTATGTATGGGCACTTCGCTGTACCAAGGCGAAGGGCCTGCTTGTCGACACCTACGAGTAGAGTATATGTCATGTAGAGGGTTCCCTAATGCGGAAAAAACCCTGTAAAACTGAGGATCCAAATGGGACGCTCGATGCATCTGTCAGATTAACTCCTTGACAGCGAGGATGTGAAAGGTTCCGCCGTAGGCTGTACGTGGAATTATGCCCGCTGTTGTCCTTGATTCGTACCATCATTTGAACCTAGGACTAAAATGGTCAGGTACTTCCCCTGCCTTCTTATGTTTTCACAGTTTTAAGACATGCAGGTCCGATAGTTTAGGCGTCATTCCGGACGTGGGGTAGTTTAACGTCTCTTTCGGACGAGGTCGTACAGTTTAACGTCTTGAGGGACGATCCTAGTTTTACGTCGTTGCGGACGATTGATAGTTTTACATCGTTTCGGATGCAATTTGTGAGGGGAAGGAGTTCCTCAACTTCCTTACCCCCTTTCTTCTCCTTGTGCCCTGTTATTAGTTCGTTTAATAATCGAAGGGTCCTTGATAATCCCCGCCCCCTTCGTCAGGCCGATAGTAGGGGTCTGCTTCGTCGTAATTTCCGGGATCGTCTAGAGCATCCCATGCATTGAGCTCGGATCTAGTCCACGAGCTATTTCTTCGAGCCTCCGAATCAGTGCGGCGAGTTCTGCGGCTACTTCGGTTATCCTCTCTTTCGTGCGTACGAAGTCGAGCACTAGGAGGAGGCGATCTAGGCCGGTGTCGAACACTCCGGCCAGCAGTTGTTCCGCGTCCGAGGGTTGTCTGGCTTCCCCGACTCCGCCTTCCCTCGTTTCTTCGATAGACGGGCGGTTCCTCCTCGTCGGTATTTCCTTGGGATAGGGGAAAACCTCGTATCCGGTGAGAGGGGGGAGCCGCGGTATGGCTATGCGCTGTAGAAACCTCTCGTTGTCTCGGTGGAGGGTGCTCCACGACCGTGCGCGGAACCCTCCTTGGATTTGGTACAGGCGTGGTGTGTTCTCCGGGACGTGGTACGTTCCAAGTGACAACCCGGAAAGGGTCGGTTCTGCTTGGTTGGACGTTCCCCAGTTCCCCTCCGAAGAGGAGAGCTGGAAGGAGCTCTCGGTTGACGTATTGGGAGAACTCGTCAGGGTGGATGAGGAGGGCTCGCGGTCGCCCGTCATTGTGGGCGTACCAGGAGGCTGTGTCCGGGTCGGTTTGGAGGGCGAGTGTTCGGATCTGAAGACTGGCACTAGCCAGTCGTCGAGGTACGTCGCTATGTTCATTCCCGGGTTGTCCGCGGAGATGGTGTTCCGCTAGAGGAGCGCGTCCGCGTGTCGCTCCAGTTCTCCGGCGTGAGGATCTGCACGAGGGGTAGGTCCTCCCATGGAGCTGGGAATCGGTCCACCAGTTGGTACTGGCAGAGATGCAGTTTCTGATAGAACTGGTATTGGCTCAGCTTCTCCATGGCTTGGGAGTTGAGCTGTTGTTCTTGCTCGAAATCCCGAGGGACCTGCAACTCCACTATTTGGCGTGCCTTCACTAGGAGGTGGAACTCCCACTGGTAATTGGCCAAGGCTCGACTGGTTTCGGTCATCAGAACTTTCATGCCGTGGTGCATCTCGTGAGGCCCTCTCCGGTGAGGGTCTTCAGGTTCTTTCCCTTTCCTTGAACTTGGCATAGTCTTCGGCGTCGTCGTCGGAGAAGTTGTTGATATGAGGGGTGAGGAGGACCCCGGTAGATCCTGGTTGTTGAGGACTTGTTCCTCTATCAATTCGTCCAGCATCTGGTCGGTGAGGACTTGTTCCTCTTTCCACTCGTTCGACATCTGGATTGGCGACCATAAGGACGACATCGGGGGAGGAGTTTCTGGATGGAGACGAAGCATCGTGGTCGTCGTGGAGGAGCATTCGAATGGGGGAAGGTGTTTGAGAGGGAAAGAAGGTGAGAAGATGTTTTGTTGGAGTCCTCTTGTCGCTCCTTTTATAATCTTTGTTTCTCCTCTCAGGCTGTTCCCGGACGGGGTTTGTCGGGATATTGGTCATGGAAATCTTTCATGGCTTCTTCCGCTGTTCCTTTTAGGAGAGCGTAGGGCTCCCAGGTGTTGTCTGCTTCGGGATATCCCATCCATTTGACCAAGTATTTGGTTCCCCGTCCTTGCCGTTTTGAATCCACGATCATTTCTACTTCGTAATGTTCTTCGTCGTTCAATACCTCCGGTATTGGTCGCGCGAAGTTCTCTCCATGGGCTTCGGTTTCTCTATATTTTGTGAGTATTGCGGCGTGGAATACCGGATGGATTTTCCACTGCGGAGGAATTTGGAGTTTGTACGCCAGGGTTCCTACTTTTCCCAGTATCTTGAAAGGACCATATCGCCTAGGGGCGAGCTTGAACTTAGGATGGGTTGTTCGAATATGGGTTCCTTCTAACCATACTTGGTCCCCTTCCTCCCATTGGGGAAGTTTCCTGTGAAGATCCCGGTCTTTGGCGTAATTGCTGGCTATTTGTAAGCTAGCAGCGGCTTCTTCCTGAACTTCTGTGATTGTCCTAATGCGTTCAGCTACCGCAGGTACCTTTGTCTCCAGCGCCGTGTCAGCTGAATAGGGGGGATTGAACCCGTATAGTACTTCGAAAGGGGATTTTCCGGTGGCCGTGTGTTTCCGTGTGTTGTGTGAGAATTCGGCGAACGGCAAAAGGTCTACCCAGTTGTCCTGATGGTAGTTGCAGAACGTTCTCAGGAATTGTTCGATCTCCTGGTTTACCCGTTCCGTTTCTCCATCTGTTTGGGGATGATACGCCGTGCTGAGAGCGGCGGTGATTCCTAGCCGTTTCCAGAGTTCTCGGGTGAATTTGGCCGCGAATTGAGGGCCCCGATCGGACACTATTTTGGTCGGCAGTCCATGTCGATTGAAAACGTTATTTTGGAAAAGCACGGTTGTTTCTTCTGCCGTGATCGTTTTCTTGCATGGGGTGATGACTATGCCTTTTGACAGACCTTGATCCACTACCACATTGATTGAGTCGAGACCTTTGCTTTCGGGTAGGTCCGTGACGAAATCCGTCGAGATGAATCGCCAGGGAGCGTTGGTGGTTTCCAGAGGGTGGATAGGTGGGTGTGTCCTGTGTGTCAAATTCTTCGTAGATTGGCATATGGCGCATCCATCCACATATTCATGGACGAATTTAGTCATGTTTTGCCACCAGTAGTGTCGTTGCACCATTTCCAATGTTTTTGCTCTACCCGGGTGTCCTACCGCGGGTGCATCATGATGTGTTTTGACGATGAGTCTTCGGATGTCGTCGTCTTTGGGGACGCATATGTGGCCGTTGCGTCTGGTGATTCCGTCTTCATGTGTCCAATGTCCCAATAATCCTCTCATCCCTTGTGGTCCTACTCGTAAGAGCTTTGCGAGGGCTATGCTCGTTAAGGCATCATGTTCCGATTTCGAGTGTCGGATGAGGGAAATGAGGTTTGAGGAGGCGATTTCCGTGGACTTTATATGCCGTGTCGGGGATGGTTCTACCAATGTTTCGTCGGATTTGTTGAAAAGCTTGGCCGGGAGTAAAATTTGAGATTTGTTGTCAGATTCTACCCCCTCACTTAGATCTGGACGCCTGGACAGAGCATCGGAGTGATTTGTTGATCCTGCTTTATAACTGAGTGTAAAGTCGAATCTGCTCAAATAAAGGCTCCAACAGGCGTGTCGTCGTGATAGGTCTCGCGCCGTTTGGAAATGTTCCAGGTTTTTATGATCCGTCCAGATCTCGAAGGGGTGTCGTGCGCCTTCAAGGTAGTGATTCCAGTGTTCCAATGCTTTTATTATAGCCAAGAGTTCCCGGTCGTGAACATCGTAATTTCGCTCAGCTGGTGAAAACGATCCAGAGAGGAAAGCGACTGGGTGCCAGTCGCCATCTTTTCCTTCTTGTAGAAGGGTAGCTCCATAGGCGATTAGTGATGCGTCCGTTACTAATCGATATGGGTGCATGGGATCTGGATAGTTCAAGACGGGTTTACTGATAAAGGCTTTCTTTAACCGTTCGAAGGCTTCTTGGCATTTTGCAGTCCAGTTCCATTTCTCGTCCTTTTTGGTGAGGTCATGTAGGGGGCGCGCGATGAGTGAGAACTTGTCAATAAAGCGCCTGTAGAAATTCCCTAGACCCAGGAAAGAGCGAATGTCGCGGACTGTGCGTGGGATTGGCCAATCTTTTATCGCGTCCACCTTTGAGTCCTCCATGGCGACATGGTCTTTTGAAATTGTATATCCCAGATATTGGAGTTTTTCCTTGTAAAACTCACATTTTTTGGGTTTCAAGTATAGATCGTTGTCGCGTAGGATTTGGAAAACCTGATTTAGGATTTTGACATGTTCCGCCATGGTTTTGGAGAAAACGAGGATGTCGTCCATATATACGGTTATCTTCCGGGCTGTGATGAGCTCTCTGAAGATCATGTTCATCATAGCTTGGAAGGTGGCTGGTGAGTTGGTCAGGCCGAAAAACATCACCGTGGGTTCGTAAGAACCTAACGGAGTGATGAAGCTCGCCTTCCACTCATCTCCTTCTTTGATGCGTATATTGTTGTATCCCCATCGCACATCCAATTTGCTAAAAATGATGGCCCCTTTTATCACATCCAGTAGTTCCTGGATTAGTGGAAGGGGGCACACATTCGGGATGGTGTGCGAATTTAAGTGGCGATAGTCCTGTACCGGGCGTAGTTTTCCATCCTTTTTCCCTATAAAGAAAAATGGGGCTGCTGTTTGCGAGGTGGATCGGATGTTCCTTGATGAATTTTCCTAATTTGTCGTGTTTTTCTGGGCTCAGGGCGTAGATTTTGGGCACTTGAGGTTTGAAGGTTGGTTTCAAGTCGATGGCATGGTCCCAGTAAGTGTGTTCTGGGAGTCGCTGCGACTTTCGTTCGCTAAAGATGTCCAAAAATTCGTGATGCGCCTTGGGAACTCTTTCCTTTAGATTGGTGACGATAATTTCGTCTTCCAGGTCTTGGTCGAAGCTGGCAAATCCTGACGGTTCGGGGGCCAGTTTCCGAATAACTGGGTCCCGGGTGGCCTGTTTTCCTGAGGGTTTATCTGGGAGATCAGGTTCTCCCTCATTTGGTGAAAGAGATGGCTTGTCTTGAGCCTTTCGTTTCTCTTCTGCGTATTTCCTTATGTCCTTTAGGAGCCATTTCCTTTTGAGGTATGCTCGTAGTCGGACACCAAACGTTCCGCTATGGTCGCGGAGTCCTACATCTTCCGATAGTCTTCGGAGATGTTCTAGGCGCTGTTTTTCGCGCTCATTGATACGTGGTTTGTGCCGTGGCTCCACGTTTGATAACCGCCTGCTGTATGGCGGTTCTTCCCTTGCCCTAGTGAACCCATGTGGTTGCTGGCATTTCTGGGGGCACCGATCGAAGTGCACTTCACGTCGCCTCCACTCAATGGAGGGATCGTGGTATTTCAGCCAATCTGTTCCTAGGATAAGGTCGTCTTTCCCTAGATTGGAGATAAACATCTGGACGCGCTCAGTATGCGTTCGTCCACTGATGTCCCGAATGGTGAGGTTCACATCCAAGGCGGATCGGATGAGACCTGCTTTATTGATGGTGTCATCGACATTCCGGACGCGAATGGGGTTGTTGAGTGTGTAGGTGGGGAAACGATGTCTTTTGACCCAAGTTTCGTTTACTATAACCCCTTCGCATGCCGAGTCGATGGTTGCCTTTGCTCCAGCGTTTTGACTCCTGTTTGATACTTTCACGTTCAGGCGTATGGGGGTGATGATACGGTCGTTCATTGCTCCGATACGAATACAAGTGCGGGCATCAAACTCGGGTCGTCCTTGACCTCTCTCCTTCGCTGGCGAGGGAGAGGTTAGGAAAAACGCTCCGCGTGTCCCAAGATCACTTCTCTTGCTTCATCTTCCCCTAGTTCTCCGAGTACTGCTCCGATTCGAGCAGAATGGCTGACGCTTCCGTCTCCCCGTCGTCCGTTAGGTAACATAGCGCGTTGCCCATGGTTCGTTTGGGGTCGTCCGGATGAGGTAGAGTGAGGACGTTCCATCGAAGGACCAGGTTGTGGTACCCGCTGGTCGTTGCGAGGGACATCCTCTGTCTCCATTCCTCGATATATTCCCGCTTGGTTTCCCATAGCGGGTGCGTCGTCTTCTCCTTCCAAATCAACCGCGCGGCTTCTTCTCCCTGTTGTACCCATGCGTCTTTTCGAGTTTCCTCGAGTCGGTTGAACGCCTCTGCGTCGTGACGGGCAGTCAGTATTCCAGTGTCCTGTTTTTCCGCAATGGTAACAGGCGCTTGGAGGCTTGCCGTCATATTTCCGTTTTTGGCTAAGGGCATTGCGCTTGCGTGTCGCGTCAATGTCCATGTCAACGACTTGGTTGTTCATTCTACGAGGGGCGTTTGTGGAATTGTAGCGGGGAGAGATTTGGTTATGAAAACGATTCAGATAATCACTTCGAAAGGAGGTGGAGTTGGCGAGGATGGCTTTTTGAGCTGTTCTGGCTCGCAGCCGTCCATCTATTTCGCAGGCTGTATTGATCCAGTCCTGAATGGTATCCTTTGGCTGGACTTCCTTGTCGTAAATTTTGTCCATGACGCGCGGGTCTAACCCGCGTTGGAAGTAAGGGACCTGCTCTTTATCGGAGATGTCGGCATCGGCGGCGATGAGAATGAATTGGTTGGAGTATTCATCAACCGTCATTCGTCCTTGGGAGAAGGCCATGAGTGCGCTTCGCGCTTTGTCGGTCTTGCCCGTCTCCCTAAACTGTAGCTTGAACTTTGCTAGGAAGTCTTTCCAGGTGCCTAGATCGGTGGGAGGGTCCGCTCCTACTGATTTTAGGAGGAAGTTTTCCGCCCAAGCTCCTGCCGTGCCATATCTCATGCATGAGAGCACAAGGGATATTTTGTCTTGATCGGTCTTGTACCGATCGGATTCTGCTGTGAAAAGAAGGAGGCATTGGAGCATGAATTTCTGGGATTCAATGCAGTCGCCTGTGTAATTGTCTGGGAGTTTGACTTTTCCTCTTCCGGGTTGTACTGTCGCGGAAGGGGGGTTTGTAGAAGTCGAAGCTTGTCCCGACATTTTGGCGAGTGGTTCGTTTCGGGTGTTGATCGGTGTTTGGTCTGGTGAGTCGGAGTCTGATTCCGAGGTTGTTTCCTCTTGCTCCGAGTCTTCGGGGATTACCGGCGCCGGTTCCCTGTATTGTGGGGCTAGTTCCCACTGAGCTTCTGTTTCGTTCCAAATATCCTCTTCTTCTGTTCCGTCTTCAAGGGTGAAGTAATAACGCCCGTTTTGGTATGAGCAGTTATCGTAATTCGGAGGGGCAGTTCCGTTATTGTCTTCGTAGACCCAGGAGTCCCCTTCACGCCGGATAGGGCGATTGTTGTGACGGAGTTGGTTATTGATGCGTCTAGTGCCGGGTGGGTATTCCTGGCCTAGGTCTTGCTCCAGAGTGTGTGCAGTAACGCTTTCTCAATGGGGGTCTATATCCCCACTGAGCAAGGTTATGAGAGAGGGTGTGGCAGCAAGCTAGTGCGAGCAAGGTAGGGGCAGAAGAGTCTATTCTAGTGTTACGACTGCTCGTCGGTAACCCCAAGAGTAGGAGGTTCTTCCCTAGGTCACTCGTGGAGGATGTGTGGAACGTTGGTCTCGACTGTACGTGTAGCACAGGAGCCAGAAGTGTATTGCGATATAGCAATGAAGACTGTAGTAGGAAGACTACAGTGGATGAGGGTTCCTGTATGTGAAGATACAGGGGAACGAAGGTTCCTGTATGTGAGGATACAGGAGAACGAAGGTTCCTGTATGTGAGGATACAGGAGAACGAAGAGAATAGACTGAAGATCGTCAGCCTATTCTATGGGCCTTTTATACTACTTTGGGAAGTAGGGCGTGAGAATACCGAATATGTATCTGTAGGTATTCTCTAAGTCGTCTCTCTCAATAACGACTACTCTTGTGCTTCTCCGTTGGTCTCCTTCCGGCCAGGAGAGACTAGGAGGTTCATGCCCTGCGTGTGAGTAATTTATAAGGCGGCGTTCCATGCCCGCTAATACAAGGCCCGTGATACTCGACCAATGATTGATGATCCATTGGGAGTGGATGACCAAGGTTAATATCTGTACCTTGGTGTACGCCTCAACCTGTGAGGCCGCGTGATATTTGTGATGATCGTATCGGAATAGACCGCCGTGTAGGCCTGATAGAACGTGATCATAACACTATCCAAGTCATACATTTACTATTTCTTTCTTCTCATTGGCTCTTTAGCATCTGTTCCTGCTATCTATGCTTAGATAATATATTCTAAATATTTAGGATTTTGTCATTGCTAATAGACTTTTACCTTATTACCTTCAGAACCCATAATGGACATTTCCCCTAACTTTTTATCTTTACTGTTTACTAGGTCTTGGTGCCCATTTGGTACTTACTCTTATTTTCTGTTCAATATTTACTCAGAAGCTCTATTTACTATAAAAAACTACATATAACTCTGGAATAAACCAGCTTTCACACTCCACAGTTTAGAGCTCATTCATACTCATCTCAACTATTGAAATCATTTTTGTTGACTTCTAACAACTTATCGTCCTCATTGTTCAGCCTTATTCATATTCATACTCATCTCTTTACTCATACCTCTTATCCCCCCTTGCATATTGTTAGAGTCTTATATGGCTTTTAAAGCATATAGTTGTTGGTTACAGCACTATCTTCTCATTACTGACCAAATCTCCAACACAGCTAACTAAACATTTAGTTAGTGTTCAATGCAGTCCTAAAACTATTCAGGCACTATAATCTCACACTTTTTATTGCTTCTCAGTACACCTTTAATTTCTAGAGTCATCACTAACAATTCCTTGTATATTAGATACTAGCTCTAGCACCCTTGCTCCAAAGGTTGTTTTAGTATTGTGCTTAGCACTTAGAAATGCCTCTAGTATGTCAACATATTCCCAAAGTAGTATAAAGGCCCATAGAATTGGCTAAGAATATTTAGTCTATTCTCTTTATTTACTGTGGTCTTTCTACCATAGCTTTTATGGACCATTGCTCTTGTTTACTGTAGTCTCTTCTATTATATACTCTGAATATTATCTGCTTCTATACACTCATATAGTCAAGGTCATTATTTAACTTTTCCTCATCATATGACATAGAAAAAAACCTCCTACTCTTGGGGTTACTAAATAAGCAGTTCATAATACTCACTTTCGAAAGTCATTACTAACAATTCCTTGTGTATTAGATACTAGCTCTAGCACCCTCTATACTGAAGGTCTATCTGGAAAAACCTCCTCTTTTAATTAGACCTAATTATTCAAAATACTAATCTGAGCTAATTAGAATATGTTATCCATAATCAACTCTATAATCAAATCTATAAGTAAAGGTGACATTGTCTATACTACTATAGTTCTATTGGAATCTATAATCTAATTACAGTTTTACACATTTCAAATCCAAATTGTGTAAGTGCTACAATCTTATTTTTACTGTATTCTTTATTTTTTATTAGTTTACTATATTATTGTCTAGTGCCCAAATTCAAATATCAGCCCTGATTTTTAGGGCATTTATTGACCTCTTTATATATAGAATAGATAACAGATAAATGTGTAAGAAAATCAAAAATGTTGAGATTGCCTTATTTATATCAATATATTTAGGTTACCAGGTAAATAATTTAGACCTTGTGGCTTAGTACTTTAGAACACTAGTCTGGGGTATATAGGCATAAGATTGTTGGTTCAATTCTAGTAATAGGCAAGTTTATAATAAGGTGTGACTTTATTTTGATTAGTAATCTTTATAAATACTCTAGGGTAGTAGTAGAGAAACCATAAAACTAGGTTGGTTGATATTTTTCCAAAAATCCATATAATAAATTAGCTTTAATTATCTCTAATCAGATCTTATAATTTCAAGATTAAAGAGGGAGTAAGCTAAAAATCCTTAATAGTAATTAGTAAAAATATAGCTATATTTATGCTTAACTATGGCTAATTTAATATGGAGCTTTTCCCTGATGTTGTTTTAGTATTATACTCAGCACTTAGAGATACCTCTGGCATATCAATGCACCCCTATTCTCACAATGCAACCTAAGCTTCTAGATATTGACACTCTGTGCTTTATTCACCTATAGGCCATTTGCATTGAATAGCACCTATGTGCTTGAAAACAAAAAAAATAAAAAGATAGCCAAGCTTAGTAACATTGTGACCAGCTCTATGTGCTTGCAGAAAAAAAGAGAAGCAAGTCAATAAAAAAGATTCAAAAAAGTGATCAATATATCTCTATATGGCTGCATAGCTGATAATAGCAGTAGGAACATCTACATGCACTGTATTAGCCAATCAGTCAGTCTTTGACATTTTAACTTATAATTTGCCCCATGTATATATAATAGACTCAATCATCAACAACCTGGAAACAAGCAAGACAACACAAATAGCAGGATGATTGGCAATATTCTAGCAGTATTCACAAAATGCATACCCGAAATAGAGCAGAGGTCAGCTGGTCAGATACACACTCCATGACTAGGCAGTGCAACTGCAATATATACTATACATAGTAAGTTATGTCTAGCAGCTCATCTAGCTCTTAATGGGTTCTCTACAAATTGTCTTGGTCCAGATAGAAAGAACAATTTTTTACAGAAAAAGGATCAGGGGCTATCCAGCTGTAGATCCCTCCTCAATCCCATGTTGCCATAACGTGGAGGGACGAGCGGGAGTAACAAAGCACGCGTGACCAAACAACAATAACGCCCAACGTGACTCGGTGGCGCCCTTCATCAAAGTTTACGGAAATGCAAATTCCCCCGCACGCCCGATTTGTTTTTGAAATGAAGTTCGCAGGCCAGGCAGCTTCAAGGAGCTTATCATCTGGCGCGGGCGCGGGTGCACATTCGATCGTCATCAGCGTCCCAATATCGCTCGAGCGCGGCCTTGCAGCTCCTTGCAGCGTGCAGATATGGGTGCAGACAGGCAGATACGGGCACAGCCACCGAATGTCTTGGGGTCGATGACGCTCGCCTGTCCGAAAAGCTTCGACCCAATGGTATCGAAGAAGAATCGCGCGAGCCGCGTATCGTACGTACGTACGTACTGCAGTCTACGCTCGCACGTACGCACGCACCTGCCTGTCCCCTTCACAATGCAGTGCCGTCCGCACCAGCCTTCACGTGCACGTAACAGAGCTATTCCCTCGGACTGCGCCCTCCAGACTTACTTATCATAAGCAGGCCCACACGAATCGACGCGCGCGACTTACGTCTGCATCAGCGCGTACACAGTCGCACACACGCGCACACACACGCTTTTAATTAAGCCCTCGCCCCTTCACATGCACAGCCCTGTCACGCCATGCACGATACAGGCCGCCGCGTGCCCGACCCAGCCGCCCATCTGAGTCAGGTACTTACTTGCCACGCACGGGGCCCCCGCCATCGGCGAGGCAAAATACGCGTCCGCGGCTAGTGAGCATTAGTCACGCGAACCAGAAGGTTCGGAACTGCGCGGGTGGGTGAGTAAGTCGGTCGATCGACGGGTCGGCGTCGCGCTCGGGGGCTCGAGTCCGTTCGTCCGTCCGTCCGCGGGTGGGTGACAGCACGCGGCGTCGCGGTGCATCGCAGGCGCAAGGGGATACGGAGCGACGGAAGCACGGAAACGCCACCGGAGCAGTGGAGAACAATGAAACAAAGTGTGGCTGGTTGATAGGGGGTCTCCGCGCAGGCTTCTCAGAAGTCAGTGTGCGTGCGCACGCACACACCCGCACATACGCACCTCGCCTAGCGTCCACGCCCCGCCAGGACTCCCACGCACGCCCCCCGGCGAGTGTGGCGTCTCGCCACCGCGCGCGCGGACGCCGGTCTTGGGCTTCGGATTGACGAGAAGCGGGAGGTCAGTAAGCACTGCGTGGGGAGACGCGACGCGACACGGTACGAGGCTTACAGCACCACGGAAACGGGGACACGCGGGCGAGATGAACGCCGGGAGATTGATTAATTGACAGAAGGAGCCCGAACGGACAGACGGGCGGCCGGGCGGGCGCGCGGGGCAGAAGTCCGGGACACCGAAAGCGAGCTGGCGATCGCACCGCGCATGGGTGTGTGCTCCCATCGCACATAGTGGCGTGCTGCTGATCGTAACCAGAGCCGGTGGGGGACGAGACACCCGGAGACTCCACACCACGCATTGTGCGTACTCACAGGTCGGCCCATCAGACAATCATCCTCGAACGGGGCGCTGTCGGCCGTAAGCTATCCCATATCGACGGGGCCTCGCGGACGACCCAATTCGCCCCTATGTAGCACGCCTTCATATAGCGCAAACGTTCGATCCAGCGCACAGCGAGCCCAACTGCATACGACACGGTATCGTCAGCCTAACCACACACATACGCGCACACATACCCAGTTCGTGATCCCCGTCCTGCGATAGCCCGCACCTTGCAGCGGTGCAGCGAGCTAGCAAGAAGGCGCCGAGGAAGGAAACCCCCAGGGCCAGCCAGCGAGCGTCGTCGCGCGAGCCAGTGAGACACCGACCCGCGACGCCGGCGCGGCACGTGCACACCATATACCATATATGTCTTTACCTCCGCGCGATCGGGGGCCCAGCAGCGGGACCGCGCGCTCGGCGCCCGACGTAGGCGGAGGCTTTCGTGGGCGCAGGCGTGCGCCCACGGGTGGGCTGCGCGCGAGGGGAGGGGGCGGCAAAATGCAGGACGGGATTGGAGGGAGCGCATAGGACGAGACAGGACACGGCGCAGGCTCGTGCGTGCGTCGTCTCGTGGAGTCATCGCACAGAGACGCGCGGGCGTGGGAGCGTGGATGGAGGCGGGTGCATGGAAGCCACGGCCGTCGCAGGGTCGCGGCGGCACGCACGAACGAGCGCATGCAAAAGCGGCGGTCGCGGTTCACCCGCTGCCAGAGCGCGTCGCGGTCCGAACCCAGTGCGGTCGCGGTCGCGGTTCGGCGCCTCCTCCTCGTCCGCCTTTGTCTTCGTCATCGTCATCGTCTTCGTCGCGATCGCGGTCGTGGTCGTGGTCGTGGGCGTGGGCGTCTTCGGCACCGCGTCGGCATCGGCACGCCCATATCCAGTCGGGCGTGAGAGGCGTATCATTGTCCGCGTCTGCATCTATGTCCTTTTGGCATGGCATGAGCTCGCGCAAAGACGTGGACGCAGACACAGACACATACATGGACGTAGAAACGAGAGGCAAGACGCAAGACGCAAGACACAGACACAGACACAGACAACAGACATGCAACGCACAAACGTGGGCGCAAACCTCGCCGCGCTTCGAAAACAGCGGGCTCGCAGAGGTCTCCCGATCGGGATGCCGCTGGCGAAGTGCTGCTGGAGGTAGTGCCAGTACGGCATCTGGCAACGCGACACTTCGCATTCACGCACTCAGAAGGGCTGAAGAAGGCTGAAGAAGGCTGAAGGAGAGGAAGAAGGCCCGGACGCGCCCTCCGTACGAGGACGGCTGTCTCATATCTGCCACCGGCCAGCCCAAAGATCGGACTCGGACGCAGGCTCGGAATCGGACTCGGAATTGAAATCGGATTAGGCAGAGGCAACGACACAGGAATAAGAATAGGCATGAGCGTAGATAGGCATAGACGTAGGCATAGATAGGGATTGGAGTAGGTGTAGAGGCGGCGGCAAGAAGGAAGGACGCGCGAGATGACGGTGCGGCGACAAGACGCGGCAGGCGGACGACAGCGCGACGACAGGACGACGACAGGCAGCCGGAGGGAGGGAGAGAAGCGGAAGCCTGGGGGGACTCCACCGCAGAAGCGCCGTCGGGCACGGCGAGCTAGCGAGCAATCAGGCAAGCTGCTGGGTCAAACGAACGGGCGCGGCGCTTCTTGCTACCACAACCGCACTACGCCTGATATGTTTCAATTTTTCAATTTTTTTGGGGGTTCCCGCGTACGGATGCATCGCGCTCGGCAGGCGCCGCTCGAGCTACGGTGGCGGGCGGACAGGCAGGCAGGCAGGCAGGCGTGTACGACGCGCACAGATCGATCTGGCGCCAAGCAAAAACAAAACTAAGCACAAAGTTGGCGACGACGCGCGATCCAGATAATGATGCCCCGCGCCGCGACGCGCTATGCCTGATGGACCACCATCATCCTGCGCGTGCTCAGCGCGCGGATCTCGCCGACCCTGCCGACCCTGCCGCTGCTGTTGGTGGCGGTGGGGGCTGGTGGGTGGGGACGGCATGCGCAGATCGATCTGGCGCTAAGCGCAAAGCAAGTAAGCATAAAGTTGGCGGCGGGCGGCGACGCTGTTTGGCGATGGGGCGTGTGTGCGTGCGTGTACGTGAGGGGACCCAGATCGATCTGGCGGTGCGTGGCGCGCCCGAGCTCGACGCGCCCGAAATTCCGAGTTGCCGTGCGTTTCTCCATGCATGCATGCATACATACATACATATCTCCGTCTGACCTGTCCTGCGCGGGCTGCGAGCGTCCGACGCACGCGTTCTCCTTCTTTTTCCGCTCGCGTTCTGGCGTTCTGGCGTACCGTTATTCTAGCAAGAGGAGGAGGAGACGATGACTGTCGCGTCACGGATGCGCTTCGGTGTCGTCGTGATTGATGGCCGTCGCGCGGGCGTTCGCTGTCCGGCGTGCGTCGGCCATTGATCCTGTCACCGTCCGATGGCCTCCTAGTTCAAAGGCCCATGCCCCCGATCGCGCCATCGCTCGCGCGACGCGACCTGGCAGCGCCGCGCTTTCGAAGGGCCGCGGGCGACGGAGTGCGCTGCGCGTCTGGATCGCGCGGGGGCGAAGGCTGGCGAGGGATCGCAGAAGGGCAGAAGGGCACGCTCACGGGGGGCGGGGAAGCGAGGGCGGGCTGCGATCGTTCGGCTTGGGGTTTGCTGCGGGGATGAGGGTCGTGATGGCTTGGGGGCTTCGTGATGGGAAGGTGGGACGGGGCGGGGCCGGTACTTAGCGGCAGCGGCTAGGACGGTGTGGTACGGGATATGGCGTGCCGAGGGCGGCAGCGGTGGGGATCGAAGGGCGTGGAGCGCAGAAGTTGCCAGAAGGAGAGAGTGCAAGAGGGAGGGGGTGCGAGGTGTACGGCATGTGTGTCGGGCGACAGGGGAGGCTCTGGCGGATCGATCTGGAGGGGACGTATGATGGGATGCAGGGAGGCGGAAGCGCGAGCGCGAAGGCGAAGGCGGTGACGGGGGGCGGGTGGTGGACGGACGGGTGGCGGGGAAGGGCGGTGCAGCATCGTCGTTGTGACAGGAGCATGGAGGGGCGCGAGGACGAGGACGAATGGACGAAAGGATGGGCTCGGGGACATGAGAAAAAGACAATGAAAAGGAAGCCAGGCACGGCCGGGGTACCCGACGTCGAGGGCCTCGCGAGGTTCGGGGTCACGAGGCGCAACGCGCGGAGGTGATGGCAACACGCACAACGTGCAGCGCACAATACGGGGAGGCTGGGGGAGCAGGAGTAGGGAGCAGGAGCAGGAGCAGGAGCAGGAGCAGGAGCAGGAGCAGGAGGACGGGGCAGTGATCGGGGCTAATCTCGGAGGAGAGGGACGATCTGTGAGCGAGGGAGGACGCGAGAGGGATCCAAGTCGATATCGCCGGAGGCAGATCTGATGGGAGAGTGTGTGGTGGGATGTCGCCGGGGAAGGGGGAATTGGATATTACGGTGAGGCCTCGGGGGGCAGGGACGAACCGGGGTGGTTCGTCCGAGCGGGTCGGTTCGTCTGTCGCGGGGGAGTGGCAGTGGTCTGGCAGCCGTGGGGAGGAGGGCTGGGGAGCCGAGCTGTGGGAGGGCGGGGGCTGGACGGTCCATCAGGCACGGGAGAGGAGAGAAGCGAGGCCCCGTCCCGGTCGAGTTCCAAGGAGCGTCTCTCTCTCTCTGCGGATGCCAGTCCGACACGAACAATGTCTGCCGCTCAAATACGCCGCCCCCTCCCTCCCGACCCGCATCCTCCCCCTCCCCCTCCACACACACATGGACGACCCCAACTCCTTCGACCACGCCCCCGTCCAGCTCAAGGGCGAGCTCATGGACTTTGACTTTTCCATCGACATGGACCACCGCAAGCGCAGACGCAACCGCACAACCCAAAGCTGTCTCAACTGCCACACCTCCAAGCGCAAGGTCTGTCCCCGTCCCCGTGTCCCCCCGCCCTCGCTCTCGCCCCCATCTCCTCTCCTCTCCGCCCTGCCCGATCCCCGCCCCCGCTCACGTGCCCGTCCTGCAGTGCGACCGCAAGCGCCCCTGCCAGCGCTGCATCCAGCTCGGCCTCGTCCGTGCCCCCCTCCCCTTGCCCTGCTCCCCCGCCCTGCTGACCCCGTGCCCTCCCTGCCCCGCCCCCACAGACCGGCCTCTGCGTGTACGAGGTCGACGACCCCGCTCTCAGGTCCGTGCTCCCCCCACCCCGTGATCTGACGCGTCGCTCACCCCCAGTCCCCCACCCGCCAGAGACGACCCCACCATCGACGAACCCACCCGCCTCCGCAACCGCATCGCAGAGCTCGAGTCCCTCGTCCGCGAACTCCGCGGCAAGCCCCACCCCCGCTGGGCCTCCTCCGCCACAGCCCTCAACGCCAGCCCCAACCCCCAAGCCCAGGGCTCCTCCATCGCCGCCACAACCGGCGCGGGCCTCGCCCTCTGCGACGGTGACCCCTCCGACCGCTGGCACTCCCGCGCAACGAAGCGCCGCCGCTCCATCGACGCGCCCCAGCTCTCCCGCACCGCAGGCCCCATGTCCCCCGCACACATCGGCGGCCTCCCCATCAACGCCCTCGGCCCCATGAACATCCCCGTCGGCATGAACGGCCTCGGCCCCATCGCCATGGGCATCGACATGGGCCTCGACGCCCACCCCATCCCGGCCTCCGTCAAGTCCGAGCCCGGCGCAGCGGACTTTGCCCACGGCGCGATGCAGCACCAACAGCAGCACCAACACCATCAGCAGCACCATCAGCAGCAGCAACAACAACAACAGCAACAACAACAGTCGTACCCGTACCGCTTCACGCCCTCCCCAGACGGCGCGGGCGGCTCCGTCTCGCCCTACGCCGCCTTCCCGCCCTCCTCCTCCTCCTCGACCGCCTACTCCCCCTACGGCTCCGCCTCGGGCTCCGCCTCCTCCACCCTCGGCTCGTCCTCCGCCCACGCGCACCCCGACTCTGCAGACAGCGACCTCGGCGGCCTCGACCTCGACGCCGCCGCCGTCGGCATGGACGACGCGCTCGACCTCGCGCTCGGCGAGTACTACTGCCAGTGCCTCACAAACCCCGCCGCGGGCACCCCGCTCGTCGCCCTCGCGCAGACGCTGGCGCAGTCGCTCGCCGCGCTGCGCGCGCTGCCGGAGCACCAGCAGCAGGGCCACGGCGGCGGCGGCGGAAGTGGGGGCGGCGGCGGCGCGCAGGAGGGCGTGCAGCGCGCGCGGATGGCGCGGTGTCGGCTCGTGAGGCGGATGGAGGAGCTCGAGGGGGTGCTGCAGTGAGTCGCCGTCGCCGTCGCTTTGGGTCGCGCGCGTCGCTTACCGTCTGTTCCCCCTTTTTTTTCTTTTCTTTTTTTTCGCTTTTCGCTGGTCGGGTAGTGGGTCGTATGCCGGCGCGGCGGGCGCGCAGCATGCTCATCAGCAGCACCATCATACACAAAACGGCGCGCTGCACCAGCATACCCAGCAGCACCAGCAGCACCAGCACCAGCACCAGCACCAGACGCATCAAAACCAGCAGCAGCAGAGCCATCACGCCACACACTCTCACGCGCATCACCAGCAGCAGCAGCAGCAGCAGCAACAACATCAGCAAAACCACCACCACCTCCAACAACAGCAACAGCAGCAGCAGCACGCGCGGTACGCGTACGCGTCCGACGCGCTGTCGTCGTCCACGTCGACGACGACGGGGACACCGCCCGGGAGCGACGTCTCGGAGGACCTGACGCCGCTCTCGCTCTCCTCGCTCTCCTCGCTCTCGTCCGCGGGCGAGTATGCGCACGCGCAGCATCCTCACCATCACCAGCAGCACCCTCAGCACCAGCAGCACGCGCACCAGCACCAGCAACATCACCCACAGCACCAGCGGCACGGCGCCGGGAGCGCGGGGAGCGGCGGTGGTGGGTGGAGCCCGAGCGCGGCGTTCAACCCGTATTTCCCGCCGCTGCAGGAGGGCGCGCAGGCGCAGGCTCAGGGGCAGGGGCAGCATCCACAGAGCCAGGGGCAGCGGCAGCGCGAGAACTCGGGGCGGGGGAAGGAGGACGCGGGCGTGGATGTGGGCGTGGGGGGGATGGGGTTGGGCGGGGACGTCGGCGTGATGGGTGTTGTTGGCGTTGGCGTGGGCGTGGGCGTGGATGAGTTTAGGTTGTGAGATATGTGTGGAGAGGACAGTTCGTTTTTTTTCGGCGTGGGGGCGGATGATACCTGATACCTTTCTCTTTCTCTCTCTCACTCTCACTCTCTCTCACTCTCTCATTCTCATTCTCATTCTCTCTTCTGTCACCGTCTCCGTGCGTGCTCCGGCTGCGTGTGTCACCATCAGCCCTCTCTCATCTGCTCTCCGTCCATCCGTCTGTTCTGCCCAGCCTGTTTTCTTCCATTTGTTTTTGCTTTTTCTCAATTACGGACCTTCGCGCTATCCTATCCCACCACTCGTCGCTGTACCCTACCCACCCATATATCCCTATCCCTATCCCTATCCCTATCCTATCCATATATCCTATCCGTCCGTCCGTCCGTCCTCATGCACATTCATGCACACATGCGTACATATATACATGTTCCCACAGCCCCGCTCTCGCCCCCGCCCGTCGTATATATATATATCCCGCCTCGCGCGCACGCTGCTCCCAGGACACTTCTGCCGCTGCCGCTACCGCTACACACATACCATGCCGCGCTCGTGCTCGTGCTACGATGAGATGCGAGGCGAGGCGGTGCGCTGTAGGGCCTCGCATCTCTGTTTTTTACTTACTCGTCTGTTTTTTTTTTTACCTCTTTGTTTTTGTTTTTGTTTTTGACTTTGTTTTTTGACTTTGTGTTTGTTTTGGGTACGGTACTACGGTCAGCGACGAATAGATACCCCGCTTTTCGGCGTGTTTTGTTTGATCTTGTGGAGTCTCGGGCTCGTGCGCGCGCGTTCGTGCGTGCAGCAGTTGAAGCGTTGAAGGACTGTGCTATGATAGGACCGCAGACGGACGGAGTTGCGGATTTCGACGCGCGTTTATGATGGGGATCGACGCACGCATACGGGTTACTATTACAGTATATATCTCGGACGGCTTTGAGACGTGTCTGGCTGACTCTGGCGCACTTGTAAGCAGCTTGCATATATATATCCGTCCGTCCGTTCTCCGAGTATCGCATCGTTGGCGGATTGACGGTCGAGTCCGAGTCCGAGTCCGCGAAACGCCTGCGTTGCACGCTGGGACGGGATCAGAACCGCACGGCCGTTGAGAGTCTCGAGTCCCGACTTGGGTCGTAAGCACGTCGTCTCGTAGTCTCTCGTCCGAACACCGAACGGGGCGGCGTGGGAAGCAAGAAGCGGGAACCCCCATCCCCCATCTCAGAGCGCGTCGCCGAGCTCGGCAGAGGGTCGAACATGAGCCTCAGCCTCAGCCTCAGGCAGCAGCCCCTCAGCGGCACCCAGCTGCCCAGTGCCCGCCCAGTGCCCGCCCACATCGACTCGCGACTCGCGACACGCGTTCAATCTCACAGGTCCGCCCCGGGACGCTCGTCCGTCCAGTCCAGCACTCATCGACCGGTCGCCAACAAGCCGCTGTTTTTTACAGTTTCCAATGCCCAAATCGAGCGACCGCATCCTTGTTCCCGATATATCCAGCGCAACCTAAAAAACTTCGATTGCTGTTACAGTATGTACTGTAATCAATCAACTATAGTAATCAGGCTGTAATCAGACCCCCGCAGGCGCGTCGAGGCTTCGGCGTGACCCCGCGCCCGCGCCCCATTGGTCGAGCAGCTGGAAGCCCACGCCCAAGCCCAAGCCCAAGCCCAAGCCCAAACTATTACAGTACGTGTAGAGGGAGATCGAGGACTCCCACGCGCGAGACGAGTCGCGGGGCTCGCTCGCCATCTCGATCCCCCCGGATGGATGTGTTCGGCGGGCGGTGCGCTGGCACACGCTTCGAGGCGAGGCCTCTGCGCTGCGATGCCCTGCCGGCTCGGCACACGGCACAAACTCGCGCGCGGGGGGCAGTGGGGTGGAGCGTTCGCCACCCTCAATCGTGGGTCGGCGCTCAGCGCCCAGCGCGCGCGCGCGTGCGTGTGTCACATACATGCATACGTGCGTGCGTGCGTGCGTGCATTGCACACGTACTGTACAGGAGATTCTGGGCTCCTGGATGCGCGCGATGCGCGACGGGGCAGAGACCGGCGGAAAGAAAGCGGGTGCAATAGGGTGCGATGCAGCACTGCGGCCCCTCGAACCAGGCCGAGAAATCCCAAGTGCCCGTTGTGGGGAGGCCACTGGCGGCCGACCGCGCCCCCGCGAGCGCGCACGTACGCACGCGCGCCCCGTGGGGCAGCGAGCTCGCGCTTGCGCTCGTGGCAGCGCCTACCCCGGTGGCACAGGCGCAATCTGCGCAAGCCCGGCCAGTAGCCCACATAGATAGGTGTCAATAGTTCCTGTACTTCACTCAGCGGATTTGATTGGACGCGACGAGGTCGCCGAGGGCACGCATGCTCGGAAGCCGGGCGCGCTGCGCTGTTGTGCGTCCCACGCTATAGATCCCGCCAAGTTATCGCCAGCTACTCGAGATCCCAGCCTAACTCGCACGGGATAGATTGCGCGAGGGCCTCGGCCGCGCAGACTCTAGAGGCAGACAATTGAAGGTGGATGGCTAGGTGGGTGGACGGAGCACACGGTTGGGAGAGAAGCCGGGAGAGGAGAAAATGCTGGGCTGCGGCTATTTTTGTTGTGGGTGTGAGCGCCAAGAGAGAAACCGCTTGCGAGAGGGCGCCGCGGGCGGAGGGTCTCTGGGCCTTGCATGGGCGCCTAGTATGCGGACGGCGAGGATCGCATGTGAACAGAAGGTGGCCGTGCATCGCACGTTCGAGGACCATTGGAGATACCTTACTTATGTCCGGGGCACGCATTCGCATTTGGTCTGTGCGGTGGACTCGCCCAGGCGCGTCGGTTGTCCGCACAGAATGCCGTGATATCATAGATGAATGAACGGACGTACAGACGGACGGATGGATGGATCGCACAGACGGACTGTTGCGCGCGTCCGCAGGCTTCTTCCACTCGAGGAGAACAAGGCGCATGCGCGCAGGGTATAAGCAGCACCACGGGCTCTATTCATTCCATCCGGTCCGAAATACCACATTGCCATTGCCCCCCGTCGCTCTGGAGCACGCACGCACGCACGCACACTGTCCATTCATGTTATGTACACGGGGTACCTCTGTCACACCGAGCGGCCACTCGGGCTGCCTGCTGTATACTCGTACTGTACCTGGCGCAGCCACCGGAACCGTGGACGCGAGCACGCAGATGACGTAGTGCACTCACGAAGATAGCACCGGAGCGCGCGATCGTGGCCCCCACAGCACCCGCGCGCGACGTGTATACTTACGCGCGCTGCGCTTCTACGAGCCGCACGCGGGGAGGAGGGCGTCTTCGACGTCCAGACGGAACCGGAACACGCGCTGGCGCGCCGGGTCCGCTCTGCGCGGGCGCGGGGCCTCCCCCGGTGTCCCCCCCGCGCCGCCCTCCCCGCCGTCGTGCCCGCCGTCGTCGTCGCGCCCGAGCTCCCACATGTCGCGTTCGACGAACAGCACGGACCCGTCGCGCCTCACGAGCACGACGCTCGCGAGGCGCGTCCCGTACGCACGGTCCGGCTCGGGCGGCGCGAGCCGGAGCGGCAGCGGCGCGACGGCGATTGTGTTGCGCAGCTCGCCGCGCGTGTGCGGGGGCGGGTCCGCGCGCCATCTGTTCCGCGTCGCGCGTGGGTGGTGACAGTTGACCCGAGGTGGGCGCAGGGTGGGAGGGTCATCGGCGTCGAGGTCGGCGAGGTGGGAAGATAGGGGTGAGGGTTGGTGATGTGCATATGCGCGTGGAGCGGAGTCAGTCGAGGGGCAACCGAGGACGACGGCATGGGCATGATCGAGAGAACGGGACGGGTAAACGGAGGATCGGAGTGGGGGAGCGGAGGCGGGCGCTAGTGCCATTATGCCAGGCCCCGCAGGGCTCGGGGAAGGGGCGGCACGCGGGTGCACTCGCACAACACAGTGTGGGTGGGAAAAAAGTTTGGAACGACAAAGGAAGTGGCATAGCCCGAAATAGAGATAAGGACCGAAACGGAAGACAATACAATGTTGATGCTGATCGGGACGCGACGTGCGCAGGGACCAACAGACAAGGGGATAGAAGGCAGGGCGGCAGGGGCGTCACGGCGAAGATGTACGGAAGAAGGAAAGGGAGAGGGCAAGGAGGAAGCGAGAAGCGAGAAGGAAGGGGGGGGGGGAGGGCACGGGAGAAGGCACGCACGTCAGCAGCGCGAAAAGCCGTTCCGTCAGCTCGTCCGGCGTCGTGTCCGACGTAATCTCAGAGAGCACGCCCTCCAGCGCCGCGGTCCCGCGCACGACCTTTGGCCACGCGTCCGCGCCGCGCCCGTCGATGCCATTGGAGAGGCCCCCGCAGGCGCGCTCGGCAGGCGTGAGGCCGCGGGCTGACAATGCGCCGCCTCCTCCGCCGTTGGTCACGAGCACGGCGTCGAATTCGAGCTGAGGCCTAGAGGGCCCTCTCCTCTGTGAACGGGAAGCCTCGAGAAGCAGGAGGTTGAACCCTGCATAGGCGGTGTCCTTCTCCTGCTGCACGAGCTCCGCGACGTGGTCCGTGAGAGTGTGCGCACCGGGCGCGAGCAAGAAAGACGAGACGAGACGCCCGCGGGATGAGCGGTAGGATGCGCTCGGCTCGGTGATATTTGTCCTGCGGGACGCGAGGAGGGGGTAAAAGGCGATCGTCACCATCGTGTAGGGCATACGGAAGAGGACGGATCGAGCGTGCGGGACTCACAGGAGGGCCAGCCGCCCGGCCCGACATAGGCCCATCCAGGTCCCACCGGCGAGCAGATCGCGGCCGGAGAGCACGCTCGTGTCCGCGTCCGTGCCCATGGCTGAGATTGGGTTAGCGTTCGAGGCAGACGCTGGAGAAGAAGCTGCCGTGGGGGTCGCGGACGTGGAGGCCGAGTCGGTGCGTGCGACGGGCTCGAAGGAGTGGAAGTGTGCAGGGGCCGTGGGACGGTCGAGGAACTCGTCGCGATTGGCGCAGAGGATGCTGCCGGACGCCGCGGTCAGCAGGAATGCTGGGTGGGAAGCAGGCGCGAGGCCAAAAGACGGGGACGCACAGCGCGTAGTCTGGATGGTCGAGGGACCAGAATGCGACACACATGATGACAGTGAGAGGCCGGTCGAGGATCCGTATTGGCTATCTCTGGCTATCTGTCGCAGGACGCGAGGAAAGTCGCTTGCGAGTTCGTTCGTGAAGATTGAATTGAATAGGGTTCAGGGCGCGGGGGGAAATCAAACCAAGGGCGAGGATCCAGACTGCTGCGATCGAGGCAAGGGAGAAGACAGCTGCAGCAGGGGGGGCTGTGGATCACGACACTGGGTTCTCGAGCTCGACAGACAGGCGACGCCGACAAGCAAGGAGCCGAGTGGATCACGAGCTGCGAGGAAATCAGCAGTCTTGCGACTGAGTTCGGACGTGGTGAGAGGCAGAGGCTGCTTTTGGCATCATGCACCCTCTCCTCGGACAGAAGGGGCACGGGCTTACCACAACGGTGACAGTCTCGACGAGACTTGCCTCTCGATGCGTTATTCTGGAGATGCGTCCCAAACAACTCTGGGAAAATATCCGGCAAGCGCTGGTCCTGGGGGGCTCGGCTGGGCAAGCGTAGTGGGAGGGAAGACGACGTGGGATGGTTTGGTCTCGAACGAACGATGGGCTGCTTCTGCAAATGTGCTCCTTGTCCACGTCGCTGAACAAGAGCAGGGGCAGAAGTCTCGAGATCGATGCGCATTTTCAGATTCCGATAAAGTGCACAAACCGCGCGATCTCAGCAGCACGTAGCGACTTGGCGCTAGAGACTGGAAATGACACAACTCAAAATAAATTATCCAGCCACCGGTAATCACCCAATACGTCAGGTACGAAATAGAGAGGAGCGGCTGGGCTGGCGGTTGCGAGCGACGATGCGAAAGCCAAAACCTGAAGTGTCCAGTATGGCTTCATCGTAACACGTGCTAGCCCTCTTCGAGATCAGCTTCAGGCTCCGAGTCCACCTGCCGCCACGCCCTTCTCTGGCAGCAACTCACCGACACGAGCGCGTCCTTCGATGCCGACATGAAGCGCACATCGATAGTCGTCGTCGACAATGGTGCGTGCACCATCAAAGCTGGCCTGGCCAGGCTTGTGCAGGATCCCAGGTATGGTTAGCTACGTCCGCGGCCGCAAATTGCTGATCCTGCAATTTCTCCATTCGAGGGTAATCCCCAACGCCGTCATCCGTTCCAAGGGAGACAAGACAACCTACTTTGGTCACGAGTTCTACAAATGTCGCGACCACTCATCTCTGCACTATCGCTTGCCTTTTGAGAAGGTACGCACTGGTGCCCTTCTAGCGCTGCATGGACATAGGACGCGATCTCGTCACCCATTCAGGGTTATTTGGTCGACTGGGACGCCCAAAAGGCCATCTGGGACGGGATGTTCTCAGAGGACGTACTCGCCGTGAGTCCCTTACATGAACTGGATGATGCTATCCTGCTGATCATATCGTGTCAGATTGATACTTCTGAGTCATCTCTATTGATCACAGAGCCGTACTTCAATCTTCCGAATATACAAGAGGTCTATGACCAGTTTGTGTTCGAAGAGTACGATTTTCAGTCTTACTATCGCTGCACACGTAAGTCGCAAAATCCTCGTCAGCGAATAGACTGGATCTATTTTTTATCGCTCGCCCCAGCGGCTTCTCTTGTACCTCGTGGTCGGCTTTTTTCGAGCGTGCCGCACCCTGAATGCGTGCTCATCGTGGACTCTGGATTCAGTTTCACACACATAGTTCCTATCATGGACGGCGCCGTGCTCTGGTATGCGGTGAAACGGTCAGTTGTCACAGCTCGCACGACGTGATTTCCGCCTGGCTGATGATCATCACGGCCTGCGCGCAGGATAGATGTCGGAGGTAAGCTCCTGACGAACCAGCTCAAAGAGCTCGCGTCGTTCCGGCAATGGAACATGATGGACGAGACATACATAGTGAATGAGGTCAAAGAGACCTGCTGCTACGTCTCGAACCAATTTTCGGCCGATCTCGAGATTTGTCGGTTCGTCCCACCTTCCCTGCCCCAAACAAACACGTTTCCTGATGGATCACGTCAGGACGAACCCGAAACATAACCCCATCCTTCAGGAGTATGTTCTACCAGACTTTTCTACCAATAGACGCGGTCATGTAAGGAAGCCAGATGAGATGGCTTCGGAGACGGATCAAGTGCTATATATGGGCAACGAGAGATTCTCAGTCCCTGAGATCCTTTTTCGTCCTGACGATATAGGTAACAATGAACTTCGATGCCAGTGTCTGTGGCACATCTGATCCACTGATGGCTGTCAGGCATGGGACAATCTGGCGTCGCGATGACTATAGCACACTCTATTGCGCTGCTACCCGAGGATCTTCAAGGCATGTTCTGGGCTAATATTGGCTTAATAGGCGGGAACGCAAAGTTCCCAGGTTTTGCTCCAAGGCTGTGAGCGCACATGCTATCACCTGGTCCGTGGTCACCCTGATAGGTACATTAATTCCGCAGCCTTTCCGAGCTGCGGTCTCTAGCTCCAGTGGACTGTGAAGTCGTCATCTATGAATCGGAAAAGTAAGATGTCCTGTTTGCACCTGTGCCTTCCATTTTCTCATGTCGTTCGCTGTCAGTCCAATCTTGGAAGCTTATCGCTCCGCGATGGCTTTCGCAAATCAACCGGCTTACTCCGATCGTATAGTGACGAAGGCAGAATATCAAGAAGGCGGCAGCAATGCCTGTCGGCGGAAATTCAGAGACTGGAAGAATGCGGGGAAGGAGAAAGACGGGTTAAAAAATACCGGGAAGGGTAAAGAGCGGATACGAGCTGAGGCGGAGAATCCGGCGCCTTCCCAGACGTCCAAAGCTGTGAGGACGAGAACGAGAACGGTGTCGACTGCCAAGCGTCGGTGAAGGGAACCTTGTACTTGGCATGATGGTTCATTTCGAGATGAGAAATTAGTGTGTCGTTCTTTCTTATTCGAAAGGCGATAAGAGGCTGGGCGTTTACACCGCTCCTATTGTAGGATTATTGAAGCATCTTCCGATGAACGTACTATAACATATGTCTGTACTACGATTAAACTTGTACCAGCCGTCTTCAAGTGGCGGCGATGAGGCGATCAGCTTCTCCAGAATGTTGGATGATGAGTCTGTGCGGAATAACGTCAGTTACATTTTCTTGGTAATGCTGTAGGCATGCTCACTCTTTCACCCAGTCACTTTCTGCAGAGAAGGAAAACGCGTGTTCCCATGCGTCATCACTAACATTCTCCTCGATATCAAGCCAAACCTCGGCTGGCATGGCACGCTCGGGGACCATGAGCGCCTTGATTTGTTGCTCAGGGGCTGACTCGCTGGCCCCCACAGATTCCAGCTTGGACATGACATCGCTATACTGTGTGCCTCTGCGCATCTGGAGCCTGCCTAAATCACTACCCTCCAACTTGAATATGCTGCTAGACCTGTGGCATTCCACCACCACCAGACGGCAGCCTAATGTTGTCCACTGAACGCAGTTTGCCCACGGGAACGGGGAGTTTCCTTCGACCTTGAGAGGGTATGCCTCCTCTTCGTCCGTCATCGATCTAGCTGGGGATATGGGCATGCAATGATTATCAACCTCCGGCACGCCTGGCATCACACTCGATACGTAGTTGACGGTCAACTCCTCAACGCCCTCGGCGACATGTACGTGCGAGCCAGTGACAAGGCCAACATATCGACGGAACGAGTGAGGTTCGACCTGATCAGCCGCATCAGGGAAGGCCCGCAGGATGGCCCCCTTGCTGACCGCAAATACAATGTAGGTCCCGCATTCGATCTGTCGGGGACGCGTGCCGCGTGGTGTCAGAGCTTCGGGGCGACTGTCCTGAATTGGTCCCTGTACAGCGAAGAGCGTGTCGAGGCCGCGCTTATCGGATGGGGTGATGACATCCTGGAACGGAAAGGGAGTTGGTGGATCGACCGTGATGTCGACCGTCAAGTCGGGAGGATGGATGGTCAGGTGTGTAGGCATGGGGGGCGGTCCAAAATTGGGATTGGTGAGTCTCCTCAGTGGCTTGATTTATGCGCGCGTGCTGGATACCAAGCGGAGATCTGAATGTCGTGGTGTGACCACCGACAACGTCGATCCGCCGTTCTTTATGACAATGCGAACGCTTTTGACGCAGGGCCTGAATCATGCCACTGCGTTTTTCTGGTGTGAGGTTCTCGAACCATTGCTGTTACGCTTTCCAGTTAACATGCCACCACTCGTCTTTTGGTGAGCAGACCGATCGACCAATATTCTCAACTTTTGGATATAAGTACCTCCTGTCTGCAGCGATGGTAGAAACGCTCCACAGCAACACATCCAAGCACAATCAACTCAGATCCCGACAATCATTGACATTTTATGATTCTGAGGCTGGCTCTTGATACATCGAGCTTGAACGCAAGATCCTGCCTGCAGAAATCCTTCACATCGAGTCCCGAGTCTGTCAACGAGGCTTGTTTGTCAGCAAGTGAGGATGTATTAGTCATATGTTTCACTTCTTGCACCGCGCCGTGACGATCCTTCGCTCCATCCCATGTGCTTTCCGTCGTGTACATTAATCCCAGGAATACTTTGAGTTTTGAACTGCTCCTATCTTGCATCTGTTGAGTTTCGTCATGAGCAAGCAAAAATCCAAATCTCAAGGACAATCCTCAGGGCTTTACAAGCCCGAATCAATCAAGGCAAGAGTCTTGTTGCGAGCAGCCATTGATGCTAACTGTTGGAGCGTGAGCAGGATGTGGCGGAATCTATAGGAATAACCGCGCTGTCTGATACCGTAGCATCCGCACTCGCAAGCGATGTCGAGTACCGAATACATCAGGTGGTTGAGGTGAGCATGTTGTGCATTTCTCATACAAGCCTAACGCGAATCAACACTAGGAGGCATCTCACTTTATGCGCCATGCGCGTCGCACGACTCTGACGACATCTGACATCGACCAAGCCCTCCGTGTCCTAAACATCGAACCTTTATACGGACACTCCGCCCACCATCCACCTTCTTTCCGCCGTGCGCTTCCGTTCCCCCAACTTCCTTCAGCGGGTCCCGTATACTTTGTTGAAGACGAAGAGATCGACTTTGACCGCGTGCTGAAAGAGGACAAGCTCTCGCTGCCTAATGGGGTGCGGTGGACAGCGCACTGGCTCGCCGTCGAAGGCGTCCAACCTCTCATCCCAGAAAACCCACCGGCTGTCCCGCGCGAGGAGGCACCCGCACCTCGCATCAATGGGAGTGCCCTTCCGCTTGCACCATCGCCCGGAAAGCGGCCATCACAGCAGCAGCAACAGGCGGCCCAGCAGCAACAACAGCTCGTGAAACAGGTCTTGTCTCGCGAATTGCAACTGTACTATGCGCGCTTGACATCGTCTCTCCTCCCGCCGTCTGCAACGGATCTCACAAAACGCGCCGCGGCGCTTGCGAGCCTACGACATGATGCAGGGCTACAAGCACTGCTACCGTACCTGGTTCGTTGGGTGGGTGAAGGCGTCGTAGGGACGCTGAAGGAAGGCCTTCAAAGTGATAACGATGGGCGCGTGTTGGAGGTGCTGTTAGACGTGATTGCTGCCCTATTGGATAACGCAGCATTGTTCATAGAACCATATGTGAGTTTTATATCTTGCGACTCATCCTCTCACTCTAGTTCATATTGGGTCTCCCGCTAGCTTCACCAAATCCTGCCCCCCGTTCTTTCCACACTACTTCACTCAAGCCTACCAGCTGCTCACAATACACACCTCCGCACTTCCGCTGCATCTACCTTGTCCCGCGTCCTCACTCAGCACTCGACAACCTACCCCTCCTTGTCACCACGTATCATGAAAACACTCCTACTCGCGCTCCTCTCTCCGGGGAAAAGCCGTGGTACTCGTGAAGGTGCGATCAAGGGTCTCATAGGCGTGGGGAAAGAGGCGGTCCGCAAGGGCCTCGTCGAAGCGGGCGGCGCCAAGGTAGTCGGAAGTGAATGTATGCCGGGCGAGGACGGTGGACTGGGCGACGCGGTCATGGAAGCCTTCAAAACGCTACATCCACCTTCAGAGTACCCAGTGTCAATTAGGGAAAACGACGATTCCATTTTTGTTGCCCACCTGAGGGAAAAGCTCGGCGATTTTTTCGCCGAACGGTTACTAGGCGATGCGGAGTGGGCGAGAGCGATCCTGGGAAGTGGTTGATTCGCGCCTGTTGAGTGGGTTTTGGCTGATGAATGGTTCTTGGACTCTTACGAAGTATTGTCCTGCTTGACAATTCAAGACTACCAGATTGGTCCGGTGTAATCCCAAGGCTCATCTTCGTATTAGAATCGTCAAAATCTCAAGGGTCGTCTTTTCTTCGAATCGGGCAATGCAACAATGCCTCAACTGGAGAGGTGGTATGGCACATCGTGACGAGTGGGGGCTCCTTATTCACATATTGGAGGTGGGAAAGATGTAGCATTATTCTACGTTTCGGCATCACATCGTAGTTGTGAATGGGAATCAACTTCGGCAGGTATGAGTGATGCATTGTTGCGGGTGCCTTGGGCGAAAGCTACAGCTTTGACGTGGTAGTTGAAACTGCTTGTATTAACGTAAGTAATCGCACCCATTTGAATTCCATTCAACTCAAGATCGAACTACACAGCCCAAAATCGCCTTGATTTTGTGGTATGCCGATCGCTCATGTCTACAGCCGCAGGAGGCAGACTGCATTCTCGTAGCTGATGTTGTAGCTAAATATCGGTGGCACGCAAAGTTGCAGGACATGAAATTTGAATATCCCACCAAGAAGGCACATAGTTTACTCATGTGGAAGCTATCTCTGGCTCGATGTGAAGTAGTACAGGTTGGTCTTGGCAGACATCATGCAGCATATTCTCTAATTTCCCTGGTTTTGTATCTCTTTTGCGCGGTGAGCGTCAATCAACCTCCCGATGGTGGCATCACACCTAACAAACTGCTTAGCCAGATGATGTTTTGTTTCATACCAGAACTCACCATGTGGATAGCTCCTTCTGCTTAGCGGAGGAGCGGCGCTCGGCATTGGATCGCTTGTGTATTTGATGCTCCAGAAACGAAGCGATAGTCTGGTATAACCCGCTGTCCATGACAAGATATTCATATCGCATGACAGAACCGCGGGCACGATATCCTATAGGAGCTCCTGATGTCATATGGAACGAGCCCATAATTTTTGGAATCAGCCGCTCAACCAGCTTCCAGCTATTGTAGATCACGGGATCCCAAGCAAAATACTCTGATGTCGGAGACAGGCGTGGACGCGGCTGAAGCTCGCTGGTGTCCAGCGGGACTACCCACGAATGATGGTCATGGACCCAACGGATGACATCGCCGTGAAATGGAGCTCCCCTGCTCTTCTTCTCTTGCGGCGGAGTGATCAAGATGAGCTTCCATCCTCTGTTTCGATACTTTTTGAACTCAGCCCTCCTATCATTGCGAGAGGCAATGCATAAGGACACCCTCTGTTCAAAAGTCGCCTGCGGGTATAAGCTATACGCCGCATCGAACGCGATGCAGTTCATGACACAGGCTAACCGAAAATTCAATGAAGCTGTAAATCTTTTTGTGTACTACAGATCTGGTTTTAACTCACTACTGTGAAAGTTGAGTATCGCCTCCAGAGGACTGATGAGCGTGGCAACGACCTGAACAGTGAGTGGACCGTCAGGTCCATCCTTGGTGAAATTATCGAATCTAAAGATTGATATGGACGCATATTCATTAGCCTTCCGCTTGCTCGGTGCAGAAGAGTATCCTTCGTGCTCCATTAACCAGTGCCCAACCTCTTTGGCGCTATCTTCCCAGACATATAGGTCCAGATCTGATCCAGGATAAGAGGTTGAATCGAGGAACTGGAGTGCGTTGGAGCCAGAGATGAGCATTGCAAGACGAGCCTGCATGTTGCGGAATGCAATGGGGTCATCAAAGAAGCGCCTGAGGTGATGATTGATATTGAATGCCCTGGAGTGAAAGTCCTGTACGCTGTTGTACGCGAGACGACATGTGCGGCCAAAGCGAATACGAGCACCAGGGCTAAGCCGGGAGTATATTCCATCATAGATAGGATGTATCGATAAAATAGAAGAGAATGACGACGTGCGCCCTATGTCCCGTTCTGCGCAATCCATATTGGCACTTAGTAGTGAACGTTAGTTCTGAATCTGACGTGCGGTTAAAACATAAGCACGCACCTTGATGATAAAAGAGAACCCATTGCCTATGTCGATACGAGGGAGTTACGAGGGGCGACAGAGGAAGCATTTGGTCAAGGCATGTTTTGAATTTCCGAAAAAAGCAACACCCAAAAGAGGATGTGTACTGCAAGTCGACAACTTTCAAGCCTCAGCTTCAGATGCAAAGTTCGAGGTTAGAAAAACGACAAGTGTTCAATTCCATCCCCTCCGTCCGAAAAGACCGACCCCCTCTCCTCCACGAAGTCTCCACGATCGAGTGGCGCTCAGAACAGCAGCCACCCGCTCAGAACTTCATCAGAGGTCATAGGCTCGATCGCCGCGGCGGGACCCGGGTCCTCAAACTAACACTCTATCGTCTACTTCGCAATCGTCATGGACTTAGTTTTTAAAAGAGATGCTGGTCAAGTACCCTCTGGAGCAGATGTTAAGCGAGGTGTTCGGAATCGTCGTATAACACTACTGTAAGCAATCATTCCATATATTGAGGAGATACTGTATACCACGACGTCTATGCTACATGCCGTACGTCCTTCAATATTTCTATCTCATGTGGATCACAGCTTGACGAAGCCCTACGGATCCTCCAGGTTTATGTTCACAGGAGACTCAAAAATCATCGGCATCTCCTTTTTCTTTGGTCCTCAAGTAGCCTCAAGGGCTACCGGCTAGCATTCAAAGCGCTTGACGCCGTGTTGCGTTGGCGTTGTCATATAACCTAGCTAGAAGCCTAGAACATCTCGGTGTCTCGAAGACTCTGTCGCGCAGCTGGCTTCACACGACACGCAGCACGTTTGACATGCTTGGTCTCAACAGTCTTTCGAAATATAAGACTAGAAGAAAATGACTTCAAAACTTGATCGGTTGACCCCTCGCCTTCATTCTCCCTTATCTGTTTGACCTCGCACTCATCCCGTATTCCCCCCTCCTCCTCATCTCCCGTAACAACGACAAGTACTCTGCAACAATATTTGCTTTCTCATCAAGGTGCGTGCTTATGTTTTAACCGCACGTCAGATTCAGAACTAACGTTCACTACTAAGTGCCAATATGGATTGCGCAGAACGGGACATAGGGCGCACGTCGTCATTCTCTTCTATTTTATCGATACATCCTATCTATGATGGAATATACTCCCGGCTTAGCCCTGGTGCTCGTATTCGCTTTGGCCGCACATGTCGTCTCGCGTACAACAGCGTACAGGACTTTCACTCCAGGGCATTCAATATCAATCATCACCTCAGGCGCTTCTTTGATGACCCCATTGCATTCCGCAACATGCAGGCTCGTCTTGCAATGCTCATCTCTGGCTCCAACGCACTCCAGTTCCTCGATTCAACCTCTTATCCTGGATCAGATCTGGACCTATATGTCTGGGAAGATAGCGCCAAAGAGGTTGGGCACTGGTTAATGGAGCATGAAAGATACTCGTTTGCACCAAGCATTGATCAGGACAAAAATTTCGATGTGGCCAGCGAGACAGTGTTCACTTGGTCGGATAATCTAGATCAATCACTCGCCAGGAATGACTGTGATGACTATTACTCCACACAACCTCTTGAATGGTACAGCTTCATTCAGAATGGACCCGATGGTCCTCTCAAAGTTCAGATTGTTGCCTCGGCCCGTAGTCCCTTGGTTACGATACTGAACTTCCACAGCAGTGAGTTGCAATCTTACTTGCAATGTATAGCCAGCCCCTCAACTCACCGAAACTCTCGATCAGCTTGTGTGATGAACTGCATCGCATTTGATGCGGCGTATAGTTTATACCCACAGGCTACCTTTGAAAACAAGCGCTCTTTGTGCATGGCCAGCAATGCTAGCAGGGTTGCTGAATTTGCCAAGTATGAACGCAGAGGCTGGCAGCCCACAGTGTTCGTTTCGCGCCGAAAGGAAAGGGACATCAAAGCATTGTTCCACCCCGACGATACCCGTTGGGTCTGTGACCGTCATTCGTGGGTACTCCCGCTGGATACTAGCGATCTCCGGCCGCGTCCACGCCTGTCTCCTACATCAGACTAATTCGCCTGGGATCTAGTGGTTTACAATAGCTGGAAGCTGATTGAAAGCAGCGACGACAAGTACATGTTGATGGAAGGGTTTTCTATAGGCCGCTCTGACTGCCCCGCCGTGCGATATGAGTATCTCGTCGACTGCGGTCTATTCCATACTATTGCTTTAACTCTGAAGCCGAGCCGCGCGTGCGTGTTCAGATCAGTTGCGGACATGGTGAGTCTCAATCTATCTCGTTGTAATATCTAGCTGAGCGTTTTTAGGGAGGATGCTACTATCGGGAGATTAATCGATGGTCATTGCGAGAGAGAGAAATTGGGGCAGTCAAAGGTGTTGAGGTGCAAGATGAAGCTGAGCCATATGCCCATTTCGCATACTTTTAGATAGAACATCACACAGTTGTCTGTATATGTGTTTCAAAGATCATCCAACGATAATGCAATATGGCGGGCGCGGTGCATTCGTTTCCGCTGACATTGATTCAATCCTATACATATATCTGTTTTACATCGAGCAAGAAAATAGCTTCCATCCCAGGACAGGCGGTATCCTGATTCTTGTCGTGCCGGCAAATGGTATGATCAACTCGAAAAGTGGTATGAGCTTTCAAAATCGGAGAAATCAGGATGTTCACACTCTGGTCCTCATAGGAGATATGCTCTTTGGCTTTATCTGACATCGGCACGATCATGCTCGGCTGCAGAGTACTGAGTATTGACTTCACCGCACTTCATGAGCAGGCCCTTCCGATAGACCTGTTTATTATGTCGTGCACACGAATATGTGGGTATATTGCAGCACATGCCTTTCCTGTTTCACCTACCAATTCCTATACAGGTCCCAACCCAAGCTTCAAGCTATTGAGCCCAACTTCAAAAAGGAGCCCGATGTTCTTAGCCACCTCCTATCCTTCAGCTGTAAGTCATGCACTTCGAAGTCTTTCCGTCGATCTTTAGAATACAAGCGCTTCTGGCAGCGAACGAGGAGGCTCTTGCCCTCCAAAGTCATAGATACCACCGCGATCTTCGAAAGTCTCGGGTTCCCAGCCGGCGCCGGCGAGCACGGCATGCACGCCGACTTCGAAGATGCTGCGGCCCGGTATCTTCTTTCCACCTTGGCAGTTGAGAAACCTGGAATCTTCGCGGGGAGAGTGCAAGGAGTTAGACAGTAAGGGAGAAGAGATGGCGAGGATGTGTACCGCATTTCCTCGTCGAGGAGTAGATATGAATTTTCCATCGCGTCGTTGTCCTCGGCGACGGGATTGTGCGCCTTGTGACGTTTGAGGAATCCTTGGAATTCTTCATTGGAGATGACGAGGTCATCGGCGTTCCGCAGAGCGCCTGGGCCCGTGTTCTCGCCTTCAAGCAGAAGCACTTGGAACACCTGATACAAGTGTCGGTGGGGCAATGATATCCAACGAAAGGAGATCGTCTCAGAGCGATGCGCACCTTCCAGCGTTGCGGCTTCAGCACCTCCAGTGCGGAATTCATATCCTCCTCGACATTGTAGCGATTCACAACTGTGTTCATCTTGAACTTGAGGGGTGGCGTCCGGGCATGACAGTATTCTGCAATCCTCTGCACGCGACGCCAGTGCTCCCCATGGCGCTTGCTGCCATCGCGGCGTCCAATAAGCTCGTTCGTGTCCTCGTTGAACGAGTCGCACGAAACACCCATCCAATTCGGGTACTGTCCATATGTGTCCAACCACTGATCTGTGACCTTCGACCCGTTACAGATGACGCCGGTGTCGACATCAAGCTCCACCTTCGCATAGCGAAACAGCTTGCCCAGGAACTCGGGATGGAGAAATGGCTCCCCACCCGAGATATTCAGACGCTGCATGCCCGCTGCCTTTAGCAGGCGAAGGCCCCCCTGGGCCTTCTCGAGCTTGAGCTTGTTGGAGGAGAGCGCGGTGTGGAAGCAGAATTTGCAAGCATAATTGCATTGGCGGTGGGGGAAGTGATTGACGGAGACTGGTATGGGCTGTCCATGGTCATCGCGGGTGCGTATGTCCCGTATGGGGTGAATTTCGACAGTGGGACCTGAGTCTAGCATGGCGGGATAGACCAACGGGCTGGAAGTAAGGAGAGCATACAGCGAGACCTTTTTGCACAGAGTCAAAGTGCTTGATAACGGGGAATCGTTGTTTGATAGTCTTTGTACTGAGTACCGACCTGGTCCAGGAGTTTGCTCAACGGTACATGGCAATCACGTACAAAGGAACACTAAATTCCGGGCAACTATGATCACATACAATACAACTTGTTGAGAAAGGGAAATGATAAGTAGTGTGTGAAACACATGATGCACAACTCGCACCGTCTAGCCACTCTCCAACATATCAGGCGGCCGACACCCCTTCCTGCTCAATCTTTCGCCGCTTGCGATTCTGGTCCTCCACAATCAGCCTCTCCGCAGCTGACATGGGCGTGTCCTTTCTCTTCATGCTCGACTTATCGTCCGAAGATACCTGACTCGGAGTCGCCTGTTTGAAAACGTTTGGCCGCTTGAGTGGGTTCGCGCCTGCCTTGAGGGGATTTGCGCCTATCTTCAGAGGGTTGACGGCAGGTTTGAAAGCGTTCAACTTCAGCCCGCCCGATGGACTGTTGGTATCCAATGTCGACACTGTTGATGTCGTCGGTTTAGCTCCGAACGACAGTACAACCTTCTCTCCCTCCTCCCGCTTCAAACCCTCCTCCACGGGGGGCGAAGCCGATTTGCTTTCTCCGTTACCCTCCCCCTCCTGCGCCGCACGTTCTATTTGCTCCTCGATCAACATACGCTCACGCGCCTCGTCGCTCATTGTCGCACGCTCCTTCTTCATCGATGCCTCCTGCTTCGCGAGCGCTTTCGGACTATTGTCGATCCACGCAATGAACCAACCTTTCTCTGTCTCATCCACTCGCGCGACTCCTGTCCGCCCTAGATGTTTCACGAACTCGGTAAGTGTGACCCAGCGCGTGGAGTTCATATGCAGATGGTGCTTGTCCTGGATGTGCTCCTGGTACACTTGATTGGCTCTCACTCGTTTGGTGCCGAATCTATATCCACGGTATATGCGATAAAAATTCTCATATGACATGACGAAGGACTCGAGGACTTACCGTCTCGATAGGAGAGTGACAAACTCAGACTGAAACTGGCCGGAGAAATCAGAGATGTGGCGTCCAGCATTCTCTCCAACGACAAGCATCTGCCGCAGATGAGCTTCGGATGCAGCATGGCACTTGAAACCATTCTCATCCCGACATTGTTTCTCGCATACTTGGCAATACCATCGAAGGCGCTGCAAGCCCTTCGACTTCATCTTGTTTGCCAGGTATTTTGGGGTTCCGACTACAGCAGAGCATGGTTAGTTGAACATCTGGCTATTTGAACAGCATAATAATATATTAAACACACCTTCAGCGCGCGGCATGTTGGGCAGGTAACTGAGACAGAGACGGGAGGTTTGGAGAAGGATGGAGGTCGAGGAAACCCTTGATTGGGGTTTGTGGCTACAGCATGACTAAACATGCCTTCTACTTTGGGTATGCCCCACATTCACTCATGGCCACCTGGCACAGTATACTCGTACTCGACATCCATCGTGTCTCTAGCTCGGGGTTATTCCTTTCGAGCACGAATATTACATTCTATTTTAGACCTCAGGTATTATTATGATGTCTCAAAGTCTCAGCGATAAAGCCAAGGGGAAACAGCGCGCCGTGGACCCCATCATCTCAGATATCCCGCAGAAGCTCTCGCGCGAGCTGATGGTCAGGTTCACAGAGGGAATTCCTGATCTCGTTCTCCGAGTGGAGGAGAGAGACTCGGTGCGAGACGTTAAGTTGAAGGTATGTTCCTCACGGCCAGCTGATGCGGGGCGTCCGGTACTGATCGCGAAGACGCGCGCTCGTCGTTCACTAATTAGATTCGAACAGCTCGATCACAGCTCAAGAATCGGCGCCTGAGGTTGATTCACTCTGGACGCCTCCTCACAGACGGGACATTTTTGTATCCTTGGCTTAAATCGCTGGAAGAGCGGCAGCACAGAGCAACTGCGTGGGATGCTTCCAACGATACGGATGACACGGCGCCTCCCACGCCTTCCTCCACTTTGTCATGGTTGCAATGTTCAGTTGGACCTGAATTCGCCGAGGGCGAAGGCGAAGAGGAAAATACGCCACAGGTATGCATCACGAAGTCATCATGGACCCCTTCTTTCGCTCACGGCCGCGCCACCTAATTCTCATAGACCGCCCAACTCAAACCTCTCCGCGGATTTGACCGCCTCACGACAGCTGGGTTTTCGGAGGCCGATATTGCGAACTTTCGCCGTCAGTTCCACAGCCGGTCCTCGTTCGACTACCTGGCCACGACCGATTTCGCCACGGATGAGGAATGTGCGCACTCGCGATCCTCGTGTTCCAATATCTTAGAGACTGATTTGTGAAACAATGCAGATGAGGAACATGCACGGGCGCTGGAGGAGCAATGGATCGACCAGCTCGACAACGCAGGTAGTGCCGCACTCTCGCAGAATAACGCGTCCGGTTCAGAGATCTTGCACGGGATAATTGTTGGCTTCTTCTTCCCACTGCTCCCGTTCTTCTTCTTTCGCGAGACCAAGCCTGCTGTGTTTTGGAGTAACGGTGCCGCGTCAGAATCGCTCAGAAGCAACGTTTTCTCGTGAGCGTCTGCTCCGTCCCTGATACTGTTCCGCGCTTAAACCTTTGCTTTGTTGCAGACGCCGAATGCAGATGGGCCTTGTCGTTGGGTTCCTGGTCAACCTCCTGTTTGGCTTTTGGAGATATCTATGGGGCACCCTATGAGTCGATCATGAGTGCGACAGCATCGTACTATATCTATGTTTTTGGTCTGATTTCGTTCAGCCCGTTTCTTCTCCATTTATTGCTCATCAAGAGCGATGACGGTATCATGCCTTCCAAGAGGAAGTCTTGATTGATACCGGATCAATCATCAATACTCATGATGGTCAGCACATTCAGTGCTCCATGAGAACTCGAAGGAAGACCTCTTTCGCGCAACAGTCGCGGTCCTTCAGGAAATCGCGCGATCAAGCCGTATCAGGTCGTATTGAATGATCCCCGTTCGATTTGTTCTCCATCATTATTAATCGGCATAACATCAGTATCCATCCCGTTGTGCGTACGGTGATACGTCCAGCTCCACGCCGAGTCTGCGATTGGCACTTGACTTACCTCTATTGTGATCGATGTGCGAGCTCATGTAAGGCTATTAGATAGCCGTTGCTCTAAGGTGTCAAACGACCCATTCTCTAAGGATACTGCTAAGGTTCATTATCAATCCAAGCGTGCTTCCTCAAGTAGTCAGTAAAAAATTTCACCTGTATTCATGTGTTTATAGTAAGGCTCCAGTTTACATGTTAGGCTGCGTTAAATAAATACATGCCGACCTTGCGTCGAACCCGCCTGTTTTGTTAAGGTAGGCCGCAAGCAAACGCGACTACATCACGTGATGCTCAGATGTCACATTTGGCGGGGGAAGGCGTTACATTCGCAAGAAAACGCTATCTTCTCACTCACCGAGAAGAAATTGAGAAACCGGGCACGGAGCGATCCTTCGTATCGGTTTTATTGACATTTACTCCGTGCCGCTTTTTTCATTTTGGACTCAGTTAAAGAGAAGATACATTTTAAATATTTTTGAGTGTTGCTATGACCGGAAGTGGAATATATATTTTTAATCATAAGTTTATTGGCATCTTGGACAGCAAAAAGATACCACGGCCATCGCAGGCTTCCGGACTCAATTTTGGAGCAGCTAGATGAACATCACATAGAGTAAGATACTTATGCAGTATCACTTTCATTACACATACCACTCCTCGCCCACTTTCTGTCTCTCCTATCCCCTGCTCACTTATTGTCAACAAATACCACTTATCAACTACTTAATAAGTCTTTTGTCACTCCATGGTCACTCAATGTCATGTAAATGTAACGCCACGTGATGTAGTCGTGTTTGCTTGCGGCCTACCTTAGAATACACGCTCCGATGTAGTAAGGAAGGATATCAGTATGGTTATATATAATGTTTCTTTCAAATCAGTCGTCTTTGGGGCATCACGTCGTATCATCTCTCACTGTGCGGTCCCGCAGTCCGTCCATCTCCATGTGCTGACCAGCGGCAGTGGTGCTCTCGCCCGCGGTCGACTCCGACTCCGACCATCCCGCGTCTAGCGGCACATCGAATTCGTCGACCCCAATGAAGCCCGCACTGACGACGCCGCTAGTGATACCGCCGCTGCGCGACGTGTCGAGCACTGTACTTCGTACGTGCCGTACTTGCCACTCTCCGACGTCGCCCTGGGTACTCCGATTCGTGCGCGCGCCGGAGATATACTGCGTCGAGCGCGACGCGGAGCGGAGGTTGAACATGAGTCTAGAACAGGGGTAGAGTCGAGTCGATGAGGAGATGAAGCGGGTATTAGTGCGGTCAGCTGGTGAGGAAGTCGCGGGTGGCCGACCTTGATACCATGGTGGACGTGATTCTGGAGGTAGCGTTGTCTCCAGCTTCCAAAGCAAGTGTAAACATGGCAGGACTTACAAGGATGCGAATGGGGTATTTATCGCGCCGATGTCATCCTAAAAGAATAAGCACTATAAGCCAAGCACGCTTGCTGATCAAGGCCAAGGACAGGACGACATACCGGGGCAAGCTTGAGACTGACAGGGTCAGTCATTGCCACTGTCAGTTACACTTTCGCAAGTACTGACCGTAAGAAGGAAAACATTGAGTAGGTTGACAATGAAGATGATGCTGGACGTGTGTTTGAGTGAACGTCGACGATAGAGCTGCTAAGATAGAGATAGACTGACAAAAAATAAATGATACCTGTCATCATGCATGAGCGTCTTACAGCCAAGAAGAGATACGTATCACGCACCATCCCTCACGATAAGCTGTATAAGGCCCACCGTGGAATTTTTGAACCGCAAGTAGATGCTTCTACCGAGGGTGAGCAAGAACACACTCGAGTCGAACACGAGGGCCGCCATAAACATAGCCGACAGTCTGTTGCCGGTGCCGGGTTTCTTTGATGGGAGACAGCCAACCCAGCCTGGTGGAAGAACCGCGGGGGAACCGCCTGGGACCGACCAGAGCATGACTGCAATCTCGCCAAGGAATATTGCAGAAAGAAGGACCAGGACCCATCGTGCCCGGTTGTAGATGGCATATACGCGCAATACTGTCCATGTCAGTCATTATCTTATTTTTTCCTGAACACTCTCTAACGGTGAGGTTTGAACTGACTCAATATAACTGTTTGATGCAACAAACGGAAGCACGTCAGACTTGGATGCATTATGGAAAAATCGGGAGAGACAAGCCAACTTACCACCTGTGCTTGCGCTGACGATGGGGGCATTCGTGACTGGAAGCCATATCCAGCTACTGCAGACTGATCCAGTAAACCGCGGGTCATGGTCGGCGAAGAAATTCACGATGGAGACGACAGGAGGAACGTAGCGAAAGACAAAAAAGCAGCAGGTCGGCAAGCTGATTTTCGCCTGCCAGATATACTTGACCTCCTCGTCGAAAGTGAGGAGGTGGTCATATATGTTAATTAGCGACGATGCGAGGATATAGTACTTGTTGTCCATTAAATGCGCGAAACCGACTTCATAGGCGTGCGGCACTGCTGAAGAACCGGGCGTCGACATCTTCACGGACAAAGCACACACAGAGGGAACGGGATGAAAAGGTAGGCAAGTGAGGTGTTGGCGAGCCCTCTTGTACTTATGGGCTGGGTTTCCGCGTATCATTGGACCGTTGCTTCCATGATACAGGGCGTGCTCCCGCCCGATCGATCTGGTCAGAGAAGGCACTGAAAGCCTTGGTTTGGGTGCACTAACCTGATTACGTGGAAGTAACTATAGAATTCCACATAAAAACATACATTGGGGATCCACTAGAGACCATATGGGCGCTGATCGTAATTTCTTGATTGCACGAGGATAACGAGGATATAAATACGTCTGTCGTCAGGTGTGCACAAATTGTGATGTTCGGAAGTATTCCTAGAGGACCGCTGAAGCGCTGAGAAGTTGAGGAACAAGTAGCTCTTATTACGGTCTGCGGCATCGAGACTGAGAGTACTGACGGACCAAGTACGGCATAGAGTGTTCTTGCTGCATGCATGTGAGAAAAAGTCAATGGCACGCACCAACAAATTGCAGCTTCGGCTTCTCCCGACAGAGGTCTACGTAGGTCTATGTGTTACTGATCCGACAGTCCTTGGACTGCAAAGCTAGAGATATCTCCAGGAGTAGGTTCGCCTTTGCAACTCACAAGAAATGCGAAAACACAATACAAGTGATTTCCCAACATCAATGCCTCAAACCATCAGCTACTGCCACGTCTAAAGATTGCGAAAGCTCCACGAGGACTCAGCAGATAATGTCGAAGTTAGACGCTGGGGCAGCGTGGATCCCGGTTAGTGTTGTGCTCCATTGAATGAACAGCCCCATTATGGAGAGGTTTTGATGATGAATCGTCAACCTTTGCTATGCTTGACGCTTTGACCCCCATGATTCGCAGATGTTGATGCTGGACATCTCTGATCCACGGGCAAGCATCCAGATGCCCCAATAATAGCACCCGCATCAGAATAGTGCTGTCGAGTTTGTCACTACATCATCCAGAGAAGGCCGCGATGAGTAAGTGAATCGCCCTTGTCATAAGAGAACGTCTTGGCTGTGAATTACGCCAGTATATAAGACCCCTTCGACATCTGCGTTCTCCCACTGATACACATCATGGCTACCCTCAGCGATCTCAAACTCGAAGGCAGCATTCTCACCCCCGCGGATGAAGGCTATGCCGCCGCAATCCACCGTAGCACCGATCTAGCCATCAGAAAAGCAGCATACGTCGGGCTCCCCACCTCGTATGCCGACGTGCCGAAGCTCATCGCCTTCGCGCTCGCTAACCGTCTTGAACTCGCCATTAAAGGGGGTGGGAGCAACATAAACGATACCGGGGCATCTTCCTCTGAGGGTGGACTTGTGATCGATCTTGCCAAGCTCAACAAGGTAGAGGTACGATCAAATCGACAAGAGGTTGTCGTGCAAGGCGGCGCACTTTGGGGCGATGTGTATCAGGAAGCCGCAAAACATCAGGTCGACGTGGTTGGAGGGAACGTATGGAGCGTCGGAGTCGGGGGTTTCTTGACAGGTGGAGGGCATTCGAACCTCAGTGCGGTTCGCGGGCTGGGGAGCGACAATATTGTCGAGGCTACAGTGGCGCTCGCTGATGGACGGATCGTGAAAACAAACCCAAATCAAGAACCCGATTTGTTTTGGGCCATCCAAGGCAAGTGTCTCTTCTACTTCTCCCCCCGACGTTCTAGTTGTCCTAAAAGATCGACAGGTGGGACTAGTCGGTTTGGCGTTGTGCTTGAATTCGTGCTCCGTGCCTATCCTACTCAAGGCCCTGCCAACGTTGGAGCAGTCGTACTGCCTGGCACGGCGTTTGACGGTGTCTTGGCAGCTTTGGAGGTATTCGCCTTTCCTTCTTGGACTTCATGACAAGCATTGACTTAGTACACGTGTAGGAATGTGCTCCATTGATCGAACCGCAAGATCGCATCATCGTCGCATTCAGCCGTGCTCCTCCTGGTTTTTACGTGCGTCATGCCATCGCAGCCATCATTCCATCAATCGTTGACAACCTATCAGCCTGGGGTCCTCATTCTTCCATACATTCCAGGACCCGCCTCGCGCGCTGAGACCCTCCTCAAGCCGTTCCGTGCGCTCAACCCCATCGTCGACATGATACAGGCTGCGCAGGACCAGTTCACCGTCTCGCACGGCTCGGATGCATTCATGGCGAACGCGCCCCGTCGCGTGTACCTCGCGGGTTCGCTACTTCACGGTGGTCCTGCGGGATATTCCCGCGAGCTGTTCGCCGATGTGTGGGGGCGCTGGGTCAAGTGGACCAGCGAGCACGAGGAGGCAAAGGAGTCTATGGTTATGTTCGAGTTCCAGCCTGTCGGCGTCGTGAAGGACAAGGGTCCGAGTGTGGCTGCGTTCTCAAAGCGCGACACTGTGAGCTACGTTGTGATTCATGGCAGGTGAGTTACTTGATTGCTTTCATTCATTTACATCATTGACCGTATCATCCTTTTTTATCGTGCCAAAAATTACAGAACTCGCGTTCCTGAGTTTGACAAGGCAAATATAGGGTGGGTGCGAGAGACGGTTGATGTCATCCGCTCAAAGCAGCCCGACGGAGGCGCTATCCCTAACTTTGCCTACGGCGACGAGCCTGCTGAAGTACTGTTCGGCCCTGAGAACGCCAAGAGGCTCAAGGAAGTCAAAGATAGGTATGATCCTGACGGTGTTTGGAAGAAGGGTGTCAGGATTTAGGTCGGCCTGAGTCCTCCCTGTCAATTATAGTGAAAGAGAAGCATATGGTGGAAAGGGTTGTACTGCTGTACGAGTACGTCGGACTTGTGGATTGGTTGTAAAGAGGCAAATCAACCTACTGTGCAGTCTCCGTTAGTCAATTGCCCTGTGATCGTTTTCAGAGAAGAATATGAATCCTTGCGATGTATTGATGAAAGCTACTGAACATGCATGAAATGTGTACAGAGCGTTTCAATCAGAGCGGGATGCATATAATAAATACACAAAAGGATTGTGGGATGGTCTACCGGGCAGATAGCTACTGTACTTGTGGACATAACTTAGAGAGTATGGACGATAAGAATACGCGAATGAAGTGGATGAGCCTAGAAATTGAAAGTAACGGTAATGGCGCTAGATGAGTAGTCCGATGGGTGGAATCAGGCGTGACCAATAAATTAATGAGCGATCGGGGTGACAGTTAAGGGTGTTGCTGCCTGTTGGCGTTCTTGATAAGATCCGCAGCGCGCTCTGCCATTATGTAGATAGCAGCCTGGGGTGCGGCTGCTGGGATTGCAGGCTGCGAAAAGGGGTTTGTCGATGAGACGCTATAACATCGCCTCTTAAATGCAGCGGACTTACCAGAATACTGCCATCAACAACACGCAGACCTCTCACTCCCTTCACCGTCAAATCCGGGTTAACCGCTCCCTTTCCATACGCGGGAGGGCCATATGGACCCATGGCTGCCGTGCCGAGAGGATGGTTAAAGCTGGCGGTGTTTTTGGCTGCATATGCGTCGAGCTCGGCATCGGTCTCAGCTGTGGCAAGATCTCCGTATGGCCCTAGGACATAGTTTGCCCATGCGGGTGCTGCCACCATTCGCTTTGTCGCCTTGATGGATTCACGGATAGTGAATTTGTCGAACGCAGAGCTCAAGATCCCGGGATTGGCGATGGGAAGGTCCCAAGGTGATGCGGAAGCAAGCTTCAAAGTGCCGCCTATAGAACGATTTATTTGAGTGTCGACTAGACAGGGGACACAGATTCAAATTGCAAACATACGGGAGGACGGAGAAGTGACCGAGGTGATCATGGACAAGTAGTGACCCGATTGGACGAAATCGCCATTAGGGGACACAAAGCCATTCTATGGGAGGATTCTCAGTCATGCGAAAGGGTCCCATGTGCGATCACCACTTACAAATATCAAAAACTCGTAATGACTCGAGCGAGGACCGGCAGCGGGGTCTGTCTCAGTTTGGAAAATGGATGCATTCTTGGGCAATCTAAACCAGCCGATGTGGTTCGAGATAGCCATCGTGTAGAAACCCTTCTTCTGAGTACGCCACAGATCCAATTGCTGCGCCGCAAAAGTGGAGTTCTGTACCAGATCATCGGTGGTGACGCTTCCAACAGGGTTGACCTCGTAGACGTTTGACAGGAGAGGATGGTCAACGAGATGCTTGCCAACATCTGGACTGTCGACAACGGTAGGAATCTTAAGAGAGGCGAGGTCGGCGGAAGGACCAATTCCGGACAGCATGAGGAGCTGTGGAGTACCGAATACACCGCCGGAAAGGATGAGTTCCTTGGTGGCGTTCCGGGCATAGAGGGGTGCTACCAATCTATTTCGGCATCTGGCACGGTACGGATGGATTTCAATTAGACTTACCATCCTTGGAGGTTGCGAATTGTACTCCACGGAATGAAGGTATACCACGCTCAGTGCCTGTCTGGATGAGCTTCGTCGCCTGTGTATTGATCAAGACATCGAAGTTCGACCTCTTGAGGTAAGGTTGGATGTAACCAGTCGAGGAGCTGACGCGCTGTCCTTTCTCCACCATGTTCTGTGTCCAACCTAAAGTGTGCATTCGTTAGATGCATAAAATAAACGCGCAAGAAAAAATTCTACTCACCGATGCCAAGCGCGGTCCCGGCGTTCGTGTCGTGACTAAATGGAAACTCCTCCGGTAGCTGTTTAGTCGTCTCCATGACCATGCTGTCGATACCCAATGGCCATCCGGGCAATGAAACCCCCAAAGGCCCCGACGTACCATGAGCGGATATATCAATCTGCCCAGTGGTGTCGTGACCGTCTGCTGGTGGAACCACTCGTTCGTGCTACATGGAACATTTTCCGAGATGAATAGACGAATTGAATGTAATTTGAGACGAATCACCTTCTTGATATAAGGCTGGAGAGCGTTCCAGCTCCAACCACCGTCACCAGTGACGTTTGCATACCGGTCAAAGTCGTCAGCTGATCCACGCGAGTAGATCATGTAGTCTATGAGGTCGTGTAAGAATTCGTACAGGCAGGTGAAGGGATATGCAGTTTCTCACTTATAGAGGTTGAGCCGCCTAGAATCTTGCCTCGTGGATAATTGATAGCACGATTGGCCAAACCAACTTGCTTGGTAGTAGTAAAATTCCAGTTATGTTCCTTGTTTGGTGAGAGCTGCACATCAAAGAATGGAATGGCAAAATTCTCTAAGCCCGCAGAACTGGAACAAGTTCAGTCAGTCGAATCTACACACAACATCAATCTTACTCACTTTTCGCCAGCCTCGAGGAGCAAGACTTGAACCTTGGAATCTTCGGACAGACGATTAGCAACAACAGCTCCGCCGGCACCCGCTGAAAACCCATCAGCCTGAGTACGTCTGGAACAATCGCAACGTGCTTACCTCCGACGACGATGTAGTCATAATCTTTTCGAGGGAGCTGGGATGGGTCGGTATATAGTGTAGCATAAGAGAGTTGTGTGCCAAGGATGAGAGACACGACAAGACCAGAGAACCCAGGACCCATGGTGGACGGAAGGAAGGTTGGCGGACGATGTGTCCCCAAGTGTGGAGCTTATATGTACGACAATCCCGATCACGCAAGAAAGGAGATAGGCCAGGAGTATCCAGGCAATGGGATGTAATTGGCGACGAGGAGGCCAGAGGACAACTTGTGTAAGCTCCGAGCAGCTAGATCAAATGAATTTATATAAAAGCAAGGCACAGTGAGGCCTCGCCAGCATTCACAGCTGCATAGAGCGCGACTGATCGACTAACTGCCTGTGCCAGCTAATAAACGCGTGTGTCTGCACGGAAACAAATCAATTGATGACGCTAAATGAGAGAACTCGACAAAACGTCACCCGAGTCTCCAAGAGTCTGGAATTGATGCTCATGTTATGAACTGCTAGGAATAAGAGCTGCTAGCGGCTCTCGCCAAGTTCCATCGGGGCCGTTTGAGTCAAGCGAGATAAATGAACGACAAATGCATGCCCTTCAACATGAAGATTTTAAGCGAACACAAAGAGAAACCTGACGCGCTTGTGCGGCATAACGCACGCTGAAACGTATCAAAGCAGATAGAGAGTGGAAAATGGTCTGTAGTGTCTTGTGTGCTCCTTGGCTTCTCGTGGCCACTGAGTCTGGGTCCAGGCAGGCAGTGTATGAGGTCAGCCTCGGATCAGTTCATACGACATTCCAAACAGAGTACAGAAGTAGTACAGACCAAGACAGACAAGCAGCTAAATGATGGGCTTGGCTTTTCCGGGTCGCATCTGATCTCAGCGGGTTGGTTCCTGGCTTGGCAGAGTCATGCTTCGAGCCCTGGACCCTGTAATGTCTTGAATGTGGGGCTTGAAAGCTGGAGACTCAGGATTACAGCATACCCATGTTCTACCAGACTGGCAGACAGATGTCAGAGGTGAGCATAACTGAGCATGATAAACCCGAAAGTCTGCGCAACTAATGAACTAGAGCCATAAGGCTATTTCTTGCATAATCCCCGACGACAACGTTGGTTCCAAGTCCTCTAGAACAACTTTTCAGACTCCACGACATTATAGTTACCACTCAAGCGAGTTTGGTTTAGAGACGATGGCTGCATGGCTGTGCAGACGCCAAACGGTGCATGCGAAGGACTGTCGCTTGATTTCGGCTACCAGGGTACTACGTTATTGATTACTTGGGTTTAATATCCAACCATGGTGGCGCTCTCAATGCATTGCGAGCCCTGATGATTTCGTCAAGAGCCGGTGCTATCAGATTGCCAGTCTTTGATGCACTTTTGATTGTTAGATGTAGAGAAACGTACCACCACGCAGTCTGGGATGCTACTGATTAACATGATCGTTGTCAAGCACAGCGACGGAAGGGGTGTGTCGTTGAACATGCCGGTGAAGTGCTGGAGAGAGCCCGCCAAATTCCGTAATGTTAGAATTCGATTGGTGTACTATTTGTCCTTTTCTAGACGTTCTGACCTTTCTCAGGTGACTGTTTCGTTCTTAACATTTATGACGCTCGTCGACTGATCGCACATGTTACAAGTATACAACTGTAGTCCTCTATTGTTCAAATCTTTATCCCCTTCTTCCAGAAACCTTCAGGGTCATATTTTGCTTTGATACTCTTCAGTTTCTTCGCATTATCACCATACATGACCTCAGGTGACTCATCACCACAAGCGAAGTTCGGGATGGCGCCTCCTTTGGGATGTTTGTCGCGGATTACACCAATCGTCTCGCGCACCCACGCAATATTCGTCTGATCGAATTCTGGAACATGATGCCTGCGAGATGTTTAGGATGGTGAAAGAGGAGGCTCAATCTCAAAGGAACGTACCGTCCATGGACTAGGACATAGCTGACGCTGCTGCGCTTCGAAAAAGCCGTCTCGTCAGGGTGTCTGTTCTTGACAACCCCGACTGGCTGCCACTGCCACATTAAGAGGTTTCCCTTTCCATCGGGATGATCTTCCGTGAACTTCACAAACGCACCCCACATCTGTGCAAACAGCTCCTTGTCAAGTCCCACAGCAGTATCGTTCAGCTGCGATCCACCGAGATACTGACGCTTCGGAGCGCGCGCCAGAATCTCATCGCCTCCATGAGACGCTTCGTACTGAGTTGGAACAGGGTGAACAAAGTCGATGATAGGGTTGAGGGAGCGAAATGATTTGAGAGCAGCTTCAGCACGAGAAGGAGGCCCGGGCAGATACGGAAGAACAACAAGACCGGGCTATAGATAAAATGAGTGCATGTGCCCAAGGAGCATTTGGTATACTCACATAGAAGTGAGGAGGCGCGCGGCTAAACTCAACGATCAGATGATCCTGAGGCTCCATCTTCGAGATATACTCCTCAAGGACTGGGACGAACGCCTCAAAGGCGGTTCCTGGGAAGACGAGGGGACCAGCGAAGGCAGGTCCCTGTGTTGGGTACGTGCGCAGGGTGAATTGCAATAACACGCCAAACTGACTCTGACCACCTACAAATAGCATCCGGTCAATCCAGACACATCTGCTGCATTAGATCCGCTACTCACCTTGAATCGCCCAAAAGAGCTCAGGCTCTTCTGTAGGGCTCGCTGTCACTATCCGTCCGTCAGCGAGGGCTACAGTAGCCTGGAGGATATTGTCGCTGCCCAGTCCGTGCTGTCCGCTCAAATTTGAATACCCTCCGCCCGACAAGAAACCGCCTACACCAACGCTACACACATCACCTCCTACCACATCCACCTTGTGTTTTGCCGCCTTTTCGTACACCTCTCCCCAATTCGCTCCGCCCTGCACTATGGCCGTGCCGTTCTCCTGCACCGTCACCTTGTTCAACTTAGCCATATCGATCACGAGCCCGCCCTCGGATGACGACGCGCCCGAATCATTCGTCGTGTGTCCACCGCCCTTGATCGCGATATCGAGCAAGTTTGTGCGTGCAAAGTTGATCAGCTTCGGGACGTCGTCAAAAGATGTGGGGAATGCAACGTATGCCGCGCGTCGGACCGTGAGGTCGGAAACCCGATGAAGAGACGCCTCATACCCTTCGTCAGAGGGCGTCAGAACGGATCCTTGAAGTTGAAGGTCTGCGATGGATGCCATGGTACTGGTGAGTTCTGCATGTCAAGCTGCACGTTCTGCCTTATAAGAACGCTGAGCAAGAGCATCATCGGCGCCAATCCATGCCATCTGCGTGGATGACATAAGCATAAGTGTGCAAATCTTCCGAACCGCCTCGGACGTTCACGCGTTCATTCAAGTTTCAATCTCGTCCACTACTATCGTTGCACCGGAGTTGCAAACGGGATGGGAGGTTCAAAATCGAGCTCCTCACAGCATTTTTTGACAGCACCTTCCATGAAAATTTGTAGTTGTTCATTTAAGTACTCTTCAAGTATGCTAGTTTTTTTAAGAATAGAAACTGGGTGCAGCAGTGAGAAAGCAATGGATAATGGTTTTTAGGACAGAGTTCTCCCAAAGATGCTCAAGATCCCTCAGATCCTTGAGTTCAATGTCAAAAAAAAATCAAGGAAGATAATCAGGTACCGCTAAAGACATATAGAACATTCTATTTGACTTTGAATACTTCAATGCTCTTTACTAAATTGTTTTTGATGGGCAATGTCAGGACCCCTGAAAATAGGTGGGGAGGGCACAGGTGAGATTTTGTAAAATGCCCAAAAAAGTTCGGACAAAATTCCCAAATTTTGCCAAAAAAGTTCAGATTTGCCTAAGGTTTTGGGTCTGTTTTCCCCAATGTGGCCGGATGTGAGAATCAGGCATTCTGAGGGCTCAAAATTGGTTGGATGCTAAGATCAGGCCTTCAGAACCCAAATTTTTGCTCGGATTGCTAGAATCAGGCCTTTTAAGGCCAGTATTTTGTTAGAATATACATGAAAAAGACCTATTGAAACTGTAACATGCAAGTACAATGTGAGATACCATTTACAAACCATTCTGCAAGCCTTCGTCATCGGCCACGTCATCTTGATCTCATGCCAAGCACTTTCCTCCATGTCTCAGCTTCTGCAAATCCTGCACAGCAATACCAAGACTCTGGGAATGCTTGTTCAGATTGTTGTAAGTGGTAAGAGCGATGTCGTCAAGCTAGAGGTAGCGGTTGTCGGAGTCCGAGACTGAGCTGCCTGGCATTAAACACAAAAATGAGTCTGGAGTAAGATGCTCATATGTAAAGGCCTGGAGTAAAGCCAATCATGTGTGAACTGCCCGGAAGGTTGCTGAATAGGATTGCTTGTAAAGCTGTATGCATAGATATGAGATGGCACCAATATTGGTGGAGCTTTGCTGCTATCCATGGGCCCCCAATTTGCCTCCACCCTGTGAATAAATTGAGATTACTAGTAAAATTGAGAATAGTCAGTACTAGATTCAATGATGATGATCAATACTGCACAACCTTTTCCCATATACAAGCGCTTGTCACTAATGACAAAGCTATAAACTCCAGCGACCAAAACCCGATGGCATGGTTGCTGTCCAGAAGGAGTGCCGGCCGACGCATCAATTAGAATGCTTGCGATAGGCGGCGGAACACGCTTAGAGAACACAAGCTTCCGATATTGATGAATCTGAAAGAGAGTATTGCTGTTAGCAAGGTATTAAATCTCATAGGTCACTAAACGTACTGCTGCTGCTTGTTGGCCGGCTGCAAGCTCAGCATTTGCAGAATTACCTGTCAACTCACCGACTGCTTGAGCACTTCGGCCTCCAGGTGCAGAACCCTTCCATCTCTCCTTCTGCTCGAGGCTTGTGCCAATCCCCTTGTCCTGCTGCTGACAAAGCATGGCATTCATCTCACGGACAATCTGTTGGCAAACACCACTAGTGGTCTTTTTCAATGGAGCTGACTGAACATCCTGCAGTGATTTACAAATGCCATCAGGAGCGCACTGTGTCTTGTGTGCTTTCCGGACTTTCACAAGAGCTGCCAAGTTGAGCTTGATGGCTAATGTCAAATGCATGTCAAAGATATGTCGAGGCTCCAGTGGCAGATTAGACAGGGCAGGAAGCTGAGCAGCAGCCATGACATGGGAGATTGCAGCTATATCTTCCTGTATGTCTCTCTCTTGTTCCTTGAGTAAAGGCTCGACAGTGAGTTTCCACCTAAAAATTGTTTATCAGTACAGTAAAATTACAAGGAATAGGTACTCACGCTTTGTAGAGGTTGTCAACATCCACTGCGATGGCTGCCAATGATAGGTTGAACATGCATTTATCAACCTTGTGTATGTGACCAACAGCTGTCTCATTGACCCTAAGAAGGTGCTTCAGATCTTTGGCTTCATTATTGTCATCGTGGTCATGATCAGTACACCATCCGTCTGGCTCCTCTTCCGATTCTTCATCATGCTTTGAAGTCTCTAGGTGAAACCAAGATTTGACACTGGGTAAAATGAGATGAGTAGGAAGCTGCAAGAGTAGGTCCAAGGGTGAAATCCCTAGAATGCTGAAAGGATTTTCAGCTTTGGACCAAGCATCTTGAGCTGCTGCCTGAATCTCTGTGTCGGTCGGGAATGCTGACAATAGTCTGAGATTAGCTCCATGAGAATCAAAATATGTATGGGCATAGCCAGCTGCATGAGCTTTAGGATCACTAGAGTGGCCTAAAAGTACTATGGCACGGATACTAACATGCAGTCGAGGCATCATATAGAGTAAGTCAAGGAATGTGAAATCTTTGATGAGCTTGCAAGCTTCGGCAAAGACGTGTTTGCACAGCTCGCTAGAATGAAGCCAGAATAAGAGAGGATAGATGTCGTCATTTAGATGATCACGGTAGATGATGATGAGGCTTATGAGGCCCTCGACGACAATTTGAATGATGTCAGTGGCCTCTCTGGAGATGAAATACTTTGCTTTAGGGTATTTAGCCCTGTTGAGGAAGCATGCCCAGAGATCTACGAAATTGCGAGCATGCAGGACCATCTTGATGCGAGTAATATGGTCAATTTTCCGGTTTTGGTATGCATCAACAAGCTTGCCAAAGATAAAGAGATACACAATCTGCCCAGCTCGATCTGGGAACTCTTGAACCAAGTACTCCAGAGTGGATGCAGAGAAAAATTGTGTGGCTGCATTGTCATCCTGACGGTCCATGTTTTCAACATCACAATGGTATAGTGGCGGTGTTCTGGGCCCAAATGAAAAAATGCGAGCGTCAGAATACAAAGCAACAGAGTTTCCGAGGACCAACAACCTCGCACCAGAGCAGTTGTTGTTCCAAATGGTCTTCAGTGTGTGCTTTGGGTCTTGGATCATGACAAGAAGCCGGTTGTTGTAGGTGGGAAGTGTGACTTCCAAAGGATCGAAAGCGGATAAGGGACAAGGATGAGGGATCATATATGTGACACAAAATGGAGAATGCGCAACTATGAGACGCTGGAGTTTGCGCTCCATCTCTGTGCTATTGCAAGCATATGAGGCAATGTAAAGCCCATGCCTGCAATAAACCTGTGAGGATTTTGTCACTCATTTTGAAAAGAGCTTTGGCACTCAAGGAGTTTGGGATAGCTTTGGCTGCAGCAATGATTGATGGTGCCCCAGATAGTGGCACTTGAACAGTCCACATGCGAACCTGGAAGACAACTAAGAAATGCTCCAAAATGAAGTTGATTAAAGGCTTACCTTTGTAGCTTTCTCAAGCTCCCCTGATCTTAGAATCTTCTTGAGGTCCTGTGGAGTTGGAATAGGTATGGGGTTGCCTATATGGCCAACCAAGACATGTTGTTGCAATTCAGCATCCCAGTATGTACGTAGCGTAGCATACAGTTTTGTATTGTCGCAGCTTAGCCCAAGAGGACCATGATGATCCAAGGATTTGATGATTTGAGCGACACAGTCGTATGATGAGAGTCCAATCACGGAGGGGAAGCGAGGCATAGCCGCCTGCTTCATCCTATGATAATAACCCTGTCAGAGCCATCCTTAAATATGAAAAAAAGAGAAACTTACTTAAAGCTTCGAGGACTATGCAAATTGAAATGCTGTCCCATGAATCTGTAAACTCCCGGGCTCTCGATAAGAGCTATATGTGCAAAGTCGTCCAGGCTAGGCGTGTATTTCATGTTTTGCAGTCCCTTCCCAGCCTGAGTACGTTCCTGACCATCGACAATGGCCACGAGCAAACCATTGAAGATGCGACAATTGGCATATTCACCTTTGAGGACCCCTTTGATATAGCGTATATACACAGAGTTCTGATAGACCTGATAGAATACATTAGTAAGTTCACTAAAACCTGTAAAGCTCTTTCACACCTCATCAAAGATGTCTTGAAGCCCTAGTGCTCTGGCATACATGAGCGCGGCCTCCTTGTCACGGTAATGGGTATTAAGATATTTTATGTTATTCACCGTAGGAACTGGCCAAGAGCATGCAAACTTGAACTGCTTGGACCTGCTGATCTCCATGCAAGATGCACAAATAGCAGGCCCTTGAAATGCTGTAGAGTTTTTGACTGTTTTCTGGCACAATTTAGCGAATATGGCTCGTGCACTGGTACGAACCTCCTATGTGTGGGAGTGAACTTGAAGGCGGTAAACTTTGGCCTTCTCCTTGGCCATGAGAGTGGAGATTGGACGCTTGAACTTCTCCTGCGCAAGATAGTTTGCACTCACGCTGATACGCTAGAGGTGGTTCTAAGTGCCGAGCACAACACCAAAACAACCTCTAATGCAAGGACTGGAGCTAGTATCTGATACACAAGGAATTGTTAGTGAGGACTTTAGAAATTGATGGCGCTGATACGCTAGAGGTGGCTCTAAGTGCCGGGCACAACACCAAAACAACCTCTAATGCAGGGGGTGCTGGAGCTAGTATCTAATACACAAGGAATTGTTAGTGATGACTTTAGAAATCGATGGCGTACTGAGAAGCAACGGGGAGTATGAGATTATAGCGCCCGAATGGTTTCGGGACTGCGCCGAACACCGACCGAACGTTCGGTCGGTCGTGTCGGGGATTTGCTCGGTAACGAGAAGGTAGTGTCGCGACCGACAACTACGTGCTTCAAGAGCCACACGGGACTCTGACAATAGACGAGGGAGGATGGGGGTACGAGCGAAGAGACGAGTACGAACGCGAATGAGGCCGAACGACGAGGATGACAAGTTTTCGGGAGTCGATGAAGACGATTTCGATGGTTGAGACGAGTGCGAATGAGCTCTGAACTGTGGGGTGCGAAAGCTGGTTTATTCCAGAGTTGTATGTAGGTTTTTATAGTAAACTGAGCCCCTAAGTAAAATATTAAACAAGAAATGAGAGTAGATGTCGAATGGGCGCCAAGCCTTAGCGATCAGAGAAGATAAGGAGGTAGGTGAGATGTCCATATGGGTTCCGAAGGTGATAAGGTAAAAGGTAATCAGTGATGTCGAAATCCCGAACGTTCGGGATCCGTCGCCCGAGTGTAGGTAGCAGGAACAGGCATTGGAGAACCAATGAAAAATAAAGAAGAGGTATCGTACGACCAGGGTGGCCAAGCAATGGTGTAAGATTGCGTTTGACCGACCATGCGGAAGTTGGGACGATAAGCGATAAGGACCGACCAACTCACGGAGGACATCGGCCGATACGGGATACTGGCTCCGATCTCGTACACACCTATCGTAACCCTCCTGTGCGGTCATGGTAAGTACGTGAAGTGTGGGCGAACTGACCCAAGTGCTGCCGAATCGTCCTTCGGTGGCTTGTCGTCGGTCGGGTAGGGACCGACCGTGTTCGGTAAAAGTCGGCGTCTTCGATACTTGTCTAGCACTGTTCGGTATCTCCCCAAAGCTTCCCGAATCCCTCCCTCGGACCCTAGCGCGGGTGCATGCTCATCATCTCCTCCCTACTGAAATCCTGACTGTCCCCAGTCAGTGGTCGGCGGCTATGAGTCGGAGCAGGGAAAAAAAATGGCGTGGAAAATGTGGTGGCGTGGCAAGTTACGTGGGAAAAGGATCGGCAATGAGCGATGGCGTGGAAAGAAGTGGGTGCGTGGGAGAGATGTGGCACAGGTGAGTAATCGGCAAGGAGATGTCGTAGAAAGGACCGGGTCGGCGCGCAAGAGAGACCGGGGCTGAGTTGGCAAAGTCCTGTGGCGTGGCAACCGATTAGGTGAGGCCGTGGCTGAGACCTAGAGTGCCCCAACTAGACGCTGGCGTGAGAGTCGTGTCGGCAAAGAGCGGTGGCGCATATCGCGGCTTCTGCCGAACACAGCGGCACGGGGCTTTGTCAGGTGACCACAATCACCTGATGATCGTTGATTCTCCAGCGACTAAGTCCCTCATCGCCTTCCTTCCTCCCTCTTCGTCTCTCATGTCGTCCCTTATTTCTGTCCTGAAGGCGAAACTCGCCAATTACATGCTCTCCCTCCCGGACGGCGCTGCCGAATATGAGGATTACGAGGTCTGGGGGCAAGGGTTCGCCAAACAGGTGGTGAGTCAGTCCTTCCTCTCGTCTTCTGCTGGCTGCTGACGCCCGACAGGCTGTTTTCGACCGTTCGGCGCGTGGGCAAGACGTGCCCGAACTCGCCGACTTTATCGCCGAGGCCGAACGTGGTCTCGATCCGATGGCTACTGACGACTGGCTGGTATGGGGAGCGCGAATCCTGCCGCAGCGGGCGGCGCGCGTCGCTTTGCAGCAACAACAGGCGGCCGAGGAACAGGCACTAGTGGAGGAGAGGGAGCGTGTTGCCGTCGCCGAACAGGAGGCTGCCGAAGCTGAGGCGACGCGGGCTGCTGCGGCTCGGAAGTCGGCTGAAGTAGATCGTGAATGGCGCCGGGAGTTGCTGGTGGACGCGATGTTTGATGGCTCGCTCGATCCTGAAGAGGGTGAGCGTCAATTGGCTGAGCTCGAGGCCGAGTCCGTCTTCCCTCTCCCTCTCTTCCTTCTCTCTCCTTCTCCCTCCGCCGCCGCTTCCTCTTCTCATCCTGTCCCGTCCGCCGACTTATCCCATCCCGACCCGTCCGCCGACTCGTCCTATCCTGACCCGTCCGCCAACTTGTCCTATCCCGACCCATCCGCCGCTGACTCTGCGCTTGCATCCGCAACCGATGCCCTGGACCGAATGAGCGTGGGTCGGGTCGCCGCCGCTGCCCCGACCGACGTGAAGGGCAAACAGTCGGCCGCAGCTGTTGTCGTCGAGTTTGCTCACCAACGGACACCACCTCTTGGACGCATTGTCCTTCCTCTCGGCCCTGGGACGGGCCGAATGTCGACCGTTAGGTCCCCTGTGGAGTGGAATGGTGCCGGTAAAATGCTCGAAGATCCGCCCGAGTTGTTACCTGGTGATGTACTGGTGAGTTCCCTCCCTCTTGCCGCCGTTTCCTCTTGCTAACCATCCTTCTTCTAGGCCAACTACGCTTGTCACCGCTGTGCGACCGCCTTTCTGACCAAGGCGTTCCGTTGCTACCAGAGACCTGGGCTGGTGTCGTGCACTAAGTGTGCCAGGGAGTCGAAGGGGTGTAGCTTCCAGCCCGGGTGGATGCCGGTGGAGAAGGGGAAGGGAAAGTCGAAGGAGAAGGGGAAGGGGAAGTCGAAGGAGCAGTCGGCGCCCAAGGCGGAGGAGAGGGAACACCCCTTAAAGCGTCGTAAGGTAGAGGTGGTTATCCCCGTGCGGTCAGTCGGGGATAGCATCGCCCAAACGAAAGGTAAGTCATTTTTCGGTTAGATTGGAGATGGGAGCTCATCGTTCGGTATTGTTCGGTGCAGCCGTTCGCACCCGAAAGCCGGTCCAGCGGCTTCCTACCACGGCTAGGGCCGTCCTCGCTCCTACCCGCCCTTCCCGCGCTCGTTCGGCTGCCTTCCCCGCTCCTTCCGACTCTTCTCTTCTCTCGCCCATCGTCGCCCAAGGCATCGCGTCTGAGCTTCGGTACCGCATCGCGGTGGCTGAGGGTACGCGTGCTTCGCTGGCGCGATCGGTCGCGATGTGGCAGGCTGAGCTCGAGTCGCTCGAGGTGCGGGCGGGTCCATCCACGTCCCCCGACGCTGTCTTGGTCGAGGACTCGTCGGAGGCAGACGATTCGGGAAGGTCGGTGTCGGACGACTTTCTTCCCGATGAGTAGAATAGCTTCGAGGGTTCTGTCGTATAGTAAAATGTATCATAAAAGTGAAGGGACTGTCCTGAGTTTAAACTGAGACGTTCGGTGAAGACTAGAGGCATTGTTTCGGAAAATCGGTCGGCGAAATGGCTGTGTGAATGTACTTGTAAGCGACGCGTTTGGCAGAAATGAAGAGAATAAATTGGAATATTAGGGGAAGCCTCAGTATGTCATCACAGGCATAAAACCCTATGGTTTTGCGCAAATCGGAAGAAGTCTTCAATGCGGCTTGGTACTTGAAGGAGTGATGGGGAAAATGAGTGCCGACTATTCGGTCGGCGATTGGTCGGCGGCAAAAGTACTAAGAGATGCGGAAATAATCGGGTGTCAGTCCATGTCTGTGACGAATGAATTGGAATAAGGAATGGGTATATCTGTGCATCCTCCTCCCTACTGAAATCGTGACTGTCCCCAGTCACCGACCGAAGAGAGCGAAGAGTGGGAGGGTGGGTCTAGTCGGAAGTCGCCAAAGCCACATCGTCGTCTTCTGCTGATCGGATGGAGCTGGTGTCGGTATCCTCTTCGTCGGCGTCGTCGTCTTCAGCGTCGTCGTCGTTCGATCTGGATTCTTCCATGGCCCGAAGGCGTGCTTGTGAGATGTCGAGGAGGGCTTCAAGGTCGGAGAGCTTCAGAGATCTGCGAGCAAAGTAAGGAATAATGCGGAATGCTGCCACTGTTATGATCACGTTCTATCGGGCCTACACGGCGGTCTATACCGATACGATCATCACAAATATCACGCGGCCTCACAGGTTGAGGCGTACACCAAGGTACAGATATTAACCTTGGTCATCCACTCCCAATGGATCATCCATCATTGGTCGAGTATCACGGGCCTATTGTATTAGCGGGCATGGAACGCCGCCTTATAAATTACTCACACGCAGGGCATGAACCTCCTAGTCCCTCCTGGCCGGAAGGAGACCAACGGAGAAGCACAAGAGTAGTCGTTATTGAGAGAGACGACTTAGAGAATACCTACAGATACATATTCGGTATTCTCACGCCCTACTTCCCAAAGTAGTATAAAAGGCCCATAGAATAGGCTGACGATCTTCAGTCTATTCTCTTCGTTCTGGTACTGTCTCCCTACAGTACCCTTCGTTCTCCTGTATCCTCACATACAGGAATCTTCATCCACTGTAGTCTCCCTACTACAGTCTTCATTGCTATATCGCAATACACTCTTGGCTCCTGTGCTACACGTACAGTCGAGACCACCGTTCCACACATCCTCCACGAGTGACCTAGGGAAGAACCTCCTACTCTTGGGGTTACCGACGAGCAGTCGTAACACTAGAATAGACTCTTCTGCCCCTACCTTGCTCGCACTAGCTTGCTGCCACACTCTCTCTCATAACCTTGCTCAGTGGGGATATAGACCCCCATTGAGAAAGCGTTACTGCACACACTCTGGAGCAAGACCTAGGCCAGGAATACCCACCCGGCACTAGACGTATCAATAATCAACTCCGTCACAACAATCGCCCTATCCGGCGCGAAGGGGACTTCTGGGTCTACGAAGACAATAACGGAACTGCCCCTCCGAATTACGATAACTGCTCATACCGAAACGGGCGTTATTACTTCACCCTTGAAGACGGAACAGAAGAAGAGGATATTTGGAACGAAACAGAAGCTCAGTGGGAACTAGCCCCACAATACAGGGAACCGGCGCCGGTAATCCCCGAAGACTCGGAGCAAGAGGAAACAACCTCGGAATCAGACTCCGACTCACCAGACCAAACACCGATCAACACCCGAAACGAACCACTCGCCGAAATGTCGGGACAAGCTTCGACTTCTACAAACACCCCCTCCGCGACAGTACAACCCGGAAGAGGAAAAGTCAAACTCCCAGACAACTACACAGGCGACCGCATTGAATCCCAGAAATTCATGCTCCAATGCCTCCTTCTTTTCGCAGCAGAATCCAATCGGTACAAGACCGATCAAGACAAAATATCCCTTGTGCTCTCATGCATGAGATATGGCACGGCAGGAGCTTGGGCGGAGAACTTTCTCCTAAAATCAGTAGGAGCGGATCCTCCCACCGATCTAGGCACCTGGAAGGACTTCCTAGCAAAGTTCAAGCTACAGTTTAGGGAGACGGGCAAAACCGACAAAGCGCGAAGCGCACTCATGGCCTTCTCCCAAGGACGAATGACGGTTGATGAATACTCCAACCAATTCATTCTCATCGCCGCCGATGCCGACATCTCCGATAAAGAGCAGGTCCCTTACTTCCAACGCGGGTTAGACCCGCGCGTCATGGACAAAATATATGACAAGGAAGTTCAGCCAAAGGATACTATTCAGGACTGGATCAATACAGCCTGCGAAATAGATGGACGACTGCGAGCCAGAACAGCTCAAAAGGCCATCCTCGCCAACTCCACCTCCTTTCGAAGCGATTATCTGAATCGTTTTCATAACCAAATCTCTCCTCGCTACAATTCCACAAACGCCCCTCGCAGAATGAATAACCAGGTGGTAGACATGGACATCGACGCTACCAGGAAGCGTAATGCCGAAAGTCAAAAGAGAAAGTTTGACGGCAAGCAACCAAAATGTTATAACTGCGGGCGCAGAGGACATTATAGCGCTGACTGCCGATCCGCTCGTAGAGGCGTTCCACCAGTTCGAGGAAACTCGAAAAGACGCTTGGGTACGACAGGGAGAGGAAACCGCGCGGTTGATTTGGAGGGAGAAGACGACGCACCCGCTATGGGAAACCAAGCGGGAATATATCGAGGAATGGAGACAGAGGATGTCCCTCGCAACGACCAGCGGGTACCACAACCTGGTCCTTCGATGGAACGTCCTCACTCTACCTCATCCGGACGACCCCAAACGAACCATGGGCAACGCGCTATGTTACCTAACGGACGACGGGGAGACGGAAGCGTCAGTCATTCTGCTCGAATCGGAGCAGTGCTCGGAGAACTAGGGGAAGATGAAGCAAGAGAAGTGATCTTGGGACACGCGGAGCGTTTTTCCTGACCTCTCCCTCGCCAGCGAAGGAGAGAGGTCAAGGACGACCCGAGTTTGATGCCCGCACTTGTATTCGTATCGGAGCAATGAACGACCGTATCATCACCCCCATACGCCTGAACGTGAAAGTATCAAACAGGAGTCAAAACGCTGGAGCAAAGGCAACCATCGACTCGGCATGCGAAGGGGTTATAGTAAACGAAACTTGGGTCAAGAGACATCATTTCCCCACCTATACACTCAACAACCCCATTCGCGTCCGAAATGTCGATGACACCATTAACAAAGCAGGTCTCATCCGATCCGCCTTGGATGTGAACCTCACCATTCGGGACATCCGTGGACGAACGCATACCGAGCGCGTCCAGATGTTTATCTCCAATCTAGGGAAAGACGACCTTATCCTAGGAACAGATTGGCTAAAATACCACGATCCCTCCATCGAGTGGAGGCGACGTGAAGTGCACTTCGATCGGTGCCCCCAGAAATGCCAGCAACCATATGGGTTCACTAGGGCAAGGGAAGAACCGCCATACAGTAGGCGGTTATCAGACGTGGAGCCACGGCACAAACCACGCATCAATGAGCGCGAAAAACAGCGCCTCGAACATCTCCGAAGACTATCGGAGGATGTGGGACTCCGCGATCACAGCGGAACGTTTGGCGTCCGACTACGAGCATACCTCAAAAGGAAATGGCTCCTAAAGGACATAAGGAAATACGCAGAAGAGAAACGAAAGGCTCAAGACAAGCCATCTCTTTCACCAAACGGGGGAGAACCTGACCTCCCAGACAAACCCTCAGGAAAACAGGCCACCTGGGACCCAGTTATTCGGAAACTGGCCCCCGAACCGTCAGGATTTGCCAGCTTCGACCAAGACCTGGAAGACGAAATTATCGTCACCAATCTAAAGGAAAGAGTTCCCAAGGCGCATCACGAATTTTTGGACATCTTTAGCGAGCGAAAGTCGCAGCGACTCCCAGAACACACGTACTGGGACCATGCCATCGACTTGAAACCAACCTTCAAACCTCAAGTGCCCAAGATCTACGCCCTAAGCCCAGAAAAACACGACGAATTAGGAAAATTCATCAAGGAACATCTGGAGAGAGGAACCATCCGTCGATCCACCTCGCAAACAGCAGCCCCATTTTTCTTTATAGGAAAAAAGGATGGAAAACTACGCCCGGTACAGGACTACCGCCACTTAAATTCGCACACCATCCCGAATGTGTGCCCCCTTCCACTAATCCAGGAACTACTGGATGTGATAAAAGGGGCCATCATTTTCAGCAAATTGGACGTGCGATGGGGATACAACAATATACGCATCAAAGAAGGAGATGAGTGGAAGGCGAGCTTCATCACTCCGTTGGGTTCTTACGAACCCACGGTGATGTTTTTCGGCCTGACCAACTCACCAGCCACCTTCCAAGCTATGATGAACATGATCTTCAGAGAGCTCATCACAGCCCGGAAGATAACCGTATATATGGACGACATCCTCGTCTTCTCCAAAACCATGGCGGAACATGTTAAAATCCTAAACCAAGTTTTCCAAATCCTACGCGACAACGATCTATATTTGAAACCCGAAAAATGTGAGTTTTACAAGGAAAAGCTCCAATATCTGGGATATACGATTTCAAAAGACCATGTCGCCATGGAGGACTCAAAGGTGGACGTGATAAAAGATTGGCCAATCCCACGCACAGTCCGCGACATTCGCTCCTTCCTGGGTCTAGGGAATTTTTACAGGCGCTTCATTGACAAGTTCTCACTCATCGCGCGCCCCCTACATGACCTCACCAAAAAGGACGAGAAATGGAACTGGACTGCAAAATGCCAAGAAGCTTTCGAACGGTTAAAGAAAGCTTTTATCAGTAAACCCGTCTTGAACTATCCAGATCCCATGCACCCATATCGATTAGTAACGGACGCATCACTAATCGCCTATGGAGCTACCCTTCTACAAGAAGGAAAAGATGGGGACTGGCACCCAGTCGCCTTCCTCTCTGGATCGTTTTCACCAGCAGAGCGGAATTACGACGTTCACGACCGGGAACTCTTGGCTATAATCAAAGCGTTGGAACACTGGAATCACTACCTCGAAGGCGCACGACACCCCTTCGAGATTTGGACAGATCATAAAAACCTGGAACACTTCCAAACGGCGCGAGACCTATCACGACGACACGCCCGTTGGAGCCTTTATTTGAGCAGATTCGACTTTACACTCAGCTATAAAGCAGGATCAACAAATCACTCCGATGCTCTGTCCAGGCGTCCAGACCTAAGTGAGGGGGTAGAATCTGACAACAAATCTCAAATTTTACTCCCGGCCAAGCTTTTCAACAAATCCGACGAAACATTGGTAGAACCGTCCCCGACACGGCATATAAAATCCACGGAAATCGCCTCCTCAAACCTCATTTCCCTCATCCGACACTCGAAATCGGAACACGATGCCCTAACGAGGGTAGCCCTCGCAAAACTCTTAAGAGTAGGACCACAAGGGATGAGAGGATTATTGGGACATTGGACATACGAAGACGGAATCACCAGACGCAACGGCCACATATGCGTCCCCAAAGACGACGTCATCCGAAGACTCATCGTCAAAACACATCACGACGCACCCGCGGTAGGACACCCGGGTAGAGCAAAAACATTGGAAATGGTGCAACGACACTACTGGTGGCAAAACATGACTAAATTCGTCCACGAATATGTGGATGGATGTGCCATATGCCAGTCTACGAAGAACTTGACACACAAGACACATCCACCTATCCACCCTCTGGAAACCACCAACGTTCCTTGGCGATTCATCTCGACAGATTTCGTCACGGACCTACCCGAAAGCAAAGGTTTCGACTCAATTAACGTGGTAGTGGATCAAGGTCTGTCAAAAGGCATAGTCATCACCCCATGCAAGAAAACGATCACAGCAGAAGAAACAACCGTGCTTTTCCAAAATAACGTTTTCAATCGACATGGACTGCCGACCAAAATAGTGTCCGATCGGGGCCCTCAATTTGCGGCCAAATTCACCCGAGAACTCTGGAAACGGCTAGGAATCACCGCCGCTCTCAGCACGGCGTATCATCCCCAAACAGATGGAGAAACGGAACGGGTAAACCAGGAGATCGAGCAATTCCTGAGAACGTTCTGCAACTACCATCAGGACAATTGGGTAGACCTTTTGCCGTTCGCCGAATTCTCACACAACACACGGAAACACTCGGCCACCGGGAAATCCCCTTTCGAAGTGCTATACGGTTTCAACCCCCCCTATTCAGCTGACACGGCGCTGGAGACAAAGGTACCTGCGGTAGCTGAACGCATTAGGACAATCACAGAAGTTCAGGAAGAAGCCGCTGCTAGCTTACAAATAGCCAGCAATTACGCCAAAGACCGGGATCTTCACAGGAAACTTCCCCAATGGGAGGAAGGAGACCAAGTATGGTTAGAAGGAACCCATATTCGGACAACCCATCCTAAATTCAAGCTCGCCCCTAGGCGATATGGCCCCTTCAAGATACTGGGAAAAGTAGGAACCCTGGCGTACAAGCTCCAAATTCCTCCGCAGTGGAAAATCCACCCGGTGTTCCACGCCGCCGTGCTCACCAAATATAGAGAAACCGAAGCCCACGGAGAAAACTTCGCGCGACCAATACCGGAAGTATTGAACGATGAAGAACATTATGAAGTGGAAATGATCGTGGATTCAAAACGGCAAGGACGGGGAACCAAATACTTGGTCAAGTGGATGGGATATCCCGAAGCAGACAACACCTGGGAGCCCTACACTCTCCTAAAGGGAACAGCGGAAGAAGCCATGAAAGATTTCCATGACCAATACCCAGACAAACCCCGTCCGGGAACAGCCTGAGAGGAGGGACGAAAGATTATAAAAGAAGCGACAAGAGGACTCCAACAAGAACATCTTCTCACCCTCTTTCCCCTCTCAAACACATTCCCCTTGTTTTTTGAATGCTCCTCCACGACGACCACGATGCTTCATCTCCATCCAGAAACTCCTCCCCCGATGTCGTCCTTATGGTCGCCAATCCAGATGTCGAACGAGTGGAAAGAGGAACAAGTCCTCACCGACCAGATGCTGGACGAATTGATAGAGGAACAAGTCCTCAACAACCAGGATCTACCGGCGTCATCCTCACCCCTCATCTCAACAACTTCTCCGACGACGACGCCGAAGACTATGGCAAGTTCAAGGAAAGGGAAAGAACCCGAAGACCCTCACCGGAGAGGGCCTCACGAGATGCACCACGGCATGAAAACTCTGATGACCGAAACCAGTCGAGCCTTGGCCCATTACCAGTGGGAGTTCCACCTCCTAGTGAGGGCACGCGTCCTAGTGGAGTTGCAGGTCCCTCGGGATTTCGAGCAAGAACGGCAGCTCAACTCCCAGGCCATGGAGAAGCTGAACCGATACCAGTTCTATCAGAAACTGCACCTCCGCCAGTACCAACTAGTGGACCGATTCCCAGCTCCATGGGAGGACCTACCCCTCGTACAGATCCTCACACCGGAGAACTGGAGCGACACGCGGACGCGCTCCTCCAGCGAAACACCATCTCCGCGGTAATACAAATGGCCACAGCCATGGCCCTCCAAAGACTCGCTAACTTCTCGGCAGGACAACCCGGGAATGAACATAGCGACGTACCTCGACGACTGGCTAGTGCCAGTCTCCAGATCAGGACACTTGCCCTCCAAACCGACCCGGACACAGCCTCCTGGTACGCCCATAATGACGGGCGACCCCGAGCCCTCCTCATCCACCCTGACGAGTTCTCCCAATATGTCAACCGAGAGCTCCTTCCGGCTCTCCTCTTCGGAGGAGAACTGGGAAACGTCCAACCAAGCAGAACCGACCCTTTCCGAGTTGTCACTTGGAACGTACCACGTCCCGGAGAACATCCCACGCCTGTACCAAATCCAAGAAGGGTTCCGCGTACGGTCGTGGAGCGCCCTCCACCGAGACAACGAGAGGTTCCTACAGCGCATAGCCATACCGCGACTCCCCCCTCTCACCGGATACGAAGTTTTCCCTTACCCCAAGGAAATACCGACGAGGAGGAACCGCCCGTCTATCGAAGAAACGAGGGAAGGCGGAGTCGGGGAAACCAGGCAACCCTCGGACGCGGAACAACTGCTGGCCGGAATATTCGACACCGGCCTGGATCGCCTCCTCCTAGTGCTCGATTTCGTACGAACGAAAGAGAGGATAACCGAAGTAGCCGCAGAACTCGCCGCGCTGATTCGGAAGCTCGAAGAAATAGCTCTTGGACTAGATCCGAGCTCGATGCATGGGATGCTCTAGACGATCCAGGAAATTATGACGACGCGGACCCCTACTACCGACCTGACGAAGGGGGCGGGGATTATCAAGGACCTTTTGATTATTAAACGGACTAATAACAGGGCATAGGGAGAAGAAAGGGGGTAAGGAAGTTGAGGAACTCCTTCCCCTGACAAATCACATCCGAAACGATGTAAAACTACAATCGTCCGCAACGACGTAAAACTAGGATCGTCCCTCAAGACGTTAAACTGTACGACCTCGTCCGAAAGAGACGTTAAACTACCGCGCGTCCGGAATGACGTCTAAACTATCGGACCTGCATGTCCTAAAACTGTGAAAAGATAAGAAGGCAGGGGAAGTACCTGACCATTTCAGTCCTAGGTTCAAATGATGGTACGAATCAAGGACAACAGCGGGCATAATTCCACGTACGACCTACGGCGGAATCCTTTCACATCCTCGCTGTCAAGGAGTAATCTGACAGATGCATCGAGCGTCCCATTTGGATCCTCAGTTTTACAGGGTTTTTTCCGCATTAGGGAACCCTCTACATGACATATACTCTACTCGTAGGTGTCGACAAGCAGGCCCTTCGCCTTGGTACAGCGAAGTGCCCATACATAACCGGTTGCAAGTCCGAGTCAAGAAATTATGATGCATAACTCGTATCGTGAACCCTCACAGTCAAGGTCTGACTGGTGTTTTGGGACGTCCCACTTTGGATCTCCCGTTTTACAGGATCGTTTCCGCATTAGGGGATCCTACAGCTGGCGCATGAGATGATGTAGAGAGCGGGCCGCCTCTACCTCACAAGTCTTCCTAAATGATGCGAGGCCACAAATCACATCCGGAACGATGTAAAACTACCAAAGGCTTGGTCCGCAATGACTATAAACTACTAGGGTCCGCAATGACGTTAAACTAGTCTTCGTCCGAAACGACGGAAAACTATCCCCGTCCGAGATGACGTTAAACTACCATTGACCAAAGGAGCGTGGTTGCATTCTGGCGAAGCGCGGAAGGACTCGCGTCACAGAACCCTGCCTATAAAAGGTCGGAGCGCTTCCGATATTCACTCGCTTTTCGGTAAAAGAATATCGGGTCGTCTTGGTTCAAATCCAAGCGAGGGGTCTGGGGACATGGAAGAGCAAGCATCTCTTCATGGAGCGCCCAGTCTAGTCCTGGAGTCGAAGTACAAGAAATTCCGCTCCAAGACCTAGTCAGGAGGCAACTAGGACACGTGCCTCGAGTCAAAGATCTAGTAGGAAGGGACTAGATCACGCGACTCTCGTCTGGCCCACACAGCGGAGGAACGACAAGAGCGGGCCACTCATCCAAAGTCTACTCCGCCATTCGTCCGCAACGACGTAAAACTAGGTCTCGTCCGCAACGACGTAAAACTAGGTCTCGTCCGCGACGACGTAAAACTAGGTCTGCGTCCGGGACGACGTTAAACTAAGCATTGTTTTTCCACAATATTTGTGGCGAAACAACGTCCGCGATGACGCTAAACTATTGTCCCTTTCCACATAGGGATTGTTGGAGGCCATTTTTGCTATGAAAATGGCGCCCACGTCCGCAACGACGGTAAACTACGGGCATCCGCAACGATGTAAAACTACCGTCCCTTCGTCCTAGGGATTGTGCGTGGCGATCTTGACAAGATACCATGCGTCCGCGACGACGTTAAACTAGGTGCCCCTGAACCTAGGGGTTGTCATTGACGTCCAATCCCCTGGCCGCCAATGCGTCCGCAACGACGGAAAACTATTGCTCCTTACCGAATAGGAGTTGTGGATTGACCGCCATGGTGTCAATCGGTCCGCAATGACATTAAACTACGTGCTCCTTACCGTACAGGAGTTGTGATTCATCACTCTGGTGCTGGATCGTCCGCAACGACGTTAAACTACTTGTCCCTTTTAGCATAGGGACCATCGGTCGACATCATTCTTGACGAGAATATGTCGACAATGTCCGAAACGACGCTAAACTACCCTCATCCTCGGAGGAAAAGCCTATCGTGACTCGAGGGACACAGTCAGACGATAGTCCGCCTATCGCACGGCGTTAAACTGCGAGGATGCCTATCGCACGGCATTAAATTGCGAGGATGCCTACCTCACGGCGTTAAACTGAGCGGTCTCCTAAAACTGAGACGTACAAGTTATCCGGTTTGATATAGTATAAACCGTCCATCATGCCTCAGTGGAATCTGGAGCGGGTAAAGTCTGGTCTATGGCCCTATGCACATCACCGATGGAAATTCCGGCGTGCAGAAACATCTTTCCCCACAGATACTCCATGTTGATGATGAAGGACGTCCGCAAAGACGTTAAACTACGGGTCGTCCGAAACGACGATAAACTACGGACCGTCCCGCATGACGTTTTAAACTGCCAGTCGTGGATATATCTCGCAACCCGACAAATATATCAGCTGTGGTCTTGATGTCTAATTCGTGCAAGCGAATGGGCAGACCTGGAAAAGGAGTCAGACTCCTCCTTATTCCTCGCTGCACCTTTCAAGTCTAAATTCTCTTCACATCCTTGCCTCGAACCCAACACTACACGTGGTATTCCCCACCATAGGCCCACGTTTGTGAAAAACAAACTCTGGACGCCGTAAACTGCCTCACCGGAGATGAGTCCACCGTATGGGGACAATACTGCTTGGGATTTGGCTGCAACCTCACCGGAGATGAGCTCACCGTATGGGAGCGATACTGCTTGGGGCGTCATGACTGGTAGCCTGGAGAAGTAGGCCTAAGCCTTCGTAAAGCGATCAACCTACTTGTCCATGGGCGCCATCCACTGTCGTCAAGAGGAACAACAAATCATGAGGATAGACGACTATCCTGGAAACACTGAGGTTTGGCCCTCGGAGAAGGAAGAAGAAGAACCTGATGACACGAATCGGAACCCACACGCTAGAGTTTCTATTCATCCACACACCACTCGCATTCATACGCCTTTCTTGATACTATTCCAGAAGCGGGCTGGAAGTAAGACCGCGATGAGGTTTACCCGCGGCAGAATCAATCCCACGGGTGAAGGAAGAACATCCTAGAGAGCGGAGGCCTGGATACCCTCACGACTCAACAAACAAACAGCTCAACGGAGATGGAAAACTCCTAGAGGATCAAACGACGTAAGTCGGTCTTCCTCCCAGAAAACGAAGTCATGTCCCGGAAGTCGCATCCGGAGACCATCGTTGGATCAAGAAAGCAAATCGTATATGGAGTGGCAATGAAGCGCACAGCGCTGTCCTACCAGGCGAATAGGACGTAGAAAGGGGGTATTGTTATGATCACGTTCTATCGGGCCTACACGGCGGTCTATACCGATACGATCATCACAAATATCACGCGGCCTCACAGGTTGAGGCGTACACCAAGGTACAGATATTAACCTTGGTCATCCACTCCCAATGGATCATCCATCATTGGTCGAGTATCATGGGCCTATTGTATTAGCGGGCATGGAACGCCGCCTTATAAATTACTCACACGCAGGGCATGAACCTCCTAGTCCCTCCTGGCCGGAAGGAGACCAACGGAGAAGCACAAGAGTAGTCGTTATTGAGAGAGACGACTTAGAGAATACCTACAGATACATATTCGGTATTCTCATGCCCTACTTCCCAAAGTAGTATAAAAGGCCCATAGAATAGGCTGACGATCTTCAGTCTATTCTCTTCGTTCTGGTACTGTCTCCCTACAGTACCCTTCGTTCTCCTGTATCCTCACATACAGGAATCTTCATCCACTGTAGTCTCCCTACTACAGTCTTCATTGCTATATCGCAATACACTCTTGGCTCCTGTGCTACACGTACAGTCGAGACCACCGTTCCACACATCCTCCACGAGTGACCTAGGGAAGAACCTCCTACTCTTGGGGTTACCGACGAGCAGTCGTAACAGCCACTGGCCGATCAAAGACCGATCCGTCAAGTTCGGCCAGAATATACGCTCCTCCTCGGTTCCTAGAAATCACCAGCAAAGGTCCCAAATACCGTGGACGCATCTTCCGATTGAGCGCCTTTTCTATGGCTGTGTTGCGCATCAGGACAAGCGAGCCTCTGTGGAAATTGAAGTCGCGAAGGGTGGCCGAATGCTGTTGTTCGAATCGGATGGCGGCCTGGACACGGGCGCCGACAACTGAGCTGCGAAGGTGGGCGAGGTCCGATCGGCGTTTCTGCAAGGCTATGGCCCGTCGGGCGATGAGGTCGGTGGTGCTGAGGGTTGTGGTCGGCGGTGGCAGGAGGTAGGTGGCTTCGGCGATGTCGAGGGGGAGAAGGGGATGGGTTCCGGTCGCTGCGAAGTATGGCGAGCAACCCATTCGGCGCCGAACAGTAATGCGATCAGCCCAGAATACGAAATGAGCTGCACGATTCCACTTGGCCTGATCTCCATCAACGGCTTTGAACAGGGCCTGCCGAACGTCGAAGTGAGGTCGTTCGGCGATGCCGTTGGCGCGGGAATTGTAGCCCGAAATACGGATGTGCCGAACGTGGTACTTTTTCGCTAACTGGTCGAGCGCCTTGACGAACGCTGGTCCGTTGTCGGAGACGATCTCGACCAATGTTCCCCATCGGCACAGGATATCCTCGAAGATCCAGTCGGCGAGGGCTGAGCTTGTTTCGCGTCGCAGCATTCGGAATTCGGGGTAGTGCGATACCGAACAGCGACCTTGAACGAGATACTTGAAACCACCAGCGGTTGGCATGTGCATGGTGTCCATATACATCTTCGCGAAGAGTGGTGCAGGCGTGGCGACGGTTGGGGGAATGAGGACGTTGCGAGTCTGGCGAATCTGGCAAAGGTGACAGGTCCGAACAAACCAGGAAATGTCTTGCCTCATGTGCGGCCACCAGAAGCGTTCGGCGATCAAGGCAGTCGTGGCGTAGAAACCCTTGTGAGCGACGTCGTCGTGGGCGGCAGTGAGAATTGTGATCCGACTAGAGGGGGCTGCAACAATCTTGTGTCGGCCGTGTGAGTCTTTTCTCCATAGCTTGTCGGCTGCGATAAAGAACTCAGTGCAATATCGTAGAAAAGTCGCATATTCGGAGTCGGAGAGAGAAGGGGGCCGAACCAATGTTCGGTGCCAGTCGCGGACCAACCATAGGCATTCTTCGGCTTCCAAAGCTTTTTGCGATCTTGGGATATCTGAATAGTCGATGGTCGGGCCTTCGTCGTCGGACTCGGTAACAGTCGGGAGGTCGCCTATGAGCGAGGAGGTGAAGATGGCGGTTGTCGAGGTTGAGATGGAGGTGGGGAACGTGTTGTTGATCTGATGGAGGAAGCCGTAGAGATTGTCGATCCAGTCGTCAAAGTCGTCTTCGGGTTCGGGTCGATCGGAGGGTTGTGGTGGTCGTCGGGAGAGGCCATCGGGGCCATGAGAGGTGCCGGGGACGTGGACAAGTGTGAAATGGAAGGTGAGGATGGAGACGATCCACCGATTGATGCTGGCGCTGGGTTCGAGATCCGGGTTAGTGAGCATGCCCTTGATGTAGCGTGCGTCTACTTCGACTATCAGGTTCCGAACACCGATGAGATACATTTTGAGCAATTGGAGGGCGCGGAAGAGGCCGTAGAGTTCGAGCTTGGGTTGGGAGAATCGCGATTCGCGGTCGTTAAGGGTGATGGAGCCGAATCGGGCATAATACCGAACCCGCGGATTGTCGAGTGCGCATTGACAGAGGTGGAAGCCGACCGCAATTTGAGAGGTATCGACGGCGAGGATGACGTTGGCTGCCGACCCATAGTCGATCGGCCGAAGGGCTGGCGATTCGAGAAGTGCCGACCGGAGGTCGTCCTGGGCCGCTATCTGGTCTGGGCCGAACACGAATGGAAAATCTTTGCGCGTTAACATTGTCAGTGCATGCGCCCTGTGTGCAAAATTCCGAATGAAGATCCGAACGACACCGATCGTCCCCAAAAATGCCCGAACGTCAGAGAGATCCCTGCAAGGTCCCCACTTCATAATTGACTCTACCCTAGATTCGTCGGGTAATCGTCCTTCATACGTGCACCGATGGCCGACCACCGTGATTTCGGCTGCGCAGAGTGTCGCCTTGTGTCCCGAAAAGGTCCCTCCGCTATACTTCATCCGCTGAACCACTCGATTGAGGCCTTGAAAGTGTTCCCACACAAACCGTCGTATGCCGGGGTTGTCGGGATGCGTCTCGAAGCCGCCGTTCGGAAGTTCGTATCGGGTTGGCGGGCCCCGAATTGGAACATCGTCGATGAAAGGAATGGTGGTGTCTGGTATCTCTGGCTGGAGGATGTGGGTGACGTCGTCGTGGAAGATCGGGACCGAATTCGTCCATCCCATGGGTAGGGTGACGAGTTGGTGGGCGCCGAATGGGGTCTGGAACGTGGTGAAGTCGCGAGATGATTCGGAGAGCCCTCGTTCGTCATAGCCGACATAGAGATCCAGAATGCCGCCGCAGGCGCGAGCTGCAAACTGTTCAGCGATCTGATCGGTATATGGGGGCACACCTGAATGCTGGATGGTGACGGCGTTCAGGGGTTCGAGGCTGTGAACGATTCGGAGTTTGGTGCCAGTGGAGGTGCTATTCATCTTCTTGACAACCGTAAACCAGCGCGATCGGTAGGACGAATTCGACGGCTCATAGACTCCAGCGGCGATCTTGGTTTTGATAAGTCGGCACACTTCGTCGTAGATGCCTGGTGGAATCGGAATGTTGCGTTGAACCCAGGGCTTGTGTTCGACCACCGGCATATTGACTGGAGGAAAGAAGTCCTCGCGGAAATGTCCGCGTTCCGAATCGTCCCAGGCGAATCCCATCTCTTGTAGACACATGAAATGGTGCATGAGCTGTCATTCGGCCGGCCAAAGGAAGTCGTCCGAGTGGACTTTGTCGATGAGGTCGCGTCGTTCGGCTGTGTATCTGCCGGTCGGCGTGAAGGGTGGGGGGTTCGGTGTCAGCGTCGGAAGGGCAGCGAGAGGGTCACCGAGGATGTTCCGAACGATTCGGAACTTTTCGGGGAGGTCGGCCAAGACTGGTCGTGTTTTCTGTGCGACCGGTTTGTACTTGCGCTTGGCGGCGAAAATGGCGACCGGGTCAGCGATATTAGTGGAATGGAGAGAACCGGGAACGAATGAGGAGAATAAGGACAACATATCGGAATCGAGATTGTTTTTGAGATGATTTTCGGGCCCCAAATCGGAGGCCATAATGTACTTGAGACAAAGATCGCGACGAGAGGGAGATGGAGAATGGAAATCTGAGGACGCTTCGATAAGTGGGAAATGGGGGGTATCATGATTGGTGGAAATGATCAGTGCAACTTCTCCTTGATCTCGGATCAATTCATCGAGTCGCGAAAACCCGCTTGTCTTCGGTGAAGGACTCGAGGGGGTCCTCGCCTGATCGTCGGAATGGTGGCTCGTCGTCCCGTGTTCGGGTCGCTGATGGTGATCGTCTGGTCTTCGTTTGAATAATTTTTGACGATACTTTCGGTGAGGATGTCGAATGGCCGACCGAGGAGAACGTCGTAGGCGGGGTTCCGAATAATGTGGACTTGGAGGTACAGGGTGATGTCGCCGATGAGGAATGGCACGTTGCGTGCCAGGCCCAAGGATCGGTCGATTTCGCCGTTCGCCGACTGCATATTGAGGATGATTTCGGGGTCGTAGATGAGCGCCAGTTCGTTGCAAATGCCTTCCGACATGGCAATGACTTGTGAACCCGGGTCGATGATGCATTCGACTTCCTGCTGATGATCGACGAGGGGAACAATAGACCTTAGGGCAGACGATTCTTTAGCAACTATCAATGGCTGAGGAACCTGACCGGGCTGTAGATTCTTCAGGTACGTTTCGTACATGTCGGGGATGATGATCGCGCCCGGCGGGGGTGTTTCCGGTTGGTGCAGGACATTGACGAAGGAGGAGACGGTCGGTCGAGTCGGTGGTTCGAGGTCGTCGATGGCATAGGGTAGATCGGCATCTTGGTAGAAGGTCCGAACATTGCTGGCGTCTCTGGCAGGCGATCGGCGTGCCGACGTGGCTTCCCTGACCTGTGAACGGACTTCGGCGG